AGGGAAAAGGCAACAGGCAATACCACGTGATGAAGTTACGCAATATCTTGATAGTGGTAAGTTTTATCTGTCTTATACTTAAATATTATTAATCTCTTTAGATATTATTGAAGTTACCCCTCTTACGTTTTGGAGAGAGAATCAGTACCGATTTCCAGCACTTGCAAATCTCGCTCGGGATGTCCTTTCAGTTCCAGCATCTGGTGCTGGTGTTGAACGACTGTTCAATACTGCTCGTGATATTTGCCACTACCGCAGAGGGAGACTAAATGCCACAACTATCCAACAATTAATGATGTTCCTCTGCACTTCAAGGTTTGATATGCAAGAAGAGCAGTTCAAGTTCTTAAAGGAGTTCTTCTCTCATGATGAGATTGAAGCAGTAAATGAAGAAAGAGATGATTCAACTGATCAATTTGATATTGATCCAATCAGTGATGATGAGGAAGAGGATACACAAGGGCAAGAGGAGACTCAAAGGTCTAAGTCACCTGAAGACCACAGTGAGCATGATTCGCCTGATTTACCTATGATAGAAGGGGTAGATACTCAAAAACGCACATCAGGGAGAGTGCGTAAGCGTGTTAGACGTGAAGATAGTGATTTCCTATATGATTAGCTGTTTATTTAATATATTCACTTTATATTCTATCTACTTGAGTGATTCATAAATCAAGATTTCATGAATTAAGATTATATTGCGAAAACTACAAAGCTGTACTAGGCTGTACTAGGAATACTCAAAAATACTCAAAAATACTACATAATTTATGCAGAGAGAGCTATTTCTATGTTTGTTCTGTTTGACGACCCATTGGGTAACCCATAAACCCGCGCGGGTTTCCCAACGGAACCCGCAACCCGCATGCGGGTTAGACAGACCGACCCAAAACCCGACCCATAGGGAGGATGGGGCGGGTTCGGGTGCGGGTTTCTGCGGGTTACGGCACAGCCTAATCCTATTCAAAGGTAAAAGAGGGGGGGAGGAGGGGTAATAGTAGTAATTTTCCTCTATATTTTAAATCTTTTATACATAGTCAAGACAGCGGAAAATTTCAACAAAGTTGTGCAGTCCTGTGAATTATTCCTAATTAGGCTAGATCAAGTCCCATGGGATCCCATGGGACCACCCTTCTTGTCCAAATTCCAGAAGCAGAAGAATGCCATGGCTTAGCGTGGGAGTCCTACGCGGAACCATAGGTCTACGTCCCATATTGGCAGGTCTATTTGTTGCCCATGCAGTTACTAATTAGTAAGCAAATAATATATTTGGGATGTCGGCCTAATGACAAGTATGTTGTTTTTAATTCATGCACTTATTTCTCCCCTTTTAATGTATCCCAGTGTCCACTTCGCTAGCTATTCTCAGGTAGCAAAGTAAATATAATATAGAGAACCTTTAAAGTTCAATTGAAAGCTATCTGAAGTGAGAATGCGTGCGCCGGGCTTGAGGTGCCAGGTTGTGAAATTTCAATCTTCATACCAGAATTCAAAATTTACCACTATAAATACCCATAAACATAAATTATTAGACATAATATTAGACGTGATTCTGAGACCAAAGGTAAATCTCTATATTTATAGAGCTAATTCCCACAAACATGAAACAATCCGACTGCAATATAAAGCACAAAACCCGAAGTTTTATAGAGGTTCAACAACCCACCGCTAGCAGTCTTACGTTAATGCCTTACCTGCCTACTCGGGGTATCGTGGTCATCTTCGCTGAGGGCGAGGGTGACGCTGTTGAGTCCTGTCGAGGCCGTTGTGTTCGTTATCTCTAATTCGTAGCTGAACATCCAGACGCTTACGAATTCTGCGAAATGAGTCACGCGCTCCTCAAGTGGTTCACTTTTGATTTCGCGGAGGCTTCGGTTAATGTTCGTTCTATTCTCCGAGACCGGTCCTGAGTATCTCCCGAAATCTACGGTGTGAAAGAAGGTTACTAAAATTGAAATTTCACAACCGGGCCGCGAAAACGCAGCGGAGAAAGTCGAGATAACCTCTACAGCCTGGGTTACACGAACAAGACTTTGGTCCGACCACCTACAATCATCTATTGATTCTCTGACACTAATGCTAAATCTTAATAGTCTATATCATGAATACATCTATAATATCGAGATTTTTGTACCTAGCAATTCTTGTGGGAAAGTGGGGACCCGTTTAGGTTTAGTAGCATCTGCCCATGGAGTATATTTCCATGGGCCACGCTTTTTCTCTCTCTCTCTCTCTCTCTCTCTCTCTCTCTCTCTCTCTGCCTCCCTTTCTTCACACTAATCTCAGTTTCACACTATTTTTCTGTATGCTCGTTCCTATAGTATTTCTAACTTCCCTCCTCGGCAGCTTATACCTCGACTTACTTACTTTGATGTGGAAAGTTCTAGCTCCTTTGGATCACCAATCCAGTCACGGGACAAAAGCTCGTTTTTAAGTTAGATTATGAGCTGCAAAGCCTGAGAGGGCTTGAAGGATCTCGTGAGGTGTCCATTTTCCTGTACCCCTGCCCAAATGATAGTCCGGGGGACTGAATCGGGACCAGACATTGCAAACAGAACTATACGAGGATTGATCAATCTAATCCTTCACGACAGTGGCATACCAAATCATGGCCTCAGACATTTCCAGTAGTAGCATCCATAGTTTGATATGCAGTGGGTGAATGAATTACCTCCCAGATAGCCTGCTGCAAGCTTCTAATTATCAGGAATCCATCTATCGGCAGTTTTTGGTATCATCAGATCCCTTTCCTCAAAGCCCGATGACCATAAAGCGTCACACTAGTCATTCTAGAAACATTTCAATCATATGCAACTGTCTGCTTGGAATTTAGAAATCATAGCTTAGGGGGGAGAAATTTCTCGATGGAAAAATTCTATATATTCATACTGAAATATACGATGAGCGATACGGACTTATGATCTAGAGGGAAATTAAGTCAACGCGTGCTACATCTATCTTCTATGCTTGTGAGACACTCCAGATCAAAGGAATACTCCTCCAGCATGTACTCTACAGTCTCCAAGAATGGGCGTCATACATACTGCGTGATAATTAGCGTCCAAGATACTGCAAGGCGAAAAGCCGATGAGGGTGGATTGTGAATCAATTCTGAGCACACCGTACCGAAACATATGACAAATTGAATTCTAAGCGCCTCAGGAGTCAGAAAATAATTTAGCTTACAACCTACTCCTTTCGAAGGCTTCCAGTTCTTATATCCATTCCTTACTCCCACTTCGTCTATCAGGCGTGGTTTTGATAGCAGAACATGTTCACAAATGGAACAGTCTGCTCAATTATCATAATGATAAGCTTAATTTAAGCGTTATAAGATAAGTAAGGATAGATAATAACCTTCCTGGATACTGCTATCGCCACAGCATATTCCATGAGGTAAAGATGAGTCTGAAACACAGCTTTCAGTATCAGAGAGCTCCTCTGTGGTTAATAGTCAGTGAAAGAGATCATACCAGCATGTAACACTGCGTAGCAAAATTGCCTGGCTTCACTGCCGCAATCTTTGTCTTTAGAACGCTAGCGGCTTCCAATCCTATCAAGAATAAAACCCACAGTAATACCCGTACTGGATATTCATAGTTCATTCAAAGGTGATGCGAGAAGATTCTGAGCAATCAAATGCTTACTATCATTACGACCCATATATCCTATAGGAGGGGCAGCAAGTTAGAATGAGACATTGAAGGCCAATCAATTCCAATAGTATTTAGTGGAATGCAAGTCATGTGCAGTCCTGTCGCTTCTCCTCCTTCGCTCAGAGAAAATGCGGAATTTGGAAGAAGGGGCTTGTATGTTTCGCTGTAGCCGGAATGGCTGCTTCAGCCTTAATTACATTTAATTTTTTATGTGAGCGATCAATTATGTCACTACTAAAAGTTCAAAATTACTGACCGGGAGGTCTGCCTTCTTATTTTTTCTGCTGTACTACCATGGTTAGAATGGGTCATGGGGCAGTAGTGATTGATCTCTCTATTCTTCCATTGAGATATATGGTCATGGTGATTAAGGAGATGACGGCTATGTGATCATCGAGTATGGTATCAAAATTTATGATGATATTGGATCCAATGGGTGCTATGGAGATGGAAAGAAGCTAACGGGTGAGAGAGCAGCTGAGGGCACGGACCCAATAAAGTGGGTCCCATTGAAGGGAAAACTTCTTTACTACTGTTATTATTTCTTTTAACAGGGAACTCTGAAGTACTTTGATTATGATTCAACTCCGAAATGTTTGCCTTGATCATAGATATAATATTGGATACATAGAAAGAAGAATACCTCTAGAAGAGAGGGAAATGGCCATGAAGATAAGCTTGAAATCTAAAACAACGGAACTGGTGCGGGGTACTCACGGGGATGTCGACCCCACACTTTCTGACCACTTAGCCTGTGTAATAAGGCGCCGGTCCGGTCAATTTTTTATACGGGCCGGGTTAGGCTTTCAAAGCCCGAAGAGTCCACCAGGCCGACCCTCATAAAAGCAACTTTAGTGGTTTTAACAAGCTCTAGTAGTTTCAATATGCCGTGGGTTATTTGCAGTGTCTTATAGTAGGCGATGCCCACACTTTTATCTTAGCGGTCACGGTGCAGCTATGATAACCCTCAGACATCAGCTTATTATACAGATATAGCTTTCCTTCTTCATATCCGCTGCCATAATACATTATATGATCATTCACTGGAGCCTGCCCCGCTCCTGAAGCCCCAATTCCTCAGGCATGGTTCATGTCCATTGGCCTTCCTGAAACTCTCATCCTATTCTGGATTAGCTTCTTATGCCTCGGCCTATAACAGCAAGGTTATTCGTCCGATTCGGTAAATGAATTAGCCGTTAATGTTCACTTAGTCCCACTATATTCAACTGCCGGTAAACATATTTTGCGCCCCAGCAGGGAACAGAGGTATAAAAAGCGCCCTGTAATCACTCCAGAGGAACGCCTATATCTCTCTTTTTCCACGTACCACAGATTAAAACAAGCATGACCTCCAAGATCTTCAACGTTGGTATTGTTGGTTACGGCCTCAGTGCCAAGATCTACCAAATTCCCTTCATAACCGCGGCGAAGGACCTCAATCTTTATGCTGTCGTTCAGCGGACCCCGAAGCCCAATGACGATGTCGAGCTGGATTGGCCTGGGATCAAGAGCTACCGTAGTACGGAGCTGATGGTTCAGGACCCTGCAGTTGATGTTGTTGTTGTGACAACCTCCCCGGACTCCCATTTGGAACTGGCGAAATTGGCTTTAAGTGCAGGAAAGCATGGTAAGTTGATGATCTTTGCAAATTATCCTTAGATGCAAAGAAATAATTACTTAGTCTGCTTCATCCGATTTAAGTCAGCTAACAACTTTGAATCACTAGTCGTTGTCGAAAAGCCGTTCACACCCAGATATGAGGAAGCCCGGGAGCTCATGGAACTCGCGAAAAAGCAAAACCGCCTGCTGACAGTTTATCAAAGTATGTTTCTCGTACTGATATTGTTGGTCCTAGAATGAATAATATCTAACCCGAAATTTTAACTATATAGGCCGACGATGGGACGCCGACTTCCTCACACTGTCCAAGCTTGTCCAGACCGGCTCTCTAGGCAGAATAGTGGAATTTGAGACCCGGTTTGAGCGTCACGTACCTGCAATCCCGGGTTCTGCGTGGAGAACCAAGGCCATGCCTGGTGGTGGCGCTATTTACGACTTAGGCGCCCATCTCATTGACCAAACAGTCCAGATTCTCGGCCTGCCAAAACGACTAACTGCTTTCCTCGGTAACCAAAGAGAGGGACAGAGTGGCAGCGACGATTCATTTACCGTGCTCATGCATTATGATGGACTCTTGGCCACAATCAAGGCAGCCGTCGTCAGTCCCCAAGAGAAGCAGCTAAGGTTTTGGGTGAAGGGAACGCTGGGCACATTCCAGAAAGTAAGTGATAATATCGTGCACATAATCGATACAGGAACTGATCTCAGCCTACTTACAGTTTCACTTCGATGTGCAAGAAGAACAACTGAAGTCTGGCATGCGCCCGGGTGACCAGGGGTATGGTCAGGAACCCAGTGAAAGATATGGTACATTGACCTCGGTCCAGCCTGATGGCACGTTCAAGAGCAAGGCTGTCCCAACTGTGGATGCGCCACTTTATACCGATTTTTACAATAAGCTCACGAAGGCTATGGCTGGCGAGGGTGATGTACCCGTGGATTCCACGGAATCTGCCACTGTCATTCGGCTAGTGGAGCTTGCCGTGGAGAGCTCCAAGACTGGCCGAACGTTGGACGTTTAATATTGATGGATCCTCATTAATATACTAGTACTTTATCGACCACTTGTAACAATTGATCGAACAATGATTCAAAATATCTTTACTTGATTGGTTATATTAATTGTAAAATAAACATAATATAGTCATAGGTAGTGATATACATACTGCGAGATTACCCTTAGATACCTGATTCGCTATACTAGAGGCTTTTCGCCGCGCCTTTCGCGCGGCGCCTACCTAAATATTATACTTTATCTCCCTGTAATTTCTCCTAGTATATCTCCCACAATATCTCTCACTCAGTCTCCTACTCAGTATTCTACCCGTTATCCTACTTGGTCTCCTGCCAAATCTCATAGCAAGTCCTTCACTCGGTCTCTTCACCCGAGTGATATCTTCTTTTCTACCGCATTAGTCAAATAGTCCAAGTACTCCCAAAATCATAGGCGAGTAACTGGAAAGAGTAAAAGAGAAGTGAAAGTAGAAGGGGAAAAAATAAAAGTCGGGCGGAGCTTTTGAACGAATATCCAACAAGTCCACGGTGTACCCAAGTAATAGAGGGGTTCTTGCCTCCATTCGCCTGTATTAAGATATTGGTTCTGAATATGGTGCGGGTAGTTAACTCATGCGGATTGATTCAAATGGTGAAAGTGCTGTAGTTACTTTGATCATTCTTCGGCTACTTCTTCCGTTACCTTTTCAGCCACAACTTTGACGTACAAGCTCACATTCTCCCAGTATACCATACTTGGCTAATGAAAGCATCCACCGTCTATGAACGGAGAAGCTTGTCCAAATATAATGTTTTTTTTTTCGAACCTAGTTCAGCTAGTCACATCTTGCCGTGATCCAAAATTCCTCTAATCATGAAAACAGCGTTCAAAGTATTTTTAAAATGGGATCTTTTTAAAATTTGAGGACTTTAGAAATACATCAAAAACTTTAAGAGACTGCCCCTGAATAGCTCGACCCACTAGCCGACCGGAGAGTTAATTTAAATTATTGTGTCGATGTTTCTGGCATTTTCTCCTTTCCGGCGCCATCAACAATGCCATGGAATGCCACGATGGCACGGTATTTTCTGGCTGTCTGGCGCTTATAAATTGTGAGTTACCACCCAATAGAGTAGAAAACTCACAGCTAAAGATAATTTATTACGGAGACTTTATTATTTGTTATAACGTTGACTCTTCAAAAAATTCATTTTTCTGAATGAGCATGATGGCCATAACACTTCGCACTCTTCTTCTGGCGCTAGGCTTTGCCTTTTCGGCCACCGTGAACGCGAACCCTTCAATGCTGACGGGAGAGCCCGAGTCTCAACCGGCAGGAGACTGTACATCACCCTTGAACTGCGGCTCCATCATTCATGCCTAAGATTTACTGACAATATGTAGGTATCGCGTGGTATTCCGCTCAACTCCATTCGCCTCCGGAGACCTGCAACGACGTTGTCAGCATACATCCAGGGCTCGACTTAGCGACCTTTCTCAAACTGAACCCTTCAATTCACCCCTGGTGTGATAATATGATGCTCGGCCAGAAAGTCTGTATCGCTACTCAAAACTGTCCTAAGCCGGCAGAACCTACTCCTAGGCCGGCAGAACCTACTCCACAACCGGAGACTAGCGCAAAGCAGTGGAAAACTAGCACCACTCCGAAGGCGCGGGAAAGCAGCTCCATCGGGTCTCATTAATCGCAGTAAGATCTATTTTGACTGCGCGAAGTCTCAATGGTGAGATTCAACTCTATCTGTTGAAGCGGCTTTTCTCGGTGGCACTATTAGTTTCAGAGCTGTCTTTTAATACTGAATTTCCACTAAGACAAGAGTGAACATGAGAGTGACCCTTCATGTACTGAAAGAGAGATGGTCAAAATTTGGGGTACTATGACTTGGTAGATGTATTTTACGTTAGCTCGCTGTTTCAGGCCCAATGATTAAATTAATACTAATTGCTACTCTATCCCATCTAATTCTGACGAATCTAAATTTGCATTCACTCCCATTGGTGAGCGTAAGTGCAGGAGAGGGCCTAATCAAAGTATCTTCAGAATACTCAATTTATATGAATTCACATATTTCTTTGTCCATTGTCGTTTACATAGTCTATGGCATATTTCGGTCACCAAGTCTGGTGTTAGCCTTTCTCTTTCCAAATTCTATAATGTTCTCCTGCACTGTGTTCTCTCAGTCGAATGCACCAATTCTTTCCTTTTCCCAGAATCCAAATAACCATATCATATTTCCATTGTGAGAAGATTATCTTGGGACTCACTTTTACGAGCTTAATCACGACGAATAAGACTATTTAAATGAATAAGAGGACTCTGATCTTATGTTTTTGTGTGTTTATAAATATATGTACAATGACAATTTCAAGGTTCTTACAACTTGGTCGATGGGAGATCTTCGAGCTTCAAACACGTAATCTTCCTGAGATACTGGAACATTTCATTCTGATCTTAATATTGAATTACAGGGCAAGCCTCGGTGGCTCGGAAATAAAGCAATAAACTTATTCAGTATCCCACTCATCTGAGGGAAAAATATTAATTTGGAATTTTTGCTGGCGTGCTCAGCTACATTTTTTGGCTCCACAAGGGAGGCTTGGCAGAGGACTGATCTTTATTGATCCACCACAAACTTCGAAGCTTGAAAATCTGTCTCTTAAACTTCACTCCTTGGCCTTGAAATTATTCACTTCCGATTTAGTAAGAGAAAATATGCTGGCTGGATCGGCTGTCAGCCGGAAACGCCCTGTGACAGCTTGCATGGAATGCCGTTGCCGGAAACAAAGGTGCCCCTCGCCGGATTGGCCCCCACAACTACATGGTTAAGAAGGGAGTGGTTTTATTGGGGTTGCCTCACAATGCCTGTAGCCTCACTAGACCTCGCCAAATGGGCGGGTTGGGTTTCGACCCTTGACCCAAAACCCGCCAAGAGATTAAAATACACGTAACATATACCTGATTACATCACTCTATATCTGGTATTGGTTGTATTTCAACAGTAATACTGTAATATACAGGTAAATGGGTTCTTGGCGGGTTCGCGGGTATTCCTTCGGGTACCCAAAAAAGCAATATGGCGAGGTCTAAGCCTCACCATGTCTGTAGCCTCACGTGATATCTACACCGACATTTCCGAGGGCCTCTTCCTCCTACAACTGCCTCACGAGAGTCAGTTGATGGCCTCTGCGGGTAGCTCGTCATCTCTCAGGCAGTCAAGTGTCAATTTTGTCCCTCCCACCTTCCCTCTGTACATAGAATCCACTACAATACAGACACATTGCCTCCCTTCAAGGGAGCGCGGACGGGGCCTATCTGACGCCACGGTCTACGACCGCAGCGACAGGTAACCCGTTGCGGCCAAACTAAACTCTTCTTGCTCCTCTTGACTGCGTGAGGTCACCAATAAATGCTGGTTTTTAGATCGCTAACCCACCAATAGTGCGACCAAGAGGGAACCCTGCCATAATTGTATTACAAGAAAGGTCTCAGCAAGGTGTATGTATGATTATTCAACCAGGCAAGGAACTCTCACTAGGCATGCAAATATCTTTAAATATTGAAATTGTCGCTCACTTTTGCTCTGATGAAGTGCCAATACCTGTGGTTGACATGCGATCGCTGCATGACCTGTCATCCACAATCATTGCTGACCGCAATCAAAAATTTCCCAGTCTTTGCTAAAACAAAAGCCAGCCACATGTCATTCACTTTAGGTCGATACCGAGCAATCAATAGCAGTGATTGTACAATCATGCCACCATAAGATCGGGACATACCGGCAGATCCAGCTACAACAGTACCAATGGCTTTATTCCCGCATGACCCTCATCTTTCCCCCCTCTCTTTCAGTATGCTGTCTGTCAACAGATTCATGAGGCGATGTCACTCGGCATACAAAAACTGTTCGACTTCGAAGAGTACACCTCGGACAACATCCTTCACGGGCACATCCTATCCGTATTGAGTTAATTGCCACCGGTGCACAGGGTGGTGAACCCGGACACATCCTGGGATGCAACTTATCCCCATGTTCCGAAACAGCGCCAGCAAATATCAACTGCGGCGAATTCATTTTCATCGGCCTTGCACAGACCATATGCAAAAGCATACCTGGCCAGTTGGAGCGCTGCGATAGAAGCAGCGCTCTCCACCTGGATGCGCAAGCGCGCCTGTTTGATCTCATGGCTACAGGGTAGTATAGTATCTATGCCCTTTCTGTTTATACTGTCAATGCCGCTATCTTCCTATCCGTCACTACCCTTGAACACCCTCTTTCCCATTCCACTATATTCCATCGCCGATCGAGCAGGCCACACGTTGTCTGGAAATGGCGCAGGAAAGGATTTGGTTGGCGAGATCGGGGTGGAATGTTTTGAATCTTCGCTATCCAAAATTGAAAGCATTTTCACGATCTCAGTCACATGTTCCTATGAACACTGTTTCTCTACCTGAACTGGTAGTGAACGGCATCTCTTCCGACCAGAGCCGGATTGAGGACCTACCCAGTCATTCTCCGGAAGACTTCACAGATCTCACTGAACCCAGAACGCTGTCGATATTTGATACTAGCCAACTTGATAGCGTGGTCTTGTTTGAGGATATCATGGTCTCGAATTTTAATATTGAATAGTGGGTGCAACACATGAGCTAAACAAATGGGTTGTAATAGTATTCACAAGTCGACACCTCAACTCATGAACCTGGTCTCGAAGTCAGAGTAGACTGAGTCCGGGATTTCCAGCTTCAAAACTTCAAAATTATCATATATTTAGGCAGAATCAAGATATGGATAAATTGTCGAGAACGCTCGGACTATTGCTTAAGCTATGCACGGTACTGTATCTATTCCATTATCTTAGTTTGTTTGCAAGGCCGGAATCAAACTGCCATCTATTTTGCCCTTGTAGACAAGTTTCTCTCTCACCGAAATGTCTGCTTTTACTGGCGAACTCATCTCGCGTTTCGGAACAGCATTTATCACTGTCCTGATAGCCCGAAATCCAGTTGTGATCATATACTAACTGGTGTGGCTTTCCTTTGCTAGGACCAAGTGGAAGACAAAAGATGCCTCGCGTGACGTATCCTAAGATGGAGATATCTGAATATCGGAATATCGCGATTTATCATTTCGGCTTAGCATTACTCGAAATATATTGCTTGGGAATAAGTAGTCCCGCCTAGAGAAAATCCTAAGTGATTTGAGAAAGAGCTGTCTTATAACTACTAAGTCTGATAAGTATAGCTAAGACGATATCTTAGATATGATCTGTGTGCGAAAATTCTTATTATAATCTCTGATAAAAGTTATAAGATAATAAAGATAGGAGTATAGGACCTAACATCGTACTATATAACCCTAAATCAAGAGATCTATCCAGAGAAAGTGACTAAGATAAATAGTAAGCTTTATCTTTCTTAAATTTAATTAGTTTCTATACTTATTCATGTACTGGAATAGCCGCCTATTCCTAGGTGGTACTCTTATCAATCTTACTAATCTTAATTATAATACTAGGTAGGTCTTTTTCTATTTTGATGCTGCTAACTTACGGTTAAAGGGGTATAAGAAATCTGTATTCCTTATTATTACCGTGATTTGACTAGGCGACTAGAGAGGATGTAAGCCCAGATAAGCGAAAGAATCTTAGTGAAATTTAGCAGCTTTTGGCCATTACCTCTAGAAATCCCAAATTCTCTGAAGTAGGTCCTATTCAACGGATAGGGAAAAAATGACTGAATCCTGCTCATTAATGCTGATTGTAAATTTTTTTTGTTCCGGGTATTGTATTTTCCCTATCAATAAGACGTATGTTGGAAGGCGCTATAGTCAAAATCGCTCATATTCCAAATTCCGAGATAAGCACCCCATGAAGCGCGAGTTGGCTGGCGAGCAGTGCCGGGACTTTGCATAAAATATGTTATGGTGAGATCGTGTCAAGAAGGTTGTCGCTAGGGGAACGTGCCATAGCATCATCGGCGAGCGAATACCAGTGAATTCGAGTTTCGTCTGTTGCGGCTATTAATTTTGAAGAGGGTAGACGAAGTTCATCTTCGTAAGCTTCAGTGCAATAAGACAAATCCATAGTGCACCTGATGATGAAAAGGATCTGCAGCAGTGAAGGAAAGACCTGGACCCACCAAAAGAAAACATCTTTTGTGAAACGTGACAGGACTTGTCTTGGCGGAAATGGAATCTCAATAACCTCGCTCAAAACAATGATGGAAAAGATGCGTGGCGTGGAGCTGGTCCTTTCCGGCCCGAGAAACAGAATTAAACCAGTTTTTCGGCTCTGGGCGCATGTATTTGTTTTCTTTTATTCAAAATTTTCCTCAAATGAAACCCTGAAATTCCATGGTTGCCACCTCGGAGTCAGCTTACCATGATCAGCCTAGCTCCTAGTGGTATCTGATCCGTCGGCTGAATTAACCCTGATTATCGGCGCAACTGCCAAATTGGGTTCTAAGCGGGCAATCAATCCAAGGTTCGAGTCACAGCGGGGGTAGATTGATAAGAGCTGACACGCAGGAAAATCCAAGTGAAGTTTGGTGTAGCCCAGATTTGATGTCAAGCATAAACATTGGAACCGAGTGCTTACGTTCAGCCACATTTAAATAATAGTCGGTCCGCTGCACGTTGATTTTTTTCTCCTCATTTTTCCCCTCCTCGCAGTTTATACAATTTGTCCCTTCCACACTTCCAGGTTGGTTCAACATCATGGGCTCTGTTGTGGATCGACTGAAGGGCCGCAAAGTAACTCAGACTGTGGACGATCTGCATCCCGTTGAGAATGATGCACTTCCTGACTCCACCAAGCTGGAGTCGACCAGCCAAGCTGAAACCCATCCAGATGAGGTCACTAAAGAAGCTCAAATCGGTGTTCAAAAGGCGGAAGCAGCTGCTCTAGTGTGGAGCAAGAAAGCTGTCTACATAATCTATGGATGGTGAGTGTATAAAGACCCGTCTTGGTAGGAATATGGTGCTAATAAAACGGATTAGGATTTGGATTTGTTACTTTATGCTATCCCTCCATGAATATATTGGGAGTAACGTTCTGTATTATGCGTACAGCAAGTTTAACTCAGCTCCACAAGTGACTACGTATGGAATCATATTCAGGAGATGTTGACAGCTCTAACTAAATGCTCAGGGCTTTCATCTTGGCTAACATTATCGGTGGAGTACTTAAATTACCCATTGGCAAACTCCTTGGACTATGGGGCCGTGCAGAAGGTCTGATGGTCTTCTTGGTTGTCTATCTCGTGGGTATGATACTTCTTGCTGCCTGCACTGGTCCAAAGTCCTTTGCTGCTGGATATGTCTTTTACTGGGTCGGATTTGACGCCATTTACTTGATCTTGGAGATTTTCATCGCGGATACGTCGGGCATGCGAAACCGAGCTTTCGCCTTTGGCTTCTCGACAACTCCATACATTTGCACCGCCTTTACGGGTCCACTGGCTGCCGCCTCATTTCTCAAAAGTGGCGGTTGGAGATGGGCATATGGCGCGTTCTGCCTCATTCAACCCGTTGTCTTTACGCCACTGATCATCACCTTCAAATATTACGAAAACAAGGCCCGGAAAGAGGGTATCCTCATTCGGCAAGCAAGCGGTCGCACTATCTTCCAATCTATCATTCACTACATTCATGAGTTTGACGGTAAGCCTGCTTCTTCGGTTGACTTCCGGGCAATGTAAACTAACAAGATGTATCAGTCATTGGAGCACTGATTTTGATGGCCGCTTTCATTTTATTTCTCCTGCCCTTCAGTCTGGCAACCTACGGTCGGACACAATACAGCGATGCCTCATTTATTGCTGAAGTAGTGGTGGGCTTTTGTTTATTCTTTGTCTTCTTCGGGTGGGAACGCTGGTGCGCCCGCACACATTTCATTCCTTACCAACTTCTGCGGGATCGCACTATCCTGGGCGCATGCTTTGTTTCAGCGATTCTCTACTTCAGTTTCTACTGTTGGGACAGTTACTTCTACTACTTCGTCATGGTCGTTTACAACCTTGATGTCAAACTCACTGGCTATATGACTTCCATCTATACCATTGGGTCTTGCTTCTGGTCTCCTATTTTCGGACTGTGGATCAGAGGAGTCAAGGAATTCAAATACTCCTGCCTCTTTTTCGCTGTGCCTCTCATGCTTCTGGGATCCGGGCTTATGATACATTTCCGAGGACAGGATGCCGACATCGGATATGTGATTATGTGTCAAATCTTCATTGCATTCTCGGGTGCTATGCTTGTGATCGGCGAACAAATGGCCGGCATGTGTGCATCGGATCGGGATAGCATTCCGATCATTCTTTCGATGATTGGTCTATTTTCGAATGTTGGCGGTGCGATTGGAGATGCCGTGGCCGCCGCGATTTATACAAACACCTTCCCTCAGGGCTTGCGTAAGGCCCTTCCCGCAAGTGCTGAATCGGAATGGGAATCCATTTATCTCGGCGGATATTCCTCGCAGTTGGGTTACGCTCCTGGAACAGAAATTCGTGATGCTATCAACTTCGCGTGGGGATACACACAAAAGTACGAGGCAATCGCAGCTACCTGCTTGGCTGTTCTGCTGATTCCAAGTATTCTTTTGTGGAAGCACTACACTGTTAATCAAAGTCAAAACAAAGGTGTGACGATATAATCAGACAGGGCCCATGGCAAGCTTGCCAGTGCCATATGATTGTGGAGATACGCGATTAAACGATCGTCCTCGGTATTTCTAGAGGCTATACTCCTAGATCATGCTTGTTATCAAAAGACATCGGATGGGTGATACAATAATCCCCATTATGAGGAATGGGATTTCACATTGGCAGAATTCATGTACACGGTGTGTTCACGGATCTTGGGGAGAAGGGGAAATCCACCATGTATTTAATATTTTTTTGTCACTATCACTTTAACTGGGTATAATGGGAACCATTTCAAAATTACGGGGCTTGGCCTAAGAATTCTTCCAGAAGTGCGGCAGCCTTGGGGAACGGCTTCTGCGTATTTAACTACCCCCGATGGAGGTGGCTACCGAAGCTCTGTGTAAGTTGGCTCGGTGGATCTCGGCTATCCAACCTCTTCTAGAGAGGACGATGCATCTCGGCTCTCGGCTCTCGGATGTTAAGGGCTGGTTTCCGATGTTTCCGGTGCCATGCGAACCCTTCACTACCGCGTGACTACAAGATTAAGGACTAAGTCATCAATTTAATATACAGTTGATATCGATTATATGTACTATAGCTATTATGTGTGCTATTTTGAATGAAAACAATCAGCCAGAATCTCGCTTCCGCCATCCATATGCAAATTATCATTCCTCGGGAATCGTTGCAAATTTGTTCAGTACTTGCTTCAGTGCGGGCCGTCGGATAGGTTTGCTGGATTGACGTTAGTGAACGAAGTATCAGACTAATCACATATGATCTCACCTAATGAACATGTCCATGCCTGACTCCATGCAGTCCTTGACATTGCTCTCGTCTGCAAAAGCACTTAATGCCACAATTGGAGCAGAATAACCCATTTCCCGGATAAGCCGTGTGCTTTGGATCCCGTCCAGGTTGGGCATCTGGATGTCCATGAAAATGAGGTCAAACACGGTACCTGTTTCCATATTGGATTTCACAGTGTCGTAGGCCTCTTGCCCATCTTTGACCATCGTCACATCATACACGTCCTCAAGCGCGAGCATCCTAGCCAGAGTCAGTATGTTCCCATTTCAAAGATGTCATGGTGTCGTACCGTCGAACCACCTCCTGGTTCACTTTATTATCCTCGGCGACCAAGACTCGGGTCTTTCTGGAACCTTCGTCCATTTCAGGCTTGCCTTGACTTGATGTCTTGAGATGAGGTGGAGGTGACTGGGGGGATGAAGGTACCGTTGGCGTGAAGAATGGCTGGCTGAGACCGACCAATCTAGGCTGAACAATGTCTGACTTGTCGAAGTTAGTAGTGATAGGCTCGCCTTTGATCGATTGGTTTGAAGGGGTGCGCGCAGCATTCGAGAATTCCTCCAAGGATAGAACACTAGGCGTTCGTGATCCTGGATTGGAAATTTGTACACTTGGGGCAATCTCCTTAACAAATCTTAATGGTAGTCGGAGGGTGAATAGAGAGCCTTTGCCCTCCTCGCTCTCCACTAGAACAGTGCCACCCATAATTCGAGACAGCTGCGCACAAATACTGAGACCAAGGCCAGTTCCTCCGTACTTGCGATTCAACGACAGGTCCCCTTGGACGAAAGGCTGGAAGATAGCCCTTTATAGCGTAATATTAGTACAAAGATCGGGCTACTAACAAGGTTGTTGATGTTAGGTAAACTCACTTGTGCAGGTGGCGAGGAATGCCGGGGCCGTTGTCGCGAACCTCAAACAGGAATACCAACGGACCGGGGCTAGGTTGATCGGAAATACTATCCTTGGCCCCGTGCATGATATTTTCGGTTTGATCTGAAGAGGACTGGCGGCTGTTGAGGCTTAAGGTTCGAAGGGCAGGAGGTCTCTCTTTGGTTGCGGAGCCATCACTGCTAGACTCTTCACCAAGACAACGAATCCAAACCTCCACTTTGCCATTCTCTGGCGTGAACTTCAAACTATTACCCACGAGGTTGATCAAAACCTGGAGAATACGATGCTGATCGCCATATAGCACCATATCCATAAGCCTCACCGGCGAGGGCTTGCCCGCTGAATCGATTTGGTGTACTGGGTCTAGACAGAACGTAGCAGCTCGTTCATCAGAGGCAGGACTGCTTCCGGTTACGCAGTGAATGCTGAAATCGATATTCTTCTCGTGTACCTGGTTTTGGAAGATAATAGCGAGCTGTGCCCTGACGTCGGATAATTTGAACTCCTTCTCCTCCAGCTGGATGGCCTGTTCAATTTGGTTCTTGCTGAATGTCAACAAATCGTTCAGTAAGTGGAGAAGAAGGTCGCCCGACTGGTAGACAACCTGTAGGGACTTCTTGATTCGTGAAAGATCGTCCTCTCCCATACAGACAGCACACATTCCCAAGATTCCGTTCAATGGTGTTTTGAGTTCGTGGGAAATGTTAGCAATAAAGAGGGTCTTGCTCTCGTTCGCGGTTTCGGCTGCAAGCTTTGCTTTCTCTAGCTCTCGGGTCCGCTCGATCACTCGCTCCTCTAGTCGATTGTATTGGATCGTCAGCTCATCTGACATTTCATTGAATGTTTTGGTGAGTTCCGTCAGTTCGTCTGTCACACAGTGGCGGCGCTCCTTGACTCTGCGTGGAATCTGAAAGGGACCTTGGGCCCCTTGGGCGATGACATTGGGGGTGCCGTTCAGCCTCTCCAATGGACCACGAAGGCGTTTGATCAGAGCAAAGGGATGTTTCTCGTTGCCTTCACTTTCCACGTCTCGCAGTGCACTCTGAGTCATGTCTGTTTCATCTTGTCCCGATCGACTTCCGTCGGGCAGGGGTGCGTATTGCGAATGCACCGATTTGCTTGCGGCCTCTCTTAGGCTTCGTATAGGCGCCGTCCAGAAGTGGGTCATCAGCGGGACGATCAAGATTATTAAGCCAGCAACCCCAAAAACACAGGCAAGGATGATCTTCCTCAGCCGGACCACTTGAGAATATGCTTCTGAGTGGGTCTCTTCCACCAGCAGGATCCATTGAACCAGGCTGCTTTGTGGTCGAATTGCTCCAACCGCCACAGTCTTGTTTTTTTCGTTCTTCGTCGTCAAATCGCTGATGGCCTTGTCGTCATCCGCGTACGATTCGAGCATCAATTTCAGGGCTATCGGGTATTGTGAGAGAGTGAACGAGTCGGTGGTGGAAATACCGAGATGGCGGTTGGTCTGTCCTGATGTGGGTGTAGGCTGGAAGACGTAGTGTACCTTCGCTTGCTTGAGGGCGTTCGTATCTGGAGCAGACGTTGCCGTGGCGGGTTGGGCGGTGGAGGCAAAGGTATTTTCGGGTCTCGAGGGACCAAGGAGAAGGGCTTGGCCCGTGGTGCCCAATCCATCTGTCGAGCTTAATACGCTCTGAAGATTTGCAGCGCTGGCAACGACCCTATCCGGAACCCGACAGTCATCAGTATCATTTCACAAGATCGTGGAGTAGAGGGTTTCCCACGTTATAAATCCCAATAGATCGGTGTTACTGGTGTTGTTGATGATTGGGAGTGTTAGAGACATCAAGGAGAAGGAGGAGTTAATTGCGAGTGGACCCAATAGCAATGCCGACGTTAAGCCAAGAGGGTAATCCTGGAATGCATGAATGATTGTTGAGTCGTTGGTTGAGGTGCTGTACGTCAAATTGGGGTAGAGCGTGGGCGGGTATCCCAAGCCATCATCTCCTAATTGGACGGAGGTCCCGTTCGGGTAGGTGTATGGAAGGTTGATTTGAGGTGTGGTGCTCCCAGTGACATTGAGAAGCCGACTGGTATAATTGCTTAACCCGTTTGACCCCTCACTTGAATATACCGAGGCTTGGTAGAGGTCAAGATATCCTCGGTTTCCCAAGGCTGATTGAACATCCTCAGTAGAGGTCACCCAGTTGCTTGCCGAGGTATTGCCAGCGTAGTAGCGTCTTAGAGCCGACTGGACCAGCAGGCGCGTCGCAATTGTCTTGCAGGTCACTTCCACGAGATCGAGGCTAGATGCGATTTGGCTCGCCTTGATGGTCGCAACAAGCTCTAGACTGTTGGATCTGAAGCGCAGTCAGCAAGCTGTTGGATTGTCACGGATTAGGATGTGTCTTACTCGACTCCAATAACAAAGTCATATGTAGTAACCCACTACAATAAAGAGCCGATTAGCTTGTCGATCTCGTCGATCTCTTCTCCTCGATATCCTTACTGTCGCAATCGCTAGAACGGCAATCCCCAGTAATGTGGTCAACAGAACCAGCAGCGCGAGCTGCACGGCGATAGGAATGCGCATCCCACCGCAACGTATTCACCGAAGTTCATGGATATTAGAAGTCGCGCCTTCAAGCACGAATGTGTGTCGAATTTCCAGAAAAGGGAGATATTTGGGGATGGAAAAGGCTAGAAGGTTACGGGCGCCAAGGGGGGGGGAAGTTTAACATGGTAACAACCTTCGCCTATGGGCAATTTCGGCTGGAAATGTTTCACGGGAAAACGGATCTAGACTCGAATAGATTAGTTGTCACAGTATAACACTAGTCTTATATAGGTTTAGCGGGTGTTTACCACAACTAAAGTGACTTTAGCCGACGAGGGGCCAGACCATTTACTGTAATTGGTGTACGGAGTACTCCGGTACTCCTACAATTTCCTTGATTTACTGTAGAAGAAATTTCAAAAATTCCTCACACACTGCGGTTGGTTGCCTTTCGCCACTTTCATAAATTCTTCAATCTCCAAAATAAGGTCGGTCCTCGCTAACGTTGCTAACGGCTAACGCCGAAGCCTGGGCACAAATGTGGAGGAAAATGTGATTCGCATAAAAACGCCCGCCACAATCCACTAGGATAATTCGTACATAATAATAATTAAAAACATGTTATTTATAACTTGGGAACTGAAGCAATTAAGCCTTCCTTGACACTTTGATCCGGAATCTTTCTCCACATCACTCTACCCCCCGCACTTCCCCCGCGCACAAGATACAATCTCCATTGTCCCTTTGATAACTTGAATTTGATGTTTAGGAATCGAAGACGGATTCGGATCCGTCTTTTTCATTACTGGAAAGATCTCTCTGTCGTTACTCTGCTCCGTCCTGTGAATCGCCTCATTCTTACCATATTCGGTTACCTCGGCCATAACGGTGTAGCTTGACCTTGCCATAGAAGACATCATTCATGTTCAAAAACCATACACCAGAACAACAGGTCTAGAGACATGAATGTGCGAATCTGCTGACCTGATCTCCCTGTTATTGACACCTGAGGCAGCAGCATAGGATGACTGATCATGTTGGCCAATCCAATTGCGTTTCCCCATCGATGACGATCGCGACTCCTGGACTCTATACCTTGTACATACATGACTTATCAGCTAGGCTATGGCTACATTGCGACCAGAACGACCGCCTGAATTATTTACAATTAGGCGAAAACCTGTATCCAACCCCAACTTGAGACAAACTGCAGTCGCGCAATCCTCGGCGCTGGGGTATACCGCGACCTCCACTACTCTAGTTCCTTCGCCTTCATTGCAACCTCCGTCTTATACCGAACTCTACGGGCCCTCATCAAGTTTGTCTCGTCCTGTTAGCCCAATCCCACGACCACGTACCGCTGGAGCCACATCGTCATCTTCATCTCCGTCTCCATCTCCGACCCCTGTCCAAAAGGCTTACGGTGAAGCTCGACATTTCCTAGGCGGCTTGATCAACCACCCAACCGAATCCAATAAACATGTCACTATACTTCGTCATTCCCATGGCTTAGTGTTTTACCGTGGAAATTCTACCTCGGTCGCTGTTTCAATATTCTCCGATTCCCCTTTACCTCCGGATCGGACTTTGTGGCTGCAAAGTAAAGGGTGGACTGGCAAGACTGGAATGCGCGCCAAGGCAATGCTTCATTTACGCGACAGCTGGCTTGATGTGACCCCGGCGATGCCATTGCATGCGGATCAAGTCAATCCTGACGATGAACGAGCCTGGCAACGTGATATCAAGAAGTTCGGCAAGAAGGCCTCTGCCCGGCAACGAGATACTCACTTGTTACGTGAAACCGCGGTAGTGCGAATTCCTGCCGAAAGTGGTGACGGTTACTTTCAACTTGTCCTCTGCCAGGGCCCCAAGAGGAAGGTTCTATGTAACAGTCCCGTGTTCCGTGTTCTTTCAACATCAACGAGCCCCAGTTCTCTCCGCGGCGCAAGTCTCAGCACTTTGCCCTTGGAAGTCGGGGCAATGGTCGCCAGTCTTTATGCAAGAACGGCCGCTCAAACTGTAGTCGCGCCTGTCTCCTCGGCTTTAGCATCCAAGGTCCAACCATACCGTCCCTCGTGGCTAACCCAAACGGCCGCAAGGACCGTTTATTCGACGAGTGGTATCCAGGATCGAGTTGGAGGAATTTTCAACGGAGCTACGAAGCCCCGCCAAAGTGGATCAGCGGGTGAAGAAGCTCATTCAGTGACCTTTTATGATGGGGTGTCGCCAATTCAACCCGGTCCTCGGCCGCCATTTCCGATGACCTTCAAAGCCCGTGGGCAAGTCCTCGAGTCACCACCTTGTAGCCTCGGTGATAATCCACGGCTCACACTTGACAAAGTACCAGATTGGGTGCCCCAGCAACTCCGAGGCTACTTCTTTGGCTGGGCTCGGTTTGACCTTGGAACAGGCAAAGAGCCTACCATCGGCGCCTGGTACCCAGTCGTGCTTTCCATTCGCACCATTGATCCTTTACAGGCGGCTCGAGTCGAAGTATCACAACTTGCAAAACTTGTCGTGAGATTAAAATTACTGGATAATATTCCCCTTCAATCAAGTAGATTAGAAATCCGCGTCATGGGATTCCTTCGGGCTGATATCCCACCCCCAACGGGCAAAACCAGTCAAGAACTGGCGGATGCGCAGGCCGCCGCAGCGGAAGCTGCTATGCTTGCAGATGCGTACGATGAATCGGTTGTCCAGAACACACTGGCCAGTCCAGCCTGGGCAGCCGAGTTGGAGCCCATAGTCGAGATACCGCGAACAAATAGCGAGTGGATGGATCGAACACGAGATGGATGTGCCAATATGCGGACTCGCGGCCAGAAATTGGTGGAGCAAGTTCCACTACATCGGCTCGGGGTTCGCTCGGCAACCGATGATATGAGAGAAAGGCAAGTCGCGGTGAACGGCTTTTACATTGTTCGATGAGCTCCATTTATCGTCAGTGGTTTTCCTTTGTCCTTCATTATAATTTCTGCCCCCTCTCACACTTAATATATAATGTATAGTAGTCTCTTGGTGCATTGCATCAGCATCTGAAAAGTTGTGCTCTTGTGAACTGTTGATTTGGAAATAATCATATTGAACGCTTAATTACAATGAACGCAGCGCGGATGTTAATCTTTTAATCGAACAAAAAGCAGTCTGGGTCACCCAAAGAAATTGGAAACATTTCTTAAGCCATCATCTACATATGTATCGTTCGACATCGATCCCTCAAGCTCCCACCGGAGGTTCAGATGCAGCCAGATTGCACTGACGGAAAATGCGAATCTCATCTGGCTTGAATGCACCCACGACGGAATGAATCACACCTCGATTGTTGAATAAAACCAGATCCCCCTCCTCCCAGTCGTGTGGGTACACATACTGGGGGCTAATCGCAGGTCTTTGCAGCTTGTAGACGATATCCCGCACACGTTCTAAGTCATCGATAACGGTACCATCAGCACAGTGAATCCGGCGGACCGCTGATGGGTGGATCTGCAAGGCAAGCTTTCCTGTTACTGGGTTCTTCCAAACCATGGGAAAGATCATGATTTTCTTTTCATCGATCGGTGGTAGGTCGGAGCTTGGTAACTCGAGGCCTTCCGAGTGTAAACCAAGACCGTTTGAGCGGGAGTGAGCAGGACTCATCCAGATGTACCTAACAGATCCATTAGCCTTCTTCAAATCTGTATTTTGTTATGGGGTATCTCACGGATGGGGCGCATATTCAATTTTGCTCGTCCGTACAAAGTCTTGGTCCTCTGAGGATAGTAGCTCGTACATGCGCTGCCCGCTAACGAAGGCAGTGGTACCCAGTGGCACATCCATAGTCTCTCCTGTTCCGTCGTCATACAATAATGTCTGTCGACGGCCCTTGGGAACTGCCACTGCCAGCAATGTAGTAACCTGTGGCGGGTACAAATCATAGAGAGCGGCATCAATGTGCCAGCGATAAAAACGAGTAAACTCGTAATCCTTGTCGGCGGGAATATGGTCTTTGTGAAAGGTTCGGTGGTGCGGGTGGTTTAACTGAATGTTCTCAAGCCCTTCATAGGAAGGGACCAGTCCGTTTCCAATCACCTGGACTTGTGGCTGGTGGGGGATTGTCTTCAGATCGGGGTGGAGAATACTGCGTTTCGCATCGATGGTCTTGCCATGGCCGTAGCTTTCGGATGTGGGATCGAATCGCTTCGTGAGCTCGTATTGTGCTTTGGGAGATAGTTTGTGTTGGTTCTTCAATACAACGACATGGTGCTTGTATAGCGCGTTTCGGATCGTCTGGAATTGCTCCTCTGTGGGAGATTAGAACTCGTAAAGCTTTGAGGAACCGGATGGGTCACAAACCAGTCAAGGCCTCCAGGTCCACTCCCTCTATTTGAGCTCCAAAATCAATATCGGAACCCTTGGGTGGATCCAGAGGGCGAACTGTAGGAAGTTGGACAGTCATGGTTCAATCTAGCTTGATTTGTCTGAAGCTAAGCTTTCGATGGGATCGTTTAAGCTTTTATACTCGGGATCGAGGATGAGAAATCCCACTGCGAATGAAAATCGGTTAAATTATATACGGGCTACGGCGTATACCGAGGTGAAAACGGGTGAGTTGGGAAAAGCAATGATGATGGAGAAAACAGTTCGTTATAATGTCCCTGCCACTCAACATATCAAGTGCGGGTGAGTGCGGGTGAGTGTGGGCCGGTGCGGACGAGTGCGGGTTGGAAATCCCGATAAGATTGCAACTCGTGCCGATTCCGAAATGCGGCATCTCGCACGTTTTGCGACACATGGATCCCTAATTAAATTGAAGTTGTTTATGTTACAGTTCGGCATCTCATATCCATGTCCGCGACTTCGCTAGGTAGGAAACCTTTCATGGTCTAGGTGGCCCCTTGTACATCTGGTGTATCTGGTCCGAATCCCTCAAGAGCCGCTATTAGAGGTAGATCCATGCAAGAACAAAACTCTATCTCTCAGTGTATGTCCCTCTAATCCATGTCTCCATGTCCTCAGGTTAAGCCCTCGGTTGAATTATCGTGTAGTCTAGCTCTGTCGCGTCTTGTTAATCTACCGCATACCCTTCGGTATCGTGCTCTTCTTACATTTCGTCTTGCCTATCAAACGACGCAGTGTTATCTTCGTCGAAACCTTGGAATGTTTGACTAATGTTATACACGAGTATCTCAAACTATGTTCAAATTGGAGTCTTGTTAGTCTGATACATTATTGAAATAATTAGCCTGGGGGGAAGTAAATTAAAATTACTAATTTGTGTGTGGCAAGGGAATGACAGGGTCGTAATCATCCTCTCTAATTACAGCCTCTTTTGGGCTGTGCTCATCATTTTCCGCCTAGTCTGAGTGAGAAGCTACAGCTTCTTCAATCCTGAGTTGTTGAATTAGGAATCTCACAATACGCCAAAGCTGGCCCACAGTAAAGACACTCGCGCACATTCGCTCCCTCTCCATCTCTCTGATAGCCCTATCTTTTAAAGCTGGATGTTGCTGACCGAGCTGATGCAGCGGGCATAATACGGCATGGTAGGGTACGGGTGCGATGGATCGACGTTGCAGTCGAAGATATGACTGACCAAAAGCCTCCACGTACTGGGAAGCATAAGGATAGTTCGACGGCTTCAGATTTTCATATCGGTTGAATCTCTCAAAGTCAACAGATACTTGGTTGAAACTCATGTATGCCCAGATAAGAGCCATTAACTCGTCAGCCAGGCTCATTGGGAGTGCAAACGTTCTGAGCTGGGTCATCATGGCGGCCGAGATGTGCCTACGGAGCCATTTGGCGACAAATATGGGAGCCTTGCCCATATTCGCGTTTCTGGACTCAGGGGGCGAGTTTTTGTGGGGAGTAGAGTCTCAATTTCAATCAAGCCCTCTAGGTTGTACCTCCTCAAAGTTCCAATCGCTTCCCAGTACCAGTCGTCAAATTCAGCCCACAAATGGAGAACAAAGTTTAAGTTGTCAATTCGCATATCCCTGATTGTCGTCACTTCTGGTAACCCATAAGCTTGATCTGGTATCTTTGGTCGTGGAAGCCATTCATCCGGGGAAGTCAGAGGGTAGTCCCGGGAGACTTGCCATGGTGGTGGGACTGTTCGAGCTTTGATCTCTTGGTTTGCAGATTTGTTGCCAATCTGGCGTCCTTGGCGATGACCCTAGAGATTCAAGCCCATGACTTGTGATAGTGTTAGCCAAGAACCTTGGAAAGCAACCAGGTAGCATGCCTGACTTTTTAGACCGGAAAACGATTCAGTGTGTATCAAGAGTGCTGGTTGAAGAAAGAAACGGTAAGTGAGGAAAATATCAACCTGAACTCTTCGCGAACAACACATTCATCTATCTACTTGTTCAAAATGTACTTGTTCCTTACATTCTCAGCTATGACACCTGGTTTCTGGACCATTTCAACCTGCTATCATACATTGATGCTCTTATCCTAAGAAGGTCTAGTCAACCCCACCCCCGCACGCCACGGGCCGGAAGGCTTATAGAGGCTGAAAGGTTAATGAGGTCGGACCATTCCCGATAATTACACGTGCCTCGCTGCATGGTCCGACTTACTTTCCGTCTAAACTTCATGCCACATCCTTATCGCTTTACTCTGGATCTTTACAGCTAAGCAATATGGACGCCATTATTTATAGGGGACCAAGCACCGTGGAAGTCCAGAAAAGGCCCAACCCAAATATGCAAGCCCCCACTGATGCTGTTGTGCGCCTACTCCGCTCCTCAAAATGTGGCACGGATCTCCATATCCTCAAGGGCGATGTTCCGAATGAAAGCCCGGGTGGGATTTCGGCCATGAAGAAGCGGGATTTGTGGAAGAACTAGGCTCTGCAGTACAGATTTTTCGGGTTAGATATCGCGTGTTGATTTTCTTGTATGACCTCAGGTGGTGCATGTCATTTCTGTCAAAAAGGAATCGTCTCATACTGCGAAATGGGGAGGGAAGGGGTGGGTTCTTGGGAACCATGCAGATGGCACCCAAGCTGAATACATGCACGTGCATCATGCAACGCTTTCGCTACACTCACTGCCCACTACCATCAGCTCTCGCAATGCACTCAAGAACTCGGCGCCTCTGCTAGTGTGGACTCATCCGCCCCGATGCACAACAATAAATGATGCAGCTGACTGATGGACATGTAATTGATTCGGTGATAGAAATCGTGGGCATCCCAGTCACCTTTGCCTTGTGCCAAGAGATAGTCGGTGTGGTAGGCAGAATTGCCAACGTCGGTGAACACGGAACCAAAGAGAACTTGCATCTGGAGAGATTATGGGACGATCGGAACATCGGTAAGTTCCGGAGAGAAACCGACCATTTGGATCTGAACACAAACCCCTTGACCTCATAGGTATCCACATGTCGCTGGTGAATGCCACGACGACATCTCGTCTTTTACGGCTTGTGGAATCTGGAGCATTTGATGCCGGTTCGCGTGTTACTCATCATATGCTTCTGAGATGTGCTACGAAAGCCCTGGAGACTAGTTTGTAATTTGGACTCTTCCTATCAAGGAGCAAGGCGTGTGAGATAGAGACATTTCAAGCCGCATCTCTAAGCAGCCATTGACTTTTGACGCGGGGAAACACCGAGAGATGGAGTTCATGCCGATCGCTAGTCTTTCTTTGGGTTTAGATCAGGCTACACATTAACTAGGCAGAGGAAATTACGTTTCATGAAATTGGAGGGAAAAAGCGCAATGGCCCCACAGTACCGGAATACTCGATAGTGATAGGCTTAAATTTAATGGCGGGTTCGCCTTGGCAACCGAAGTTTTCCCTCAAGATTTTCCCTGATTTGAACTTCTTTTCTTCCAATTTGACGTCATTTCCGTTCAAATTTCTCTCAAGATAGAAGGTGGACAAGAATTAAGGTCCGATGCATGCCTTACGGACCTTTGTTCAAAAAGGTTATGCATCAAAGTTAAACATACGAGTTAACCCGAATTCCATAATGAAACGCCCGCCCCCCCACAGAGTAATTTGTGGCTTCCAGAAGGCTTCGCTCTAATCGGTTAGTGGCTTTTAGTGGTCTATTTTTTCATCCAAATCACTTCTGGTTGGCTCGTTTCTTTTGGTCCCTTAAGATCATTGCGTCGTCCTTTTGGGGTGAAAATCTACTCCGGACGGTTCCCAAGACTTAATGCGTTATTCCCCACTTGCCATTGTCCTCTAAGCAATTCTTTTTTCTTCTTTTATCTATTTGCTGATCTCCTTCGGCTCTTCCCCCCTTTCATATATGCACGGTTCCCTATAAAGATGACATTCGAAGGAGAATCACGCCGCCAGTCGCGGATATCGGCCAGCAATGCTGAAGCAGGTGTTAATGACACTAAGGCCGACCGCACCCTAGAGGATCTTGGATATACCCCGGAATTGGAGCGCAATCGATCCATTTGGTCGGTCACATTCATGTGCTTTATTCTGTCGTCGGTCCCCTATGGATTATGTACTACCTTGTACTATCCTTTGGTAGCCGGTGGTCCTGCGAATATCATCTGGGGTTGGGTATTGGTGTCATTCTTGATTCTCTGTGTGGCGATTTCGCTGGCCGAAATCACCTCTGTCTACCCAACCGCCGGGGGTGTCTATTACCAAACCTTCGTCCTATCCCCGCTGTGGTGCCGTCGCGTTGCAGCCTGGATCTGTGGTTGGTCCTACGTCGCTGGAAATATCACCATCACCCTCGCCGTCAACTTCGGAGTCACCTTGTTATTCATCGCCTGTCTCAATGTCTTTGAGAAAGCCCCCGGCGTGGGCCTGACCGATGATTTCCAAGCCTATCAGACTTTCCTCATCTTCTTGGGTCTTACTCTGTTGACCCACGCGATTTCAGCTTTTGGAAACAAATGGCTTCCAATTCTCGAGGTATGTGATATTAAACCCCACAGAAAGATCGAACACACGTGCTTTATTTCCCAAAGTGGACAAGTGCTGATGATCATCCGCATAGACATTCGCCATTTTCTTGACCATTGCGGGTTCGCTTGCGATTGTTATCGCCCTTTTGGTTGTTGCGAAGGAAGGTCGCCGTTCCGGTGCCTGGGTCTTTGGAAGTTTCGATCCACAAGCTGGTTGGCCCGCGGGATGGTCTTTCTTTATTGGTCTGCTGCAGGCTGCCTACGCCACCTCCGCCACCGGCATGATTGGCTCGTATGTATTCCCAACGACACCCAATGAGCGTTTGCTAATCATCTTTCAGTCTCTGTGAGGAAGTTCACCAGCCCGCTATCATGGTTCCCAAGGCCATGGTGGGTACCGTGGTAATCAACACCTTTGCCGGTCTCCTCTTCCTGATCCCTGTTTGCTTCGTCATGCCCGATATCACCATGCTGGTTGACCTCGCTTCAGGACAGCCTACCCCCGTCATTTTCCAGAAGGCTTTGGGCAGTAACGTGGGCGCATTCTTATTGATGGTCCCTCTCCTGATCTTGGGAGTCATCTGCGGCGTTGGCTGTGTCACCGCCACGTCCCGCTGTACCTGGGCCTTTGCTCGTGACGGTGGTATCCCTGGTTCGGGCTGGTGGCGCGTGGTCGACAAGAGGCTCGATATTCCTTTCAACGCGATGATGCTGGGCATGGTGGTTGAAATCATTCTGGGCGTCATCTACTTCGGTTCCACCGCTGCCTACAACGCCTTTTCGGGCGTTGGCGTCATCTTTTTGACGATGAGTTATGCCTGCCCCATCCTCGTGTCTCTGGTCTTCCGCCGTCGGGAAGATATCAAGAATGCCAGTTTCAATCTTGGCATCTTTGGCGCCATCGCCAATGTCATTGCGCTTGGTGAGTTTTGTCCCCAAATTGGGTACTTTCATCCTGAGTTTACTAATTTCCCCCGCAGCCTGGAGTGCCCTTGCTATCCCCCTGTTCTGTATGCCGACCCTGGAGAAGGTCACCCTGACCAGCATGAACTATGCCTCCGTCGTGTTTGTCGGAGTTGTGGTTATGGCAGCTATTTGGTACGGTGTCTGGGGCTACAAGAACTACCGTGGCCCCCCCACCGATACTCTAGAGAACGACAGCGACTCCATGCCCGAAGCGATCGCCGAAATTGAGAAAACAAAAAGCCGATGATTGTCCGATTGCAGCTCTGACCTTGCACCTGACCTCTCTGCCCAGTCCAAGCGCCCATAATCCTGCCATTGCAGCACCGATATATACCCCGTCGCCGACACCCTTTACCTATCGATGGTCCCTTGCAACTTCTCCCACACCCAACCCTCCATAAGCACCTCCGCCTTGCTCATCGGATTTTCGACCTTCCACATGCGCCATCGTAAGACTTCAGGACTTTTGTTGATTAGCGTTTAGATGTACATATAAGCAGATATTCTCTGCGTCAGATATCCATTCCTTGTTCAATAGATTTCTTTTTCTTCCAGTCTATGCATTGAGGTGAACTTGGCCATATTATATTCTATGCTTGATCCTAACAACAATGCCTCGGGCAAATGAATCAAATCTGGATTGTTCATCAAAACCACTCACTCTTTTCAGCTGGGTTCAAGTGGGTTCAACAATGGGGGGCGTTGCTTGGGGAGGATCTAGATTGGTGACAACTTGCCCTATGAAGCAGCCATCCTTTGAACTTAATAGAACTTGCCGACGTTGAAGTCATCATATCAATGGATTTGTTCATGCGTGCCAAGTTCACATGCCCGAGTTGTCTAATGGACGGGGTCGTGTTTGAAAACTACCAAAGTATCCACCATGGGCAGCCCCGCAACCCGTCAAATGTTGGATATAAAGTCAGAAGCATTTGGCGATCACTTTACCAATTTGGGGCCGGAGGGTCAGAATTGACCAATACTGATAATCGCGCATCGTCATTCAAATGCCCTGCTGGATTAAATTCGCGCCTATTCGTCGCGTGGCTCTAGTCCACTGATCCACTTTTGGGCAAACATGCCCCCACCCTAAGTCTAGCACTTCAATTGTTGAGAGGTATGGTCCGACATCTTGTAATTTTTAAAAGTTTGATTAAAGCAAAAATTTCTCAAGCTACTTAAGTCCATACTATATAACTAGTTCAAGAGGTAACTAAGTGATGGGAAACGTTCAAAATATATACTTTACGGGGTGTTCAAGGACCATGAGCACCTACACATGCATAAATATATATGTACTTCAGTGAGACATGAACGTCCACAACTAATGTTAAAACTTGGAAACACTGACATATTGAACTTCGCATTTCAAATGTCAAGCGATGCCCAGTGGCAATCAGTACATATTCAATATTTTCCTAGCTCATTCGTCAATTGCTGCTACATGATCAGTTACAAGGCATGTAAAGTCCGATGTCCCATAGTAGATCGTATTGCCATCATCCGAGGTTTCACCGGTGCTGAGAGTATCGCCGTATTGCCAGAACATATCGGCGGCTATACCGGTCGCCCCAAGAGCAGTTTGTTGCCATGGAGTCTCTACAGCACAATGATTGGAACTGACACCATACTCTTCGAGAAGGCATGGCTTTCCAATGGCTGCACATGCAGCTGCATGGGCCGTAATCCATCCGTCGCCCCACGCGTAGGTAGTTCCCCCTGAGCGAATGTTAGCCGGATAGACTTTGACGAATAATACACAGTACATACAGCTGTCGGGGTATAGATGCAAAGTGCCAAAGTCGATAGTATCAATGCCCAGATTCATGGTGAAATTCAGTCCTTCGCCGATCGTGTATGGATAGCTACCATCTGAGTCTGTATCTAGCCCGAATCCCTCTGGAGGCGCTTATTAGTAAATATGTATGCGACTATGAAAAGATATCTCACCATCACCAATGCAGACCATATGATTCGGGTCCAGGGATTTGATATACGCGCTAGTTGACGCAACCCAGTCGTAAATGACAGACGTATCGCAGCCTTGACAGCGAGGCTCGTTGGCTAATTCCCATGCAAACACAGCGGGGGAGTCAATATAGCGAGAGACCACGGCCTTAATGTAGTTTCGATAAGCAGCTTGGATATCGTCATTGGTATACCAGCCCGTCTGTGTACCCCCAAATGCTGTGACATATGCGTCTTCACCACCGTAATCACTCCACATATTCACAAAGTTAATTATCAGCTTGATATTGTGTGCCTCTGCGGACGAGACAACGTAGTCTAGCCGTTGAAGCCCATCCGCGCCAGTGTTGATGGTTGCGGTACCATCCTCCAGGAGCTGGAAGTATACTGTGCCCGAAGAAGGAACTGTATTAACATCGTTGAATCCCCAGACTCGTAGAATTCGCAGGTCCGATTCATTAAGATGGCTCATCACAAGGTCCACATCGTCGTTATCCGTGAGGAAGGCGATCCAATATGCGTTTGTTCCAGCAAAATAGTCGGTTTTACCGTCGATGGTGAATTGCAACCCATCAACGCTGGAGAATTGGGTGGAAGACGGGGCAGAGGAAGACGTTGTTGAATTTGTGGTTTTGGTGGAAGTAGTCGAAGTTTGGGTAATTGTACTCGTCTTCGCCGAAGTGGTGGTTGTTGAAGTAGATGCTAATGGAGTCAGCTTGGTTCTCATGGTAGATCGACTACTAAGTACCTGCGATACACTGGCTATACCAATCATTCTCAAATTGACAGACCCACCCTGTTTCACAGGTTGTGGAACCTGTATAACTTTTCCCACCACATTGTCCGTATGGTGCTACCTGGGCAGATACCAGACCTGTGAGACACAAGATTGCCAGCGATCGCATAGTGGGCTACGTCTTGAATGAGCTGCTTCACATTAAAGCGACGATCACTTGGATTATCTTTTATAACCGTTGCGAATATCTGAAACAGACCACCAGAATAGAACGGACACGGCGCCGCAGCCTATAAAGGGCAGTTGAAATGGCATATTGAAGCGGCTGCGCTACACTTTGCTCCGTGTTTTTTGAGGAAACGGGAGCGGGGAAGGCAGGGCTTGGTTGGGATTTTTAGAAATATTGTCAACGCCAAATTAAACTTCATTAGACAATAAGGTGATCATAACTGGTGGAACGATCAACATCCCAACCCCTTGTTCCAATAGCATAAATACGCTTATCTTGAATGGCCAAGGCCTGTCCATTCCGACCCGGATTGGATTTAGCATTGGCAATGTAAGTGGTTTTCATTTTCAAAATACTGTAGATTAATTCGTTTTCTTGTTCTCAGAAGTATCGGAACCAATATCTGTGCCTACAGTTGAAGTTTCGGAATCGAAAATTTCCCCACAATCTTGGCGTGGAGACAGACTTCCACGCCAGCCTGATTTATGAAGAAAGTCTTCCTGTGCATGTCGACCTCGGATGGAAATTTCTCAATTTCTCCTAGTACAGCTCAAATGAGGTAATGTGAGCTGTTCTTTTCTTTTCCGTGGAAAAAAAAAGAACCAAAAAAAATCTCTGTTCAGCTAATGACCTGACTGGGGCCAATTTCACCCGACCCCGGGTGACAACACCAATGAGGGGATCGGCTTCTTCTAACCGAAGAACCAAGTGCCGACTAGACCGGGATAGTCGGAGACATACCGTGAGATCACGCGGCTGGTGCGATGATGAATTGGGTAAGAACTACTCCGTGCTTACTCATCACAACACTCTTGGGCTTTAGATTCCAGTAGAAAGAGGATTTTCTTGTAGTAGATGTGGTGAAATAGCCATTTTTTGTTTTTTTTTTTTTTTTTTTTTTTTATCTTTGGATAGGTAAATAATAAATGATAGATCATCTAAACAAACCAGGGGAAACACAATAGATCAAAACGCCACATACGGGTATGTTGATGCTGATCAGGGAATTCTTTCATTGAATGCAAACTCTGCAGTGACGTACTCGGTACCAGGTGTCGGGCGTGGCGGCGCCACTGACGGGCAACCGCCGAGTATGATATCGAAAGTTAAAAGCGAATTTTTCTATGATTTCCTTAGTAACAATTGTGGATAATGCTTCTTCTGAAGTTTTCAGGGTGTCAGGTGGGGATGGGAAATTAGGAGGGTCGAGGAAGGCTTAGGAGTCCTGGAGACTCATTAACGTATTCGTAAAGATCCAGGCACGTCATGCAGGAATCCGGGACCTCCAGACTCCGCATTTTCCCCTCAAGAATTCCTTTCTGTTTGCGGGCAGTGTTCACCGAGAACACATATAGGGAATAGGGATGTCAATTTGAGGGGGAAAGAGACTGGGGTCGGAACGTCCGGACAAAAAGGCCCACATTCAATGTTTCTCCAACTTTTACAAGGAAATAATGAAAACAGATACCAGACAGACAGGAAACAGGAAACAAAAAAAAAACATTTATCCGCTAATACGTACAATAGATTTTGACCTAATTCCATCAATCTTCTGGAAGCGAAAAAAATCTATCGGCTCCCCGATTCTTGGAATGTCCCCCCGGATACCGAGCCAAAACGTCATTTTCGGCACCCTCGTGGCCCGGCTTTGCCACTCGTTTTTGACGGGAACCCGAATCTCATGCGGTTCTGTAACTGGCGAACCACAGCCGATCTCCGGTTGGTACCCATCCTGGCTGGCTCTCTCCTGCCCGAGTGGGTTCTTCTAGGCCGTCTCAGTCGGCTTCGGCCGGTTGGTTTCCTGCCTGCCATTACTGGACACTTACACGGCTTCCAAACTGGAGAATTGGCATCGTGCGCGTCTTGTTTCTCCACAATGTTCTCTCCACTCGGCTCTCCACTCGGCGAATGATGGTGGTTATGCGTCTTTTTCCCTGTCCATGCAGGATTACAAAAGGGCCCTTTCTCCCCCCTCGAATGTTGGCATTTTCTTTCCTTTCCCCATGGGCAGTCGACCCCTCTATTACACTTTATATCATTCTTGAACCACTGGGGTTTGGTTTCTCTCTTCTATATCTCCTCAACCGCCATCATGGTTCTCGAATCCGAATCATACGCTCACCATGGCGAGTCCATCACTCCGGCTCAATTCTCCAGTGATGAGACCTCCTACGCCAACAGTCCCGTGCAGAAGCCTCTGAACCCCGTTGTGGACACTCCTATCCCTAAGCTGACTCTTCGGTCCTTGACCATGGCCCTCTTCGTCTCCATGGGTGGCCTACTGTTTGGTTACGATACTGGTCAGATCTCTGGTTTCCAAGATATGGACAACTACTTGGAGCGTTATGGTCAGTACATTGACGGATCTTGGGCCTTTACCAATATCCGTTCTGGTCTGATCGTCGCTATGCTTTCCATCGGTACCCTGGTTGGTGCCCTGCTTGGAGCTCCCATCGCAGACTACCTGGGCCGCAAGTGGTCTATCACCCTTTGGAATATCATCCTTATCATTGGACTCGTTGTCCAGATCTCTTCTCCATCCGGCCACTGGTACCAGATGGTTGTCGGCCGTACCATTACTGGTCTCGGTATCGGTGGTTGCTCGCTTTTGGTGCCCATGTACATGGGTGAGAGTGCCCCCCGTCATGTCCGAGGTGCCATGATTAGTTGCTACCAGCTGTTCGTCACCCTGGGTATTCTCCTGGCATACTGCATTAACCTTGGTACCAACACCCTGACCGGTACTGCCCAGTGGCGTATCACCCTTGGTCTCACCTTCCTATTTGCCTTGGTTCTCGGTGGCGGTATGGCCTTTTTCCCCGAGAGCCCTCGTTTTGACTTCCGTCACGGCAAGATCGAGAGCTGTCAGAAAACCCTGGCCAGCCTTTATGGTATCCCGCAAAACCATGTCCGCATCCTCGAGGAGATGGATGAGATTCGCGAGCAACTTGAGGCCGAAACCGAGGACCAGAAGTGGCATGAGTTCATCACTGCCCCCCGCATGTTCTACCGTATTGTCCTGGGTATGGTCCTGCAGATGTTGCAGCAGCTTACTGGCTGCAACTACTTCTTCTATTTCGGAACAACCATCTTCAAGGGTGCCGGTCTCTCGAACAGCTTCGTTACCCAGGTTATTCTCGGAGCTGTAAATTTCGTCACAACAATTGGATCTATCCTCTTGGCCGATCGCTTGGGTCGCCGCAAAGCACTCATCTTCGGTGCTGCGTGGATGTTTGTCTTGTTTATGATTTTTGCCTCCATCGGTCATTTCATGCTGGACGTTGACCACCCGGAGGAAACTCCCGAGGTTGGAAAGGGTATGATCGTGCTCGCCTGTTTCTATATTGCCGGTTATGCTATGACCTGGGGTCCAATGGTCTGGGCCATTGTTGCTGAGCTCTTCCCGTCCAAGTACCGTGCCAAGGGTATGGCTCTCGCTACCGCTTCCAATTGGCTCTGGAACTTCCTCATCGGTTTCTTCACTGTGTTCATTGCAGACGATATTGACTTTGCCTATGGTTACGTCTTTGCCGGCTGTATGTTCGTTGCCACTTTTGTCATCTTCTTCTTCGTTATTGAAGGCAAGGGTCGCACTCTGGAGGAGCTTGACTACATGTATGTCCAGAAGGTTAAGCCCTGGAAGAGCAGCAGCTTTGTGGTCCCCAACCATCTCCAGTGGGAGGACGATTCTCCTTCTGGCAAGAAGGCGGAGCAGGAACCTACCCATGCTGAGAACGCATAGGTGTTAAGTGACTGATTTGCTTTTCTGTTTCCCTTCTATCATGTATACATTTTTATTCTGTTTTTGTGGGAAAATTGTTTTGTTTATAGATACCTCTTGATTCTACCACGTTGATACGATGCATGAATTATGCGCAATTGCATTTGGCAACATTTTCAAGATTTTTTTTTCCATTCATTTCCATCCATGGAGTAGAAATGTAGAGGAATTCGGTTTCTGCCACTCCTTCTGCCACCAATTTCCCGCTAATGTCGATGGCCTTCACAATGTAAACCTTCATGTCCAGCTTTAATGAGATTCGAAAGACCCATTCACGTTCCAATTTCATCTTTTAACGTTACAAATGACACATCTGGAAGCTACGATCGAGTACCCAAAACGTAAGATACGAGCAAATTTATCAAGATGCACATACGAAAGTGGACAGTCGCCAGATCTGGCCCCACAGATCCTAGTCTCCAAATTTACATATGTATACATCCCATATGGATTTCCATTTAAAAAGGCCAATTACCTTGAGCTACATGGCTAACCCGGGTAATGGGAGTCCCCCGCGGAGGAAATTGAAGCGACAGAAGCATGCCTGATAGGGCCGCTCGAGGATTCTTTAGTAATTTCGATGAAACTGAGTGCTTTACGTGATCGTAAATACCTCGGAAGTAGTTCAGCCTATCTCATCTGTCTCATAACTCAAACTCATCTAGTCTTCATTAGTCAGCATATGGAAACCGAAAACGGCGTCGCTGTCATACTCGTCCTCGGACCCTAAAACCACTTCGTTAGCAATAATCAACATTGATTTGCAGGTATATCAAAGTCAAAATGGACTCACTCACTGCGTTTCTTGCCGAGAATAGTCATATTCAATATTCAAGCCCCGATAGCCCCGACTTTGACGATCTAAGCTCTATATTTGTGATCAACGCGATTAAAGAGCCAAGTATGGTCGTCCGGCCCCGTTCGGCAGAGGATATTAGCGCTTTAGTATCACTCTGCATTGCCAATAATCTCCCTTTCACAATTCGTGCAGGTGGACATGACATGTTTGGTCGGTGTCAGGTAAATGATGCTGTCACCATTGACATGCGTGAGATTTCTCATGTGCATGTGGATCACAAGTCGCAAACGGCTCGAGTGGGTGGAGGTGTGATCTTTATGAAGTTGGTCAAAGAACTGGAGAAGCACAAGATGGCAGCTCCAACTCCGGTCACTCCATCCGTGGGGTTTGTTGGCTGGGCACTTCACGGAGGGTATGGGTTGTTAAGTAGCAAGTATGGCCTCGGAGTGGACCAAATTGTTGGTGCTACCGTCATTAATGCGCATGGAGTCATCCAAGAGGCCGATGACATGATGTTAAGAGCCATTCGCGGGGCTGGAGGGACAGTGGGGGTGATTGCGGAACTACGAATCAGGATCTACCCGCTAGACCAGGTGAGCATGCCATATCAATCTCAGATCCATCTCTGACAGATGCAGGTTCTTGCAGGGGCTATCACGTATCAACCCCATGATCTGAGTGTTACAATTCAAAACTTCAATGACAAGCTCCGCCAGGCCAAGATGGATGGCATTCCCTCTGCACTTGGCATGTACCAACTAGTCAACAACAGCGCGGTTGGTAAGACTTTGACTGTGATTTTTGTATGGGCGTCCTCCGAATTTGAAGATGGACAACGTTGGCTGTCCAAAGTTACTTCATGGGCACCTGTGGCAGTCAATGCGGTCCATGCCACCACACTCACGGCCTTCAATGAAGTGGCGAATTCTATGATCCCAGAGAAAGTCTACGGGACAATTTATGCCCTTATATTCTACAGTCTCACTCCCGAAGTTGTAAATGTCATCAGAAAGCATGCCCTGCTGCAGCCAAACAGTGCCGACGTGATGTATGGCATTCATGAACTTCGTGCAGAGGCGCCACATTCAGCAGTGGGCTCTGTTTTTGATTCAAGATCTCCTCATATTACTATCGAGATTATCCCGATATCCCAATCGCCGGACATAGTGCGTGAGATGACGTGGGCTGAGAATTTTCATCTCGAACTTTCCCGAACAAACCCGGCAAATGTTCCTCCTTTTTCCTATATTTCTTTGACACCTTCCAATACTCTCAACATGAAGGGGATTTTCGGGAGTAAGTATCAGGACCTTCTAATGATAAAGAAGAAGTGTGATCCACTGAACAAGTTCAACAATGCCTTGGTGCAGCTTTGACTGTCTCGGACCACAAAAATTGTGAGATATAGTTTCCAAGGTTCGTTATTAGATATTAGGCGCGTTAGATAACAGAAACAATCAAAACAATATTGCCACTCCATTGAAACGACTCGAAACCTCCAGTTTTCTTTATTTCCCTAAGCGCCAAACGCCGTAGATTACTGCAGCCACTCTATTTACATTCTCAGAAACACAGCTGATCACTGGTAGGTCACGGTGAATTCGCTGTCACTCGCAACATTGACTGTTGCGAGCACCTTGCCATTCTGCTGGATGTCCAAAATATCGCCATCGTTAACACCATAGGACTGGCCACCAGCCTTGGCTTGCGCACCCGTGAAAGGAATCTTGCCAAAGTTGACAAGTGGCACCATGCTCGAACCGAGGTTGAAGTCCTCAACAATCCACTCAGCATTCTGACCACCAAGTGTAGCGGAAGCAGAAGGGGCATCCAGAGATTTCGTAACTGTCTGGCCAGTAGACTGGTTCTCAATGATTGCAACACCACTGCTGGACGAGAAGGACTCGACCCTGGCGACAATAACATCGCCTTGAGCGAGGTCGAGATCGAAGTTCTCTGCACTGCTGGGATACCACTCGTACCAAGCATCGAAAGTTTTTACGCCATCTTGAATATAGGCATCGATGCCAGTTTGCAGGATGGCATTGGTATATGTATCACCATCAATGCCGACCCAAGCAGACACAGCTTGATTGTTACCAGAATAGTCGGTTGCCTTAGGATTGGGGACTGTGAACGTTGCCGAGACGGCCGTGTATGTAGCGCTCGCAGGAGGCTGCTCCCGTACGATACCAGCCCAGTTTTTGCTGTACTGGACTGTCGCGGATTCGTCGCCATCTTTGAGTAGGATGCCGTTCTTTTCGGCGGGTGTGGACTGGTGTGATAGGACACCACGTGCCTGTAGACGCTCAGCAAGTCCAGAACGTGGAGCTGCGAAGGCACCAGTTGCCAGCATGGCGGTAGCAAGTCTTGCGGTCGTGAACTTCATATTGGCGAATCCGGAAGAGGAACAGACGACAAGAAATATAATGGCGTGTCCAAATTTCTCTGTACTAGGATTTACACCACATTATATGGTCGCTTTGCTTTATGGTTGCATGCAGTGTTTTAACCGCATGGGGAAGTGCGCCTCGTGCTTCTGGCTCTTGACCCATCGTGGGACTCTGGCGAGGCATTGTCTCTGGCCCGTTTTAGACAGGAGGCGTGAGAGAGGGTCTCGAAGTGGGAGAGGCGGCTGAAGACTCACTCCATTTTCATTGGCTGTATGTGAAATCTAGTGGTGTTGATCATTACCATTTGCGATCGTTATCCACCATGATCTCTGGCCAGTGGGTCTGGAGATGCGCATTCGGGGGTCATTAACGGCTCAAACCGATCAGGCAGCTAAAAAAAAACTTGAAAGAGAATCAGCTTGCACGTCTGAGTGACAGAAACATTCTCTAGGAACAGTCATACCTGACAGCAATGCCATGACGGATTAGTGAAGGATCGCCAAATCCGATTTAGTCAGTTCTAACCAAGTCCAGACCAAATAATCTACTAGTACGGCATAGTCTGAGAGCTCTCATCAAATCTTACCTCTCGGTCAGGGAGTTGTTTTGAGATCCTTTGATGTCCATCTCACTGCACGATCCATTGTCAAGAGATGGAATGTGTAAAAAATTAGGACTTGCAAATATGAGAGATTTACGTCACTGAACTATTTTGTGCTGGGAATCATGGGCTTGGCTACATACCAGTCGAGGCCAGCAATGCTAGAATTCTTGACATTCACATTGCCGAAAGCATCTCATATTGTCGATTATTGGCTCTCCCCTAACCAAAAGATTGTGAGACATTACATAAGCCTTTAAATGTGTGTGATTGTCGTATACTGTACACAACTGTTTTCCTCCAACTTGTGTATCCATGACCTTGAGCATTCTTCATTTGTTATGTCGAACCAGGGGCTTCAAGTGCTGGAGATTACTTCGTTCAAATATTTCTAGATAAGTCCTTATACGGCTATGGGTTTCGATCTTAATTTATTCATAATGAATGTGCCCGGGGATTGTAGGGCATGATCTTGCACCCAGTGAACTTCGATGTTCAGCGGTCTCGTGGGCCAAAGGAATAGGCTATGTACAACATCCCTATGGGTATCTGAAAGAGAAATACGGAACCCGGAGTTTTCCACTACATTGGGAGTTTAGCAACTTCCTGGATTGACCAGTAGTTGCGCATATTGTCTGCACCCAATGTCTTCACCTCTTGATCGAGATGAGTCCACAACACCTCTCCGAATGCATCCATCAATCGTTTCACCTCTTCGCGTCGCATGTCTTCCTCACCAGACCGACATTTCTCAAGATACGACTCCAACTTCTCAAGACCAGCATGAATCTGTTTGTGTTGGGTCAATAACTCAAGCTCCTTTCTAAACTCTGGCATCCTCTTTGCCAAGACCGGGAAGATATGTTGCTCTTCAATCGAATGGTGAAAGTCCAATTGCGAGCAGAATTGAAGACCCATCATGATCATCTGGCGGGCAGAGAGTCCCGAAGGCCGCTTACCAGCAGCAGTACAAGCGTCCTGTAGTTGGTTCCATGTCATGCGGAAGTGATTGTGCTAAATGCTCGTCAGTCGGAATTATTCCGCTCGTGGGATTCAGGACTTACAAATGCGTCCATTTGCTCTGCCAAACGATTGTAAGCTCGGAATTCACTGGCAGAGAGCTTGGGTAGAGGTTCTCCAGAGCCCTCCAGCTTGGAAACATTGCTGTTCTTTCCCATGTTGAAGGATGTGGAGGAAAACCGGGCGAGGAACTTCGGAGATAAGAGACACTGAGACGGCCGACACTCAGGCAGAGGAATTCGATGCAAAAGTGGATGGGAATATCGAGCAGAGATAGGAGCCCGTAAGATTCCTTGCAAGCCACGCATGAGACGGCAGTTAGACAAAATATAACTGCCGATAGAGAGAGTACAAAAGGAGAACCTTCGATGATATTCAGAAATCCGGGGGGGAATTGATGAGAAAGCAGAGATTTCTGATTCGGCGAGCCCCGCTACAGTGGAACCCGAGCTGATAAGTATCGGACTCGGTATTGTCTACCTAAGAGTAGTTTGAATAATATTATATTCTAAATCACAAAACTACGTATGTACCAGATCTTCAATGGACGTATGCCACCTCGGTTTCCCGTTGGGCACAAATCTAGTACTCACTGGTTAATTAAAGAGATAAGGATCCCACTCAATGTAAGCACTTCTTCGGCACAACCTCAGCCATGAAAGGGCTGGATCGCAATTTGACATCCGTGCTAGTTTGAATCGATACTTGGCTTGGTCAGTAACAAATTAGGGCCGGGCGTTCAATAAAATGTTAGATTAATATCAATACACTTTGTGCCACCGGTGGCCGGGGTGGTATGCGGGAATATAATGAAACAAGCCACCGGCACAGGGGAATCGGAAATTAGGAAGATACATGTCGTAACGCCGTGGAGATAAAACAGATGGAATCACAGCTCGTCCCGGGCGACAGCGACAGCGGATGCGGACGCAGCAGCCAGCTTTCGCGCCATCTTCTCCTGGGTCTGAGGTGGGGGGCGGAAATTGCCCGCCTTAAGCTCTTGCCAGGCAAGATCAAAGCGAGCGCCCATCCACCAAGCAGCAAAGACCTGAATAATGGTTAGCCAAATTCATAACACTGATTCGAAGAACGTACCATGGTGCCTGCGACGAAGAAAATAACAGCACCCATGAGCAGCATCATGAACCAGATATCAGCCTTGTTCTCGGCATCTTCCTCGCGCTTCTTGGCCTGTGCCGCGGTAAGCTCGCCGGTGACCCGACGCTGGGCATCTTCGGCATTTTGGGTCGGGAAGATGGTCTCGATGAACTTTTCAATCTATAAAAAATTCATGAGCATGATGTAAATTCTGTGTAAACATGGAAATCCTACCCTTCCGCACTCAATGCTGATCTTTAGGAAGTTGGGGTCCTTCGCAGTATTCTTCTTGTGAACTTTGCGGGCAAATTGACGGAAAGTCTGGCATAGGGTCTGCAGATTTTGTGTCGACTGCACCATCAGTTCACAGGCATCACCCTTGGTGATCTTCACGTTGCGCTCAAATACGTCATAGTTGCGGAAGCACAGCTCCAACGTGGCAATGGCCATGGCCTGGGGAATGGCACAGAAGTTGAACACACTCTGTTCCCGCAAGCCCGCCAGGTAGAAAAGACAGTCCTCCACATGTTCCAGGGCATTGAGAATCATCTCGGCGTTGCAGTTAAGAGCCGCATCCCGGTTCTCCGGCTTGAACAGATCTTCGAAGTTATCCACGTGCTTGGACCAGATCTCCTGGGGCCAGAACCGCCGATCGTCGTCAAAGTCCTCGCGAATGTCTCGAATGATGTTGGTCTTCTGCAGGAACAGACCCATGGACTTGTGGAGACGGGCGCGTTTGAGCAAGGCGGGGTTTGCCAAGTCAGCCTCAACAAAGAGACGGGTCAGACCCTCTCCGACCAGACCGGCGACATAGTGGCAGTACAAGTCATATTCCTCGATGGTCTTGACACTGGCATCATCGCTCGCCGCCTTGATGCAGTAGTCGGCCATACCGTTGCTCATCTTGTCGGTGATGTCCTTGATGATGACCTGGTAGGCAGGCTTCATGTTCTTGAACTCGGCGATGACGTTGTCGAACTGAACCAGCAGTTCCCGATCCTTCTCCTCCGGGCGGTTTCCGTTGAAGGTCCAGCCATCTTGCTCCAAAATATCCTTGAAGCCCCGGAGCAGCGGCTCCTTCGTCTTAAGATCAATGGAGGTGTCGTCCTCAATAGTGTCCAGACCACGGAGGACAAGGTAGAACACACACACAGGGAACAAAAGCTCCGGGTGCAGCTCCTTGATAACCGCGCTGAAACTGCGACTGGTCAGGTCCAGGAATTGGAAGCATTTCTTTTGTGTTTCGGTGTCGTCCTTATCATTGCGCTCGTGCGGCGGGTTGTGCCAAACTTTCCTGCGGAGTAAACCGTTAATCGACCGTGATGCAGGGGTAAATTCCAGGGGCTAAGGCAAATACAAACCATTGGATGATTGACCTCAATTGGATCGGATGGAAGCTGTAGTAGAGAGCATTGCTAACGAAACCCATGGTGAGTGGGGAAGATATGACACGTAAATGTCCGGGGCCAATAGCAGAAGATTTAACCAGATACCCAAGAATGAGAACCAGCGATCTTAAGAAGACCAAAAAATTGTACAGAGAAGAGAAAAAAGAAAGAAGATCGAATCCAAGATCAGAATTGTGGAGAAGAAGAAGCGGAAAAGGGGGTTTAGGAGAGAAGAACAAAGAAAGATCATATCGTTGAGTCACGTGAGCGGTGATGAGTTATGTGGTGTGGGGTTGTGGCCAGGGAAAAGTGATTCTTTTCCAAATTATTGATTCGCAAGACCTTTTTGCTTTTTTGTTTTACAAGGAAGACATTTTTTAAACTGCGCCAACCACTGGTGTCGCTTCCTGCTCATTATTCTCTTTTGGACCGCTGCAGAGTCCTGACTCTGCTTCAATCATGGTCGCTGATACCGCCTATTATGACGCCTTGGGCGTTCCGCCAACAGCTACAGAGCTTGAGATCAAGAAGGCCTATCGCAAGCTCGCCATCGTCACTCATCCCGGTATGCTTTATGGCCTATCCTTGTCATTCTACAGGACTAACATGTTTTTCCGCTCAGACAAGAACCCAGGCGATGAAACCGCGCACGCACGGTTCCAGGCGGTACGCCGGAATCCCATTTGTGATCTGCAGACCCCGACTAATAGCAGCGTCAATCATAGATCGGTGAAGCCTATCAAGTTCTGAGCAATGAAGATTTGCGAAAACGTTATGATAAATTCGGAAAGGAAGAGTCGGTCCCTGGTGGTGGTTTTGGTTGGTTCCCCCCGGCCTCAGCGTTACGCAACCGAGGCGCTGAATTAATATATTAACATGGTTCTACAGAGGACCCCTCGGAGTTCTTTAGTATGATATTTGGAGGCGAGGCATTCGTTGACCTCATCGGAGAAATTTCACTTATGAAAGATTTGACTGCGACGATGGATATCACAATGGAGCAGATGGAGGAGGAAGAGCTGGCCGAGTCCGCCGAACAGAAGCTCCACATTCACGACGAAGAGCTCAAGGCGGGAACCGAGGGCGCATCCGCCACAGGCTCTGCAACAGAGGCCTCGACTGGTCCGACCGCAGATAAGCCCCAAGCTTCCTCGGAAGCCTCCGGCAATGGATCTGGAACGAGCACACCCCGGAGATACATGGGTCAGCAGGCCCTCATGGACCGGTCGGAGGAAGAGGCGCGAATGGATGCAGCTGGTCTGTCCCAGGAGGAAAAGGAACTGCGCAAGAAGGAGAAGAAGAAGGGTCTGTCGAAGGAGCAACAGGAGCGCCTCGCCGCGTTTGAGGAGGAGCGAAGAAAGGCTCGGGAGGATCGCGTTAACACTCTGGCCAACAAGCTGATCGACCGCCTCAGTGTCTGGACTGAAACTGACAAGGGTAAAGATGTAACCCACGCGTTCGAGGAGAAGATTCGTCTCGAAGTCGAGAACTTGAAGATGGAGTCGTTTGGATTGGAGATTCTCCACGCCGTCGGCGCTACTTACGTGCAAAAGGGTACTTCATTCCTCAAGTCTCAGAAATTCCTCGGTATCTCCGGGTTCTTCTCGCGACTGAAGGATAAGGGCACTCTGGCGAAGGAGACGTGGACCACCATCTCAACTGCTATCGACGCCCAGATGACAATGGAAGAGATGGCCAAGCTTGAGGAGCGTGGCGGTGAGGACTGGACCGATGAGAAGAAAGCGGAGTACGAGAAGAAGGTGACAGGCAAGATCTTGGCTGCCGCATGGCGTGGAAGCAAGTTCGAGATTCAGAGTGTCCTGCGTGAGGTCTGCGACCAGATTCTGGGTGACAAGCGCATTCGTTTGGAGAAGCGCGTGGAACGTGCCCATGCACTGGTTCTGGCTGGTAACATCTATGCTAAGGTAATTTCCCTTATGCAAGTACCCGTTTGATCGCCTACTAACACTGATGCAGGCTGAGCGAGATCCCGAGGAAGAGGGTGATTATATGGCGTTCGAACAGTTGATGGCCGAAGCCATGACCAAGAAAGGCAAGGACGAGAAGAAGAAGAAGGAAAAGAAGAAACACGGTCACCATGACTCCGAGGACAATGAGTCAGAGAAGCCGACGGCGGCATGAGCGTTCCTAGGCACTCCTCACCTTATAATGGTTTTTTCGTTTACCCTCCTACTCACCTCCATGCTTGGAAATATGTATTGTCGGATTCTTTTTTCTTTATGTTAGGGAGTGTATCGAATCTCCCTTTCAGCCTTGTCTCCGCAACAGCGAGCCTGTTCGTATATCTCTAGTCATAGATTGCCTTTGTTTACCTGGCTATTGCCAGCCTTCATGAAATTCATGTCAAACGAGAATGTTGATTGGGACAATTCGTCACCGTATCAATCAAAGGGATTAAGTTAAATAAACATCCGGCACAGGGTATACTCCACTCGTCCAAATATTACACTCCATGAAAAAGCTCAACAAGCAAAACAGATATACTCATATCGGGTCGGAGTCTCGTTCACGCATGACTTGCTTGGTGATCGTGAATGGTGTCGGCGCTGAGCTCAACGCTCGCCATGGCCGAGGGCGACGAGACACTATGGGAGTGATTGTTCGGCTGGTCATGCAGAGTCTCAGCATCCCGAGTAGACAACTCTGACGGAGAAGCAACGGGGTTTGTACTCATCGGCACCTCGGTGGCAGCGGGGGCGGGCTCGGTCGCCCTGTCACCCTGCTTGCGCATCGACTGATAACCCACCCAGTCCGACACCAGGACACCACAGAGCGACAACACTGAGAGGATAAAGAGGGCAAGGAAGAGGAGCCTATGGAATGTTAGCACGGCTTCCCGGTGTATATGCAATGGGAAACTCACCAGAGGAGGACCGCAAAGGCGATGACGGCATTCAAGTAGTCATTATGGCTGGTATACCCGTCAAGGTCGGACGCGATATCAGCAAAGCAAGCGAGCCAAAAGACCATGGTTATAAAGTAGACGACAGAAAATACGACGCCCAAGATGGTGCTGATCTTTCCGGTAGCGCCCTTCCTAGTATAGAACCATGACAGCAGCACTCCGCCAGGGGTGACCAGCATGGTCCAACAGGAAGTGAAGATGAGAAACGCTAGAATTCCAGGTATACTGATATTCACGTCACCGTACTCCAAGTCACCGTAAGAATCATAGTAGAGCTCCTCACGAGTGCCACCCCATACGCTAGCGACGTAAGCACATAGGCCAAGCTCAATGATAGCAAAGACCAAGGATGTGGCCAGGATGGCATAGAGGGCAATGTGAAAAGCTATCATGATGGATCAACGAGAACTCTTCAGGTGTCACTGGTAGGAAGATAGATTAAATGTGCAGAATCCCAATGAAGATGAAGATGCAGTAAACGGCACACCGACTTCAGGGGCAAGTCCCTTGCCTCTTATTATCTGCACCACCATCCCCCACGTGTGAGAGAGCTAGACTCATCAAGCGGCTCAGCGGCTCGTCATAAATCCGCCTTATGCCTTTTCGTCAGGCCAGTTCGGATTTTGGGCGCCATCAGACGGGAGCGAAAGTCTTGGCTCGAATTGTAGCTGTTGAACACGAGAGGGAGGCGCCGCACCAGACCAAATCGGTTCAAGGTAAGCGAGTGGTGGACTGGGATGGATTATGATCGGTTGGCTGATTTGACCCTCCGCGACGGGAAACTTCTTCCTGTCAGATGTGGATCAAGCTAATCCAGGACAAGGGGAAAGGGTTTGACTTTACGGAGTGCAGCTCAGGTGCTTGGGCGCTTCAGGGTCCAAGCTATATGACATGTTTGGTTCTTGTGGGAAACCGTACATTCAATGTTTTAGAAAATATTGATAGATCTATGTGACTAGTCCACAGGGTCCTTCGCATTCCAGTATAGGTGAAGTCAAGAAAGATATACTCCGAACCTTCCTTTGAGTAAAGTCATGGCTGGCTTGGCTCATCGTATTGAGAAGCGATCGACCTCAGCTCTTCCAAACCAGGAAGTTACCCATCTAGGGATCTAAACGAGGTTTAGCGTTGAGTTAGCGCTGACATCCAGGGCTCAAAGAGATCCACATGGTATCCTCCAATCCACATTACCGCACCATGAAAAATGACGTTTTGCAGGTCACGTTATAGTCGTACGAGCTGATCCTCAGTTAAAGAATACACACTCTTACACCGCTCCTATTCACTACCAGGTGCCCGCTACTCTCCCAGGCGGACCTTCGTGTGGTTGGAAGGATTTACAAATTGCTTACATAAACAACATTTGGGTTCCCCCACCAGTCTGCTTCGATGATTCTCTGAGTCTTCAAAAAGTTCCAAGTTGCAAGGTTCTCGTCAATTATGGAGACCATATCACTCAAGCTCAGAGACTGCAGAAACCTGAATTTCCAAGGTCGGAAGATCAAAGATAGGTCGATTCAACCTTGGAATTACAAATCTCATTGCCTAATGCACTTTCCACGCTAATTTGTTCGAATTGGGTGTAAAATCTCACATCTAGATGTCTGCTAATTAATGAAACATGACAAGCCAGGTTACTACTAATTCCGGATCAGGGCTGATCCTATAAAGCCTATGTACTTGCCCCCAAGTACCACGAGCAACATCTTCCACTGCTCAGTGCCTCTACAGGCCTTAACACACATCTTCAGGGCTTCGAGATAATCGGCAGACTGACGCAGAACCTCACAGTCATGAACAGCGGAGCCATGCTCCTTTATATCAACATAGGCCTAAATACATCACGGCGAGCTGTTCAGGTCCATCCCCTTAGTTGCAGGAAAATTTTATTGAAGCAGCAAACCCCATCCACCTATAGAGTCGGTTTCAAGGCTTCTCGTCGCTGCATATAACGACGCCACTGCTTTCATTAGCAAAGTCAAGCTGTTATATAATATGGATAGAACTCACTGTAGGATTGAAGAGATAAACTGGAATTCCAAGAAGAAAAATGCCACCTGACACTGCCGTAAGAATACCCATCGCGATCGGGTAGCTATACTTGGCCACCATGGGGACCAAACCATAGCTGATTCCAAATGAAATGATATTCTTGGTCCCCACAACTGCCACAAGAGCAGGACCTGGATTCTTCTCCCAGGCCTCAGCCGCAAATGACGTAGAAAGGATCAGAACAGACACAAAGACCACCTGAATGATGGTCCAACCCATAAATGGCCCACCCCATGTAGAGCTGCCGTCTGCGGTGAACCCATACAGGAGAAGGGATCCGATCATGAGAATTCCAGGAATAATCAACAGAATCAGTCGGTGCTCCGGGATATGAACACCGCCAGAGCGTTTGGCCATATACAAAACAAACCAATCACCAAACACACCCGCGTATAGCATGGCGATAAGACCACCGAATACTCCGCCCAGATTGATTAACCCAACATTCTTGGCCGGCCACCCGTAGCTCTGTAACACAGAGTCGTAAGTTAAACTGCATCCAATACTCGATCCTAGGACCACAGAACTCAGTAGTGTAGCGTATAGAATACCCGGAGAAGTAAAGGCCTCGAACATGTGGAACCAAGTGGTCAGCATTGTTTGAATAGGATTATCCACGGGTGTCTGCCACAACTTCAACATCTGAGAATAAGACTTCTTAGGCCGTGCCTCATCAGGGATATTTGTGTCGTCCGCATCTTGTGCCTGCAGATACTCTTCAGCGTCCGCTGCCGCGATAATCCGCGTAACGCCAAATTGATCCGTGAAAACCACCTGCTCATTGAGAAACTGTGCACTACGCTTTTAATGATGATCTCTAAGTCAGCGAAGAAAATTGTGGAAGTAAAAATGGATAGTATAATACCTGGTATTTGGTTTCAAAGCAGCCAAATAAGACCAACAGCAGACCCAAGCCTATTGCAATCACATAGACCCAGTAGAACCAGCGCCATCCAAGGGCTGCCACTTCATACGAGGAGGCTAGGTTAAGGCAGCTGGTGACCATGTTCTGTGTTGACCAATAAATACCAAACACCAGCCCCCGTTGATGAATGAAAGTCACCTCAGAAAGCATCAAGGGAAGGAGCTGTGATAGATGTCAACATTAAAAGCGTCTCATTTGGAACAAAAGTAGCTAACCGACTCTGTGGCACCTGTCGCCAGTCCCTGCATGATCCGGAAAGCGAAATGTTGTTCGAAGCTATTCGATACCGCACAGGCAATCGTAAATATGAAATTAAGAGCAATGGCCAGAACTGCGGCAAATCGACGGCCATAGATAAGACCCAAAGGAAGAATCAAATAGTTCCCTTTATGTGTTAGAAATACAAATGTTGAATTATGGAGCTTATGCACTTACCGATTCCCACAAACAACGCAGGAAACGTGCTCAGCCAGACAACATGAGTTGGACTAACGCCCTCGGCACCGTATAACTCAACAAAGACCCCCAGTATAGCACCAAGCCCTCCGACCACACAGAGAGACATGACCGCTAAGTCTAAATCAGTGATACTGCGCTCAATTGGTCCTCAAACAATGCTTACAGAACCAGCAGCAGCTGACAATCACACCAGTCTTCTCCCAGAATGTAAAATTGAGTGGGTCATTAACATCCTTGCTGGGTACAGGAAGCAGCTGAATATGCCCCATAGAGTTGATTAACACCTCATCGTGCGCTTTCTGAGGTTGGACGTCCTCCACAAACTCGATGTTGGCTTTCTGATCCACAACAGACATGGTGCTGATGTGTATGTGCCCCGCAGAAGATCTGGGGAAAAAGAGAAGAGGGAATAGACTGGCGATACAGGGCCTTTTCTGTCCTGGAATACGAGTATCGATCGGTTCTTGACAACTCAAATTCCCCATTTCCCCGTGGGGATGTGGTGGTCCCTCTGAAGGGCTCGGAATGGGTGGGGGAAAGACAATCCACTCCCCCACACATCCGGATTCTTGGCAATCCAGTTGTGTCAAGTTGTTGACACATCTTACATGAACACATGGTTTGAGTTGACCCTGGATAATCCTACAACCCCTTTCAACCTTTTATGTTTCCATTCAAGGCGAATCTTTACATCCAGTAACTATTTTCTCCCTTGATTCCTATGCAGCCAATGGGACTTGATAACTTATTATTCTATTATAGTATCCCCTATTGCAGCCACTGTGGCGCAGGGTCCTTTATAAATATGTACTTAATTTAAGATCCATACTTACTCATTTTGTGTGGGTATTGGTCAGTAAGAATATGGTATCCTGCAGTAGGCGCCTAGATGTAGTCTCATGATCATTAAAAAAGGTATGGGAGCCATTGGTATAGATCCTTCTATTGTGTTTCGGCCGGCTGGGGCCACTTTCGGAAGGTGACTAAGTGCCTGATAGATTCGAGGTTTAGCATCATTGAAATGTATCAAAACTTTCTATGGCAGATTCCCTAAGTCCTCAATCAAAGAACACAAATTTTGAATCATCGGTGGGAGAATCTCGCCTGGCAAAGGAGCTGGACAATTGCCATCAAAGATCTTCCTTACGACTCCCATGACCAAACGAGGCCTACTCAGCTCACAAAAAGAACTTGAGTCGCGATAATGCATTGTCAAACCGGGTCGACCTATCCCTCGACTCATGAAGGCTTTGGTAAACTGATCCTCCGGTCCATCTAGAGGAACATTCGGCGTGTCTGCTTCACTCATAGGAGTGTGGACCTCGAGTTTCTTCTCCCCATACTGCAGTAGTCCGTATACCCACAGGACCAAGGAAGCATGGTAGATGGATAGGGAGTCAAATCCACGGAATTGACGGACTGCCACCATGCGCGCAGCTCGAAGAACCTGACCTGCGTGCCATATCGCAATTTTAGCCTCTCTAGTTCGGCTCCACTCTCTTAGCCCAGGGTATGTGCGGCGAGCTTCCCCCGCCCCCATTTTTCCGACGAATCGCTGGATTGCGTCCATGTCGATGTGAAGGTACATCATAGTGAACTCATTCATCAAAATAGTAGCCGACGGGGAGTCTGAGGTGTCCTGAACAGATTTGAGAGTCGCATATCTAGGTGAAATTAGTAAGCCTCGGTAATTAGTGCGATGAGAACATACAGTTCTTCTTGTCTACTTTGCAGCCATAGTAGAGTGGTAGCACGAGATCTTGATAAACGCCTTTGCTGGCAGAGCTCCCATACTTGTAGGGCAAGACCTTGCAAAAGAGCCGACTTCGCCATGGCAGAATCAAGTTCGGGAGGAAGGTGGTGAAGAAGGGACGGATCAGAGAGAAGGTCGCATAAATTCAATTCAGACAAACCTATCCACACGTCCCTCCATGCAGAAGCAGTGGGAGCTAGCCATAGCTCTCGCGCAGCAGGGATGGACAAGGTAAATTCAGTGTACGAAGTAATCGCAGGTCGATTCATGGACAAAGCGACTTCGACATCATGACTGAATAAATGATAAACAAGCCTGATGAGCGTTAGCATTTTCTCATTCCAAAGGATATGATAGATACCTCTTCAATGACTCTTGGCGGACCCAACTATACCATGAGCGCTTTAATGAAACTTCGTCATCGCCGAAAGACCAAGGAGTTACAACTGGGTATGTCGACCTGTCAAACATAGCAGCGCGCCGAAGAGCCTATAATCGTCAATATTTACTTTTCAACCAAGACCGAATAATTTTCAAATACCGTGCAAAGCGGTTGTAAATAACTCTCAGCAATTTGCATTTTGCGTGTATACCCGCATGAGATCCCAATATCCAACCATAACATGGATGCTTGCAAGTACTGAAGATCACGAAGAACACTGTTATCTTCTTCAACCTAGTAAGATTGTCAGGGAGGAAATGGAAAATAATGTTTTAATTTTACGTACCAATTGCGCCAAGCCGACTCTGGTGATCTCTTGGAGAATGATACCCGTTTTGTTGATTGAAGGCGCACCACAGCAAACACATCCGGCTGCTACCAATGCAGTAAGCAGCTCTGGACGTAGCTGCTGATATTGGGGGTCATAAAAAGTGTACAAATGGATCCATGCGTCAGTCTCGACCCTTTTTCCGATCCCAATTTTTATAAGAGTATCGAGGTATTCGGACGATGGGAATGCCGAAACACATAGCCGAGAGCCGGCTGTTTTTAGAACTAATTTGAATATCTCATCTCTGGCTTGGAATGAAAGCCTGCCGGGGATATTCAGTGCATCGAGGCGCGTCTGATGCGTTGATGGGATAATATCACCCTCACGTAGCGGGATCTGTTGCTCTTCGCTGAATCCATGCTGATTCTTCTCTGGCGTCCAAAGCCTAGATAGACTTTAGAAATGGCAATATCGAGAAGATGGATCACAACCAACCATAATGATCGCTGAAAGGCATCAGCACGCCGACTTGCAGATTCTTGATCATCAAGCGAGGACTGCTGGTCGATTTCAGAGAAAGGCGCGGCCATATCAAGAATTTTGTCTAGATCTGGAATGAAACTTGTTCCAAAAACGTCATTTGGCGATAGAGTAAAGTCGATATCCTGCATGAAGTCAAAGGCACGGGGTTGCTGGGTACCCTGAATCGCCTTGTCTGCCCCCTTGTTTGGGAGCATGACATGTTCAAAGAAGGCAGGAAATTGGTTAAGGCTTGAATATAAAGACGTCTCTTCTTGACCTGCCGGGAAAAACGTATCTAGGATCATTCCTGATTGAGAGGCGAGTGCGAAATCAGAAATATCATGGATGCTTCCGGTGTAAGAAACGCTAGGCGGCGGGACATTGAATCCCGAACGATCGGAACCTGGAGTCGCCGCCAAACCAAGACTTTCATAAGGCGATACTGGTGGACCAGATATTGATTCTCGTTGACTCCGACGCGATATTCTCGATGGCCTGGAAACACACTCGATTTGCTTTGCCCGACACCGCTGGACACGATGAGCTGAAAGTTGTACCAAAGACACGGACGCTTACCTTGCAAGGCCTTTCATTAGAACAACTCAGCTTTCCTGCAGCACAGGCCTCACATGCTTCAGTCGCTCGCTCTTTGAGGCGACGAACGGAAGACTTGCCGTCAGTGACATCCTTTTCATGCACAGCTTGGTGTCGTTGTAACACATCTCTGTCCGCATTTAGCAAGGAAATGGTTTCAATTGGGTGTTTTAACTCTACCGGCGATTGAATCCGCGCTGACAGGTCGGACACTGGTAAACACGCCGATTGCGATCTATTGATTATTCAGTATTAGCGCATTTACAGCATAGGGTAAAAGATATCTTACGAGAATCCAAATGACGCGCCAGATGATCTGGCCGCTCATAGGCTTTGTCGCAATGGGGACATTGGTGACTTTCAGTCTTGCGGGGGGACATTGTGATGGGGTGGCTGAAGATGAGGACGGGGCGTTCATTTATGCGGAGAAGAACGTCGGGAACCATGCGGGCCACATACCAGTTGACTCTCGGCTTTTACGTATTATGAAAATAATGAAGCTCGAAGTACGGAGTAGTGAGCAGTGAGGCATTTCGAGTTTATACCCATTTTTCTACAGTTTATTCTCAACTATGTGTTCCTTCCATGCTTTGGCCCCCCGATACATACAATTGAAGTCCATGAATTGATCGGGGCTCCTGTAAACGAGTTTAGCGTGGCAAATAACTTTCAAAATATTAGATTCGTACATAGTCATGGTCTTCTCGCCCCTGGACACTGCCGGCTTCGCGGCTTGTCTACTGTAAGTCTGAATTAGACTGGCACGGGAATGTCTTGCTTGAAAGATTCCCTAAATTCGTCAACTTCTGCTGTGAAAATTGTGAGAGTCATCTTACTTCGAGAATCTTTTCTAGTACTTCCAGGGAAGGTGACTCCATCAACCCCTCGAAAAAAGCACCTAAGGCCTCGGCATCCTCAATAGCTTGGCTAGCACCTTGCCCTTGAGTAGGCAACATCGCGTGTGCGGCATCACCAATAAGGATGACCCGACCAGAATGCCATGCCTTGAGCGGTTCCTAGTGCTGTTAGAATTGAATGGATAAGATTAAAGGAGAAAGGAGAGAATTCACTAAATCATGGAGCTGCCATAAACCGAGATCGGGTGAGTGTCTGTGGTTGTTAGTCAGGCACGAGAGCAACAGAAGCAAAAGGGATCCGCACTTGAAGATGTTCGTGATCCAGTTGGGGAATTCGAAAAATGTCTCCAACATCTTGTTCAGATCTCCTTGAGAAACCCAACTGGCGTTGGGGTCCTCGTTCATTTGATCTATACCCGTTAGTTCGGAGTCTATTTTTTTTTAAGGTGACTATTACCATCTGGCACAAGGGCAACAATTCCGTAAACTTCGCCCTGTCTGCCAGGTCCCATGATCAACCGACAGTCATGGGAAAAGAGCATAGAAGTGAATGGATCCCGAGGATTAATCTTAGAGCAGAACTCTGGCTCGTGCTTTTCCAGCGTGTCGGTGGGAATCTGTCCATATTAGCAAGTAATTAATTCCATAATGAAGAATCATACCATCAGACGATACGCTAGAGCCTAATTAGTAGGAATCAATTGAAAGGCACGATTTAACTCACCTGAATGTCCAGTTGGGATCGGGCCCTCTCCGAAGGCCCCAGTCGCCATGGATAGATGCTGACGGATAACACTGTGGCTGTATAGATTTCAGCTATAATTCTACATTTCAATGCCAGATTCTCCACTTACATTCCATCTGCTCCAATTATTAGATCGCCTTGGATAATGTCGCCATTCTGAAGGGTTACCGTTCCTCGATGTTCGTCGCAGCTGACCACTCTCGATCCAGTCCGGAGTCCCACCGAACCGCCGGCAAGATCAGACTCTGCCGTTGCCTCTCTTCGAAGAACATCATGAATATCTCTTCGATGATATATGACACGATCTCCTTCATACTCTGTCTTGGTCAATAGCGGGATCTCTTTAACAAGGGATCCGTGGGTGTCGTATACACGGAATCCCTCGTCCACCAATGGCCGAGCATCACTCAAATCCAATTTCCAGGTAGACTGAAGAATCTTGGAAGCATTGGGCTGGAATGAAATTAAAGCTCCAATCTCTTTGTTGAGGCTTGATTGTTCCAAGATAGTGATGTGTCTGTTGGGGCCTCGCAAAGCAATCGCTGCGGCAAACCCCCCGATTCCGCCACCAACAATTGTGATTCTAAATGGTTGCATTGTGGCGGATAGACCTCAAGTTGAGATTGCGAGCTTCCTTTCATTATTTAGAAGATTCTTCGCAGAGATAATTGTTTCAAGCCAAGGCACTTAACTCGGCTCCACCAAGTCCACCCCCACCTCCACTCGCTCGCCCACTTTTCCGGCCACACATGGTCACACCAGAGCTGGAAAGAATGTCATGGGAAGTTTGGGTATTTTCAATGTGATTTTGTTTTCACCGTCATTCAAGCGGTGCGAGATATAAAGCCTACAATCCTACGAGCCCTACCGGTGCATATCCAACACAACTCGAAAAAGGCAAGGATATACAACAATGTCGACCACTGTGACCCTCACTCAGACTGAGGTCAATCAAGGACATGGCTCCGGCCGTATGCGCATTGATGGAACTGATCAACAATATGGCGATTTCCGTGACTATCTAGCTCGGGATGGCTTTGTTGTTGTCAAGGGAGCCATTCCCCGAGAAAGGGCACTGGGATACGCCGACGCGATGTACTCCTGGCTTGAAAACTTGTAAGTTTACAATAAGCAAGTACTATTGATGTGGATACTTATTTCCTATAGTAATTTGGGCTTTGACCGCAATGAATCTTCTACGGTACACAAAGACAAGCTTCCTGTTATCAATGAGAAGGGCATGTGTCTGCACTATGGTCTCGCTCACGAGAAGTTCGTATGGGATGTCCGCAGCGAACCAGGAGTTGTTGGCGCGTTCGAGAAGATATACGATGACAAAGATCTGATTGTATCTTTTGACGCAATCAACTTCCAGTTTCCAAAGTCAGTTTGAATCAGAATATCAAAACTCGTCTACTAACGTTCATCTAGCCGCACCGATCTTCCCACCAACAAACCCTGGCCGCATCAAGATCAGGATCCCCAGAAACATGGATTCCGCTGCATGCAAGGACTAGTCAACATGCTCCTTAACGGACCAGACGATGGAGGTCTGATCGTCTGCCGAGGTAAGGATGTCATCCCGGAACCTCATATCCAGACTAACTGTGACAAGGTGGCCATCTTCTCTCTCAACAATTCCATCGCGAAATGGCTGACGAAGAGCGCATTCCCGCCTGGACGCCCGAATGGTATGGCTACACTGAGCGAGGCATGAAATGGCTCGAGGATCATGGCTGCAAGTGGGAGAAAGTGTGTGCCGAGCCCGGCGATCTTCTGCTATGGGATTCGCGTACTCCGCACTACAACCTCAGCCCCAAGAAAGACCAACCCCGATTCGCAATCTACACCTGCTTCATGCCTGTTGCCGATGCTACGCAGGAAGATTTACTGCGGAAAAAGGATGCATTTGAACGCCGGGTGGGAACAACCCACTGGCCGAATGCGAAACACACTGGGTCTAATATTGCCAAAAGAGATGGAGCGGAGGATCCTCACAATCGGGATCGACCGGTGAATGAACCTGTGCTTAGTGAGCGAGCATTCAAGTTGACAGGAATTCCTTATATCAAGGAGACGGAGCCTGTCGCTGTTTAAACAATTTTGACCACTCTCTTCAATTGTCAAAGGAATAAATCTCACTTGGTTGTGACTTATCTTATTTGACAATTTGATCTCTGTTCTTTCCTCTCGCTGGCCTTTTCTTCGACAATTATATCTGGAAATTTCACTTTCATTCCTATTTATATGTAACATTACAAGTATTAATAATCAACCAATCCACAGTTAATAATCTATGATGTTACTGCACATCACTTTCACTCCTCCACTACAGTGACTGCATAACCCCACTTCCTACGTCATCTCACGATACAACCCAATTTATCCCTCTTCACCTCTCCACAGATCTTTTCATCAATCTTCAGCGATTGGAACCATACATCATGCCCGTTCACGAGATCACTAGGTAAGCAAGATACATCTATCGATACTATGTTCTAACGTCCCAGTCTCCCCGATTTCCTCGAAAAGATCCTTCAGTCCCCGGATCCCGTCGTCCTCGACTGCTTTGCTGAATGGTGCGGCCCATGCAAGGCCATCGCGCCTTTGATTGAGAAATGGAGCGATGAACACACCCACATCAAGTTCTATAAGGTAGATGTGGACAAGGTGGATGCTGTGGCCCAGGAGCTGAATGTTCGCGCGATGCCCACCTTTATGTTTTTTAAGGGGGGAGAAAAGATCACGGAAGTCGTCGGTGCCGACCAGCAGCAGATCTTGGGTCAAATCACATCTCTTACTAAGTAAGGCCGACGCAAGCTTTAGAGTCATAGTGATTTTGAGTTGAACATCAAACAATACAACCTGTGTGCCTTCATCTTACCCTTTCCTTTCTCTTTGACATGGCAAAGGATGTGGCCCAATAACTGGGCGTTAATTATGAAAGAATGAGTATACCGGAGCCATCAAGGTAGATCTTCATGTGATGCGGGGGATCAACCACAAGTCACATCAATCTACCCTTTAACGGCAAGACTTGCAGCACTGCAGAAGAATCATACGATTTCTCGCGATCAAACTCCGAGCCGAGTCCATCAAACGTGCAAGTTCCATCCATTCATCATCCATGTATAACAAAACATAGTTGCGTATCCGATTAGGCTATACAGTACGCTACACCTCGGCTCCAAGGTGATAGATCCTCACGCCATTCTCATGAAAGATATCCGGATGCTCTTATCGTACTTTCTTGTGTTTATCGCATGGAGACCCCGCGACCCACGCGGGGTCCCTGACGTTCCTCGGTCCGCAACGGCTCATATGACACGGAACCACTTGAGGTGATCATCATCTTGAAGTTGTCTATTCTCAATATATGGAATTGCCGTCCATATGTAATAAATATAAAAGTAGAAAATCAGACTATTGAGATATCTGGACATTCACAACGACATTCTTTGAGCAATCATAATCATGGCTTGGATGTCAACATCGATGGATCACTTTTTCATCAAAGTCCTAAAAAAGGCATCTCTTCAGCAAAAGCTGCTCTCTAGCCTAGCAGCACTTATTGGGTATCTTATTCTGGCATCAATGATGCGCTTTCGCAGATCTACCACTCTCCAAAAGAAATATCCCTACCAAACCCGTGAATCAATGAGCAAGATGACCAACCACGACGCCTGGAAAATCCAGAAAACGATCTTGCAAATGGAATTCCCGTTTATAGTTCTCAAATCCCTCCAGTTTGCCCTGTTCCGCGTAAGAAAATCTCTTCCAGATGCCAACAAAACGGAGCGCAACTAACTACTGCAGACCTACGGCATCCCAACAATATCCACCCTCCTCCTCAGAACATCGCAATTCTCAGACTCGGCTACTTCGTTCAAACGGTACGCGGACACAGGGGTCCTAATCGGCGAATTCATGGCCTTTGACCCCAATTCCGAACGCGCCCAAACGGCCATCGCACGAACAAACTTCCTGCATAAGGGATACCGCGCAAGTGGCAAGATCATCGAAGCTGATATGCTCTACACACTGAGTTTATTTGCAATGGAGCCTATCCGCTTCGTGAAGCTGTACGAGTGGCGTGAAATGACCGAGATGGAGCGCTGTGCTGTTGGTACGTACTGGAAGAGTCTTGGGGATGCCCTCGACATCAGCTATGAAGCCTTACCCTCCGGAAAGACAGGGTTCCGGGATGGGATTCATTGGTTGGAAGAGTTGAGTATCTGGAGCGAGGGATATGAGCTGCAGCATATGAACCCGCATCCGAGGAACAAGGAGATTGCGGACAAAACCATCGATGTGTTGGTATATAATCTGCCACGGTTTTTGAAGCCATTAGGATTGTATTTTACTTCTTTCCTGATGGATGACCGACTTCGAGATGCTATGATGTATGTGAAAAGCCCATATTGAATAATCCAATGCTCACAATTGTTTAGGATTGATCGACCACCTGTCTTTCTCGCTGCGCTGTTCGGATCAATGCTTCAGCTGCGCAGATTGTTTCTCCGCTATGTGGCTCTTCCGCGACCAAAATTCATGCGTCTAGATGTCTTCACTGAAGAGCCGAATGAGAATGGTAAACATTTTGTTCTGTTCTACGAAGGTCCCCCCTTCTATGTGCAGTCCACGATGTGGAGGCGCTGGGGTCCTGTTGCTTGGTACCAGTGGGCATTGGGAAATCCCTTACCTGGAGATAATGGTAATACGTACTCTCCCCAGGGATACTATACGCCGGACCTGGGTCCTAAGTACTTTGAAGGCAAGGGGCGCAAGGAATTGGATGTGATCAAGGAGAGTATTCGCACGCAGCGGACCGGTCGATGTCCATTCCCCTAATTCTGCTTTGAATATATATACTTAGTATGTTGTCAAATGATTTTCCATTGGCGATCATAGATGATTCAAATGTTGCTATAATACGAGTTTCTCATCACGCTAAAGAAATCAAGACGTAATCAAAGAAATTGCACATCGGGTATCTTTATCACAAGTATCAAACAATAGGTGGCTGACACCAAGCCAGATCTATCACCCAGCTCCAATGATGGAGATATCAAGCCAAAGAAGAAAAGCGCCGAGGGTCAACGCGCAGAACGAAAGGGTGTATCCGGAAAAAGAAGTACCAGGACAATGCATGCGGGAGGCGTATCAAGATAAGGCGTAACAGGACTCAACATGTATGAGGATGGGGTATTTTGCAAAAAGATGTGAAACGACAGAATTAGAAGGTTAATCCGTCCCGCCAGGAGACGATGGTAAGGGGAATGAAGCCGGGTCGGTCAGGGTAGAATCATCAAACGCAAACTCTGGGGATGGCATAAAAGAGCTATATTGGGTGGATGGGCTGAGAAGAGATCGCCCACTCTCGCCGACCTCGCCGAGTTCCTCGGGTGACAGGACACGACCACGTATCTCGACGTCCTGGACACGTACATTATATTCAAGGGCCCTTTGGCCTTCTCTTATAAGCTCTTCAGTCCACCCGAGACACCGCTTGAGACTTTGATTTAACTTCTGGCTATCCACAAGGAGTTCCTGGTGTCGAGCAAGATCAAGCATGAATCGTTTCTCATCATGAACACGATGCTTTGCGTCGTGATCGGCAAGGTTGTCGGGGCTGAGGACTCCTTCGTCTGCAACGGAATCCTCGTCGCTGAAATCGGACATGTCATCGTGGGATCGTATCGAGGAGAGTTCACTGTTGCCTTCGTCCATTTCACTCGTTGCCGACAGGGCTGTGCCAGAAAATGAACGAGTAGAAGGGGCCATTGAAAGGCGACCAGAGCGGCTCAAGCGTCTGAATCGGCGGAGTTCTGCGTTCTGCTTGCGCATTTCTCGCTCCAGGGTTCGGTTGATAGCAAGTAAAGAGGAGTTGCTGATTTCCAAATCCATAATCTTTCGTTCTGTCCGAGCATTCAAAGCTACTTCCCCGCTGTCTGACTTGCCAGGACTCATGGACATGGGCTGGTAGGTGTCTGTGGAGGAGGAGCCGTTGCTGAATAAACGAGGGCGAAGGGTCGGGATCTGATCAGACAATACGGGTGCAGGGGTTTCGAGGTGGTGTGTTTGAATATTGGGCATGATAAGCGGGCTAGCATGAAGTCCGCTGCGCTGTGATATCATCGAATTTGTTTGCGAGTCCATACTGGACGACTTTCGATGTTTAGCCATCAAAGGGAGCGGTGGTCTATCCGACACGATACTCGGAGGCGAGGCGAAACGCGGCAGAGATTCATCAGCAGTCTGATCGAGGCTTGGGCTGCAGTTGCTCTGGGTGTCAATAAGCGGAAAAGTAGCGTCTGAAATTCGGGGAGATTTCAAGCGCACGGAAGGCGAAGGGCCCTGTCTGTTCGCAGAGGCAACACGAGGTAGTCCCCCCGAGCGACGCGAAGAGGAGGTGACATAGGATCCTTCCGGTGATGGCTGTCGTTCCTGATCCCCATTTGCGTACATGAAGCTTGAGGCCGGTGACACCTTCCCCTGTTTCGGACGGACCTGTTCAACATCGGAGGAATTGGAAGATCGTGTTTCGGCAGCATGAAAAAACATGGGCGAGCCAGCGGCCATATCGGTGAAAGAGTTTGAGCGAGACACATGCTGTTCTGCCCTGAGTGTTTTCGCTCTCAAGCTGCTCGATTGTTCTGCCTTCACCCCGCGAGCCGGACTGCGTTCCCGTCGTACGCCATTGAGGCCCAGGCCGACCGTGGGTTGGACATATGGAGTCTGCGGAGAGGAGATAGGAGGAGTGTTTGTCGGGGATGGGAATCCAGCATCACGGCGGGTATTTCGAGAGCCAGATCGAGGGGTGACGTTGACACCGAGGAAGCTGGGAGTGGCGGCGGGGAGATCCTTCTTGGAGGGGGTGGAATAGGCATAAGCATGATCGGGTTGGGCGAGACGACGTGGAGCAGCATTCCCTGGGCTTGGATTCGCTAATTTCGGTGTCAAGGGAGACTTGTGTGATCGGTGAAATGCCGCACTGAGGGTGGGCGTAAATGGTTTGGCGGAGTAGCCGTTGTTTTGTTTATCGGAGGTCATAGTTGCGCGGGTGTAAGAGATGGCATTGCGAACTCGAACAATCGAGCATGATGGCACCGGCCCACCAAGTCTGTGTTCGTAGTATAAATTATCAGACTCACCAATGGCCTGATTAGAGGAAGGGGGTTGTTTCACAGATGTTGAAGATGGTGGAGATGTGGGATCAATAGAAAAACATTTGCCCAAATTGGTTTAGTCGTGCCCAGGCTTCACCGCATCAAGAATTCCCCTATTTGCCCCCTTAATAGAGGACAGAAAATGGTAAATAATTAAAATGAAAACAAACGTTGTATTGAATTTTGCTCAATATAGGTATATATATGCAAGGTTCATTTATCGCGGATTCCCTGTTCTTTGACGTGACCCTTCTGCATGGTCCTGGCCATAGAGTTCGGTATCTTGATCCTGATGATCTATTTGATCATCCAATTAGCTGGTAGATCCCGACTTATCAATGTCTATCGGAGTAAGAGGTTGGCGGTTTCCCAGTAGATATTGAACGCAATAGCCTAGTATATTGCGCTTAGTTTGCTTCTTGGTAAGGTGATATTCGATGATTCAGCGAAAGAATAGACGTTTCTGCCGAGGGTCAGCATCAGAAGGAGATGGCTGAGCTGACTTGCGCTTCCGGCTTAGGATGGATTCTTCCTGCGTATCTGGGGTATCCTGAGTGGCTTCACGAATGGTCTGTCGAGAGAGACAGAAGTCCACATGATCATTAAAGATTCGGTAATCGGCTACTTGAGCGCGACCACATATGGGACAGTTCCATTGGGCCGGAGGATCAAGATCGGGCACATTCGCAGTGTCGGATCCGGCTGCCTCCTGACTGAGCTGTTCCAAGTCATTCATTTCATCTTGGATCTCTTGTCGAGCAGCAGTCTCAAAAGCCTCCTCCGCACTAATATCATGGGAATTAGAGTCCGGCGTGTCTGTCGAGCTAGGTCTGGCTAGTACAGCTGCAGCACCGAAGAAGTTGATGCCAGCTTTCTTGGTACTGACCAAATTTGTGCAACGGAGACCAAGTAATCGCAGCTTCATGCCAGGGATTTCCTTTTCCAATTTGACTAGCATGGGTAGTGCGAAATTGTACAGATCTTTCGCCTGAGAGACTGCCCGAGACGGAGCTATTTGACGAGTCAGGACTTCAAACGTGTGTAGTTTGACTTTGAGAACCAATGTTCGACCTTTGAACTGCGTGCGTGCTAGATCCCCTTCCAGTTCTTGAGACACTGATTGCAACTTGGCACGAATCTCCTCCTTGTCCCCAATTTCGTGGAATGTCGTCTCGGTTCCCACGCTTTTTCGCTCGTAGGTTTCGACCGGCTGGATTTTTGTACGGCCCAGACCTAGATAGCACTGGGCAAGGAACTGGAATGCTTTTTCACCAAATAATCTGGTCAAGAGCCCACGATGTGGATAAATATCACCGCAAGTTTCGATTCCAATGGAGCCTAGTTCTCGTTCAAAGACACGGCCTACTCCATTCACTTTGCGCACGGGAAGTACTCGCATGAACTCCATGATCGCAGCCCGATCGTTCGGAACCCGAAACTGACCGTTGGGTTTGTTTCGATTAGACGATATTTTTGCAATTTTTGCATTTGCAGCAATCCCAGCCGACACGGACACCTTGGTGGTCTCTAGAATTTCAGCGCGCATTCGTTGGACGGTTTCCTCCGGATCCAGTTCATTTTCAGCGCAATAGGCAGTGATGTTCAAATAAGCCTCGTCGATGCTGGCGCTCTCATACATAGGATCGTACTGTGCCAGAATTGCGCGAATCTCCTTGGCTTTCGCCGTATATTTATCGTAATTCATTGGAAGAAGAACGAGTTGAGGGCAAAGCTTCTTAGCCACAAATGACGCCATTCCGCTACGCACGCCAAATTTCCGAGCCAGGTAATTGCAAGTGGTTAAAACACCTTTGCCCACGGCCATGGGAACCGTTTTCAATTCCGGCCGGTCCAATTCCTCGACGGCGGCGAAGAACGCGTCACAATCGACATGAACCACATATTGTGAAAGATCTCGAGTCGATTCCAACTCAGCCAGGTACTCATCCGCCCGTCGCAGGTCATGACTGAGATCCAAAGTTTCAAGATGAGATCTTTCCTTGCGAATACGCTCAATCTTAATAGTCAGGTTTCGATCGCGGTCTTGCTCATGGTTGAAAAATTTGGAACCTTTAGATGCTTCGTAGATGATTTCAGAGACCTATAATTTCTCAGCAACCTAAATCGTCATTTCAGATCCAATCCGTACCTTACGCTGATCAACGGCATCTTGACCCGCTTTGGTTAGAGATGGTCCTAGCAAAGAGTATTTTAACGTGTCATTATTCTCATACTTCTCAGCCGACTCGGATTTCATGTCTTTGGAAGGTCCACCAGGGGACGCCATGATTCAACGATTTCCATTGAGTTGAAAGTTTGACGTTGGAAAAAAGAGTATTAAGTTCAGGCAACGGCCGCCACTGACGCCTGATCACGTGTCGACGCGTTCGCTTCACGTGGAACCCTCATTGTTTCAATCTTCTGTTTCTTCAACGCTTTCTCCATGTGGATACTGGACTCAACAGGTGACTTCCTAGATGGTGAGATATAACACTCAAATCTCGTTGGAACTAGGACATCGCTGACAAGAATCAGGGAAGCGTGTCTGGCTGCGGCCCGGGAAGAAGTATCTATTCGGGCGACCCCCGCAAGATGGCAGTAAGTCAAGATCTTGACGGTGAGGTTCCGCAGCTAACATTGACCAGCTCACCGCGCCATCTCTGACAGTGTGAAGGCTGCCAATACGATTTCCCGCAAACACCTCACAATCGAAGTATCGACCGTCACCCCTCGCGACGGAGTACGATGAGCCATTCAACCTCGATGGAATTCACGACTGACCGATATAGACCCGTCCACACGCGCGAACCAAAGTCACCGTGACTGATTTACATTCGAAGAAGGGTACACTGGTGGATGGGGAACAAATTCAAGGTGGAGATCGGAAATTAAATGGGGATGAACACATTATTCAGCTCGGTCGCTATGCTCATCCTCTTCGGTCCGTATGCCCTGCGCCGATCTTCACGAAAGCTCTCTCTCATACCTTTCAATCACAGAATAAGATGGCAGCCGGTGGTTTTGAGCTTCTCTTTTTCATCCAAGGAGATGAGAGCGGAGGATCCCCTAGCTAAAGTGCGCTCCAAGCTAGAGGACCTAGACATCAAGACTATCATCCCATACCTGGTGGATCAAACCACCCATGTTGTCCAGAGCAAGCGAAATACAGCTAAAGGACTCCAAGCGCTCATAAACGGCAAAGCAATTGTCAATCCCTCGTATATTGACGCTTTGGTTTATGCCACCACGCCAACAGACTTGGAAAATGAGGAAGCCTTGTCCCCACTCGAGACTGATTTCGACGCCGCATGGCCAGATGCGACAAAATATCTTCCACCTGCTGGTAACGAACCTGTCAGTCGACCGGCAGCTGCCTTTGCGCCCAACCCGGCTCGTATCAACGTTTTCGAGGGCTATACCTTTGTTTTTGGCGATGCTGCCCAATTCGAGAATTTGCATGCAGCGATCAACAATGGCCAGGGCAAGGCACTCTTTTATCAAATAGTAGACGGCGTTACCACGGCAGCCGAGATCGTCAAATTCATGAGAGATGCCGCAGGCCAGAAAAGCGGCATTGGAGAAGATGGGCCTGGCCAAGTCGTGCTGGTGAGGTTCCGATCCAAAGGTGAACACGAAACTTGGTCCATTGAGGTGGGTAACGAGGTCGCGTTGATGATTGATCGACGCGTAATTGAGCAAAGGGAATTCCTGGATGCTATTTTAGGGAATGACGCCTCTCCACTTTGTCGCCCTCTTCCTCGTGAGGAAGAGTCGAGTCAGGTGCCGTTTCCCTCAACTGCTCCGGAGCCTCAGCTGCAGCTCGTTCCAGAGGGTTCTCTTCCATCTGCATCCCCACCTACCCCCTCACAAAGATCCCCGTCGATGAGCTCTTCGAGACCCAAAGCTTCACGTGTTCGCAAGTTCGTGAGCAAAATGAAAACATTCGATGACGGCTTCGACATGGATTCAATTCCTGTATACGCATCTGACGAAGATATTAACAACACCCCGACCATGGAGTATGAGCCCCAGCCCTCTCAACATGTCGAGTCCCTGGAAAAAGTGATAGAAGAAGAAGATGTCGTCACGGATTTGCTGCCCGGCGCACGGGCGATGAAGAGACGACGAGAAGAAATGGAGCAAGGACGCCCTAGTCGTCCAGCGCCTGCGGAACATGAAGCTCCTCCAAAGCCAAAACGTGCGAAGCTCGATATCCGAGAAGCGGCGCGAAGGCATCGCGATGAGGAAGAGAAACAAAGAAAGGCTGAAGAAGATGCCCACCTTACCCAAGATGTCAGCATCGAAGACTTGCGGAATCTGGCTATCGTCGAAGAGATGGAACTTCCCGTCCGTGAAGCACCCTCCCGAGATGATCATAGCAACGATCGATGGGATGAACAATGGAATGGTCGAAAGAACTTCAAACGATTCCGGCGAAAGGGAGAGCCGCGCCATGCACGGCGAGTCCAGAGTGTCATTGTTCCCCTGGAAGAGGTCACAAGGAGAGAACTTGGTATTGGCGAGTACCAATGGGTCAGCAATCACAAGGAGCCCGCCAGGAACGATGGACCGATGGAGGAGGATCAGCCGACGGTCACTCCGAGTGAGCGGGCTGTCTCAAGGTCACAACAGTCGGTGGGTTTGTCTGCGAGTCCCGAACCTACGCCTGATCCACCTGCGCATTCATGCAGTCTCAGCCAGAAACGGCCTCGTGAAGTACGTGATTCAGAGAGTGATGAAGAACTGCGATTCCGGTTCAGGCGCAAGCGGTAACCTTCCCTTTTAGACGTTCTATATTCTCTCATGTTGCATAATTTTCTAGCGTGCTTTATAGTTTTGATGCATTGATACCCTCAAATACCACGATGAACAGCAGTGCGCAGCACTTCAATCGAATGCCTGGTTATTACTAGTCCTGCACGCTATTTCGACATGATCAATCACCTGGGCACCAATCATAACCTCAACTGCCCATGCTTGAGGCCTTTTAAGATCTCCATAGTTCTCTCCCCTTCATTCCAAGGTTTCTTTGTACTGACAAGCTTGTCGGAAATGTCGTCTGCTCTTTGTTTGCGAGCTGTCAGTGGACACATAGCTCTGAAGCTGAAGCTGTATATATTACTAAGCACTTCAAATGCTGTGATGCGGTCATCAATTCTTTATGGAATATATAATTAATGTACAATTTTTGGATAGTAGCTTGACCCAAAATCACAATAAACTTTAGCACGCCTGACTAATTCCTCTTCTCATCCTGGGAATCCAAGTCTGTGCTTTCGCCTCCATCGCGGACAATGATGCCTAAGATCCACGCGTTCACAGCGAAGAAGAACAAGGAGGCAAGGAAGAGACCGGGCACAAAGGCGGAAAGGCCGAGAAATTCCAGATAATAGCCTTGCTGGAGCCAAAGGGCCTATTCAGTGTAGTCAGCAACAACCCCTTATATATTACCCAACAAGGTACATACATACCTGTGCGATGACCCACAACAGAGCAGCTGAGATGCCGAGAGCAGGCTTGCGGATGAACTCGGAGGAGGGGAGGTAAAATGGCAGCAGGATAAGGTACCATAGGAAGTACTGTCGTCGTTAGCTTACATTAAATACGATGAGTAGTCTGGGAGACATACTTGACTCGTGCACACTTTGTTAAACGTGACAAATGCAAATGTCTGGGCCAACATGGCAGTTGCAAGGCTCTTTTTCGCCAGCACCAAGGGAAGCGCGACAACTACAAGCAATAGCTGAGGTAGGAATGCAAGCGCCTCGAAGTGGGACTCTGCATTGCCAGCAGCAGTGAGATAGAGTAGAGTGGCGTAGGGAGAAAAATTGTGTCGGTGGTCAATCCGGGTAAGATGGTGGAAGAAGGTATGGTGGAGGAAAGGCATGCCGTACTGAACATACATGACGAGGTTCAGGACAGCAAATGTCATCAGGGAAGACAGAATCAGCTTCACTCGCGAAGGAGTAATGAATCTCAAACCCCTAGATATGCAGCCAAGGTCACGAGCAGGGGTAGCGCCATCGCGCTCCGCATCCCACCACCAGAGAATCGAGATACCGTAGATGAAGGGGTAAATCTTGAAGTGCACAGCCAGACCAAGGATTAAACCGGCAAGGACGGCCTTTCTCTTCAAGGTGGCCCACAGCAATGCCGCAACTAGAACACCGAGCAACCCTTCGGAGCTGCCACGAGTGCTAATATTCGCGACCATAGGATTCCACAGCCATGCAGCGGCTACATAACGAAGCGCCCGCTCGGAGGGCAATCGATAACATCGAGTCAAGAGCTGTACAACCAGCCATCCAGCTAGAGCATCAGCCAATGCAAAGAGAATCTTCCCAAAGGCAAAAGTCACCGACGACCATGGTGCGGGTCCTTCCCAGGCTGTGGGCAAAAGCATCCACGCGAGAAGTGGCGTATAGCGATACGTATCTCGTGCATATGGGGTTTCCCCCTTCGATACATAGCGGGCGGCATCAGTGAATACCATGTAATCGATATCAGTGTACTTCATGGCAGAATGAGCATCTTGCCAGCCACCATAGAAGAGCAAAATGAGGCGCAAGGCCGTTGCCGCGAAAAAGACGCGGGTTGCGGAGTCGAAAAGAGTCATGCCTTTGCAAGTATATCAATCCACAATTGCCAAGTCAGGGGGAAGGCTTGGGCAATGTGTGAGGAAGCTCCCCTGGCCAGCTAATGCCGGCGTTCGGGTTTGTTAATAGTGCAGCGGCACAGCAGCTCGGCAAATACCACGGTTTAGATCAGATCCAGCCAATTAATCTTTAGCAGGGCTCTGAACTGATCTTTTATCTCATTTCTGAGACTGGATTTGGTGCGATGTTTGCTTAACTTAACGCTGTCAAATGTCGCGGCAGAGCGCGGTGCTGAGTCATCAATATGTGATCTGGCACTTTGGCCATTTGCGGTTAGCGTAGTCGCTTCTTTAAGCCCTCAATGACCAAGGTCGGGCTCCCATATTGCCGCTTCAAGGAGCCTATGTCCAAGCAAGTCTCCACCGGTGTTGAAGGATCAACACAGATGGGAAGTTAAATATTTCGAGCACTTTAAATGCTTAACTTTCGATTCGACATGTTCCATGAATTTGGGTAAAGGACCATGTGTGTACTTCGAGGTTCGCGCAGGCAATGGCAAGGCTAAAGCCCAACTATGTGTATGTACAATGTGGACGTATGCATCACTATGTACGACCATTGATTCATCAAAATTTTATACAGTACAACCGAATACACATTTGAAAGTGATAGAAGCGTAAGTATGCCCTATCCTGTTCCAGCAGCACTCTCAATAGTATGCAGGCTGATTGCCAAAGTAAGAATCTGGGAAGGGCTCAAAATACGGCTGTGCGGCAAACTTAGAGCCTTTCTCATGATCTGGCGTCAAGACAGCCATTGCATCGCCCCGATTCTCAAGGTCCATCCCAGGCCAAAGATTATTATCGCTCCAGCTCAAATACTCCCAAAGATACTGACCGGAATCATCGAGGAACGGGGCAGCTAAGGGATCTGAAATCCCTGCCTCACTCAACGACATCCCTAGACGACCAGGCTCAGTCGGCGCAAATAGGGAGGTCATGTCCCGACCGGCGGGAAATATGGTCGTGGGAATAATTCCTGCAGTTGATGCGCTCAGATCATCACCACGCTTACTAGCCTCATAGATACGCGAAACAGCATCTAGAGATCGCTTGGCCGTATGACCATGTGCCGACATACGCGCGAGAGTGGTCATGGCAGTCTCGACCTGCGCTTGGCAGGATTCGATTGATGCACGAGGATCATCGGTTGTGGGGTCGTTGAGGAAGAGGCCTACCAAGGGTACCAAGGACGCTTGAAATGTCCACCAGACGGCATTCCAGCCACAAAGCTGGTTGAATTGTGCTGTGGCGGCGATATTTTGGATAGAAAGTTCCGCGACTTCACGGCATTTCATAATTGCAGTGCGTTCCTCGACTCGGAGAGCAATGTATGGCACACGACGCATGGCGTAGCTGAGAAGTGTAGGGCGATAGATAAGCATCCGCTGGTTATAGAATCGCCATCTCATAACAGTACGAACTGTGCTTGTTGACTCCGTGCATGGTTCGTGGTCTTTCAGAATAGGTGGGAGATTCTCCCACCAATCAAGCAGTTGAGCATCTGCATGGGCCATTTCTTGATGCTTGACCAGTGGCGCAGCTGCCAACGACTCTTGGACTTGCGTTGCAATCTTGGCAAAGCGGATGTTCTCTACGAGCGGGAGGATGTCGAGAAAGTTTTCCTAAAGAATATTAACACGGCCCAGCAATAGGTTGGCAACGAAACGAACCTTATCTCGACAGTTCGGTGGTTTGACAGTGATGTATGGACCAAAGCGACCCATGCTAGGTCTTCCCAGTGTCATGCCCGCCCAAGTATCCATGACAAACAGGGACCACCAAACTCGACGCTTGAGGTCCATGGATGCAAGTTTCGTGGGACCGGGGACCTGTCGACTCTCGGCGAACTCTTTATGCAATCCTAATGTGGCTGCCATTCGCAATGCGGCGCCGAGGACGGAATATGCCAGATTTGGTTGGCTGATATAGTGACAATACCAACCACCGATGAGGCCAAGAGCCTGTATCGTCTCGATGTGGGAGCTCCCCAGAGAACTCAGACTCAAGTGGCTCTTGCAGCGCAGGAAGTAGGTCTGATGCGTCATATCATCTGGACTTGTGGCAGCAATGCTACCCAGTGCCAGAACAATGTTCAGCAGAGACAGCCAATGGTCATCCTTTCGGTGGCCAGTCATATAAGATTCTCGAAATGACTTCTCGTCGATCATTGGAGCAAAGGCTTGGAAGTAACAGAAGTATGCATCTAGCATCTGCATCTCACTTGGTGGAATGGATGGTGGGGGTGGAGTCACCGGTGGTTGAGGGGGCCATGCATTTTGAGGGTCATATTCAAGATCTACTTCCTCGCGTGGATAAACTGCTGGTGTGCGAGCGAAGAAGGAAGCACATCCTGGATCGAGCCACAAAATCACCTTGAGAACAGCTTGGATAGAAGAAACTCCCAAGTAAGATGAAGGCTGTCTGGATGACAGGGATAATGCATTAACGTCGTCGGAGACGCCTTCTACCAAGAAGCTAGTATGACCATTGCGGCCATCGTCCAGTTCTTCTGGCATGCTTTGTAGAGATTCAAGGTTGTCGTCTTCATTCGAGATTGGAGACACATGGGCCTCCATGGAGCCTGAGGTAGAAGGTGAAGCGGCATGGTGTGTGTTGATTTGTGCCGGCAAGGTCGACGGCGACGCTGATGTGAGCTCGAGTAGTTTTTCCCGCGACAAATTGACGAGGGACTCGGGAGGCACATGAGGGAAAAGTTTCCCTAGGATGCTGCGGTATTCATCCAGAGTCGTAGAAAGCTTCTCAACATGTCTATTCTTATATTGAGCCGACATTTCGATACATGGGACAATACATGGCTAGTAACCCACCTTCTGGAAGGCCTAGGATCGGAGTAGTGACACTGATCTGCCTTTTTATACCATCGACATGCCTCGCATGGCTTTTCACCATCACATTTAATCTTTCGATGTCGACATGATGTACATGCGCGCAGGGTCGTCACTCGGCGACTGACTGATTCACGACGCTCGGTGGCGGGTCGGGTTTTTGCAGGCGTGCGTGCCGTCGGATTTTCGAAACTCTCAAATGTGTGGAACATGGCTGCAAGATATTATCACGGAATCAAATTCACGAATCACATAGTTCAAGCCCAGAGTCAATGAAATGACAGCATTGGTGGGGGTTTTAAGACGCAGTTGTACGATTTGCTAGAACAAATATACGGATTCAAGTCGTTTTCCAAGGTATGGGTAATATCGAAACTCAAGGTTGATCACGTAGATCATATCGTGTTAAAATGGGTCGTGTCACTGGAAAACATGGAAGGAGATGGGGAGAAAATATGACCAAGAAAAAGACCAGGGAGAGGACTCGAGGCTAAGTGAGCAGCTAAGACCGAAAATAGTAATGTTTTTGGTCCGCCTAATTCTCCCCCGCATTTCAAGCAAGTCTGGGGTCTTTGTGCCCACTTCGGCGTCACCGGATGTAAACTCGCTTATTGGACATGTCACTCCGTTGTTGATTTGCGGAATCAACGGCACCATTAAATAGATGAAATTATATGGACTTGGCCAAACTTGTTGAGCTTCAAGGCTCACTCTTGCTACACCTGAACTACCACTGCCAAGTGCCGGTACATACAAATGACAAGGTCTTGGTGGGGGGCATTAAATGAATCCCGATTGTTGTACTTTCTTACCGGAAAGTGCCACGCGCCAGCTTAACCAGGGTTCACGGGCAAATTACGGAGTGCATGCTCTTCATACGCCACTGGCTAGTTCCACGCGTCGGAGCCCCTGCCATAATTTCCTCAGAGAATGGAACTTTCTCCAGGTTTGCTGACTCGGCAGAAGCAGGACAGCCCTAGGTTGCAGAAGTGGAACGAACCCTGCAGAATACCGGAAGATCGTCCGTAGAAAAGGTTCAAGACTACTTCTTAGGTTGTTTCCTGGCGTTGTATGGAAACAACTATCCAACATCAGACATTCCTTTGGTCCGGAGTTTGACCCAGGAACCCCTGGAAACCCTGTACGGAACACTTACATTGTGCGGGGAGTGGCAGTTGCCCCATGGCTAATTTCCGTGGCGAAAGCCTCGTGGATGGGGCATGGCGCCAGGGAAATTTAGCGGTGCGGGACCGAAACACATCGTTCGTATATTGATCAGGCGGGGCCAGGGACGTGCTTCCCCTTGCCCAATCACCATCATAACAAGTCCGAAGCCGAGACCCTGGTGGCGGACGCGATGTCCACATTAAGCCAAGGGCCCGAGGAGGTGGAGGCACCAGTAATAAATCCAACTCAACATCCAATGTCAACATGCTAGATGTGAGTTCCGGCGAAACGAGGTGCGTGAAACCGAAAAAGGCATAAGCTTGCGTAAACCCATGCAGAGTTGTAGAGACCCAGATTATTTGAGGGGAAATCGAAACGCCAAAGCTACCCCATGTCGACTTTGATGAAGGAACCAAACTACCAAGGGCCGTTGCCTTCGGACCCCGAAGCGGGGCCGATCATTGGTTCGGTTAGAGGGACTGGGAACACTAGCGTAAATTCGGTTCGGCTTCCTAGTAATTTTAGTGAGCATGGATCATAATCAAGGTATCTAGCCTTCGATGCGGATGCCGTATGCAATCTGCACAAAGGTATTAGAAGAACAAAGTTTCCTGGTCAACCCTAGATAAAGAGAGGCATGTCCTCCGTTGGAAGAGGGAAGTTTGGAGCCTGAAGCTGGACGGAGATGGGTCCGTGTCCAATCGGGTACTCTGCAAGTCATTTAGGTATTCTGGAAACTCCTCCATATTGAGAAGTGTTCCTTGGGTAAGCAGCATCGGCAATCTAGGGAGTCGGGACTGATTTGGTCACACGACGAGAGCACGTTTATTGATGCCTGAGGATCAAATATACGCCTATTATATGAGGTGTCGATGTCACATGTCTCGGAGTCTCCGCACCCAAATGGGAAGGTGCGTGGGGTAGCTTATCGATAAGGTAATCACTATTCATCTAAATAGCTTGAAGTCTGGAAAGCTGGCTCATAATCAACTTCTGAACCAATTCAACTGTGCATCATGGAGCTGAAAACTCATACCCTTTCCACTGGGTGGTCTTTCCGGGACAGTGAGACAGAAGATTGGATGCCCGTATCAACGGTGCCCTCCGTCGTTCAACAAGATCTGCTTGACAACAACAAGTAGGCTCATTCTGACGATGAAGGTGCTCATACTGGATATTAACGAAATTCAAATAGGCTCGAAGATCCCTTTGCCGAGTTGAATGAGGTCAAAGCACGTTGGGTGAACCAAAAGTCATGGGTATACCGCAACACGTTCGACAACCCGACCTTCTCCAATGGTTCCGCAATTGACTTGGTATTTGATGGCCTGGATACCTTTGCAACGGTGAAGCTGGATGGCCAGGTAATCTTGCAGTCCGACAACATGTTTCTAGGTCGCCGCGTGAACGTCACGAAGGCGATGCAAGCAGAGGGTGAGCACACACTGGAAATTGAATTTAAATGTGCCGAGATCAAGGCTCGTGAGTTACGTGATCAAGACAAATCTCACAAATGGGTCGGTTTTAACGGAGATATGTCTCGTCTGGCGGTCCGAAAGGCGCAATACCATTGGGGCTGGGACTGGGGACCGGTGCTAATGACTGCTGGCATTTGGCGTCCAGTCCGACTAGAAGCTTATACCGCACGTGTGGCTGACCTTTGGCCGCAAACATCTCTATCGCTCGATCAAGAGACAGCCAAGGTGACCACCACAATCAAGGTTGAAACAACGGGGGTTAAGGAATATAGAGCTCGGTTTACTCTGAGTGTGCACGGAAAGGAATTTGCGCGCCAGGACATCCCGCTATCGGCAAATCAAGCCCAGGTTTCATTTCCTGTCAATCGCCCGGAGCTTTGGTGGCCTCATGGGTATGGCAATCAGACCTTATACGAAGTTTCAGTTTTGCTGCTTTGCGGGGAGCAAATTGTGGATCAAAAAAGCAAAAGGTTTGGAATTCGATCCGCTGAAGTCATCCAACAACCGGACAAACATGGGAAATCATTTTTCTTCCGTATCAACGGGATGGACATTTTCTGTGGTGGATCCTGCTGGATACCTGCGGACAGTCTTTTGACCAACGTCACCCCTGACCGGTACCGCAAGTGGATCGAGATGATGGTGGAGGGCCAACAAGTTATGATTAGGTATGTATTGACCAATGTGTACATGAGTGATCTAAAATGGCTACAGAGTATGGGGAGGTGGTATCTACGAAGATGCTACATTTTACGAAGCCTGTGATGAGCTAGGAGTGATGGTTTGGCAAGACTTCATGTTTGGCTGTGGCAACTACCCAACATGGCCCTCCCTACTTGAATCTGTGCGCCAAGAAGCGATCTATAATTTAACGCGACTACGCCACCACCCGTCCATTGTGATCTACGTCGGCAACAATGAAGACTACCAAGTCCAAGAGTCAGTCGGCCTCACATATGATTTCGAGGATAAAAATCCGGAAAATTGGCTCAAATCTGATTTTCCGGCCCGATACATCTATGAGAAGCTGCTGCCGGATGTGGCTTTGGAGTACTCCCCGGGGACTTTCTACCATCCAGGCAGTCCATGGGGTGATGGGAAAATCTCCTCGGATCCGACAGTGGGAGATATGCATCAGTGGAATGGTAAGTCAACTAGTCACAACAATCAGAAGTCCGCTGAAAATTTCTAGTATGGCATGGAACACAGGAGAAGTACCAAATATTTGATACTTTGGGTGGCCGATTCAACAGCGAATTCGGCATGGAAGCGTTTCCGCACATGGAAACAATCAAATCATTTTCTCGAAACCCCAAGGATCATCACCCTCAATCTCAAGTGATGGATTTCCACAATAAGGCGGACGGCCATGAGAGACGACTAGCGACTTATCTGGTAGAGAATTTCAGATTTCCGCATGGCGGAAGTCTCGAAGTAGGATTACCCCGTCATGTTCAATACTAGCGATAATGTTGACGCACTTAGGCATACATCTATCAAACTCAAGCTGTCCAGGCCGAGACAATGATGTTTGGGTATCGAGGCTGGCGGCGCCAGTGGGGCGATGAAAGACATTGCGGAGGAGCCCTGCTTTGGCAGCTCAATGATTGCTGGCCGACTATTTCATGGGCCATTGTGGATTATTTCCTAAGGCCAAAGCCTGCCTATTACGCGGTCAAGCGTGTGCTCAATCCCATCGCCGTTGGTGTGCGACGTGAACACCACGACTGGAGTGTGGTTCATGCCCAGCCAGCGCTCAGCAGTCAGTATGAATTATGGGTCGTCAGTAATAAGCCTGAGACACTTCAAGGAAAGGTTGAGCTGCGGTTTATTTCCATTGAAACTGGAAAAGAAATACGCTCGCCCTTGATTCGAAACATTTTGATTGTAGGGAATGGCACAACAAACGTCATTACCGACGGCATCATCGATCATGTTGCAGAACCGGACCCTCATGTGCTAGCTGCACGAGTGTGGGTAAACAATGAACTTGTCGCCCGGGATGTTGACTGGCCGCAACCTTTTAAATACATCAACATCCCGACGCCGCCAATCGAGATTAAACGATCGAGCTCGTCTAGAACAGACAATGTACAGACGGTGACGATTGCTGCGCAAAAACCGGTGAAATGTTTGGTCTTTGAGGAGCGAGATGGAATCAGATATAGCGACAATGCGCTGGACATTGTCCCTGGCGATGTGCAGCAGATTGCCATCACGGGGCTGTCGGCGGACGTATCAAGCTTGACATATAGATTCCTGGGACGGGAGGAGTCCGCTCAAGAGGTGTCTATCTAGATATTCAGGGACGAAGAGCCGGTAGACTGTCCAATACATGAGTTCATATCTTTCATTTCCATGCACTTCAGTCATAATTTTATAATACTAGATAATGTAAATCGGCCGGGAGTTGTGATTTTCTGTACATTTTATACCGAATGCTCCAATCTGGTAGAATAAGGCTATCAAGATTGAGCAGAATCTTGGAATATTTGACGAAAAAGCATTCATATGTATCCTTAGCTTTGGAACCCAGTTTCAATGATATCCTAACCAGGAAGCCCAAAAGGCCGCGCATCTATCTCGCAGATTGTTCCCGGGGGTGGAAGCTCCCCTGTTTGGAAATAATTTCTAACGAACTTGGTGGTACATTCGGAGGATGCAGCCAATGAACAGTGCTATGAATATCAGGTTAACCTTCAAAGCCAGACAATCAGCAAATTAATCGGGATGGAGCACTTACACCGACGGAGTTTTGCTGTAGTACTCCGGCACCGGAGAAGCCAGAAGACATTTTGACGGCACTATAGTATGTAAGCTGGATTGCTGAGTGGGTCGTAGGTATTGGTATTCTTACTTTTGAAGAGGAGTCACTGGGTCATATGAGTTGCCAATGAAAAGTAGAGGATGCGACGTATTTTGAACGAATGATCCTTAACAGTCGTGGTCATGGGTCAGCGCTAAGTAAAATCCCACATATCAGATGCAACTTACCATTAAATGGCCATTCCGGTCTTATGTGCCAGTGAGGACAGGACATACGAATGGCAGACCATTCATCTCCGAGTGCGTGACTTTGATTTTGAAGGGTTTGCCAATACTTCATATACTCATGCTTTGCAATTCCATGCATGTCTTTTGCATCTGTGCATAGAATACCTGACAGTGCCTCAAAATTTCCTTCATCATGAAGAGCCTTCCGGGTCTGAGCTTTGAGATCTGCAAAGGAAGATCCATTGCGACGAGAGTGATCCGTGAGGAGTTCTGCCAAAATTGGAAAATTGGCCATTGGTGAGTACAGAGACCTGATAATTATCACCCTAACATCGCTATATGTGACGATTTCAGGTCCTCTATTCGTTGATCCAGGAACTGCAACGGGGTTGACTGAGATATCAGCGAGAATATCGTAGAAGCGCTCTCTGGTCGTGTGTAAACTGTCCAAGGCAAATGGACATGACTTCGGACCTGCTTCATGGCAGTAATCGAAGAACTTTTCCAGTGCTGAGTCTGCATCCTGAAGATTAGCGAGCCAATTACCATCATAGTAATCATCTGAGTCGCAAACTCCATCAACCACCAAGCGATGAATGCGGTGGGGCTGCAACGCAGCAAAAGTTGCACCCAGAACACTTCCATATGAGAATCCCCAATACAGAATTTTTTCCTCTCCCTTCTGCCACTTGTTCCGCCGAGTGTTTTGCACTTGAACTTCAGATTTCACTCCAGTATCTAGACATCTGGTACTCTCCTTCTCACGCCACTCGCCATGCCGCTCGATAAGTTCAACCATATCTGCCACCACCGGCGGAGTGTTCATGAAACGTCCTATCCATTCCGAACCACCAGCATCAACATCCAGAGTAGAGCAAGTATCGCTAAAGGCCTTTGCCCGTGCCCAAAGGTGATCAAATGCAATATCTGAGCTCCCAGAATTCCCCTCTACCTCCAACTCAAGCTGCCACGCGTCTCGCGCTGCCGAATTGACAAAACAAGAGAGTTGAGGAGTGGTATTTTTGACTCCTCTTGGATCAAAGCTAATCACATCAAAATACTTTGCACTGGATGATTGGGCATCTGCATGGTCGGGAGATGTCTCAAAATCAATAATTTTTTGAATAGCCTTACCCCTGGTAACGGCAAGGGATACGCCAGACCCACCAGGTCCACCGGGATTCAGAATAACAGGACCGCCATATCGCACATCTGTGACTGGAACTCTTGCTGGAAGCCGAATCACTGCTAGTGCGATCTTTGCCCCTTCACTGTCCGTGGCATTGTAGTTCATTGGTAGCTCGAGACGGGCACACTCGAAGTCGCCATTTTCGTAGCAGGGGTGATAAATGAGTTGCTTGCCTGGTGTGATCTGCTGCTTGTTAGTAGCTCTCAGGTCATCCATTCAAAGTCACTCACGCAGTCCCACTGAAATTCCCTATCAGCTACCGGTTGGATAGTCTGTAGGCCCCTGAGATTGTCTCGAAAATACTGAGTCCACAGGATTGCTAGGGTAGAGATAATAGCCACAGGTCGCAAAGCTTTGTGTTTCCATCGCGATAACCTAAAATTCGATGTTGGCGTATGGGTTTCTTGGTGACCCTTTTTGTCAAGATACATTCTGGTGAATGCGGGGTCGCGTTGTGACCGATGGAGATAAGCAGCTGCTTCCGAGGAAAGGGACAAGGCGTAGGATTGAAGTTATTTTCGACTCAATAATTGAATAAAACAAATAAACCAGGAGAGATGATCTACAAAGAATCGAGTCCAGTCACAGGTCACAAGGTTGAGGTGACTAGTTCACGCTAGTTGTAGACTAACCGAGATAACAAGTTACGCCATATTTGAAATGAATATCTGAATGATCACAGCTTACATGACACATTTACTGGTAGACAAAATCACATTCTGATGGCTATAAAAGAGTCGTGAATGGAAAATGTGACAGCACATAGATATGCAAAATAGTAACGATAGACCAGATTACTTGAACATCCAGCTTATTGAGCTCCGTTTTCCTTTCTGTAAGAAGGCTTCCCATCAGGCGATGTCTTCCCGTTAAGAATCCCATTAGGACGTGCGGTCGCAGAGATAGATGGTCTCCTAGTGCCTGTCGATGGCATCCGAGTCACCGGGCTACTTGGGCTCCGATTAACCTCTTGCTCCGCCAGGCTCCAGAGATGATGTGATGACCTGATCTGAGTGACAAAAGTCCAACCATGGCGTTTTTTCTCGGCTACCTGGGAAATGCGCGGGAAAATAGTAAGGAGTTCCGTCGGACTTCCGGCATCCCTCTTCGCATTTGCGGTCTTTTCTCCCGGAAATTCAAAACACGCCCATTCATCATCATCCCAAAGAAGAGGCTCGAAGTCTGGCTCATATTTAATTTCAGCATGTTGGAGAGGGATCCAAACATTCATTGCTTCCTCCGCAATCTTCGACATAGTTTGTCGAAGCTCCTCTTGTTTGATATCTGAGAGGGTACCAAATAGATGGTGTGTCACGTCCCGAGCAATTCGTGAGACTCTGGACAGGGCAGACCTCCTTTGAACCGTCTCATCAATTGAAAGAAGCATGGCCCGACAAAATGATTCTTTTTCGCCATTTGTTGTGGCAAGTTCGCTCAGTACACGGCGCAGCTGGTTGTCATCTGAATCCAGATAATTCGGCTGAAAGATGTGTTTCTCAATCTCTCTTGATAGAATGGCTAGTGTGATAACGAGTCGCATTCCCTTGGCAGCCTTGCTGGTGGAAGCGGGCAGAGGGACAGTATGCGGCATCATAAAAGTGCTACCTTTTCGAAATGTCTCCCATGAGATATGATCCTAATACTGTGAGTCAAGTGTTCTCCAAATGATTATGTGATACAAACAATCAAGATGTCTTGGTTCAAGACCTTGGAAATTTGCTGTGTGGCATAATCCCATAGATTGGCAAATTGATCGGTCCTGATAGAGTCAATATCGAAGCCATGAACGTGTCGTGTATTGTGGATTTCGTGACTCACATGAGCTCTATGTCCATTTCTGAGTATGGGGCTCTGAAGCTCTCCGTCTGTTGCAACTTGACTTGGAATTCTGTCATCATACGCTCCAGAGACGCGTAATCTTCACTCAACTTCTCGCTTCTCTTTTTTTCCGATTTCAAGCGTTCATCGAGTGCCGTTTCAGAAGCTGAATTCTTTTCGATGATAGCATCCTTCTCTTTTAGAGCCCTCTGCAACAAAGTATTTTCATCAGACAACCGCGTAGCTCTCATTGTTTCTTGAGATTTCTCTGATCTCAAATTCTTGGCATCTTTTCCAAGTGCATTGATCTTCTGCAATTGATCGGCGATAACCCTGTCCTTGTCTGCCATCTCTTTTTTCAACCTTTCCAACTGCGCTTGGGTGTCTTCATGAGCTTTCTTCTCATTCTGGATTGTTGCCGCCATAGTTTTTATAGTGATCATATGGTCTTTCCCCAAGTCGTTTAGTTGTTTTATCTGCTGTTTCTGGTGATCGAATTCGCACATGATGGTGGTAGTAGCCTGTAGCTCAGGACTAGTGGCTAATTCAATGACGCATTTCAAAAAGCTCTTTAGAGAATCACTCTTTGGAGAAGATAAAATGACATCTTGTGTTGCAGGCTGTGGAGGGGACTTGGTTGCCACTGACATGATGACTGGATTGACTGTTCTCGTGATTTGAATATTTTCAGATCGATTGCTAAGCACTTCATCTGCTGGAAATTACTCGCATTTATAAATTTCTCTCCCTTGTTCATTTCCTGTATTTTCATGTTCCTAGCGAAGACCAATTCGTGTAACCATGAGCTGGCAATAAGACCAGGGTATGCCTTGGCCTTGGAAGTCTGCACAAACAGTGACGGAGCCTTGGTCAGCTGGTTCTGTAGCATCCATGCCAGCAATGACCAGTATATAGCCTTATGTTTGCTGGGAAGTGATGAGTTGTCTGATGCATAGGTACAGGGATGCTTGGCAACGTGGTCCAGTAGTCGCGCTACGGGATTTCGGTGATGCGAACCACTTGCATGCCCCGCATCTTATTCTCGCTTCATGTAATTGCCTTGAATAAAAGACGCCTTGCTGAGGCGAATAATTTGATTTTTAAATCCCGCCCGGTTGCTATTCGTCAATCTTCACTAACTGTTAATACGCGGCGTTCTAGGTACTTGCCATAGATGTATTTTCAGTCGCTTGGAGCGCATGGCGACAACAAATGTCCAGCCACAGCGGTATAAATGCTTTCTAAGCTTGCAGAAAGGTGTAATGGACAGGGGTTTGTACCTCACAGTCGGATGAACTACCCCGCAACAGGAGATCAAGTCATTCCTATTCCTTTCTTTTTAATTGCTATACAACACCAAAGTCCGTTTCCACTTATGTACATATCTTTATCTTAAGAGAGTAACATCCATACTGACCACAAATTAAAGTCTGGGGAGGTTTTCTGGTATGATTTGTTCCCAGATCATGCCATTGAATCCTGGCGTCGTGGTGAATCGGGTCTGGCCTCAGCGTTAACAGCCAAGACAACACCCCCATCCACCTGGGCACTCCATAACTAGTGATTAACAGAATAGAAGGGGCTATTATAACTTTTCAAAAAAATACTTCTATATTGCAAATATCTATGTCCAAAAAATCCATACCCAATCCAGCGAAATGCAAACCCCTTTTGCCAGCCCTTAATCACCCTTACCATATCTATACATCAACGTGCTCATGTCTTTCGTCAATTGGCTTTTCAATCCTCTCTGTGTGAATGGTGCGGTGGTATCCAGGCTGAACAGGCCGACCCCGAGACTCAAACACGCCTCCAGTGAGACCTCCCTTCTCAAAGAGATGGTCTACATCTTCGAGCTCGAGGCCCTTTGTTTCCGGGAAGAAGAAATAAACCATCGGAATCTATGAAAGTTAGTTTGGAAACCTGTTGGTTGGTCAGGAAAATCATACCCATGCAAAGCAGAAGCACGCGAAGATGATGAATGTTCGCCACGAGATGTTATCAATAGCTGTCGGCGTTATTTGCACAACGATGACTAGAGGGTTAGTAAAGTTAGGCTTTAGTAGATGACTGGTAACCTACAAACACAGATCCAGTTCACAAATCCTCCAAATGCCTGGCCTCGGGCCCGAATGCGGGTAGTAGTGATTTCACTAGGGTAGAACCTGGCATACTGTTAGAGCTTTGACCAAATGCAAGGAAGTGGAGGGAAATAACGCACCAGGGTACAGGCAAATAACCAATTCCCAGGAAGATTTGAAAAATGAATACGAAGACTGTGGCAGCATATGCGCAGGCAGTGCTTCCAACGGAGAGCAAGGCGGCAACTAGAACAAAGCATACACAAAGCCCTGCAGCTGATACCATCAGGGAAGATCGTCGACCAAGCCTATCCATGCTCCATAGAGGAATAATTGATCCAGCCAAATACGCCAGCGAGGTACAGCCGCCAAGAATCAATGAAAGATTTCGAGAAAGTCCCATTGCATGCTGGTAGACTGTAGGTGCGTAGTAATTGATCATGTTTGAACCTGTAAGACACATAAGATTTGATTTCTGGGCGGATTAACGAATCATACCGGTGAACTGCTGTTGTATATTGACAAGAGCACATAGCATCATACGACGAAGGTTTTGAACCTCGCCACCAGCCACCAGCTCCTTGTACTTGAATGGGCCACCTGCAGACTCAATCTCAATCGCCGACTCAATCTGGTGACGCAGCCGGACTACCTCGGGGCTTGACTCATCAGCAGGTTGCTCCAGCTGGAGATAAGCCAGAACTCGGGCTGCCTCATCGCTGCGGTCCTGTTCGCAAAGCCAGCGAGGTGTATCAGGAAGGGGGATCATCTGTAGAACCAAACAGACGGCGAAGAAAGCTTGGAAGCTAATAGGGAAGCGCCATTGAACGGTGGAATCGACGAAGCTAAGGCCATAGTCGAGCCAATATGCGATACATAATCCGAGAATCGTAACGGTTCCTTGAGCCGATAGAAGTCTCCCACGACGTTCAGGTCGAGCCATCTCTGAATTTATGTTAGTGATTGATTCTTCCAACTGGGGGTGTCGAGTTAACTTACCACTTTGGTAAGTCGGAACAGTACTGCTGTTGATACCATTGCCAAAGCCAGTGACGACTCGCCCAACCAAAAACTGTGTTCGGGTATAGGAAGAGCTTAGAATGATCGTACCAATGACCATGATTGTACCACCTGCTATGATCATCTTTCTCCGACCGACTTTATGGCCGACCACGAAACTGAGGAGACATCCGACAGCGCAACCAATGTCATAGATTGAAGTCACTACCATTCTTAGCCGTCTTTTAACGATTCTGGGGGATTTGAAACTTACAGATTCCCTGCATGTTGGCATTAGGATGTCCAAAAGTAATTCCAAATTGGTTATCCGCTCCGATGAGGCCTGACATGACTCCCTGGTCATAGCCAAGCAAGAGGAAGGCCTGACAACTCGCCGCTGCATAATATGAGTATTTTCCCGCGTCAAAAGACAAAATTTCATACGCATACCTGTCACTGCCCAATGCAAGTGTTTTCCACGCAATCGAATCATGTCCGGCGATTTGGGCACAACAAAGAATTCATGTAGAGTCCGGGGCCCCAGGGGGGATTTCTCCGCCATTTGATGGGCAATGACGACCAATCTGGCTCGCGGTGTTATTGAACCGAGAAGAAATTCTCGGTATAAATGAACCCGGTGTTGCATTTGTATTGGCTCGCTGAAGGCCAAAATCCGGGGATATGTGGGGTTCTTGTGGAGTCCCCCCGCCCCTCATGGTCAAGGGTAATCAAGGCTTCGGCAAAGGCTTTGATGGCTTGATTTTGCTGGCCTAACTTCTTCACCGAGCGACGCCACTCAACTTTCTTTTTAGGTGAAGATTGTCGATGTTTCAAGTCAAGTTGAAATTTGATCATTATATAACTTAGTCGGAATGTGAGCTCTGATTGACAAATCAATGTAACATCTTTCCCTGTCTTGCCGCCCGTTCTCAAATGATTCTACGATGTATCCTACCTCCAAAGCCATATAAGATTTAGAAAATCGAGATGGGAAAATCACGTCTTGATTCAAGTCTCCTTGTTCTGACGTTTTCATTCATCTCCTAGTAGCAGCTTACGCCACCACTGCTCTGGCAAAATTGGCTCCTTTGACTGTCAATGTTAACTGGGATGATGTGCTGATCGAATCCAATATAACACCTACTCTGCAGTCTGTGGCAACTTCTCCGATGCTAGCAGATAGCACCACCCGGGAAAACATACTAGATTCTCTACACGTAGTCGCAGCCGATTATGTGGTATCCATATCCTCACATTTGCGGTCCCTGAATCAATGCACCTGTCATCAATGAAACACTTTGTATCACTAGCTGGGACTTCACTATGCTGATCAACATCTGTTCGACTTCCTTGCGAGCACTCCGAATGTCTCACATATGATGAACTTCAGTACAACGCTGGATTGGCTGTGGGTCAGCAATATCACATACACCTCCCCAGAAGACTTGGAATACTATTGACTGGAACATGACAAGGACACCCAGCTGTGGGACCCAATATAAAGGAGATATTTGGCTACTACCGTCGCCACTCTCGTGGTTCGTGGATGGCAGCTTCACAGACGAGTACGGTACCTACCGTGAGCCAGGCCATCACCTGTATATTGGGTACTGGGAGCTTCTCAATTAATCTGAGGCCGAGCACACTATCAACCTATATAGCCAGATCTATGACGCAGTCATCGCCGTTGTTTGTGAAGTCTCGTATGAAGTCTCGCCGAAGGCACATTTCATTGGTCTTGCCTTGTCCACCCGCAATGTCACCCGCGCCCAAGACTTTTTGGATCCAAACAACCATGCACCCAACACACCATTAGAACGGATCAGCTACCACCACTACGCGACTCGAGATAACTCAACATCCTAGAGCGAAGCGGCACAAAGCTCCCAAATGGCAGAGACATTCCTCGAAGAAGCGCAGCAGATTGAAGCAGTGCGGAAACTGATCTCGCCGTCGACTCGCACTACAGTTGGTGAACTGGCCACAATGGACCCCCTCAGGTCGACGGTAATTCACCCGAACTATAAGATTTCAGACGAGTACTGGGTATGGTGCGGTAGCATATATGCCTACGTCTTCCTAAGATTGTTGTCCTCGGCATCGATACGGTTGGTGGAACCCAGTTAGTGGATATCCTGGCCAGTGCCCTTCCGCGTCAATGGTTGATTACCACACCGGCCTTCCGACTGCACGTCTACGAGTTTCTCTAACTCATACAGGCTAGTCTTTGCCCTGGAAATAAACTCAAAGAAACTCGTCCAATCGAGTAGTGATGGAACTCAGGTGCATGCACATGCTTTCGAGATAAACAACCTGGAAAGAAAGACATTGCCGGTTGATAAACTTGATCAGACGGTCATGGGGTTAATGTGCAGGCCTTCCAGAGTTGGATCATGGAACTTTTGAATTTGAGCTCTGGGGCCAATATAAGGCAAATTGAGCACATCAAAGGCGGTAGTCTCAGCCTTACGCCATATGCCACTGCCGCACTGACCGAGTCGTGATAAAAATACATTATTGATTTTTCAAGTGTTGTTTTATGAAAGCTGCCTGCATTTCATGGGTTATGAGAAAACCACTTCTCCAATTTGACCAGAAGGCTCTATTACTCGGGACTTGGGTAGACCGTGGACTTTTTGGACACACGTTTGGAAACCCCCACCCGACTTTTATTCTTTGCCCTTCTTCTCCCAGTTCGTTGATTATAATTTTGGAGAGTAACTCCACCATTTAAATAATACGGTAGAAAAGAGGGTACGATATATGGTAGGAGAGTTCATCCACGTAGCTAGGCTTATTGCGGGGGTGGGCGGGACTCGGCTATAGATCGCCATAACCGCGATGCGGCAAAGCTTATCGGTATTTCGAGTCGTTAGTCATCTCCGCCAAAACATATTCCGTGACGTTCATACTTCATTCTTCTCTATTCCTCCACCTTTCACAATGGTATCCATTCCTACTTACCAAAAGGCAGCCGTCGTGCAGGACCCCGGTGAGAACTTCAAGATCGTGCTCCGCGATGACGTCCCCATCGGAGAACCAGGACCCGAAGAGATCCTCGTTAAGTTAACATGCACGGGTCTTTGGTAAGTTCATATCTCCATGGTTCATTCAGCTCTGACGCCAAGTAGCCACTCTGAAGTGCGAGCCGTGCTAGCTTGGGCTGTGTACAAATCAATCATCGGGCATGAAGGTGTTGGGACAGTCGTCAAAGCGGGCGCTAACGTTTCCCCTTCCCTTATGGGTAAGCGCGTGGGAGTGAAATGGCTTTACAACGCCTGCACGGAATGTTCAATCTGCCAGCGAGGATTCGCCAACAATTGTCCCAAGCAGCTAAACACTAGTCGTCATGTTCCTGGCACATTACAGCAGTACGTTGTGGCCGATGCACGGTTCATCACGATGATTCCCGAGGGACTCAGCGATGAAGTCGCCGCTCCACTTCTCTGTGCTGGTCTCACCATGTCAGGAGCCTTGGCGCATCTCGACCAGGAGCTACAGCCCGGTGACTGGATTGTGATTTCGGGGTCGGGTGGTGGACTCGGTCACATCGGTGTGCAAATTGCTGCACGAGTCAAGAAGCTTCGAGTCATCGCGATAGATAGTGGCAATGCCAAGCGAAAACTTAGTTTGGAATCTGGGGCGGAGGCATTTGTGGATTTCAAGACGGAGGATGTCGCAGCGCGGGTATTAGAATTGACTGGAGAGGGTGCCCACGCCACCATTGTCGTGCCAGGGACCAAGGAAGCCCTTCAAACGGCACCATCAGTGGTAAGAAACATGGCGACTATCGTGTCTGTGGGATTACCACCAAATCAGATGGATATTCCGATTTCTGCGACCATCTGTGCTGCTCGAGGTGAGATATATATACCAGGATCTGTTCACATAGTTCGAGTGCTAATTTGAACAGGGCTTGTGATCAAGGGATCGTCAGTGGGCACTGAGATTCAATTGACAGAGTTGCTAGATCTGGCTTTGAAAGGAGTGATCACCCCGGCCGTTGAAGTATTTGATTTTGGTGAAACCCCTAGACTCATTCGTCAACTGACCAATGATGAGATTCTGGGTCGGGCAGTGGTGAGAATTCCAGGGTAGAAGAGATAGATCAGAAATAATAGAAGGGGAGGAATTTCGTTTGATCAGTTTCATCTATAAATGTGCCGGATAAAGTGATAAGACGATAAACCTCTTATCGGCAAACCTCACTTCTGCACCTCCCACCATCACAACCTTCACACCTGGAAATGGGCACCAAAAGATCTTGGCAAGGGCAACCTGTCGTAAAAGACACAGATGCTACTATGACATCCGAAACAACCAGCCCGATCATCTCGGTATTCGAGGGTTTTCGCAATGAGCTGGACCAACATCACGACCGACGTGAGCGAATCATCAAGGCCAGCCGGGACATTACCGCGCTGAGTAAGAAGATGTAAGTCTGTCGCTGTTCTTCCCCTGATTTCTCAATCTAACCAGGCGCAGGATCTTTGCTCTCCAGCGTGTCCGCGCCATCAATCAACCCCTCCCCCAGAAAATCGCACAGGAAAACCAAACCCGCCTCGATCAGATCAAAGCACTCTTCACCTCCATCATCCCTGACGTCACAGGTATCAATGCATGGCGATACCAGCGCCAGATCGGCGGCGGAATCCAAGAGTTTATCGAAGCGATCTCATTCGACCACTACCTACGCACACAAACACTGATCACCCACGCTGAGGTGCAAGCGCAACTCCCCGCCGAGCTCCTCGTCACCGAAGACGACTACCTGATGGGTCTGTTTGATCTGACAGGCGAGATGATGCGATTTGCCGTGACAGCATTGAGCTCCGGAAATGTGTCCAAGCCGGACACCGAGACAGAGTCAGCGGACGCGACACCGAAACTTCCCAATCTCTCTACTACACAGGCTGGCATTGTCGTTGATTTACGAGCTATGCGTGCGGCTTTTGAAGCACTTAGTGTTCCCAAGCGAGCAAATATGCTGCGCGATCTATTCAAGAAGGTAGAGGTGATGCAGAGTAGTGTGGAGAAGGTGGAGCGCGCGGCATATGGCATCTTGGTGCGTGGGAGCGAACGGCCAAGTGGATGGACGCCGGATTTGTCGGCGCCAGTTGAAATGGAGATTCATTGATAAAGAAATTGGAAGTTAAAGTAGCCATATTAAATCTCATAAGAGCTCTGGCAGCCGTATTTGTTTTCCCAGACCTAGAAATCACCAGTATCATAGACTGGCAACACAAAGCCGCACGGCCATTCTGTTTGAACGCCACAAATCGGAACTTGAAGCCCGAAGAGAACCCAGCACTTCCATATACGTTTACTACACTTCGGCACTTTCTATACGACTATGCAGGTTTTCCTTGGGAAGGGGGTGGATTTTCGTTGAAATCAGACCTAATTCAGGTTTCACAGAATTGGGAAAAATTCGTGGCTACACAATCTTTACTGGAGTATCAGGGAATTTCTTGTCCGATTTTATACATGCAAGAGGAATGTGTGAAGCAGCCTGAGCTTGATTTTCAGCTGACCGAAATGGATGAGCAGGCTGAGACTGTCAGGGAGTTCATTAGTCTTCCGTCAGTGGACGGATGGTTTCCATCCATTATTTGTGATGAATTCAAAGAGCGTGCGGGAATTTTGAAAAGACAGGCGTTGAAAAGTGCAGATTCGGAAAAGAAACGGGAGTTTATCTATGAGAGATGGATATTGATGATTTCGACCAGAGTGAGCACAGGTGATGGTGCCAGTCATCTCAAGACGTCATATCTTGAGATCTACAGCGATCTCGATTGACCGTTGGCCCGTGGGAGCCATCCACTCTATACTGTACCAACACTGAATATCATTCACCTTTCAAATTTACACCTACAATTCAAGATAGTCTTTGAACGCTTCTCGAGAATAGCATTAGACTTTGCGGGTAACAATAACTAAGTTATGTGGAGGGATCGCCTATCGTCACGGTGACATCACCACCCGCGAAACGAGCCACAAAAGCCCATGTCGAAGACCCCGCAAAGAACAGAAACGACAGAAAAGAAGAAAAAAAGAACAAAACATGAAATGACCCCATAGTCCTCATTAGGGCTATTCAGAATCCCGTAATTGTCGCAGAATCATGGAGATCAGGCTCGTACGACGCCGCAGAAACGTATACAGCACTAAACAGAGCGCGGGTTCTCGTCTTCCTCAAGAATACCCTGAGAAATTAGCTCTTCTGGATCTGGGCGATTCTGGATCTTGTGCTCCAGGTTATCGGCCAGCATGTGGCGCTCGAGTTCGCGAGCCTGAGCCTGGAGAGCCGGGGCGGCGTTGGTGGAGGGGAGAATGTTGCCTTGTGTAGTTAGTATATCATCGCAATAGCTTTGTATGCGAAAATTAACATTGGGGGAACAGGAAAAAATTCAAAGGAACTCTTTCAGGGGACTGCGAATGAAAAAGGAGAGGGAGATATACGCTCCACGAGCTCATCCCGTCCAGGCCTCTTCCCCAGATTCTTTTTCAGTTCGTCTTGCGCACGCTGGCGGGCTAGCTCTTGGTGAGCGGCTTGTAGAGATCTGTTGTCAGTCAGCCACGCCAGCTTGGAAGCAGGTCAACGAGGCGGGGCCCGTACGGGGCAACATTGGTGCTCAGGAGAATGTGACGATCCTTGAGGTCCTGCGGGTCCGGTCGGGATTGGAGGTGTTTCTCTAGCGAGTTACGGCGCTCAAAAGGAGCGATACCCAGAGGAGTTTCGTCAATCGACATGATGGGATATTGATAGTGAAAGAGGATGGACTGGAGTGGATGTAAGAAGTGAAGGGAAGGTCGATGTTAAGAGTCAAGTGCAGGTCAAGTCAAGTGACCTGGAGTTTGGGTCACGCGGGGAAGGCAACTTTATCTTACAGTTTCAGTCTAATGAAAATTACAGAATACATTTACAAAGTAATTATGAGGAAGAAAAAAAAGAATTCCAATGTAGATCTCAGTTAGATACTCATCTACCTGGCCCTCCATGAGTCACAAAAAGAAAGATAGAAAGCAACTTCTCGTGGAGAAAGACGGGAACCCATATCTTTTCCCAGGGGAATTTCCAGGGTGATAAAAGGTACAGAGGGCTTCTCAAGGAATGAATCCATAGAGCAGTCCCTCCGTGAATCGGAATCGAATCTAATCGAATTCCCTCGTCGGATCGTGTCCGGTTTTCCAACCGTATTGGGTGATCCTGGGAGTCATGCCGGGGATGGGAATGAAGTAGAAGGGAAAGCACAGGAAAAGATACACGTCCTGCAGATAAGTACAGTAACGAATCCGCTTTCACCTCGTGCGAGATGCCTGTCCTGTCATGGAGAAAAAAGACAAACTCGTCCGGTTTCTGGATGCATTCATTTCAACATGTTCACTTGGTCTGCTGAGGTCCAACGGAGTCGGTCTCAGCACCTGCTCATGCCATCAAGGAACCCAGAGCTTGCCCCGACCACGTCCATTACCACGTGAAGTACCACGAGGGGCACCACGAGCGGATCCACGACTGGATCCACCGCGGCGCCCAGAGGAACCACGACGAGGAGCTCCGTTGCCGCGTGCAGTGCCCTGGAGGTTCGGATCGACGGCGGGCGGGGCCTTAGCCCCACCGATGGATCGGCTGAACGAGTTCGGGTCAATAGGTTGAGTAGGCACTTCGATCGTAGTTGTTGGGAGTTCAGCGACGGCTGGAGGGCTGGCCTTTACAGCAGCTTTGCGAGATGCCCCGACGCGCGGACCCCGGGCGGGGCCCTTGCCGCTGCCACGGCCGCGAGGGACAAAGACCAACTCGTCCTCGTCGCTTTCATCCTCGAAGGATAGGAGAGTCTTGGGTTCGGGAGTCTGGGCCTGGGTCTGAGTCTTTTCGACGTATTTGCAGCGGTTCTTGTACTCGCGCTCTTCATACTGGATCGCGGTGCGTAGCTGGACGATGTTCTTCACACCGATCCCAAACTTCTGAGCCCAAATCTGAGTCGCGCGGTCGTTGGAGACAAGAATACAGCCTTTGGCTGCGTTCTCTCCATCCGGGCCACTGTGCAGGCGCCACAGGAGAGCACTCAGTAATGGGCGTAGTTCAGCCGGGGCGACGGGAATCGTGGATGCCGAAATGGTGCGCTGGTGGCCAGACTTGACATTCGCCGAGTTGTGTGCGTTGCCGTTCTCATGCTGGGCGCACTCGGGGCTGGTGCGCGAACTACGGGAGGAGGTGCGCGAGGGTGGCCCGCTCGGGGAGCCAGCTGAAGTGTTGGAGGTCGCTTCGGGGTCTTTTTTGAAGTTCAATCGGCTGAGTAGCATCTGCGACAGATCATCCGATGCTGGCGCAGCAGGGGTCTCCTGTCGCTCGGTCGGCGGTCGCGGAATCTCGGTGCGAGCATTGGCACCATCGCTCAGGGCCTGAGGTTCTTCCTCGAACTCCGGCAAGAAGAATTTCTCCGCATCCTCCCAGTGTTCGAACTGTTCATTGGGACCTTGAAGTTCGACTCGATTGGATGCGATGGTATCTTTGCCGGAGGTAACTCGGTCGAGAAAGCGAACAGCCTCGCGGGCATTAATGGCGACTTGCGATCTCGCCCGTTTCAAGGCGTGGAGGCGCTCAAGAGCTGCAAGTGAACCGTGCGATTAGCAGCGATCTTGAAAAGGCTGCATCGCTTGCATTTTGATTTCAAAGGACCTACTGTAAAGGGGGACAATGAGATCGATGGATCCGTTGGTGGTCCATTTCTTGATCTCGCTGATATTGGTAGTCAGAGCCGTCTCGTCCACGGCGCAGTGAAAGACCTTGCGTCCGGTCGACATGGCGGAGGGGTCAAGTATCGGTCGGAGGAAGCTCGAAGGACAGTCCTACCCTAAACAGGGGAACTGGAAGTGAAGGAAGCCGCAACTGGGGGTGAAGACTGAGGTCAGCAGAGTCCGAAGGAGGTTTGCGGATTTGGGGTGGTCTGGGAATGTGGGGGCAAGCGGGACACCGGGATGCGAAGGCAACGCACTATGTAAAATACAAGGAATCATCTGCAGCATCTTTGAGACGGTGCAACCAGTGGAAAAGCTGTGAAGTGTGATTTGCAACTCATCGAGAACCGAATCGGCTTTCAGGCTGAGTTTAAGTGATGACTAAGCGTGCTACCAGGGTTGCAGTCAACTTACTGGAAACAATGAGGATACAGAGATGAAAGAGCACAAAACAATAAAAGAGGAAAGTAAGGTTAAGTAGAGATTCTAAATGCGATGCGTATGGGAGTATCATCTAAGAGTATCAAAAATAGGTCGAAGTATAATAAAGCGATTGATCCTCCCAGCCTTGTCAACACACCAAAGTGAAATACCCTATTGCTTCACTTTCTTAATGAGACCATCAGATTCCTTCACCCGCTGCGCCCATTCACTATTGGTTCTGTTAGAATATGATTACAAGGAGTTTTCCGAGAGATAACACTTACGTCCAACTACCATCGTAGACCCGACGGAGATTGGCATCCCCGTATTCAGCCTGACCTAAGGCAGTTTCGATAATTGTCGCCGTAACACCAGTGCCACAAGAGCTGATAATTGACAGGGAAGGATCAACCTTGCGCTCCTCAAAGACCTTGCGCAGTTCCTCGGGAGATCGGTAAGCCTTGGTCTCTGGGTCCAACAAATCCTGGAAAGCCAAGCTCTTAGATCCAGGGATATGGCCCGATGAAAGACCCGGTCGTGGCTCGGGGTCGATTCCAGCCCAGCGACCATAAGAACGAGCATCCAAGATCTCCACTTCCTCTGCGCCCTCCTTGCCATAGTCTAATGCCAGCTCCTTCATCTCACGGAAGGAGATCACCAGCTTCGAATCATAGGTCGGGACAGGGTACTTGCTCTTCTCGACGGAAGCAGGCTCCCCACTTTCCGTCGGAAACCCCTCGCGAGTCCAAAGGCGGTAGTTATTCAAAATGTGAACATTGGGGTGACCGAAGACGCGCAGGGTCCAGCCCACACGCGGGGCACTGAAGATACCCACCTCGGCAGTATCGTACACCACCACCTCATCATCACGACGAATTCCAAGCTCACTCATTGCCTCTGCGAATGTCTCGCATGTTGGTAACATATGCGGATACGGCGAGTCCGGGTCTTTAACGCCGTCAAGGTCGAAGAACCGGGCTTGCGGAATGCGCGACTTGCGGAAGGAGTCAATACCTGTCCGGCCCTCAGGATCATTTGGCATAAACCATGCTGCACACAGTGGAATGACTCGTGGCGAAGTGGAGATTTTAGTGGGAGGGTTCTTTTTCAGAGCCTCATTGAGTTCCTTCGGAGTGACCAGGTATGAGGAGAAGGAAATCTGGCGGGAGCCGGGAAGACGGGAAACCATGGCTGGTCGGAACAGACGGGATGAGCGGAGGGCAGTGAACGCCATGATATTATCGTGGACGAGGGGGAACAGCCTCTTATTACATTTAATGAAGGGGAACTGTGGAGTTTGATGAAGTGCGGAGAAACTCATGTGATGAAAAGATAAACAAACCCGCTTATCAATAACTTTTTTCCCTCTTGCAAACTCCTTACCATCCAAATCAAATTCTAACCATGAAAGTCAAGCTGAAGGAATGGAATGCTATTGCCACTTGGCATTGGGATATCCCTGAGGATGAAGTCTGTGGTATCTGTCGTGTTCAGTTCGACGGCACCTGTCCGACCTGCAAATTCCCCGGTGATGACTGTTCTCTCCGTAAGTCGTCATCGAATCCACTGGAGATCAAACTGACTAATCGACAGTGCTCGGTAAATGTGGACATTCATTTCATATGGTAAAAGATATCGAGATCCGGATTATTGTACGCGACTGACTGTTAACAGCATTGCCTCTTGACCTGGATTCACCAAGAAACCTCCAAGGGACTATGTCCGATGTGTCGTCAAAGTATGTATTCCTCGACTATATAAGATCCACCTGCTAACAATTCTCAGAATTCGAATGGAAGGAGACTGAGGAGACTGAGGAAACTGAGGAAACTGAGGAAGTCGAGGACGAGCAATGACGTGTTTACATGTTTGTATGTTTCTATGGCGTTGGGCAAACTGGCAAACTGAAGGAATACCCCGCTTGTTTTTGGTGTTTTGTTTTTGCATATTTTTTGGTGTTCTGGGTAGTGGAACTTGGTCATTTCGGTTCTACTATGAGAAACTCTGACTGTTCTATCTAATTTCATTTATAAGACTCGCGGTCATAACTCCACTTGCGCGTGGGGCCAAGGCGCGGGTTTGATGCATTTCGTGATGAAGCCATTTCCATCTCTAATCACGTCAATGATAGGGGATACACTTTCAAATATCGGTGGAATAATGTTTCAAATTATTAAACACTGCTTAAATCCAAGCTTAGCTCACTCTAAGCGCACTACCCGTGTTATTCGATAGACTTCAGCGTTGTACATGGCTTTCACTATATCAATCCCGACTCATCTCCGCTGCCTGCTTCTTAAACTGTCTGGTTGGTATTTTCTGAGCGAACATCCCATCCAGTTCATTGAAAGTGCGACCCTTGAACTCTGGAACCTCAAACCACGCCCACACCAGACTTAGAAAAGAGAGACCCATCCATACAAATGCAGATTTACCACCCAAGTCAGCTAGGGAAGTTGAATGTTAGTATGCTATTTGACATCTTCCTTCGTGCAAAGATACCGCTATCTGTGTTGATTAAATAGGGTGAAATGAAATTCATGATCCAGCTAACCAAAGCATTCGTCATCATGGCAAGACTTTGCGTTTGGGCTCGAAGTTTGATGGAGCTGACCTCGGCACTGATCGTCCAACTCACTGCACCTACGGTAGGGGCATAGAACAGTTGAGCAAAGTTCATGACATACCCTACATAGTATAGGGCGGCCATGCTGGAGAAGCATCCAGCCACGCCGACCGATAACAGCAAGGGCGCATTGAGAGCGATCCCTGTCAACAAAAGTGGTCGACGGCCTATAGATAATACGGCTCAGTCAGTTCTTAAATCGACTCAAAGGAGATCATGGGGGCTGACCAATATAGTTCATGATAAACCATGAAACAATATTTCCAAACATGGCCACACCAAAGCCTCCAAGTGCTAATTTGAAGGTAAAGCTAACCGGAAGTCCGGAGATACCCAGAAAATATAATGCTTGAGAGTAGAACGCGATACCCGTTGCCTGTTGAACACAAAACATGCCACAAGAGATTCTTGTTCTGCGCCAATCAGTGCCTCGGAAACAATCTGCATAGGAGGCATCCTTTTGACTTTCAGCCACTGCTTGTTCCTCGGCAATGGAAGCTTGGATTTCCTCCAGAATTAAGGAAGTGTCGGTAGACTCCGGATGTAGTCTTTGCAGGCTCTTCTTTGCTCCATCGATATGACCCTTTCGACAAAGGTACCAGGGGCTCTCGGGCATGAAAAGAGCGTATAAGCCGATAAAGCAAGGAAAAGCCCACTGTGCCGCAAACAAAACCTTATAAGATGCCGAGCTCAATATAGCAAAGCGGGTATTTCCAATGGCGATGGCAGTGAGCTGACCAGCGTTAATAAACAAATTGACCGCTGCAGTTAATGACGGGCGCAATGGAGTTGGGGCAATCTCGGACGCATAGACGGAACTGAGAGTCAGGAAAAACCCCAAAGCAATGCCATTGATCTATTATTGGGTTAGTTCGCAAAAGAAAATGGGAGACACAGGGCAACACTTACAATCTTTCCAGCCAGAAGCATACCCGGACCGTCGGCAGCGTATTCGAGACCAACATCCAACAATGAAACTGCAGCTCCCACGGCAAACCCAATTCTTCTACCACCACGGTCTGAGATATAGCCACAGATTATACTCCCTACATGGCTGATGTAAGCTTTCATACTGCCAGCGATGATAACAGGAACCCACCAATCAACATCCCAAGCGAGCTCATGGCCGTCCAGAGGGAATTCCAAGTTGCGGAGATCAGAAGTTCGCCTTGATATTCGTAGCCGAATACCATTTTGAACCCTGGCAATGAGACAGATATAGAGTTGACCCCTGAACATGACAAACATGGTTAATAAACCGGTCAGTGAAACTGAAAGAGAAAAATCATACCGATATCAAAACCCCAAAGCATTGAGCTCGCGCAAGCACCAATGCTATACATAATGACCTTGGGGTTTTTCTTCGCGGAGGCACAGGCACCTTCCTTGGGCCCATCGTTTCCCCTGGCCGGGGATACATTCTCGATCATCTCTGAGGTTGTGGTCTTTTTGTATTCTTTTGGATCCAAGTCCACCGACAAATCGCGAGGGAAGGAATCCATTGTTGGATTGAAAGGGACTTTCTAAGTACCCTTGCAAGACAAGACAGGGTGCAGGCAGGTCGCGCTGCAGATCCGGACTAGATCCAAATGATGGGGACTAAAGTGATCAGAAAGTCGAGGTAGGCCCACATATTTGAATCAAATCACCTACCCCATACATCCTCAAATACTGGGGGAAAAAGTGCGGAGAAACCGGGTACTGGAGGTCGAAATTGCCAGTATCCACAGGAGGACGGTAGATCGGCTACACGGCAGAGAGGTGGACGGCAGATAAGTGGACGGGGTGTCACGGATTGAGAGAATGCGACTATGTCACTGATAGGTCTATCCGTAGCTTATTTCTCTTTTTTCATCATTGACCGGCCTATTATACTTGTGTAGAAGTTTAGCCTAAAATTCCCGCATTACACTGCCTCCTCGATTGGTCTCCAAAATCGCCACCCATGGCCCAGTGTTTGAGAAAATGAAGCCGTCTGTACTTCCCCTTATTTTATGTAATTAATATTTCTTCAAAGACAATAGTACAGACTAATACGAGTTTATGGAATTTATGAGATGGTATATTTGTAAAAAATCATATTTATGAAATTGAAGTAAACCACACAGCAAAGATAAAGTAGCAAACCATCCATAATAACTTCTTGTTATACTTACCTCGATTTCTTTGGACTAAATATATGGCAATCAAAGTTCTTTCCAGAACCCAATGTCCTCTATGTGCAAGGAATATTCACATGCCCCGGTGGTAATCTTATATAGTCCATTAAGAGACCGCCAGCATCGAACAGCACGATCCCAATAGCCACTGACGTCTCGTTGGGGAACCAAAAGCTTGATTTGCTTGGTTTCGCCAGACTCAAGCCATTGTTTTGTGAAAGCGATCAGTTCAGACCGTGGCTTCCAAATGACAAGGTCCAATGGAGGCTCGCTGTACACTTGGACTACCTCATATCCCGCTCTCGGGCCTGTGTTTTGGACGTCGACGATTATAGTGATCATCTCGTTTTCACGTTCTCCGCTCTGGAGAGCAACTTTCAAATTTTTATACTGAAGGAATGGGTGAGTTTTGGCACCCGACATAGAGCAAGCTACTTTGGTTATTCACAATAATGCATAGGACATCGTAATTCCGCGTGGCTTCTACGTCTCCACTACGGACATCTGGAGCTCTAATTCGTGGTCTGATCCAATTTTCTTCGATGTTCCTGGAATCGACCAAGATGTTAGTCGTTACTCAGTCTCCCCTGGCGAATTGTCGGTACGAATGTCTTGCTAATGTAACCAGCTCTTTTTCGATGACGATGGCAAAGTTTACTTTTCCGCCGTTAACATGATCACCCATCCAAGGGTTAAGAAACACGGTCTTGGACTGGCAACTTTCACTTCAGAGATAGACCTCGGTACAGGTCGATGTCTTGGGCCTGTGAGATATAACCGGATCTCGCCGTTCAGTATCGGTATTGCTGAAGGCCCTCATATCTTCAAAAAAGACGGATTTTATTATCTGAGCACAGCGGAAGGCGGCACTGATGAGGGCCACCAGCAGTGGATCTGTCGCAGCTCCACGGGACCATTTGGACCTTGGGAAGTCGGACCAGAAGGAACTGTCAACCCAGTCATATTCAATGATGATGATCCTTCGGTCCGCAACACAGGACATCTGGATTTCATTGAAACTTCCAATGGCAAATGGTGGGCTGTGTTCCTAGGTGTCCGACCTCAGGGCGAGAACTCTGAACTCATATCCCAGCTTCGACGAGAAACATTCCTGGCTCCTGTAGAATGGGTCGATGGTTGGCCAATTGTCAATGATCGTCAAAAGATCGGTCTCCAGGTACAGGCGGAAGGTATGAAGCTCCTCCCACGACCGGAGATTTGGAGAGATGACTTCAGCGGTCCGAAAATGCAATTGGATTGGTATCGACTAAGAACGCCGTTGAAAGAGGATTATTCCTTCTTTGAGCGACGAGGGTGCTTAAGCATTTATGGAAATGCATATCGCATCGACCAGTCCGAATGCCCTTCCATGCTGCTACAGAAGCAGACTGGGTTTTCAGGCGACTGGTCCACCAAATTAGATTTTGCACCTACAGAGGCTGGCCATGAGGCTGGAACAGCGATCTGGTGGTCACAGTTTGCATATGCTTCGATTGGAATCCGCAAGCCTTGGGATGATGAAAAGGCAGGACTGGAAGTTGTATCACGATACTATGATGGGGACAGTGACGAGTTCAAGGTATTGACTATCTCATTCCATTGATATGTGCAAGGGTGCTAAACATACTAGGAAAATATCCATCAACTACAGCAAATTTCTCCTCTCGAACTCACCATCTGCGCACATCCCACAAGATACGAACTCTTCTTCTCATGCGAGGAAACTCAATCTAAATTGATTAAATTGGGTGAAATCACCAGCACAGCGTTGACTCATCGTCGGTCGGGGAAAGAGTCGCCTAATACTGGAGCTCATTTCGCAATCTATGCACAAGGTGCTTATGACAAACCATGTTTTCAACCAGCGCATTTTGAGTATGCGCAATGGAGGACTAGCTGATCAATGGTTTGGGGGACTTGGAGGACTGTGTATATACTAGGTCCACAGACAAGTTCGAATCCGTCTATTAAGAGATTGAGCCCGTGCTTTCAACCAAGCTCAGCCTGGGTAAACTAGTTTAGTTCAACTAATTTCAAGTCCCAGGATGTCGACAAGGGTATCTTTGATTCCATATTGATGACCATCAGATGGTTGGACCGAACCGTGTCCATATCTTGTTTGTAAAAGAATCTACTCGAGAGATGAAGCGCTTCCAATCGAAGATAGGGACAAAGATGAAGGTGACACCGAAAAATAAAATACCAGGAAGTTCCTGAGAATCATGACTCAAATTTCATGTGGCAGACAGAGCCCAACAGCCTGAAAGTCCTCATAATCCTTGTCATCGGTCCAGAGAGATTGATAGTTGGTCATAACATGATCACGGAATTGCGCTGCAGTGAAGCCTTTGGACTCGAATCACGTGTTTAAATAGATAAGAGATAAGAGCCTTGGAAGCTCCACCTTCGTCGATCATGTCTGTATCCTTAGCAGCTGAACCGTTCCCAGGTTAAGATGTAGTGACTGCAATGTCTCTGAATAACCCAACTCAGCCTCTCTTCCAATCTTCCGTTCCCAAGGAAATCCCACAACCTGTATCCCGATCACAGCTAAACGGCCCGCACCCCGCAGGGGCAAAGGAGTCCCAAGCCTCACCCCAAGCAATAGATGACCCGCGCACAGCAGCCGAACTCCAAGATGGAGCCCCGCAACAGCCAGCTTTCCAGCCATTCTTCACGCTAATCGAAGACATCCCTACGGCCGAATACCACCATCCAACCGTGCACTACATCTTCTCCGACGACGACACCGACATCATAACCGAGGCAGCTCTCCGCAGCCTGGAAGCACAGCAGGATGCTCTGCCAGGCAGCAAGAAGCATCATACCTACATCGGGCAGCATGATGGGCAAGAAGACCACGACGCATCCACCCTTCTTCCGCCGCCGATCCCAGGCATTCGAGAGAACTATGTCATTCTAGACGTTGAACCAGTACCTGCGTCAGAGCACACAACCACTGCACCTTCACCAGCAGCAATGCAGTTTGGCCCCGGTGTGAATCCCATGTCATCATCACCAGCGACACAGCCTTCTCCCGGCGCAGGCACAGCACCACAACCGCAGTTCCGCGTGACATCGGCAAAGAGTTTCTCGCCAGACTGGCAAGTCATGAGAAGTGAGATGGTTCCAGCGCCGACATTTGAGAATAACGAGGACGGTGACGGGACGGGACATGGTCTTTTGCTGAAGATCCACGGGACGGGCGGGTTACCGTATGCTGCAGAGTCTACAAAGGAGCGTGGAACGTCGCGGTTGGAGGAGATGATGAATCAGTTTGCGAAGCGGATGTCGGAGTTGCAGACTGTTATCGATTCGGCATATGTGGAAGGCGAAAAGCGCCAGGATGGTGACGCGGAGGTCGAGGCTGGGGTAGACGAACAGGAGCAGTCGCACGATAAGACGATAAATACAGAGGAACAGCCGGAAGATGAAGCGCCTGAGGTTGCCCAGCAAGAGCAAATCAGCCCGAAACCAGTTCCTGGATGAAGGGAAAGTGCAGTTATGATGAATTTTTGTTCCTCGGTGATCATAATCTGGCATTTAGGCGTTGATTGGGCGTAATTGAGTTTCATTCTGATGAATATACCACTCTGCTTACTATTGAGCTTGCTGAATTTAAGAGTTCTCTACTACACACAAGAAACAAATCGATGCATTTGATTAATACCAAACTTGGTCAGCATAAGTATGATCTGAAATCACCCAACGCCTGAGAAATAACTTCTCTATGGAGTCCACTCCACCCAAAGATCAATCACATAGAATAGAAAAAAACAAGGAATGACCATCAAACATTCTTTTAGCCAGAAACTCCAGTCAACCTAGCACCAGCGACATTGGGTATCAAGAGGCCTCATTAAAAACGTGAGAAAAGGAATCGAAAGGAAAAGAAATATTACTGATTAGTTCGGAGCGCGATTGCGGTAGAAGCGTCGACCGGGGACAGCGGACGGGGGCACGTTCTCGCGGCCCTCCATCATGCCAGACATCTTCTTGGAGAGCATCTTCTGAGGAAGCTTGCTCTCGACACTGTTGTTTGTGCTGATCGAGTCAGAACGGCGGCGCTTGAGAGTTACCTGCTCAGGTTCGTCTCTAGGGGTATTTTCCAGCTCCATGACTGGGGTCTGAAGGGGAGTATCGGGCTTGCTGGGGACGGAGTTCTCGTCAACGTCAGCGAGGGATTTGGCGACGTTTAGATCGACCTCCCTAAGACCGGTGTTGTTATAGGTCACCGCAGTTGATGATCGCCGGGTCTCTGGCTCCTCCACAGGGTCGCTATATACGTAGGCTTTTGTAGGGGATGTAGCGGGAGGGCTAGAGACAGGCTCTGGTTGAGTGTCTTCTTCCTCACTGAACGGAAGTGCAGTAAACTGCTTGGATGTGCGGTGTCGGGAACGGAGGCCCTCGTGGGACTCAGTACGTGGCAGAGTTGAAGGGTACTCGTACTTGCGTCTCTTTGGCGTGACGCCAGATGGGATGTATTCCTTCATGGGGTGGCTCTCAAAGTTGCCCCGAAGGTCGACGAGAGGCTGACGGACCTCCTCTTGCAGAGGTGCTGTGCACTGTTTCATATTCGCAGTATGTAAATCGATGTCACCCTGAAGCTGACCAGCACGTTCCCCAAAGCTATCCAACTGACCCTGGATAGCTTCCCGGGAGCCTCGCACGCTCGAATTGATCGCAGCCAGACTACCGAGCTGTGCTTCATGGAAGCGGCCATTGTGAGATCGCGCCTTGGCAACAAAATCATCGAGGGCCTCCATTTGCTTGCTCATGTCACTCATTTGGGCATCCACAATACGAACAGTCTCTTGGTGCACAGACTCGGTGGTGCGCTGGATTGCAGCATTGCGTTGATCGAATGTTTCCCAATCATGTTGCATCTTGGTCTTAATATCATCTCGGGATGTGATAACATCCTTGGTAAACTGTTCTTCCTTGAAGATCCACTCGTCAACGTGTCGATCATATTGAACAGTTGCTTGCTCCAGACAATCTCCAGAAGTGGAAATGTCGTTACGAAGCCCGTCGACCTTGGTCTTGAGACGAGCGGATTGCCTTTGGCTTGAATCTTCGAGCAAGCTTCGGATCTGAGACATGAGATTGTCGCGTTCATCCTGAGCACAGGCCTGTTCCTCTTCCATCACCTGCGCTAGGCTAGATGAGGCTTTGCGGTTCGCCTCCACTGCTTGGCGATTGGATTCCTGAAGTTCGACTCGAAGACGGTGGACCTCGTTCTTTTGTTGTTCCAGATGACTTGCCATGGTGTCGAACATGCTCTTGAAATCCTTTCCAAGGGCACTGTAGGACGAGTGTAACTGCAAGTGAAACTGGGAGAATTCACCAATGACCTCCTCGGAAATCCGCGCAGCTGCAGCCGACAGCCCGTTCAACCCTTCACCAACCTTTGTCTTGACATCCTCTCGAAGAACTTTAATCTCCTCAAGAACCTCATTCATCTCATCATGTGCACCGCTAGTCTGGATCTTGGCTTCAGCTGCGACCTTGTCAAAGGTGGAGTCGTATTCTTGAAGCTGAGAGCGGGCTGCCTGAACCGCACCAAGTTCACTGCCAATAAATTCATGGATGCGGGTAGATATGCTCTCGAGTAGCTGGGCATGCTGCGCTTGAAAGTTTTCCATCCGAGCATCAATCTTTTCAGTTACAGTGCAAACTTGTCCAGTGGATGTCTGCCATGTATGGCGATTGTCGGTTTCCAAATCATCTTTGCGGTCTATTTTGGCATGAAGTCCGTAAACATCATCAACGGTGCTATCCAGCATTGCCAAAATATCCGTTCCGATCTCACGCAGCCTTTTTTCAGTGAGTTGATGAGCCCTACGAACTGTCATCTCCTCTTCTAGCTTCTCAGAGACGTTCTTCAGGTTCCGTGCAGTCTCGTCCAGGGCACCTCTCGTGGTCCTGAGTTTATTCTGAGTACTCTCATTATCGCCCTTCAAGGTGTTAAAATTTCCAGTGAGCGCAAATAACTCTTGGACCTTGTGTCGTAGACTTGACTCCATCGATTCGATCTTTGCACGTTGTTCTCCGTTAACGATTCTGCGAGACTCGCTTTCCATAGTCATCTCTTCATATGCTTCCGGCGTCATGTACACACCGTTGCGGTGGCGTGTAGCAATGAGCTCGCTCTTCAATTTTTGGAATTCCATTCCGACCTCCCGAAGTAGCTTGTTCTTCGAGACAAGGGAGTTGATCTGTGGTTTGTTACGGATGTTCTTTGCCCGGAAAGCGTAATCTAGTGTCGAAATCGTCTCTTCCAGATTGCCGCGTGCAGGCGAGACTGTGGCAATGATGCATGTCTTGGTACGACCACCCAGCGAATCTTGTAACAACCGTGTGAGTTTCGACTCCCGATACGGGATATGCGAGCTCTTGTCCACCAACGCGTTGATGACTCGCCCCAACGTTAGTAAGCTCTTATTGATCAGACCAGCCTCAGCTGCGCGCTTGTTTTCTGCGCCACTCCTCCCGATATTTTCACTTCCAGCCAAGTCAACCAAATTCAGCTTCCCAGAGCTAACATAATCTTCGCCGGACTCGCTTGTTCGATTTGTAAGAACAGTGATTGTGAAAATGGTGTGGCTGCGAGAACTCAAATCGTTGCATTTTGTCGAAGCAACCTGTCGCTTCAGGCTACCCATCTGCAATAGCTTAATACCGGTAGATGCGGAATCGATGTAGGTTTCTTCCATTCCTTGCACCATAGTGGCGGCATGGCCCTTCTTCTCATTCTCAAAAATCTTCAATTTGGTGTTATCGTCGAAAGAGAGCAAATCACGTAGTTCTTCGTTGTAGAGCTCGATGAAAGAGCACTTGACTGTGCTTTCGGTGCCTTCGAGTTTGTGAAACAGAGAATAGAGGGTGCGTGGAATAATACCCGCGTCGTCAGACAGGATTCCCAGGGTGTCAGTCATGTCTCCGGACATGGTGTATGTCTTTCCGGTGCCAGTCTGACCGTATGCGAAGATGGTACAATTAAAGCCTGCCAGCATCTGCAACATCTTTAGCAAGAAATCTCATCGATACTAGAAGTCCTGGCCTACCTCATTGATAATCGGCGTAACAGTTTCTTCAAACACCACGGTTTGGTCAGCGGCTGGGGAGAAAACCTTGTCGAAGGCATATGTCTTGTTTGAAAGTGAATTGGGGCCCATAGACAGGTCAACCTGCTTTCCGCTGACTCCTTCGGTAGACAGCACAACACCACTATTCTCCTTGATCTCGCGGTCATTTCTACCGCGACAACGCACCACGACATGAATACTTGTGTTCTCGTTGATTTCCCGTTCGAATTCTCGCTCTTGTCGCTTTGCTGTCGCGTTAGAATGGTCGGGGCTGGGTTTTGAAGGGCGCGCAGTAAGAGCGGCCCCTGCTGATGTCGTAGACTTTGATGTGACTGCGGGCGACACTCCTCGTTGTTCCGGTACGGCGGATCCTGCACGTCGAGTCGGCTGGCGCAAACCTGTCCGCCTCGCAGGGAGGGAAGAGGCAGGCCGAGCTGGGCCGGCCATAGTAGTTGATCTTGCGATTAACGTTGGTTAAAATTAAAGACGAAACAATGTGATAAAGACGATCGGTGCCTCAGGGCTGTTGGTAAAGGGGGGGGGGGGGGTCAACCGTGGATCACTAGAGATCGTTAAGGTTGTCATGCGCGTGTGGATCCATCCAAAACATATGTAAACAAATACCACGTGACTGTATATACAAGGAACGAAGCATTTGGGCAGAGCCACTACTACACCGCCTGCCAAACAAAGCTATACACATGACTGAGGTCATCGCGGTTTCCCCGCGGGTGATCCTTAGGGGTGCTTTCCCTCCATATCTCTACCATTCTCGGTCACTTCCTCATTCTATAATAGTTTTGCGAATGGTTCTTAACACAGTAACGCCGCCATGACTTCGAGAAACTCAGCACCAGTCCAGATCTTCCCTGGTAAAGGCCTGGGCTTTATCAGCATGTCTCTCTATCTCCGCGCATAAAGATAAGGCTAATTGTTGTTCAGCTCTCGGTGCTTCTCTACACAACGTCTTAACTCGAGTCAAATCCCATCCACACGTCTATCCTGCGATCGACCTAGCCTACTCTTCCACGGAACCTCTATTGAAACCAGTGGTACTACAGCTGCCCTCCAACGGGTTACGCTTGCGCTTTGACGGCCCCGACCAGAGACTCAGGTTGATTGAAGTGCTAGATTTCTCTCGAGTGAATTTGATCTACAAAAGCCAGGATGTGCTCAAGCTTGGAAAAACAGACGAACTGGCGACCTCCCCGCAAGGTCCCAGTTTCCGACATGTCTACAACCGCTTGTTCGGTCCGTCTTACCCTGGCGAGTATGTTCCGCCGGCGGACAGGTCTTCTTACGGTACCTACGTGCTATCGTACCCGGGAGTCGCATTCTCCTTCCCACTCCAGCACTCGGCATGGTCCGACCAGTGCGACTTTGTAGCCTTGCTTTCGTCCTCTGCTGCTCTGCCAGCGACCTCCATGTCCATCTTCCAAGGGTCCTCCTGGCCAGAGGTTCGCATGAAGCTGTTCACTCAACCGCCTCAGGGTCCACGATTTTCTGCTGTTGTTGGCAAATCACGAGATTCCTTCGCCGATGAGATTGAGGAAATTCATATCCTCGGCGCTGGCAAGCTAGAAGTGATTCGGCGAACGAGTCCCCCGTTGCTCATCAACCTCGGGCAAACCACTCCCCAAGACTTGATCGCTGGGTTTGGACCTCCAGATGCTATTTATCGTAAACATGACCGGCGAATCTCCATTCACCGTGCAACAGGGGCTGGCGGTGGGGATCCTCTGCATATGAGCCCCCCGCCAGGACGAGCGATGGATATACCTGACACTGATCATTCCTCTAGTAACAGCGTAACAGATGACTCGGATGAGGAAATTTCTCCAGGAAATATCGGTGACCCAACTTCCTTGCCCGCGGAATGCTTCTTCAACTACTTTCATCACGGATTCGATGCCTTCGTTTCATACCCAACTACAGCAGGGCCGGCCTTCCCGAACTCTGGAATCCCTGACCCATCTCCTCCGCCCTCTTCATCTCAGCTGACCGTAACGAAATTGATTCTTCATGGAAATGTACCAGGGTCGTATCCTTTTAATCGTCACCGCCGAAGCCGCTGGATGATTCATCTCGACCAGTCTGGCGATGGTCTTACTTCTGAAACGCCATATGACGAAATTTCTGAGCGGCTCCGCGAGGTTTGGAAAGGGTCATATGGCAACCAAGCAGAGGAGCGTGCTACACAACGGCCCATGGTGTTGAACCGAGGCTGGGGCGACAGTCCGGAGAGCAGCGTCGAGTTCCTCGGGGGTTGGGAAGAAACCACAGCCCGAGGACCCAGGACTGGTCCGGATGGGCAAGATGGCGGCTTGGGAAATACGGAACTCTTTGGATTTCCAGGCCTTTTGTTTGAAGTGTTGAAGAATAGCGCAGTGAGCTGTTTGACGGTCTATTAATCTCTACCTTTGGGTATCTGGGTGCATGAACAGCACGGCGTTTTATGAATACTCGATTTAATACAAGCGATGAATGACATTGATGTTCAACGACAGGGTGATTGGATTTTGTAGATTTACACACCAGGGCAATTAGGAGGCGATATATATCCGGAAATCACTGAATGATTGGGGTCAACATATCTTACACCTCAACATATCTTACACCCGATGAAGCTAGATTAGTGTTTGAACGCAAAACGCTTCTAATTCCCATGACATCGCTTTGTTTCCTTTTTGCTGCCAGCTCCCAGAAATGTAGTGAGGTGAAAGAGGGAGAAATGAGAAGGTGAGGATATCACTTCTATATAACTGCTGCAGCTTAAGGTGCTTACGAGGTTGCGCAAAGAACCAATCCCAACAGATCTGGGAGAAGATATCTGGCAGATCGAATCCGCACGAAAAAGACTTGAAACACATTTACAACCGGCTGAAAAGACTCGGAGCGTACGAAAAGCAAAAACAGGTAAATATGTGGTATTTTGGGGAATCACTTTCATTCAGTCATCACATTCGTTCTCTTCACTATTTGCCATATCAAACTCCTCACATGTGGTAGGCACAAGTCTCGGGTCCGCAACCTCCACGGAGACAAAAGGGAGGTTTGCCATTTTCAGAAGGTACTGACGAATCTTTTGAGCACATTTCACCCACGAGTCATCAAACCTCTCCCGCCGGGCGAGAACCAAAACCGTGATGACAGGCTGTGGATTCTCTCCCCAAAGGGAGTGCCAGGTAAGTAGCATCGTCTCCAGAGGCTCAATGCCGTAAGGTGTGCCATCCGGAGAATGTGGTCCGTGAAGACCCTATCCCAAGCAAGATTGTGACCTCCACTGCCTGGGGCAAACCATCTGTTTTAGCGGGAGACCGCATAGCTGTGGGCCTCCCACGCGGAGTGCTTCGTTCCAGATCCCGTCGTCGGTCAGGTAGCCCTGGCCAGGTAGAGTCCATGGGCTTCCAAGTCTCTGGGCTTGGACTTGGGCTGGGCGGGTATTTCCTGCGCCAGGTGGGAAGTCCGTGGATAAGTTCGAGGTTGGCCAGGGGTTGGTAAGATTGTTTGGGGCTATGAGGGGGGTAGTCATGCCCTTTTCCGAACGCTTATTGGCCACCCACTGACGGGATTAGCTCACTTGAGGAGCAGGTGTCATGATGGGAGTAGTCATGCCCATGAGAAGATATAGGTCGATGGCAGGCTCCATTTGTGGAGCGGGACTCATCGTCAGAGGAGCTGGGATGTAAGGATCCTAGTAAGGAGGGGTCAGTCAAGGGCCCAGAGTGATCAAACGAGCATTGAGGGCCCTAGTGGGGCTCCTCGGGATAGGAAGGCTATCACTCTCGGTGGGAGTTGAGTGAGAGGTAATCATCGTAAGTGAGAGGTATTAGAAAACATATCACACAGTAAAGGTCTTTATTAAATGTGGTCGTCCCTTCACTTCTCTTACCTTTTTCAGATCGGAACTGAGATGCGCGTTGAAAGATCGAGTGATGGTGATAGGTCAATCCATTGTTCTCTGCAAGCGGAGAAGATATGAGGGGGGTGAGGGGAGGAAAGAGAGGGATGAAGAGAAAGGAATAATGGGAGAAGGAAATATGGAAAGAGAGAAGAAAGAGGTTGAAATTCAGTAAAGTGAACAAAGCATTCAGAAAACATCGTGTGACCGATTTAACGACTGAGGAAATTATAAACAACTTGAAATCAAAATCGCATTGAGAGATTGTAAAGAAATGGAATGACATTGATACCATGCTTCGGGTTCAATATGTACAATTTGGACAGGTTCATGCCCCTCAGACTTTAAACCGACATATAAAGAGTACCGTTATAGGCACACTTAATGTCAACATCGGCTTGCGGGTTATCTTGACAAATCCACTTGGTCCCAGGAGCACCACCATTGGCATTGGAGTTCAATACAGCCCATCCATCCTCAGGAATAGAGCCATTGACTCTCTGTAGCTCCAGAGTAAAGAGGTTGAAGTTTGGAGCACCCTGTGGGAACTTGATATAGTATTCTCCATCGTTGCAACGGGCAGTCTGCTTTGGCAGTTGACCATAATCCCTGTATCATGTATTAGATTATATCTTTTCCAAGATCTTACTTGATATTCAGAGCCTACCAGATCAGGTTGCAGTCTGTTGGTGTGTCATTTGGATACTTCGGGTCGGTGACGACGAAGTGCATGGATGCTCCAGGGTCCGAGGGACCCGCAATAGCAGTGAATTCAGTGATCGCCAAGAAGCCATTTCGCTTAGAAGTAGGAACAGCAAAAGCTGAACTGGCAGCGATGATAGCAGAGGCGATAGTAAGCTTCATGGTAAATGTTTTGAGTGGGATTGGACTGATGTTAGAGAAGTTGAAAATGTGGGGAGACGCCCCCTTTATACTTTCAATATTCTTCCAAGTTGAACCGTGCAGCTTTTTGATTTTGATTGTGGGGCTTGAATCTACATGTGACATGATGCAGCACATCAGATCTGACAAACCTTGTAGGCTTATGGTAGACTTGGGTATGATTGAGCTCTTCAGGCGGACAAGCGGTAAGTACAACTCGAGAATAGTTGACATTGTGACTGGTCTATTTGTTCATTTCACTCGCCGTCGAAGACTGAACAGATTCTATTTTGGGGCATTTTGAGTTGAACTGGATGATCATTGCTATATGTAGGTGAATGTCTAGGCTAAGCCTCCGCTTACAGGATGCAGGTCCAACGGAACTGTTTTGAGGCATCAACCTCGTTGTTTATTTACATTCAAATCCAATCAACCAGCATCGCCGTATGCATATGCAGCATATACAGTTTGATCGTACAGGTTTCCCATGGAAACCATTGATTGAGACATGCGTTTACGAAGGGATCGCCTAATGATCCCCATAATTCTGTGTTTCAGGTTTCAGGGACCAATCAATGCTTTGATCGGACTTACATCCATTCCTTGAATCTTTGAGCTTCCAAGGTTGGAGCATTTCATTTACAACTAAAAATACAAGTAGAATGATGTACTAGTAGTAACTACATGGAAGTATAAGTACTCCGTAGTAGATGCTAATACAGGGCCGGGTGAGCTTTGTATTTATAATACATGTAATTTACCTCTTTGTATGCTGGTGTATTGTAATATTCGTTCCTTTTGTACTCCCCGGTTCCGCCGCGATCGCCACAAATTCCGCGTTATTTCAAGCTCCACGACTTTCGTCAAGATCTCAGGAGCTTCACAGGATATGCAGGAGGATGTCGAAACCGCCAAGGTCAATTCCTAAGTCCTGGACATCCACCCTCAAACTCCCCAAATCGGCCTTCCCTCCGCGCGTATCGCCGGCCGACCAGAAGAAATACCTAAAACGATGCACCGATGAGCTGTACGCCTGGCAGCTAAAAGAGCGACCCGCCAACCAACCCTTTGTCCTCCACGATGGCCCGCCCTACGCGAATGGTGAATTGCACATCGGTCATGCACTCAACAAAATTCTGAAGGATATCATCTGTCGTTTCCAATTGGGAAAAGGCAAGCGCGTGCGCTATGTTCCGGGATGGGATTGTCACGGCCTGCCCATTGAGCTGAAGGCGTTGCAAGGCTTGCGGGAGATCGGTGTGGCGGACAAGTCGGTTAGCCCGGCGGTCATCCGCAAGTCAGCGCGACAGCTAGCGAGGCAGACGGTCAAGGAGCAGATGAAGGGATTCCGCGGGTTCGGAGTCATGGCTGATTGGGATAATCACTGGAAGACGTTGGACAAGTCGTTTGAGATGCGACAGCTGGGCATCTTTCGGGAGATGGTAGACCGAGGTCTCATCTATAGGAGATTCAAGCCGGTGTACTGGTCGCCCTCTACAGGGACGGCATTGGCTGAGGCCGAGTTGGAATACAAGGAGGATCACGTCTCCACCGCTGCTCTCGTCAAGTTTCCCCTGGTTGATACCCCGGAACATCTTACAAAGGACCCGTTACTTAAATCACAGGATGTGAGCGCAGTAATCTGGACCACCACGCCATGGACTTTGCCTGCCAACGCTGCCATTGCCGTCAGCGAGGGATTGGAGTACACCATTGTCGATTCGGAAACGCACGGTCTTCTTCTTGTGGCCCAGTCGCGAGTTGAATATCTTGAGCATATGTTAAAAGAGGAATTGGATATCATTGTACCATCGATTCTTGGGTCGGAACTAGCGGAGAAGACTACCTATCGAGCTTTGTTTAAGGGCCCGGATGCTGCACCCCAGCCGATTATCGGTGCGCCTTTCGTCACCGCGGATTCTGGATCTGGATTGGTTCACTGTGCACCTGGTCATGGAATGGATGACTACGAGGCCTGTCTTGCTCGTGGCATTGAGGTTTTTGCACCGGTCAACGATGACGGGAAATTCACAGAAAAAGCCATGCCCCATGATCCTGCTCGCTTGACTGGAAAGGATGTTCTCGGAGAAGGCAATGATGCTGTTCTAGAATATGCCCAATCGCGAGGCCAACTCCTTGCTCAGCACCGTTACGATCACAAGTACCCCTATGATTGGCGTTCAAAGCAGCCGATTATCATCCGAGCGACTGAACAATGGTTCGCCGATGTTGCCGACATCCGTAGCAGTGCACTCAAAGCGCTCGAGGATGTTCGATTCGTCCCCGAGGCCGGCAAGCACCGACTGGAGAATTTTGTGAAGAACCGCAGCGAATGGTGTATCTCGCGGCAACGTGCCTGGGGTGTGCCAATCCCTGCTCTCTATCACCGGCCCACTGGCGACGCTGTTTTGACCAAGGACAGCGTGTCACATATCATGAACATTATTGAGGAGCGAGGCATCGATGCCTGGTGGACAGATAGCGCTGATGACCCAGCATGGCTTCCACCATCCCTGCGAGATAACGCTGGAGGCTACCGACGTGGCACTGACACTATGGATGTTTGGTTCGACAGTGGTACAAGTTGGTCGGAGATTGACGTTCCTATGGAGGGACGCAGCCACCCCGCAGATGTCTATCTTGAAGGAAGTGACCAGCACCGAGGCTGGTTCCAGTCCGGTCTCTTGACTTATATTGCGCATCAACTCGCCTCTGGCAAGAAAGGTGTGCTGAGCACGCCTTTCCGCAATCTCATCACCCACGGTTTCACTTTGGACGAGCATGGTCGCAAGATGAGCAAATCTATTGGAAACACCATCGCTCCCCAGACCATTATGGATGGAACCCTCCTGCCTCCTCTCAAGCCACGTAAGGGCAAGGGCAAGGGCAAGAACCAAGCCGAGAACCAAGTCCCGACCTATGATGCACTGGGCCCTGATGCCCTCCGCATGTGGGCAGCTAGTAGTGACTACACCCGCGATGTCGTGATTGGAAAGCAGGTTCTTCAGACCGTTCACACCAGTCTCCACAAGTTCCGGGTCACGTTCAAGCTTCTCCTGGGCGCATTGGCTGATTTCCACCCGGAATGCATGGTGCCTTACGGGCAGCTGCAGCAGGTGGATCGGATCGCTCTAAAACACCTGTCGGATATGGTCCTTTCATCCCGCAAATCCTGTGACAACTTTGAGTTCTACAAGGCTGTCAGCATCATGAACCGCTGGGCGAACCTTGAGTTCTCCGCCTTTTACATGGAGGCCATCAAGGATCGACTTTATACCCTGGGCGAGAATAGCACTAGTCGCCGGGCTGCCCAGACCACTCTCTTCCACATCTATCACTACCTCCAAGAAGTTCTAGGTCCCATTACCCCCCTGCTTGTGGAGGAAACCTGGGAGCACACTCCCAAGGCCATCCAGTCACTCAGCGAGCACCCCTTACGGCGCATCTCCTCGGCCCCCGCGTCCGAATGGCAGGATTCCACCCTCAATGACAATTACCTAGAAATTGTTGCCGTACACTCAGTGATCAAGAACTTGCAGGAGCAGGCCCGCGGAAAAAAGCAACTTGGATCGTCCTTGCAATCCTTTGTGCACGTGATTCTCCCCAGTGACACCACAGTATTCCACCAGTATCTCTCCGAGCTGCCCGATCTATTCGTTGTCTCTTCGGTGACCCTAGGCCACCCTGGGGACTCAGTTCCAGCGGAGATCTCACAAGCCGAGTGGCAATATGAGGAAGCCTGTGAGCTTCCCAATGGACAAATGGGACGGGTGTATGTTTACACCCCTCAAGCTTCCAAATGCAACCGGTGCTGGCGATATGCAGTTCCCGAGCCTGTAGAGGCCGAGAACGCGACCTGCGACCGGTGTGATGTTGTATTGGACGAGCTCGAGGCAGCATCCACATAACCTGCAGACTTGTACTACATAAATTTCATGCATGTATTATATTACTCATTCTCATCTCCACGATCATTCGTCCGATCCCACCCCCTGCAGAACGCTGTACTCCTGAGTTGATTATTTTAGTCATAACAAACGAATGAATTCGTAAGAAGCTTCATTCCAAGATTTTTTGTTTTACGTTTTTGTCGCACCGGTATCGATGACGACAGTTGTGATGTAAACACAAATCCTGATTTCCCCCAGCTTTTTAAGTAAACCTCTTTTGACTTACAACTGACCATCTCTTTCACCTCTCTCTTTCTTCATCACCAATATGATAGTACCTGATCTTGACGAATTCCCTATCTTTGCTAGCCTCCCAACTCCCACCATGCCACCCACCACCACCTCGGTAGTGCCCATCCCCACGGTGATTCCGAGCATCCCGCTCTTCCAGGAACTTGAAATCACCGGAAAACGCACTCTCTGGTAAATCTATCACAAAAAAACATCAAACTCATCAGCTGATAGCTTCAGGGTCGTAACTGTGCTTATGGGAATCTCCTCCCTGGTCTTGTACAGTCTAGCCGCTCGCGCTCCACTTGTGAGTTCCCAAAATAGATAAGCAACACAAGCTAACCCCAAACCCCACAGCCAAAGCGGGTCTTCCACACCCTCAGTGCGCTGATCACCACCATCTCCTTCGTAACTTACCTCGCCTTATCGACCGGCCAAGGGTACAGCTTCAACTACCTAAACGTCATCCACAAGAACAAGCATGTCCCTGATACCCATGATGAGATATTCCGCTCCGTCCTCTGGCTCCGTTTCGTGAACTGGGCCCTGACAACTCCCCTCCTGCTAACCAATTTTGCCCTCATCTCCGGTCTTCCAGGTGCGAACCTGGTTGCCGCCATCGCCGCAAACTGGGTGATGCTCGCATCTGCGGCCTTCGGCTCGTACGCGGGACACACGTCTGCACGATGGGGATGGTTGACGCTATCTTGTATTGCATTCCTGGTTACGCTTCACCACGCCGGCTTCCATGCTCAGCGAGCAGCCAAGACCAAGGATGCGCAGATGAGACGCTTCTTTGGGGCGTTTTCCGGATCTGCTTTCTTCGCTCTCGCCTTGTTCCCAATGTATGTTTCCCTTGCCCTGCTATATACGCTTGCTAACTCTATAGTGCTCTGGCGGCGGGAACTCTTGCGCTGAAGATCAGTGTCGATACCGAGACTATCATTTATGCAGTTCAGGATATCTTTACCCAGGGTCTACTTAGCCATTGGCTTGTGATCTCGCATGATGCTGCTCAGGGAATGTAAGGAGCTCGCCCCTCCTTTTGGTCATCTTTCCTGCTTACTGACGTGTATAGTACTCTCCACATGGACGGATTCTGGTCCCACGGCGTTGGCAACGAAGGTGCCATTCGTATCGAGGAAGAGGGTGCGTAGTCTTACCACGTGTATTCTCGCAGCGGAGAACACGAGAGTGCCGCGACAGTCAGAATGTTGAAGGGAAAACACACGCGACACAACTTGATGAAATGGGGTTGATCAAGCATTGCTTTACAAGTTTCGTACCAGATTGGAAGGCCAGGTGGAATTTACTTTCTTTATGATCTCTTATTTCGGTTGTCGTGTAAGATAGTCTCAGTATTAACGTAACTGCAGAATCAAAATCTTATTCAGTAAAATGCGCAGTAAAGAAGTTTGACAAAAAAAGTCTAGTAAATAATCGTTTTCTTAGTATAGAGGACAGCAAACCACATTTCGTGGTAGTAAAAAAATGAGGCGAGAGAGAATCGAACTCCCAATCTTCTGGAGACACCATATGGCTGGAATCAGACGCGTTACCATTGCGCCATCACCCCATGAGATATACTTTGGGTTTTAAATACGGTTTATGGATGATTAGATAGTATAAAGTTATAAATTCGTTAAATTTCCCACGTGTCTAAAATCTACCCGCTTTTTCACACAACTAGATGAAGAATACTGTAGATTAGAGATTATTCTTATTCTTAGAAAGATCGCTTAGGTAAAAGTGACAAAAACAGATCACAGTTTATTTTTATTATCATTTTTTATGCTATCTATGCTAGTAGATGCTCGCCTTAAGCCTCAAGGCCTATCCTATATCATCTCTACTGGGGCAAAAAAATGAGGCGAGAGAGAATCGAACTCCCAGTCTTCTGGAGACCCCAATTGGGATTATAATAATCCCTAATCGCTGGAATCAGACGCGTTACCATTGCGCCATCACCCCTTACAGCTGATAACGTAAGCTTATCTTTTGGATTCTCAATGCAATCATTTATATATAATCGTCAAGGTTATGCATATCACAACTGAGGGGATTGGGGCAATCTGTTCCTAATCACCATTCTGATGCGGAAATGGTGACTTAAAAAACGAGGAATTTGTCGTTGAGAGGGCGGAAGAACACGATTTACACAAATTGATGGCTTGCTCAAAAAATCCCAAATTAAAGAAGGCCAGGTGGGCTTTGTTATTTTACTTCATCTCAAGTGGGTTGTCAAGACAGTCCCTGGGAAGTAATATCCAGTAACTCCAGAACCAAAATCATAGGGTCCTTAATGCATATTTGTAAAACATAGCGCCGTGCTTGAAAGGCTGAAAGCATATTCATGAATCCATCGTACTCTCCAAGACCTTTCCACCGCGGATCTCCAAGGCCTTCAAATCCTTCTCCAAATTAACTTTGACATAACCAAAGGGCACGGCTTGCAGATGAATCTTCTTGGGAACTTGAATAGAAACGCTTCTCATAGAAAGCGGCAGCCAGAGCCCGGCATCAACGCAATAACCCTTAAATTGTATGGTGCGCAGCTTCTCAGGGTCAAACCACTGGATGATTGGATCAGCGTCCACGATAAATCCGCTCAGTGTGAGCTTACAGATTGACAGGCGGCGACTGGGGTGTCCCATGTGCAAAGCGCTGACTTTGGCTGTTTCAATGGCTCGCTTGTCGAGGTATTCTCCAAATCCGATATTCGTGTTTATTTCACCATAGCCTCGATATCCACCATTTCCACTAAAAATGAATCAGTATGTCTGTACTCCCTGCCGTGTGCAATGCTAGGATCAAGTGAACAAGAAGGAAACCGACAAATAAACTGGCTCACCACCCATCCTCCTATCCATGGCCCACTTCTCATTGATATCCTTCCACCTGCGCTGAAGGATCGGGTTCACAATCTCGGGCTCCAGCGCCATCTCAAGCTCCAGCTCGTCCAGCTCCCGGTTCAACCACGCAGCTTGCCAAATAGATCTCTGATATGACTGCATCATCCCCGTGATCTTGAGTGAGCGTAAACCCCGAAACTTCGACAGAGCTTCCAATGGAGCCCGGTCGAGCCAGTTGTCATCATAGGCTGTGGTGTCATAAGGCCGGAACAAATCAAGACCAAGTCGTTTCCTAGTTACCGGAATGATGGACCAGTTGTGGCCACCACGAAAATTGAGCAGGGGCCTTTCCGGTGTTGCTATTCCCATGTCATATTCGAAAACTCCTGCGTCAGAACTGGCACGGTCTGCCACTGGAGGAGTAGGCGGGCGTGGAGAACTTGGCATAGATGCCGAGATCTTGAAAGGCGGTACAGAAAGGGAAGATGTAGCAGACTCCTCAGTCTCCTCAGTTTCCTCAGTCTCCTCAACCGTTGGCTCTCGTTGTGCAAGCTTTCCCATCAGCGATGACCTAAAGGTAAGTCGATTGTCTACAGTCCACTGGGGAAATAGCCGAGGTGGCGCTGTCGGACGAGTTGGCGATGGGTGACGACGACGGCCAAGATCTCGGAGTCTGGAAGTTGCTGCTGTCACAGTCCTGTGGTGACGAAGACCAGAAACTCCTGTTATGTCGGACATGCTGAGTTTGCGGCGCCGTTGGGGAATTGGGGTTGGGGCTGGTTCTGGTTCATCCACGGGTGTCTTGTCTCTGTTTCTGTCCTGTACTTGCTCTTGCTCCTTGGCGTAAGGCCCTTGCTCAGGGCCCAGATTGAAAGGAAAGCGTTTGAGGAGGTTGGGATCACGCTCTGGAGTTTGTTGATCAATACTTGTAGTCAAGTTTGATATGGGAAGTGGAGGAGTGTAAAGGTAGAAGTGGAAAGAGAAGGAACCCTGTGAGATGTAACAAGGAATTCAATCGCAAAAATCAAAGGTTAAAGAAAAGCGTACCTTCATGCAATTTGTTATCCCTGCATTGTTCCTCATAGACTGCTGCATCCTTCCAGAAATCCCAGCCCATAAGGGTGTGCCTCCAGTGTTCTGGGTGATCGTCCATATCAAATGCGATGCAATGTTTTTGAAGTCTCAAGACAAAAAGAAAGATGAGATGGTTGAGATGAGAAGTCTCGATCTCAGAAGAGAGAGGGGGAGTATGAAGTCTCATGTCGGCCTAGTGAGGCAGGCGCTCTTGTGCCATAGAGCATAGATTTGTTTTTAGATTTCACCAAGATTTATCTATACCACCTACCAAGGTAAACCGATCTATGTTAAAGACAAGCAGAGAAGCTCTGGGCAGTAAGCACGAATCAAGACTACTCCATTTGAGCTGAACCGATCAGCTGAGCTTGTCGAAGGTCCTAGCGCTGTCGGGTTGTCCATGATTGGTGTATTTGAATCAACATAGAACATCGAATGCCCCTACCAGTATGAACCTAGCATATGAGAAGGTAGACTAGGATATCCCACTGGGAAAAGACCTACGATTTACTCATGAAAGAGATAATGGCTGATGGACTTGCTTTTTCTCTTTGCCCTTCCCGTTAAATACATCCATGGACACCCGGAGCCTTTTTGGGGGAGAAATCAAACACGCAAGTCACTTTAGATCCAGCACAATAAAAAACACCTTTTAAATTTGGGGGGTGGTAAAGAAACTCGGAACTAAATCATGCGTGCATCATTCTCAACAGCCTAGTACTTCTTGCCCTGGCGCAGAACATCACCGAACTCCTCGAGAGGAGAGCGGATGAGCTTAGTCTCCTTCCAGAGGTTGGGGGTGAGGAAACCGTAGGTGTTGACGACGGCAACGAAGGTGGCCTTGAGGGTGTTCTCGAGGGTCTTGGTGGAACCGGAAGAGGAGGTGTAAGCATCCTCGACACCGGCGAGCTGGAGCAGACGCTTGACGGCGGGGGAGGCAACAAGGCCAGTACCACGGGGAGCGGGGATGAGCTAGAGCAGCTATTAGCAAAAACAGACACCAAATCCATCACGACTCAAGTTGTACATACACGGACGGAGACGGAACCACACTTTCCGCTCTGCTTGACGGGCAGAGAGTGAGGCTCACCAAGGTTGGTACCCCAGTAACCGCGGCGGACGGGCAGGACAGCGAGCTTGGCAATGGTGATGGCAGCGCGGATGGCGGTAGCGACTTCCTTGGAGGTCTTGATACCGAGACCGATGTGACCCTCGCCGTCACCGATGAGGACGATGGCCTTGAAACGGGTACGCTGACCGGCACGGGTCTGCTTCTGGACGGGCTTGATCTATAGGTGGAGAAAAAGATCGAATTAGTCTCGAAATCCCATACTGTTACGCTCTCTCGATCGGAGAATGGCAGGTGGTTCGGGTGGAAATTTGATCCCCATGCGATTCTGCGATTCCCAATTGTGCGCGCATTCTTGTCGGTGGTCGTAGTCGTACCTTCATAACCTCATCCTTCAGCTTGGGCAGGAAGAAGTCAACAATCTGGTACTCCTTGACGGGCAGAGAGTGGAGGTAGATCTGCTCCATGCTGGTGATCTTGCCGGCCTTGACGAGACGGCCGAGCTTGGTGACGGGCTGCCACTCCTTCTCCTCCTGCTTGCCTCCACGACGGCCACGACCACGGCGGCCACGGCCACGGTCACCACCACGGTCGCCACGCGAACCGAATCCACCACGTCCACGGGGAGCAGCGTCAGCCATTTTGGATGTATGTGAGGGCGACGGGAAGGGGTTGTTTTGTCGTTTAGCGGTCGTCGGAGACTTCGATACAGGTGTTTGGCACCGAAATTTGCGGGTGGAAAGCTAAGCGAGTCGGGCTGCCCTATGTGGTGCCCTAGCCCTATTGCTGTTTTGAGGTGGAGGGGGACGGGTATTATGTAAGAGACGGTTGGGTCTGGATGGCACGTGCGCTAGTGATTGGATTAGTCATTTAATAGTCAGGTGACTAATAACTCCGCTTTGATCTCGAGATCTCCAAATGATTCCACTTGATAGAGTGAAATGAAGATGCAGTCTGACATAGTACTGATTTCAACTATAGATAACACTCCTGAGAATTAAAGTGAATGTCAATTCGCTTTTTCTTTTTTTCTAATGAATGTGACGATCAATGATGTAAGACTGCAACTATCGGATCGACTTCCTAATCAGGTGTCGGGAACTAATCTTGTTGAACGGGCAATTTGACTCCGCAATTTAAAGATGTCATAGCCCCAGTCTTGATCTTGTTCGAACCCTTCCTGTCCTTTTTTGATAGCATTGTATTGCGTTTCATTCTCTTGCCTTTTTATCTCCTCTCATACTCCTTCACAATCACCATGCTGCGCTGGTTTGTTTACACCTCCAATCCCCATTTCACGAATCTTCACTGACCGACTTTATCGATCCAGGTACCAAGCCAAATTAGCTGCGAGGCCCATCCTGACCACCAGCATCAGCAGCGCGGTACGATTTCCTCTTGAACTTTCATTTCATCCTTTCCGTCTAATTTAACTAGGTGTTGTTCGGCAGTGGAGATATCCTGGCGCAGCAGGCGGTTGACCGCCGTGGCCTCGAGAAGCATGACTTTGCGCGCACCGGTCGCATGGCTCTCTACGGTGGAGGTTGGTCGCACACCCTCTCAAGTATCCATTTCTCATGCTCATTTCGTTCTTCTAGCGGTATTCGGTCCTGTCGCTACCCAGTGGTTCCGTATTCTCCAGCGTCACGTCGTTCTCAAGAGCAGAGCTGGAACCACTATCGCCCGTGTCGCAGCGGACCAGGCTGTGTTTGCTCCGATCCAGTTGACCTGCTTCTTGTCTTCAATGGCAATTATGGAGGGATCTGACGTACGGCAGAAGTTGCGCCAATCCTGGCTGCCCAGCTATAAGGCCAACCTCCTGGTCTGGCCATTTGTTCAAGGTGTAAACTTTACATTTGTGCCCCTAGAACTACGTGTTCTGGTAGTCAACATTGTCAGCTTAGGTGAGCGATCCCTTGGCCTTTCATCCTCGTCATTGGGTCCTATTCTTATCATTTCTGTACTAAATCACTCTAGGATGGAACTGTTTCCTCAGCTTATTAAACAGCGGTGAAGAGTAAAGGCGATGTACAAACCTTTGACATCTTTGATATTCACTATATCCCCATGCTTCCCTGGCGAGTCATTAGCATTTCTTATAGAGTCTTTGGTCGGTCGATCTAGTATCTACACTGGTTTCTGTATATAGGTAGATTGGTATTTCTTTATCATAGAATTGGATACGGAGTTATTTCAAACATATAACAAACGATAATCTATAATTTAAACACATTGCTTTCAGATCTACTCTGTACTGTTAGGGCTGTGCGGCCCGACCCAAAGAGGCAAGAGTTTTTCGCCGCTTTTTTTGAGCGGAATGAATCTCCAACTTCAAAACTTCGGTGCGGGTCCTTTAATCGTCTCGCCCAACAACCTCTTTTCTTTCCTCCCCCCCACGCTATACTGCTTGGACTGCCTGGAGCAGATCTCTCTGTCCCACTCACTTTTCAGGCTACTTTCGCTTTTGCTATTCGGCTTTAGCGCTTGCCCGACTCAAAACCCCCAACCTTTACCTTCCGTCTTTCATCACCCACCAACCACCCACCATGGCTGCAGTCGCAGAGAACGGTCACCCTGTGGCCGATGAAAACACCGCTCCCGCCGTTGCTACCTCAACCGACGAGCTAGTGACTGTATTCCACAACCCCGAGAACTTCAACGTGAAGCACCCGCTCATGCATGAGTGGACACTCTGGTTCACCAAGCCCCCCAGCGGCAAGGTTCGTTTTCATCGCTGGCCCCCTGACCGAATCACCCAATCGCTGACCTCTATTCTATTTAGGGAGATAACTGGAATGATTTGCTGAAGGAAGTCGTGACATTCAGCTCCGTGGAGGAATTCTGGGGCATTTACGTACGTAACCCGACAGTTGCCCTTACATATATATACCCAGACACAAAGCGTGTATAGCATGACGACTGACCCTCCCTTCCCCTTTTAGAACAATATCACTCCCACCTCCGAGCTGGGCCTCAAGGCCGACTACCACCTCTTCAAAAAGGGCGTTCGACCGGAATGGGAGGATGCCCAAAACAAGCACGGTGGCAAATGGTCCTACCAATTCAAGGATAAGCGCTCCGTTCCGATCGACGATCTCTGGCTGCACGCGCAGCTTTCCGCAATCGGCGAGACCCTCGAGGCCGAAGGTGACAACGAAGTGATGGGTGTGGTCGTCAACGTGCGCAAGGGTTTCTACCGTGTTGGTTTGTGGACCCGTTCCGTGGGCAAGGGCGTTCCTGGCGACAAGAATGCCCGTACTCCCGCCCAGGGCAAGGAAATCTTGGAGGCTATCGGTGGACGGTTTAAGGAGGTGCTGCGCTTGAAGGAGGCGGACGTGGTGGAGTTCTCCGGTCACACTGACAGTGCGCACAGTGGCAGCACCCGTGCCAAGGCCAAGTACACCGTTTAGACCATCGGATTGAATACTCGAATACTCGAATCGGTGATGTGAATTTCGCCTTTGATATGATAACAATATTATTATCAAAGGGAATGCGGTGGCGGGGTATGTCTTGTGACGATCCACCTACACCAGACCTGGACTTGGGAGTGGAGTTGCAAAACGAAGGAAAAGTTGATGATTCCCACCTGGCAGTCTCTTAGCACCTGCTGCATTTTCTTGTCTCATTTGCAGGATTTTCCTTTTTTATCTTATTATTTCCAGTGACGACCCTGATTGCTTGCGACATGTATCTTACTCTACCAAACGCATTTTATGAGGCATATGTCGTTGGCCATTTGGTCTGTTGTTTAGAAAGTATGTCTTATAGTTTTCAATTTATTATGAATTGATGAAATCAAACCGAATAACCACGAGTTTAAATAGATCAGAGCACTGATAGGTAATTCTAAGGCTTCCAGCTCGCCCACCCCATATATTTCCACGACATCTATTTCAGCTACTGGGCATCGCTTTGAACTTGAAAATGCAAGAAAATTCAAATTTTAAATAGCTCGACCTCCGGAAATTACACACGTGGTTTCATTCAATCCAGGAATGCTCCCATCTTTTTCAAAATACAATGTATATATATATGTTTCTCCACCCGTACGTATTACTCCCAACCCGAACATCAATCAATTGACATTTGACCGTAAAAATCCCAATTATTGATCATAATTCGGAAATTAAAATCATATAAGCACCTTCATTACGTATATAGGTATGTAAGACCCAATCTTGAGAATCCAGCCACATCTATGTTTGTGATAATCCGTTGACCGTGAAACCCGCAAATGGGCGCCAATCTAACTATAACTATTAAACTATTTTCTATCCGACTCAACCTTCTCAAGACCTGTAACACAAAATGAGCTCAGATATAAGAATTCCATGGATTTGGCTTGATAATGTCACAGTATCGGTCAGCATGTCTCATCAATATCATGTCTGTGTCCCCATCCTAGCGACATGCCAGTCAATGAAGATCCCGCGTCAAGCGGTCGTAGTCAGCAACACTGAAAGTTAGCGATGACAATTGAATTCTTCCGTTTGTGCATAAATGGACGATCAGAGACTCCAACCTGATTGCTGGTCTTATTCTTGAATTTTCTCCTGTTCTCAGCCTTCCCTGTTTGGAGACCATCAATTACCCTGGTACCCGTCAACATGGACACAGTCTCCGCCCCAGTTCTCAGTTGGACAAAAGGTGTGATTATACTCCTCTTCACAGCTATCCTAGTCCTATACTGGTATATTCGTATACCATCCGACATGCCCAAGAATATTCCCACGGTACCAATCTACATATCCCTAATAGGCCTTTGGAGTGACATGGGCCAAGATACAATCTATGACCGCTGGCTCCGACCTCCCCTTGAAAAATACGGCGCTGTTAAAATTTGGTTCGCGGGCCGATGGAACGTCCTCGTGACACGTCCGTCATACCTAGTGGATATGTTCCGGCATGAAGATGCTTATGCAAAGGCAGGCAGCCAGAAGAAGATCCCGTGGAGTGTGATTGCGGCGCTAGTGGGGGACAACATTATCAATGCGCATGGGGGAAACTGGAAGCTTTTCACATCGATTATGAAGCCTGGCCTGCAGAGGCGAATTACGGACTCGGGGCCATTGTTGGAGAAATCCGGATTATTTGTGGATATTTTGTTGGATGAGCAGACGCAGGTCGGCCTGGGTATTTCTGTGAATGCTATTATCCAGCGATGGGCCTTGAGTTGTATGGGGCTGAATTTCATGGGTGTTGATCTAGAGGTATGTGGGATCGTCTTCGGTTCTATTTATGTTTATACTGACAGAAGCAGTCATTGGAGAAGCCTGGGCAGCGTCTCGAACAGCTGCAGACAATCATAAAAAAGACACTTTTCAAACCGCTCTTCTTCAATTTCCCTGACCTAGACAAGTTTCCCTATCTGTTTCGCCAGCGGCAGGTGGCCTTTGATATCATGCAGGAGTTCGGAGAGCTACTGTGCGAGACTGTTCGGAAACGCGCCCCAGCGACCTACCAAGGGAACGATACAGAACAAGTAGTCGACCTGCTTGACCGGGCCCTCAAAGAAGAAAAGATCACCGAGAAACAATACCGCAATAACCTCAAGGTCACCTTCCTAACCGCCCATGAAAACGTCCAGCAGCTCCTCAACTCCGCGTTCTGGGAGCTGGGAAATAATCAGGCCGTGCAAAAGAAGCTTCGCGCGGAGATCCTTGCCATGAATACCCTGAATCCGTCAACCGACGATGTAAACTCAATGCCCTACCTCTTCGCCGTCGTCCTCGAGCTCCTCCGGCTCTACCCCCCAGTCTCCCAGCTAATTAATAGAGTTACGACTTCTAAAACAGTCCTTGGCGGCGACATCGTGATCCCAAACCACACATGGGTAGGCTGGAATGCCTTTGGTGTACAGACGGACACACAGGTATGGGGACCCACAGCCCGAGACTTCATACCAGAGCGCTGGGGAAGCGACGTCAAATCGATTCAGAACGCAGTCCGTAGCAAGACAACACAGTGCCAATTTATCGCGTTCAACGCCCACTCCCGAAAATGCCTAGGTCAAGGCTTCGCGTTACTTCAAATGAAGATCCTGTTATTCGAGATGGTCCGGCGAATCACCTGGACGGTTGACCCAACCTACGAACTGAAATTGACATCGGTGAGTGAATCTGCATACATACCTGACGTGACCTGCGTCGGAGTGAGTCATCGGCTGATATCTTGACAGGGTGGGATATTGGCGCCACTGACGCTTCGTGTGATCGTCGAAGAGAGGAAATGAGAACAATGAGTAAAGATTTTGGACCTGTGAGCCTGTTCTGATAGCTCCGCCTTTGCAGATTATGTTTGTTTAAAAACCTTGGTCAAGACTAAAGGGCGATAAGGGCTCGTAGACTTGAATATACCACTATAAATGAGAACACAGTCCCTTCTTACTTTGTCGGCAAATATGGCTATGAACGGAGGTAGTACAGAAATGAAGCATGGCAGAGTCTAATCTTCAGATTGTAATTTTGAATTACTTAGTGATAATCTTCTGCTACTTTGATACTTTGAGTTGAGCTAGATGTCTCTTCCAACACGCCTAAACTAAGCTTGACCCAACGATCAATGACCATGTCTGAACCACCTCCGAAGAAAAAGTATAAGGTCGCCGTGCTGATCTATCACGGCGCAGATATCCTCGACTTCACAGGTCCGATGCAAGTGATGTCTCACGTCTCGCATCAAGACGATCCGGATCCCGTTTTCGAAGTCAAGACTATCGCCCAGAAGAATATGGTCCACACCTCGAGCTATCTTCACATCAAACCCGATATCTGGTTACCAGACACTCTGGATAGTATCGCACAATATGATATCCTCATAGTTCCTGGCGCTTCACTACCAACCCTCCAGAAGATAATCAACGACACCAAAATCCCGGAATTAAATTTGATTCGCCGATATACTTCAGAGCTTACTCGTTCCCGTGTCCTCGTCTCGGTCTGCACGGGTGCAGTACTTCTCGGCGCAGCCGGTATTCTATCCGGACTAACTGTAACAGCACACCACCTCGCCCTGGAAATATTGGGAGAACTCTGTTCTACGCAGGACCAAGCAAAACTCTCGACAAAGATTGTGCATCGACGGTTCGTTGACGGCGGGGTTGTAAAAAGAACCAGAGTCCAGATTATATCCTCTGGCGGGACGAGCGCCGGCATCGACGCGACGTTCTACATCATTTGCCGACTTCTAAGTGCTGAAGCGGCGTCATCTGTTTCTAAAACTATGGAGTATGGGTGGCAAGAGCCGCAGAATGGGGACTGGCCTACGAAGTTTCACTGCATCTTAGACTGAGCCTGTATAGGACATACAGAGGATACTTAAATCTAAGTAGTAAATCAATTTAACCCTTCACATCTCAACCTGATATAAAGTATACTCAGTATGATATAATAGTAAACAGAAAGTTCTAGAAATTTGGCAACATCGCCCATCTATCATATGAAATCAAAGGCACCGAGCGTAAAAAGGGGTTGAAGTCTGGCGTTCCATTAAGATTGCAGGATTGACAATGCTCACAGTCAGAATCTGAGGTGCAGCGACCAAACCCTGTTATAGCCAGATTAGATGAGTGAATTCCTGAAAGGATGGGGCAGAAACATACATGAGGCATTGGAAAAAGCGGCCATGGTAGCTAGAAGCAAGAGCTTGTAAAGGTTTATCATAGTAGATATTGTAGTGATGGATAGTAGAATCAATAACATAAAATATTCTCAATTGCAGGAAATGAGCCGCTATTTATCTTCCATGTTTTGGCCCGAGATACTATATGGGGGCTTTCATACAGTCATCTAAGATGGAAAGGGTTGACAGCAAGTGGACACTAGCAAGCTAAATTCGACCGATCTGTGGTCCAAGGCTTACCAAAAGAGGGCTCATACTCTGTAGGGTATGGACTGGCCTATGAAGTGAAATCAAGCTGGGAAGATTGGCGAGCATGTATCATCTCATTCGCAGGTACTAGCTTGCGGATCGATACGGCTTCGCTGTGGCCCCCACATATAGCTAGCAACTGCCAAGGTATTCAGGATTCATACTACAAAGGTAATAAAGCCGCCCCGTCAAATTGAGGATCCAATGATGCAAGTGTAAAGATCAACAAGGAAGGTTTCGATGTAAGTAGGTGTACTTCTAATCGTCGGGAAGACGTCGGGTTGATCGGCAGCAACCGGGGGCTTGAGTCCGTCTGATCTGGTGACTTCCTACTATCACGGGAATTTCAGGATCACAGACTGTGATCAGAATTACTGTAGATCAAGTATAAATAGGAAGAGCTTCGAAGTTTTTTTTGATAAATCATTGAATCTTTCTAGAGTACACACCTTTAAACCTCTGTTCCTAACATATTGCTCAGATGGAGATCCTCGTCCTTGGTCTGCCCAGAACAGGCACTCAAAGTACGCAAGTCAAGTCCGGGATTTTTGGTAATCTAATAACAGAATAGGCCTTGCCACTGCTCTAAATCTATTTGGATACAAGGTCTACCACATGAAAGACAACGCCATAAGAGAAGACCATGCATTCTGGACCAAAGCTATGGATGCCAAGTTTGCCAAGCAAGGCAAGAGCGTGGATCGAGATGATTTTGACCAGCTTTTCGCCGGGGAGTACACGGTAAAACTATGACCTACCTAACAAGGGGGGAATGAAACTAACATGCTTTCGCTGTAGGCAGTGAGCGATTTTCCCGCTGCCATGTTCCCCGATGAGCTAATCACCGCTTATCCCTCAGCAAAGGTGATACTGTTAACACGCGACCGAGCCGGATGGATGAAGTCAATGGAAAGCACGTTATTGCACGCATGGAATGCGGAGAAAGAAGCTGGGGCCGACACAGGGTCAAAGCGTCTTGATCGCGACGAGATGGTCCGCAAGATACAGACTTATGTGTGGAATGATGACTTTGAAGCCAACGGACGTACGCTCTTTGTGGAGCATAATGAGCATGTACGTCAGCTTATGAAATCCAGAGCAGGGGACTTTCTCGAATTCAATGTTGCAGAGGGTTGGGAGTCGCTTTGTCGCTTCCTGAAGAGAGAGATACCTGTTGAGGAATTCCCACGAAAGGATGATTGGGTGAAGTATAAGGAGGAAGTGCAAGTGGAAAGAGATAAAAACCATACCATGTCTGTATAATCAACTGGTGAGGATCATCTTGCCAAGTACGGATATACAACTTTAATGGAATGCTTAGCCGAAGTCCGGCGTGGAGCCTGACGCGTGTCCAGGAACCAGCCGGATCTTGCACATTGATAAACATATGTGAACTCACCTCTTTGAGGATTCATTTAAGGATTCAGAAGAAGAGCAAACATGGCCGGTGTCGGATCGTGAATCTGGGCGTCCTTAACTGACCTTTTAGAGGTCGTGGTTAACAGCCAAGGGCTTAGATGCGCGCCCTTCGAAGCAGCTAGTCCATAACAATCCTCATCATAAGTCTCCTGTTGGTGGAAGTAGTGGGACTCGGATCCGGCTTTTCCTTATTTGCTGTAGAGAGCGAAGTCGGAGCGATAAGGTATACGTCTTAATGGCTTTTATTTACGCGGGCGTCCCCGTCTGACAGGCTTGAACTTTTTCCCTTGCTTTTGAACTTCCTCCTCTCAACTTTCAACCCGATAATGCTTCCTTTTCATACTTGAGATGTTATGGGTTTCAATCTATCCAAAATGACCCTCTACTATCTCTCCACACCATGACCAATACTCTCGACACCTCAGAACCTCCTTATCTAACCATCTTGGCTTGGCAGAGACGCCAGACTCCACCCTCCATTCCATCGCCTGCGCATTCACCCGCCATGCGTTTACGAGAGAAAAATACCCCAGAATCGATGGCCTGGATCAGTGTGCCACAATGAAGCCTAAACAAGAAGGTGGTTTACATTGGCTATGACCGGCTGCTGCAGGTTTCAACCTTTGATGCCTGTTGCAGATCGCTTTGGCCCCCCGCATGCCCAGGCCAGCGTGAAGGAACGGACTCCGGGGTAGCAATCAATTACCAAGCTCATCGCGAGACAACCAAGACAACTGAGCCCAATCTCCGAAACTCAAAAGAATGTCGGGTGGGTTGGTTCACTCTCAATCCACAGTCTGTAACGCGGGGAAGGCCCCAACGTTACAGTCAAAGTGGCAACAATCAAGGAATCTCTATGGAGTATGCACCATCAGCATCTTATGAGATCGGGGAAACTATGGTCGCAAAAATTGAATTGATCATGCAATCAATGCACCGGCTGCGTCTTTTATCCCTTGTGGTCAAAGCGGGCCGAGTTTTCGACTCGGTCTGAAAAGATCCAAGCCTCTACGAATATACATCTGGGTTGCATTTCTTCTCTCAGGTACCCATCATGTTCTGGTAAAGAAAAAAAACCACCAAATCCCGAGTTCGCCGTCTCCGGCTGAGGAATGGAATGGATGGGATTTCCGGAACTCGGGTTGGTCTCCGGCTACGCCTAGACGCCAAGACCTTGTTGAGATTTGCCTCGTGGCGAACGGGATCACAGGAACTCCAATCCGCGTGCATAAGACATGTCGCTAAGATCTTTTCTTCTGGTCACCGGCATTTTCCGACTGGCACTGCCGGTGATTCGTTCTGATAAGGGTGGAGAGCTGGACGAGGTGGGAAGTTTTTGGCCCTAATCTTACTAGAGTCGCGCCCCGGACAAGATTTTCTCGCCTTCTGATTGATCGGACAAACATTGGCAAGTCTTGGCACGTTGCTTACCACCGCGCTATCAGCCATATGGAAGGCTTTTTTTGCATTCGTGTTTCCATGTCTGGGGTTACATTGGCGCATGAGCGGGATTGCAATTCGTCCCGCTACAGACTCCTGCCGATCGCATCCACGGGAACGGGCATTGGCTGCGAACAATATTTCTTTTATCCTGTCGCGTGAGTGGGACCTACTTAGCTGTTGTGCAAGTCGTCCCATTCATTTTAAAGTCTTGGCCTTTGTTTTTTTTCCTCGGTTCACGCCGATAAGACCGTTCATCCCCACTACGCCTCGGGTGTTGGGTAATAGAAACTGACTATATAGTATACGGTCGCAGTCCCGTTTCTGGGGTCTTTTTTCTTTTTCTCTACGTCCATTGTGCTACTCTTGGAAGACAAGGTTGTATTTTCTATAATCTGCGATGTCAAACACAGATCGCGCGGTTGAGGTCTCTCCTCCGTATGTACTTCCTACATCATATATTCCATATTATCTTGCTTGATCTGACTCATCCTTTCTAGAGCCTATGCTAATGATACTGCCTTGGAGCATGTCATCGTGACCGACGAGAAGAGGGATCTTGACGTCGACAAGGAGGCTCTTTCGATTACTGTGGACGGCGAGGAACCCAATGATGATGAGAAGCGCACCCTTCGTCATGTCGCGGAGAACCTCCCCCTCTCAGCGTGGTTGGTGGCAATTGTTGAGCTTTGCGAGCGTTTCACCTACTACGGAATGTCTGGCATGTTCCAGAACTATATTGAGCGTCCCCTTGACGGCAGTGAGGGTCGTGGTGCTCTGGGCATGGCTCACCAGGGTGCTACTGGTCTGACTACTTTCTTCCAGTTCTGGTGTTATGGTTCGCTTCGCCTTTTATAAGTTCAAATTTCACTGGCTGACTCCTAATAGTTACTCCCATCCTCGGTGCTATTGTTGCCGATCAATACCTCGGAAAGTACAAGACCATTGTCTGGTTCTGCTGCATCTACCTCGTCGGTCTCTTGATTCTCGTCTGCACTTCCATTCCTACCGCCCTGGAACACGGTGCCGGTCTGGGTGGTTTCATCGTGGCGATCTTGATCATCGGTCTGGGAACTGGTGGTATCAAGAGTAATGTCGCCCCCCTGATTGCGGATCAGTACAAGCGCAAGAAGATGGCTGTCAGCACCACCAAGAAGGGCGAGCGCGTCATTATCGATCCAGCTCTGACCATCCAGCGCATCTACATGATCTTCTACGGATGTATCAACCTCGGTTCCTTGTCTCTGCTGGCCACCCCATACATGGAGTTGTACATTGGCTTCTGGTCCGGCTACCTGCTGTGTCTTTGCATGTTCGCCGTCGGTGCCCTGACGCTGATCCTGGGCCGCAAGTACTACGTTGTTCGTCCTCCCCAGGGTTCCATTATCACCGACGCTTTCAAGGCCATCGGAATGATGATTGTCAACCGCAACATGGATGCCCCCAAGCCCAGCTGGCAGATTGAGAACGGCAACTCCCAGGTTACCCTGCCCTGGAACGACCACTTCATTGACGAGCTCAAGCGTGCGCTCGTCGCGTGCCGTGTGTTCGCGTTCTACCCCATCTACTGGGTCGTGTACGGCCAATTCTCCGGCAACTTCGTCACCCAGGCCGGTCAGATGAAGGGCCACGGCATTCCCAACGATCTGATGCAGAACTTTGACCCGATCTCCATCATTGTCTTCATCCCCCTGCTCGAGACCCTAGTCTACCCCGCCATGCGCCGTATGAAGATCCCCTTCCGCCCTATCACCCGTATTGCCCTTGGTTTCGTCGTCGCCTCCTTGGCCATGATGTACGCCGCCATCGTGCAGCACTTGATCTACTCCGCCGGTCCCTGCTACGGCCACCCACTGTGCACTGCGTCTGAAGTCGACGGCACCGCCCAAGGCAACAACGTCCACATCGCCATCCAAACCCCGGCCTACGTCTTTATCGGTATCTCCGAGATTTTCGCCTCCGTCTCCGGTCTGGAGTACGCCTACACCAAGGCTCCTCCTTCCATGAAGTCCTTCGTGCAGTCGATGTACCTGCTTACCAATGCCTTCGGATCCGCCCTCGCCGAGGCCTTGACCCCTGCCGCGTTTGATCCCGCCATTATGTGGATGTTTGTCGGTCTGGCCTGTGCCTCTTTCCTGGCTGGTATTATCTTCTGGTTTGTGTTCCACCACCTCAATGCCCAAGAGGACGATTTGAACGCTCTCGATGCCGACGATGGAATGCCCGATGCTCCTATTGAGGAGGAGCGCCGTCAGTCTACTAAACAGTAGATATGTATTTGTTCAAGTCTTTCTTTTTTTTGGGCTTTCGGGCTTGCATTTGCACTGCGCGGGAGCAGGGTCTTCCTGCGTCTAGACTGCTGGGCAGATATGTGGGACGATATGTATATGAGTTAATCCATGCCTATACGGTAGTAAATAGTTAATACCTAAAAAATAAATAAACCTCAATTAAACATTCAATGTTCAACACTACAGTGCGATCAAGATCATCCAAGCCTGGGGTTCAGGGTCAAGTTCCACCTATAACTGGATGATCTCAGCCCCGCCCCCACCGAAACCGGAACAGTGTCTCCATGTATCTTGCCTGCCTAGACTCAAGTGCTATTTATGGATCTGTCTACCACTATTAGTATGTTAGCGCTGGGTTAACATGAGCTTGACTCAAAATCTATAATCATGTTGATTGGCCTTGGAGGCTGCAGTGCCCCAAGTTAGGCGGCCCAATTATATACGGGCGCTTCCAAGTACCTACATGTCTGCTGGTAAAAACCTCCTTGGTAAATTGAATGAGAAAATCACTCGATTGAATTAGGCTTCCTTATATTTTATACTTCTTCTATTAGGCTTCTAGGTTCAAAACCTCTTATGGAAAAGGAAACCCGCTGTGAACAATCATGACGTGCAGACTGGGTTGCCACCTAACCTCGTGTAGTGACCCCGTGTAGTGACATTGTACTAGGTACAGAGAAATTGGTATAGGGTAGTATGGGTCGATATGTACCTGTACTTCCCAATGGAAATGCTTTCCCTTGACGTGCAAGGGTTCGATCCACTGCGTAACGCCGATCCGAGCCTCATAAATAGAACAGCGTGCAGCTTCAGCCACAATTGTTCCGCAAAGGGGTCCCCACTGTAAGGAGGTCATCAGTCAACGCAGGAACGTTATTTTATTTTCTGAATTCCATCAGTGGTAGGCCATTCGACCTCCTTTAATTCTATTGAGAAGCCCCTGACTATCACCTTTTTGTTCAAAAATCCAAAAGTGAAACATTCTGCCTTTCCTTTCCTACCGCCGTGACACTCCACTTCTCCCGTCTCACCCTTCTCTTTCAACTTCCCAAACCTGAAACCCCTTGCTCGTCATCTTTGTTTACTACCATCTTAACCTTTCATAATGAGTGTGAGTCTTCCCAATCCATTATCTCTGTACTGATGTTGGAATTTCTGACGATGATAGTATCAGAGCTTGGGGGATACCAACCAGGGGGGCTACGGCCAATACAACCCCTATGGAAGTCAGCAGCAGAATCCCTATGCCAGCCAGGAACAGAGCTACGGATATGGAGGTGGTTACAATGAGGCCGGTGCCGCTGAACAAGGCAACGGTGGATATGGTGAGTTAGAAACAGACCCTACAGAATCGCAATGCGCTGACCAGCCCCCCCTTCGCCAGAGATGTCCAACATGCAGACCGGAGGTGGCCCAACCGCAATTCTGGACAAGTGCAGAGAGATGAATGATGCCATTACCGAGTTGCGCACCAAGCGCGAAGGCCAGCTTGTTTCCGCCCAGAATGCCCTGCTGGACTCCAGCACCGGCAAGGAGGACCAGTCCGCCCGCCAAAACGTCGACTACATTGAAGATGAGATCAACACTGCCCTACGCTACCTGCGCGACCAGTTTAAGCGCATCAAGGAAACTCCTGGATCCGGCGACTCCCGTGTGTCCGGTCAGGTCGAGAACGTCAGCCGCAACCTCCGTCGCGAGATCGAGCTGTACCAGCGCACACAGGCCGATTTCCAGAAGCGCCTTGAGGAGCAGGTACGACGCCGTTACGAGATCGCCAACCCCGAGGCCACCCCGGAGGAGTTGGAGGAGGGTGTACAACTTGTTCTGGCTGGCCAGGAACAGAGCTTCGCGGTATGTTTTGAATGGTCTTTTTGGCGCATGGCCAATTTACTAATCTAAATGTTGGTTTAGGTCCCCGGTACCCGTTCACGCCAGGCCAACGATGCCCGTCAGGCTACTATGCAGCGATCCGCTGCCATCCGCAAGATTGAGCAGGACATGATCCAGCTCGGTCAGTTGTACCAGGAAGTCGCGGAGCTGATCCACCAGCAAGAGCCTGCGGTCACCCAGATCAATCAGGGCGCGGAGGAGACGCACCGCAATGTGCAGGAAGCCAACACCAAGCTTGATAGTGCTATTACTAGCGCTCGGAACGCTCGACGATGGAAGTGGTGGGCCTTGGGTATCATTAGTAAGTTGCCCCGCGCTTACCCCCTCTAGGAAACCCGACTGACCAATCTAGTCCTCATTATTGTCATCGTCGTTGGTGTTGCCGTCGGCGTCACCGAGGCCAACAAGAATTAGACATCTTTCGCGCTACGAACCACATTTCCCCGTGTACGACCCTTCCCCAAACTGGCATGGCATCGACTTGACTCGACTCGCATGCATTCACGTTTGATCTAAATCCGACCCAGTCCCATTTCCCTTGTGTTACCATTCAATTCCCCCTTTGTCCTATGCCACCTCCTTCGTTTTTCTATACCACTTCGTCGCATGTTCCCTTCCGTTTTCGTTTCTGTGTAAAAGCAATGCTCGATTGACTTCGTTTCTTTCCTTGTGTTTCTCATTCCCACATGAATGCTGCTTTCGCATACAGCTGTGCTCAGACGGACCACCGTAAGTGCTTAGCTGAGGATGACTTTTCTTGTGCTCCCTGGATCCCTTGAACTGCTTGAACTTTGCGCTGCCACGTGCGGTGCCGGGGGTCCAGGGATGTATATACTAGAGTGTGTGATTTCTTTTGATGTCAATGCCTGGTTGTTTGGTGATAGAACCTATGTAATACTGTATTAATTGATGTCTATCGACACTAATCGGTCGCTGATTCAAGTCGATTCATTGAATCGGGTATCAATCCCTGTAATATAATCTACACTCCTTATGCCTGTGCTTCCCTCTCCTTCTCCCGCTGCTCCTCGGCCGGTGTCTTCGTCTTCAACTGCAATGCATGGATACCTCCTTCCTGACTCATCTCATCCTTAAACAAGGCATATACCATCCGATGCCGCGCAGGCTGCATCTTCGATTCAAAAGAGGAAGAGGTAATCGTCACACTATATAAGCGGTCAGTTACCCATATAGAAATAAGTCAGTCTAGCGACAGGCTTCCTTCGCATAAATCACTAGACTTGGATTTCGTACTGGAAGTGGGTCTCCTTCGACGTGGCTCCTTGCATGGCAGCATGGTGCGCGTGCTTGTGGGAATCGTTACGGATAATGAGGGTTGAAGGAGTGAAAACGTGAGTGATCTAGACTCATCAGTGAAGTTCATATGGTTGAGTAAAGCTTGATGTACCTTGTCGCGCATGAGATCCTCCATTGGGGTTGTAGAGGCCATTTTTGCGGAGACTGAAAATAGGCGGCGGGGGAACTGGAGAGGGAGAGAGCGGAGCATCGAGGAGAAGGAGTAGGAGGAGAAGAAGAAAGAAGAAGAAGAAGAGGAGGAGAAGGAGGAAGAATAGCAGTAAATTCAAAGACAGGAGAACCAGGCCATCAAAGGTTGAATAAAGCGGAGAGGAAAAGCGGAGAATATTTTTGTTTCCGCGGAACTTCGACTTCAATGACATCAACCTACAACACTCCATCTGCAGCCCATTGAGTTCTCATTGAAATTCAAACTGCCATGATCTCACGATAGACACAGAATGTCCACCCGTATCTTTTTACAACGGTTCCTGCGACCGCGTTTGCGCATAAATCATGCACGTCCGATCTCATATACGAAGCTCCTCTCCACACTCCCCAATATCCCAATCTTTCGCGCCCTGCAGAATCATGATCCCTCTAGCCTAGCAGTTGTCCACAGCGCATCAAACCGCAGCTTTACATACGGCAATCTCGTGGCTGATGTCCTCCGTGTGAAAGATGATCTAGAGCGTAAAGCCTCGGGCAAGCTCTCCGGGGAACGAGTTGCGTTTTTGGCGGAGAATAGCTATGACTATGTAGTCACTCTCTTGGCTATCTTTGCTAGTGATGCGATTGCCCTGCCGTTGTCTCCGTCTTTCCCTGTTGGTGAATTGCAATATATTCTGGACAACTCTCAGGCGAAGGTGCTTCTTGCGACTGAGAAGTACGCTGATAAAGCGGCTCAGGTCCTCACGGCCGGATTGGAACTAGATCCTTTGTTTGATGTTCGACGGAAGATTGAGGTTGGCACGAGTGCCGAGTCTGTTCAGCTGGATAGTCGCGAACAGACTTCATCTGGAATGATGCTCTATACTTCGGGAACTACGAATCGACCGGTAGGAGTAACCTCCTCGTTCATTTGAATATAACTAAACAATCACAGAAAGGCGTACTTATTCCTGAGTCCGCAATCACGGCGCAAGCATCATCCCTGCTACAAGCGTGGAAGTACACACCACAAGACCGGCTCTTACATCTACTCCCACTACACCACATTCACGGCGTAGTAAACGCAACCTTAACACCAATCTTCTCTGGATCCTCCATCGAGTTCATGTACCCCTTCAACCCGGAACAAGTGTGGCGTCGTCTTGCCGCACCATTCATCCCATCTGAGAATAAGCCCAAAATCACTTTCTTAACCGCCGTTCCAACAATATACAACCGTCTAATGACCTCCTTCCCGTCACTTTCCCAGGAAGTCCAATCCGCTGCACAAAAGGGTATACACCCCGACAACCTTCGCCTCAACATCTCCGGTTCAGCAGCCCTCCCAACACCCACAAAAGAAAGGTGGACCGCCCTCAGTGGTGGGAACGTCCTCCTGGAACGATTCGGCATGACAGAAGTTGGTATGGCGATTAGCTGTGGCCTTGACCCGGCAGACCGTGTCGATGGTAGTGTGGGGTGGCCGCTACCGGGAGTCGAAGCTCGTCTCGTAGATACAGAGACTGAACAGGTCATACCCATCGGCCAAGAAACAGATGCCAACGGCCGAGCTCTCGAAGGCGAGATCCAGCTACGGGGAGCTACGATTTTCCACGAGTACTGGGGAAATAAAAAAGCCACGACGGAAAGCTTCGTCAAGGCAGATGATGGGAAACCCTGGTTCCGTACTGGAGATGTAGCCACGCGACGAGTCGTCGACGGAGCTGGAAAAGGAACCAGCGGGGAGTGGGCTCAGGGACCCATGTATTTCATCAGCGGTAGAAAGAGTGTTGATATTATTAAGACGGGAGGTGAGAAAGTCAGCGCTTTGGAGGTTGAGAGGGAGTTACTTTCTCTGTGAGTTTCATGAACTTGTGTTGGCCAATTTGAACATAATGCTAACATTATCTTAGTCCCCAAGTAGCCGAAGCAGCTGTCGTCGGCCTCCCATCTGAACAATGGGGTCAAAAGGTCGCACTCGTAGTAGTTCTACACCCTGACGCAGCGACAAGTGGTCGAAATGGTAAATCGTGGGGCCCAATGGATATGCGTCGGGCGTTGAAGGATCGGTTGGCAGGGTATAAGATTCCGCAGGAGATGAAGATTTTGGACAGTATTCCCAGAAATGCGATGGGTAAGGTCAATAAGAAGGCCCTTGTGAAGGAGGTGTTTAGGATCTAGCTACTTTACCAAAAATGAGCTGTATGATAGTGTATAGTACTGTTACAATGAACAAGAATATTGTCATAATGTAGACAGACGATGCTATAAACCCCAGAGAGATCTAGCTCGAGGCTTTTAATAAGTAGAGAAATGTTATAATACATTGTATTCTAATATACTACAGTCCACCTCACGGTAGATCAAGCCCACTCCCCAACCCTTTCATACTCCCTTATCAACCCCACAGCCTCCATCTTAACCTCCAAACTGGCCATATCAACAGCAACGATCTTCGCATCCACAATTCCAAAGATATTCATCCGCTCCTTATCCGGGCAATCATCCGTAATAGTAACAGAACAGCCAACTCCCAGATTAGCAATCACGCCAGAATAGACAGTTCCATCGCGCACAGGGAGGACGCGCGGCATGCGTAGAACGACGGGAAAGGTTTCTGGTAGTGGACAGCCAGCGAAATAGAATGCGCGAAAGAGGAGCATGCAAGCCCAGTGCTGATTCGAGTAATTGCTGACTTCGCGGAGACGTGCGCGGATAGGGGCTGAGAAGAGGATGTGGGAGTCTATGTCGGATTTTGTGTATGGGAGGGGCGGAGAGTTGGATTCGGATTCATATTTGGATGTGCTTTCAGCTTCGGCTTCAGTCTCGGCCGGCAAAGCCTGATTGTGGGCCTCTTCAATCTGGTCGAGCATATCAATGACTCCATCAAATGGACGACCATGCTCAGCTTCAAAACGTAACGCAGCCTCAATCTGGTAATGCGCAATCACATCTGTGAACCGACGCAATGGACTAGTGCTCTTGATATACGCATCCAATCCAAGCATATGATGATGCACAGGCTCGGAAGAGGAGAATGCCCTGGGCATAGCCAAGTGCAAAAACTTCTGACCACCGAACTGGCTCATGTTCTCGGGTGTGACGCGTTCGTACTCCGGATCATACCATGTTCCGTCGTAGACAGCGGGAATGTTGCGAGTAGCACAGAACTGGCCAGCGATATGGCCAGCCAGGTTCATCAACATAGAGACGAGATAGACCTTTGACTCGTCGCGGACCTCGTGGGGGTTGGAATCCTGGATGCGTAGTTGGATGGTTGGATCACCGATGAAGAGTCTTCCCTCTGTGACTTGAATCTCGTAGGGCTTAAGTGGTTCTGTGCCTGCCTGGACAGTGAGCAACATGTTCGGGCGCAGGGATTGCATGTCCATGGCGCCGTTCTTCTGGCGCTGGGTACGGAAACCGAGCATGAGTTTGCGAAGAATGGTAAATGTGTCTTTATCTTCGGCTGTGAGTGTCTCGCGGAAATCTTTTCCCCTGGGTAACGGGGTATCGATAAGGTTGCCGACAGTGAGAGTCTCCTGAGACTCATTGAAATCGGGATTGAGATATTTCCGGAGGGTGCGATGCGTGAGACTGATGACATTGTGTACAGTTCCGTTAGCCACCGCAGTGTCTAGAATCTCCCCATCTAGGTTCATCTTCGCACTGAATGTCAGCGCCGGCCGGCCGGGTGCAAGACTGAAGTGCCCCTGTGTGAGTGATTCCGGGAAAATAGGGTATGTGCGCTCTGGAGCATATGTGGTCGCCAGTCGCGAGGCAGCGTACTCGATAATAGGGTCATTATTTTGCAAGAAAGCCGTTGGATTGGCGACGTGGATATGCACCCAGAATGTGTCTTCCGATGCAGGAATGCGCTCCAGGGAGACGGCATCGTCAATCTCCTGTGCGGTGACATCATCAATACAATAAACCGGCAGATTACCCCAGTCTTTCCGTAGATGCTGCATAGAATCGACTAGAGAATCGGCGTCCTTGCAAGATTCCTCGATTTCCTCCCAGCGCATATCCTCCAGGAGAGAGACCCCGTGTCCTGGTAGCATTAAGTTCTGATCCAGCAGACTCAGATTCTCCCACGGGGAGATGACGCCTAGCTCCTGTAAGAAGATACGGGTAGAAGTGTCGCTGAGGCCGAGAGTATTGTACATGCCTGTGACCCGCATAATATGCGAGGCTGTCGACTTCAACGTACCCGATGGCATGATCACCGATGGAGTGGCATATAGCTGGAGGTATTCTATAATTATTTGGTCATTCCGATCGAACTGTTCGGTCAAGACCTCGCGGAACACCATCGCCTTGCCATCTTGCCCAGCTTTAAACTGCTGCGATGTCGGGCCCACACTAGACATTATTGTAGGCGAGCGCGACCTTCGACTGAGGCGAATCAGGCGCTGTGCCTTAGCGGTGAATCGCTGAATTGGATGCTGTGAGAACTTGTCCGCCGTCATTCCGCTGGTAGTTGTGGCTATTTGATCATGGTACGTCTGGCGAGTGTGTCGCATAGCGAAGCGAGTCAGATAGTCCTGATGCTCATGAACCCAAGTGGTGACAGTTTCAACAGTTTTGGCGATCCGCTTGGGTTGTACAAGGTACATGAAACTGAACAGTGAGGTAGAGTCCTTCTCAATTAGGAATGAATTGTTTCGAACAGCCTGGTGAACCACAAAGAGGTTGACGCTGTTAAGCTCGGACTCTTCGATGTCCAGGACTTTCATAGTCAATTCCTCAATGCTCAAGCGACGAAATTCAGAGTCATCGGCGACCAGATCATGCATGTTGTCCAGCTTCGCCGAGTTAAGTCTGTAGAAGTCTAAGACATGAGCTTGGAAGTTGTTCATCATCTCCAAAAGAGGGGCACCAAGTGGCCGCGGAACGCCTCCTTCTGGCACGGACTGGATCTCATAGTTGACCAGGGGCACTGTATTGGGAAAATACGGTTTGATCGCATCCAGTAGTTCGGGAGGAGCAAAGCCCTTGATCACATAGTCCAGTTCGCGAGCTTTGCAGAGACGCCAGTTCCCGCGGGTGGTGTAGAACTGCGGTCGTCTCTGGATGGATTGCACATAGATTGCCCATCGAAATGTTCCATCCCCGAGCAGCTCTGCAACCATATCACCCGGCTCGAGATGATCGCCATGAAACTCCTCCGACGTATCCATGTCATCCTCGTGCGAGATGCCCGGATTGTTCCACACGTTATCACCATAATTGTCCCGACCGTTGGGCATATTGCCCATCACCGGACCTGAGTCCAGATCATGATTTGGTTCTCGAATAGGATCCAACAAATTAGGATTATTTGCTTGCCAGTTTGAAAGATATCCACGAATGTCTCGGTAGGCCTCGATTTCGGCCTTGTGAAGGGTTTGGGGGACGCTTTGTGACTGATCAATTAGTGTGTTCCGTGTGAAAATCGGTTCTTGCTCTGTATGCTAATCAAATGGTCAGCTCATCCAGTCGATTGGGGATAGTTCCTCGTACGTGATCTGATCCCAAGACTCTGGTGGTGGATATCAAGCGATCTCGCACGCAAGGCAGCCGCTGCAGCGCTCCTTGTCGCTGCCTTAATGCGCCTCGTGCACATATATTCCTTGCATGTGCGAGCCTCTGCAATGCCCCAGTCTTTAGCCAGACCATGGTTGTGTTTCAGGTCGCAAAAACACGACGCCATCGATCATCATTCTGCAGTTATAATAGCCACCGCTTTGAGGCGGTGAAATTGACACCTCAGGTGTCTATATGCGTCTCCAGAGCAAAGTCGCTCGCCAAAGTGCATATGCATGGAATGACTATATGATTCCTAATTTATCATTGAGTTGACGATAATCAGATCGAAAATTTGATTCGTCACATTTGATCTGTCGGGAGTCTACCTCCCTGACCCTATGAACTATCGACCCTTGTCCTCCTGAGCGCCACAGTCCAAGTCACAAACCTCAATTTACAGCTACGCACATCATCCCCTGAAAGTCCATTCCCAGGTTCATATTCGCTGTTCGCATTCGTATAACTCCGGCCCGCGGTTGGTCGCTACTTCATGTGATGGGAAATCCCCCACGTTTTTCTCAACTGCGTTTCCAGTATCGCCGATCTCACTGACAGTTGCCAAAATCTGGGCTGGCAGCGACTATCATTTCTCATCTGGTCTAAGCGAGCTGGTCCGAGTGGACCAGTGAGCCGTTACCGTTCAGGGGAAATCCCCCGAACGTCCCACGCGGGAGACTAAAGGGCCCACGGTGGATCCCAGAAAGGGTCTTCAACAAGAACTGCAGTCATGAACTTGGCTATGGAAGGTTTGAGGTCAATTATGCTTCTATCAGCATATCCTCGATGTCTTTCTGCGTGTTGCAAGGATATGTGCTGACAAGTGAGATTCCGTATCAGGGGAAACAAGGAACTAAACGGCCTCAGATCCCGAGTTCGCAGTTCTCGGTGATCCTCCCGAAGTTTGACCTATCCAGCCATGGCGCCGGACTAGCAGGGACCGGGATAATTATATGCATTGAGTTAGATGCTAAACTATCATGGCAATCAGCTTGGAAAAGCACCAATCACAACCTTCACCTTCGTGATCGACAGTTTGTCTTGGTTAATGTCGACCGGGAACTGTAACTTGGCCTAGCTCCAGAAGTCGGCATGATCCCACTTAGTCCCCAAGGTTAGTATAATCCGGCATGTGCATTTCCTCTCTCCATCTGTCTCCACAGTAGAAGGCCATTTATGATTAGCTCCAAAAACCTCGCCCTGGTGCTCCTTACCCAAACCAGTATTTGTGCACGGAGGTAGATTGGAATTGACCCGAGCCCAAGTATCCACTTCGCTTGCAGATTTCTTATTGCGATAGAATACGGAGTGCACTATTGGGGTCACATGGAGTCGTTTCAATGGCTACTCCCCGACACCGGTCGAAGTTACCCTAAAACTACTTATACCAAGGATCCTCCGCTCCTCCCCATCGGACACCGCAGAAAAATCAAAACCTCCCATTTGGGTTGGCTTCCTCTCGTTATATAACTTGTATCCGATTCGAATCCTCGTCTGGTTTGCGGAATGGCTTTCACCAGCCGACGCGCCTTGGCGCTATTCGTCGCAACCATTGCACCCCTCGCAAAGGCCGACATCTGCTCAACCCTCGAGCAAGGCGGGATCTCTGTCGAATACCCATTGACGCTGGATTATACAGTTGCTTTGACAGATTACTGGTCCGCAGCTTGTGGTGACCTCAAACCAACATGCATTGCGGCGCCATCTAGTGCGGCTGAAATGTCACAGATCATTACCACGCTGCACGATTTTGAGACCTTGTTCGCGGTCAAATCTGGTGGACATATGCCGAATAATGGGTTCGCCAGTATCGAGGATGGATTGTTGATTTCAACGAAGAGTTTAGATCAGGTTGATTATGATGAAAATGACCAGACGGCAGTCATTGGACCGGGCCTCTCCTGGGAGGAAGCGCAGAAGGGTCTAGATGGGACGGGACGGGCCGTTGTGGGAGGACGGTTGGGTGGGGTTGGAATTGGAGGATACATGCTCGGAGGTATGTTGAGGAGAACGGTTCACTATAATGGGATTCTGACTTGACCAGGTGGCATGAGCTTCTTGAGTACCCAGTATGGATGGGCCGCCAACAATGTCGTCAACTACCAAGTGGTTCTGGCCAATGGCACAATTGTTGACGCCAATGAGGATGAGAACACCGGTAAGTTGATTCGTTCTGTTCGCAAGATTGAGACTGATCGGTGATAGACCTCTTTGCATCCCTCAAGGGAGGAGGTAATAACCTTGGTGTTGTCACGGCATACACCGTGCAGACACATCCTATCGGCCAGGTCTGGGGAGGTAACTTCTTTTACTCCAAGGACAAGTCACCTGAAGTTTTGGCGGCAGTGCGCAATTTCGTCGACGACTATCCCGACGACAAGGCAGCTGTCATTGTGACCGCAGAACATGGAGTGATCGGGGTCGTTGATTTCTGGGTGATGTTCCTCTTCTACGATGGACCTGAGCCACCAGCAGGTGTCTTTGACGAGTTCGAGGCTATCGACCATACCTCCACCACTCAGACATGGGACTCATACTATGACCTACTGAAAAACAACGACGAGTTCATTCTCCAGTTAGTACACCAGTCTCGTGCTTATGCATTTTACTAACTTCCAACAGCGGCCAACGCTACACCATCGCGACAGAGTCCACCCCTGTGCCAAATTCCACTGTTGGAGCCAGCGTGATGCAGGAGTATTTCGACCATTGGTACAACGTAACAGAGTCTGTCATCGGTGTTACTGGTGTCGTTGGATCGATTGCTTTCCAACCAGTCCCCGTGGCATTCACCAAGAAGGCCAAGGAGCGCGGCGGAGTAAGTATCCAGGAATCGAACAACCCACATAGGCTAACAGAAACAGGATCTTCTCAATGTCCCCGATAACCAAAACTACATCTTCTTCGAATTTGACTTTTCTCACTCCCTTGCAATCGACGATGCAGTGATAGACCAAGCTACCCAGGACCTGTACCAGGGAATGGGTAATCTCGTGCAGAAAAACATTGACGAGGGTCTTCTTCCCGATGTATACCGACCATTATTCATGAATGACGCATATTACCGCCAGGACTACTGGGGGCGCATCGACCCAGCTTCCAAGGCCCTTGCGCTAAAGACTCGTCGCAACGTTGATCCCGATGGGTTTTTCCAGACACGGACCAGCGGTGGTTGGCGACTTGAGGAGTAGACACTGATTTCGAGTACTGGTTTGGCTATATGACTATTAAAATTAGCTAATTGTCTGATACTTACTATTCTGACGTAATTTACGCATGATCAATTTGCCTAGCATCAAATCAGTACTGTCGAAATACTTGTGGATCGCGTAAAAACTCGGCAAACCAAAATAGCAAAGCGAGGATGAAACAATCCTCTAGTCTGACTCATTCAAGTAACCGCCCGCGTCAGATCCGACTCTTCAGAAGCAACGAGTGGCCCAGAAGCGCCCGGGGATAGATAGACTTCCCCCTCCACGCGCCGGAGTGGAGTCAGGCGCCACAATCTACACAACATCCGAGCTTCTGCATCTCCAAAGCTCCAGAGCTAAGAGCTAATGCTATGATTATGTCGATCGCTCTATTTGGATAAGTCAATTTACTATTGTAAGTGGTTAAATGGTCCTACTGTGGCGGGTGGCTGGTCCTAGACATTCTCTAACAGGGTTCAAGAGATCGACAAATTCTAGATTTTAGATGCTGATTCGGGGATTCTAGACCCTTTCTTTGAGGCTTTGTTTTACAACTTTCGAATGCAGGTGGGCGGCTATAGTGGAGGCTCTGAATATAAAGACCTGGGTTTCCCAGGGATATTGGTTGCAAGATCTTTCATTCAGCGCTTTCTTTATTTTATTTTGAATTTGATCTTCTCTTCTACTTTCAATCTATTCCAATCTACTCTCATTCTATTCCAAGCCTTGAAGGTCCGGTCTTACATATTTTAATCTCATCATATCGACGCTCCTTCGGTCCCTCGAGTCCAATCGTTATACTTTCATCATTCCAACATTTAGATTCAACTCATTACATTACAAAAATCCATTTGCAAAATGATCCATCGATATGGAGCCCTCGGCGCAACCTTCCAACTCGCCCGCCTATTCCAGTTCTGCTCCCTCATCGCTATAATCGGAATGATAGCCAAGTTCATAGCGGTGATCGTCGGAGAAAACGACACACCACCCAACGTTCTAATTGGGACAATCAGCGTGGTACGCCACCATCTCTGCTCCAAGCTTCCAAATAACCAACTGACCCTAACTTCTCTAGACTTGCATCGCAGTTATCTACTGCATAATCTCCGAACTCCTCTACCTAGACAATATCCTGCCATTCCTGCCTTCGGCAGGCATGGACTTCCTTATCCTAATCGGAATGATCGTTGTCGCTGTCATAATGGGGCAACCCCTATCATACTTGAATTGTTCCTCGCTTTCTGATCTAGGCGATAAAGATGCCGCTGCGTATGCGTTTTCGGAGCATTTGGATGGATATATTGACAGCCTGACTGGCAAGATTGATTACGAGGCGTGGATTGGAGCTTCCAAAGCGATTTGTTTGGAGACGAAGGCTGTTTGGGGGTTGAGTATTGCTCTGTGGTTCGTATCTCTTTCCTTCCCCAGATATCTAGAGTGGTTTCTGACCGGTTTAGTATTTTGTTCTTCTTTTCGAGCATTTGTGGTGTAATTCTGTGGAGACAGAAGAAGATCCTGTTGGCGAGCGAGGAAAAGTAATATCATGCGAGTCCGGTTACCTGGGAGTATGCATTTAACGAGGCTGTCCGGATATGGATATGGATATAATGGTCAGGCAAGAGACAATTTGGATTCTCCTCGCACGGTGTTCATCATGATTCAATGAATTTCGGCGTTCGGCGTATTTTATATAAATAACAAATCAATGGGAAACAATTCCCAACCAAATATGTCATTCCCATTCAAGTTGCATAACATCCAAGTTCAGCCTACCCTGAACTTACAGGGGGGATAATCGCAACCTCCGCTCCAGCCGTAATGATCTTCTCATCCTCCTCAACATCAACATACTCGCCCTCCAAACTGACTCCACAGCCGACGAGAATTTTCTTGCTGATACCAGGGTATCGGTCTTCTAGTAGGGGGAAGAGTTGTGGCAGTGGCAGCGGGGCGGGTAGAGTTTCTGTGTTCTTGGTTGTGAATTGGGACGCCGTGGCGAAATAGTGGATTGTAAATGTTCCCGTTGATTGTGATGGCGATTGATTTGTTGCCATGGCTGTGGAATATGTGAGGTTCAACGTTGTTATGGTGGTGGGAGAATGAAGTTGGTGAGGAAAAGTGACGGCCAATCCCGGTGCGGGGTCGATGGCAGTCTGTGGGTCCCATATATTGTGTTCAGAACTTCTTAGGCAGTGGAACTCGAATTCACCATCTCAAATGTAGGTAGATTCATATATTTACTTTGACTGTTCATTCTAAACATCAATCGGGATACACCCAAAGACCATCTTCCACGTCTCATTCAACGGATCACAATCATTCCATGAGAATTGCAGAAAATACTGATCTCTATCCTGTCCCCAGAGTGCGATATCCTCTTCCGTAATTTCAGGAGGGAAGCCATCACACGGCCGAAACACATCATGGGGTCGAATGCGTGCCTCTTGCGGAATCAGCGCAGCCAGCGTTCTAATATCCATTCCGATGTCAGAATGCGGAGGAGACGGGCTCGTGGTGACCTTGATGGGCGGAATTTTCAAGGGACTATCTGGACTCAAATCTCCGTAATGGTTCGGTCCGTGAGTTGTTGGGGTGCACTCTTTAGAAGGAGACGCGTCGACAGTCGACATCGCGATCGCTTCCTCTAATAAAATGATCTTTTCGCCGACAATCATTCCATGCTCGCGCTTATACATTCCCTGAATGCGATGCGATCGGGCAAGGAGATTGAGTGCTTCCCGTCTGATAGTAGGCTCGCGACAGCGAAGACAGGTAAACCAAAGCGGGAGGCCGATGCTTATTTCAAATGTGAATGGTGGGAGAACACCATTTGATTGCACAGAGCTATCCAACGCGATGGAAGACTGTTCGACAATTGTTTGGAAGTTCAATGTGAAGGCATCTGTCGTGACTCGCATTGGTGATACACATACCGCGAGAATGATGGATAACATTTCATAATAAGTAATAAGAAGGGCACTGGCGCTGACTTGCGACGCTGGTAGCCCGGCTTTCGTGGCGCGTAAAGATTTCATCAAGTTTGTAAAAGCAGTATGCCATCTCTCAAGGCGAGTGGCGAGGATCATTTGCCGTTGCATCAATTCGTCTGAGATGTACCAAGCCCCTGAGCTTTGGAGATATTTTTCACACGCCAACTCCAAGATCGGGATTTCAGCGCCGAGGACAACTATGGCCTCTCGGGCAGTCTTGAGGGAGGCGAATTCGTGTGTGGAAGTCGACGACTGTTCTTGGATTTCCTTTAACAAAGGCATGGCGATATCCCAGCAAGATTTAGGGGCGAATAGACCCAACCGGGCAAAGATCGGAATAATTGTCTCTTGTAATAGAGCTAATCCATCAAAAGCCCTTCGGGCCCGCAAGGTAAGAATGAGCTGCACACCCTGAGCGTAGAGTCGCATAACCTCCTCCAGACTTCCAAAGAGGGATTCGATGCATATGAACAAGACACATGTGATCAGCCCCACAAAAGCGTCAACAGTGCCCCGGGAGATTCCCTGTCGAACGGCAGATACCGAGCGTGCATACCAGTCCAGCGCATCTTGTTGATTCTGATTAAGCGTACGCGAAGCCTGGCGTTGAACAATATCTGGAGACGCATCAGGGCTTTCAAACAGCACACTGATGCAGATCATAGCATCCCATACCGCAGGTTCACTTCGACATACCTGTGGCACAATTGTGCGCCAGAAATCCAGATCCAGTCCCCCACCGACAGACGCAGCAGCATGTTGAAAATAATATGCAAAAGCCCGACGCTCACGCCAGACAGTATTCGGTAACAGCGAAAGCGGCATGCCAAGACCACTGACGCTGCACATATCCGAAGCTGAAGCCGTGGAGAAGCGTGTCAGGGTTTTCTGACTGACATATTCACATTTTCGACCTGTACTACTGCACCTGAGGCAGCTTGGCTTTTCTTCTCCGCATTTCACTTTTCGGGCCTTGCACGTTTTGCATCCGAGTCGTGATTTCAGGGGCCTCGCTGGGCCGGGGCTCAGATGGGCGGACGAGGTTGAAGGCATATGCCCAACATTTCCGAGCCGTGGGCTCTGGATACCACAGAGGGGTATTAAAGCCGCAGGATAGGAATTGAGGAGTGTTTAGTAGCGTGAGAACTGGTATCATTTTGATTTCCCCGTAAATTGTAAGCAGATCTTATCACTATCGTCCTTATCTAAGCCCCAGTACTCCACCGCCCCAGTTTTGCCCACTGCCACATCCATGAAACTGATTGTCCCTTTCACTTGTGATATCAAAACATGTTGTCATTCCTGGCGAAGAGAGTGCCACGAACTACAACCTGCAGGCTTAACCCACTGTTCTTTGATGATGGCCGCTCCTGTCTTGAATTTAAGGCCCCAAATGACCAGTATCTCGTCCTGAACCGCTGGCCACCCGGTTCCAATGAGATCAACAAAAATATAGCGCTGCGACCACCAATTCATTGGCATCGAAATCAAACCGAAAGGTTTCATGTGATTAGTGGGTCCGCCAAGTTCACTTACGAGGGGCAAGAGATAATCAAAACAAGCGGTCAATCCATGCTGATCCCGATGAAAACATTCCATACATTTTGCAATGCAAGCGCAACAGATGAATTAGTGATTGAATTCGTCCTGGAGCCAAAATTTAAAGATCGAGACGAGGCTTTTTTTCGTGAGTCCCACCTTCTGGTCTATGTTTGCGTTGATACTAATCATATTAGGAAACGTGCAATCATATCGTGATGATTGTCGTAAAGCAGGCGTCCCTCGAAGCCTGCCACAACTCCTGTTATTCAATTGGGCTGGAGGCGTTGTACTTGCTCTACCTGGCCCCCGTGCTATCGCTCAAGTCTTAGGTGTGTGTTTGAATCTTTTTGGAGGTGTTGTTTTCGGCAAGTATATTCTTGGATACAAACAATCATATCCAGAATACTACGAGCCGAAAACCTAGTACTCAAGATTCCTGACGCATTCCTATGATGCGAACCCATTACGCGCCGTTACTCGCGTGATGAATCCCGAGTCAATATTAAATAAGCCCTGCTAAGTAATAAATGGGTTAATTCTGCCGGAGGGGCCCGATGCATCGCTCTCGTCCCGTTTAGGCTTAGTAGTATCTGTCCATGGGGCATATCTCCATGGATCTCGCTCTCTCCCTCTTCTCATTCCTCTCATGGCCAATATCAGCTCATCCTACTATTTGATTCTTCCCTTTTTAGCAGCTCGGAGGTCCAAGAAATTCTGTATAATTTGGATTCGAACCTACAACGTGTTGATTCAGGCAGTTATCGAAGACTCTGACTGCAGTAGTTTTTTGAATGAGGGGGGAAAAAAAGAAGCTCGCTGCTTGGGAAGACATGCACTCTGAGAAAGAGAAGAAGCGCCCGAAACCTTTGAACTTGGACCTTCTATGGAGGAAAAGAAAATCAATTTGCCGGTTTGGGTACTCCAAAACTTGTTCAAATTTCATTTGATACCCTTGACATTGTTGCTTAGAAGACTCTTGATAATAGCTGGCTAAGCGCAAATGAGTCAAGTCCCTCTAAAGCCCGAACCTCGTTCCGTTTTACATACAAGTACCTCGCCGTGACCTTGCTACTGAGGATTTCCCGAAACTCATCAGATATTCTTTCCAGTGAATCTAGGGATTTAGAGATCGTCCGTGGGAGCTCTTCGCAGGTGACCTTGGAACCAGAAGAAAAAGACATATCCTCCCAACGAAGAGGCTCACCATTTCTGCTGCCCAAGAGCCCCGCGCCTAAAATGGCCGCGACGGCCAAATACATATTCGCCGTTGCATCTGCACATCGAACTTCCCAATAACCATCGCCTAATTTGCGCACGGGTGTTTGGCGGTTTTGCGTCCCCCAGCTTACGTTTGTCCCTGCCTGATAATCCCCACAGCGCCGGTATGAGCTAATGGAGGGCATAGAAAAAGCACAGATGGCGGGCAGGCGCTGCAGCAGTCCAGCAAGGAATGCTTCTTGGTTACGGGGAGGGTGTATGGAGACGTGGATGTGGGAGCCGTTCGCAGATCGGTTCTCTACCGGCTTCGGAGACATAGTGGCAGTGTACCCATGGCGTGCGAAGGTGCATCTGATGATGTCGTGGGCAGCGACGAGATCGTCAACTGCTTCGAGTGGAGGGCGGGCTGCTAGGGTAATCTCGTACTGGCCGATGTTTCCTTCCACGTGGAACTCGCGGACAGGGATTCCGGAACAAGACAGATTCTTGACACACTCCTCTAGGTACTTGTAGGATGGGGTGCGTAGTCCAGCAGCCGAGTAGGTACCAGGGTGTGATGAAAATGGGATCAGACTTCCCTCTAGGGTGGACTGTAGAACGACGAACTCGATTTCGAAGCCAATAAGAAAGTCCAGCTGACACTCCGTTGCGCCCTGAGAAACAACATTTCGCAACGCGATTCGGAGACACAGGTTGGAATTGGAGATGCCCCCGGGGTCTTCCTCGATGATGGAACACATGACTGAGGCATACTTCGGGCCGTCTTTGTCCATACAGTTGGAGAGAATTCGGAGAGACGACCAGTCTGGGTAGAGCAAGTGGGTAGATGATGCCTCAATTGGAACTCGACTGTCATCAGGGAGACAGCTTAGGGTAACCTGGCCACACCTAAGAGGCTTATTGCTTGTCACTATCGACTGAAAGTAATCCATGGTGATTACCCGAACTCGTAAGATACCGCGTAGTCCACCCATTGGAACCTCACATAGTCAATGTCAGGATTCTGTAGGAGAAATGCATTCACAACAACTCTAGGCTTATCCGGTCCAATTCCTGAGAGCTGGAGGGCAGACGGAAGATCACCAATTGAGCCCATGGTTGCAAGGTAAGCCCGATGAGTCCACGCGTATCGAGCCTAGGAGCAGGCAAAATTACTGAGGAGAAGAATACCGAAACAAAGAAATAAAATAACCAAAGAAAGGGTTAACAGGCTAAAGTACCTCGAGATAGAGATGGAAGCACCATAGCACTACTGACATGATAATTTGTATCAAAAGCCAGACCTTCGCAATTAACCGAGCCAGACTGCTGACGACAGGCCGCCTAATTCATTACGGACGTTTAGTCCCTTACATCGTACAGTGGAAGCAAGGGAGACGGGATGAAACTTATTATACCCGCTTAGTGAGCTTTCATCTTCATGTCATGTCCCCCTCGTTGTAAAAAGCGTCCAAGCGGAGTAGCTTGAACAGAGTGGTTAAACATTTGTATGTGGATCTGCTTGACCCTGCGAAGACTTGCTAAAAAGATCAAGTCTCAGCCGACTCGTAATATAAGAGGCCTGTGCACCGCATGGAACAATCTTCATGTCGATCCAAACTTGATGCATTCCATTCACGCCTTACAGTCTTGCGCCACGATCTCTAATCTGGAATTCTCAGGGTTCGGGCTGACGTATACATGCCTAAGTTGCGCTAATAATCCTAGATAGCTGAGTATCGTTCCCCAATTTAATTTTAAATGCGGAGTCATTATCTCTTATCTCTTATCTATACACCTGTGTGTCGCCTTTATACACTCCGTTATAGGCACAGTTTCCAGAGGTAACTGATGGCACTCTAAAGTGGAACCGGAGGTGAGGAGCATGGACCAATGACGCGTAAAAGCAACCCGAGGTTACATCTAAGCAGGCTTGCTAAGCGATGAAAGGTAGAGATTGGGGAGTTGGGGAGCTAGAACAAGCGATCTTGGTAAAAAATCCATTTCAATACAAGTGCTTACTTTTGAACCTGGAGAACCTGGAAATATTTAGGACTCCGCACAACCCCGTCACGTCTAGCTAACCTTCAGAAATGGCACATGTAGTCAACCTCCCGGTTGAAGTGATCTTACTGATCTGCGCTGACCTTTCAAACGCTAATATCAAATCGTTCCGTTTAACATGTACCCGGATCAGTCGTATCGCCCAGCTACGGCTCACCCGCGTGTTCCTATCCGCCGACCCAACAAATATCAGAGTCTTTCGCGCCATCGCAGACCATGAAAAGTACCGGGAGCAAATCACTGAAATAATTTACGACGATGCACGCCTCACTCATTCGCGACTGTCTTCCAGCACAGGATTTGGGAAACCAGAATGGGATAAAGCTGTCACCATGAGCACCGAAGGCTGCCCAGAGTGGTTTGCCAAGGTTTGTCACCAAAACATCGCGCACCTGGCTATCCACAAGGGACAAGATGTAGACCTGCCACATCATATCGCGCGGGCAAATCAAGTCAACGCTCAACTACCACTGGGAATATGCTGGCAATATTACAAAAATCTCATCCAACAGCAGCACGAAGTGCTCATTTCAAAGCAGCATGAGGAAGCGTTTCTTTACGGTTTGACACGCTTCCCCTCCCTCACGCAGGTAACTATTACTCCTGCTACACATGGATTGGTATTTGCTCCACTGTACGAAACACCCATGATCCGCGCCTTTCCCTATGGGTTCAATTACCCTATTCCACACGGGTGGCCAGTAGAAGGAATTGGGTCATCGCTCTGGGAAGATGACGAAGAACGCTATAAGGATAGATGGCATGGATTTCGCATGGTTACGCGGGTACTGGCTCAAGAAGCGTCGCACCGTGTCACAGAGCTGTTGATCGACGTCAATGGACTCCCCACGGGGCTGAATAGCTCGATATTCTATACCCCTAGGAGCGAGGAATATAAAAATTTGGTCACGATTCTTTCCAAACCGGGATTTCGGCGTCTTGATCTTGCCCTCTCCGTCGGGGACCAGGAACACCCGAATTACGATTGGATTGCTTTCCGGACTCGCTACCTTTCGGATATGTTAAGCGAAGCCGAGGAACTCGAGCACATTAATCTATTTACGACTCTCGGGATGGATTCGGACCATAGTCTTGGTTCAGAGGTACCCGGGGGTGGCGGCTCGATGGCGCACTTCATCCCGTTGCAAAAGGTCTTCCCCGTCTCTGACTGGAACAAGCTAAGGCACTTCCAATTATCACGGTTTATGGTAACCCAATCCGACCTTATGGGTCTACTAATAAATATATCGGCCACTATCCAGACCGTGTCGCTGAATTTCCTAACCTTTCTGGATAATGGCGGGGACTACCATTCGCTCTTAAACGAGATCCGGGATACCTTGAAATGGCACGAGCGAGAGCCCGCCTTCCGACCAAATTTGATCATTAGAGTGGATGTGGATCCTCCATATATAGGGAAAGAAATTTGGGTCGAAAAGCAAATCCACGAATTTCTCTACGAGGGCGGGAGAAACCCCTTCCTTGCCGACTGTCCGAACCGAATTAAGGCCGGCATGGGCATGCAAAGGGTGACTTTCGAGGTTGTGCATGAGCGACCATACCGGCGATCTGCATTACTATCAAGGCCAAGTATCCACGTGCCTCCCAAAATATGTACATGCTTCATTAAATGCTAGACCAACGTTTTTTTTTTTATAAAAATCAGCCATGTAACATGGCCGTGACAAATATTTCTCGTTCATTATCAAGCCGCAATTGATTGTTGCTCATATGTAATTAGGTTAGCAGGAAGTTCCGACATGGCTCACTTTGGGTGGAAACATTCACCTGTGTATTTCAACATTTGCCACGGACAGATATGGCCAAATTGGTGCCAAATAATGTATTTGAGCGACAAGAAAAGCTGAGAAGTCTATAGATACCGCCTGCTACGCCAGTCCTTTGTCGTACTTAATCATCTCCTGACTTTGTCACACTAGAAGAATTTCCCCAATTCAAGGACTCATCAGATGCTATCCGTAGCGGGACCATGATAAGTTATTGAATCTTTGATTTTGCTGAGTTCTTTTCGGTACTGACGCGAATAGTACTCACCATAATCATCAAAATTTTACATCTTTCCTGGATTTCTTAATGACCTTTTTTCCATTACAAAGTCAGCCAGCTGCGATTCGGCGATTGATGCGTTGCTTCTACTCTAATCCGGGTCACCTAGCCAAGAAGAAGGCAAACCACTGTCCGGTATATTGTTCCTATATCTCTCTTGCATCACATAAGCCTCTGTGAAATTTGTCCACCGAAGCTCTCATATTATCTTGCCATAAAGATATGACGATCCTTGACGACGTCCAACTTCACTCTTGAATCATACTTGCCCCGGGTCCTGCATACCATGTGATTCACTCAAGTCATAAGCTCCAGACTACCCGACTTCCAAATTTGGTGGGCTTGGTGCATTCGTGGAGGACATGACCTGGGAAGCAGAATCACATCTTTCGATAACATTAGTCTAAAATGTATAATTTGGGTTTGCTCCACATCTAACTTGCGATGTGCTGATTTCTTGTTGTAGATTGATGGGTCGTAGGGACTCGAGCTACTGAGTCGTTTTTATCGCTGCATTTGACAGATATTCAGCTTCTCCGCAATCGTCCATCATCCCAAGCTGTGTTTTTACCGAGATCGGAACTATATTGTGCCCCCTTGGGCAGATGCTAATATCCCATAAGGTGTATCGAATCTGCAACCCGATTGCACGTGGTTGAAAGCTAGCTTGCAGAGTGACAGGGAAGGATGGTGCAGATCCTTTAAACGCGATTTTCTTGAAGTATTTGTCTCTGTTGTGGCCGGCTGGTTGGATGGCTCGAAACATGTCCAGCGAGAACGTTACTAAATTGACAAATAAGCTAAAACTCAGCCGATGAGTAAACGGCACATTCTTGTTGAGCAAAACTTCAACTAGAAGTCGCAACGCAGATTTTGCACTCATATGGCCTTTCACTGGTGTCTAATCCTGCGCCTCCTTGTTAGGAGACTGAAATACTGGGTGATCCAGATATCGCTTACCTCGCACATCCCTCTTTTATAACTTGAGAATGAGTTGCGGAGTATTGCCGGCCCGGTCTCTTTTACGGCCGCAGGTACGTTCAGGCCTCCGGATCTCATCTGTTCTCCCACAATTATTGATCAACATTTGCCAGAGCGGGACAGTATCTTTTCGGAGGACCTACGGCAGGTCTGAAGGTAATCTCTCCACTACACAGGTGCCTTGGCAATTAAATCTGTACGGTAAGGTTGAACATAGCTTTGCACTGCGCGTGGATCTTCATGGCTGTCATCAACAGTGGTCTAAGGAGCAGGCATTCTACCAAGGAAAAGGATTGGTTTCAACGGAATCTTCGACGGTCACCGTGCCAGATTAGCTATGCAGGGTAGTAGAGCCTTAAGTTACCAACTTTTGCAGGACATTTACCCTCATGGGTTCGGAGGGCACTTCAAGTCGTATTTAATGAAGTACTTCTATTCCTTTACTCTCCAATATAAAAATATGACGTTTCCTGCACATTTCCTTCTTCCTGTCACGTTTTCCTCACCCTTCAGTCTATCCCTTTTGCCTATCCCATCTTTTTGCCCCTCTACTTCCCCTCCTATGTAGGACTAGGGTCTCATGAATCAGCTCCCAAGACCGTCAACAACTGATTCACAGGCAGTTTGTCCTTGGGCGCAGGAGTGTCACCATCGGGAGTACCGAACACCAACTGCGAACGTAGCTTCCAATCCTTTGAGATTTGAAAGGCGGCCTGGACCCTCTCGTCAATGATGGGGTTGTAATGCTGCAAGTTTGCACCAAATCCCTCGGCCTCTAAAGCAACCCAGGCGTTCAACTGGTGCATGCCACTTGTGTGCTCTGACCATGGGTCGAAATTCTCGGCATATGAAGGGAATTTCTCCTTCATCTGCGCGACCACAGGTTGATCTTCATAGAAAAGCACAGTTCCATAGGCGGCCTTGAAAGAATCTAGTTTTGGGCCGGTCTTAGCAAACCGCTCAGGTCCGATGCGTGCCAAAAGTACATCTTTGACAATTTCCCAGAATTTCTCGTGTTCCTTCTTGAGGAGGAGAACAGCACGGGTAGTTTGGGAGTTGAACGCAGACGGGGTTTTGAGCATGACTTCGCTCAGGATTGAACGAATTTGGCCATCTAAGATTGGTGACGCGGAGCGAAGCGCATAGTAAGATCGACGATTGGCCAGTGCAGCCAGAAATGCAGAACTGCCGGTGGACATAACGGAAAGTTGACGAAAGTCAGACCGAAAAGATGGGAAAATTTTGGAGAATTGATAGGACAATACAGGTTACTAGGGACATCTTGGGCTGGGGCGTCATCATCTTATTTATTGCCCAGAGAGTTTTTGAATAAAGAAAGCGGGGTATCCTGGCCTGCTATCTTAGCGCGGCAGATATCGGGGGCCGAAGGAACTGCCACCCTGTGTACCAGCGGAGCCGATGGCATCCGTTCCATCGACCAATTTGATATGATGAGCCAATCAAAGGAAACACCGCCCGATAAGTCACCGATCCTGATAATCATTATTAACTTAGATGTCATGATCATTATTCTAATCATCCAAGTTCTACGCCCAGCCCGCCAAGTCAATAGATTTATGGAACAATGAGTTAATAAAGGTGGTCATATTTCTATTAGGCCTCTAAGGCTGGCGATTTGATAACTTAGTGTCGCACATGCTCATACTGAACAAGATCCTTGAAAAACGAACATCGACAGACTTCCAACGCGGCGAGCCTGACGATGGAAGTTCATAGCCCGACCCACAAAGTCACGTAGTCGTTACTGTTCTCGGAACGGAAATATTGGTCGGCAAGGTCGTCAATGTAGCCGTAATGCCGAAGCGATCATTTCTTGAAATTATTCTGTTGTAGGAAATTCTGCATTTCCCTCCACCGCAGAACCAATCTTATACTCTGTACCCCTACCTCGACTCGAAAAGAACTCGGCAAATTGTACACTAGACTGCTGTCTAGGAGTATCGTACAATGACATCGTCGCTACCTACACAAGAAAGGGAAGGGGCGAAACTTCGCTTCGATAGTGAGAGCGTCTTTGAGCGGCGAACCAATCATATTTGATGCCCTACGATCCGTCCACGGAGATATCTGCCGGTGGCCTTTCTTTAACGGCGTCATATTTGAGGTATGTGGGGCCACATGGTTGCGCCAGGTACGGAACGCATTTACGCTGCACATCAGCGTCAATCCCCCATCGACCCAGGTAAAACCTCTAAAACTTCAGGTTAAAGGCGGCTAATCAGATTAACTCCAGTGGTCCTGTCGGTGATGTCTCAGTCTGCAGCAAATTTACAGGTCTGGCATTTACCATACTTTATTTATGAAGAAGCCATTGGTCCTGGCTTTTACCTCGGGTGAGTCAACTTCCACTTTGTTTTACGACATGGCATCTCCTCGTCTTTGTTTAGGTAGAGTTTCCGTCCATCCAATTTTTCAGCCCTGCGATAATCAGCCCTTCTTCAATCACCTCTAACAAATGAACATAGCCCTCTGGCCTTTTGCAATCCGTTGACCAAGCAGGCTATTATGATCATCAACGAAATCACACTCTTTACAAGGATGCCAAGTACAGGATGAAGGTGTTGCATTTATCTACTCCTTACGAATCCATTGATTTGATTGCAATTTTGCCAGAACTGCCCAGTAGAGAGTCAGTTGATCAATTCGTCGAAATTTACTTCGGCACATTTGATCGAATGTGGAGAGTTCTGCATACCCCGTCATTCTTCAGCGAGCTTGCCAAAGTCTGGCAACATCGCGAAGAAGTATCCTCAAACTTTGCGATCCAACTTTTTCTGGTGATCATGATCGGGAATAGCTTGGTGAAAGGGAACAGCAACAAATTTTCCTTTGAAATTTCCCTGCGCTTCTGGAACACTGTCCTTTCGTGGAGATCAGCTGCCACGCTCATTCACAATCCTGACATTAAATCCATTCAAACAGATGCACTAATGCTTTTGGCCAAAAAGGTCTATCGCTTTGAAACCCCTGTTTCAGCAATCACCTTCAGCAACTTGATTCGTAATGCCGTGCTATTAGGCTTGCACCGTGAGCCTTCAATATTCAAGCATTTTTCCAAGGCGGAGATTGAGCTTCGACGTCGTCTGTGGTATACCAATTCTAGAAGTCGACATGTTGTTGTCGATAAATAGCAGTATGCCGCCACCTATTGAACCAGAAATATGAGACACACTATATCCCTCTGCCACCATGGAAGATAAACTGCATATAGGTCGTGCGAGTCCGTCGCTGGGCGTTTCTTCCCCGCGGGGAGGAATCACCGCTGCAGGCCTTTCAGCCCTAGCCAAATCATTATTCCTTCGAATGAAAATAGTGAAAGCCGTCAACCAAATAAACCTCTCGCTTACATACGAAGACGTCCTACTGTTTGGGACCGAGCTTAGAGTGGAACGGGAATCATTTCATGATGGCCTCTCCAACTCAAGGTTTTTCGGACACCCACGAAAGTTCGAATGGTGTCATACATGACCTGGGTGACCTATTATTCGAACGGATGGTTTTTTTTGTTGCACAAACCATTCGCTATTGACTTCAGTCCTCAATACAAATTCTCCGAGTATACCTGCCTCAAAACAGCTCTTAGCATGCTGGAGAAATCATGCAGTGCTCCGCAGGATGACTCTATGCTCGAACCTAAGCAGCTCCGCACAGGGTCATTGAGCTCTCTTACCGATGCAGGGGGATTCTTTTCCGAGAGCGATGCTCTCAATTCTGCTCTTCTGGTTTGCTTATTCGTGATTCGGGATGCAAAGTTTTCTGGATTCGGTTCAACGATTGCAGGTCCGCCAACACAAAGTGCCTGTGCGAAGCAATTGCAAAATTTCATCGATGCTGCTCGCCGTAGGCTTTTCTTACCCTAGCCCTCGGGAAGGGCATTCATCATTCCTTCCATGACTTGAGAGTATGTGGCTCTCGTCAATTCCAACGATGTCGCTGATTCTGAGTTCGTCGTGAAGTTGCAGAGAGCCGGACAGCAAATTGCGAAGACTGCGCTGACAGTGTTCCTCAAGCAACAGGGCAGCATCATTGATCATGTCACTGACTCGGAAGCAATTGTCGAAACCACGTCATTCTTGTTTTAGGATAAATATGCAGACGAGTCCCTTCTGACCCAGCACGGTTGAGTCACAATATCGACTATGGTGGCATTGATTGTCCTTTAAAGGCGGTCATGCTATTGAGGATTGATATCAATATGTTTTGAAAGTAGACAAAGAGGCTTGCGATTACATAGTAGGCTAAATAGTGCGTTTAAGGTGCTATGTAAAGCGAGTGGTAAGTAAAACATACCTATGTCTTCGTACCCTATATATTTAAGGGCACTCTGGTAGAATTGAAGTAGAGAGCACAGAACCCGGTAAAGAAGCGTTCTAAAATAGGTAGAGGCATGAGAAATAAAACAAAAGGAAAACCCGCGTACTGGAGCTGCTCGAGTCTCAAAAGGAACTTGGTATACCGAATATCGTCTTCTCAGTCACCATAAGCACCTGAAATCCATCAATTTCAATGAATTAGCTAACAATACCGAAGAAAATCCAACTTGCAAGACATTCCGCGATCGGCCAGTCTGAGGATAGCAGGAGTTTTTTCTTATCGATTCCATTCTGATGACAATTGCATTCCAGACCCACATTTTGATGATCAACACGAAACAGATCTTAGCCAGCAAGGACCTACACGCTTACGGCGATGTAATTGGTTGGGACAAGCGGAGGAAAGAAAGGAAGGGATGGCTATATCTTAGGATGCGGTCCCTTCGGACGACAACATTTAGCATTTGAAAAAGTACTTCGACATTGGCCGGTACCTGTTTCCAACCACTGTGTTAGAGCAGCACCCACTACGGCTGACAACCATCATGTCGCACAATGTAGAGAATTTCCAGAAGGAACCATCAATCAACACTAGTCTACATGCCAGCTCTACTACCGAAAAGTCACCTGGAAGTCTGGAGTCCTCACAGACACGCGTTGTGGATTTTGATGACACCTTCTTACACCCACACGCCTGGTCTAATCTCCATCGATGGTCGATTCTAATCCTCACTGTCGCCTTCACTACTCTAGTAAACATTTCAACGACAATCGTTGTTCCCTCTCTAAATGTTATCTCGGCCGAGTTGAATATGGACCCTTTATCTGGAGGACCCATGGTAATGTCGTCTTACCCTCTTACTCTCGCGTTGGGTCCATTATTAGTGGCTCAATTTAGTGAGCTCTGGGGCAGAGTTCGTATCATGCAGGCAGGAAATATTGTCTACATGGGTTTTAGATTGGCATGTGGGCTTGCAACCAGTCGGGGTCAACTCCTTGCTTTCCGATTGCTAGCTGGTCTTGGGAGTGGTGCAATTCCAGTAGTGAGTAGTCGCTTTGATTCAGGGCATAAGCTCGGCAATTGATTCAAAATAGGTTGCAATTGGTATGATCAGTGACCTGTTCCCACTTGAGAAGCGTGGCCAGTCACTGGCCGTGATGAACGTGGCTTTTATTCTAGCAACCCCGATTGGGGGTATTGTTGGTGGGCTAACAACTTCTTCGTTATCCTGGAGATGGGAATTCTATGCGACCTCCATTGCCTCGGCGGTGTTGATCGCGTTGAGCTTTTTTATCTATCGGGAATCATATCCCCCGGTACTCCTTCAGCGGAGAAAAAAGCAGCTCCTGAAAGAAGGCAACGGCCCGAGTTCTGGTGATTTGAAAACACCATATGATGACGAGCACCCCACGATTGCAGCGTTGTACTACAAGACGCTGGTCCGACCTTTGAACTTCCTGGCATCACAGCCTATAATTCAACTTCTTAGTATTTACGTGTCCTTTGTCTACGGAATGACCTACCTTGTTTTCGGTTCCTTTCCAGTTCTCTGGGAAGAGCACTACCACGAGCCAAAAACTATTGCCTCGCTACACTTCATCGCTCCTGGAATTGGTTATTTTGCCGGAATCATAATTGCCATGCTCTGTGCAGATAGGATCTATCGGATGCTGCAGCAGAAGTCCGACGAGAAAAAGCCGGAGTTCCGGCTGCCTCTTCTGATGATCAGCTCAATCTTCTTACCTGGTGCACTCATCTGGTATGGATGGTCTGCAGAAGCTCGCACTCACTGGGAAGTTCCCACGGTTGCTATATGCTTCTTGATGTGCGGATGCACAATCGTATTTCAGTGTGTCACTGCCTACTCCATCGATACCTTCCATATCTATGCCGCGAGCGCATCTGGTGCATTGTACTTTGTGAGAGGCATATGTGCTTTCACTTTTCCTTTGTTTGGGCCCACTATGTACGAGAATATAGGATATGGCTGGGGTAACACTCTGCTCGGACTACTGGCTCTAGCCATTGGCGTTCCAGTCCCTCTGATTCTGTGGAAATATGGTCCTCGGCTCCGACAACGAAGTACTTATGCGATGTCATCTTAACCTGTTTATACATTAGTCGTGAAAGATAATAATGTCATCTCGAATATTTGAAAGAATCTGAAAGACTCTTTATTTATTCAATGAAGAGAAATCAATTTGGGAAATTGAGTTAACTTTACAGATCTTGGTACATAGGATCGCACCAGACGGAGGTCAAAGTTAATCATTGTGGCGCATCTTCAACCTTGGGACACCCGATCGCGGCTAAATACTGGTCTTAGAGTTCGATACCACAAAACTTGTTCAGAGATCGAACCGCAATATATAGTGAAATGTCGCAAAACTTGCTCTTTAAACATTTTTAAATATTTTTTCCCGAGGGAAACTTCAAAGCTCGTCCCTGGTATGCCCGAGCTCAACCCGAGCCTTCAATGGTGAAAACTCAAATCTTTCAGAAATTCCACTGACGTGGAGACAGAGATGAGTTGTTTCGAATCTATGAAAAAATAATTTAATAGTCAGTGGAACTTGTGAAATGGCAAGCTTTTCAAGATCAGATCTATGTATGTACGTGTTATATGGCAAGGTCCACAATTAATTAATCCGCAACGCACAGTCCAAGCAGCTATTCATGAATATGTTGAATCTGGACCACGTCGCCAAGTAGCTGAATGGCCATCGTGTAGCCTTGGAGATATCATTGTAAATTGTGACATCAGGAACGAAGGATGCCAAGAACAATATATTCATATCACCCGTAATTGATACGTTTTAATCTATATGCAACGTCCTTGAATCCGCACGACCTCGTGAGTTCCGAATGGAATATGGGCTGTATTATCTGTGCTTGTCTCAACAAAAGTTGAACTTCATCTGGACTTGACAGGCGAAAAAGCTCGGTCTGGAGGTGCAGACAGGGCTGAGCGGCTGAGCTGAGTAACACTTGAGCTAGTAGTCCCCACTAATATCCACGGTGGAAGCTATTGAATCGAAGCAACCCACAGCCACGTACAGGGTATAAGCTTTTCCTTTAATCAGCCTAGCAATGAACAGGCGGTCAACTTGAAAAGACAGCTGAATGAGATCCAGATACGCTTAGCCAGATTCCCCACTCTTGGTCTATCCACAAGAGACTAACTATTGAAATCAGGCACCCTAACAAACGACTATGTGTAAAAGAAGTGTTGTATTACCTTACCAATGGAATCTGACGGAGATAACTGTTGGACTCTATACCAAGCCACCCCACTCATAGTCTTTCCATGAGCCTGTGCACGTTCCAACATGTACGGAGTACTCCTACTAAAAAGGCTTCCATGTATGAATACCTTCCCGAACCGGGATAAGTGGTCGATTTTCCCCCCTTTAATGATTGATAAGCCCGCAAATACCCCTTCGGGTAATCATGCGATCCTCATCCCGAGAAGAAGCGGTACGAATATGGTAGTGAGCGACTGATTGATAATGATTTCGCGGTTCGGGAAATCAGATAAGATGAATCGAGCTCATTTTACCCACTTCCAGAAACATGAGAGAAGAAGATCAATTGGAGAAGGGATGTCGATCTGTGTGGTAACAGAAAAGGAGTGGTAAGCGAAGGTTGCGTAATTTCGGGGAGCCAAGATGGGTCTCATGTCAAAGTGGGACTAAGTTCCGCCTAGAAGTTTTTTTGCGCTTGGCATTAATCGACACGGGAAACTTCCATGATATAATATAATCAGGAACAAATGTAGCTCCAGGGACTGGTATAAGTTCCGTTGAAATAGAGAACATTTGGAGAAGGCTCGGCGAATTTTGACAGAATATCTTAATTTTGGGGCAAATCCAGGCAGGCATCGTGGATTTGAGACCAATGGGAATGGCTCCTGCTCTCATGTACAGGATTATGCAGAGGAACAATAGTCTTTCACTTACCCCGTATAGACTCAATAATGTGGCAAGGTGGATCAGGGAAGACGCCGATCCCCCGGCAGCATGAAAAGGATCGTCCCGAGTACTCCGTACGAATGCGAAGCCTATTCAGAGAATCAACCTTTCTGGACGATTGATAGGAGCGCCATGGGTCCTCAATATACATGGTAACTCTAGTACAAAGCCTTGTAGGAGAAAATGGAAGTCACGATATGTGGTTCCGGAGGTCTCCGAGAACCCCAAGGATCCGATATCGGTAAACAACGAATAAAGAAAAGTACGAGATACGAATGATCGTATACGTTTATGATTGTAGGTTATGGTATTATCTTTGATGAGGAATTTCCTCTTTCCTCTTTCCAAATTCAAATTTCAAATTACAATTAGGAACTAGAAGCTGAATTGTCATCCTACATTCCGTATTCCATACACCGGACAGTTAAAAAATAATTTAAATTCGTTCGGATTTAGAATGGAGTTGCCGGAATGCCAAGAATCACTAGCGGCGCCAAGTATCCGCCCGTTGCAGGCTTGAGTGATCTGCGGTGGATCTAGCCCTAGGTTGTCGACTTTTGCAGATCTTCTCTTTATGGAAAAGATCTCTTCTAGTCGCGAGGCTCGAGTTGATATTCTTGGAATTGATAGCCTCTCTCAATGCATTTGAATGATTCAATGGCTATAATGTATATAGATCAATGCACGTGCGAGAGATGTACAGCTAACATTTTGAATCAGGGCTATATCAATTGACAGCATGTCAAGACTTTATCTACTCAGTCCCTTCTCCCCTTATCTTTCTCACGATGATCGTCTTTCTGAAGGCCTGTATCAGGTAAAGAGGAGATATCCACAGTCTTGGCAGTAGGGTGGTTTTTCGTGAAACCAAGATCGGACGATGCCCATGTGGCGTCCAAAGGCCTCGCCCGAGCCTTCTATCAAGGTTCCTAATGGTAGAAACTGACGATTGTGGAGCTTTAGCCGACGAAACATATCCTTTCTTCGGCTCAGCCGTCCTGTAGCTACTTACATAGTTCATCCATATGTATTCAAGACTGAGACTACTGTAGCTTGGCGATGGGCCCTGACCCAGTGTGTTGCCATTGCGCAATCGCATGGGTCCTTCACATGGGTCCTCCGATGTAACTTGTATTTTACTAGTGCATCGGGCGGGCTCTTCTCATCGGGTGGATAAGGATTGTATCAGGGTCTGTGAGAATCTCTGGACGAGATAGCCATATAAGATGGAGCAAGCCCCTGTTCGTAGAAGAGTGTGTGGTTCTTTAGAGGCGAATCGAGTCTTGATCAATAGATCTTTGGTATACTCGCGATTCAAGATGGCAGCTTTGCCAGAATCATCGTAAGTATTGATCTTCTTGTTCTACGCTTTGTTAAAGCCTTTCACCGTGCTGACTTTTGCATAGTCTTGTAGAACAGCTTCTACGTCTTCGGAACGAGGCTTCTCAGCCAGACTCTGCCCAACACCTATCCTCCCTCCTATCCTCACACAATGGTCCTTGGCCCGCTAAGCACCTTCTTCCTTGCTTCAAGGATATCTATAAGTCCCTCCCTGAAGCATTCAAGGCCGAGAATGATGAATCCATTGCCCGCCTTCGTGCACAGGTCAAGGCCGCTACCCCCAGTGTGGCATCGCTGATCGGGTCAGACAACCGTGCTGGCTTCATTGATGCCACCACTGGAAGACATCTCACTCATGGTGCCATCCAGGAGTTTGTCCACAACTTCCACCTGCCAATTGGATTGTCCCGTCATGGCAAGCCTCGCATTGCTGTCATCCTACCCAATGGCCCGCTAATGGCTATCGCGGTTCTCGCCTTCACAAACAGGTATACCATTGTACCTATGGCGTCGAACACTGTACCAGAGCAGCTTCACATGGACATGGAACAGGTCCAAGCTGATGCTGTTGTCGCATTAGACTCTGACATTGAGAAGCTGCAATTGGACAATGGGAGTCGACCTGTCTTTGGTGTCGAGCAACTGGAAGATATGACTTTCCGTGTCGTCTCGGAACGATATGCTTCGGGTACATCAAATATCCCCTCCAATGCCGGGGATGATATCGCTATTATTCTCTTCACCAGCGGTACCAGTGGCAAGAAGAAGCTGGTCCCGATCACAATCTATAACCTCATCGCTGGTACGATGGCCACTATTGAATCGGTTGAACTGTCGGAAACAGACACATGTCTTAACATGATGCCGCTGAACCATGTGTATGTTCCGTCCCAAGTGTCGCAAAGATGAGTACTAACGACAACAGTGGTGGTATCATTCGCAGTATCTTCTCCCCGCTGCTCGCTGGTGGCGCGACAATTTGCTGTCCCTCTTTTGATCCCAGCATGTTCTGGGATGCCGTCGAAAGCCCTCATATGGTACCAACTTGGTATTATGCCACACCTACAATGCACCAGATGATCCTCGGTGAAGCCAAGCACCGTCCTGAGGCTGTCAAGCAAAGTGCCATCAAATTCATCTGTAACGCTGGTGCTGGTCTTCCGCCAACACTTGCTGCGCAGCTTCATGATACCTTCCGCAGTGTTATCCTTCCCAGTTATGGTATGACTGAGTGCATGCCCATCGCTGCTCCGCCAAAGGACTACACCCTTGATCGTCATGGCACGTCGGGACAGATCGTTGGTCCCGAAGTTGCAATCATGGCCGAGGGTGGCACTCCGGTCGCGCGACCTGGGATGCTCGGACACATCTGTATTCGTGGATCACCCGCATTCGAGGGATACCTGACCCCCGAAGGCACTATCGATACCAGTGCATTTGATGCTGCTGGCTGGTTTGATACTGGTGACCTGGGGTACCTTGATGAGGACAACTACCTATACATCACTGGTCGCAGCAAGGAAGTCATCAACCGTGGTGGTGAAATTATCTCTCCCGTCGAAGTGGAAGACGCCGTGCTGGCCGCAGCCAAGGATCCCAACTCCCCACTATATGGTCTGGTATCTGAGACACTGGCCTTCTCCGTCCCTGACGAAGTGCTGCAAGAAGTCGTCGGTGCAGTCATCACCACACCCCCCGGCGTCCCTCGGCCAGATCTTCGCATGCTGCATGAAGCGCTGCAACCAATCATCCACCAGCCCAAGTGGCCTGCTTTGATTACATACATGGACCGCGTCCCCAAGTCCAACAACAAGATTCAGCGTATCAAGCTCGCAGAGCGGCTAGGTCTGGAGGCCCTCACTCCGACCACTCCTCTAGCCGACCGACACTTCGAGGCCATCTGCCCACCTAACGGCACCCCGTTGAGCGAACCCATCAATAAGAAGCAATGCGTCGTCGATGAGCACGCCATTCGGTCAGTCATTTCGGAGAAGACCGGTGCCCCCGAGGTGCACATCTACACACATCCTCGCGACGGGTTCGCGCAGGCTGTACTATTCGGCAAGAGTGCCGATGATGAGCCAGTAACACCTGAAGAGCTTCGAGGTCACCTTGATGGCTACTTGATTCCCAGCCGCATCACTGCCCTCGAGGGGCCCATGCCTGTCGATGTTTTTGGTAACCCTGACAAGGCTGCCATTGATGATGCGATCCGTGCCCGTTACTCGGACGGTGACTTGACACCTGTTCAGCGCCGAATCCGCGAGATCTTCGCTACGGCTTTGTCCTGTGGAGTGGAGGATGTTTCTGCGATGACTGACTTCTTTGCCGCTGGCGGTGATAGTCTCAGTGCTGGTCGTCTCGTTTCGCAGCTTCGTCGTGAATTTGGTATCTTCTTGGCTGGTGACATTCTCTTCCATCACAGCACTATTGGTGAGGTGGAGAGTAAGATTACCGAGGCGGTTGAGATTAAGGCTGCCAAGGGTGATGAGGGAGAAGTCGAGCTGCCCGGTTGTGAGAAGACATACAGCAGCACCAACCTGCTCGTCATGATCCTCCACCTTTTCCCAATCATGTTGTTTGCTCCGATGAAGCGTGCCTTCCAGTGGCTAGTGTTCGCATATGTCATGTCTGAGTGCTCCACCCGTTTTCCCATCAGTGACGTTCTCATTGGTCGCGTCGTCCTGATTGTCCTGGCTGTGTTGTCTGCTCGTGTCGCCGGCCACATCGTTTTCCCTCTCTGTGCTATCACCTTCAAATGGCTCGTCATCGGTCGATACAAGGAGGGCATCTTCCCTATGTGGGGTCCATACCACACTCGCTGGTGGTTAACTCAAAAGGCCTTGCAGGTTTGTGGTAAGGGTATGTTCAGTCGCTTCAACTGGTCTCGTGTGCTCTTCTACCGTCTTCTCGGTGCGAAGATTGGCAAAAACGTCACTATTCACCCATTAGTCAAGTTTGGCGAATATGACCTGATCGAGCTTGGTGACAACGTCGTCATGGATGTTTCTCAGTGCCGTCCCTTCGCCGTGGAGCGTAATACCTCCATGCTCCTCAAGCGCATCTCCATTGGCAAAGACTCATCTGTCGGTCTCAAGTCAATCATCGCCCCAGGTGCTGTTGTCCCTGAAAACACCTGTATTGGCCCCAACTCATCCAGCTGGGAACTCCAAGACGCTGATGAATCCAACCGCGACTTGCTTTCCTCTCGTATCCCTCAACCGCACTGGATTTGGTCTATCCTCCTCATCGAGCCAATTAAGGTTCTTGTCTGGGTCGCTTCTCGTCTTACCTGGATGGGTGGTCTTGTACCCATGGTCTACTCATACCCTAAGCGCTCGCCTGATCAGTTCCTGGGTACACTGGAGTGGTTCACCAGCAGCCAACGGATTGGATACCATATTACCGCGAAGATCTGCCGTGCTATCGGTAGTCCAATAGTGCAATTCGCTGCTGTCTTAGCTTTCAAGTTCCTCCTCGATCTCATCTGCGGTAAGCCCAAGCCCGGTCCTGCCTCCAAGCAGACTCAGCGCCAGAAGGTTCGAAGCGCTGTGCTTTCACAGATCCTGCCCGCTGGTGATATTCACGAGTTGACCCGCCTTGTCGGTCGTCACTACGAGGCTGTCTCGATCGCTGTCCGCTGCCTGGGTGGTAAAGTCGGAAAGCGTGTCTACTGGCCCAGTGTTGGTCCCGCCGTTCCTGACTTTGACCTCGTCGAGGTTGGCAACGATGTTGTCTTCGGTTCTCGCTCGACCATCGTCACATCCGATGGCTACGGTCGCGATCGTGTCACGATTGGTAATGGAGCCATGGTCGGCGACCGTGTTGTTGCCCTGCCCGGCACCACCATCGGTAACGAAGCTATGATCGGTTCCGGTGCTTTGCTCCGCCGCAACGGCGACTTCCCCTCAAACACCGTTTGGACCGGTAGCAAGGGAGGAAATGCTGTTCAATTCCCAACCAGCACAAACACGGTGCCCATGTCAAACGCGCCCACCGTTGTCGACAGTGGTAGCAGTGGCAGCAGCACGAACGGCGACAGCGATGACGAGAAACGCGAATATAGCGAAAAATCGCTTAACGAGAAGCAGATTAATCTTGGCTCTAATAAACAACAAAAGCAAGAGACCACTGAGATCGAGCCCGATACCTGCAAGCCTTTCGGTCGTGCATTCTACCGTGGCGAGTCTAACTACTACGTGCTCCGCATCTGGCAGATCATCATCTACTCTGTCATTGCCGTCGTCTTCACTACCGTCTTCTGGATCATCTCCATCCCACTCTCCCTCTTTGCTCTCCGCGGCGCTATAATCCACAGCTCCTCTGCAGCTCTGCAACCCGGTGCATGGCGCCCATTTGTCAACTACGGAATTCTCTCCGCAGTTCTAGCAGGTATCAGTACCGTGCAAGTCTTCATCGCCCTCGCCCTCGTCGTCTCCCTTAAGTGGATGGTGATGGGTCGCCGCCAAGAAGGAAGTTTCCACTGGGACAAGAGCAGCTACAACCAGCGCTGGCAGTTCCTCCTCTCCTGCGAGACGATAATCAAAGACTGCTATGGTGACTTGGGTATTTTGCCTTTGATGAGTGGAACTGCCTGGGTGGTCTGGTATTACCGTCTTCTTGGCGCAAAGATTGGTAAAGACTGTGCTATTCACGCGAACGGAACGCCGAACATCTTCTTCACTGAGCCTGATCTTCTTACTCTTGGAGACCGTGTCGCTGTTGACGACGCCAGTCTGGTTTGCCACTTGAATTCTCGTGGTGAATTCGAGCTACACCCATTGAACGTTGGGGATCGCAGCATCTTGCGCGCTGGATCACGCTTGATGTCTGGTGCTTCGATGGGCCAGGATGCCTGTCTTTTGGAACATACATTAGTTCTGTCTGGTGACCATGTCGAAGATGGAAATACGATGCAAGGTTGGCCTGCTGGACCCTTTGAAGGCCAACGCGCCTAGACTTTGAATTGTCTGTTCTGTTTTGTTTTTTCTTGCTTTCTTCTCGGTTTGACCTCATGATGAAAGGATGTTGGATTTTCATGTATAGGATTTTCGGCATTTGCTCTTCCGGTTGTTTTGATTTGATTTCGGAAAAATTACTCTCCTACTTGGTATAGGGATTTGGTATAGAGATTTGGTATAGACTTTCAGGTTATTGATGTTCATACCTTCGGTTAATGTTTAGATTGATGCAATTCATGATTTCATGAGCTTATCCTATGAGTGCTTGCATACCTCCATTCCTTCAAAGTCTAGTAGTTATAATGCACACATGCGCACCCATATCCAGGCAGAGGAAGGTCGAAGCATTCGATCATATCAGCTTTCCAAGGTAGTATATACTATTATACTTTCAGCCAGCGCTCAACCGTTCCACCTCAATATTAAGGACTTTACAAATTAAAATGCTCCAATGCTCTGTACCGGAGTGAGGCTTCGCTGGCCTCCGCTTTAATCACCTCTAGTGACCCTGTCGGCTTCACCAACTTTTCCAGGTCCTAGCAACTCTTTTGGCTCCTTCTTGACGTGCTTTTTGGTCAGGTTGGCTTGCATGAGTCGGTTTTCTTGTCGGATGCCCTTCCACGGTTACCCCTAGCCTTCAGTTGGAACGTCTTCCAGCACAAAGCGCCGGCTGGAAGTTTACAGAATTAATTCGAAGATGTGATGACGATACGATGTATCGTCTCCTGGTCTAGCTTAAGGGACTTCGAACGGCGCGAGTGCTTGAAGTCTCTTACTTCCTCTTGCTCCTTCTCTAGCTCCTAGCAAATACTGAACATGATACCTCCATCTTGAGAGTAATATTGATCACCGTGGGCTCAGACAAACTTTCGACAAAATAAGCTCAAACGGAGGGCCTCGTCATTTTGGACTAATAAACCTGATTTGTATTTGCATGAGAATGGAAGCAATAAAGATCTTATATGACAAGCTGAGGCGCCTTATCGTGGCACATAGTACACTTAATAGCTGGAGGGCGTGTTGTGCCGCTATAGGAGGTATAGACAGAACGACTCAAGTTGGAATTCGCCATGGTGTGAAGAGGTGGTGTTATTGAAACAAAGGCTGCCTGTTGCACTAAATGACTCACCCGGCATGATGGTGCTTACTACAATGCCACCGAGGACACTAGCAGGCTGAAAGGCATGTGGACACCATGAAGGTATAGGAACAAGAGACAAGTTGAAAGCCAACGGTATGTGGGTAATTGGTGGTTGGCTGGGGGTAAGATGGGATCAAATCCTCCTTACTGCACCAAAAAAAGATGTGATTAGCGGTGGTAGAGGTATGGAAGAAGGAAAGATCTCACGCATCGGAGGAGACCTCTTCTTGTTTTTCAAGGGCACATGAAGACGTGCAAAGGTGTGAAGGTGAATGGCATATATTGAAGGCCAGTAGGGCGTGAATAGCAGCTTGTTGATTAGTGAAATAACATCTTCGATCCTTAAGGAGTCTAGATTCAATACTATAAACAGTGTCTTCAGTGTTCAAGGAGTCCAGTATCCAGACGTAGTCGGGAGCCATATGTCCAGATAATATATGCTCTATACCTAATGAAAATAAAGCTCTATTTGCACAAGGATTTGAAAGCCTGGAGGAAATCATTCCTCAGATCCTCCCAATTCTCCAGACCAATACTGACCCGCAGCAACTTCCTATCAACAGACGCATCGGACAATGTGCGCCACTCAATAAGCGACTCCACACCACCAAGACTAGTAGCATGCTGGAAATAGTGCAATTTTGAAGGAAGAGCTTTCGCCAGCTCCTCCTCTTTCATACAGATAGAAAACACAGGACCGAACCCATTAGGCATCTGCTTCTTCAACCAATCACCTCCATCCTGCAAGCTAGCATGGAAGACTTCGCCCAATGCACCCTGGACAACAGCTTCGTCGCTTCCAGGCACAGGGTTTGGAGAATGGAGAGTAGTATCGAGCCACTGGATGAGTTTCGCGGCATTATCGCATTGGCGCTGGACGCGGACTTCTAATGTGCGGAGGGAGCGGACACCAAGCCATGATTCCATGTTACCCATTACACTACCGAGAAAAACGCGGTCTTGGAAGAGTTGGGTGGACCATTCCTTGTTTTGGGTTGCGAGGACACCACAAAGGACGTCGCTGTGGCCGCCGAAGTATTTCGAGCCGGAGTGCATGACTAGATCGGCGCCCCAAAGGAAGGGATCTTGTAAGCCGGGTGGGGCGAATGTGCTGTCGACAATAAGGTAGGCACCGCGGGAGTGCGCTTTTTGGGCGAAAGACGCGATATCGTAGGCTGTGCCCTTGGGGTTGAGAGGGGTTTCTAGGAGGATGACATCCCCGGCTTCGAGTTGGTCGGCGGGACAGTCGAGGGCGAGCTTCTGGAGACCGGTGAGGCGGGTGAAGAGGGCGATCACACCATGGCAGCCGTGGTATCCTTCACCAACTGAGATGTGACGGGGGTTGAGCAAGGTCAATGCTGCATGGAGGGCAGAAAGACCTGATGAGTAGCTGATTGCAGTGCCATTTAGAAGGCTGGAGAGAATAATTTCAAAACGGGTAGGGTTAGGTGTCGAGATGCGGGAGTAGATATGTGAGGTTGGATCGATTTCGGTCTGAGCCGTTGTCATTATCAAGTCCGCATATCGTAGCAACTGTAACATACATGGCTAAGATCTGCCACTGGCACTAATGCGGCGGGATCATCAGAGTAACGGAAAGTAGTAGACACGTGCATAGGAGGGGCCACATCGGAAACGACATTCAGTCCATCATCCGCGTGCAAGGAGCGCGTGGAGGTGCCAATGTGAAACATGGTTAAGCTATGTTCTGGGGAATTGTATGCACAGGAAGGCGAAACGCGGAGCTATGATACAAGCAAAAGCGAAAATGAGTTTGAGGGGGAAGGAGGGGGGATCACGTAATCGGTCACGTGGCGTGGGGAATCGATGTTGGACGTTGGAGTAAAAAACGGGGAAAGGTGCGACTTGTAATGAAAAAGTAGGTGTAAGGGGTAAAGACAATCATCTTCGCAGTGATGCCATTCGAGATGGCTCACGCACGGATCCAGGTAAAGCCACCTTGAAGTTGGTACGATCTAAAGAATTGTTAGCATTATCTGTCCTGAGGGATCCTAAGGTCCCAAGGTAGCATACCAATCTCCGAATCGAACGTAATGGTGAGGTCGTCATGTTCAATTGGATACTCGGGCATGTCCAGACAAACGAAATTGGAGGCTGGGTCGTCATCCTTCTTTGGAAGTGCGAATTTGGCATCCACAATGCGTATCCCGAACTTGCCAGACCGGCCAAAGGACTCGATATGGTCGGTGCCCTTAAGTATAAAATTCATGCAGGTGCCATGCTGGAAGTCCGAAAAGAACGCGATCAGTTGGAAGATCTTCTCTTGCTTCACAATCTGGATTCGCGCAAGGTTGGCCTCCCATTTCTTGTAGATCGGAACAACGCTGCGACGGCGAGAGATGGCGAAACAGGAAGCATTTCTGATCATGATAAGCGCAGTCCAAATAGCAGGTTTCGGGTCCAACTTACCCGTCATAGACAACACGGAACCCAGTGACCGCTTCTTGAAAGGAATGGAGATCTAACAGAATTGTGAGTGGGTGACGTTGGAAGCATGGGGAACGGCATACCATTCATTGAAGCAAACTCTAGCCGACGAACCATTGGCTGCGTAGTGATCTTCTCAAGGAAGCCTGCTACTTCACCCGGTAGTTCTGGCTTAATGAGATTGTCCGCCAGTGCGACTGTCAGATCCTGCTGTGCTGGTCGGAACAAGCTCATTCCAGTTTTTCGACTGACATCCAGGCCAATCTTCAGCTCTCCAGGTCCTGGCGGAAAGTTAGCATGTGGTGCAAACGTTCAATAAAGTATTGCTTACCTAAATTGATGCGATCCGTGACAGATCCCCATTCCGTAGCCACGAATGCCCGCAAGTTCTCCGACAGAATGGTTGATCCATAGCCATGATCTACATACGAGTGTGTTTGATCAATAACAAAGACATTTCCAGCTGGAAACTGTAGGTGGGTGACAGCTGGGCGACCGCTCGCTTGGTCTGCCGGCTGCTCGATAGCATATGACCGAAGAGGAATTTCACGGCCCTTGGACTCCAACTCGCGCGGCATCATGCCTAATAAGATGGCGTGCATTTTGGTGCGTTCTTCAACATCGTGGAAAGTCAAGAGCATAGATCTTGTCCGGCCGTCTTCCGTGACCTTGAGAAGGAATGCAGGTGACCCATCCTTTCCTCTCAAAAGCCCGAATACCACAGGCGCTCCATGAGCTAGGACATGCTTTACGTTGCTCAGTGTCTTCACCTTGGGGCTTGTCAGGACGGTCAATCGGAATCCACGGTGCGCATTTCGCGATCCAGTACCTTCCGTGATTGTTACCGATCGCTCGAACAAGCGAATCCGACAACGTTCCAATGGCTCGGGTGGGAAAGCCTTGGAAGTTCCAGGGTCCATGTACTGGAACACTTTCAAGGTATTTTCATATGCAACAGTCTCGCCCGCCTCTGGAGCAAGGCTCGCTTCTGATTTTTGGGTGTACTTGACGATGTTCCATAGTGTTTTGAAATCCTCCTCTTTGAACATGACATCCAGTTCAAATCCACGAGGAAGTTTGACTCGCATGGAGTTGGTACGGACCTGCCATTCCACATCTTCCCAAGTAGGCCCTTGTTTGCGATCACCTTGAATCATGACATTGACAAGCTGGCTTTGGCTGGTGATTGCCGCGTACACGTACCAATCTGTCCGTTCTCGAATGATGGAAAGGCAGCACGGCATGGCATACTGTTGGCCTTCGTCCTCGCTGGAGCTCACAGTGGCCTGCACGAACATGCTGCCATAGCTGAAAGAACGAGCCGTGTCTCCCAGAGGCATCATGTATACCATACTCGGTGTCTTGCTCGGTTTGTCAGCCAACATCGACCTCGTTACCGATCCGGATAGCACCGCCGACACATCTGGCGCGAAAAACGGATAGCGTAACCAGACACTAGTGTCTAAGTGACCAGGAGACGCATCCTCTTCATCGATGAGAGCAATGATATTATTACGCTTTATCGACATAGAAAGCGACCGCAAATGATTCAGGATAGTTTGGTGCAGACTGAGCATATCCACCATTTCCTTATCGCCTGTCGTGCTTGCAACTGCCAACAGAGCATCAATACCCATTTGCTGGCCATATCGTGAGACTTCGGAATGACTCGGTACGATATTTTCGTTGATCCAGAGTGCTTTCCCAAGGTCTATTATGGCCTGTTTCGCATAGTTAGGAGGGCAATTGGCTCGAGTGCGCGCGTAGGTCTCCAATCTTGTTTTCCCACGCAAAAACCACCAAAGCGCGGCCCGAATCCATTCCGCCAAGGATGTTTCCATCAACGGTTTCACGCTCTCCGCAGCAAGTCGTAGAAGACTGTCGTATCGGGCCACGTAAGTTTTGAAATCTGCAAACGCGGTATCACCGACTTGAGCAGCCACATTCCGCAGCGAGAATTTGGGCTGTTGAGGGCCTCGCGACGGTTCGCGACTCGCCTCATTTGGACCCGGTTTGTTTCTTGTTGAAGGTTCCCGGACAAGGGTCTGTGAGGGAGTCTGGGGATGAACCTGGGAAACCTGAGGGGCAGCTGGAGCCGCTTGTGGAGGAAACTTGGGTGGTGTCGGCACGACTTTATCGGGGCTTCCAGGTTTTAGTTGTGAGGGGAGTCGCGGGTCGACTGGGCTGAGATTGGGAGCAGTGCGATTGACAGTTGGGCTTGGAGGGTTTCGAATCGAGTGGATGATCGATTTGACGGAGGGTGCGTCAGGTGTATACGAGACGGGGTTCTCATAGACGGATTCTGACTCATGAGTGCTATGGGGACTGTGACTGTGGGCACTATGTGATCGCTGAATTGGGCTCGAGAGGTCATCATAGTCATCATCATCCACCGGGGATGAGCCATCGTCATACCGATTGTGCAACGCGCGCGCTTCCTCCACCTGCATCTGATTTCGCACCCGCTCAGCAAACTTATGTGATTCTGTCCCCCGGAATGATAGGCGGGAGCCAGGTTGGCTTATGTGGAGAGTATTCAGGAGGTCTGCATCGCTGGAGCTTTCGACTAGCGGCCGGCTCGGCGATGTTCCACTCTTCAGGTCCTGCGGTAAGTCTGACTCGTCATCGTCTAGCGATGTGTTCACCCGCAGATTGGGTAGATCTCTTGACAGGTTCGGGGAGCGCGACGGTGCTCGCTTAGGTTCTTCCAGTCGATCGCGGCTCCGTTGACGAGACCATGAGATCTCGATGGTGGGGGTTTCCGATTCATCCCCTCCTTCCCCAATTACCTCCGGCCCTCGATCGGAGAAGCCAACTTGAAGTCCCTTGTGTTTTCGTTGGGTCTTGCTCCGGGACAATTGTGGGGGTGGCTGAGGTTTCTGGGGGTACTGGGGTTGAGCTTTGTCTATGGGGCTGAAGGCGACATAGGTCTCGGTCGCAGACGGTGGTTGGGGTTGGGGTCGCGATTGCGGTGGTGTTTGTGTTTGTGTTGGCGCATTGGAGACATCGTGTGAGGAGGAAAGTCGATGAGTGGAGACCGTGGGCGGGGGTTGACTGGGATCTCCCTTGGTCGTGATAGGAGGTTCAGCTCGGGGGCGATTGGAGGCAAGGAAGTCTTCGATTTGTTTGTCCGGCACAGCACCCTTGTTCTTATCTTTGGAGAACAGCTTCTCTCGCCATAGGGAGGTCTTCTTCATTGGCTTAGGCTGCTCGACAGGCAGGAAAGCAAAAGGGTCATCGGCAGGCATGTCGACAAAGTGAAGTCCAAAGTGTAGTCGGGCGCAATAGTGTGGACTCTATGCGCATCGCAGGTTTCTCAATCAACTGATACGAGGAAGCCAGTCCTCGATCCAAAAGATCGTTTTCCCCCTCTCCCCAAAGAGAAGTAAAGGATCGACAGGGGGTTCAACGGACCCTGAGTGAAGTTGCGATAAGGAAAGCGGGGAGAGGACAAGCCTGTGTCAAGTAACGGGGAAGGTGGGAATATGATAGAATCAAGAAAGGGCAAGGAGCGAAGGAGGGGTGTCAATGGTAGCGCCCGTGCATGCCCAGAAAGATAGCTCGCTCTCGTTGAGAGATGGAGTTAACCAGCTGGTGGAGTAACGATCGTCGGATTTTGGCTTTGGGGGTTTAGTTAGGGGGTTACTTTGAACAACCAAACTAGATAAATTGATAATAAAACTGGACCAGCCAGCAGAAGTCGGGGAAATCAGACAACTTAATGTCTGGGGTTTCAAGTATTCCAGTGGATACAAGAGAAATTAGACATGACATTAATTATCTTTATGTTAAGAGGAAGGTACTCCGCAAGTACCAATATTTGTACTAGTGGACCCCCTTTGAATGTTACGTGGAAGTCGATTGGCTATATCATTCTTCTCTTTGATGACATATACGACTTGAAATGTTATATATAGCTTTGGTATACGTCTCTTACGGAGAGTGTAACGCACTAACACAACAGCCCGCTTCTCCCAGAAAGAACAGGAGGTCCAGTGCTTTATCATTGTTCGAATCACCGACCTTTTCTTCAACCAATCAAATCAATTATTCAAACCGGGTCTCAACGTGAAACCGATCTAAGCCCATTTAGGTCACGACAGAGGGGCAGCGGGTCCCGCTGACGAGTTATCAGTCCCAAAGATTTCCGTTCTCAAGGAATCACGATTGATCAACAATTATTGGTTTGCGGGATGCTGACTTGAATTGGCTGGCTAAAATCATATGGAATGGACGTATGTTATAGCTTATTGTGACCCGGACTGATTGACTGTATGCTCTCTAATCTGGTAATTGATCAAATGCTCTAAGGTATCCGGCTTCCCCTTTTCGTCGTCCCGACATCATATGCAGGGGATTCAAGAATGGGCATGCGATCCCTACCAGCCAATCCGATTCCCGATTCGCCGACCTGCGAGGGGCTTGGATATTTATACTCTTCAAAATAAAGGTCGCTGTCAGTGGGGGCCAAGTCACCGCTACATTCTCGAACCAAGTGGACCATGCGCTTAGCGATGGTACGTACGCTCAGGGAGGGTGGCTTCTAATTATACCCTAGACGCCATTTTACGCCCACTTGACCCGAATGTTTGATACTATCGTCAAATGAGTATTTTCTACCGACTCCAGTTCCACTGCAATGATCGTCAAGCCACCCCGCAACCTGCGTCGCGCCCTGGATTGAGCTGGTGGATTACAGGTTATTTAAGCTGCGACACGGAAAATAACAGGCATCAGGGCTAGAACTAACGATTCTTGATGACACAATTTACTGAATATCCGAATATCCGAATATGTGAATATCATCTACTAATCTGGGTTCATCGCCATATCTCCTTTGGTGGGGAACGATCTGCAGGGATGTTCAGTTCAATTGAAACCACGATCGCCTAGAAGTTCAGGATCAAAATCGGTCGCAATCGGAAGATTCATTACAAACAAGCTTCACCAGTTCATTTAGGGAACCCCTGCATACCCACATGGCTCTACAAACTGGCAAGGAGATTTTGTTCTACTTCGGAGATACAGCATGATCAGGGAGATCGACTTATATACACTTATTAGGTGTTGTCCATTCCAGGTCCTAGAATGAACAATCTCTTTGAAGTAATCAGACCTACAGACATACTGGCTTTGGTAAGTACTTTGACCTGGTCAACCAATTGAATGAATTACCGTGACTTGCATGATTTATAGGAGCCTCGGATTGGGCTAGATTTGTAAATTGTCCAAATGTCAGATTCCATATAGTCTATACTTTGAATCCCCTTTCTTCCTTTGCCGACCATTGCCGGGGATAAGCTACCGGGATCGGAGCGCTCAAATCTACCAATTAGGCAAACCACTACAGTAGCTCATGCTGTTGCACCAAGCCCTGTTCAGCCACAATGCAATCACTCCACAGATACCCTGAGACTCTACCAGTGATCATTGACAGTTACCCACATGAACCATACTTCTGGGCTAAAAATGAAGCTATGTCTCATCAGTACCCGTTTCTACACGGTTCCTGCTCGACAAAAAGGGGAAAGAGAAGCTTGGAAAGTGTGGAAATGGTAAGTGAGACACTGGAGCGCACAGCCGAGAGATCGACTGAAACCACTTTTCTTTTCAAGGATATCTTCCATGAGTCCATGTGCCTCTGTGGTGCTTTTTAAGAGCTCATTGAGGGAAGCCACATTGCCAATGGATTACGCGAGGGATAAGTATAACAGTTTGAAATCTCCAGCTTCTACTGGAATTATAAAAAGCGGGGCATATTATTGACTTAAGGCGTACAATGCTATTTTCTATTTGTATATTACTAGGAGGTAATCGGGACAAATGTAACGAAGTCGTGTAGTCAGCCCAAACTCCACTAGTTTACTAACCTTGGAAGGCGCAGCAAGTTAGGTAAATCTCGTTAGTTCGATTTTCTTCTTTTTCTCTTTTGCCAAAATTTTGTAAACAATTTATGTCATTTGCTTTGAAATTGTTTTCCCCCCCTAAACCTTCATTGTATCCCCAGGTACAAGTTAACTTGGGAAGTTTTTTACTGCCGAACCTCACTAGGGGCCCGACTTACAACTCTCTTCCCGCCAATCCCCTCTTTCTCCAATCCCGAGTCCACATTCATCCAACCCTTTCCCTATTCACCTGGGTCCTGACTTTCTCCCCGATTTTTTGGATCGGCAACATTGCGTGAGCGAGAGAGGTGGATATTGAGGGGGAAAAAATACCGGGCGAAACCCCTTCCCACCCTCCCGATTGTCAACACAACGTGGATTCGATCACCAACGGGGGCTGACCTCCCCTAGGAGGTCATCCCGGATGTCCGAGACACTCGAGATGTGTCACGATTCGACTGACCGGAATGATGCGGTTTCTTTACTTGAACCGCATGCAACCAAATGCGAGCGACGCGATTTGTCGGTCGCTCGACGACAATCGAGGGACACTTCCAAACAAAGGCGAGACGCGTATGTGTGGCGCTACAGCTGGTGGATAGTGGTGCTGTGTCTGTTCTCGCTGGCATCGCCGGCTGCTGCCGCATTACTCACCTTCGAAAACTGTTTAAGCAAGGCGACCCTCGACTCTAACCCGTTAAAGCTGCAATATGTACCGCTCGATGTCGGCGTTTGGTTCAATCTGAGCGACCCTCTACGTCCGTTGAATGTCACAGTTTATGGAAATGTATCGGGCACGGCGGACCAGACAACGGATTATCCCTCCGAGGATGATGCCTCTTGGAATAACCCCAATGTCACCGAGGGCAAAATCGTGGACCTGGATAGCACGAATTACAAGTACAGCACGCTGTTGACCGCATTCGATGTCTTGAGCTTCTCTGCTTTTCACAACGCTTCGAGGTTTTGCACGTCTTTGGTTCAGGGCGACTGCCCGCTAGGGCCGGTGTTCCACTACAATTTGTAAGGATATGTTCCATTCGCAGCATTTGAATAAGGTCTAACGCATCATCTTTATTTTAGGAGCGACCCGAGAACCCTTCGCGCATTTTCCGTCGAACATGATATGCTCTCTACCTACCGATTCTCGACGATTACCCCAAGCTTCATCATCCGATCCGGAGATGCAGCGGCGGACATGCTGGGGTGCATAACCGTTCCGATTACACCGGACTTCGGCTCGCTTCTGAAAAACGCACTGGCATATGTACCTTTGGCTATTTTGATTTTGGTTGCTATTGGGACGGTCACCGCAGCCATGTACACTCCATGGGGCACGACTGATATATTCCGTTGGACCAGCAATTACGGCCGTGATGAGGATATCCTGCGATTGGTCACGCCGGGATTTGCTGATTGTCTGCAATATATCCAATTCGTGGTGCTAACGGGTTCCTTGTCATTGGATTACCCAGGCTTCTTCCAGCCCGCCGTGAGTCATGGATCTTGGTCCGTTCTCATGTTCAACCAGAGCTTTGTCAATCCCGGGGGTAACAACCCAATTGTCGATGGTGTATATGCAGTCAATGGCTCATATGGCTTGGATCGCATGAGCCAGCTGGTTGGAATGACCACCAAACAGGATATTTGGCCGGGAATGATCATCTGGCTTCTGGTGATCTTGGGAATCATTGCCCTTCTTATCCAACTGGGCTTCGCCTTCCGCTGGGTGCATCGTGAGCTGGCACATAGCACTGAGCAGGATCTACGCGCCAAGAATATGCCATTCACAGTGGGAAACATCATACGGATTGTCTTCAACTACTTCCTTCTTCCCATCATTTCGCTCTCCTTTTTCCAGCTTGTCACAGCGCAGGGATCTCCTGCCCAGAGTGTTGCATTGGCTGCAATCGTGATAATCATACTGATCTGCTTCGCCATCTGGTTCATCCGGGTCATTGTGTCCACTCGACCCAAGTCCCATCTCTTTGATGACCTTCCCACGGTTTTGTTATACGGGCCACTCTACAATACGTACTGTGATGATGCGGCGGCCTTTGCTGCGGTCCCGATCGTCCTCAACATCGCGCGTGGTGTGGCCATTGGTGCTTTACAGCCCTCGGGTATTGCCCAGGTTGTATTGCTAGCCATCTGCGAAGTGGTATCTGTGCTTACAATAATCGCGTTCCGACCTTTCCCTGGACCGACGCACATGAACCTCTACCAGTGCCTGTTTTCATTCATCCGATTTCTTACCATCGTTCTAAGTGTGGTCTTCGTCCCGTCCCTCACCATGTCCCAATCGTCACGTGGCTGGATCGGCTATGTGATCCTCGTGCTGCATGCCTTGGTCCTCATTTTTGGCTTCTTTCTCAGCGCTCTACAGACTTTGATCGAAGTTCTAGCACGATTAGCTGGTGCTGGTGGTGCCACCCGTGGTGGTCTAGTGAAGGTTTTCGGCAAGCGTCAGTTGTCAAGGCGCGTTCCACGACGTGATCTCACCCGACAGAGCATGGGATCCGAGGCGGCTATGTTGGCCAATGTCGACGAGCGCCTGTCATCTCAGTTTGAAGGCTCACGAGCCCGCAGTTTGTCAGGAAGTTCGGCCCTGCTGCTGAATCGTGCGACAGCGAGTGAGGGCCGCACCAGTGCAATCTTGGATTATGCTAGCTCACATGGTGGACACAGTCGTGCCACAAGTGCAAACCTGATCGCGCAATCCCCTACTGCTTATACTGGAGCTGGATTCCCTGCTAGCTCCCCAAGCAGTAGTACTTTTATGGCGGCATCCCCGCGAGATCCGTACTACCGGCCCCCAAGACCGGGCCGACGCACACGTCGTCCCAGTACCGGAGATAGGAGCAAGCGAAGTTCCAGAACCTTCATGAAGCCAAGTCGAGTTGGCACAGAGGAGGACATCGTAGATGACTCAGGCCGAGACACACCAGTCCCTGCGTATCTACCTGCCCCCAAGGATGATATGGAAATGGATGATTCACCGCAGCGAACGGACTATGCTGTACGTGAAGTTGACTTTTATTACCGAGTCCGTGGGCCACCACTCTCCCATACTGGCACTCGCAAGTTGAAGACTGGCCCAGCAGATCCCACTGGCCCCGTTTCATCGGCCACAGGCTGGTTCCGGAATATGTTCCAGGGTAAGACCAAGGATAAAGGCAAGGGTTTCGAGGTGGTCCGAAGTGCTCGAGCACCTCCGCCTGGCCTGTTCCCGCAACGCGATTATAATGAGCCCTACCACGATGATCCAGAGGATCCAGAAGCTGGGGATGCAGATGCAGAGGCATATTCAGGCGAGGGAGCATACCGTGACTCTGAACGTGACCGCGAAGCCAGAAAGTCGGGCGATGAGCAAGGACCGGCGACTGTTGGCGGCATCGGTATTGAGCTAGCAAGTCGATCTGGGTCTCGTCACTCGCGAGCCGCATCTGAAAAAGACGGTGAAGATATTTCAGGGGTTCTATCTGCGGTGACTGAGGCTTCTCAATCAAGAGCCAGCACAGAGGCTCATTCCGACCACCTGCGACCCGAGTCCCCAACTACAGCACGGTTACCCTTTAGTGGTAACAGCTCGCCATCCCGGGATAGGGGCCTGTCCGTTGCATCTACATCCGGCTCAATGACTTCCAGTCACAGAACCGGCCGTGATGGAGTACGCACCGAACGACCCTCCAGTCTGGGCTACGTCGCTAAACATCGCACACAAGATAACATTCACCAAGCAAGCCCCGACGAACCATCTTTTGCCGGCAGCCAAGCCGAGCTAGTTGATGAACATTTACAAAATGAACAATAAGCCTCCAATGGCGTACATTCAAAATCACCCCTATACTCTCCGTCTCTCTCCCTCCCCAACTACCTCTTATCCACTGTATTGTCTGTCTCAAATTCCGGATCATTGATGCCACAGTGACGAATTTCTTTATTGCCATTTCTGCCTTTTTCCTTTGCAAAAATTGCTGCAAGGCGTTTGATTCAAATATGGGTGCCCCTGAACTGAACTGAGCTGAACTTAATATTCCCGGTTAGCTTTAATCCATAACAACCCTGATACCTGTACTATGCTCCACACTATACAAAGTGGTTTATTGGTACTGGTGGGTAGTCTCGCTTACTGTTTTCCTTCCTAGGTATTCAAGTTGTAAATTGTGCATCAGTCATCATGGAATTGTAATAATAGAGATATAGCCTTAGGATTTGAAGCTTGGTCAACCCCTCTATTTAGCATACACCGTGGACTTCGTTAGACTCCTGAGGCTATTTAGTCTTTTCTTTCCTCCCTCTACTTCCCTTTTCTTTTTTTTCAGCTTTTTGCTTATTATATTGAAAAGCCCCTTGGAAAAGCCTTCAGCTATCTAACTCATACGATAGGAAAGAACGTAGGAGATATAGTGTAGAAAGTCTCTAATCCCATATGCCCAGGCAGTATGTCTGGATACTAGATTGAAATCAAAGTGAATATTTGGAATTGAAATTGATAGGCCCTTTACCTCATAGTCGAACAACAGCTCAAAGTAACAGATTAACCGCAGTGTGATATAAAAGATCCCTCGAAGCTATAGAAGGTACAATCGAGCATAGTGACGTAGCCGAGATAACCGGCCCAGTTTTGCCATCCACTACCGCCTGGACCCACCGATAAGGTGCCTCCATTATTTGGGCTTCATTTCTCCTGCATCTGCTCTCCTTGTTTGGCCACGCCACAAAGACCCTCTTGGGTAGGTGAACTGCTTGAGATTACGTCTATATCCTTTCAAAATACTTGGTTATTGCGAACAGACATCCTTATCGTCTTATAGAACGCGCATTTTGGTGTCACGAGACCTTGGAATTGTCTTGACTGTGAGGCTCTGGTCCATCTCCGACCGCCATGGTGCAGCATCTGCTGTGATCACGGTTCACCGGGGCTGATCATCCGGCTTAAACAGGAAGAATCCATTTAGTTCCGAAAAGATTTAATGGTGGCTCACACCAGAACTTCGTCACACGATCGGCGGTTCATGGTATATATTGACAGAGACATTTTCCTGGCCGAAAGGAACCGAAATGTCCGGTTATAGCACCGCGTCGTCGAGCCCGCTTGCGAATAGCCCTGGTGGCAAGAATATTGGTAGAAGGTGCAACAGAGATGACGGTCTGGATACCGACCCAGTACATATATCTAGCAGCCCTGAAAGCGACGACCAAATGAAGATCACAGTGACCGGATTGAGGATGCACAGTGATGCTACCGGTGACTCAGAAATGATGCCAGGAAGCAGCAGAAGACTGGTTGAAAACAATGATGGAAATGAGGATAGAGGTAATTTTGAAGTGCTTATTACACATCAAAATACCGCTGGATCGGCAAATCAAGAAACACGCACATCATACCATACTCTCACTCCTGGACAGCGAGCGCTACCGAGTCATCCAGCCATAGACCGCAAAAGACGCTTGACCAACACAGGCAATCACGATCGACTACAACGCGCACGTTCTGGGGACTTGGCAAGACTCGGCACCCAACCCAACTTACCACATCGATCACTCTCCATGGTCGGACCATCGAGGGGAAATTCTGGTTCGGATGACCCGGGTTCATCATATGCAACAGCGATCGATATCACTTCTTCTCCTCCAGATGCTGGTTCGTCTGTCGGTCACGGAAATGATGATTCACTGTCCATAACTGGATCTGCAATCTCCCGAGGCAGTAGACAAGGTCCCCCTGATGCACGTATGCCACTGCCAGTTTCGGCCATCGTGCGTCCTCCGCGCAGACTCCATTCCTCCAGCCTACGGGATGTGGATCTTTATCATCAGTATCATCAGTCAGGAAGGGCACAAGGGCAGTCCGATGCTATTAGGAGCACTAGAAGTGAACGTTCCTTGGGAGTTGGTTGGCAGGCATCAGGGACCGATGAGAGAACTTTGCGTGCTTTCTTTGGTGGGTCAACGGAGACACAGACTTTGGCAGAAGCATTGAGAACCGCAGACGAAGGCGACATTGAGACGAATTTACCGCGATGGCAGCCCGATGCGGAGGTGACAGACTGCCCAATTTGCGGGACGGTGTTCAGCTTTTGGTATCGAAAGCATCACTGCCGGAAGTGTGGTCGGGTGGTGTGTGCCTCATGCTCCCCACACCGAATTACTATCCCAAGGCAGTATATTGTCCGCCCGCCTGAGTCCTCTCAGTTGCCAGACCTCTCTCCTACTCCACCGCGTCAAATCGTGGATTTGACTGAAGAGGATCCAGTTCAAATATCAGCGGCGATCAATCCTGCTCTCGGTGGAGGAGAGGAAGTCCGCCTCTGCAATCCCTGTGTACCAGACCCGAACCCCAACCCACTAGGCTATGGACGGACGCGAGGCCACCGCACCAGCCATTCCTTGCCATCCAGCATGGGAAATCGCTTCTCTAGCGAGTCGGTAAGTTGCGACCCTGGTGCGATACTAAGTGTTCCTTTGATCTAACAATGTACAGGCCGAGAACTCCCCAATTCAAGGTCCCCGCCACGAAAGCCCCGAATTCCTGCGGGTGAATACCAATAGGCGACAGAGTCGCGATGGAAGGGGAGACCAACATCCCTTCGATCTGACCAGCTCCCGCCGACGCTCGGCTACTTGCGAGCAGGATCTCTGCCCCATCTGCGGGCGAAGATTTCCCGACCTCAGTAGCGAGCAGACGCTAGAGGCGCGTGAGGCGCACATTCGGCAGTGTATCGATAATTACGGTGCCCCGGCTGCTGCGCAGCCCGCTTCCTCTGCTCGCCGGGGTCCAGCACCACCTCCTCTGCCACCTGTGTCTCGAATGGTCGAGTTCACCGCCACAGAGAAGGATTGCATTGGCGAGGATGGAGGTACCGCCGAATGCACCATCTGCATGGTGGATTACGAGGGTGGAGATGTGTTAGTCCGACTGGAATGCTTGTGCAAGTTTCACAAGCATTGCATACTGGATTGGTTCGTGCACAAGATGGAGTGCCCAGTGCACAAGGTGGCATAGTGGCTGGGGCTCCATTCTTGTGCTAATTTGTTTGCTATATTTCTTGATATCCCCGCATAATGCGATTGTTTGCTTGACCAGCCTGCTCTAGCTTCTATCTTAAAGTAACCCTGGTAAAGGATGTATAATTATGTCAGAGTAGCAACAACATGGTAAACATGATTATGTCTGTATCGTCTATACGTCTAGGTCACGTGTCAATGACGCCAAAATGCATCAAAGCGAATTGGACTTGCTTCATCTTCTAGAAAGCCAGCGCATTCACACAGCTAACTAATTTTTCTAAAGTTAGTGGCTTCATGATGTCACCCACACTTCTTTGAATTCTGATCCTGACTGCACCACCCTGGCAGCCTGCATTGATCGGTGTCGGGGCTTATCTTTCCCCGTTCTCCGTCCTACTCCCCCACACCCGTGAACAAAGGTAAACATCACCCACATTGCAGGGGCAACCAAATAAGCCCTCGCTATCCAATCAAAATCATTGCAGAGGCTTCGATCCTCGAAGATCCAGGTCAATAGTGGCCCATCATCAAATCGCCGATCGGTGGGCCCTCCTGAATCCCGGGGATTACAGTGACCGGTCCCGTCCCGAACCACACCATGACCGACTACCCAGAACCAACACATTTATCTGAGTCGCATGGAGCGCGGGCCTTTGATCTGGGTCTGCATGCAAAGACGCCCTCCACCGAACCGGATAATCAGTCGACGGAAGAAATCAAGCGACCGCGGGCCTGCGAGCCATGCCGCCAATTGAAAGTTCGATGCGATCCGGACCCGTCGGGCCCTGATGGCGCCTGTAAACGGTGCGCTAAAGCACGTCGGCAATGTGTTGTTACTGCGCCAACCCGCAAGCGCCAGAAGAAGACTGATAGCCGGGTTACGGAATTGGAGCGGAAAATCGATGCTTTGACTGCTACACTTCAAGCATCGCATCATACACAGTTGGCCGCGAGCCAGTCGCAGCCGAGCCGAGCGCAGTCCTCGAGATGGTTGCGCGAAGAGCCTAATGGGGCTGGGAACAAGCGGAAACATGATGGGTTTTTGGTTGCCCAGTATCCCCGTCCTAACAGTCCGTCTGCGGAGCAAATCCCGAAACAGCCTGCTAGACAGACCCCGCCTGAGCTTAAGCCCAGTGCTGGGAATGAATTTCTGGATGTGATTGATAGAGGCTTGATCGATATAGATACCGCTCAAGCCGCTTTCAATGTCTTTGTCACCGATATGGCATATGATATGTCCTTTGTTGTGTTTCTCCCGGGCACGACGATGGGTGATGTGCGCCGAGAGAAACCGACACTCTTTCTTGCCATCATCGGTGTCGCGGTGGGGACTGTCAAAAAAGAAATACAGATGACCTTAATAGATGAAAGTTATCGACTGATTGCGGATCAAGTCGTCGTTAGGGGTCGCAAATCCCTGGAGATAGTTCAAGCTCTCCTCGTCACTTCCCTATGGTATATGACGCCTGATAACCTGGATGAGCTGAAATTCTATCAGTTGGCCCATATGGCTGTTGTGGTAGCTATGGAATTGGGCTTGAATTGTCGATCCATCGGCGATCAAAAAATTGTTCGCATTCGCGATATCATCATAAAGAAGAAGGTTGCAACGAATGCAGACTTGAACAGCCCCGAAGCAAGACGCACATGGGTGGCCTGTCACTTCATGGGAATTCAATTGGCGATGGCTTTGAGACGGATACCGATGGTGCGATGGCAGCCGTACATGGATGAGTGTCTTCAGATATTGGAAAATCACCCCGATGCCCTCCCGTCGGATCGCAAGGTCGTCTGGTGGGCGAAGCTCGGATGGATTATGGAACAAGCGGGCTTGCAGCTCACCATAGATGACACACAGTCGATTGTCTCATTTACAGACAGCAAAGTGCGGTACACTATCAAGGCGTTCGCAAATCAACTTGCCCAGTACCAGAGGGATATTCCCCAAGAATTCTGGACCCGTAAGTCTACATTCATACTCTATAAACATCTCTAACCTTCATAGCGATACTATCCCACACATATCATACACTACATCTCTTCGTGCACGAAAGCGCCATGGGAGTTGACTGCCGGGAGAGCATATTTCTCAGCTCCCCCGGGCAAACTCTATCTCCAGCCATGTCACCGGTTATTGAAGCTTTAACATCCTGTCTCAATTCTATTCACAAGTCCTTCGACACGATCCTCAGTATTGATGTGGACAGAGTGAGGTATTTACCCACAATGGCCCTGGGTCGGACTGCATACCCAGTTGTCAGCCTAATCAAAATCTACTCCCTTGTCACTGCCCCCGATTCCCAAATTGGTCAGGTGATCGACGTACAAAGCCTAAAGGTGGAATACTACCTTAACCGAATCATCGATCACTACCGGGCAGCTGCGGCTCTCGATGGTGGCAGGGTGGCAAATAAGTTCGGGAATATCATCATGATGTTACGAAACTGGTTCCTCAAGAAAAGGGAGAATGCCCCAGAGCTAGGAGAAATATTTGGCTCCGAACCGCATCATCCAAGGGAAAATAAACCCGTAAGTATCATCAACGCGCACATAGGGTCCGATTAACATGTCAACAGGCAAGACAGGGCAATACACCATTGCACATCCTCAGCGATCTAGCCATGGGTGATCCACACAATACAAAGAACCGATCAAATTCCAATCAAGGATCTATCTACACACCAAACCTAAGGCAAGACATGGCTCACAAGTCGGCAACCCCGGCTACGACTTATGGAACCGTAGAATCTACACACTGGTCCCCGGCACCTTTCACACCCCAAATGTCTACAAGATCACACGACTCAGGCATGGGGGAAAGATCATTCTATCAACCCTTCCCGCCGAACCCGTCCCAACCATACACTATGTCCGCGAGCCAGTATCCCCAGATGCCAGATCCACAAATATCAGGCGTAGGGAATATGACCCTTGGGCAGCCGATGGGGGAGTCGATAGGGATGCCCGAGTTACCGATAGAAGCGCCTTTCGATCCGAATCTGCCTATTGTATTGGAGAATTTGATGGGTAACGGGCTGCTATCTTTTCCATTTCCTTTTGATGGAAACTTCCAGTTTTAATAAACAAGCCCTGGCCTAGGTAGGGCTACAGTATTTGTTATTCATTGGCGTTACATAGGTTTGTCACATACCACCCGACCTGTCTATACATACATACCCACATGGATGCCTACAGTCCTTGGAAGAGATACGCATAAACTCGAATTGACTCTACGATATCGTTAATTATGTCAAACTTCGTAAATTGGATAAGATCCGCGATCGCGGACCATTCTTCGCTGCAAGTATGGGTATATAACAAGATAAAAATAGTTCTCCGAATTAATTCATCGTGAACCCCCTTGCCATGTGTGCAAAATGCGTTGCTCAACATAAGCCCATGGCCATCCATTTTCCCGCTCCGTGCGACGTAGGAGATCGAATAACAAGTTTTGCGCGATGGGGTCGTCGATATATGCGCTACCTGTAGGAATGAGATAGTCAGAACAGCCAATATCTTGAATGAGATGATAAAGACGTACAAGCACATAGAGCATGGCAGGCCATGATTCGTAAAGATGGCTCATCATCCGCGGAGAGGGCAATCCCGAATAGGTAGTCCAGATTTTCGGTTACTTGTTCCTGTTTCACATTAGACAGGTCTTTGAACAGCATATTCTTCCATACCTTTAACTGCACCCTCTCTTCCCTCGAGCACATTCGATCCTGAAGCTCATATTCCCGAATCAACATAAGCGCCTTGGCAAGACAAACATGCTGCATCGCAGTAGCTAGGCCAAATATTAGCACCAGCAACAACACTCATCCAAGTCACACTCACAATGCACCAAACTAGTATACCAAACAACGGGAAAAGGCTTCCCCCTCGCCGGATCAGGTGGCGAAACATGCAAGGGTGTAAAAGCCTCCGACCTCCCAATCTCCCAATCCCGAATTCTCTTCTTGAGCGCAATCTCACCCTCAACACCCAACCTCCCTCCATAATTGCGTCCTGAAACGTTATAGCAGAAATCGATCGTCTCGGCTAATAACCAAATCGCACGATTTACCCAGTCCCCATCGCTGAGGACAGGTTTGGACTCCCACCACTTACGCAGCCGGTCGTCGAATGGCGCAAAGGTTAGTCGGAGACATTTCTGGTATGTGAGCGCGAACTGAATATCTTGGATTACAAAGACCCAGAATGAAGCCGAAGCGAGACTGCCGCTTATTGCGCAGTCGACATGAGAGCTGATGTAGACTGAGCCTGCGAGGAGGTGGCGCTGCGGGTCATTGGAGGGGGTGTGAGCTATTCAATTAGTAACATTTTCATATCCATGGGTGGAGGGTAGGGGAGTTACATGAGATCTGTTCGAAAAAGCGGAGAATCACCGTCGAGCTGAGAAGGATATCGATCCCGATGTCGAAATCAGGTTTATCGAGGACGGGGAGCATGATGGAGATGCAGCGCTCGTGATAACTATCTGCCACTTCAGGAGAAACGGTGTTTGCTGTGCGCGAGAGGTGACAGGCCGCCACGGCTACACAGGCGTAGAGTAGAAGTGGCGACTGGGTGGCACGCCTGGCGACATCAGCGGAGAAGTGGCGATCAGGATCACCGGCATCGAGCTAGACGGATTAGATAGAGGCGAATGATGGGGCAAGATGAACGCACCCAGTCAGCTAGATGTCGCTGGAAATGTCGGAGGAGGTAGGCCTCATTTACATTTTCGAGTCTTGGTTGCCCGATCGGGGCTAGTGAATGTTCCGATGCAGACCGCGATATAGCCTGTGAGTCTGCTAGATATGGCAGGACGACTGTGCTGGTTCCGGACAAAGGGTCCACGGATGAAGGCGATGAGCGTGCTTCAGATGATGAGCGGGAGACTGTTTGGTGCCCGGTTACGGGAACGACGAAATACTCCGCGGCTGTCTGGTCGGTCTCATCTTTGAAGGAATCTGTGGGATGTTAGTATGTTATTAGCTCATTCGGTTGACCGCCACTTACACTCGGACGAGGTTTCAACCCAGGTTTGGTCATTAGGGAAAGCGAGATCGCTCTCACCGTACCTCGGGGGCCCCTTCCCTCGTAAAGAAGGGTTTTGACCATGACGGAATGAGACCTCTTCTGATTTTCCAGGGGCTGGAATACATTCGCGGCCAGATCGTTGACAGCGCAAACATTTGGTCGCGGTTTTATCACCTGAAATGGTTAGTGTATACGTGATAGGTCTAGACAGATGACACACATTTCAGATGGCGCAGACGACACGTGAGGCTGAGACAATGTTAGGACCAGCTTATGTTCTTAAATGGGAGAGAACTAACCATCCCCTCATTACGCAGGGGTCAAGATGTTCGTACACGGAAAGGTTCTAGAAGGGGGAAAAAGCATCGGCATCCCGTATATGTATCAAAGGTTGTTGGGTATTTGGATGTGGATATTGGGGTAAGAATAAGTAGGTTTGGGAATTGGAGAAGTGGAGTTTGATAAGTTAAAAAAAGGCCAACGTGGCCCATCATTCGCCTTCAATACAACGCCCCCACAGAGATGTGCAAGCTCAGATGTTTTTTTTTTTTCTTTCATCTTAAATATCTCTTGAGGCATAAAACAGACTTTTCCCCCCTTAGGACCGATCGTTCCCGAAAGTGAAACGACCGAGCGGCTTGTATCGGTAAAAACAAGCGAGAAATTGATGATTAATCACTCATCGTATTACCAATGAAAATCATCAACGATAATCAATGACCAAAAGTTGTACGTTTCAAGTTTTATCAATGATATGAAACAGGGAATGCCCGAGTTCCCCAATTAAATGGGATTTTTAAGTATCGGATCCGAATAACTAACCTCACTTAGGTTTAGGTACGGTATAGTTGAAGGTAACAAGCATCAGTCTAGACACTAGTTAACTAGTAACCACGGGAGTATATCCACATTCCCATCCTCACCGACATGCCCTTTTAAGCTTTTACGCGTGGCATTGGAGAGTACCTGATCCAAGCTCTCGAGTTTTATGTGGCACGGAACCCCAAAGTCAACCTCGATCATTCACTGATTGGACCGGCGAGGCCGGATCATCTAGCAAATCCCGCTCAGTGGGGGCAATTCGCACCAGTCAGGGAAGCCCAGAATCAATCCGCTCGGATTCGTAATTTTATAGGCCCGTGGATGGCGTACTCCAGACCCGTCGAACCCTGTCGATCGTGCCAAAACCCGACCCCCACGTTGGATCCCGATGCCGTGATTTGCCCTGTTGTCCGACAAAAAAAATAGAGTTATTCCCAGGTGGGATTTTAGCCTGAGTTGATGCGTTCGCCCGGGAAGCAGATGCCGAGTGATACACCTGCCTTTTTAAGTCAACTCCTCCGAGATAAAGAAACATTGGAGTATTCATTAATCTCTTGAGCATGCATTCACAAGCTTATTCCGAGGTTGTTACTAATCTAGCTATTTATCCACTCCTGCACCCATTTCTCGATCCACTCCGGTTTGATGGCATCCACTGCTCGTAATTTCTCGCTAACCAATCCAGTTCCCCGCACATCCAATTCATTCCTAGCCTCTGCCTGACCCATGACCTCCTCAAAGAATCCCAACAGCTTAGCAGCAGGGTTCTGCTTAAGTCCAATCCATAACCCCTCGGCCCCCTTATGGCCAGCAAGTGCGATATCTCGATGAATACGAAGAATCCATTCCTGCGCCGGGATGGTCTCCACCGTCCTCTCCAGACCCCTAAGTGTGGTGGCGATAGCGGGGCGAATGTCCTTCCAAGATAGTGGGTGTAAGTTCACCGGGTGATAGACGCTAACCCCGATGTTCTGGATGAGAGCCAGATCAACAAGGATCTCGGCGAGAAGGTCGATCGGGACCCAGTCCACGCGGCCGAGAGTGCCTAGCGTCTCTGGGAGAGCATTTAGGAATATTGAACTCAGCACTAGACTGGGGAGCCACTCTGATTTATTCCACAGTCCACGAGAACGGATCGGTCCGGCAATCTGGCCTACGCGGGCGAACGCGGAATTGAATCCTTGTTGGCCTGCGTAATGGAGTAAGTGCTCGCCGATATACTTACTAGTGGCGTAGCCGTTTGGCGCTGGGACCTTGGTTGTGATGATCGTCTCGGGGGTCAGGCCGGTTTCAGTGTGGTGGCCCATCGTTGAGCTAATCGAGGAGATGAAAAATAGATGTGGGGCGTAGGTGGCTTGACCGGTGAAGTTGATGAGGTTTATCATGCCGGTTAGATGCGGCTTGAAATAAGCTAGCGATAGGTTGAAGTTGACGGTCCAGGCATTATGAATGATCAGTGTCGCTGCTTGTTGTAATTGTTTAAACTGCGTGGGCCGCAGTCCCAAGTCTGCCTCGGTAAGATCTGCTTTCCAAAAGGTAACCCGTGCCTCATCTACCGGGTCGAGTCCGTAGGTCGTCCTGCGCTCTTTTTGCCGATCGCGAGCCCAGTCATCTCTGCTAAGACAGTACACATGCCCTACCGCGGGGTTCTTCAGCAGTGTGTCGAGCAGATATGTACCCAGCTGTCCGGTAGACCCAGTCAGAATAACAGTCTGGACTTCGGACGCTTCAGGGCGCTGAGCCTGAGGTGGCTTAATCTGTCCAACCAGCTCCTGTAACAGCTTATCCCGTTCGTGAATCAGCGCTTGGTTCTTAGCCTCGGTAGACTTCAGGCTATCCTGGTGAAGATTCTGAAGCGCATGAGTCAACTTCGCTATGGTTGGATGTAAATAAATCACATTCGGCGTGAGCGTAGGAAGATTAAGACCCTGCCTCAACACACGGGTAGCCGTGATAACTTGCAAAGAGTCGAATCCAAGCTGAAACCAATTCTCCTCATCAGACACATTATCTTTCCAGCCCGTGATTCCCAGGATCGATTCCCTGATATACTCTGCCACCTTCGTAGCATCATCTACCCCGCCTGGACCGGCTGGTTGGCTCATATCAACTTGAGTCAGCCTATCCACATTGGCGTAGAGAATGTCAAGCTCATCCGCATACAGTGCCAGTGAGCCAGAGCGTTGTACAGTTCCCTTGGCCGTGCGGACCATCGGCTTATTAGATGACGTAAAGAGAATATGGCTTTTGGTGATCCGCGCATGAGCTGGACTTGAGCCATTAGCCTCCTCTATGCTTGGCCAGATCTTCTCTATCATCGCAGCGTGGTCACTCATGTTAAGCGGTTTATCGCCCAGCTCCACGAGAAGCGCAGCTTGGAAGCGTTGGGCGCCTGCAACCAGACACCCGGTGATCTCCGGGTTAGCGGCGACGATATGTTGTTCCATAGAAATAGGGTTGGTTTTCTCTCCATTAAGAAAAACAATCACATCATCCAGGCGGGATGATGGGCACCAAAGACCAGGTTTCGTGGGGTGAGGAGTCATCAGGTCCCGTGTATGATATTCCTGAAGATCGGGGAAAAGAGTGAATGACATCTGGTGACCTTCCCGCTCTGGGCTGCGCATTATCACCGCCTCGTATTCCTCCCCAGAGACATGGTGATGTTCCATTCCCAATTCTGGATGGAATTGAAGATACCGCCAGTCTGTCAGGGGGTCGCGGGCTGCCGAGTGGATCAAATTGATCATTCCAATCTCAGAAGCGCCGTATCCATTCAACACTGGTAGCTTGGCCGCAACTTTATTTCCAATTGCCTGCGGCAAATCTCCCCCGCAATAATTGACATACTCCAAGTGCGTACTACAGTAGTCCAGAGCCATAGGATCCTGTGCCAACTCCTGGAGAATCGACGGCGGGACAACAGCCCACTTGAACGGTGTCTGCTTTCTCGCAGTGACAAGCCCGACAGCAGAAGGAAGACCAGTGGCAATAGGCATGATAAGGGTTACATCGACTGGCATCGCAATAAAGAGAATATAACCAATTCCCGCGGCCTATAAATGTTAGTGCCTATCACGATTATCTCCACCAAGTTAAGCTTACGTGGAATGGGGGCAATGTCAAGTACATTCTCTTCCCAAAGCCTTTTTGATCTTGGCTCTGACATCCTGGAGGTGCCTCCAGTCTTTGCATACGCATATGGCGCACGGCAGTCCCATGAGTCCAGAAAACGGGCTTGGGGATCCCTGTAGACCCAGAAGTGTGAAGCACCACCACTAGGTCAGAGGCAGCGTCCGGATAAGTTTTCGAATATTCAAAAGGTGGGTAATCGGTTGTCAAGAGCTTTTCCAAACCGGGGACGTCCACGACATTCAGTTGGTTGGCTCCCATAATACCCGCAAACGAAGGTGGTCGCGGCACGGGCGCTAGGAGTGTGACACAGCTAAGCTTTTCAAATAGGGATTTGTGTGCGGCCGGACTATTACGGGGCGATGTCAAAAATATCTATCGTAGTTAGTATGATTGATTTGTTGATGTTATTTCTTTTTGAAAAAAAACATACCAAGTAGCCAGCTTTGACGGCGCCCAGAACCAAAGCTGGGTAACGCAGATCATTTGGACCTAAGTAGGCCAATATCTCCCCGTTGCCAGGTCCCAAGGTTTGCGTTAGCCAGTGCGCAATGCCATCGATGGTGTTTGCAAAGGCTTTGTAGGTGATGGCTTTGTACCCATCATCGTAGGTCATGGGGTTGACAGGATATTCGGCGTAGATGGCATCAGGCTTGGTTTCAGCATAATGGTCAACCAGATTTGGGATAAGCTGATTGCGGGGATCAAAGAAAGTATCTTGGGCAGCCATAATGAAATAGAAGACAATGATAAAACAATATAGCGACAGTGTGCCTCCATTTTAAACGTGGGTAGAATGATGGGATGTTCTGGCGGGACAAGAACAAAGAAAAGTCCGAAAGTAGAATACACTGCGGCTCATATACAGGGGTTAACCCAGGCTGACCAATGGTTTGGCAGAAATAGTTTCTATCAGGCTACATTGGTCTATATACATTAGCTCAAAATGCACGAGAATAAAGAAAAGTGATTGCGTACCTTGAATTGTCCGCAGTTTTCCAATTATAGTTTCACAGTCTCGGCCGTAGACGACGTATCATCTCTGGACTGTGTCCATGGATATTGTCAATTTCCGAGCTCCCATGGCGTATCACCCGATTCATTTAAAGCTTGTGAACATCTGCGCAGACAGTGTTGGTCAAGGTTTGGCCATTCGGTTCAGGGTTCCAGGATGCGCTAGATAGTGGCATTAATTTAATACCTGTCAAATCATCCGTGTCTGTGGTATAGGCTGTACTTAGGGGTCCAGTTTACCCAAAACGTATCATCTTGGCCCGCGATCATACCCATTGAGCCTCGACTTCATATTGGCGGGAAGGCCGAAACGGGCGTGAAGGGCGAGAGGGGCGAGAAGGACGCAAGACCAAACATGTCTGACTCAAGTACACTTCTAGTTGAAAATGATAGTGAGTTGGAATTTAAGAGACATGGCAATAAGGTATTTGATTAGGACGTCCTGACACAAGCTGGAGCTGAGATGGGAACGAGCTTAGGTGTGATATTGTGGCACGGCAAAATGGGGAAGAGTCAGCGAGTCAGCTGACTTAGCCCAGTTGACTTAGCTCAGTTTGCATTTGTGAGCTCAGAAAGTAATAATTATCCAAATCTGTGGAACTGAAACGATGAATTTTGATTTGTAGCAACAATTAGCAAGTTCAGATAAGAAATGCGAGCTTCGAGCTCTACATTGGTGGGCCAGTGGGTTTGTGGGTCGTGGGTCGACCCGTGAGCGGGGAATACATCAATTTCAAGTTTAGGCCACTTTGGCTTCCTATTCCCTCTTATATCTCGTCCTTCCCTGATCATGGTTATGGTTCCATCATGAAATAATGTCTCTCAATCGAGTTTCCTTCCTAGAAGGATGGGAGCGTAACTCTACTTTCCGCCGGGACGAATCAGACTATGAATCCGATGGCTATCAAGATCTACCAGAAAGTCCATCCTTGTCTTCCTCGTTCCCGTCAACGTATAGCAGACTCAATTTCAATCCTTACGCGGGACCCGGTTGGAATGAGACTGTCGACGATCGCGATGATCGTCCATCACTGCTCGGATCCCTGGGTCTGAGTCCCACGACGCGGGAGACTCCGCGCGTGGACCCGCTTCGGCCGGCAAGTCCTGCGGTGGCAGTGACACAGCCGGTCGGATGGTCCGAGACAACCGGCGCGTTTGAAGTCAGTGTCGCGAAACGGATCGGTATGTTCATGCTCTGATTTTGCTTCGTTTAAGTTGCTGATCGTCATTCAGTCCAGGTATGCATAGCTGTGGTGTACTGCTTTCTCGCTGCGGGTATTGCATTCGGCTTCGCGGCCTTAAAGCCGGTTCTCATTCGTGAGAAAGTGTATCGCGATTTCTGCTCAAGACAGGAGCTGGAGGATAATGTGGACGTGTGCGATGGACAGGAGATTCGGTAGGAACACCAACTCTTTCGTGGAAATTCATACTAATAGGTCCAGGATGAACTTGATGTTCACCATTGCCGCCGTCGCGACCAACGTCTCCGCCCTACCTGTCGGAACCATCTTGGATGCATACGGTCCCCGCGTGAGTGGTATTATAGGCAGTTTCTTCCTAGCGACCGGAGCTATTATTTTTGCGTGCGCGGAACAACTGCCATTCGATGGATATATCCCAGGCTACCTGCTTCTCTCCCTGGGAGGACCATTCGTGTTCATTGCATCATTCCAGCTCTCGAATGCCTTTCCCAAACGCTCCGGTCTCATCTTGTCCATGTTAACCGGGGCCTTTGATGCATCCAGTGCACTATTCTTATTCTTCCGGCTACTGAGTGAGCACACCGCGGGCTATGTCTCAGTCAAAAAATTCTTCTTGGCCTACCTCATCGTCCCGGTATTCATCATCGCGGTTCAACTCACTGTTATGCCTGCCACCTCTTACAAAACCACCGGCGAGCTAGTCCTCCACGCCGAGGTCCAAGTTATGGAAGAGATCAACGACCGGGTAGATGATACAATCCACGATCGCAATGAAAGCGAGCGCCAACGCAAGGACAGACGCAACCGCCGACAAAGTATTGTGCACAACATCCAAGATTTACTGGATGATACCGCTTCAATCACGTCCGGTATTGTCGATACCGTTTTCCACGGCCCTCCCCAGGAACTACCTGCCAACGGCAATGGTATCGATCTCGCGCCAAAAGCTATAAACACACCCCCAGTAAACACGAGCGGCGTCTGGGGCGTCCTCCACGGCCAGACAGCCTTAACTCAACTCCGCACACCATGGTTCGTCCTAATAACGGCATTCACAATCCTAATGATGCTGCGCATAAACTACTTCGTCGCATCCCTCCGCACGCAATACAGCTACCTCCTCAACCCACCCCTCTCCCGAAAAATAAACACATTTTTCGACATCCTCCTCCCAGTTGGCGGCCTGCTCTCTATCCCATTCATCGGTACATTCCTCGATAATCTTCGCACCCGAACCGTCCTCTCCATTCTCGTGAGCACGGCGACGGTAATTGGGATCCTAGGCTGTATCCGCCATTCCATACCTGCCGCCGCAGGAAATATTATTCTTTTCGTGCTCTATCGACCATTCTATTATACCGCTGTATCGGATTACGCGGCTAAGGTCTTTGGCTTTCAGACGTTTGGGAAGGTTTATGGGCTTATTATTTGTCTTGCCGGAATGGGGAATTTTGCGCAGGCGGGTTTGGATGAGTTGACGCTTAGGCATTTTAAAGGTGATCCGGTGCCAGTTAATGTTGCCTTAACTGTTAGTGTAGCTGTTGTTGGGGCTGGGTTGGTGGGTTTTGTTAGTTGGCAGACGACTGTACTGGCGAGAAAGGGACCGATGGAAGTGGATTCAACTGTTAGGGAGAGACAGCCTCTTTTGGATGGGGAAGTGCGAACTTATGTGTGATGAGTATATAGGATGCATACGCTTGTGAATTATTTATGGGTTGGTATACATACTAAGTGATTCTTTATGAGATAGGCAGTGTTGAAGATACTTTGTTTCATCCTCACCTGGTCAATCACAAGGTCAAAAAGCCAGCAGTAAACTTCTCAGTGTTGAACAGATACCGGTTGTCTTGAAAAATTTGAGACGACCGTCACTTCATTCTGCAGAGGGGGTATAGTAGATACTGTAAATATATGTAAAATAGAAAATACATCGAAAGAGAATGGGCAGAGATATACTGGTTACCGAGTACGGAAAACGGGGCTCCCATCAATCTCGACAGAATTTTGGTACAATTGAGGCTCCACTTCATACCAGAGATCCCGACCAGCCCTCTCACTGGCATCCTCATGCCAAAGCATTTCATTCAGCGCAGTTTTAATCCCGGACCAAGATCGTATATCACTCTGACGCGCGACATAAGCCAGGCTAGAGACGAAGAATGAGCGATCGGGCGATTCAAAGGCTGCAATGCCGCCTAGTGTTAAGGCCCAGATCAGAGGGAAACGGATGGCCTGGCATGTCCAGAGACTAACGGCCGTTGGATGGGTGATGGCGATGCGGAGTTGCTTCGCTAGGTCCTTGAGTGGACTATTCTGTGCAGGGATGGGGAAAATCACTCCCGCGCCAAAGATCAGGGCAGCTAGACGACAAGCTTCGTAGTTGCCGCTTTGGTTTTCATGAGTGAAGTAGGATGTGATGGCGTCGGAGGGGAGAAGGGTAAGAAGGGTAAACTGGGTGAAATTTCGTTGGTCGGCAAGCAGTGATTGATCGAGATAGTCACCGCTAGAATCTTTCTGGCCCCTCTCGATGTTCTTAATGATATCTGTATATGCCCGGGCGGATTGAAAGGCCTCGGCCATTTCGGAAGTGAATCCAATGACTTGTAATCGCCCGAAGCCACGCTGGATATCAGATGGTCCAAAGCCAAGCAATTCCTGCAGCGACTTCCCAACACGACTTGCGTCGAGGGGCCAGAATCCAAAAATAGGCTTAACGCGCCAGATGGACGCGGCGAAAACTTCGGAACTGGTCGAGTCAGCGGAAACCCAATTATCCAAGGAGGGTTACTTACAAACAAAGTGTTGCGGCCAACCCTGGGAGTTTGATGTTTCTCAGGCCTCCTCGCATCTTGATGAGATCTACCAATCCATTGATGTGAGTAGGATTCGGTGACAGACAGCCATAGACGTCCAGCCACTGCAACCACTGAAAAGGCGGATCAAAGGGCGTTTTTCGGATTATGGCTTCAGTCGGGACTGCATGATGCGCCATGCAAACCACGCTCAACAAAACTGCATCAGTGAACGCACGTGATTCATCACAAACAGCCTGGGTGATCAATGTGATAGATTGAGCCTCATACATTTCCAGGAGACGTTGTTGGTTTACGCTCCAAAAACTGGGGAGCCGCTCGTTTGCCAACATCACTCGTTGATGACATAGAGAGCCATACATAAATGCGGTGAAGAGGGTGGGGTCCGACCGAGAGAGCTCGAACCATGACATTTGAGGAGAGAGCAACGCTAGAGTGCCGCCTTGGGATGAAAGGCCTCCCTTCCGTGTCGTGACCCCTGGCCACATGTACTCAAGGCCTGCAAAGTCAGTACGAATTTGATTTTTTTTTTCATAGCGATGACGAACAGTATTTCGTGAGTTTATTCAACACGTCTGGTGACGCGCCTACTTGATCGGGGTATGTCGCAAAGGGGTCTAGATGCCCAGAGACGGGTCGATTTGGCCAAAGATGCTCATTAACCGGGGCCGACGTCGACGGAGGTAGAATAGCTACTGCATCATCGCTCTCTTCATAACACTCTCGCTTAGGAACTATAGTCGTAGGTTCAGGCTTCCATGTGGACCCTTCATTTTCAGCAGAGGGCAACGCATGGTCGCTCGCGGGGGCAGTCCGATAGAGCGGTGGGTGCGGAGACGGACGCGACACGAGAGTAACGGAGTGAGGGTTGAGGTCGGAAAGCCTCTGAGCTCGGATGGTCCGAAGATTGGCATTCGAGCGTCGTCTAGTTTGCTCGGAGATCCAACGGCCAACATGGTTGCGTACAAAGCGCTGAAGTGTGGTGCGCTCGAGCTCGGTGGTGGGTCTCGCGTTGACAAAGTGGATGCCACCCTTTCTCCGCGCGGGAGGAGTATGCTTCTTGGTAGTCATATCTCGTTCACTCTCGACATCCCCGAATTTCTGTTCACCGATGCATCGATTGTGAGATACGCGGGGCCTAAATTAACCGAAAAATCTCTCCTTTGGTCAGTAGGGGGTTTTCGTGTGATGGACTCGGGGTAAGAGCGCGGGTGGGTTCACAAAAGATTTAAATATTCCATGGATCGCCCACTTTACGGCAACTTGACTGGAGGGAGAGCCAAGTTTAAATAGATCAGTGAGAAATGGCTAAAAGGCACGGAAATGGGAAATGAGAAAATCGAGAAAATCCGATCGATGGAAATGGGGGGTAATAGTTAGGTGATCGCGATCTTGGTAAATATTATGTATTTTAAGTAATTTGATTTCCATAACTCTGTTTCTACTAACTTGATTGGTGTATTTCATGTATATGAACGTATGTTGGGTAAATAATACTTGAATCCTTCCTGGGCTCGAAACTTCTTCCCGTCATCCTTATCTCATGATGCCGCGTTTTCTTGCATGAAAATAGCGTTGCATTGTATGCAGGCGATCATTCTTTACCGTTTCTTCCGACCCTTGTGCAGGAAAACGTGTCCGTGGGTAGAAGGTTATATGATTCGTACCTTTCCAACCGCTCGGTACAGATATACAAAGAAGCGCCAAACACTGGGAGGGGCCGCTATGATCTGCAGCACAATTTATATCCCAACCGACCCTTTCTTGGCTTTTTCTACTTGATATATCAAAAATACTTATGGTGTACAGTACAGCGGATCCTGTAAGAAACTTCGAGGGATCGGTACTGCAGACTCAGCACACGACATATGCACTCGATCGGCGATGAGCCTATATAGAGCCACTTATATCGCTTAAGTGGCCCCTGAAAGATTTTATTGCCGATTCCCTGGACTTTTCAACCATGCGGAGTACACAGGATATTAGACCAATTGAGTCTAGCTGCATGGCGTAGGCAACCGCTGACTGCAGAAGATTAACAGGGGTTGGGAGAATTCCGAAGATACAAAACAAGGAAAGAAACAGAACACCCCGCTGCCATTCATGCAGGGTTCTAACAACAAGCCTAGACGCTGTTGGGTCTTTGTTGGTCCGATACAGGGGGTTACTGCAACTGCACAAGTGACAAGTGACACGTAATTCCCCGCCTAGGCACTTTTGGGCTGCGCAGGGTCGCACAGCATTTTGTCGCGTGATTAAGGCCTTGCAATAATGTTGATTTTGTGGTAATTCATTTACTATTACGCATTGCTTACATGTCAAAACCAAGACCAGATTGGTTCGGAGCATAAAAGATAACATTAAACGAAACCGCATTAAAAATCTAGCTTAGTCAATTTCGAGTAGGCTGTATTTGGCACTCTCTCCAGTGTGTGGGTCGATGTACTGCTCCAGTGCATTCTCCACAACAGCCATGTACCCGAGAACCTGCTCCTCTTGCCATCGGCGACCGACGACCTGCACAGCCGTAGGCAGACCAGCCATCTTGGCTGAATCATAGTGCTTCCAGGCCCCGCGTGCCACAGCATGGTTGCTACCCAGGCCCTGTAGAACCTTCTGGTACGGAGCCACCAGGGCGTCACGAACAGCATCAACATGGCCCACGGGTAAGACACCCGCCGTGTAATCCAGTAGATTCCAGAGGAACGTATAACCGCATGAAGACATGGCATCATACATGGCCTTGTGCGGCAAGGCCGGCGTGGCATTCACAGGGCACAAGATGAAATCAAATTGCTGAGGTTCGGCGTTCCACCACTTATGCCAGGTAGCCCGGAAGGCCTCGCGTTGCGCGACCAACGGCCATACCTGTGCAGAGGACTTGGGACCAAAGTTTCTGATCAACGTAGCGAGAATTCGGTCCCGTTTGATGTATCGCACGTAGAGGTAGTAAAGGTAGCGCAAGGGACGTGGCAGGTGCGCGACACGGGTCAGCTGGTAAGCGCCGGGATCAGACGGCTCAAAGCTGCGGAAGGGAACGTTAAAATGATGACAGCCGTCAGAGTTCAGGAGCTGCGAAGCCAGGTCAAGGCCAGTAAATGGATCAGCTCCATCGGGGGTCGTGATCTCAGTCACTGTGTGACCGGCTTGAGTCAAGGCGGCGACAGTGGTAGAAACAGCACGTTCAATAGCGGGAGTGGGTGGAACTACACCATCGTTGCTCATCAACCCAATCCGAAGAGGTTTACTCTTCGCATCGGTCTCAAGCTCATCCCGCCATGCAATAGGGTGGACAGTATTGTCATATTTCCACGGTTGCATGCCAATCATGGCACGAGTGAAATAGGTCAAATCATTCAAGGTACGAGCCATTGGACTAAAGACACTCGGGATGCCCTCTTGGCCGGCCATACTTGTGCTCACACCAGCCTTAGGCCAACGGCCTGTGCTGCAGCGGAGCGAATAGATTCCACTCCACGCAGCTGGTACACGCACTGATCCAGCGACATCTGAGCCAATACCGATGCGACCACCCTGTGCTAAAAGGGCACCTTCACCACCGGTTGAACCACCAGGCGAATACTCCAATCCATGGGGGTTGAGGCAGGGACCCCAAAGTCCGTTATCAGATTCGAAAGAGAGAAGGGTGATAGGCAAGGCGGTCTTGGCGTAGGGAACGGCTCCAGCGTCTTTAAGCAATTTGGTCATCGGTCCATCTTCGGTGAATGGCTTCCCCGCTAGCGCTGAATAGCCGAGCGTGGTATCAAAGCCCTTGATCTGGACAGAATCCTTAAGGGAGATAGGAATTCCCGCCAAGGGTCCCTTGAGATTCACTTCTGATTCGAGCCATGACTCGGCTTCTGGGAGTAAGAGTTCGGTGATACAGTTGGTGCGCTTCTGGGCCCTAACAGCGACCTTTCCGTAGGTGCGGAGAACGGTAAGGGCCGGTGTAGTAGAGCTTTGAATATCTTGGACTAGTTCTTCAATAGGTTGGTCGATGATTTTCTTATCAGATGCTGTGATCTGGAGGTGATACGGATGAGGCAGGGAAGCGAAACGGAGGTCTCGTTGCGCCTGCTTTTGGTTCCTGGGCAATCAAAAATTAGGCATGGGCTGTACGGATATGTAAGTTTGAGAGAAACTGCTTACCGTATGCGACGGTACTCAAAATAATCGAATGGAGGCAGCATATTGGCGTAGCGGTGTACAAAGAAGATTGGCAAGACAGCGGCCTTTTATCCGAAGCTCCTGCGGGGAAGGATCCAGTGTGGAGATCGTCTTATCGGATAAGCCCAGATAAGGGCCAGCCTCGGTTGGAATCGGCGGTGTTAAGTCCGCCCAGGGATAGAGATAAATTAGAATTTAACAGAATCCTTACTGCCTACATTGAAATGCCTTGATTCATACCGTGTTGACCTATTGCGCAAATGGCATGTGGATGTTCGCATTAGACCTATCACTAACTAGACTGGTTCTGGTAGGTCCATGCGTCGAGCGATAACCAGATAGGAGATTCAAGGAAGACGAGTCATCAATCCAATATCTATATTCTACTATATAATAAACTATCTACTAAATCATGCTCAACGTCAAGCTGCCCTGGAGGTGCGGGGGGTATATCTCCAGTGTCCCAGCCGCAAATCAATCAACGCCAAGAGACTAATCTAGCCCCAAATGCAATCAAACCAATGCATCACTCTCATACCGAATATTATCGGGGTCGGTTCATGGCTCTATGCTTTGAAGCCAGTGGTGCTTGCTGAGCCACCACACTATCACACCGCCGGTGACAACAAGGATGATGCAGAAGAAAAGAATGAAGCCCCAAATCAGTGACTTTTTGCTTTTCCGCCGTTCGCGTTCAAGCCATGAATCTTGCGGTCTGGCAGTGTGGTTAGCTGCGGTTACTAGACTGAATATGAGGAGGACTTACTTTTCAGTGACCGGAGTTTCAATCTCAGGTATGCCCTTTGCTTCTGCGTCTAGGTGGACCGCTGTTGAGAAGCGCTTCCAGAAGTATGGATCGCGGACGAGTGCCATTGTTTGTTGATGTGGAGGTAGAAGTTCGGTCAAGCTGGGTGGCACAGCACGCCCCTTGGTTTGATTAATGACAACAAGTGATGAGCGCAGCGTCAAAGCTGAACAGGGTGTGAAATTGGTTGAAAGATGTATGATAGAGATGTCAGTGGGAGCCGGCAGGGGGAATCAGAAAAGAGCAAAACTGGCGGCAACACTGCACTTAAGATCTAAACAATAGGTAGGGTCAGATGCCACGCTATGGATCTAGCCAGTTAAATGAAGGCTGGGGAAAGGCAGCCTATCCGAGAAATGCTACAGATCTCCAGAGACTATGCTAGAGCCCAAGAATCGATGGGTTTGCTACCATGGAGACGAGATAGCCGTTATGGTATGGCGATCGGGAATGAAGGGATAGAGGTTTTGTGGATAGAGTTAAGCCAATCCTAAGCGTTCAATGACCGGAATGTCAGCCACTCAACTATTATTGTCTTGTATGAAGACATAATTTGCAGGAGTATTGATGAATTAAATGTATTAACTGGATCACAGATCTAGATCGTTGCGGGGGTACGAAGTAAGAAGATGCGGAGGAAGAAAGCCAAGTGCAAAGAACCGAAGTCATATGTAAAAGGAACGACAATCCGAGAGAAATGGAAAGGGAAGGGGGAAATAAATGCCGCATTACGTTCAAGGAACAGAGATCGCCACGAGAAGGTCAGTCATGTATAGCATTTATGCCTGAGGCTAAACATGATTGGATTAGTAAGCTCAGCGTATGTGATCTTGGCAGTCCTAGATGCATGGGTTGTACGGAGTAGTATGGTTGTCTAAGGTCCTATCTGGGCTAGTACCTTGATTAGTTGACCAACTAGTTAGATACCTAGCTGTGAGAGCGTATCTCTTCTCTCGCAATTCATCCCCCTCAACCTCTCTGAGTCTGGCTTGTAGGAGAGTGAAAATCACACAGAGCCTATGGACGTATACGTGGGGACATTCCAGAAAGGAAAACCAATTTTCAAGATTAGCGACAGGAAGTAGTTTCCGGAGAGCAATATGACGCATCTGGAACCAGAGGCGGCGAGGACTATCTGGCAGCATGTTCACTGTTTTACCCTGCTTTGAGCGCCCAAATGGTAAGGAGTCTGGATCTTGACTGTGCTTTGTTATCCCCTCTCTCTACTTGATCAGGTATGTCTCCAGGCACTACCAGAAAATACGTTCATCCGAGACCGGAGCTGACAGGCGCAAAATAAGAAAAAGACAAAAAAGAAATGAAATGTGCTCCCACGCCGGGAATTGAACCCGGGCCGGCCCGGTGAAAGCGGGCAATCCTAACCACTAGACCACATGGGACTTGTTATGTAATGGAGCGGGATGTTTTGATAGACATCCTACTGTCATTCAAATTCTAACTGCTGATGAGGGTGAGACAATCTACCTGATTAAGCCAGCCATCCTAAGGTACCATATATTAAGCTCTAATACCTAGGTAGAAATATATGCCTTACCAGATTATTGGTTTCAGTCTAACTTGGCACCACTGAAGTCTAATCCTCTTCACATGCAATATTCGGCGAAATATCCTCTTCCCGACCGACATCTGGTTATTTTTCACTCTTACGATCAACCATCATATAAATCTTATTCGGAGCGCAATCTTAGGAATTAATGTTTGGATCCCAATTTGATGGATGTCTAAATTATTGATCTTCCTGATTTTGGTGCACGGTTAAGAAAAATTTCAAAATGTCGAGTATGCAGCAGCACGTCAGTTCGTTAAGATATATATCCGAGAGATGCAAAGATACTTTTACTTGTACCAGCTACATATCTGTAATGTCAATTTGTGAATTCAACATTTGCTCATTTCAACTTTCTTGAAGCAAGGCCCGGCCTTGAAACACCAGATCCATAGAATTATAAAATTCAAATGCGACATCTGGAACACTGAGCTGGTTTACTACTTCACCTGGGCACGGCTATGAGCCTGAAAGGTTCGCCACTCGGCAACATGAAACTTTACCGATCCCCGAACATCCCGAATGCTCAACAGCCTTTGAATCCATGAGCGTAATATTTTCTTTATTCCAAATCTCTATCTTGGCATCTGAGAATTCGGCAAAATGGGAACCTCCAGCAAAGGGAGTGAATCGGTGATCAAGCGACAGAAGAAAAAGTCCATCGCGTAAGTTGCATCAGCTCCACCAATTGATGCGAGATTGACATGCTAATATTTACAGATGCCGGCGATGTCATACCCATAAGATTAAATGCTCTGGTGGACAGCCTTGTGTTAAATGTCGGCAAGCAGGCTGTCCTGCCGCATGCATTTACGTAAACCGCGATCGGCAGATCAGAGTACATGAAAGGTATCGACATAGGCGACTCGGTCTGAATATCCGCTAATACATCCTAGCTATCTCGAACAACTTGCAGCAGAGAATGAGCGCCTACGAGAACAAGTCTCACAGTCACCAGGATTTGGGACACCCGATGTGCAAGGCACCCAAGGTAATATTGTTTCTTCGCCATGCTTGAACAATTGCTCATTATTTGTTAGACGTTGCACCCGACCCCGACATTCACGTTCATAACCCCATGCTGGGGAAATTGGCTTGGTTTCAACCATACGACCCATCAGCCCCACCAATTCACGTCGCCGAAGCAGCATGTACAGCGTTCGCTACCCGACTCCGTCAAGTTCTCACCAAGGATAGCAACACATCGCATATGACCCGAACCCAATACACGTCTGAAACAAGTTTAATGAAATTACGAAACCCGGCACTTCAATGGCCTAGTCTGGCTCAAGCTCGTCTCCTCATCCAAGTTGTCTTTAACCAAGTGAGCAGGGTCTATCACTTGGTGCTGCGTAAATCCACGATGGATGAACTGGAAGACGCCTACCGGAAGAGCAATTTCGACGATCCAATCCTGACTTGCAAATTCTTTGCTTTGTTTGCCCTGGGAGAGGTCTACTCAGTGCGATCGAACTCGAATCTTGAGTGTGGTGTGCCTGGAGCTTCGTTCTATGTGAATGCAATGATGTTGATTCCCATTCTACCAGAGCGACCAAGCCTTGCTCACATCGAGTCTCTTCTGCTGTTGGTAAGTGTGCAAATTCGATAAATGCTAGCAAAAACTGACCTTGCAGTCATTATACTCCTACTTCCTGAATAGGCGACACTCGGCATTTTTCTTGATTGGTAGTGCTATGCGCGTGGCTTTAACTCTTGGACTCCACCACAATATCCCCGAATACCAGTGCCCTGACCCAGTAGATCGACAACATCGCATTCGACTGTGGTGGGCAATCTACGTCTATGATCGCATTTACAGTTCCAAAGCGGGCTGGCCAAATCAACTTTCCGACAGTGACATCGATGTGGAGATGCCATCGACCGTCCCAGGTGGTGTCCATGATGAACAATTCTCAGACACGGAATTTCTAGTTGCTAGCATCGAACTTGCGGGAATCACAGGCCAGGTGACGGATAAAGTATACAGTCGCAAGAAGCAGCCCGATTCGTTTCTGCAACGAGAACAGAAGCTGTTAATAGCCCTCAAACAATGGTCCCAGGCTTTACCGCCGCATATTCGACTGAGCCGGGATGGGCCACTTCCTAAGAACGTGATTTCTTTACATCTTCAGTTTAATCAGGTGAGTTTGAGTTAAAACGTGATCCTCGCCATGTGGGTTGAAATTGACATGATTAAGTGTATTATCTTGGCCACGCGACCGATCCTACTTTATACTCTCATCCAATCGAGAGACGGTCATGACAAAAGTCCCGCCCCATCCAACGCCCAAACTCTCAGAACTCTGGGTGACGCATGCATCCATGCTGCAAGGAACAATCACTCGCTCATCGTAGATGAGTGGGCTAATGGAACGCTGCCGATATTCGGATATTTTTATGCGCATTACATATTTTCATCTGCGCTTATCATGGTGGTATCCAGCCAAATCTACAGCGACCATCGTAACGATTTTTCCTTGTTTGAGACAGCCTACGAAATTCTGCACGCAATGAGCGACCATGGGAATTTAGCCGCCGCAGAATTTTATGATAATCTAGAATGTGTGCGAAAATGCCTTGAGAAGAATGGAAGTCGCTCTATACCCACCGACAATGACTTTATTCCCGACCTAGTCTCACGCTCGGACCTATCAGGCCACCACGCCCTGCCCGACATGGAGAATCTGACTGAGATGGACTTTTTAGGCGCCAGTATGGAAGAATTTCTGGCACAGCCTGATGTCGATTTTGGACCACTGGATGCATCGGGGTTGCCGGTCAATGTGGCTGATGCAATGTGGCCAACATTATCCTTATGGACAGCATAAAGAAAGGAGCAAAACTTTTTACTCACTTGACCTGGGGATGGTACCTGATCTCCTGTTAGGCGGAAACATATGATGACAGCAGCTGAGGGAATCATGTGATGTCATATTTATTATTTATTCAATTTGTGATAAACCATTGTAATTGACGTCAATGTCAAAGTCTTCATTTGTTTACTTCTCATACTTGACTTCTTGACTTCTCTTTACTTCCCCCGCAGTGGGTCCACATGTTTGTGCCTGACCGCCCTGACTCGACCTCTGACCCTGGTGATGAACGCGCGTTGGTCGCGATATCTTTCCCTGTCGATGAAATGTCTTCCTGGGGGACTTTGATTAATCCTGACAAAAGTCCTGCGCCATTGCTGGAACAGTTATGTCTAGGGATCGCGCAGTTGATGGTGAGCACAACGTCATTAGCCCCGGACAACAACTTACAAGACTCAGTCCTCCTTTGATTCAAGTGGCACAACTGATCTCACTCCCGATCGAATCGCAACATTTTACCGCAAAGTGGGCGGAAACTATGACCCTTTGTTTCTGGATACTAAGTCCACTGCGTTATCGTTTATTTATCAGTCGCTCGGCTGCTTCCACAGCCTCCAGCCTTCCAACAATCCATACGAACCACCCTCCGTTCCGTCATTACTGCCAGCTGGGTTTGTGAGATGGCAGACAATTCAGTTGTTGATGGAACCGGACGAGCACTGGCAGTACCTACAAAATGCTGTTAGTATGTGGGATATTGTTGACGCGAAGGGTAAGGTATTCCCAAAGGAAATCCCGAGGGAAGCTTTCCCCTCGGAGCCGGATCCAGAGATGCTGCAGTGGCATGAGGGAGTAAGTCGACGACTAGAGTACGACTACATGAAGCGCAGGACGCAGCGCGCTTCGCCGCCCGACTTTGCGGGATATCACTATCGTTTCAGCGGCAAGGACCCACTGCCGGATGAAGAGGAGTACTTCTCGCCTCCACCAAGACAGTCCACACAACGACATCATAGCTATTATGAGCCAGATCGATCCGGTCGGCGTCATCACCATCGTCGTCTCAGCGCCGAGTATCCTGCATTCACTGCCCGCAGGCCTGAGCCAGCTTTCGTACCACGGCCAGATGGCGGCCGGTCCGGTTTCACCTCCCCTCGAGGTCCGTCGCCCTCTCCACGGATGGAGCATCCTCACCATCGCACTAGAGATCATGAGCAATCAACGTACTATGGCCACTCATTCACGTCGGAAATGGATGAGCCGCCAGAACCAGAACACGTCTCTGATGATACAATACCCGAGGAAGAACCTGAACCGGAGCCTGAACCTCAACCCAGACATCGGCCCCGTCGTAATTTATCCCCGCCGCGCTCACGTACGCGCCGTCACTCACATGAAGCATATGCACGCAAACCAGCCCGCGACCTCTCACCCGCCGCACCGCGAAGAAGCAGTAGATACGACGAAACTCCCATACCCAGGACAAGAAAGTCCAATTCAGCCGGAACGCCCAAATCCTACCGTCACAGCGATCGTTCTCGGTCCCGTTCCTCTGGTGTCAAATTCAAAGAGTTCATATTCGACGTCCCTCCTCCAGCCCCAGCCCCCGCTCCGGACCCAGCAATGTACATGCCCCAACGACCAGTCCCCCGCCACCGATACAATCTAGACCCATATGCAGAAGATCCCAGACGAGGTAGCCATAGTGGCGGCAGTACAGGAGGTAGCCATCCCGGAAGCGGAGGAAGCAGTTCCGAACGACCACGTTCATACAGTCATGCTGGCTTTGCCTCTCGGACATCTCGATGGACGAGTCCCTCTCGAGGATCGGCTAAGAGGTATATTCCGACTAGTCTTGCTGGAGATGCGCAATATATCTCCTCGCGGAGAAATCCGCTATATAAATGATGATTTATGCTGATACGCTATGAACTTATGACATTTTGAGCTTCTCATTTGCATTTCACATCTCAGCTGCATTTTTCTTGCCCTTTCACGACCGATCACATTTACTCATGATTTACGACTCAATGGTGTTGGGGGATCTTTATCTTGATTGGCGTTCTTATTCGTTTTCTTAGGCATACACGGGACTTTGAATTTACTTATTTTATCTCAACTTCGAATGCTATGACTATTTTAAATGGAGTAAACTAGCTTAATGGTTAATCTATGAAGATTTCCACCTGTAGTCTTCCTTCCTCGGCTATCTTTGACTGATAATGATATGGATACTCATCTTAGTACATGCAACACTATTCTGAGATTTCATTTCTGTCAAAAAATGTAGCTTAACTTACAGCGCTAGGCGTAGGGACTTTGTCCCGTACAAACAAAATAACTAAAAACAAAAACATACAACAGTCAGGATTCGCATGTGGTCACCCACCATACTACTAACTAACCGGCGTGTGGCTTAAGTACGGCTGAGCGGACGGGAAGCCCTGTTCTCCACACCCTATGGTCGTATGTACTTGAAGTTCATTTGATTTGGATTATATAGTGCAAACACACAGAAGTACATACTGTCGCATCCCGCGACCAGGGACGAGAAGGGTGAAATATGCCATCTCTTATCACCCCCATCGATATGGAAATTTAATAATAACTGTCTTCCAAAGCCTCAAGGATCTCCGGTGGGAAATTCCGATACGAATCTATTCCCCCATTCAACAATTCATCCAAAGTCTTCTTCTGATACCCTTTCAACTCCCAAACATCAGACCCAATCGCATCCGAATAGCCTCCAGCACCCCATACACGACGACAATAATATGGTAGTGCCATTGGAAGGCCTCCGTTGATCCTCTCTTCAAAATTCCGATCTACCTCTTCCAGGCTATGCCGGAAGATCTGAGGAGGTGATCCATGTTTCACCTCGAGGGCTTTGGCTACCTCAGCACCAGTCGGTTGAAGTTCCGAGAGACCGATAACACGGCCCTGGATATCAGCGATGGCTGTTTTGGCGAAGATAGAAGAGTATGCAGCTGCAATGTATTCTCGGGTACTAAGAAATTAAAGATAAGTAATGAGTAAACAAAGTGGCAGAGAATATTCTGGACGTACCAGATATTCAATTTCTGATGCTCGGCATCACCAGAAAATACAATTCGATTTTTGGGCAGATCAATACCGATCAACCTGCAGAAAAAATTAGCCATCCGACACCTGTGATCCTAAGAATCGAGCAAAATACCCGGAACTCAAAGCAGACTCAGCGAACAGACCCGGCAAGACAATAGTCATCGGGATCCCAGCAGCCTCAGCCGCTTTTTTAACCTGATCCTTTAGCTTATTCACCCCCACCCTCAAGCCCTGCTCATCACACCGGAAAGCTAAGTCAGAGGGAACGAAGAGCTTGACATCCGTGTGTGGAAGAGCCTTGACAAAAGCATATTGTATCTCGACACCCGTTTGACCCACAAGAGATCTAGAACCACTTAGCACAGTTTCACACGTAGTAACTCTTCAACTAGGGATATATTACATCAAGATATCGATATTTTTCAATGAGGCTCTCAGAGCATCTTGGTCCTCAGTATCGACTTCGACCGCCTCGACACCACTGGGCACAGTGCTTATATCCGATCCTGGTCTGTACAAGACGCGAACAGGTGCACCGGATTTCGAGATAGATTCGAAGATCTTAGAGCTAGCCCAGCCACGGTGGGCGTAAACGGCTATTCTGTTGAAGTGCATAGTTATTGTTGATTGGAATTTGCAAGGGTCTGGAGTGAAGATTCAGGTACAGCAGAAAATATTGTTATATCTTATGAGATGGAATACGAAATCATGGGAAATGAATGCTCTTATAGTTTTTGTCTGATGATACTTCAAATATGCTGTCATGTTTGCAGTGTTTTCTTCGAATCCTTCTACAACGCCATCAGAATAATTAGGCCACTTGTTGGTTGTAGGGAGTTGTTGGCTTGTTTAGTGTGGCTTGCAAATTGTCTGTTTGGTGTGTTTGCTTCGTTTGGCTAGTTTTGTTGCCAGTTCAAGTTGCTTTGCCGTGTTTGCTTCGTTTGGTTTAGAGACTTCATACCTTCTCTCCCTTTTCTGCTGCCGGCACTCTAAAAAATAATCAAATGACTTTCAATTTTCCAATACATCAAGTCCCCACCACCTTCGCCGGCGCCTTCCAACATGAGATTTTTTAGTCTACCTACCCAACCCTAACCTCATCTAGAACATAGGGATTAACATGAGGGAGGTTATCACCACTACTCTCTATCAACCCCCCTATTACTTGGGTACATATATACTATAGACTTTTTTAGACATTTGTGCGAAACCTCTACTAGATTTTTATTTTCTCCCCTTCTCCTTCCACTTTGTCTTTCTTCTCTTCCCTTTTTTCCTCCTTCTTTCCTATTTCGCTCTTTATAAATTTAGGGAGACCTTTAACCATTAGATTAATATAATATAAAAGAAAGTAGAATACTAGATAGGATACCGGGTAGAAAACTAAGTAGAAGACTAAGTAGGAGACGGAGCAGGAGACTGAGTAGGAATTATTCAATAAAGTAGTCATAGGTCGCAATTAAAGTAGCAGCAAAATATTCATGCGATGACCGGGTGGAACTTTTGACATTTCGTCGGTTTCCCAATTTGGAGAAAGTGGAGTGACTGTAGCAGAAAAGGGAGTGACGGTAGAAAGTTTCTTGGTTTATTGACACTGTATTTGTTGAGATGCGTATCTCTCGAAAATCATGACTGGAAGTCTATTGCATATCATCGATATATATTGCAAGGTACTCCTATCTCGCAAAACAAAAGACATTAATATCTTGAAAATCTTCAAAAGTACATCAACTTAAGCATCCTCCCTCTGCTCAATAGCTCTCTTCTCTTCCGCACGCATCCACACATCCACCTCCGCAGCTTCACCCTGCGGTAAATTACGAGCAATAGAAACGATATCCCAAGTGGTGGGCGCATCCCGGAAGACATGATTCAGAGCTTCCAAGTTGCGATTCATCGTCTCAGGGTAGAACAGATAAACAGAGATGGGAATACCGGCCGAGATGACAGCGTACACAATATAGTACTGGTAACCAATAGTGTCCAGTGCAACGGGGGTGATCATCACCACGACAAAATTCCACAGCCAGTGATTCGCTGTCGAGATAGCGGCCATGGCGACACGTAGGCGCATGGGGGCAACCTCAGTACAATAAAGGAAGTTTCCGCCTAGGAAACCGACGGGGTAGAATGAGTTGAAGAGGAAGATGAAGACAGCAGACACCACCGAAGCGGTGTGATTTCCTTGGAAACTGTTGGTGATGGCCAGGACAGTCATGCAGACGGCCATACCTGCGCCACTGATCATGAAGATCTTGCGACGACCTAGTCTGTCGATGGCGAAGAAGGCAATGAAACTGCAGAGGAACTTCCATGTCATCGCACAGGATGAGAGGATGCGAGCAAGATCACTATCCATATGCAGGTTTTCTTCAAAGATGGTCGACACGTAGGTCGAGATCAGATTTCCACCGCACATCTGCTGGAAAGACTGAAGTGCAACACATAAACAGAATCGGTATAGTAGGCGCTCCTCATCCGGCTTGCTGGGGTCGAAGATGTCGCGTAGCCTGGCGCTATCGACTGTAACTTCGAGGGAGTTTTCGATACCGGCGATCTCAATGCGAACGGAATTGTCTTCGGCAGAGGTACCCTTGTAAGCAGCGAGGCTGTGAGTTGCTTCTTCGATGCGACCAACGCGAACGAGCCACCGAGGAGATTCAGGGAGGAGGAAGACGGCGACCAGGACGATGAGAGAGAAGAAGAATGAAACAACGAGCGGAATACGCCACTGCAGTGAGCCTTCGACTTTGCTAAGACCAAAGTCAATCCAGTTACACAATGCATAACCCAAGCAGATACAGATTCCATCAACAACAACATGTTGACCTCGATGCTTGGCTGATGTGCATTCAGACTGCCAAACCGGCACAGCGACACTCCACTGGCCAACACCCAGTCCAAGAATGACCCGCCCGACGACGAACTGGACGAGTCCATAGGAAGACGTCTGCAGTAATTGTCCAATAATAGTAAGGATCGCACCAAGGAAAATAGTCTTCCGACGACCGAGCCGATCACCCAGTGCCGTACATGACAAGGCTCCAATAAGAGCACCAAGCTGGAAAGAGGCAATCACAGCACCCTTTGCAGTGGAGTTTTTCGCACGCTGAGCACCTTCGGTATTGATGGTATCAATCTCAGGAAAGACGCCAACCCAGCTCTGCAATGTGGCCAAAGGCCCTAGACCAGATTGATTGTATCCAAAAACAATAAAAGCAGGCGCAACAATAAGCAGCGCCTGCGCTAGACGAAGTGTTTTCCCTTGAAACATGATTTCGTATGAGAAGAGGATACTCAGCCTAGGAACAAACCAAAAGAGACAGATTTCAGAAATTTCCCCTTGCATTTATGTGTCCCGGTGAGCCCCAGGTCCGCGAGACTCCACATTATGGGCATCGAGCTGGAGGTGTGGGTTCCGTAGCCATGTGTGCTCAACAGTCTTGAATTGGCTGCTTTCGCCGCTTAGACCCATCCAGATATGCTAATGAGTTCATTCAAAACCCTTCTTATTGGACATGATAATCTCAATACGGGCTGCGGGGGCTGGACCGGGGCACGAAGCAGGGGTGTTGCGGGATAGATTGGGGTATGATCATAGAAGGAATGCCGAAAGTCGGAGAATACAGTGCCATATGTGCTTGAGCGCTCCTTGTACTGATACGATGAACAAACGTCGTGGGGTGAGTTTCTCCGAGCAGAGGGTCAAAGTTTGTTGGTGCTCCATCGCCCCGGGTCGGAGATCGCTTTCCTTGATACTAGCTATTGACTATTTGCTCGGGCCGGGTGACATGCCCGGGCTAGAGCCCAGTGTGATCGGTATGGCTGGAAGACTAGCTCGACTTGATACCGGTCTCAGGAATCATGTTGAGAAGCGATCGGTGAGATGATCTTCTTAGGGCTTGGGATGTATTCATGCAAACGGACTTGCATTTGCGTTTGACGTGATCGCAATACCCCGGTATGGATAGCCTATTAGAGATGGAGCATCTCGTGGTAGAGAAGAATGTTCAAGGCTTGTTTGGGCTTGTCTATGCATCTCAACGCCAAGAGTTCCGCCAAGAGTCACGCCAAGCGGACTTTGAACCTAATCTAGTGAGTGTTCGGGGTTCGTTCGGGGCTCAGGTGGAGTGCCAAGGGGGGTGGGATGAGACTTGCCCCACGAATTCGGTCGTTTTCCGAGTATAATTAGAATTGATAGGCCAGATAAAAATATTAGAAGATCGGATTCTGGCTTGAGATGCGCCACTTTGTTCATTTGGACCGTTAAGGGACAACCTCGGAGATTTCTTTTAAGATTATCAGCTTTTATGTGGGCTTCTAGAATATCCAGAATCCCTAAATTAACCCATTAACGCTCTTAACAGTCATCAAATTCAATATCCGGATCCGCCTCCTTGAAACTCATGCTTGAGACCGTAGTCTCGGCTGATCTTTGCTGAGTTTGGCGTCTTGATGTTTCTTTCGATTGTATTGGGGACATCTTCACCAGTCTTCTACTTTCTTTCCTACTGGATCAGTTAGATTGGCAAAGGGCTCTCCACTTAAAAGGTAGCGGGATCTAAAGAGAAGAAAAGAGAAATAGGAGGAGAAGGGAGAAAAAAGGTAGGGGCTGGGAGTTTCGAACGTCTGTCCAAAAACTTCGCGTTATGCCCAAGTGATAGAGGGGTAGAATACCGCACCTCTAATTCACTCAAAGTAATTTTTCCAGCGCAGTACCTCTTCGTTTGGCTGGTGGATCTCTCGCCCTCGTTCTACCTATGGGTATATTGATGAAAGAGAACAGTTGATGATACATTGTAGTATTTGAGATGGTGGTCGGAACATCAAAAGATTGCAGCGATGCATGGATATCGGCGCGAAACATTCAGTTGATAGTGGGGTATTGGCTGACTGAACCGGTATATGGTATTCTAAAGCACTTAGTAGCCCTGATGGACCAAGTGTCGGTAAGGATTATTCGGATCCTTCTCCTCCTCCTCTGGTGATGGAACAGTCTTCAACACACGACAAGGACTTCCCACCGCAACAGAATAGGGCGGGATATCCTTGGTCACGATAGACCCAGCACCAATCGTGCAGCCCTTGCCAATCCGAACACCAGGAAGAATCACCACATTCCCACCAATCCAGCAATCGTCTTCAATAAAGACCGGGTGACCGAATTCGACATTTTTCTGCCTGGACAGAACACTGGTATCATGACCAGCAGTAAAAATACCAACTCCAGTCGCAATTTGGACCCGATCACCAATAACAACCAGGCTTGTATCAAGAATGGTAACACTGGGTAATGTCAGCCTGGTACGTTCTTCAAATTTATGTCAAATACTAACTTCCAATTGATAAAGCAATCCCGACCGATTATAATATTGCATCCATAATCGGGGAGAAACGGTGGTTCCACGAAAGTACCATCTCCCACTCTGCCAACCAATTTGCGCAAGAGCTCAAGTCGCTTATCGGCTATTTGATCATAAGGCACGGTCTTCGTGTCTAGGTTGTTATAGTCGGCTGTAAGACCACGACATAGGTGACGTGCTTCCAATAACTTGGGAATAGTGGGATTGTACCTAGCCTGTCAGCAAGATCTCTATCATTTATTTTAGCGAACTTACATCATTCCCGAGATCATACGCTCGTAGTCTTCGCATTGTGGGACCCCGCGTAGACTGCGCGAAAGCTCGATGATTTCAGGGCGCTTTTCCGTGGCTGCCATTGTGCTGAAGCTGACAAAATTATGAGAAACCACCAATTCGCATGTGAGTCTCTACTTGGTTTTATAATTAATTGTCAAAGGATAATTGGCGGGGCAGTCAGCCCTTACCCCGCAGGGCGGCGAGATGGTTAGCCCGATTAGGTAAGAATGGCAACTCCGAGGTTTTGCCGTGCTGCCTTGGCTGCCGATGCACAGTATGGGAATAATCAAGTTCTAATGTATATTATGATTTCCTGAATCTACGAAACTGTTTGGTTTTTGGCGTTCTAGGTAATCTGTGAGTGGGGCCAATATTAACTTAGCGGAAGAATGGTGCCCTATAGTCAGGGTGTTAATACTGACCGCCATACTGATCTGTACTGTATTGTAAATTCGGGCACAACTTCGTCGTCATCGCGATATCTCAGGACAAATACAGGTAATTGTATTGTCATAGTTTTTTCCGCTGGTAACTATTCTGCTGATATTGACACCTTAAGTATAGGGCATTAAATCATTGGCGCCTTTTGGCCCACACATCTTGACCCTCAAAGTCACTCAAATCCACAAACCAACCAAAACACACTGAAGTTGAAATGTGAAAAAATTGCTATCATTTCCTCAATCCCACCCAAGACTTCTTTTTTTATCCCGTGTCGAATTTCTCGGATTGTACAACGCGTCAAACATTAAGGCCCACACAATAATGGCCAGTTCCAATATTGCCAAAAGGGCTCGAGCAAACACTGCTGGGGATATTCATCTGCAGACCAATGAGACATCCGATGAGACCCCAGACAATGAGATTCTAGTTCCCTTACCAGAAGAAATAAGAGCTCTCAGCATCTACGAAATTTCTCAACTTCTTCACGAAGCTGCCAAAAGACACCCTGATGTAAGAGACTTGGTGGAGGCCTCTGTACAACATGAGCGCCAAAATCGAATTCTCGACTTTGCCACATCTATGAAGTCAGTTTGGGCAAAACTCAATATCCAAAACAGATCCATGAGTGCTACCACGCAACGCAGCATTGCTTTCGACGTGGCGGGGGCGGTCAGCTCCACTATTAGCCACATCGCAGACCAATGTGCAGAATATCCCACTGATACAAATCGCTTCAGTGGATTAGCAGCATTGCGGAAAATTGGCAAGATGATTTGTGTTTCAAACAATACTGTCTTAGGTCTTGAAGTCCTGAAACAATTTGAGTCGGATCCAAGTCTGGAAAATGCTATGCATGACATTGTATACGAAATGTCAACGCAAGAAAGAGAGACCGTAAGAAAGACACCTCTCTGGGAGAAACTTGGAGAGCTGGAGAAATTTTCCAAACAAACGTGTATCTTTCACGGGCTTCCTGAGGTTCTGAACACTCTCTTAACTGGAGACAAATCTGAAAGTGATGAATGGCCGCATCATAATCCTTATGTTCCTTATGAAGATCCGGCAGATGAAGAAAATGATGAAGATGACGGGAATGATGACGAGGATGAATACGGACGGACTGGCGATGAGCACGATATCTGCTAGTGTCTCAACTTAAGATGTTTAGAATGATGTAATGTTTCTTCTTCACAGATTGGACGTCTCAAGTCTCCTGCACATGTGGTTCATATCTCAAATTTGGGATTGAAAATGGTCCAAAAACATGACAATTTCCAGATATCCATTCTTGATCATAAGAAACAACAAGGATTATGTGAATGCGTAACCTCTTCTAGTTAGAGAGCGGTGAAAGAAATGTAACTTGTAAGGACCCGATTAGTCAATGTTACACAGTGGCTGTTGTGCGACTGAACCTCGTGTTCGAGACTTCCGCTTTGACAATGCAATGTTCTTATGTACCAAGTACCTGGATCACCGATCAAAAGGCTATTGGCTTGACTTTTCTCTTCATGTACCCGATTGGATTAAATAGATTAAATTATGCCCTCAAATCAGTGGTGGTTACAATTTCCATTACTTCATTGAGTCCAACCTGCGGGATCGCCCGATGGTCCAGACTTTTCCCCTGAAAATGTTTCCATAGTCACCGGGAACCCACAATGAAATCCACACCCACTTTAGGGGCTGGCTTGGAAGGTACGGAGCACCCCCGATTATGGACAGATCTACGCGTTTCTTTTGATGTGAATCACGGAAAAGCCACTCAAAAAAAAAGACGGGGAAAACCTGGAACAAGGCTCTGACTAATTTCCCTCCCCCAGGGAACTAACATCGTCTATTGGCCCGAGGTCAAATCCGTGGGGAAAGCGGGGAAAACATCGGGAGATGGGCAACACTGGCCTATGCCCTCCCAACTCACGCGTCAACCTCACCCGAACTGCCAGCTAGCGTCTATTTTGTACAAATCTACCCAGTGATCGCTGTTTCCAGAATCATGGTCGTGAAGGCATGCAATCGCTGTCATTCCGCCAAAGAAAAATGCACCTTTAACGGAGCTGATCAACAATGCACAAGATGTCGGCGTTTGAAGATCCCATGTTCGATATCCCGCCGCAGTGGACGCATCGGACGCAGACCATCCGCCAAGGCCTTCCCACATGGCCAAATGCAGGTCTGGAGTGTGGAGACGAGAGAGCAGCGCAGCGACTCTGAACTTACTAGTCGCCAGGCGACATCGTCGCGTGCGCCGAGCCGCGGGTCGGACTCGGGTTCTCAATCTGATGCCATAGAGGAACTGGGAACACCCAATAATAATTATAATATCGTGATGCAGTCGCCAGAGCGACTGCTCGCTTGTCCCAGAAAACTTCAAACAACCGCAGACGCATTGCAGACAGTGATGGACGTGGAGCAGTTTTCGGCCATCCATACACCTTTCATGATGGGTGCCAGCTTCATACCCGAGGCACAACGCACCGTGTATCACATCTTGTCTTTATCGGGGCCGACTTTGACGGAAGGATATCTCGCTTTCCTGGGGTTGATGACCCAGCACCAAAAGTCGCTTGTTGTGCGACCTCAACAACCCGACATGCGCAAAGCGGCGAAAGGATTGCAGCGCTTGCGGGATGTCAACATCCAGAACGATTATGACGCGGCCTGTACGCTGTTTCTCGGACAGACCATGTACTTGTTCAACGTGCTCAGCGCCCCGTATTCGAATACCGCACATTCCATCATTCGGAGCGCACTCCTATCGGTCAAGCCATGGTTCCCGCGACTGGTGCGATATCCAATCATGGATACCATTATCATGTCCCCGATGTTGATCGATACGGTCGAATGTCTGGCGCATCGTGAAATTCCCATAATTCGATTTCCTGATGCCGGGCGAGTTATTATTGATCGATATGCGGGGATTTGTGCGACGCTCTTACCTCATCTATATGATATCTGTGAATGTAGTCATCTGTTCAAGAAGAGCATGTTGGATGACAGTCCCACGCATGCTGGATTTTATGAGCAGCTCGCTGCGATCGAGGAGAGAATTCAGGAATGGGTACCCCCGACCCCACCTGAGCTGTATAATAATTTCGCTCAACATGAGGTGTTGGCCATGGTCACACAAGCCAACGTCTACCGTCTTGCAGGACTCTTGGTTATCCACCGCCATCGGTATCCGCTTGGGGTGGAAGACGATAAGGCTAGAGTGCTGGCCGAGAGCATCTTTTGCACGATGGAGATGTTTAGCGAATCCGCTGCCAAGAAAGCTACCGGCTTACCCATGGTCTTTCCAATAACGATGGCGATGCTTGAGATCGAAGGACCAGGTGAAGCATTGTTGGATAAATTATCATCGTTCACCGTGCAGGCAATAAGTGCATCACGACTGGAGGGATTTGTAAAACAGATCAGAACAGCCAGGGACACAGGATATGAGGGGGTCTGGTTTGAACTAGTGGAGACCCAGCTGCAAGTAGCGATGCCGCCCTAGTTTCCTTTTTGTCAGAGTTTAATTGTCAATGTATATTCCGGCTATGAGGTCATTTTCAACGAATCCCCTTCTACACTGGAATAGCGTAGAATTTAAGTTAACGAGCTAGAACCCAGCCGTTTGGCCGGACAATCACCCGTCTCGGGTCTGGGGGGCATACTAGACCGTGAATTCATCTCAGTTTACGTAGTTTGGCGTTGTGGAGGGAATAATGATGATCGGATATCGGCGGGGGGCGACCAGATTGGGCAAGAACTGACCGGATTTTCCCCACCTAATCACCAAGTCCACCTGCACTTGCCCCGATCGAGAAAAAAATGGCCGGATGACACGCAGATTGACTTGGATCGACGTCCAGTGATGAAATAGTTTATGAAACAAGTCCGGAGTTAAATCCCTTACTCCCCCCCAAGATTTACTATCATGGACTGGTCGATGCTGTTCAACCCCAGATTTACGATTCTCGTTGACTGGACCAGACCATTTAGGCATCGCTATTATTTTGTAAATCGTACGACTTGATCCTGTAATTGCGCAGAACTACGCTATCTCATTTCTTACCACGATGGAAGACCACCCAGGGAAGCGACAAAAGCTGTCGCCAAGGACTCAGTCGAAGCCCTTACCCCGACGAAACCAAAAAGCGTGCGAACTATGTCATCTCACAAAAGTACGATGCAAAACTGTGCCAGGATCTCCTTGTCAAAATTGCTACCAGAGAGGGGTGCCATGTGTAAAGGACAGGAAGAGTCGGTCCAGGTAACTATCATACGTCAAAATGCTGAATACAGGCTAATGATTCTAGCCAACAAATGGAGGTCCAGACAACAGGATTGACACCGACACCATCTGATGCGACATGGTCACCGGAAAGTGCGGACATCGGAGCCTTTCCTGCTGTGCATGGCTGGAATACAGGATTTGGATTCCAAGGAGATACTGAGTGGCGGAATACATCTCTAAGTCCAACGCGTGAGTTCATAAACACCATGCCAGATCAGCATGATGACTGACCAGATTAGCGCAACCGGTCTTTAACAATCCATTTGTTCAGCCCGAAGAGGAGGTCTGGAATACGTTCACCAATCTCGGTTCGCCTGATTCATCTGCCTCTGACACCTCGAGCCCGGGCGTTCTTCTACCGGGTTTCATCCAGCCCCTTCCCATGATGATGAATCCTACGACGATCGAATATCTTTACGTGAATGGCGTGTTCAGTCTTCCGAGCCTCCAGTTGCAGAATGCACTGCTGCAATCATTTGTCAACTGTGTCATCCCCAACATGCCGATTATCGATTGGCCCGCTTTTATCAGTGCTATCTGCAACCGAGATAGTGATCACGGCTCCATGAGTCTGCTCCTCTTCTATGCCGTAATGGTTTCGGCGACAACCTTCGTGGATCTGGGTCAACTTCAGGAGGCGGGTTATTCAAGTCGAAAAGAGGCCCAGGAAGCCTTCTATACCAAATCCAAGGTAAGTCTCTAGTCTGATCCCTCATACCACATACTAATTTCGGATAGCTTCTATACCAATCGGAGTATGAGCCCAACACTATCACCGTGGTCCAGGCACTCCTCTTCATGACATACAGACTCGAAACAGCGGATGGCGATGACAGCCGTTACTGGTGCTCGATTGCGACTTCGACAGCTCAGTCAATCGGTCTCTTCCGAGATATCGCGGGAGTGAAAAACATCCGACTCAACCCCAAGTTCTGGAAACGACTTGCTTGGACATGCTACACGACCGACTGCCAGATCGCGCTTAGACTCCGATGTCGACCAACAATCCAGAGCTCAATCTTCTGCCACGAAATGCTAACAGAAGATGACTTCGAGCTCTATAATTTGTCTCCAGAAGTGCTGGTCCAATCCCTCGGATATCCGTTAGCACACAGCATCAATATCCAAAGAGATCTAGCAACGATGTCTATCGCCAACGCACAATTATGTGTATCGATAAGCGAAGTCCTAGATGTGCAAAGTAAGGGTCGTGCAAGACCAAACTCATTCTCATCACCAATCGACATGTCCGACCATAACGCTAGAGTCTCAGCTGTTGAACTCAAACTAGCAGAATGGGCAAGCACATTTCCCTCCTCCATTCAAACTTACTCCTTCGAATCAACCAACATCGACGAAGAAAACATAATCTCGCTACAGCGAAACCTCCTCCACATGCAATTCTACACTACCATCGCCGTATTCTACCAATCCCAACCACTTCCCTCATCAACATTCTGCGTCCAATACGCCGCACAGCAAATCACTCAGATTGCCTCTGATCTATACCAGAAGAAGCTTCATCGTCGATTACCGATTATCGGTGTAACAGCCATCCTTGTCGCATTAATTATCCACATACCCGGAACGAAGAAAACAGACCCACAGGAAAGAGCCCAGGCGTTTCAAGCATTCCAACTCGGGCTGGAGGTTATTGCCGAGTTGCAAGATGTTTATCAGGAGGCGAATCAAATTACGACTTTGGCGTTTAAGATGTTTGAAAACGGCCCCGAAGCTACGTTCTCTACACCTGTTATTGATAGTCCGCCGCAGCTTGATTCGTGTTTCTCTATGAATGTGCCGCAGGTGATGTGATAAATTTGTATGTTTCTTTCGATGCATATGTTTTAATTAATTATTCTTATTGTATGAATCATATTATCCTCAGGTCTTAATTTACTCCGTAATAAACCAGATCCTAAATCAATCAATAATTATCCAACCGAAGAAAAAATTCTACCCGAAAGGCTTCTATCAATTGTTGCCTTTGGGAAGGTGACCCCTTCAAATTAATTCAGAGCGATGCTCATCCAGAAGCAATCACATCGTGGGATCAGTGACTCTGAGGGCATTTAAATTTCCTTTGATCTTCCCAATAAACTGTATAGGTATCCCTATATCATCTCCGGTGAGAATGGTCTTCTGCGATCGGATGTGAGCGGTCAACCTGTCAACCTCGGCAAGTACTATGATCATGAGTCACAAGAAACAAACACAAACGCATTATCGTCGATGAATCTTGAATTCGATTTTCTAAAAGATCGTTGTCTTTACTATCATCAAGTTGAACCACATTTCAAGTGCTCAAGCTCCGCTGCTTAGCTCGCACGTTAAAGGCATTCATTCCCACGGCCTCCATGAGATCGACGACCATGCATTAATTGGCTTACCAATTTTAGATGGAGAATGATTCATTCAGAACAGAACTTCGCAACACCAAAGTCCTCCAAGGCCCATTCCCAGACTTAAACTTTGACACTTTCCCAGAAACACCACATGATGCTTTCAAGCTCTGGTTCCACGAAGCGGTCACCGCAGGAGTGAAAGAGCCGCATGCTATGACCCTTTCCACAGTTGACGAAAGTGGATACCCCGATGCGAGAGTCTTAATCTTGAAAAACGTCGACGCTCGAGGCTGGCATTTCGCCATCAAAGCCGACAGTCCCAAAGGAAAACAACTGGAGAGTAGTGGACATGCGGCTTTGACATTCTACTGGCCACAAGTTGCTCGACAGATTCGATTGAAGGGGAAGGCTGTCGCGCTATCTGATGAAGAAAGTGCCCTTGACTACGAATCCCGACCCTTGGCTTCTAGGATTAGCGCCGTGGCCTCGAATCAAAGTCAGATTCTTTCAGGCCGGGGTGCGCTAACTCGCAGCCTTGCTGAAACAGAAGCGAAGATGTTAGACTATCCTCTTATCGGTGTGAACAAATGGAGGGTCTACGCTTTGATGCCGCATGCTGTCGAATTCTGGCAAGGAAGCGATACTCGTCTTCATCAGCGTCTTCGGTATGTGTACGAGGAAGGAGAGAATAAGTGGCAGAGGAATTTGCTGTGGCCTTGAAGCTTTCTACCCAAATCTGCGAAATCCCACGAAGCATTCCAGGGAACGCTCAGAAGGTACTCCAAGGCTGGAGCCTTTCCTCCGGTTCTCCGGTCTACAATGTAGATTGAGTCAAGTGTTGAACAAATAAACTGGAGCTTTCCACCTAGACAGTGGACAGGTTGACCTCGTTATTCCGATGTTTAATACCAACAGAGTGCCAGGCTAATACCTGGGTGTTTGTAATTTCTCCATCCATTGGTCGACGTCAATGGTTTTTCGCTTTCAAATTTGGTTTAATTTCCAAGGTCGAGATGCGATTTCTGTCAGATCTCGGTACATTATGTTTAGTGTCACGTTTTTAAATGCAAAATCTCCATCACATTTAGATGTGGACGGCATGTGCATCAAAGTTATATGATTTTGTTCTACGAGCCCGTAACTCTATCATGTTCTTTCTCAAGCATTCAAGAGATACGTGAGTCATTTATCTATTGCACATGCGTGATTTGCTTCGTTCAATTCTTCCATATGTATCAGAATCATATTGTCTGGATGAATGGAGTTTATAGAGCTTGTCCTACTCCAAAAAGGCTGGCGTAGCTCAGCTCTCGATCTGAGCTTAATGTTACAGTTGTACCAAGAATCAAAAGATGTGCTTGAACTTGTGGGGTACTTATGTCACAGATATATGCTACGGGAGTACAAGGAAGTTGCCAAGTCTTCACGGATGGTTATAATTGCATCCTATAGGCGCAGAGATTGCCGGCCAAAAAATGGTATGTAGTATTAATCAGAACCAAGTGGCTACAAAACCTTACTCACATGCTATAGACTTTTTATCATAGTATTACTGCTAAAACCCTAAAAGGAGGGTCTCCGCCAAAAATGAAATGACCAGTTCCTCCATTTATGTCATAACCATAAGCGGATGAATGCTGATAACTTCTTATGTCCAATTTCACTTGGAAACAAGAGTGTCACTTTTTCATCAATAAGATCACTCTCATTCTCAGCCTCTCTTAGGACAATGAAGCTGTACTCACCTCGAATTCTCTGCATTGGAGCTGCCATACTACCATTGGCAGTTGCAGCCCCGATCCCAGAAATGGTCGCTATCTCCAATAGACTGGCCTCAGCACGCTTCAGAGTTGTCGACCTCGGAAAGGTGGATGAGTATACTCATACCCTAGAGTGTCAAGCTAAGGGATCTGTTGTTTGCACTCTTGATAGCTGGCATTTAGGACAGTCCTGCAGTAAGCTCTTCCCGAGGTCCTCAATAATCAAATATTTGAAGAATTCTTTAACCATAACCCGCAGGCGGAAATAGTTGTGTCTTGTACCCTGATGAGATGCATTTTATCTGTCCTCCATAGCTGATGGTACATTGAGACTGTTTGAAAAGATACTGTATTTATCTTGACAGATATGAATATACTATTAAGTTTGCTTCATAACTTGGAATCGTAGATTCAAAACCTTGGACCACCCAAGGAGTAGAATGCTGGACGTGGATTCATATTATAATCGTGCTCATAAAAGGTACTACATATGGGAGGATTAATATAGCATCTATTGAAGCCCTGAATGTTTCGTCTCATGTAAGAACGGTATCTCGACGTGTCCAGTCGTACACAATTTTGATCCCCACCAGGGATAATGGGAGACCGCTAGGTATCTGTGACTTCGTTAAAGAACTCACCGATACAAAACACAATGTGACGAGGCTAATCTTACTTTATCTCCAATTTCCCCCGATTCAACCAAATACTCTGGCATCCTGTAACTGCAACACATACATGTATAAACCCCTGGGTCAGTCTAGTTATACCTTAGTCTCGGGTTCAACAGAATGCCCATCGGCTCAGGGCATCATGGTGGCTTAGACCTAAGGGCATGAAGTTTCTTAGACCTCTTCATGTGAAATGATATTAGATGGATATATAAAGACATTAATCTTCCCGCAGTTCATGCAGATATTCAGGAACCAGGAAACAATCAAATCTAGGCATCCCAAACAAAATTTTGGAACACTCACCTTTAACGACCATCAATATGAAGGCCACTATCATCGCTACTTTGTTATCTGTTCTGGCTGCTACCTCCGCAATCCCATCCAGCGACTACAAGACTGTTGCGTTGAACGGAAACCAGCTCAAGAGCGCGCTTTCCAAGGATGCCAGCTTTGATGTCAACCAGTTCATCAATTGCACCGTTGCGTACACCCTCACACTGAGTATGGCACCCTCTTCCAGAAACTTGGAGACGAGACTGACTAAAATTGCATCTAGGCGCCGCAGGACCCCCCTATACTCTTGACCTCTCCAGCCTTGACCTGAGCAACTGCACTTACGCCTAGTTTAGGCCAGCAATGGGCACACGTCAATCGATCTGAACACAGCCAGTAATTGAGGGGGCTTGGTGGTTGCCGCTGAGATACCACATAGCTTGGCACAAGGGGGTGCATTTAGTCGTCAAGTAGCAAGAAACTGGTTATAAGACATTGAGAGATTCAAGAACTAGAAATGTAGAGCTCGAAGGCCAATCCCAATATTATGCGATATGCCACGTAAAGAATATGCTCCGAGTTTGAAACATTCAATTATCACGATAGAAATCAATCCAAATCTTCAATGCCCTTTGCAATACTTTCCTTCACAGGAGTGAAATCGGACTGCTCGAAGAACCCACGAAGTAAAATCTCAGCTCTTGTCCGTGGAAGAACCTCTGTCCTATCTCGTACTTCATCCTCGGGCGAATCTGGAATTAGGGTATTTTCAGGTCGCAATTCGCGAAGAATCTGTATTACATCGGACCAATTCATTTGTTCCCCGAACGCAAATATTCGTTGCGATTTCACACCTTCGTCTAGAAGACCAACAACGCAGAGTTTGGCAACGTCCTCGACGTCGACGTACCACTCTGTGTGATAATCAGCGCAACCACAACAGTTAAAAAGTGAATTGACAGAAAGGAGGAGTCAGAAACTTACGTTCGGGAAATGAAAATGCCATAGTATCTCCCACGAGTAGTTTGCGTAGAAAACCCATGGACGAGCCAGATATTTCCGGGTGGAGGATTTTCCCAACCTGATCATATCAGCATACATAAACGATTGCAGAGTTAATTAGAATGTACTGTAACGCATGGCAAGACCGTGTTAAACTCGAATGTCCGTTCTTGACTCTCCATCCACTTCCACGCCTCCTTTTCTGCTTCGATTTTCGATGTAGCGTATATTGCCATTCGTCTTTCGTTTTCTGGGGTTGATTCATTCCATGCGGCTTTCACTGCTCTTTGGTTCCAATTATCTGAGAGAAGGTTAATAGCAGGTATAAAAGTGGCTGCGTTTACAAGTACCTTGATGAAGTTCTCGACCTCGAGGATCAGGATAGAGAAGATTAGTTGTGCTGGACGAAGATACCAGCACAACACGTTTGATGCTTGGAGTTTTAGCAGCAGCTTCCAGAATATTTTTTATTGCCTGAGTGACCCATGGAATGACAGCATGAGGATCATTGGAAAATGTGACGTCGGATGCCTAAAGCACATGTTAGTCGACACTATTAGTTTGCCATTGGAAAATCCTGAATCATCTTCCAAACTTCCTTACCACATGAATAATTCCGTCAATACCTTCTAGGATACTCTCAATCTTGCCCTGGTCATCGAAGGATTCAATCTCAACCGTGTCAAAGACACCTGCACCATACTTCTCGTTGAAATATTCATTCAACCACGACTTTTGTGTACGAACTGTGCCTCGAACTGGGTAACCCAGTTTCAACAACGTGTCGACAACATGAGAACCGATGTACCCATTTGCTCCAGTGACAAGGACTCGTGAACCAGGATGTAGAGCGTATGCCTCAGTCTCCATTTTATCCTGAATTTATTAGTAAGCGATAGTTACCTCAGAAAGAGTTATAACATACCATGGTCTTGACCAGGGTGGCAGGTTTGTTTGCTCGAGACTTGATTTGTGTTGACAATATGCCGGGATTTGTGGAATGCGGGGTGATGGTGGCTTGGTATGGTCGCCTAATCACCTCGTATGATGTCACTGTGCATGTGCAGCCACTATACTGTAAGGATTGGTCACTTATGTTAGTCCTTTCAAATAGAATGGATATCACGACCGGTTGTGGTGGAAGAAGAAACGCGTAGCCAGCTGGAAACTGCTAAAACTGTAGAATTCCGGGCAGCATAAAGTACTTGTAATTAAACACTATTTTATGACATTGAATCATTTGGACTCGGGATTCTGCAGATTTTCCCACTGTAAACGATTGGACGACCTCTAATCAACAATACCCTCCGGTAAAATAGAAATGTAATCCAAAGGAGCAAACTCTTTACCATCAGGGTGTCCAACGACCTTGAGAATATCGCCCTTCATCACTGGGACTCCAGAGAAAGTAACCCTAGTAGCCGAATGACCATCCAAATATTCCGAGAAATTATGACCGAGCTTATCTTCCAAATCGCCAGACCAAGATCCAATCACTTGCTTATTCAGAAAGATCTCATACTTCGATCGTCCACCCAAGTGATCGTAGTAATTCACCGCGATATTATAGACTCCCGAAGGAAAATCAAGTTTGGTCTCAGCGATACCGCTGACTTGAGCCGATTCAGTGATGACAGCCTTTCCACCCGATGCGGCTTCAGCAGGAGTAACTGAAACAATCTTGTATCCCGACAGCTTCATGTGTTGCGCCTCAATACGCCAGGAATGATTTCCGACGCGGTTCTTCTCGTCAGGAATGTTGCATTTGGCGAAATAAAAATTATTCACCGAATCCCGCCACACGATGGCATGACCAGCCTGATAACGCAATTTGAACGCGACGTTTTCAAATCGATGATCATCAATCAAACCCTTCAACTTTCTCCACTCAACCGGGAAAGTCTGAGCGTGCTCGGCACCTTCATAGTGTGCATCATAGAAATGTTGAATAACCGTCTTTCCAGACTTGAGCCGGTGTGTATAGGGAACATGATGAAACCAAAGTAGCAGCTCATCGGGAGTCGTGTCGATGTTTTCATAAACAGTGGCAACTTCAGCCGGATACTGAGCTGTATTTCCTGAGCCGGTAGCAACCGTTCGATCCATGCCAATAGAATGGTCATTCGCACGAGTCCATTGTCCCCACCCGTTTCCATCCTGGGATCCAGGACTAGGGCCGTAGTGCGTGTAGATAATATCGCAGAGTGTCTGGATACCCAAGTTCCCACTATAGTTCTCATAGGAGGGCCATGACTCCATAGAGATTTTGGTGACTGTGTCGACAACAGCTTGATCTAAGCTGAAGGTAAGACGCGTCCAGTCTTGGATAATGGATTTTGGGTCCAAGCATGGGTTCCAAGTCATTCGCCCGTAAGCATAAAGGTTAGACAGGGAGAGGTGGTGACCGATCCATGTGTCGTCACTGCCGATGTTGAGGACTGTGGTATATCCGCTGCGACTCCAGCCGAGACGCTCGCCAGAGACGATATCCCGAATTAGGGATGGTTTCCCGTCGATTCGCATGTCAAAGTCGAGAATCTCTTTCCAGAGTGGTGCCATGTAGACGAAATGGGACTGTTGTCCGAGATACTCCTGGGCCACTTGGAATTCGATCACGGCTTTGGTTCTCCGCAGGTTCGCCAGTAAGGGAGATGGTGGTTCCCGGACCTGGAAATCAATTGGACCCCATTTAATCTGTACGATCACGTTGTCCTCAAATTCCTCGTCCAGGTGGCTGAAATAGTCCACTGCGGCATTCGCTCGGTCATTTTTCCACACTGACTCGTCCAAGTGGTGATTGTAGACAAATGCACGGTACATAACGACGGCATCATCGTAGGGCTTCAATGCTCTCGCAAACATATTCGCTCCATCAGCCAAAGTGCGATTATAAGTGAGCGGGCCTGGTTGACCCTCTGAGTTTGCTTTGATGGTATATCCAATAAGATCGGGGACCTTTTCATAAACCTTGGCAGTGATATCCTTCCACCAGTCATTGACAGCAGGGTCGAGCGGATCAGATGTAGGAAGACCACCAAACTCCCGAGGCGAGTCGAAGTAAAGAGAGATTCCAATCCGTACCCCCCAAGGGCGCATAGTATCTGCAATGCGACGAAGCCCGTTCAAGTTTGTTTCGTTAAAAAGCCTGGGGTTGGCGTTGACGTTATTGACCACCACTGCGTTCAGGCGAATAGAGGAAAGGAGGCGAGCAAATTGACCGATGCGCGTCATATCCTCGACAACCTCACCATCGCGGAAGAAAATTGACGGGCCGGCATATCCTCGCTCGATACTTCCATCCAGGTTGTCCCATTGGTTGACCCATCGAATTGGTGCGCTGGGGTTGTAAGCCGACGCGACGGGTGCAAAATTGCCTTGCGCAAGGAGCATCAGGTACTCGAAGGAACCGTAAAGAGCACCGCGCTCATTCTGACCAATAATGTGAACACAGTCGCTGTTAGATTGTGTGTTGAGCCAGAATCCACCTTCTTTGAGCGTTGGGACTTCATCACCACCAGCTGCGAATGCTTCGGTGGTACCGATAACAATGACGCCCGAGAGATCATCGCCGAAGTCAAAACTGAGATTCACCTCTTGGCTAAGAATTCTCTTTAGCCCTTGTTGTAGCTCCTTTCCAGCTGTATAGACGGGGCTTGTCTCAGATTTGTTCAAGACAACAATCCTAGAATATTGACGATGTGTCGCTTTGATTTCGGCTGGTAAAGCAGCATATCGAAGCCAGCCATCGATTCCACTCTCCATAGACATAGTGAAATGCTTGATAAAGGCAAGTCAAGTTTCTGTTCTATCCTCGGGCAGGGTAGAGTGTGATTTTATTGTACTCTGATCAGTATGAGTCGGACAGAAGAGCGATTTATCCGCTGCAGGCTAATTAGATAACATGACTTAGGCAATAAAGTCAATACTTAGTCAGAATAAGTCTCGTTTAGCCACATCTGGGACTATATACCCACACTCCGACACTCATAGGTAAACCCGAGATAATCCTTTGGTGTATATTTTAATTGAATGTTTTGAATTCGCATATTCCTAGCTTTTGAGGTGTTTGGTGTGATTTGAAGAAAAATATACGATACAGTGTAGCAGCAATGACATGCAAATTCGATTGAACATAAGAGTCCATAAATTTTATGGTTCATTCGTTGAAGATACTATTCCTGCAAACCCAATTATTTGCTCATCCCTGCTTGGTAATAACTTTGACAGCATCATCGTCAATCTCTGCATCCTTGAACTCCCACGCCTTCAAATCTCTAGAGAACAAGATATCAAGTTCTTCATAGGTGCGGCCACGCGACTCAGGAAGACGGAAATAAGCCCAGGTAAGGATAAAAATGGTAAATCCAGCCGCCAAAAATGCCGTCTTTCCTTTCCAGTCACCTGCCGTTGGGTTAAGCGTATAAGGAGCAACAGTAGAGCTAAAAACATTGGCCACATTGTATGCATTACGCGCCAAAGAGATACTCTTGGACCGTAAACGCGTTGATGAGATCTCGCCAACAATAATAAAAGCAATCGGACCAACAGTCAGCTCGTAGAAAACGTACCAAAGTAGGTACATCGCAGACTCTCCGTATCCAAGTCCTGTGTTTTGTTTCACGCAGGACATGATGCCGATGAGGAGCATTGACATGCACATACCTCCATACCCAACAAAGAGCACTGGGCGGCGACCAAAGTTGCCAGTAATGAAAACAGAGAGTAGGGTGCACAAGAAGTGCAGACCAGACTGGCCCACAGACATTTTGTATGCGTCGGAACTAGACAGGCCAGCCTGTTCATAAAAGTACGTCGCGTAGGAGGTAATGGCGAAGCCGCAAAGAACTTGGGATGTCCAGACAATGCAGCCAATCTCCGTTCGCCATGCATTGGAACCACGGAAGCAATCCACAAACGATGCACCCTCCGTCAAGACCTTCTCCAGCTGTGTTGTCTGAACCATGAGGGCAATGGACTTTTTCGCGTGGTCGGGGTCCTGTGAGGAGGTGAGGCGCTTCATTGACTTTTCCGCCTCCTGGATGCGACCCTTGCGAACCAGCCACCAGGGAGACTCAGGGGCGAAGATGAGCACCGGGACAATGATCACTGGCCAGACCCACTGCACGGCAAGCGGAATTCGCCAGGCCCATTGTCCAGTGCGCTTATCCAGACTGTCCAGGATGCCGGTTGCGACGAATTGTCCAATGCCCCAGCAAAGCACAACGTAGGTCTCAAGGTAAGAGCGAAGTACGACGGGTGCGACTTCAGAGGCATAGGCAGGGGCCAAAGTGGTAAACACACCCCAGGCGAGACCACAGAGAAGCTCTCCAACAAAGAGGACCTGGACACTCTTTGCAAAGAAGGGCATGAAGAGAACGGCGACCAAGAAGCCCAGCGTTCCTAAACATGTCTTCTTATGTCCCCACCTCTCAGTCAGAAATGCATTGATGTAAATTCCGACGATATTTCCTAACGGACTGGCGAGGCCGAGCGCAGTTTGCCATTTCGGTTCCAGTTGATACGATCCAGCTTTGCTGGTCTCATGACCAAATTCCTTTTGAAAGGCCGGGAAGCCAAAAAGAGAGCCAATGAGTGCGGTATCGTATCCATCCAGAATAACCACGAGAGAAACAACCATTGTCCACATGCAAGCCTTGGGGTACAACTTGACAGCCTGGACAAAGGTTAAATTGTGTTCCTCGATGGTCGCATTTCGAGCATCTTCAGCCAGACCCACCCAGCCTTGCAGCTCGTGGTCATGGACCGTCTCATCGTGAGTGATGTGGGGGGCATCGGGCTTGGCTTGCGAAGACATGGTGGCCTTTGACTCGAAAGAAACTGGAGAAAGTCATGGGTGATCTCCTGTTATTAAAGCAGTTCAGACCACACACCCCAGAGTCTTGGATGGAATGCTGCTCACCTGAATGGCTGGCGTTTCTCATTTTGCCGGATAGCATAATATCAATAAGGCGAGGCCAGGTGATTAACCGCAAGGAATAGATTAATAACTTTAGGGATTGGATATCCCGGGGCAAAGATACTGATTCGTGATTAGTATACGTGGCGTCAGCCACTAGAGCTGGGGTTTGGAGGAGAGAGGGCTCGGAGAGTTCAGAGATTGATGGTGACTGTCTTACCCTTCTTTCGTGACATAATAGTACTTATAATTATGTAACTTATCATATTCTCCGAATGCTGTATTTATAGTCGAGTATAACCGCGTGTTAAAACGTCAGTAAACATTATTTACTCTGGAAAAAGTGGATTCTGGGGGATTTTCCGATTTCCATAGCTCGAGATGCTTCAACTTCACCAACAGCATCCCCATTACCCCGCGTCCCCCCACGCTTTCCCCGGATTGACCAAAGAACCTTCAACTGTACTTCCGTTTATCCAAGAATTTAGCCAAATCGGATCCAGTGTTCCGTGTCCTATGGGGGAGACTCCAGAACTCCAGGATGCTGATTTTCCTTTTACCCGATGCTGTTTGGGGTAATAGCCTATGCACATTTACCCAGCTTCTAACTAGGCCAGTTCTTTGGATTAAAGAAGTCATTTCTGTCAGTTCTTCAGCACCCCAATTGAATGATATGAAACTGCTTTAGAACCACAACATGAAGCTCTCTATATTCGACCAGCTCTTTCTTCTGGGCGCCCTAGTCTCAGTCACAGCAATCCCAACCACTTCACTCGTTTCCATCTCCGTCAACCCAAATGTTCAATTCCAAGAGATAGATGGCTTCGGAGCTTCACAAGCCTTTCAACGTGCCGAAGATATATTCGGCAAATATGGTCTTCCCGAGGTCAACCAAACACTCGTTTTGAATCTTCTTTATGACGAGGTCATCGGTGCGGGGTTCACTATTTTGCGGAATGGGATTGGCTCTAGCAATACCTCAACAAGTAATCTCATGAGCTCCATCGAGCCGACTAGTCCAGGGAGCCCGAATGCAAAGCCCAATTATGATTGGGACAATTATAACAGTGGGCAGTTCCCGCTAGCAAAGCAAGCATACTCCCGAGGCCTCCAGACATTGTACGCCAATGCGTGGTCCGCGCCGGGATATATGAAAACGAACGATGACGAGAACAACGGTGGATATCTCTGTGGTGTCACGAACGAGCACTGTTCGACTGGGAACTGGATGCAGGCGTATGCAAACTATCTTGTTCAATATGTGCGATTCTATAAGGAGTCTGGCGTGGAGGTGACCCACCTGGGCTTCTTGAACGAGCCTCAGTTCGCTGCAACCTATGCCGGCATGCTATCCAATGGCACACAGGCCGCAGATTTTATCCGCGTGCTGGCAAAAACCATCAAAGCCTCTGGACTTGATTTAGAAATCACCTGCTGTGATGGGATCGGATGGGATGACCAGGAAGCCATGATGGCTGGCCTCGAAGCTGGCCCAGATCCGGCGATCAACTACCTCGGTACTGTTACCGGGCATGGATACGACTCCGCACCGACTTACCCACTTAGCACCAAAAAAAAGACCTGGTTGACTGAATGGGCCGACCTCACTGGCGACTTCACGCCGTACACATTCTATGAGAATGGCGGACCGGGTGAAGGGATGACATGGGCTAATCACATTCAAGTAGCCCTCAAAGATGCCGGTACAAGCGCATTTCTATACTGGATTGGAGCGGAAAACTCGACGACCAATAGTGCATTGATCAATCTCATCAATACGGAGGTTATCCCCTCGAAGCGGTTCTGGGCGTTTGCGCAGTTCAGCAAGTTTGTGCGCCCTGGTTCTCGTCGGATCGAGTCAACCAGTTCCAGTGCAAATGTTACTGTCAGCTCTTTCCATAATAAAAATGGGAAGATTGCTACACAGGTGCTTAACCAGCTGGATGTTGAGGTTGATGTTAGCGTGCAGATCTCCGGGGGTAAGGCTGGACTTACTGTGCAGCCTTATATTACAAATAACGATCATGACTTGAAGGCTTTGGACCGTGTAAAATGCGGCAGCGGTGGTTCATTCAAGGCTCAAATTCCTGCCCGATCGATGGTTACGTTTGTTACTGTGTAGAAATTACCGGCGACGTGTATATATCCAGATCCGAGTACATACAGAACTTCATTTTCATTAGGCCAGACATGACTACAAAAGCCTGCTAGTTGATGTAGATCTGTTGGACCTTCACCATATGATTCTTGGGATTTTGCGTACATAACGCTCCCTCTCTCCCACATATTGAGTCTCAAAAATCCCCAATGGAACCGACTCTGCCAATGCATGAAAAGCCTCCAAATTTGGATGTAACCGATCTCCAGAATCAAACTTTTCCGCCAACACGGAAACCCGACTTTCATCTCGTAAAACCTGATCGAAATCAATTACCCGGTCAAAAGTCCCACTATTTCGAATCCACTCATTCACCCTCTGCCTCGTGATTTCTCGCTGTGGATGCGAATACCAAGTAAATCCCTCCTTCGCGGGATCGACATCCTCCTCACCTTCCCTCCGCCCAAATGGCGTGACAGTTGCAGCAAACAATCGAATTCCACAAGAATGTACTCTGGTAGCAATCTGTCGGTATCCCGCGATTAGCCGATCACCAATCAATCTCTGACTCTCTTCATCCGGCTCCGCCGAGCCTATATCATTTACGCCTTCGAAGAGGAGGACGTAGCGCACGCCTCTGAGAGACAGGATATCCCGATCCAACCGACTGAGCGCATTCGGTCCGATCCCATCAGTGAGAATTCTGTTTCCACCTGCTGCTTGGCTGATAACTGAGATCGAGGCTGTGGGCGGGTATGTTTGAAAGCGAGAGAACAGCATATCCGGCCACCTTGCTTCGTCAGAGAAATCGCTCAGGCTGGGATGGGTCACATACCGGTCATTTGCATTCGTTGTGCTGCATCGGCCATCCGTGATACTATCACCGATAATAGCCAATGTGCCCGTCTTGAGAGGGGCAAGGATTTCGATCCCAGAAATATAATACCTACGTCACATCGTCATCAGGCGTTCAAGTCAAATACACAAGATCAATTGAACTTACCAATGCTCAAGCTCTTCCACATCGGATCCTCTTAAATCAGAATCCGACACCCGATTCCCCAGGGCACAAAAGGAACTCGTCCGACTCCCGGGATGGCAAGTAATCCCAGTCCGACTATCCTGACCAGATTCAAGAAAGATGCTGATTGAAAGTACCGCGCCCGGCGACAAAACTCCGAGATCCACTGGATCGGAAACGATCAGTGCACCACCTGAGATCGTCGTTTCCGACCCACCGTCAAATGTGACTTTTTGCACTGTCGCCAAGTCGATAACTCTACTTCCACAGACATTGTCTTTTGCTAGTGCAATACTCGTCTCGGTGATTGTCAAGTCATCGGTGCCGAAGGCATTAGAGAACCGTAAGCGGAAAAATCGTGCGATACCGAGTGTGATTTTTACAGTTTGGCGGATTGTAGTATCACGGAAAATAATGTTGTTCTGGTTCTGGAAATGACATTAGCTACAGATGAATGGGTAATGATTTTCAAATTGTTGAATACAAATGGCTGGGCTGGAAGTTTGTCGGGCTCAGCAAGGAGGGGCATTGCGGTCCACGTGTGAACCCAGTGTTGAGAGGACATTTTGATCGAGTAGAATCCAGGAGTATTCTGGAATTCTCGAGCTTATTTCAAGTTATTTGACTGCGGGGCTTAGATCCTACCATTACTTGATAGAATCTCACCGGATAAATAGCAAGCCACCAATGCTGAGGCGTCCAGTCATCATGAGGATAAAGTAAATTTTAAGCGGATGTTTTAACCAGGGTCTCTACGGGTATCGCGCTAATGGGTAAATGAAAATTATCGTGCACTTCTAAGGACCATCCTCTCCCTCGCTTGTCTCTTCCAGCCTTTCATCCCCATAGTAATGAAGATAATCCCATTCCAGAACCCCCGCAAAGACCCAAATGCGCTAACCGCAATTAGCAACGGAAATGACACGAACTGCGGGTGAATAAAGGTTGACACCCGATTAATAGTAGGTGCAACCCAGGTCGCTAACAAAGCCAGAAAGAAAAGCGAGGGCATAAGGATGTATTGTTTAAATGAGACGCGACGCTGGTTTGACGGTTGGTAGGTTATCGGTGTGTTGTTTGTTGGAGGGCGGGGTGTAAAGGCTTGTTGAACGGAGGAATGACTTGTGATGTGCGATTCTGGTCTATGGACCTTGTTCGTGTTTTGCAGTGGAGGGTTGGCTTCAGCAGTTGTTGTCACTGAGCCTTGGGTGGATTTCGGTGTGAAGCTGTCCGAGGAAGGGTCGGAGGAGATGTTAGAGGTTAAGACAATGTGTTCATCGTCTGTTAATTTGAATTCGTCGCGTAGGCGGGAGATTTCGATACCGATTAACGCGTATAACAAGAGCACGGCAGCTAAAGTGAGCCTAGATAAGACTATGATTAGTGATGCGGAAACACTGAATGTTTGACTATAAGCATCGCATACCAGACTGGGCCGTAGTATAAGATGAGCCGCAGAAGTATCCACTTTGGCGATATTGAGCACCAGATCTGTGACAGTAAGTTTCTTGTCCCAGAAGTATTACATTGAGAACTCACGGTCTCACTGCCATACACAGGGCCCTTTTCATCAGAGTGAATGAATAGAAAAGCCAGCGCAGGTATAAAGGTGAGGGTAGTATTGCCGCCAATGTATTTTGGCTCCAGCTTTCGCAGATAATGAGCATCAAAATGGTGAAAAACAACGAGGTAGGTGTCGAGTGCCATTGCTAATGTCCATAACACATCGGCCAGCGGAAACCTACGAACAAATCAATTAGACCTGCACGGTTCAGCATCGAAATTCACCCACATTTGCAACGCAAAGCCCTGGAACTGACACAAAGATGACCCACCCCCTCTCTCTGGCCCTGAGATCGAAATCATCGTCGCAATTGAGTCGAATAAGTTATAAAATGCATTAAAAAAGATAATGCGATGAATTGGGCTTTGAAAGTGCCGCGAAAAAACAAAAGCGCAGATAATCGTGATCGTCCCCAGCATAGAAAACGCAGAGGAAACTCGCCCCGCGATACCTATTGCACTGATTTGCTCCGCAGTGAGTGCCATGGTAGGGGATCGACCCTCCGAGGCGGGAGTTGTGCAGTGATGAACACACTCAACTTATCGTCCATGTTAGAAACATAGTGGGAAAGATGATTCCGACTAAATTTTATCGTATCACACCATGGCTCGTTCATGTTGGATGACAAGTAAATGGCTCGGATGGCGTGATTACATAAAGGGTAATGATCTGTGTTAACGATCGAGGCCATCGCGCCATTTGTGGGGCTTCTCAGTTGTCGATCCGTTGACACCGAAACGAACATAACATAGAACTTTGATTATAACTTTGGTCAGTCATACTCTGAATCGGTAGCCAAGGCAGCACGGCAAAACTATATATAAAAAACTAAAAACAAACTAACAAACCCCGGGAGAAAAAAAACTTCACTGGAAAAGTGACACAAAGAACGCAATAGCCGTGTCTTTTTTTTGTTGGCTGAGCCGGCCACTCCATCCCTTAGCGCATGCTTGACCGTGGCCCTTTAGATGGGCTCGTAGATTCGTTGTGCGTGAAAATGGCTCAATCCTGCGACTGCAATTTGGGAAACGACAATAAACCGCACCGCGGTACACCAGTAAATTGCCATCAGAATCGGTGTCATGACTGGGCAACACAATGGTACGATCTCGGATATACGTCCCATATTGGGGACACCCACGCAAAAAGCTGGGGAAAGGAGACGGGGAAGAAAACTGGATCACTGTAGCGGCTGTTACTGGGCTCGCTGCATTTTCTGTAGTCGTGGGGGGGTCGCTGCCGCGGTTTCAGTAAGCGCTTCCTGTTGTTCCATGGTGATCTAGGGGCTTGAACAAAGGTTGTGGTTGATAGAAGGGTAGTCAATGATTGGTGAATGTTCGTATTGCGAGGTTGATGATCATGTAGGTTTAGTGGGAGAAAAGAAAGAGAAAAAGAAAGAAATGTATCAAAGTTGTTATGGACGGCGAAGTTCTTGAAGAAGCAAGTGGTTCCTTTGACCAAGTAACTTTGTCTAAGGAGAAGAATTTCTCTTCCTGTAAGTCATTAAAAAGCAACAGGTGGTAAGATGGGTGTGTATCAAAGATATGAAAACTGGATTTTGCAGTGCTCACTAAACATACAAGCGACTCAGAGCGAGTGTCTTGACTTAATACAAAACAAAAAAGTAAAAATTTAATCCATACTCAACACTTTTCGAACGCTTATCCATATACAGTAGTTCAACATATAGGAGTCTCTGAGCACTTCTGAAGCGTTTCAATGCAGACCTAGAGACCCTTCAAAAGATGCTCAAGTTCATCGACGGTGGCCTGTAAATGCTGCAAGGCATCTCTATCTTTGACCAGCAATCTGGTGGAAACCTCGAGCTCATCCAAGCACTTGTTGAGCGCTTCTTCGATGGGTATTCCCTCAGTGTATAGGCCAAATTATCTTAAGCGGCCAATAAACGCTTGCTGTATGGATATCTCCAACTGGTCGATGCGGCTCAGGCGTTCATTAAGCGCTTGCTGGGTGCGTAATTCAAATTCTTCGACGCGGCGATTGATATTATCGTCGAACTGGCTCATGTGTTGCTCGATGGAATTGTCGAAGTGGCTCAAGCGCATGCCAAGCGCTTCCGTGTTTGAAGTGAAGGATCTGAGGGCTTCGCCTATACGGTGCTCGGTGGGTTCGAGGTGGCTCAAGCGCATGCCAAGCGCTTGCGTGGTTGAGATGTAGGTTGCAAGGGCTGCGTCAACACTTATTGAGGTAGTTTGGAAATCTGTTAGCCTCGCAATCAGAGACTGCCTGCTTTCACGCTCCAAGCGCTTCTGAAGCACTTGCTCCGCTGAGTCCTCTGGGACCATCTTCAGGTGGGCCAACAACTTCCGGACCCAGAGGTCTGTAAGCGGTAGTACTATGAGCCCTGCAAAGGTATGGCCGTACTCCCATACGTAGTGCCAGTACTCGTAATTCGTTGGCATCTTGAGGGCTGGCGGTTTATAAGTGCTTGATAAGCGGTTATAAGATGCTTGAAGCTGGGGTAAAAGAGAAAAGTATAAGGTGCGGTATGTCAAAGGAGAGGACTCTACATCGTGTAATTAGGGGAGGGGGGTTACGTAGTAAGTCTACTATTTTGAAAATAATAATGGCAGGTGCGTTCAACTTTTTGTAAACAAATAAAACTGCAGGTAGAGCACATTACTGGATTCATACAAGTGCTGCTCAGAAATTTTCTTGTTGAGGCCTATTCGAGGGACAACATTTGCAGCTTTCTTGTTGGAGTTTAATTTGATTTCCATGAAACTGCATCCTGAATCTGCAGCCTCTACATGCGATGCTCGGGCTGGAGGAGTGGACCGAATGCTCTTATTTGTTTCAAAAACAAGGCTTCCGAGAATGCGCACATCGAGGGCAGTTTATCTACTAGACAAGCGAAATTTTGAAGATCAAGCTGATAGGACTTGGCAATCATATTAGTCGTATTGATGGCCGGCCCGAGTGCTCTGAGTACCTAAAGGCTCCTGACAACATGGGCCGCACTAGTCCCCAAACTACTCCATACAGACCAGGACTGCGTTCAAATATTTTGAACCAGGTTTTTTACGATATATATATAGATGATTCAAGTAGTACGTGTACATGTGAGTAGATTCTATCCATTTTTATTCCTCGCATCTTATGTGTCTGTGTGTTACGTGGATCATTCAAATGTTGTCATGCATATTCTGTTCCACGGTGATAGCGATACAATCATACGTATAAGCCAGCCGACCGCCTGTATGCTTGTTGATCTGATCCGCGACATCGGGCTTGGTGTAGTTGAAGACAGCGCTGGCGCCACGTCCACGAACCAGTACGGCATCACGCGGACTGCATGTGGCTATCGGGTCCAGTCCGCTCAGTCGAAGTAGCTGTATAACGATTATGCCTATTTGGGACTAGTGTGATCGGCCAACATTTGAAGGCAAACACGGCAAATATCATCAATTTCATTTTGGAAAATGCAATTCGGCGCACGTGTGGCTTTAATTCCTCATGCAAAGCAATGTGTCTCGTCTTTGTCACGAATGATTCATCGTAATTAGCCATGTAATCCCTCCCGAACTCTGTGCTCCATCCGAATCTGGCGCAACGAAATGGGGCGAATCACAGGGTCTAAAAACTTCAAATGGTGGATTGCATCACCATGAGACTTGATAACATCAGCGTCCAGCATTTCCTCAACGACAATAGGGTTGTGACTACAATGCTTCGGCGCCACATTTTCCCAAGCCTGAACAATAGGAGGTCGCAGGGCGAATGGCCAAGTTCCTCTCAAGGCTAAAACAACGCCTTCGCTGGTCAGGTGATATCTGAAGAGCATTGCCAATCCCTTTCGTCCATTCCATATCTCCATTGATTTTAGATTTGGCATTTTCATGGCCACCGCTGCCGCTTGCTGGAGCATATCATCAATTGCTACCGGGTTTTCATCAGGTGTGAGGAGTCGAGAAGTCAGCGTAAGTGAAGTCATGCTAGGCCACTTCCAGTGGGGCTTGCAGGCATTGAAGAAATAGCTGGCATCCACAATAAATGATGCTGAGAGGTACTCAAACTTGCGACTCTTGTCGGCAACCGCGCGGCTGATACTGTCTTCGGGGATGCGGGTAGGGCTGCAAGGAAGGAAAGGATTCTTAAAAGATGCAGGGTACCGCTCAGCAAAGTTCTCAAAGATGGTTAATCTTCTTAGTTTGCAATTTCCCAGATATTTAAGAAGTGACTGGATATCTATATCAGTGGTAAGTAATGGAGTAATAAACGTCTATATGGCAGATAATTAGGACCTAATATAAGGGTACTTACATCGATCTATCAGCTTCTGGCTGAAATCTTCCCATTGTCTCCAAGGCTCGTAGTAAAGATCCTGGAGTCTGGGAAAACATTCAAGAATCAGTTGCAATTCATTTGGCCGCCATCGTCGACGGGTCTGTTGACGTAGAAGCAATCCTGTTACTGCTGGAACCAATGGTAGTCTATCCACCTCCTCCAGTGGACAGCTCCACCGGATTTTGTCTCTAATATCAATGATAGTATCAAATAATTTATAAAAAGCTCTTTCAGGTGGAGGGGAATTCTGACTCCCAGAAATCCAACCATGCTGGTGGTCATCAAAGTTGGCCAACGTTGACTGCTCGGTGCATAGACTCAGACTACACTCATCAGAGGGAAGATCTGGCTCAAAAGTCAGATATTTGAACCAGTGTTCTGAGTCACTAGGAGAGTGAACACTAATATCAAGCAACAATTCGCCATTTGGTTTCCAAGTGCTGAGGGTTGAAAGTACATCTTGGAGAGCTGTGGCAACCAGGGCGGCATCTGGATTGGGGGTATTCGCCAGTTTCAAATATGAGTGAGTCGCACAAGCGGTGCAATCGTACTTTTGGAGTTCCAAGCAAAGCCATATGTAGTGTACAAGAGCCCGATTACGGTGAATCATTGGACCGAAATCAGCGAGGCGGGATGATGTGAGCTTGATTCGAGCAAAGTTATGCGGCTCAATGATCATCTGCCACTCTAGAGACACTATAGCGAAGCCAGCCAGGCTACAGCCATCCTGCAGTACGCATTCTAGGATCAGAATCCGGATTTCTGCAGGCAAATAAGACCAAGAAGTCTTATCAGCTGTCACTGGCGAGGTTGCTACTTCCATCATGGTAGGAAAGAGAGTCGATAAGAGGAGTAGGGGTGGATGGAGGGGAAAAATCTAAGGGTGACGTAGTGATTAACGCCATTATGAAATCCGACTATCTTGGATGGCGGAACAAACCAGTCCTAATCGGGACATTGAGTACTCGGCGCTTTGAATGAAGATGTATCTTCACTTTGTTCAAATGTTTGTATTTATTTAATCTTAGTTTACTGTCAGTATATGCCAGGGGCGATGTTGAATTGCTGACATGCCACAGTCACCCTTGAAGGCTATCTTACTAGGGCGCAGCATGATGGGGTGAGAAGATGCCAGCCGTGACAGCAAGGACTGTCATTGGAACATTTCAAATCTAGAATCCCCATTTTGCTTATCTAGAGAGTTCTCATGGACCAGATCGAATCAAGAGAACTAGACCAAAGCTGTTGGAGCCAAATACTTCAGATAAATGGTAACGTCTATATATCTAAATATTATGTAGGTATGCAGTTACCTTTTGGTATCAAAGACTGAGCTTAACGACTAGCCAATTTGAGCGCCGATTCAAGCCAGAGCTAGCTGACGGTTTAGCTGATACGATACTGGGCCCCTTCTAGACTTATCTCTCCCTTCAGGGCTGCACCACACTGCATAAATCCTGCATTGCCCGATCATTAGGCTCGATCACGCTGATTAAGAGTCTTGCAGAAATCTTGTTGGTTAGTGCCAGTGGTCTGTATCAGTAGCACTTGAACAAAGACATAAGCATAGTGAATACACCTGAGGCCTTCATAATATTGATCAGAGGCCATCTTCAAATACCCCAATATTGCTCTTTGATGGTCCTTTTCGAGTGAGGGTTTTTTTTCGGTAAATTTGTTGATCTCATTCGTCACATTAATCACTATGGCACAAGACGCAATCCTTGTCGAGACCCCTATATACCTTGATTTTACATCAGAGCCGAAAGAGTTCTTATAGGTTATTAGATTATAGCTGGGGCTGCTACCTCTCAATAATCTACAGCTCACCTGCATAGTTCTTGCAATATGCATCATAATCTGGAGTTACACACCCACGTTCATGGAATTTAAGGCCCCATATGCAGGCTATTGTTCCCCTCTCATCCCAAGAACTTGGGCTCGCTTTCAATTCACTAAAGGAGCTTGTACCATTATAGATAATGGTTACCAAAAGGAAGGTTCCTTCATTTATCTGAGATAAGTATTTTCGAGCTAACATAGAGGACTATAGTGGAAAAATGTGATGTTCAAGCTTTCAAGAACCGACCGCGAAATTTTGGTGCAGATATAGGTGAGGATTAGACCTGGGAATATGGGACCCAAAAAAATATATATTTCTGTCCAAGTCCCAATTGCCAAGATCCCATGGGATTTACTAAGCCAAATGGGATTCCCATAGGATTCCCATGGGATCCCATGAGAATCCCAGCTAGATCCCATACCCCTTATTTCCTGCATAATTGCCTAAAGAGGAAATGGATCAATTAATGTAAATTATACAGGTAATTTTGGCTGTTTTATACTTATTTTGCTAGTTATAGTCAGGGATAAAATAAAGATATATATCTACACCTAGAACTACTTATATTTTCCTAGCCTTAAGAACCTTCTACTTTTTTTCTAAAATTAGCTAGAATAGTGATTTTCAATATATTCTTGATCAGAATTAATGAATTGTATCTTATTTTTCCTAAAACTCAATATTAATATAAGAGATATCAAGGAAAATATTGGAGAAATATATATCAGCCTATTTATTACATGATTAGTTTTACCAAAAGTTGAACCCCTAATATAGAGGTTTAACTTCATTAATCCTATTTAAAGGTAAAAGAGAGGGTGAGGGCCCCCTATTAGTAGTAATTTCCCTCTATATCTTAAATCTTCTATACATAGTCAATACAGCCGAAAATTTCAACAAATTTATGTAGTCATGTGATTCTTCCTAATCTGGCTAGATCAAGTCCCATGGGATCCCATGGGACTTACGTAAGTGGGATTTCCCATGGGACCCATAGGTCCACGTAGAACTCCCACGCTAGTTATATTATTACCTTAAAACAAACACTAAACAGCCAAAATTACCTTTGTAACTTACATTAATTTATCCACTTCCTTTTTAGGCAATTATGCAGGAAATATGGGGCATGGGATCTAGCTGGGATTCCTATGGGAGTCCCATTTCGCTTAGCGAATCCCATGGGATTTTGGCAGTTGGGACTTGGACAAAATTTTAGTCCCATGTGTCCCATATTGGCAGGTCTAGTTCCAGATACCAGATGTGCGTACCCACTAGCAAATTTATCCACCAAATAAACGGTTCCATATCATCGCTAGTAGAGTATAGCACACAGGCCAACTGAGACAACTTTTGACACCATATTTTCTAGATTCATTTGTTGAGAATGACATTCAAATCGGTCTATCGCACTAGTTGCCCAGGTCAAGATGCCAGTAGACGTCTTTCTAAATTATGTCCGTGGCTTATACTGCTGGTGATATATAAAGAAATAGGCTTGCAGACTCAAATTAACGTTTGCAATTGTAATTCACCACCAGCAGTGGAGCTTGTGATACGCATGTGTAGGCATTTCGTCAAAACCCATCAATTGATGGATTCGGATTGTATATTCATCGCGCAGTGTTTCAATGAATTGATATGCATTGAGTGAGAACACTTGTTGCTGCAATCTACAAACTTATGCACATATGAACTGAAACTTCGAAAGCGTTAATCAAGTTGGTTGAAATTCATGACTGCACCATGCCCTATTTCCTAAAGAATGATCAAGTCGAAAAGAATCCCCGTCGCTTTCCTTGTTTGAACTATTGACCAGCGTCTCCATGTTATGCGATGGTGCATTCTCATGACAGGTTTCCAGCAATGTTTCTAAAGGTATTGCCTTTTTCCTTTTGTTTTGCGAGAAGCTTCCACTTCTAGACGAACTAGTAAAAATCCACGATAATCTCCGATACGACCGCGAGGTACCCTGAGCAGATGAATTCTGAACATTAATGACGAAGAGCCGAAAGGCCGGAAGACAGGACGTAACAATAGCTGAGGTATTTTCTAGCATGGAGAATAACTGGAACTTGATAGGATCGACTTCCGCATTTGGATTATTGGACTTGGCCAAACGAAGGCATGCGAATAAAACGGGGATGATAGGGAGTGAAAAAAGTCCAATCAGAATCCATCGCTTCCGATTGTCAATCTTCAACTTATATAGAAGGGGAAAGGGGATCAGCATCACTATCCAAGTTAGTATCATCTGATAAGCGGTTCAAGGGATACACACCACACACGTCACCCGCAATGTCACTGCCCACGGAGAAGTGAAAAACAAGATTAGAGTAGAATATGTCCCTTTCTGAGTTACATTTGCCTACATCGGATTAATTTAACACTTATGATCTGGTGAGGATTCTTACCTGGTACGAAAAAGTCACTGATAGGGTCACAGGCGAACTGTTGTAGAACTAGACTGGTGATCCACGTTGACGCAGTGATCCCACACATGACCCACCAGAACAGCTTCATGGGCGAATGCACGGAGTCGAATAGTCTCCAAAAGAAAAATAATAAAGAGAACTTGACCGACCATAGCGTCGTCCACAGTAGGATGTCTGCCGCATATTGGAGTCTGAGGAACAAAGACGCCCGCTCCATGAATGTTGGACTGAATGGCTTCAGACCGGCGCTGCCGGTCAGCACGTCATACATTGGCGATATAGCAAGTTGGTAAACAACAGCTGTGGCCAGATGACATAACAAGGCGAAGAATATACAGTAGTCGTTGATAAAAAGTCGTCTGCTATTCCTGTATTGGGCGTGTGTGCGAATGGCGACAAAAGCACACGAGAGCGCCACACCAATCCACATAATTGCCTGAAACACACAAACATTAGCTGACTTCACTCCAAATCCCCTCTTTCAACTCCCAAAAAAGTTCTTACAGCTTGTCCTTGTTCCGATACAATGGGTGGCTGCATCTCGATAGCTCGTTTCCCCCACCTTGAAACAAAATCAGTGGGGAAATGGCGCATCATGGCCAATTTCCCGCAAGCTTATCAGAAAGTGTCTTCAAAAGACCCTCGATCGTCTCCAGGGAGTCCATCTGATATTCTATATGGCAGGTTGATTCCGAAAGTCGTACGAAACCTAACCTGGCAGGCATGGAGGCGATTTTAAGGATGCGGCGGAAACCTCCCTTGCAACATTCTCAATGAAATGAAGGATCGGACAAGTGACCGTCCAATCAAATATGCGCCTACCTGTCGCACCGCATGTTGTGACGAATATCTCATATGCACGGAGTTGCCTAGTCCCAGCCCTTGAGTCTATTTGGGTTGTCGCGGGCCGCAATGGGTCCTTGTGGTCCAAGCGGAGTGGATCTTTACACTTTCTTTCGACCTGAAACGCGTCGGTATTTCAAAGGCTAAGCCGATGCGAGGATTATAGCAGGAAATTCTTGGTTGAAACCAGAGGGCCAAGTGTGCCGAAACTTGTTTCGGAGTTCGAGTCACATGTTGATGTAGCCGTCCGCCTTTTGCTCAACTTTTACCAGGAAATCCCTGGATCCGAATAGAAACTAGTCACTTGGCCAGTATCAAGCTTGGAAGAGGATATTTGAACACGAAAAAGTCATCCCATCGATGCTAGGGCCGGTAAGCAATGCAGGTAACGTGTGGCTTAACCCCTTCGGGAGAGAAGGGGCCAGAGCGGTCCCTCCTAAGATAGTTGGTTTGCGTTAGAAATTAAAGTATGAGCGGCTTGGATTTCAAGTATTATTGATTGGTTTATCTAATAATAATTGGTTGCATGAGCACATTACAGGTGAAAGTTTGTACATTTCGTTGACAGGAAGTTAAGAATAGCCAGAACGAAGAAAACTATTCAAGCTAGGAAACAACAGCAAGTTGGCTCCGCACTGGCACATTCTCCTTCATCCCCGGCTCGGGAAATCCCGAAACATTAACACCTTTGCGGAAGAGAAGACAGTGAGTAGATCCACCAAAGTGGAACATACCAATCTCATCTCCCTTGGAAAGATGCTGGCCTTCCTTGACGGTGATATCGCAAGTAGAAACCTCCGCCATTCCTACACCAATAAAAGCCATAAGGCCAATAGCCGGCTCATCGGCTTCGATGAAGATGATCGCCCTTGTCGCAGTCGAAGTAATGTAAGCCTGGGAGGTAACCTGACCGGCGATATCAATATCCTGCTGAGGAGTCTTGGGATTTCCAACGCCCTCAAACAGAGGCTCGGAATAGTATGTTCCGTCAGCAACAAAGGCTTTCACAACCTTTCCAGAGACGGGTGTGTGCCAGCGGTGATAACTCAATGCACTCAGGAAGGCCTGATAAACCGTTCCACCGACGAATTGCTCAGCATACTGATCATGGGCCAACATATCCAACACAGAGTACGGCTGACTCTTGATCCAGAATTTATCGCGGGCTTTCACATCATGCGCAAGCCTGAACGGCCTCGATTCGCATGCGTTAGCCAGAACCCGATTATTCTCTGGTTCAGCAACCGGACGCATTCCATCGCGGAATAAGCGAGTGAAGAAGTCGTCCCAGGACTTGTAGCCGTAGTTCGGCGCGGACGGGTCACAGTGGAACATCTCATGGAACTCGAGGGTAGTAGCTGCTGTTGGGCCAACCTTTGCGACGCTAGTCAGGTCGCGGTGGCCGGTCTCACCGAACCATCCATTCGAAGTAGAGTTCAGGACATCAGCGGATGCGGGCGAACGCAGGAACTCACCCCAGGCATTTAGGATCTTTTTCAGCATGGCATTGATCTCTGGGTCGAGGAATGCAGCGTATCCACTTGGTGTGCCCATTGGCCAGTCTAGGACTGCGTTAATGGGCAGACCGACCAAACCCACACGGTGGGCTTTGTCAGTCCATGTAGGGGCTGTTGTCATCAAATGATTGAGAACTTGGAGGAAGTGCTTGTAGTCCCTGATTTCCGGGTGGCCTGTTGGGTCGTGACTGTATGGCTTCTTATTCGGGACTTCCTTGAACATGCCTTCGATCAGCATATAAACTCTAGTGTTGCTTTCGATGAGATCTTGAAATTCGCGTAGGACTGGGTGCAAGTCCTTTTCGTTGTTGTCCACATATTTGATCACTCCGCCAAGCCATTCTCGGTGGGCGGCATGGTCGGAGGGCATCCAACTACCGAGGCTAAGAAAGCGTTAGCAGAAACCTGAATAGGTATGAGTAGAACGTACTGGTGGAGGTGATGGGTATGTTCATTACTGGGCGACATGGTGGATGAATGGTAATGCAGGTAAATAATGGGTACAGAATTGATGCGAGGGTGTGTATTATATAAATTTTTCCTTCAACAAAGTTATGCGGGACAAGAAAGCTTGACACCGACAATCATCTTGGCAGCTATTTATGGAAGAATTATTGGAAGCTCTACAGTACAGGTTCTATTCAGATTGCATCATCGTGACGGCGAAACAAGGCATTCTCCACATTTCATGGTTTGACGTTGTCAATTGTATGATCTCGGGAGAACCTGGAGGGATGACATCATATCTGTGGCCTGAGGTTTCTATCTAAGCAACTGGACAATTAAATGCCTCAACAGGCCATAGTACGGAGTACATAGCACTAGTGCGACTAATAAGGCTTCGTTATGATCAAACTCGAAGTAACAATGCCTTTCGTTCGAAGGAAGTCACACCATAATGGGAAATATTTGGGATTGCACACTGACAGATAACTTACTGATGGTTGTATTCATTCCGGTCATTACCTGGTCCAAGTAGTCTCTTCTGTATTGCAGAAATACGCATCCTAACGAGAGCCTAGTATTATATCAATTTTCAATAAAATTTCACATATGATGAGGTACGGAGAAGGGAAAAGCTATCTAGAGAAATGTGGAAAGCCTTTCCCACGACTAAGGGTTTTCCTGAATTTATAGGAGGTTGAACAGCTTCAAAGGAAACTAAAAATTGTGGAACCCGGTATAGAAGCAGAAACCCGGAAATTTCGACGACTAATTTCTGATTGGATCCTTCAGAGTCCTGACTGGTCCACACTCATTCATCTTCACCTAGCGACTGGGCAGAAAGTGATTTGGAGATTATTAATGGTGGGAAAGGCGGTCAAACAGATTCATGCGTTGGTCACGTGAATATGGGAAGCGCTCTCGTCCCAGTTAGGCTTAGGTCTGTCCATGTGGGCATACTGTATCTCACATCTGTATCCATACATGGGTCCTTTCTCCATACTCATAGCCATTTCACATCTTTACTTTCGTGTTCATCCTACTATGAATTAATCGTCTTGCAATGATTTGTAGCCTCCCCCCCCCCCCTTGGCAGCTTAAAGCGCCAAAACTATCCCTTTAGGCCACTATTCCCTGTCTGAGGTCGCACATCATGAGAGAAGCATTGATCATGAGACGCTTATCCCCAGTAGCTACAATTTTCATACATCTGTCTACATTGGGAGTATTTGAGCGCAAAATTTCAAAAGTCGAGGTGGTGAGGGTGAAACTGGAGGTACCTTAATTGTTAGATGTACGGAGTACCGCGCGGATCGCTGGAACTCAATGTCGTTCTCGTCAGGCACATAACCATATCGTTCGTCATTGATGTATGCCTTTGTGGGTCTCCGAGGATCTACCGACCAGACGATCATTTCGGTCAACCCAACAGGAAATAGGAACCACTTCAGGGACTCATGGCTCTTGCCTAACCCAAACCATAACCAAACGATTCAATCATAGGCTGAGCACTTCAAACCAGAATATATCATTAATAAAAAATTGTTCTTTATTTATTCAATCCACGCTGAATTGAAAGATGCCGATATTTTGTTCGGCATGCCGACTTCTCGGCAGGCGGGGCTGACCAGCCCGAGTCGGTTCGGAGAGAGCAGAATCGGGAAGTCATCGGGCCCTTCTCGGTGTTATCGAAATCCACCTCCAATGCACTCACGGGTCTTCTCCGAAAATGTCAATCTCTTTCTTATGTGGCGTTTCTGTTTCTGGCTATAATTGGCCTACTATTATCGTGGTCCACAGTTATCACGCGATTTATACTGGTTGTAACCAGGGATTTACGATTCTGGTCTCAAATAACAAGATACTATGGGAAGCTTATGCACATTCCGGCCATCCAGTAGTCTGGGGTGTCGTCACTAGTTCATTCATCGTGTATGGTAGGGTTAGCTGGACAGTATTCTTTTTTGAAGCTCAACGATCTATAGAAGTCCAATGATACAAACCTTGAAAGTACCCAATGTACATGGTATAGCGGTTGTACTCCGTAGTTGATAATGCAATATTCCTCCACTTTAAGCGAAAGTCTAAGTTATCCATTGGAGGATCAGAGAACACGTTAACTAGACACCATGGGGCACTGTTGGGCCAAGTCTCCACGCTTTCTTAGAGGCCCGCAGCCCCATACTCGCAAAACTCGGAGTTTCACGGATGACGAAGGACTTTTCCTTGAAAGAAGATGTTTTATATTTTATCTTGCGTCTTCCGAAGTCTTCCTTCCAATATCCCCCAAAATATTCTTATCCTTCTTTAAGGAATATACTCCACCATGAAGACAAAACAACAGCAGCAGCCGGTCTCTGCTTCTCACGACGAGAACATTCCTATAACAGAAATGTCTGCCACACATGACGAGACTCCTAGTGAAGATCCAAAAGTATGGATCGTTGGAGGAATATACCGCGAACAACTACACGATGAACAGTCACAACTCGATAATCGACTTTTACAAGAGGTCGACTTCGACCTGCCTCTTACCGTGACAAGGAGGATAGAACACAATGGAGGAAACTTTCTCGTGCTTGAATTTGCGGAGGGTGACAAGGAAAACCCGTTCAATTGGAGTGAAAAGAGGAAGGCATTCATTAGCGTTCTGCTTTGCATGATGACCCTTTTCATTGGTCTTGCCACAACAGCCTACAGCTCAGGTATATCGGATATGGTCGAAGAGCTAGGGGTTTCCACTGAGCTTGGTCAATTGGGTCTGTTTACATTCAATTTCACCTGTGCCCTTGCTCCCCTATTCCTTGCTCCTTTCTGCGAGCTGGCTGGACGACGAGTCATCTACGTCGGCAGTTATGTTTGCTTCTCCCTCATGTTCATTGGCTTGGCTCTTGGAAAGAACATTGCCACCATTATTGTGTGTCGCGCTCTGCTCGGACTTTTTGGATGTGTTGGAACCATCCTCGTCGGTGGCACCTTCGGCGACATGTATACCCCTGCTCACCGTGCCATCCCAATGGCCTCCTTCTCGTTCATCGCCATTTTCGGTACTGTCGCCGCCCCAATTTACGCCGGGTTCATCGATCAAGCTCTAGGATGGAGATGGGTGGAGGGTATTCAGGGTCTGGCAAACATTCCTCTTGGTATTATTATCGCCATTTTCCTATGTGAGACCCGTGGTGGTGTGACTCTATCCAAGAGAGCCAAGATGCTCCGCAAGAATACCGGAGATGAACGCTTCGTCACTCACAACGACCTCGAAGCCCCGGGCATCAAGCAGATGCTGCACAGCTCCTCCATTAAGGCCATCCGGATGCTCTTCACTGAGCCGGTCGTCTTCGCCTTCGGTCTCTGGATCAGTTTCGCCTGGTTCCTCACTTTCCTCTTCTTGTCTGTCATTCCGATCACATTCGCCGATAAGCGTGGTTGGGGCGAAGGTGTTGCTGGTTTACCTTACATCGCTCTCTGCATCGGTGCAACAATGGGTTTCGGTTTGAACTTCTTCCAGATCAGGAAGTACAAGTCTCTCGTCGCCGATCCCACTCGCAAGGTCGACCCTGAAGCCCGTCTGTACGGTGCCATGTACGGTTCTGTCTGGCTACCCATTGGTCTCTTTATCTACAGCTTCACTCAATACGCCCAGCTCAGTTGGGTCGGTCCAGTCATCGGCTTGGCCCTCATTGGTATTGGAATTTTCTTCATTTTCGAGTCCTGCTACAGTTATACATCTGACTGCTACGGCGAGAACTCATCTTCCGCTATCGCTGGCCAGGGTTTCATGCGTAATACCCTTGGCGCCGTCTCGCCGCTGTTCGCTACCCAGTTCTTCGAGAACCTGGGTAGTCAATACGCTGGTCTGCTGCTGGCTCTCATCGCCACGCTCTTGACGTTCATCCCGTTTGTGCTGTATAAATTTGGCCCAGAACTTCGCGCAAGATCGAAGCTGGCTAGCACTATTGTGGCGGCTAGTGCCCCTTGAAATATCGTTATCAAGCATTTGTGGTGTTAGTCCATTGATGGGCTGGTGATTAGTACATGCGACACCAGACGCAGGTGAATGAGTCTATTGGATATAGACCTACCAAGTTTATTATAAAGTGCCTGAATACAAAGAACTTGTCTGATATGTCCAGAGTCCTGGCTTCACGTTCACCAGTCATTGTATCATTTGTACGTGCGTTCACTCCAGTCACTGTTTTTTTGCTGTGGAGCATAGAAGCAAAATGTGATCAGGTGCTATTGCAGCTGGCTCTCTTGAAAAATTTCTTAAGAATGCTATAATTCAAATCATTCTGGATGACCCTAATTCTGTGGAAAAAACCCGGGGAAACAATGTCCCAAATGGGTAAGGAAGTGCAGTCCTATATAGGCCTAGTGCCATCACGTGATCTGTCAGAATCTTCCAGCTGAAGGCGGTGAATAGCACGTGTTGCTTTTTTGCTATTACACGTGACACCCAACAAGGCGGTGTACTCCCGCCTATCCCAATTCCAGAAATTTTTCGTGCAAAGAATCTTCAACCACTCCAATACCCCAATTTCACCCGCTTAATAAAAAAGGCAGTGATCCTTTGCGTGAGCCCATATCTCAAAAGATTTGGATTTGAACTCTTTCCACAACAATGGCCGAAGATACCAATGCCGGTAAGTTTCCACTGGATCTGATTTAGATATCAACGCTAATGCATCACAGCCTGGCCCATCGCCGACGAGACTCTTACCCAGTCTCTTCTCGACCTTGTCCAGCAGGCTTCCCACTACCGTAAGCTCCCGATCCGTTTCGCAGAGATTCTGATCTCTCGTCATCCCTCCAAACAAAGGCTAATACTTGAACAGGCCAGCTGAAGAAGGGTGCCAACGAGGCCACCAAGACCCTCAACCGCGGTACCTCCGAGATCGTCGTCCTCGCCGCTGATGCCTCTCCCCTGGCCATCGTCCTGCACCTCCCCCTTCTCGCTGAGGACAAGAACGTTCCCTACGTCTACGTTCCCAGCAAGATGGCTCTTGGCCGTGCCACCGGTGTCTCTCGCCCCGTGATTGCTTGCTCTATCACCACCAACGAGGCCTCCGAGTTGACCAGCCAGATCCGCACCATCAAGACCGCTGTCGAGCGTCTGATGATCTAAGGTATTCAATACCAAGATCCTCGCGGATGGAGGATTGTATCGAAGAGGACAGAGGATGTGGCATTGCTCGTGACCGTGAAGATGTGTTCGGCAGGAAGTAAATTTTGGTTCTTATTCCGGTCTCACGATTTGCTGTCCAAGACTTTAGCTAGATCTTTTCAGCTTGGAGATACAATTTCAGATCATTTTGAGAATTTATTCGGCATGTTCAAGGTAGTCGAGTACCAACCAGTATTCGGATTCAGCTCTTGAGTACTATGAGGCGCGCGCGAAAAGTATGACTGCTGTTCTTTCGCCTGAAACTCAAGTGGACAATTTAATGTGAGCTCGACAAGTATATTCAGTCTGGTAGGTTACATCCGATCTTCATCTCGCATGCACGTCACCGAACATCAGTCCGGAGAATTTATAACCGAAAGCTGGGGTATTGGTGGCATTCTTCAACGAAAGCTGGGGTATTGGTGGCATCCTTCAAGTTAAACTCGACACAAGGTTTCACTCGGGCTGTGATAACCCGATCCCTGTCAGTCATCAGAGCGCTAAAGCCACTTGATGGAACTGCCGAACAAGATCGACAGTGCCACCGGAGCCATTTCAAAGGCCAAAGCGCCATTCAAGCAGACACACACGCAATACCAAAGGGCGTTGGAATAGCTCGAAATGTTTCACAGCTCTATTTTCCTGAGGTTGAATCAACGCACTATGGTCAACAACACGGCATATTAAGGGGTTAACGTCGCTTGAGGAAGGTGAACTTACTCTTAGCAGCGGAGCTGACGGAGCCCTAACCCGATGTATCAGCTTAGCCTCAAGACCGCCGACCGCTCAATCAATGGCAGACGGCTTCGGGCCCTCTTTGACCCTCCAATCTCCATCTTCTATTTCTCATGTGGGGTTGTCTGGGACCCAAACGTGCCCACTTAGGCTCCCATGCCTCTTTAACATTGGCCGGGCAGTTTGCGTGCCCCGTCGTATCTCTCGGAGTGGTCCTTGACGAGACTGGAGCTTTCTCGGCTCCGGGTCATGCAATGGGGAGGTTTACGTGGAAGAATATTTTCCATGACTTAGGATGAGACTGAGATATGAAATCCGCCCCAGCTCAAGCCTGCTCTTGTTCTCAGGGGCATTATTTAATCTTTCTTAGTTCTTCAAGTCGGATTCCTCATCTTGTTCATTTCCTCTTGTTTGTCGTACATACATTACTTCTTATTCGACATGTTGTCAACTTTCCTCGCAATCGGCCTGGTGCCATTGCTGGTCACTGCTCAACTCTCTGGCTCTGTGGGCCCTACAACTTCATACGCTGATAAGGCCAACAACAAAACCTGCAACGTTCTCGACTACGGTGGTGTCGCAGATAACTCAACCGATGTCGGTCCCGCTATTAGCTCAGCTTGGGATGAATGCAAGGATGGCGGTGTTGTCTATATCCCGTCTGGCGCTTACGCTCTCGACACATGGGTCACTTTGACTGGGGGTAGCAGCTGTGCTATCAATATTGATGGAGTTCTCTACCGGACTGGAACCGATGGGGGTAACATGATCTACGTCGAACATACTACCGACTTCGAATTGCTCAGCTCGACTTCCGAAGGTGCAGTGCAAGGCTTTGGATATGAGTTCCATGCCAATGGCAGCATCTCTGGACCTCGTATTTTGCGTCTTTATGAGGTCGTCGACTTTTCCGTTCACGACCTTGCCCTTGTCGATTCCCCTGCGTTCCATTTCTCTATGGATACCTGTGAAAATGGCGAGGTTTATAATATGATTATTCGTGGCGGAAATGAGGGTGGACTGGATGGTATTGATGTGTGGTCGACCAACATCTGGATTCACGATGTGCGCTTTTATTATAACTGGGCTTATACTATACTAACATGATATATAGGTCGAGGTAACTAATAAGGATGAGTGTGTCACCGTGAAGGTGAATAGGAAAGTTCCTGATATGCGAATGATTCACTAACCCCACTCCAGAGCCCAGCCCAGAACATCTTAGTGGAAAGTATTTACTGTAACTGGAGTGGTGGATGTGCTATGGGCTCTTTGGCGACAGGCATTAACATCTCTGACATTACCTATCGCAACATCTATACCTGGTCCTCGAACCAGATGTATATGATCAAGAGTAATGGTGGAAATGGTACAGTTTCTAACGTCCTCCTTGAGAACTTCATTGGTATGACATCCACACATCCCTTTGCTACGATCCCCTTACTATTATTCCCTTACTATTAAGACTAATAACCACAGGCCACGGGAACGCCTACTCTCTCGACATCGATCAATACTGGAGCAGTATGAGCACCGCAGACGGCGACGGCGTGCAACTTAATAATATCACTTTCAGCAACTGGAAGGGCACCGAGGCCAATGGCACCGCGCGCGGTCCCATTCAAGTAAAATGCGCCGATACTGCACCCTGCACCGACATCACCATCGAAGACTTTGCCATGTGGACCGAGGAGGGTGACGCCCAGTGGTACAAGTGTGAGAGTGCCTACGGCGAGGGCTTCTGCTTGGAGAGCGGGAGCGAAGATGATTACACCTCCTATAGCACAACTGTTACTGCGACTGTTGCTCCGTCAGGATACTCTGCTGCTACCATGGCGTCGGATCTGACCGCTGCCTTTGGTACTGCCTCGCCTATTCCTATTCCTGCTATCCCGACCTCGTTTTACCCTGGTCTTACCCCTTACAGCGCTCTGGCTAGTGCTTCGGCGACTTCGGTGTACCCTGTTCGGGTTTAAACTTTTAATGTTGCTGGATAATGATATTTGAGTGCACATGCGCTACTTTGATTGGAATGCAAAGATTGGGTCTTCGTCCTGCTCCACTTTCACTATCTATGGAGATCGTAATGATCCATATAGGAATTCCAATAACAATGGACCCTAATGTTGACCATCGCGGTTATCACGTCATCACAACCTTGGGAGATCGTACACGAATGTCAGCAGGAGGAAGGAACATGAATCGACCAAAATCTAACATTTGACGCATATTTTAACCTTCTCGCAGTACTCATCCCATGGAATCCAGAGCTGACATGCATACGTATGATACATTCTCCCAAGGAATTAATTCCTGCCATCCGAATGCAAAGACCACCATGTCCAATCCCAACAAATCTCCAGGTCCTGAACCTACAGCGGACGAGTCTACGCCAACAACATTAACCGAGAACACAACCCCCTACAATGCCAAAGCCGAGGTTCTCAATCGCGCGATCCAAGAAATCGGCATGGGTCGCTACCAATGGCAACTATTTATCGTAATTGGTTTCGGCTGGGCAAGCGACAACCTCTGGCCGATCGTAATATCCCTCATTCTCGCCCCAGTGGCATACGAATTCCAGATCAGCAAGGAGGCACTCCTGACACTCGCCCAGAATATCGGACTTCTAGTCGGTGCCATTTTCTGGGGGTTCGGATGCGATATCTTCGGTCGGACATGGGCTTTCAACCTCACTATAGGCGTGACGGCGGGGTCGCCGAATTATGGCGTCGTTTGTACATTTGCTGCATTGTGGTCTTTCGGCGTGGGAGGGAATTTACCAGTAGATTCTGCTATTTTCTCGGAGTTTCTGCCTGGGTCGCATCAATTTTTGTTGACTATTCTATCGATTGAGTGGGCATTTGCGCAGGTTCTGGCTACCCTTACTGCGTGGCCGTTGTTGGGGGATTTGACATGTTCTCAGGCGGACGGGTGTACTAGGGAAAAGAATATGGGGTGGAGGTATTTTACGATCGCGATGGGTGGATTGGCGATGGTTATGTTTGTTGGTCGCTATCTCTTTTTCACTATCTATGAATCGCCGAAGTATTTGATGGGAAAAGGACGAAATGGGGATGCAGTGGATGTGATTCATGAAGTGGCGCGACGGAATGGGAAGACTTCGTCTCTGACCCGTGAGGAGCTTGATGAGTTGGATCAGGAAGATCAATCAGGAAATCAAACGGGCATTGTTCGACAAAGATTGGAGAAGCTAAATCTTGAACACGTTCGCGCATTGTTCGATAGTCCGAAACGAGCTTACTCCACGACGTTGATCATGCTAATCTGGGCTTTCATTGGGCTGGGATATCCTCTCTACAATGCCTTTATCCCATATATCACCGCCCAGCGTGGTGCACAGTATGGCGACAGATCAACATACATCACCTACCGCAACGCACTGATCATCGCCGTCATGGGCGTTCCAGGATGCCTTCTCGGCGGCATACTAGTTGAACTCCCACGATTTGGACGAAGAGGGGCTCTTTCCACCTCTACCACATTAACAGGTGTCTTTCTCCTTGTATCCACTACAGCATCCACATCCAATGCTCTGCTCGGATGGAACTGCGCGTTTAGCTTCATGAGCAGTCTGATGTACGCTGTGCTTTACGCTTATACCCCGGAGATCTTCCTCACCAAGGACCGTGGTACAGGGAATGCTATGACTGCGTCGGCGAATCGGGTGTTTGGTATCATGTCGCCCATCATTGCCATGTTTGCCAATCTAGAGACTGCCGCCCCGGTCTATGTTAGTGGTGCCCTTTTTCTCACAGCCGGGAAACTGGTGGTCTTGATGCCATATGAGTCCCAAGGAAAAGCCAGTCTGTGAGATATAAGCATCAAATAAATTAGTCAGACTCAAGCCCTAATTTTTGAATAGACTTTTCACGTCAATACAATATTCAGTGTAATGGATGTCAACTTTGAAGTTGATCAAGATTCAAGTCTGACATGCATGACATCATCTAACCGCCACAATTCATGGATGTATAGGATATCTGATACAGTACGCAGATCTTTAATATAAATGATTTGACAGATAACCGCCACTCTCGTAGACATTAAACAACATGTGTGCCATAACTATGAGATCAATGTGGAGACCGGTGGCTTTACGTCAGAATTAGCTGGGCCTGATGGGGTTGTCACATAGTGGATGCGCATGTCATTCGATCCATTGGTACCCGTTGGCGTGGAGTTAATCTAATAAGGTAATGTGGCTTGGAGGGTTGCACGCATTATATCATGGCTCAGATCAAGTTTTCGTCATTCTTACAAAATATTTATTTAAAGGAAGTGTGCATTAAAATAACTTAACAACAGCCTTCACCATCTACACCACATACTCCTACTTTATCCACAATCAGTTACACTTATCATGTCTGAACAAACCAGTATGTTCCCTCCCCACTCACTAGTAGTCACTCATGAAATTCTAACCATTTTCGATTAAGACAACGGCCTCCTCGGCGGATTGGGAGACACCCTTGGCAAAACAGTCGGAGGCCTCACCAATACAGCAGGAAACGCTGTTGGCGGGCTGGGTAGTACTGTCGGTGGCGTCACACAGGGACTAGGACAGACTGTATCAGGCGCGACTGAGGGTCTTGGCAACACAACAAAGAACACTGGACAGAGCATCTCGAATGGGATCTCGAGTGTTGGCGGAAAGGAACAAACTGCGGACAACCCGCTCGGCTTGAACCGATAAAGGATGGCAGAACAGTGGCCGAGCCGTTTGAATTGTTGACTGATGTACTATAGTAACTCATGTGTCAATTTCAGATTTTTATTTTGCGAATTAATGGGCTTGACTACTTGGATTTAGGCATCTTGCAACCTCTCTTCTTCATTCACATAGTCTGGATGAGTAAGTAGTCGCCCAAATAGGAAAATTATCATATCAGCTTGCTTGGTTCATACTCTGAAAAATGTTGATAGGATCGGAAATGGCGCCAGGTATGGAATAATATGGTTTTTGTTTCTTGGTTCGATTCCGATTTTTATCATCTGATAGCAGTGTGTAGAGTCTAACCTTTAATGACAGCACGTTTTTTCAGGTCTCAGTATGACAGGAATCCCGGCAACTTTAATATCCATGAACGGCATGAGGCTCAAAAACCAAATTTCTTGAATACTATAGGGCCGTTGTGGCCATAATGGACGGATTGGTCGGTCACAAAAAGCAAAGCCCGAAAAGATCGGGGACCAAAAGTCAATCGGCGACTGATTTGCTAATAATTTGGGTTCGGCCAATAGTGGACCATTTGCAGTATTCGGGAAGTTTACTGTAGGTTTAAATGTGGAGAGCGATGGACCCAAGATTTGCTGGACCCGTCAATCTCGTCATCTCGGCCGACATACGGCGAGTCATACGGTGATTGACACAAAAGACTTCCCAGGTTTGACCGTCTAAATTTCCAGACCAGCTGTGAAGAATTCTGCATTGCATACCTCACCGACGATGGTAGACAACAATCTGCATTCTGATCCTTCTTGCTCGAGTCAGCAGAGACAATACCAAGCAAAGAATGAATGCCAGCTCGCACAATGTCAGCTTGATTCCAAACATGATCGAGGATGGAGAAGGGTAATTCGTAACTTCACGCCTTCGTTCGTCTCCACCCGACACCAGTGTAGGACGATGCCGACATTACTGACCTCAACAGATGGTTCGCTGTCACTATGGGCACAGGCATCGTCTCGATTCTGTTGCATAATCTCCCCTACAATGGGATATGGATCTATTGGATCTCAGTCGGGATCTTTGCATCAAATGTGTTACTGTTTACCTTGGGCTGCATCATTAGCATCCTTCGCTATGCATTGTACCCGGAGATCTTCATGGTGATGATCACACACCCAGTGCAGTCCATGTTCATCGGAACTTTCCCGATGGGCCTCGCCACAATCATCAATATGATTGTATTTGTCTGTGTTCCTGCATGGGGAGAATGGACGAGATACTTTGCCTGGGGGCTATGGATATTTGACGCCGTGATTTCCGTGATGACAGCCTTGTCCTTGCCCTTTATACTGTACGATTATCTCTTTCAAATGTTGACTGCATACCTTACTAAAAAATATCAATAGAATGGCACAGGGAAATGAAACACCCCTGTCTTCCATGACCGCCGTCTGGCTTCTTCCCATCGTGAGCTGCATTGTGGCCGCCTCATCAGGTGCTATTGTCGCCGAAGTACTCCCAAACCCAGAATATGCACTATGGACCGTTCTCACCAGTTATGTGCTCTGGGGCATTGGACTGCCTCTCGCCATGATGGTCACGGCCATTTATCTCCAGCGCTTGACGTTACACAAGCTACCACCAAAGGCTGTCATCGTGAGTGTGTTTTTGCCCTTGGGCCCTCTGGGACAAGGCGGATATGGGTAAGACTTGCCCTTTTGATTTATTTCATTAAACTGAATTTCCATAGTATGATGAAGTTGGGTCAATGCGCTCGAGATATTTTCCCCAAAACCCACACCTTAGAAGAAGGTTCCGGACCCACCTTCTACACCCTCGGCTTTCTGGTCGCCTTGATCCTATGGTCTTTTGGGCTAGTCTGGCTCTTCTTTGCATCAGCGTCAATCGCCCGCTGCAAGAAATTCCCCTTTAACCTTGGATGGTGGGGATTGACCTTTCCGTTGGGCGTGTATGCAGCCAGTACCAGCCAGATTGGGACTGAGCTTCCATCCAAATTTTTTGCAGTGTTGGGAACGGTGAGTTGAACTAATTCTTTTCCCTATGTCAATTAACTAATTTTTTTGCATCGTAGATATTCTCCCTTTGTGTGGTGCTACTTTGGGTCATTGTGAGCATTGGAACCCTGCTCGGGGTGATATCGGGTAAGATATTTTTTGCACCGTGTTTGGCCGGACTTCGGGTAGTAGAGGAGAAAGAAGTGGGTAAAGCGGCATGAGTTGATAAGCTGGATAATTAATGGGAAACGAAGTCAAAAAAGTGTGATAGTGTGATAGCTTAGCTTGGGCTAGGGGTGCTATTCCCGTGACCCTCACGTGATGTGGAGAAGAAACTCGAATTTTGATTTTTAATTTTTTAATTTTTTCTTTTTTAATTTTTTATTATTATTTTCCCTAGTAATTCATCGAGATCCCCCAGACCGTCATCCACTTTGCCTTCCCCCAGATCTTTATATACCCTCATTTCCAAAACAGGGTATACTGGGGCTGTTAGGATCCTGCTAGAGTCCCCTGTTGGCCCTGGTGGTTCCTCAACCCCCTGAATCACATTTGAGTGCGTGTTGGGCCATTGTCTCTCAACTTGCGCTGACCGGCGGTACTCGGCCTCCGTACCCGCTAAGCTCTTTTGGGAGGGGCAAACTCCTGCCTTACTGCCTTGTGGCCTTGTGGCCTAAATCTCTTGGCCCGCCCGAAACAACAAAACACGCGGCGCGACTCTCACGGTCTCAACTTGAACTTGTGAAATTGTTCAACGCGCGACCACTGCGAGGGTTCGGAGCTTGACTTTATAACCTGGTCTTTCGTTCCAAATACTCCTGATCTTTGGCAAGTGGTGGTCGCATGTATTGTGAAGAGCGCCAAAGCTGAAAATCCCCCATCGAATCCCGCCGTTGGCCAATTCGAACCCACGTCATCGAAGATGATGGGATACGGGGGTCAACCCTTTCATCCCTCCCAGCAGCAACAGCAGCAGGCGCAACAACCGCATCCTTCCAATCAACCCCAGCATCCCCTGGCTCCTCAACGTCAGCATATTCCATCACCGTCGCTTGGCGCCGCACCGAACCTCCCGCAACATGGAAGTCCCTACCCAAGCAACAAGCCGATCTTCCGTGCACAACCGCAACAGAGTTTTACGGCTTCTCAATCCCCTGACTTGCGTAAGATGGCTCCAACCTCTACAGGGCCGTTGGCGGGGTATCCCACCACCACCAGTTTTGTGCCTCAATTTTCTGGTCATTTTACGCCGCAGGGCTCTCCGGATCTGATGTCGCGAAATCCCGATCCTATGGCTTTGCAAAACATCCAAAGGGGCGCTTATGGCCCGATCGCCCACTTGCGACAGCAACCAGGAATGAGTCCGGGAATGAGTCCGGGGATGAGCCCCCCGACCGGCATGACACATCAGCACACCGGCGGGGTATCATCGCCACAGCAATCTTTAAATAGACTGCCTCATTCGGGCGTTCATCAACGAGATAGCTATGCATCGGCCAGCCCATCCATGGCGAGTCCATCTATGTTTGCCATTAACCAGCAGAGACAACCTCAATCTCAGCCGCAATCCCCTCAGCAGACACATCAGCAGTTACAGCAGAGGCAGGTACAATATCAGCAGCAGCAGCAACAACAACAACAACATCATCAAGAGAGAATGCAGCAGCAGCGGATGGAGCAACAAAAGCAGATCCAGCAACAGCAGCAGCAACAACAGCAGCAGCAGCGCTTGGAACAGCAGCAGCAGCAGCAGCAACGACTGGAGCAACAGAAGCAACTGGAACAACAGCAAAAGCTAGAGCAGCAGAAACAAGAGCAGCAAAAGCGACTTGACCAGCAACAACAACAGCAACGTCTTGAAAAGCAACGCTTAGAGCAGCAGCAGCAGCAGCAGCAGCAGCAACAACGACTCGAGCAGCAAAGGCAGCAGCAGCAGCGCTTGGAAAAACAGCGATTGGAGCAGCAGAAGGAGCTTCTGGAGCAGCAGAGATTACAAAAGTTACAACAGCAAACTCAAGCACAAAATCCTTATCAACAACAACAATCTCCTTTTGCGCAGCATGCGCAGCCTCCGTTCCATCAGTACCAGCCACCAACCTTCGTTCAACAACCCGTCCAATTCACCCAGCCAGCTCAGCCCCAATTCGCACCCTCGCAACAGACCCCTCAGTTCCAGCACTACCAACCACCATCACAACCCTCGGCAGAAGTTGCACACTCATCCGTGGTGCAACCTGGAATGACATCTGCGGGGAACCAAGTCATCAACCAGGCCATCAAGATGGAAGAACAAAGCCCTGCTCCAAAGAAGAAGACGCCCAAGCCTAGGAACTCCATGGCTGCCCCGCCTCAGTCTACCCAGGCTCAAGCACAGCAGAACATCCCTGTTCCTGTGGCGACTGCTACTCCTGCTCAGCCTAATGGCCAATTGCAAATAACCTCCGGTGACCCTTCGACCCCGACCCCAAAACGTAAACGCGGACGTCCCCGCAAGGAGGAAGTGGCAGCTAGAGCTGCTCAAGCTGCCGCCCATGCTGCAGCAAACGGTCTACCCTACCCGGGAACACAGCCCGGACAAGCATCGTTCAACCCTAATATGACGCCCACGGCCGCTGGTTCAGCCGTGGCTACTCTGACGCCTATCATTGGCCCCGACGGAACGCCATTGCCCCTTAAGCGCAAGCGTGGCCGCCCCCGCAAGGCAGACCAAATTGCCTGGGCAGCTGCAACTGGCCAGCCATTACCACCACCGAAGCCGAGGAAGCCGGCTGTACCTAAGGCAAACAAGCCTAAACAACCTGGAACTGGTCGGCCTCGAGGCAGACCTCGTAAATCAGATATTGCGGCTGCCGCTGCGGCCGCTGCGGCGGCCTCTGCTGCAGGTGGAAACCCGGTACAGGCAGAGAACAAGCCGAACTTGGGGGATAATACAGAAATGAACCAGGCTCGTAAGCGTGTGGCACTCAGCGGAGATGATGATCCAAGCAAGCGACCTTGTCCGACGCCCCCATACCCTCAACAGAGTCAAATGCAGCAGCAGCAACAACAACAGCAATTACCACAGAACCACTCGCTACCTCAGCCTGGGCAACCAATGCCAGGTCAACCGATCTCTGGGCAACCAATGACAGGTCAACCGATCTCTGGGCAATCATTGTCAGGGCAGTCGATGCAAGGCCAGTCAATGTCAGGGCAGTCAATGCAAGGTCAATCGATGTCAGGGCAGTCGATGCAAGGTCAATCGATTTCAGGGCAGTCAATGCCACAGGCTCATCACCTCCAACAGCAGGCTCAACACATGGCAGCCCAAGCAGGTCAACACATTCCCCAACAAATATCACACCAGCCTGGGCAGGGTCTCTCAATGCAGCATATGCAAATGCACCAACAGTCTCCTATCCACTCAGGGCGGCCTACACCCCCACAAGCGTTTATGCAGATGCCTCCAATGCAGCATGTCCAAGCCCAATCGATGCACGGACATCCTCAGCCCCAGCTTCAAGGTGTCCAGACACAAGGGAGAGTTCCACCCCAACCTGCACCGCAGCATCAACACCAACATACATTCCAAATCCAACTTCAGCCTCAGCCCACCTAGGCTAGTCTGTTTGTTCGCACTGTATATGCTGCTTCAGTGGTTCTACATAATTCCACCTATACTCAACTCTGCATCGATTCCCCTTATATTGCAATTCAGTTCTTTCGCGCCTTATTCCCTTTTCTTTTGTTATCGGCATATCTTTCACGGGTGAAGATGAAGTGGGATATTTATTTATGTCTTGGCGTTTTGCGTCTGATATTTTGATCTTGATTAGGCATGATGGGCATTTATTCTTCATGGGGTCCTCTTGTGTTCACTTAGCCGGTGGTTTAGTTGTGTTGTGATTTTCCGAGCTCTGACATATATCTAATTCTGTAGTACATATTTCTAATTCAAGTTTGATGTACGGGTCATATCCATTCAAGGGTTGAAATGAAATGTTGTCACGAGTTCATGATATATATACCTCAACCTCTCCATGGATGTTGATGCTCCAACATTATATTGGAATTACTGTAAATAGCCGATTTCGGGACTCGGTGACATCCAAATATGTAGGGTCAAATTGGCAACTTCCATACGAACATTTGAACCTGTAATGATGTGGTCAACAGATCAACTAATTAATGACTCGCTGTAGACAGACATTTTCATGATCAATTAGAACTCTAAGTACCAGGCAAAGAAACATTCTTGGCTGAGGACAAGAATGAAGCTAGGAGTAAACCAAATAGTATGTACACATTGAGTGAGCAGCAATCTTCCAGTTGGAGTCTCAAATCCCCCCGACTTCAAAATTGATCAAGTCCTCCAATCCCTCCATCCTAGAATCAACCTCTTTAGCCCCAAGGCCTACCTCCCCGCCTAACGTCGCCGCACTGGGCCAATCCTCCAAATCAACCTTGAGCATAGTCGCAACCCTTCTAACAACATGATCACACAACAAGAACGCCCGTCTAGCCGCCGCATCCACAGAAGCCATGGTATGAATCCACGAAAGAGCCTTCTTAGACATTCCAAGCGCGGTATTCAAATCCGAGTCCAGAAGCGACGGATACGGCGCACCAGATAGACTAGTCGCATGTTCAGCCTGTTGCTGTAGACCCGTATCCGGTGATGCGAAGGAACAGTATAACAATCCCAGTAGCAAGGCGGTAGTAGACTGCATAAGGAAATGAAGAACGCTCCACCAAGGCGTGACACGCGCAAGCCAGGCGATATCGACTTTCTCCGGAAAAATGGAGATGAGCGAACACGATGCTTGGAGGCAGTTCGTTGCCATTTCAGCGCGTAGCTTCGCGCGGGATGTATGTTCTTGTGGAACGACTTTATGGTGGCTCAGGCTCAGACATGGTCTGCAAAGCGTTATTCTTGCGGAATAATAGTTCAGTGCCAGGCACACTCGTTCACGTGTATGAGGGATGGATTCGTCATCCAGTTGGACATGATTGAGAAGCCAGGGACTGGAGTTTGATTTCGTGAATTGGTAAATTGGGGGTAACTTGGAGAGCCAGCGGTCCATGCGGAGAGCGTATATCTGTAGACGGTATTCTGTTTGAGTTGATCCTTCGCGGATGCCTTCGATGCTGTACACTCTATTCAAGACGGATTGAGAGATGAGAAAGAGATCTACTAGGTAGTGGAAGAAGAGGGATGGGCTTGATGGGACGGTGAATATCCAGGGTGGCACTTGGTGTGGTTCGTTGAGCTTTTCGAAGAGTGTGGCGGAGACTTCGATTTGGGTTGTTTGTCCGTGTTGAAAAAGACGTTGAATCTCTGGTTGATCGAAATTCTCTTCTTCCACTGGTGTTGGGAGCTGGACTGAGCAAAGATTCTCTCCAACGCCAGAGACTCGGCCGTGCATGGACGTGAGGAGATGCTCTAAGGAGTAGATGGACCACCATAAACGGCAGCGCGCTTCCTTTGATGCATGGTCTGTTCGCTCATCCATGAGACGAAGGTTGATGCCAAGCGAAATTGCCGAGTGGATTGCCATGTTGACGAATTTAGATGCCCTGCATTAATTAGTACCTAGATCCAAAATTCGAAAATGGGACGCACCTATTCACTTGCCCGGTACAAAGCAAGTAGACGGCAACCAATGACTCTAACTGGATTTGTTGAAGCCCAGTGTGCTCAAAGAGAATATTATCGTGCAAACTGAGTTGTCTCGCGCGCGTCAAAAACACGATGTGATCATCATAAACGTCGCTGTTAGTGTGGTTCATCAATCGACAATGTCGACATCCAATAGCGAAAATCATGTTCAGCACGGCTAGCCACTTGCGTGGAGGGCCAGATGGCAGACTGAAAGACTGCAGATACTGCTGAGTAAAGGTTGATTGGCGAACGGCACTGAAGAAAGGATTGACGAACGTCATATAAGCATTGAAATACTCATCAGCCCGTTCTCTCGGTGGCATCTCAAAAGGGTCCGATTGAGTATCCACCATTGGAATTTCCAAGTCATCTAAATGATAGTTCATCATGGCAATAGGGATATCCCTTGCTAATCCATTGCTCTGGGGTGCGGAATCCACGTGGCCCTCCGAATGGGCTAGACGAGGGGAGCCAGATATTTCTCGACTGTCGCTTCGTCTCACACTATCCTCCAGTTTCTGCATCCAGGACACTTCAGAGCTCTTGCCGAAGAACCCAGCAGCGCGCGTCTGCTCGTTCCGGTTCAGATCTTCACTGACTACATCGATGTCTTCCAGAGAGCCCACCGATGTTGAAGAATCGGAATCCTCAGGATGTTTTGTGGACTTCCCGTCTTTAGTCTGGAGAAAGCTTGGTCAACCCACGGTCAGAAAGCTGATTTCGATAGTCCCCGATGGAGATGAGACTGGTATTGATTGTACTCACCTTCAGCACTTTCCTGATTTTCCGCGCCGTCGGGCCATCAACCTCAGACTCCACGCTACGAAGGGTCTTTTCATATTTTTCCACACGACTTGTGAGGGACTTGATTCTATTCTCGTCCCGGATTCGTTTCACTTCTTCGTAGACACAGCGATTATTGTGATATATGCACTGTCCACAAGTTGGTCGCTTTCCATCGCATTTTGTTTTGCGTTGTCGACAGGATTCGCATGCGCGTGCTGAACGTCGTCGAGCTTGGGCGCTACTCGCACTAGATAGACGGGGGATCGCGACTTTTTCTAGCGGGACCGAGTCCGGAGTATGACCTATATCTGTGCTGGATGCCGAAGGTGTAGGGCCGAATGTAGGAAAGGGATTCGGTATCAACGTATGTGGCGTAAACGGTGCGGTATAGAAAAACTCCTGTGGGGCGAGAGAGGATCGAGGGCTTGCGTTCGTGTGTGGCGCCCAGTAAGAACCCGTACTAGTCGGCGTAGGTTCTTGGTAAGGTGAGTTACGTTGAGATCGCATGGCCACAGTCTATAAGGTACATGAAGAAGATGAGAATTCAATATTTCTGATGGGCTTGAGATGAAAATATGCCTCGAAACTCGATGGTCACGCACGGCGGCGAGAGACCGGTTCAAATTTGACAAACCGGTCGAGTTTGAGCAATCTCCCCGCTTTTTCTTTAGTCCCGCCACTTTTTCCCATTTGGCTCAAGCAAGTAAACATGGTCGGGGATAAATGGAGGACTCCGACTTGTTGGATATGTGACCTGTGGGGCGGCAAAGCATACTTGACGTCAGATTTAGGTCAACCACGACGGTTCCACCTAAACCTCCTTCACTGCAAGATAATGAGATATTTGGGATTCTTGGCACGGTGACTGCCCTGAGCCGTTGTTGATTTCTAAACACAAATTGGCTCAGGGGATAAAAAATCCAGATCAATCAACATCTCACAGGACGATGTCTTTCCAAGAAGACGTCATCCTTGCCCAGACTCAGACTTTCATAGCGATCCAGCATATCTGAAAGTCCCATTCCAGGGTAATTCTGGAGATCGGCACCCTCACCAATACCATGGTACTTTTGTTCTTGGTTTAGCTTCTCCAGCCCCTCGGCATAGTCGTCAAATCGATCATAACCTCTCCTGGTCGATTCCTCATCGAACAGGTCTTTAAGCTCATCCGAGATTGAGCTTACGCCACGAATCCGATTCCCCTGAGCCTTGGCCCGCACGGATTGTCGGAACATGTGGAACAGGTTTCGTCCCAGTGCCGATCGGCTAGCGACTATGGAGAATGCGGTCGCTAGAGAAAGAAAATCCGGATCGAGAACGTCAAAGCCCTCTTGCTCCAGCATTGTGAACAACGCAAGGTTGATAGCATACATAGCGAATTGATGTGCGCGGCTCAGCCCGTATTCCTGTCTATGGAGATTTACCAGCTCAGTGATCCCCCGCGCTGCCGACTGCGCAACATCCCAAGCATTATACTTGGACTCAGGAGTTCGTCGTGGAGGGCTTTCGGGTGTGTGCGGCGCTTCGGATGTAGAACCTGAAAATTCGCTGTCGGAAATACAGCTGAATAGATTGATGATCAAAGTATGATATCGCATTCTAGAAAGTCAATTCATGCCATCAACTTTATGCTGTTTATGATTCTCTTACCTCAACAAAAGGATATGTGGTGGTGGGTCCGTCGACGCAAATGCACCGGGTAACAACGCCTCCCACCGTCGCAGTCGCTCATATAAGACCTCTCGATTCTGGCGCTGGAGAGACTCATCCCAATTTTCGCCCGAAAACATGCTGCGTGAAATATCATGTCCAATGGCGGATAAGTTGCACGCCTCATAAAGGAACTGCTTGAGGTACGATGGGCGCGGCTTCCGATGCGTCGGGTAAGGAGTCCACTGGGGCTGACCCCCTGCGAAGTCGCGCTCAATCCGAGGAAGGTTAACATGATCGATCAAACATGGTCTGAGGAATCCAGTATGAACCGTCCTGGAATGTGTCAGCATTGGAAGCAGCTCGGTCGGCCTTACATACGTGTCAATGTTGAAGAGTCCCCACGCCGCCCTTCTGCACGACAAGTCCATGTCTTTCGATAGCTGGTTCGACGCTATTCTGGGCCCTTTGTCTCCAACCAATCCCAGCGATTCACCAATTCGGATAGCTTCGTGCAGTGTGATATATCCCAGGTCGTTGTTGTGCGACATGGCATATCTTTCATACATCAGAAGCGTTCCTTGGAGCAAAACTAGGCTAGGTTGAGTACTCTGTAGCTCTTTCAATCTCTCAGCCTCAGCGAGGAAGTCGCAACCTTTGGAGGCGATGTTTCCGGGGACGACATAAGCTTCTGAGAACTCTGAAAAATACTACTTAGCATCAGTGATCATCCAACAACGTACTAACGATGACACATACACAGGCGTTACTCAACATCGCATTGACCAGATAGGGACTGCAAAACTCCGATCGCAAATCCCCGGAAACCATATTTTTCAAGAATACATCTTGATCCAAGCTCCCTTGGAACGGATAATCCCAAGTGAAGTACAACGACACGAGATTCGATACCAAATCCGCATCATCGGTGACATTTGTCCACGGATGTGCAGGGACCTTTAAAGGAGCCTCATCACAAAGGTAATGAATATCCATCACCTTGCTTCGAAAGGCAGGACCATCAGCTTCTACATTGAGAAGGTAACGCACATCCTCTAGCTTAGCCACCGTCTCACGAGGCGTGGTCTTGTCCGCACCAAGGGAGGCCAGTGTTTCATTGATATAGGATTTGACCTCATGTGGGGGAGCATTGCGTCGAATGATATCCAGCAGCTCCAAGACACAAGTCTCGTCTGCTTCACGGACAAGTTTGAATATATCATTCAACAAGTCACGGTGGTAGCCCAGCTCGTCAGCCGTGCGTTTAGCTGCCACACGACGTCTTTGATCAAGTGATTCATCAAAGATACATGTGCGTTGAAAGGCACTACAATTTTCGCATGGCGGTGTTCCCGAACACTGGCCATCATCAGCTTTTATCTGACCAACTCATCTAGACCTGGATACATACCTTCCGTTTTGATTTCTTACAAGCCAAACAAGCAGTCGACACCCTCTTCTTCCACAACTGACCAGACGTCGACATACTATCATCTCTCGAAGAACTCCCATGATCCAAAGTCGACGACAAACCTGATGCAATCTGATAATGCTGGTCATTCATAGCGTAATGCGTGCCGTCGTAAAATATACAATCGTTGCCAGGTTTTCGATATGTACAAGCTCGATGCAGGGAACGCGATCAGACATCTCCTACCTAAATGGCCTTCAACAGTGGCGGGTGGCACAAACACCCCAAACACCGAGTAGCCACAGCGATGGACTCAATGTTATATCATATCCGACGCAGGCGCCTCCATGATGGCGGCGGCAACAGGATTGAAGCCGGATAATCTTGGACAAAGATATCCATTGCAAGTAATATAAGTAAATTTCGACAAAAAAACCCAGCACGGGTGACGTTCCCCTGAATAGCAAAAATGTCCAAGTAGAAATACAAACATTGAGAACAATCCAAAACTATATTCATGCCTGCGTTGGTACTATTAGTGGCTAGTGACGCAGGATGAAGTCACCGGGATAAACACCCACCTATCCTAGCGAGATGCGAATAGCCACAAACAAATAAAGTGGATTCGTGTAGCACATAGTGCTTACTCCAGGTATAACCTGTTTTCTCCGACAGGCAATATCAGACTAATGGGGATTTCGACATGTATTGTCTCGCGGTTCTTATTGCCAGCCATTCGAAACCCACGATCAAACCTCTTTAGGAAGTCACGTCGATCAAGTGTCGGGAACGAATGCCGAATAAGTGCTACGATTATTATCACTTCTGAAATCATAATTTATTAGTTGGACACATTGGAATGTCCAGACTTATGTCCGAGCTTTACCACATGTGTCACCACGCTCGCATGTAATCTATCTCTAATCACGAAGAGCATTGAAACACGCTATTCCAGTTCAGATATGTTAGCATGGTCTCATACATTGAATCGTATTGAAAGAATCTCATCGCTTGATATGCATAGTGTTCTATAAACAACTGTAATACGAATACCAGCATCTCGCAACCTCTGCGCTCGTCGACAACATTCCTTATAATATGCTCTCAATGTCCCAATGGCTCCATCCTTCGGTAATATGAGATCTAGCTGGCGGCAGAAGAGATTCAGGGATGTCCTTTAGCTCAATGATAGATGAATGGCTGCTAGAGGCTTTTGCAGATATGCTCGAATGAGATCAGCCATGTTGTAATCACAGGGTTCTCCATATTAGTATATCGCCCATTGGCGTCGATATCTTTGCTTAGAAGGTCGGTGACTTCTTAATCTGGCCGATCCAAAAACTATTTGCATTTCGAAAGACATCATGAAATTTTCATTTATAGAAAAAGCAGCTTTTACAATTGCCAAAGGAAGAATCGCAAGCTGCCTAAGGGGTGATAAAACCTCATTGTCATCTTGCGAAAACGATATATCTAAGAATATATCCATGGATAAGCCTAAAATTCACCAGATCAATCGAGTTTTAACTCACATTCAAAGCTATAGAGAGATCAACAGGGGGTTTCTTTGAAGATCATTAGCCCAAATTTATTCCTGTTCTAAGAAACGTCCTCAATGTACATACTCTGTTTCGGAATAAAATTCTCAACACATTTCTCCCACGGGATCTACAGTCTGTGTGCTCACTGTAATCTTCCGTTGCTATCTCGATCAGATATCGCTATTTACCGTTCTCCAAACAAAAATTTTGTATTTCCTGTTCCACGTTGCAGCGCAAGTAAAGATCTTTATTGAATTGTCCAGCCCACCCTTCGATGAACCATCGCTTGGTTCTCTCCGTTTCAGTGACAATAATGACGAGCATCGTGTGGACTTTGAGTACATCGTCATCAATCCCTTTTTACCAGAATTTCCGGTTCCAATCAAACGAAAACACTTTACAAGGGGCTTATGTCTGTCCTTGGGCACCAAATGCTTCGTGGCCTCTCCCTCCAAGTGAGCCACTGGGTTGTTTGCATCCAAGGCGCCATCGACGTACTAGCGAGATCCGATCAAAAAAGGATCAAAGAAGCTCGTCGCCGCTGATATAGCCAGAGCTGCATCGCAGATGGTCGCAAGGATATTGGATACCCCACGGAATTTATAACGCAGTCGAGTTATTCCGGTGGTCGCTTTAGCAGTGGCACAAACAAAGCTTCGTCGTTGGCTAACAACAGGACAGCATTGGCAATCTCAGTAATTGATAAAAGTGTTCCTATCTTAATTAGCGATGTGCTACAAATAGATAGCTGAGAAGAAACTATGCCAGGCCGATGGCACGTTGAGTAGAATATAAATGCCTGAGTGGATCGATGCCTTAACTGATTAGTGGGTCAATATTAGTCATAAACTTCGCTCTTCAACTCCGGATTTGATCTCCTTGCGATGCGATCTCTAATTAGCGCATCTTCAGTCGCTCTCAACATAATCCGGAACGACTTCCTTTCAGCTGACCAGGATCCAGTCCCCGTTCTCTCCTGATAGTATCACTCGCATCTCCTGAAAGCTACACACGATGGCGCACGGCGCGGAAGACTGCGCGACCGTCCTGGAGCACTTTGTACACGATGCAGCAAATCTGCCAGCTGAGATCAATCACTTGATGGAGGAGATTCAAGCCAAAGACAAGATCATGCAGGAATGCCGGGCCACTATCAACTCTCGCGACGGAAGCATACAAAAGTTCATCAAACTCAACGGTAGCCTGGCGCCCAACCCAAAAGAAGAGCAATACAGCAAATCCGTCCTCCAGAACATCGACCGCAGCCAGCAGATTCAAGAAGAGAAGATCCAACTCAGCGACAAAGCCTGTATCCTTCTTGATCGCCAAATCAAGCGACTGGATGTGCGCATCCGCGACCTAGTCAGAGAGGGTCTACTCACAAATGACCCTCCTCTACCCTCCCTGTTTGATAACAAGAATAACTACCGCGATCCACCCCGTATCTTCTTGCCGGACGCCAACCCCTCAGAACCATCTTCCTACTCCACCCCTCTCAACCCGACGTCTGGAAACACAAATCCCATCCTGGCTGCCGCACAGCGTCTAAACCAGTCCACCACTCCCCGCCCTGTCCCCTCACTCGTCGTGCAAGCTGCCGCCCGAAACTCTGCACCTGCAACCCCAGCTGGAACTACAGGGGTGCACCTCCAACAACGCCAGCGCGAGTCCTCCGCTGGTGCAGTGGACAGTAAACGCCGACGTTTGAATCCCTCTCTAAACACCCTCCCGGTCGCCTCATCAAACCTCCGCCAAACTTCTATGGGCCCTGGGACGCCTAAGGCCGGGACACCGACCGCCAGCCGTGCAGGAAGTGCAGGCCCACGCGCGAGCGGGGCGATCAAAAAGCCCCTTACGAAGAAAATTGCGCCTCACCAGCAAGTAAAGAAGATCAAGTCTTCCAGCAAACCGAGTAAACGATCTTCAAGCGCTAGCCACCGGGTGAAATTGTCCAAGAAGTCGCCCAATGGGGAAGGCGATGAAGATGATGACTCGATGCTTAGCAGTGCCGACATGTCGGACTCTGATAAGAGCGATACGGGTGGAGGTGAAGATGACATGGATGATGAGGAGGAAGAGGAGGAGGGAAACGAGGATAGCAAGGTTTATTGCACTTGTCGCACTGTCAGCCATGGAGATATGGTGGCATGCGATAATGACAGCTGCCCGTATGAATGGTTCCATTGGAAGTGTGTTGGTTTAACGAGGGAGCCTGTGGGGACATGGTTCTGTGATGAGTGCAGGAAGACCCTGGGCAAGTGATTTGTCCTCTTTTAAATTTCTTTGATTTTGGTTTATACCCACGGCGTTGGGGGACAAAGGGATTCATATTTCAAGTTTATACGAATATCAAGATGCATTTTCGACTTTGCTAAACTACTTTTGCACTTCTGATAATAGCCCACTTTAGTACGTTACGAAGACAAGGTACTCCACTTATAATGAAATCTACACCATTTAGCAATTTCATCCAAGAAACCCAAGTTGGTATTTATCTAACCACATATCTAACATTCAGGATATGCCTATCCGTAAGATAAGGTATAGCAAGACCGCATCGCCCACAAGAAGTGGATGCCGAGGGTAAAAGTAATAAGTCAACGCCATCGCTATGCACATAAATTCCTTTTTTCTTTTCCTTCATCTTCCATGCAAATGTGCGGACACGGGAAGCCGTGTCTGTAATCAGGTACAGAGTGAGAGGCTAACATGCTCTCACTCGTTGGCTGACGAGATCACATTTCAAAGCCTTCGGTCGATGACTTGAATGGACCCGAAAGACCAAAGCAGTGCTTTTAGAACCCGAGGTTCTTCTCAAACCAAGGATCAAAGTATTCACAGGTCTCCGGGCTGATGGCTCCACCGGGAGTGCAGAGCCGGAAGCTTGGGCACGGACCACAGGGTGACTCGGTCATACCGTTCTTTCCCAGGTCCCTGGCAGATTGAGGCTCATCGCCACCATCCAGTGGCTTGCGAGCTTGGTTGGCCTTGACGGCTTCCGGGTCTTTTAGGGATTTGTAGTATTTTCCGTCATTAAGGGCGACAAGCTTCTTGTCGAAGCAGAGCATATGCAGGAGTTGAATGATACTCTCCGGGGTGAGCTGGACCGGAGTAATACCGCTCTCGTTGACGGCGCGGGTGATGGCCTCGGGAGTTGGATATCCAGTGTAGTTGGCAGGGTAAGGAAGGAAAACTTTCTCTGAAGACTCCGGCTTGATATCGGCCTTGCCGCTGATAGTCTTGATCCGCTTGTTGGACCGACCGCGGTCGGCGGATCCTTCGTACCAACTCTTGCGGCTGACGGTGTACTCGATATATCCGGCGACACTGTTGATGAAGTTTGCGTCTAGCACACCATCGGTGAACCATGCGCCTCCGGTAACGTCCTCGCTTGGTGCCAGGCCGGCCAGCATGTACATCTTCTTTGTGGGATGCTTGACATTGTGGACGGTTTTGATGTAGTTTTTGCCTTCGAGCGATTTCAGGCAGCGGTCAAGGATAGATTTGTGTAGGTTAGTCCGATTCTGAATGTTGCGAATCCAGACGCCGGAGCGGCCACTGGAGTGGATGACACCGAAGACTAAACCTTCATCGTCGCTGAGGTTCTGGAGTCTGCGAAAAAGAAAAACCGTTAGTTTCGGTTGCGCCTTTACGGGTTTCAAGGAGTCTGGCATACTTTTCAGCATCTTCGCGGGCGACAATGCGCCAGACGAGGCGCTTGTTCTGGCCTTCGAGAAGTCGAAACAGTTTCTGATTAACCAGGAACTGGGCGCACTCCAGTAGGAGCTTAACATCATCATTGGGAATGACCGAGACACTGAGAAGGTCCTGTTGGTAGAAAGAGTGGTCCGCGTCGAACTGCTCTGCACAGGCGTCGTAGAGCTGCGAGGCAAGCTCTTTCACTTGAGACCCCGCGGCGGCCATGGTCGGGAAGTTGGAGAAGGGAACGGAGTCAGACTCGATGTGTGACAAGATAACAGGGGATCAGGGGATCATTGGAGGGGGTGAGATGGCATTGTTCGACTCGAGCCTCTTGCAAGAGCAGGAGAAGTTAAAGGAGCATGATTAACTCGCTCGTGTGAGTCAATAGTCAAGAAAAATTGTGAATCACAGTGTTTTTTGGCGACTTTTTCGCAGCGGGGATGTCGGGCTTCCTTATTAGGATTAGCGTATCCGGAGCTTTAACATTTGACTTTTGTCTAGCCTCAGGCATCAACTTCAAAGGACGGAAATTTCCAGAAGCTCACGGTAGACTGAGCTCATAAATCAACGACTGGAACCCCAGTCAAAGTCAACTCTTCCATATACCCCCATTTATATCTTTCACATATCTCTCAATATGGCTGACGCTTTGAAAGCCGAGGGCAACAAGGCCTTCTCGGCCAAGGACTACCCGACTGCTATGTACGTTAATACCCCGCCTTTAGGACTTGAAACGTTGGAGACTGGTGCTGATATGGGGTTCACAGTGAGAAGTTCACTCAAGCTATCGCAATCGAATCCGAAAATCACATCCTCTACTCTAACCGTTCCGCTGTTTACGCTGCCCAAGCCGAGTACCAAAAAGCTTTGGAAGATGCCGAGAAGGCGATCAGTATCAAGCCCGACTGGTCCAAGGGCTATGCCCGTAAGGGAGCTGCCTACAAGGGTCTGGGAGACCTCCGTAAGTGATTTGTTGCAATGGTATTCAGTTCCAAGCGATCGGTGACTGATAAATTACTAGTGGCCGCCCATGACGCATACGAGGAGGCATTGAAGATCGAGCCCGAGAACGCCCAGGCCAAGTCAGGAATGAGCGCCGTTCAGCGCGCCATCAATGCCGAGGCCACCGCCGACGGTGTTGAGGGAGACCCCAGCGCTGGTCTCGGAGGCATGTTCAACGACCCGGGCCTGTACCAGAAGCTGGCCAGCAACCCCAAGACCGCTCCCCTGCTTGCCGATGCCGAATTCATGGCCAAGCTGAAGAAGATTCAACAGAACCCCAACAGTGTCGGAGAGGAGATCCGCGACCCGCGTTTCCTGCAGGTGATGAGTGTGCTACTTGGAATTGATATGAACTTCGGTGAGGGTGGTCCTTCCGGCGCCCAGGACACCCCCATGCCTGATGCCAAGCCTGCTCCGCCGCCGCAGCCCAAGAAGGAGCCTACTCCTGAGCCGGAGGATGAGGAGACCATCGCCAAGAAGAAGGCCCATGAGGCTGGTGATGCGGAGAAGAAGATTGGTAACGACTTCTACAAGCAGAAGCAGTTCGACCAGGCCATTGAACACTACGAGAAGGCGTGGGAGCTACACAAGGACATCACCTACCTGAACAACCTTGGTGCTGCCAAGTTCGAGAAGGGTGATTACCAGGGCGCCATTGAGAGCTGCCAGACGGCCGTGGAGGAGGGCCGTGAGCTGCGTGCTGACTTCAAGACCATTGCCAAGTATGATGACTCGTTGGCTTTCTAAGAAAACTCTTACTAACCCGTTTTAATAGGGCCTACACTCGCATCGGCAGTGCCTACGAGAAGCTGGGTGACCTCACTCAGGCCATTGAGTTCTACCACAAGTCTCTTACCGAGCACCGCACACCCGAGGCCTTGGCCAAGATGCGCGCCGCCGAGAAGACCAAGCTTACCAACGAGAAGAACGCCTATATCGATCCCGCCGAGGCTGAGAAGGCCCGTGAGCTTGGTCAGCAGAAATTCCAGGAGGCTGACTGGCCTGCTGCCGTGGACGCTTTCACCGAGATGACCAAGCGTGCTCCCACCGATCCTCGTGGTTACTCAAACCGCGCCGCCGCCCTTATCAAGCTGATGGCGTTCCCTCAGGCCGTCCAGGACTGCGACGAGGCCATTCGTCTTGACCCCAAATTCATTCGTGCTTACATGCGCAAGGGCCAGGCCCTTATCGCTATGAAGGAATTCAACCGTGCTCTGGACACCTTCACCGAGGCTGCCGAGCACGATGACGGCAGCAACCGACGTGAGATCGAGCAGAACCAGCAGAAGTGTCTGGATGCACAGTTCAGCGCCCGTGCTGGTGAGACCGAGGAGCAGACTTCGGCTCGCATCCAGAATGACCCCGAGATCATGTCTATCCTTCAGGATCCTGTCATGCAGAGCATCCTCCAGCAAGCTAAGACTGACCCAGCTGCGCTGCAGGAGCACATGCAGAACGCCCAGGTGCGCATGAAAATCCAGAAGCTGATGGCTGCTGGTGTGATCCGCATGGGTCGGTAAATTCCTTCCCCTTCCGTGTATACGGGGTAGGTTATATTGCAACGATGTCAAGATGTGACGAGCTTTCTTGCAGATATCACTAAAGTGCTTCATGTTTCAGTGTTTCTTTCAATGTTCCTAAAATCATTTTATCATAAGTTGCTTAGCATGAAATAATCATATCTCCATTGTGTCAAGTGACTCTGACCAGTGCTCGGAGGTTCATTGTTTCAATCCAATTGATAATGTAGCCATGCACAAACGGAGGTGTGCCTAGACATATTTACATATCGGTGCCGTGTTGCGCACAGTTCCACCAACACCAACATTCAATGTTTGAAGTTCAGATGTTGATGCCAATGTTGGAGAGTAAAGATAAAATCCGAAGGTAGATTCAAGTTCAATTCAAGTTACTAAACACGGAGTACATTGTACTCCTAGTCCGCTGCTTTATAAAATAACCTTTAAATATATATTTTTTTACATGGACATCTGGACGGTCAAACTCACACAAGCAGTCCAATTAGCTAGCAAGCATCACTTGCATTGGTGCAGATCTTAGTAAAATCGAAAAAGAACAGGAAGGCCGAAGTTGATCAGTGGGGCCAAAGAGCCCAAAGCACATTCGGGATCCATGGGTTGACACGATGGTGGGAACATCCCACAATAGCGTCACACGGAAAACATCGCCGTAGGGTTGGGAACCGAGGTCAACTCAGTGTAAGGGGCTGGTTCCCCCTCCCAAAACCTTGGAAAAAGTAATGTACACCCCCGCCACATAACTGATAGATCAAAAAAAGGCCAGCCGTGCTCTGCATGGCCTGCAGGAGACGCACAAGTAAGAACGAATCAGCTACGATGGGCTTGGAGACAGGGTTTCAATCTTGACCGATATAATCCCGCTATCTGAGATAGTGGCAGATTATGGCACTAGAGCTTACTTTTTAAACCTTGAATTGTAAAATTTCAGAGTAAGTCATTGTAGGGAGCTGGGCCTGTATCCACTACTTTAGGGCGATCTGTGTGTCCGAAGTCCCAATCGGGGTCTAGAGGCGTGAGAAGCGACTATTGATTTGAGAATTTAACTTGTGTGCCACGTGTACGACATAGTATAATTTCAAGGTTCCTTACTTACGAGGGGGATAGGGTGCTTATGTATATATAGGTGAACTCGAGGTGGAAGTGTATGAAAATTTTTCAATAAATATCTATTCCAATGTTTCTATATAGGGCTGTTATTCCCCCTTATGAGCCACAGTGTTCCCCCTATAGAACTGTGGCGGTGCTACCCCATCGGGCAGTCGATAGTTCCACACTAAGAAACTAGTTAAGTGGCTGGGAATGGGGTTCATGTTAGCGAGAAAACAAAGTGCAAATCGGAGATCATATTTCATCTACGGAGTGCTCCGTATAGTTCCGTAGAAAAATTGGATGAAAATTACCTCGACATACAACGTAGATGTACTGTAGCTCTATACTCCGTAGCTATATCTTTAATCCAGGTACTATACGGAGTACCTAAGCTGAACTTTGTACCTTGGGACCAAATACAGCTAAGTAAATACGTCACTAAGTCGATCCCTCCATAAATTGCTTTAGGCTCCAATCATCTCATTTTGAATGGGGATTTTCGCCTCTATGTAAATTTTCTTAAATTGTTTCTATTTACTTCGTACCGGAAAACGTATGTTGCGGCCCAGCCACACAGGTGCTCCATTGACGCAACCGGTCGAATCCCCGTACAGCTTCTCCCCCCAATCGCTCTCTCCACTTTCTTCCTTTTCCTTTTCCGAAGACCCTCTTTTGCATTTTACATCTTACATATATTTTTTTTCTATTTTCCCTCTTACCACCTTCAGGTGTACCGCAGCATCGGATCTCGACTTTTCGTTGTATTGTAAGCATCCCATTCTCCCCTCTCTTCCCCTCACCAAAACCGGTTACCATTCATAGATTGCGCTGGTCCCACATCACCACCCATGGATCTCTAACCACTTCACTAGACGCGTCCCTACTCCTCAATTCCAAATACCTAACCCTTCGGCGATACAGAGGCGCCGACCGCCAACATGGCGTCTGTCCCGGCGGAGAATACTGAATTAAAAGAGGAGGGAATGGTCGACTTAGCCACTGATCTGGCCCAGGATCCCAATTCCAAGGTCAACCCAGAAATTGTCGAGGAGGCGCTCGTGAGGGAGACTCGGGAAGCCGGAGCTCCGGCATACCAATTCGATCCCAATGCTTCACCAGAGGACAAGGCTGCCGCGGCTCAAGCGGTATGTACACCATGGAAGGAAACAGATCCAGGAGACGGGACAACTAATTTGGTTCCATTTTTAGCGGTTGCCAAAGGATTTCCATCATGACAGCAAGCCAGCGGGAATTGCGGTGCAAACAGACAAGGTACGAGCTTCCCCGGACCCGACCACGCGATCGATGCTAATCTGAGCAGGATGGTGGAAAATCCTACGCTCTACCCCCGCCAGTCTCAGCAACCGCTCTTATCGCCGAGGATGCCAATGCGCCCGAGGGACAGAAAGGGGATATGGAAGAGGACATGAGGTGGGCGCGTGACCGCACTGGTTGGGCGCCCAAGTTTCACGTAGAGAAGACCGATGAGGAGCTGGCAGAGGGCACATTGCTCGACCACCAGACCTTTTTGGAGGGCCGCATCTCGGATAAGTTCTACGGTGACTGGTACCACAATGCCGGTGTCATTGCATTTGCCTGTCTCAGCTCGTGGCTTGTGGCTACTTTCGGCGGTGGTATCGGCTGGGTACTGATGGTGATGGCGGCATGCAGTACCTACTACCGCACCTCGCTACGTCGAGTGCGGCGCAATTTTCGTGACGATATTAATCGAGAAATGGCAAAGGCTCGCCTGGAGACTGACCATGAAAGTCTTGAGTGGATCAACAGCTTCCTTGTCAAGTTCTGGCCTATCTATGCCCCGGTTCTTTGCGACACCATTATCAGCACTGTCGACCAGGTGCTGAGTACCTCGACCCCCGCCTTTCTGGACAGTCTGCGCCTGAAGACTTTCGTTCTGGGTACCAAGCCCCCGCGTCTTGAGCATGTCAAGACTTACCCTAAGACCGAGCCTGATACCGTCATCATGGACTGGAAATTCAGCTTCACTCCCAACGATATCATGGATTTGACCGCGCGTCAGCTCAAGGACAAGATCAACCCCAAGATTGTCCTGGAGGTTCGCGTGGGTAAGGGTGTGCTCAGCAAGGGTCTGGATGTGATTGTTGAGGACATGGCCTGCTCGGGCTTGATGCGCGTCAAGGTTAAGCTGCAGCTCGCCTTCCCGCACATCGAGCGTGTGGATGTTTGCTTCTTGGACAAGCCTGAGTTTGATTACGTCTGTAAGCCGCTTGGAGGTGATCTCCTTGGTTTCGATATCAACTTCATTCCTGGTCTGGAGAACTTCATCAAGGAGCAGATCCACAATAACCTTGGACCCATGATGTACGACCCGAACGTCTTCCCGATTGAGATTGCCAAGATGCTTGCTGGAAACCCCGTCGATCAAGCCATTGGTGTTGTCGCTGTCACATTGCACGGTGCTAGTCAGCTCAAGAACCCTGATAAGTTCGCTGGCACTCCCGATCCTTACGCTGTGGTGTCTTTGAATGGACGAACGGAGCTGGGTCGCACCAAGGTTGTCAACGACAACGACAGTCCTCGCTGGAACGAAACTATCTATGTTATTATCACTTCCTACACCGACGCATTGTCTATCAAGGTCTTTGATTGGAATGAGTTCCGCAAGGACAAGGAACTTGGTGTTGCTTCTTTCGGATTGGACAAGCTTGAGGCAGAGCCGACACACGAGGGCGTCTTCCTGGAGGTCCTCTCTAGTGGCCGTCACCGTGGTGCTGTCCAGGCAGATATTCGCTTCTTCCCCGTTATGGAAGGTAGAAAACTGGAGAGTGGTGAGACTGAGCCTCCACCAGAGTTGAACACCGGTATCGCGCAATTCACTGTCGAGCAGGCCAAGGATCTTGATGGCTCCAAGGGCTTGGTTGGAAAGCTGAACCCCTATGGTATTCTGCTGCTGAACGGGAAGGAGATCCACACTACGAAGATTCTGAAGCGGACCAACAACCCCATCTTCCAGGATGCTTCCAAAGAGTTCTTGGTCACAGATCGCAAGAACGCCAAGCTGGGTCTGATCATCAAGGACCACACTGATCTGATGGCCGACCCGATCCTTGGTCGTTACCAAATCAAGATGAACGACTTAATCAAGATGCAGGAGCAAGGCAAGCAATGGTTCCACCTCCATGGAGCCAAGGCTGGACGGGCCAAATTAGTCCTGGATTGGAAGCCGGTTGCCCTGGGAAGTATCGCTGGTGGCGCTGGCTACATTGACCCGATTGGTGTGATGCGCTTCCACTTCAAGCGTGCCACTGATCTGCGCAACCTGGAGGCCATGGGCAAGTCTGACCCGTACGCCCGTGTACTGTTGTCTGGATTGACAAAGGGTCGCACTGTGACTTTCCGGAACAACTTGAACCCCGAATGGGACGAGGTTGTGTATGTTCCTATTCGCAGCGCTCGCGAGAAGCTGAGCGTGGAGGTCATGGATGAAGAGACCATCAACAAGGACCGTACTCTCGGCTTTGTTGAGCTGAATGCGTCTGACTTTGTTCATGAGAACGAGGCCGGCGAGTATGAGATTGATGATGAGAAGCAGCTGATTACCAGTGATCTCCACATCGGCAACGGCCCGAACAAGGGTCGGATCACCTATACTGTTTCCTTCTTCCCTAGTGTTCCGGTGGTGAACCCTGAGGATGAAGCCGACGAAGAGGAGGAAGCGAAAGAGGCAAAGGAGGGTGACGCTGAGGTTCCCGCCACGCCCATCAAGGCCACCCACTCCAAGACTGCTAGCGTGTCCTCGAGGGCTTCCAAGGGCTTGTCCAATGGAGCGGCTACCAACGGTACCTCGAATGGGGAGCCAACCACCAATGGCCGTGCCAGTCTTGAGACTAGTCTTTCTCGCACCCTCACTGGTCGCGACTCTGAGACCGCATCTGTGCGGTCCATGAAGGAAATCCCTAGGACCTACGTCGGAGCGGATGATCTCGGCAAATACGAGTCTGGCTTCCTCGTCTTCAAGTTCCATGAGGGCAAGCTGGCTCACAGCAACGTGCAACTGGAGGTTATGATTGATGACTACATGTTCCCTGCCTACACTTCGCCTAAGATCCACTCGCAGACTGTGAAGACAGCGGATATTGGTGAGGCCTTTGTGCGTGAGCTGGAATTCTCCAAGCTCACTCTGCGCTTGGTCAACAAGGATGATCCCAAGGATTCTAGCGAAGAGCACACCGTTGCGAAGCTGACTGGTGATACTCTACCAACTCTGCAGCGTATCCTGTATACCCCTACCGAACTTGTCCTTCGCTCCAACTCCGGCGAGGTGAGCAAGGTCACCGTGAGCGCTCGCTACATCCCTGTGCAGATGAAGCTTGACCCCAGGGAGAGCATCAACAACATGGGTACCTTGCGTGTTGATGTTCTGGATGCCGCGGATCTGCCCTCGGCCGACCGAAACGGATTCAGCGATCCCTACTGCAAGTTCCGCATCGGCGAGGACAACAAGGACGTATACAAGACCAAGGTCCAGAAGAAGACTCTCCACCCAGCCTGGAACGAGTTCTTCGAGATCCCCATCTCTTCTCGTATTGGTGCGAACTTCCACGTCGACGTGTACGACTGGGACTTTGGTGACTCGGCCGATTGGTTGGGTGCTGCCCCGATCGATCTTGAAGCTTTAGAACCATTCCAGGCCCAAGAGATAACTCTGCCTCTGAACGGCAAGTCGGGTGTTATCCGACTGAAGCTCCTCTTCAAGTCTAACTACGTAACTCGATCTCGCCAGGGCTCTGCCACTTTCTCGGGCACCTTCGCCATGCCCGGCAAGATTGTCGGTGCCCCGGTCAAGGGTGTTGGATTTGTTGGTGGTAACGTGGTCCGTGGTGCCTCATTCCTGAAGCACGGTGTCATGTCCCGCATCCACAAGAACAAGCCAAGTGATGCCGATGCTATGTCCGTGGCTGAAAGCACCGTTGAAGAGAACCACGGTACGGCAGGTGGCTTGTCTCCATCCGCCGCTCTGGTGGATCATAACCCCGGGTCTATCACCCCCACGAGGGAGCACAGCCGCAACCGTAGCACTGTTTCCCAATTTGGTGACAACCTCAGCGTAATTGGTGGCGCCGGCCGTGGTGATACAGGGACTGCCCTTATCACCATCGTCTCGGCATCAAACTTCCCCCCAAACGCTAACCTGCGGGTGATTGTTCGCGCCCAGGGTTCCAAGGGCATGAAGGAACTACACAAGACCAAGGCCCACAAGGCTAGCGGTGATACAGTGACCTTCGAAGACACCTTCAAGGTCCCACACGCGCTCGCCGACGCGCTCTACCAAGTCCGCGTCGTCAACCACTCCACCTTTGGCTCCGACGATGTCTTCGGAGAAGCACCATTCCCCGTGTCTGACCAGGGGTCAGATGCCAACCAGGACAAGGCTATCACAGTTGGTTCCGGCTCCGTGGTGATTCGATCTAGTTTCACTCCCTCGGAGTCCAGCTTGCGTCCTACCACCTCGCATTCCACCGCCGGTGTTGAAGAAGGATCCGAGAGTCCAGACTCCCGCAAGCCGTCTCGCCGCAGCTTCCTCGGCAAGCGGAATGTCAGTGGTGTTTAATGGAGAATAACAGACTCTCTGCCTTATGGCTATGACTGAGGTATGAGTCAAGTATATGGAGAACTACAACCCAAAACTTTGCAAACCCTCAAATGACTTGCTTTGCGATCGTTATGATATCCTGTTTTGCATTCAATGTTCAACTGTTCTTTCTTGTTTGTTATGTTCATGTTCGGTCTCGTTAGAGTAGCGTGCAATGAATTCCTCCCGGCTGTTTATATCAGACCCATCATAATTCAATGTTGACACGATGTTCCACTTTGTCAGTAGCAGAGGTACGTAACAGCCCTATCCGTACTACCGAAACCTTGGAATAGGGGTCCAACTTCCCCCTATTCAACTGCACAGCCCCTTGAAGGATGATCCACTCCAAAGCTTAGATCAGGAGTGCATCGTAGTCAGATACATAAGTATGGAGTAGTTCAGGAGTAGACCCCATAAAAGGGCGCAATTGACGTACGCAAATCAATAGTGAGTGTCATGTTTACTTCTACTCCGTAATTCCATTTCCATTTCCATTTCCATTTCCATTTTCAATTTCAATTTCAATTCCAACCTATTCTTGGCATTAATTACGTAGGCAATCCCGGCAACTTCTCGGTGGAGTTTGGATTAATTTGGATGGGATCCACACTAGTTCCGAATGTTGTCTAGTTTATATGAGATTCTTGGTTTGAATGAGATTTGTGTCTCCGTATGAAGTGATTGGATTGGATTTCAGAGGTTTTCTGCTCGAGTCTGGAACTGTTTCAGATCTTTGTCTCATGGATGTCGGGTAATTTTTTTTTTTTTTTTTTTGGCTAATTAGCTAGGAGGCTAATTAGCTAGGATTTGGTTCTGTTGCTATACCTGAGGTATCGATCTGATATTTCGTGTTGTTGATCTGTCCGATTGCGGGAGAGGAATGTTATCGGGATACAGCATTCCGTAGGTATTATTAGAACAAACGTGAACTTGAACTTGAACTAGAGCTCGGATGCAAACTTCTCGACATGTAGAAAATCAGAAACTTCCTATAAATATCTAGGTGCATAGGTGCATATGGTTTAGCCACAATGTCTCTGATATGACCTTGGCGGTCAACTCGGGGGCCATTTGAGATTCCAGGCAATGATAGTGGGGCAACTGAGTAAAGTGGGTTTAGCACACCCGACCGGACGACGAGTCGGGTGGATGTAAATAAAGGGGGGGGAAATGGGCTCTCCAGTTCTGGAACTTGCATCGAAAATGGCACTTTCTTGTTCCTATTGATGTAGTAGAAACCCCCACGGGAGAGTGTTCTACCTGACTTCCCCCCTTTTCCTTGTTTTTATTTTTTTTTATTTAGCGTTTTATTTTGTAATTTTTTGTAACTTTTTGGGTAACTTTTTGTAAATTTCCCACTGACAGGGACCCTTGCATCCGTGTGTACTTCCTGGAACGTGCGAAAACGGACGTACTTGAAGATAGAATTGTTGAGCTTTCAACAGGGATCATAAATATCACGTTACTCCCCCACCTTCAACTTTCTCTTTCCAAGCTTTTTTGCCTTTCAATGCAAGAGCATTGACAATTGAACTCAAGCCTGGTACGTTTGCCGCCACAATCCCCTCCCAAGCTCCTCTTTATCTCTCCCGCCCACGCCAATGACGGCAGCTTGTCGACATCCCGTGGCTCCTGAACCCGAGCTGATCGACATTCGTGGCAAACCCCTCTTCTAAATTGCAGCCACGTTGGTGATCCACGCTAACTTGGTCCTATTTATCTTTCCAGGTTTTCCCTTTCACTTTCTTCTTAACACCAACTCCTATTCCCCTTCATAATGGCCTCCAAGGCACTTCCCACCCACCTTCGAGCTCCTGGCTCTGATGCTTCCTCTGGCTTTGCCGGCAAGCACCATGGAAAATCCCAGTCACACATGGTAAGTGCAATTCACAATATACATGGTCATCACGGGGTGAAGCTCCGCTCCTGCTTCTTTGGGCAGTAAGCACATTTGCGGCTGTTTGTTTTGGGATTAACATGAGGCTGAGGGGGAACCTTGTTCTTTACTCTCCTGTCATCCTATCACATTCCTGATCAATATACTGTTTATTTGTTCCATCACGATCCCATTCCTCAGTTATCTCGATCTCGATCCTGATCCTGATCCTGATCCTGACCCTGATCCCGGACCCCCCTCCTTACGCTCATTTTTGCCGCCTATTGGATTACCCCTCTTTGCTACCATCATGGATTTGGAAACAACGCTGACTCTGATCGCCTCGAACCAGGCTTTCGAAAATGCCTCCACCAGTGTGGCTGCCTCCCAGATGCGCAATGCCCTGAACGCCCTCTCCGACAGCGTCCCCGAGGGTGACGAGAAGAAGCGCTTCGAGACTGAGATGGACAACTTCTTCGCCCTGTTCCGCCGCTTCCTGAACGACAAGGCCAAGGGTAACTCCGTTACCTGGGACCGCATTGCTCCTCCTCAGCCCTCCCAGGTTGTCGGCTACGAAGAGCTCGGTGCCGATGCCTCTGTCGAGTTCCTGAACAAGCTGGCTGTGGTCAAGCTCAACGGTGGTCTTGGTACCTCCATGGGTTGCGTTGGTCCCAAGTCCGTCATCGAGGTCCGTGAGGGCATGTCCTTCTTGGACTTGTCGGTGCGCCAGATTGAGCACCTTAACCGCACCTTCAACGTCAATGTCCCCTTCGTCCTCATGAACTCCTTCAACACCGACCAGGACACCCAGTCCATCATTAAGAAGTACGAGGGCCACAACGTCGATATCATCACTTTCAACCAGTCCCGCTACCCCCGTATCATCAAGGACTCCCTTCTCCCCGCCCCCAAGAGCTTCGACGCTCCCCTGCAGGACTGGTACCCTCCCGGTCACGGTGACGTTTTCGAGTCGCTCTACAACTCCGGTACTCTGGACAAGCTGATCGAGCGTGGCATCGAGTACATCTTCCTGTCCAACGCCGACAACCTCGGCGCCGTTGTCGATCTCCGCATTCTGCAGCACATGGTTGACTCCCAGGCTGAGTACATCATGGAGTTGACTGACAAGACCAAGGCTGATGTCAAGGGTGGTACCATCATTGACCAGGACGGCAAGGTCCGCCTGCTCGAGATCGCCCAGGTGCCCAAGGAGCACGTTAACGAGTTCAAGTCCATCAAGAAGTTCAAGTACTTCAACACCAACAACATCTGGATGAACGTCCGTGCTATCAAGCGTGTTGTGGAGGAGAACGAGCTCGAGATGGAGATTATTGCCAACGAGAAGTCCATCCCCGCTGACAAGAAGGGTGAGGCCGACCAGGCCATCTACCAGCTGGAGACCGCCGTCGGTGCTGCCATCCGACACTTCAAGAACGCCCACGGTGTCAACGTGCCCCGTCGTCGTTTCTTGCCCGTCAAGACCTGCTCCGATCTCATGGTCGTCAAGTCTGACCTGTACCGCCTCGAGCACGGCCAGCTGGTCATGGACCCCAACCGTTTCGGTGGTGTCCCCGTCATCAAGCTCGGCTCTGACTTCAAGAAGGTCTCCGACTTCCAAAAGCGCATTGGTAGCATCCCTCGCATTGTCGAGCTGGACCACCTGACCATCACCGGTGCCGTCAACCTTGGCCGCAACGTGACCCTCAAGGGTACCGTCATCATTGTCGCCACCGAGGGCAGCACCATCGACATTCCCCCAGGATCCGTGCTTGAGAACTGCGTTGTGCAGGGTAGCTTGAGAATTCTCGAGCACTAAGCAATTAATTAAAAATTATTATCCCGTTCGACCTCGGTCAATGGAATGGCATGAGGATACAGCCTTCGCAGTGAAATCCGATCTGTGCTGAGGTGCATTTGTGGCTTGGAGCCCATGGCGTATGCCAAGCATGTGCTTGTATTACCTTTGAATAATCCAGCGTTTGTTTTTTTCTTCTATTGTCCGTCTTTATCCTTGTTCTGACTGAGTTGGGATCGACGGTCTTTCTTTTCTTTCAAGCACTTTGGTCCAGGATTCCAAGTCAATGCCATTCTATTATAGACTTACACTTTTCCTGAATCTCGTAGCACAGTCACTATGACAGCTTAGCTCTGTTTTGTTCTATCATCGCTGAACCATACTAGATAAAGAAGACTACCTAGTCCCACGCGTGAAAGTGGTCATAGCTTCTACCTCATCATTCCATGGTCATTTCGCCATCGCCTCAATATAGAAGCCCTCGAGAGTTCGTAGACTAGGTTGACGTCGACATCACGATTTGTTATTTCGATACCCTTTTCAGCGAACGTGCAAGCAGTTTTCGTGAGTCCATTGGATTCATTGAAGAGACGGGACTGATCGTTATCTTCATTTCTATCACTTGAAATGACTAGTTGGAAGAGAAAGAGATAGCAGCAAGGCCGAATAACCCAATGATTCCATGTTATAGTAACTTACTCTGTGGTTCCAAGGTTGACTGTCAAATTCCGCCATCCCTATACGCTTCAGGCAGGAATCCTTCGAGCGCCGCCTTGATCTGCAAAGCCAGCGGCCGTGAATAATAGCGCTGGTGCGAGGTGACAGCCCCAGTAATCCAATAATTCTTCACTCGAAGATGACGCTTCCACATGCCGCGTATCTCGCCCTCAATGTCCACCCCCCAGATCCCATCCCTCCGGGCAGCAATCTCCTCAGGTCCCAAAATACTATCTTTCGGATTATCTCCTTCAACAAAGAGTCTCTGTCCGAAAACTTCCACAGTGGCTTCGCGCTGCTTATCCGCAAAGCCTGTACACCAGAGAATGGCATCCGCATCCAACGCTGATCCATCGCTAAGTTTCAAGCCAGTCGTCGTCAATTCAGTTGGCTCAACATTTCCCTTCACGGCAACAGCACCAGACACAATGAGCCCAATCCCATCGCCAATCTCATTGAAGTGGCCACCAGCTCTTTCAATAAGGTGCGATATCAGATCTCCCCCGTGGAGGCTGTCATAGACTGGAAAGCCCGCTTCAGCAAGTGCCTGGTACCGATTTGGTTCTTTGGAAGCCAACGAGACAGCCTGGTCTATCGCGATTTGACCAGCAATACCCCATGGGGTGCTCATCGTGAGCTTGTCCACCAATTCGGTTGGAAGAATCTCGTATAGCCCTAGGCCCCGGGGGTCACGACAGTAGTCCCAGGGGAATATGTATGTAGGGCTGCGGGCAACGATAGTTGTCTTGATGCCGGCCTTTGCACAGTCTTCCATGAGGTCGAATGCTGAGTTTGCGGATCCAACAATAATAGCGGACTAGAAGCCTCGTAAGTATCGTCCTAAAAGAGCACAGGAAGACTTACTTTGACACCTAGTCTCTTCAGTTCTGAGGGATTCCTATACTGCGATGAATGGATGCTGACACCACTGTAGTTGCCTGGAAGCTGGGGGATGAAGGGTTTGGTACATCCCAGTCCAGTAGCTTGCACAACATGCTTACATGTCACTGTCTTCGATCCCGATGGCGTGCGAATCTTGAAGCGCCAAGAATCCGTGGTCTCGTTGAAAGAACTCGCTTCAATAGTAGATGAGTTGAGCATATTGAATTTGAAGGCCTGTGCATAGCGCTTCATTTGCTCCGCCAGCATCGACCTCGTTAGAAGCATAGGATCATCCTTCGGGTATGCTAAATAATATTAGAAAATGCTGTATATCCAGTCTTTGACTCTTACGCAGATACGGTGTTTCGCAAAGCGACTTGGAGACATGAAAACGCAAACAGTCATATCGCAAAGCCCAGTTGTCTCCTGGTTGCTCATTTCGCTCTATAATCACACAATCAACATTGAGGGCTTTGAGACGCGCTGCTTGAATAAGTCCCCTGTGATAAATGATCAGTCATAACAGCATAAGACATGACCGAATAATACTAACGCGTTTCCACCACCAATGATCAAAACATCCGTATCAATATCCTCGGCCTCTTCTAGCCGTCTTGAAGGGGCTTTCAAAGCACCTTCTTCTTCAGGATGCAGTTCAAAGTCTTCAATCCACGTTGCCAGATTCCAGATCTTCCAAACGAGCGCGTTCCCTATTTTCTCAGGAAGAAGGCTGACAACCCCACTGCAGAGTGCAGCGGGCGTTTCTGTCTTGAATGTAAACATGCCCTGAACCCAGTGCAAGGTCGCAGTAGCTTCAACAAATTGTACGCTCCCCGGCAGGAGACAAAAACCACCAACCAGTCCCCGCTCCTCTTTCAGCTCCATTAGTGCTGGAGCTATTTTGGCGCCGTTATTGAAGGTCCGGAAATGATAGGTAAAAGCGAGTATATCGCGCCAGTATGATTGGGAGCTGAAAAAACATGATTTGACCTTGGAGATATCTCTCTCCTCGAGGCTTTCAGCTAGGGACCGGAGGGCTTCACTCACCAACCCCGGTCCATTGTTGGCTGATTCTGGGAGCTTGGTGTTAAGAGGGAGAGGCCTGTATACGTCCCGCTGAAGACTAGCCAGTGAAGGATACTCCTCAAACTGCTCGATGACTGTAATATCGTTAGTTCTTTGGTCTTACTTGACTTGATGGAAAAAAAGAGTCGTACTTGAACCCATGGCTTATGTCACTTGAAATACTGAATACTCAGTAGATTGCTGAGGGCTGGAGTCAGAGATAGGAGCGAGTGTTTTATTACAATTGACAACATGCACATGAAGGTGGAGCCGAGACTGTGCGGGGTCGAATGTCACATTCTACTCTTAATTCGAACTTGGGCCGGGCATTAGCAAGCAGGTTTAGTTAAGTACTGCTTTATATAACCACGGCGCGTATTGAAACAACCATTATTGGCCTAGATTTCTCGGATTTATACTACTGTCCCACGACTTTGGGAAGTTCCAAATAGATAACTTATTTTATCCTATGATGGAATGGGAATCTCTCGAGCTCGATGATAGGTGACGCTATCTGGTATGCCTGTAAAACGCCCCAATACCTAGAATCCAACTTACGGGGTTGGAGGTGCCGGTTTTACCATGTGCAAATACTGGTGACTTTGAAATGTATACAGGAAAAGGAAGGCCTAGTTACAGTAATTCAGTATTGACACTGCAGTTTAATATTTTCCAAGATTAAGTGATAAGAGAAACCTGCACATTCGCATTCAAACACCAGCCTCCAGAAAATCGATAGTCTTCTTCCCAGTCCGATCATAACCTTCCACATACTTCTCCCCGTACTCAGCAACAAAATTATCATAAGTTGATTGCGGCTTCACCTTGCACAAGTCACACATGATGCCCTTAACATTCTCCAGAAAACTCTCCCTCGGAAACACAGCGACAACATCATTAAAAGTCTTCCAGGTCAACGGACCCATCCCCCCTGGAAACAGATCCGGGCCCTTAAAATCCGCCGAGATACCGAGATGTGCAAGCATCACCTCAGGCTGCTTGTGCATAGCAATGGAATTGGTAGTATGCAATGCAATCGCATCCCAGACGAGCTGTACCCGGTGATCGGGCCAGCTGGGGTCATTCCTAGTCTCCGTGATTAGAAATTCCCGTGCCGCGTTGGCACTATCGACTTCAAATCGTTTGTCCGGGGTGCTCTTGTCGCTGCTCACTGCCCAGGCTAGGTCGTGAAGAACTGTGCTGATAGCGATGGACTCGTAGTCGATGGGGTAGTCGGGTGCTGTGGAAGTCACTATAGGAGCAGAATTTATTGCGAATAGGCAGCTTCTCATAACGTGGTTGTACGTGAAATCATCGTTCTGCTCTCGCATGTAAGCGATGGCTTTTTTGATGAGCGGGGTATCAGGGATGGTGATTCCGGCTATCTCCCGAGTTGGGAGAGACGGGAGAGGCATATCTGTCGTTTATTGTCAGATATCGGTTTTTTTATTTTTGAAGTAGATTTTCATAAGCAACATCAATGTTTGAAGGGATGGACGAGAAGAATGAGAGTTTATATACGACAATTCTGCATCACGTCAGCTGCAACATTCAATGTCAGTTTCACCAGCTCCACTTTGATCAAGGGTATTATCAAATTCACTCCCCAAAAACTAGGCAATTATGATGCGATTAATTGTTAGGGGGAGTGAATTTAGCAATTAGAGTCCGAAACTCCGTAAATCCGCGGCTTCGAAGGGGGAAATTTGCTGCAGCATCGAGAAAGCCGTGGATACCGCCCTTTGAGCCCGACCTAGCTGGACGTTACAGTGCGTCGTGATTTTGTTTATTGCTTCGATAAAGTTCGTCGTTCAAGGATTTGTATAACGAAGGGTGGCATTAAACCAACGCATTTATGTCATTGTATAGTGTTGGGGGCTGCTGGGCGATGAGCATTGTACGCGGCCAAGAAAGACATAACCTATTTGATATTTCAATGCACTTGAGTATGCCAAGTTAATAAAGGTAGTGGAGAAATCTTATAAGGTAAACTAAGTCCACCAAACTGTTGGCGTTATTAGCTTTGATGCCATTCTTTTTAGAAAATTTTAGCAACTGAATATAACGGTGCTAAGTTGATAATTATTCTGTAATATTGTTGACGGTAAGGCTTCCGGTTCGGGTAGAGATCGGCTCCCGGAGCACAGCCTGAGTTAGTCCGGGTGCCGCCCTGAGCGCTCCCTGAGCGCTCCCAAAGCACTCCCTGAGCAACCCGGAGCACTCCCTGAGCAACCCGGAGCACTCCCTGAGCACCCCTGAGCACCCCTGAGCATCCCTGAGCATCCCTGAGCATCCCTGAGCATCCCTGAGCACCCCTCTTTGAGCATGTCCCGTGGATACATAAACAAGCCTTGGACCCGCATCCACAGGTTACCCCACTCCTCAGGTTTAATCTAACTGATCTTGGAAAGCTGGCGTTTGGATGTTATATCGCTCAATACTCGTGTTACCTCATGGATCTAGCTAATCGTAATTTGCTTATCTGGCGTAATCTGGGGGGCAAAAGTACAAAGAAGCCCCCTTTCAGTAAATTCACAACAGCCTAGGGCTCAAATTTGGTGTTATCTCAGGAATCTAGCTACATAATCGTATAATCGTAATTTGCTTATCAGGCGCAATCTTCTTTCGGTAAATTCGCAAAGAGCCTAGATCAATCAAGTCATCTCAGCTTCAGAGCAAGTCTCAATTGAATCTTTCAATCGATCACACAACTTCGATTCATTAGAAGACGACGATAGCCAAAGTTGTAGTCCACGCAACAGTAAAGCTTCTTTTTCCGGTTCTACGATAGTCTTTCCTCTTCACCACCCTCTGCGTTTCCCTTCTGTTCCCTTTTCCTCCGCATTTACCGCTCTCTTTCTGGCCTAATGGGAGAGACAGCGCCTGTCACGACCACCATCGTCGAGTCCAATGCTCGGAGGACGTATCCTTCCACGCCACGTGATAGTGTCGATGGCGAAAAGAGACCGACGGAGACAGACAGCCAAAATGAGAAATCCACGGGCAGCGTGAGCGACCACATGACCGTGGCAGTCGCGCCAGAAGAGAACGAGGGCGATCAAGAAGGGCCACTGACTTCTTTTTTCCGCGTTTTGTACGAATTTTCCACCCCATCCGACCATTTGTTGCGCATCATCGGACTCTGCGCTGCGATCGCGTCGGGGGCCGCACTGCCTTGTATGACGCTGGTCTTCGGTTCATCCGTCAACGAATTCAATTCATTTGGCTCAAACGAGCAATCATCGAGCACCTTATACAAATCCGTCTCCCACAATGCGCTATGGTTTGTCTATCTCTTCATTGGCCGTTATGTACTTGTTTATATTCATTCGACATGCTTTGGTGTTTCGGGTATCAGAGCCACCCAAGCTTTTCGCCAGCATTTCATCAAGGCTGTGATTCAACAGGAAATTGCCTATGTCGATTCGCGTTCTCTCGGGGGGATCACAACAGCCATCTCTGCGAACGTGGACATGGTCGAAAATGGAATCACAGAAAAGATAGGCAGCCTTATTCAAGCCATCTCGATGCTGATCGCTGGTTTTGTCGTGGCTTTTACTCAGCAATGGAAGCTGACTTTGGTGACCGCCACCACTTTGCCTGTCCTCTTCGCTGGATTCTACATCACCTTCACCCTTGGTAAAAATCCCTCCCTCACTGCATTTCAAAAGCTTCGATTGGTATCAAGAACTGACTATTTTATGCAGACTCCAAGATTGAAGGCAAGATCCTTGAAGTCTACAATTCCGCCAGCGGCCTGGCTGAAGAGGCTATGAGCAGCATGCGCATGGTCACGGCACTCAACATCGGAAAAAGACTAGCCCAGAAATACGACATTCCTCTTGCCGAGGCTGAGAGACTTGGTCTTACCAAAGGCCCAGTCATTGGATTTCAATATAGCGTCGAGATGTTCACCACATACTGCGCATACGCCCTAGCTTGGTACTACGGTACCAAACTCTTAAAAGAGGGCGAAATTGGCTCTGGCGGTGGTGGCATGATAACGTAAGAGAAATCCTCCGTCCATCATCCTCGATTCTGGTCTTACAGACATATTAACGAGGAATACTAGAGTTCTGTTATCTGTCCTTCTAGCAACCCAGGCCGCATCCGACGTTGCGCCGGGCTTTAGCGGCTTTACCAGGGCATCGGCCTCAGCAAAGGAAATGTTTAAAGTGGTAGATCGGCCATCGAAGATTGACCCGCTTGGGGAAGGAGGGCACAAACCGGAGAGCCTTCAGGAGAGCAAAATTGAGCTACGTAACGTCACGTTTGCTTATCCTTCACGACCAACGTTACCAATTCTCCAAGACTTCAGCATCATCTTCGAGGCAGGCAAAACCACAGCTCTAGTCGGATCGTCTGGATCCGGAAAAAGTACAATCGTTGGCTTGATTGAGCGTTGGTTTGATACAGACTCAGGATCAGTTCTTGTGGGAGGCCACCCCGTTACTGATTTGAACGTGCGATGGCTGCGTAGCCAAGTTGGCTTGGTTCAGCAAGAGCCTGTACTATTCAGCGACTCCATTTATAACAACGTGGCTCATGGCTTATACGGCACCAGTATGGATTCACTGCCTGAGGTGGAAAAACGAGAACTCGTCCGTCAAGCTTGCATTCAGGCCTTTGCCGACGACTTTATCCAGGATCTTCCCGATAAATACGACACTCTCGTTGGAGAGCGCGGCCGGCTCCTCAGTGGCGGTCAGAAACAGCGAATTGCCATCGCCCGTGTCGTTATTTCAGACCCCCGAATTCTTCTTTTGGATGAGGCCACGTCGGCTCTGGACCCCACGGCTGAGAAGAACGTTCAAGCCGCTTTGGATAATGTCTCCAAATCCCGCACCACCATTATGATTGCTCATAAGCTGTCTACTGTGCAAAAAGCTGATAAGATTGTTGTTCTCTCACATGGAAAGGTGGTTGAGCAAGGTACCCATCAGCAGCTCCTAGCGGACAAGGGCTCGTACCATAAACTCGTCCATTTGCAGAACCTAGACATCAACGATGAAGCCATGCGCAGTTCTAAGAATTTGCAGAATGATGAACATACTATCGGATACGACACTCAGGAAGATCGCGGACTTCCAAAAATACCACCATCTCGCTTGTCATCGAGATCTCGCGAAGACACAGTGTCAATGTCTCAAGTCGATGCCAAGGTAAGTGGCGATGAAAAAGAAGAAAATTGTGAGGACAATGACCTTAAGGAAAGGCTTTCTTTGATTCGTTGCATTGCCATCATCATTTGTCAGGAGCAGCGGCACCTCTGGTTTCTCTTCTTAGCCGGCTTGGTATCCTCCGCTGGTAGCGGCGGCGCGTTTCCTGCTCAGGCCGTTCTCTTCGGTGAGAGTATCTCCACGCTGCAACTTCCTCACGACCAACATCTTGTCAACAGAGGTAGTTTCTGGGCACTCATGTATTTCGTGCTCGGTCTCGGCGTCTTAGTGGTCAACTGGGGAGTTGGCTTTTGGTGGACTGTGGCTTCATTCCGCGCAACCCGTCAGTATAGACGTGAATATTTTGAGGCCATGATGCACCAGGACGTTGCCTTCTTTGACTTGAAGGGCCACAGCGCTGCCGAAATGACGAGTCGTCTTTCCCTGCATCCTCTCCACCTCCAGCTACTTCTATCGACCAACCTGGCCCTAATTTTCTTGGTGATCTTCAATGTCTTAGGGTGCTGCATCCTTTCCCTAGTGGTTAGCTGGAGACTCGCACTCCCTGTCATGGCTGTGGGTGTGCCACTCTTATTTGGCGCTGGCTACTTTAGAATGCGCATGGAGATGAGTAACCAAGATCGCGTCACTGTTATTTACCAGGAAGCTGCCCGCTTTGCTTCTGAAGCAGTTGGCGCTATTCGGACTGTTTCGAGCCTAGGCCTGGAGCAGAAAGTCCTCGATGGGTACGAGAAAAGACTCAATGAATCTGCCAAGCTCGAAATGTGGCACAAACTAGTCAGCATGCTTCTCTTTGCGTTCAGTGAGAGCATCAGTCTCGTAGTTTCCGCCTTTTCGTTCTGGTACGGAGGGAAGCTTTTGTCTGAGAACAACTATAGTGTTAGCACTTTCTTCATTGTCTTTATAGCCATCAGTATGGGCATGCAGACTGCCGGTTTCATGTTCGGATTCACTTCTGGTTAGTTAACAACCTTGTCTCTCTTTTCATTTAAACTAACGGGCATTACAGATCTCTCTAAGGCACATAAATCGGCCAACCATATTATCGACCTTCGCAGGTCTAAACCAACTATCAATACGTCGACTGTGAACCACCAAACACACCTTTCAAGGAGCGAGACTGCTATTGAGTTCAAAAATGTGACATTTTCTTACCCGAACCGCCAGGACATCCCAGTACTACGCAACATCAGCTTCAAAATCGAGAAAGGCCAGTCCGTTGGCATTGTTGGTGCTTCAGGGTGTGGAAAAAGCACTATTATCGCCCTTCTGGAGCGATTTTACGATGTAGAGCTGGGTCAGGTTTGTTTTGGAGATATTCCAGTGCAGCAGCTGAACGTACAGGAGCATCGCTCTCGCCTGGGCTTGGTCTCCCAGGACACCATCTTGTACCAAGGCTCCATTCGTGAGAACATCCTGCTGGGCCGACTGCCTGGTCAAGCTACCAATGATGAAATTGAATCAGAGTCAGGAGATGAAGCCGAAGACGCGGTTACTCGCGCCTGCAAGCTGGCTCATATAGACGACTTTATCATGAGTCTTCCAGAGGGTTACCACACGAAGCTCGGCAGCCATGGCATTTCGCTCAGTGGAGGCCAGCGCCAGCGTCTTGCCATTGCGCGCGCTCTGATTCGAGAGCCGGATATCTTACTCTTTGACGAGGCAACCAGTGCTCTTGATACGGAAAGCGAGGCTTTGGTCCAGCAGGCCTTTGAGGCCATCACACAGAAGAATGATTCCCGAACGGTTATTTCTGTGGCCCATCGCTTATCTACAATCAAGCAGTGTGACCGCATCTTTGTGCTTTTTCGGGGTCAAGTAGTGGAGGAGGGAACACACGATGAGCTTGTGGCACAGTGTGGCCGCTACTATGAAATGGTTTTGGCGCAGACCTTGGACGCCGAAGCTCCCTGAGGCGGCATTTTTTCTCTAGACAGTGTACAAATTCGACCAGAAGTCTTTGTTGGTACTTGTAGAATTGTTTAGCATTTGGAGTATTCTCGCAATATGATATGGATTACTGTTACATGTTCTGGCTTCGTGCACATAGAAAATTGCAAATTCCACCGAGTACATCGTATCTCACATAATGACTTCGCCCCCTCCTTCTTCCCTCTTCTCAACTTTTCTCTTTCACCAGATTCAGTTTTCCAATCTTATTTCTGCCATATTTTTCTATCTAATAATCTCCGGCTGTTTAGAGTCAAATCCCCGAGGACGCTCCATCAATGTCCGCTCGGTCAGCTCCGACACCTTAAACTTCCCTATCAAGCTGCACATCATCTAAATAAAAACCATAGTGAGACATGATATTACTAAGGTGTCAATGTGAAGCCAGAAAATAAAATAGTAGTAATCATCAAAATGCCGATAGGCACCTTAGGTGCACGCTGATTGGCACGATAGAAGACAGGGTGAATTGGAGCGAAGCATCCTAGGGGGCGCCTATCGGAGATCCTGCGGCCTAGTCCGTGTTTGGATCATTTAGGAGGCGGCTCGGCAGGAACCACCCGTCTCTTGGCCATGCTTGGTATTAGCCATTGACTAGGCTTTCAATCGGCATGTCGTATTAAATTTGAGTACCATACGATCAATACCAATATGCACGAAATATTCTACTAGCCTTTTTTGGCATTGACTAAAGATAAGACTTATCTTTTATCACCTTTCATGCCAGATTCGTGTAGACCCCTGTGGAGATAAGCTTTAACGTTTCGATCTCTTTGAGTCAATAATCATAAATTTTGATAAATACGATATTACAGTACGGTATGATATGTACCTTACCAGTGGCGTCTGACAAGTCTGAGACAACTTATTGTACCGCTTTTACCACCGCCTTCTATATACAGTTAGCCTACCTCGGCACGCGATGGCATTCTAGGGGATTTGACTGGCAGAAACTTGGCAGAATATAAGACGGTGAAATAGGCTGTCTCAGACTAGTCAGACACCACTGTACATACATGGGTAATTTCTTCGACCCGTATGGTAATATTTCTGCAAATACCCGCCTATACATACCATTTGTGTTTATTCCACATATACGTAATTAAATGAACATTATCTTAAGTTTGATAGCTGATGTTAGAAAAAGGTAGTCTTTTGAGCCAGATGTAACGTTGGCTATCGATTCCGAAGTAAACAGATATGTCGTCGAAGATGAAAGAATCGTTTGGATCCGATTGTTTGCCGGTGTCCGGAATTCCTTCAAAACCCGAAGCGCGTGGTTAAAGACGCTCTTTAAGTTCAGTCTCAATTTTTATTAGCCATACATTATTCACTCCAGTTTCACACAATGAAGAATATGCTTGTTCAGATCATGCCTGAGTCACTCGATTCAATCGACAATCTGCCCATTTTGGCTCTGCTCTCAGCATTTGCTGTTGCTATCAAATTCTCTACGCATTCTTCTCCTCTCCTCAAAATGATATCAACAAGTATCCTTTGATTAATGGACGTGAATGGTGGAATCCTTTCATCACGAAACAAAAGACTAAGTTTGTCAGTGATGCGGGGGTTCTTATCGACCACGGACTGAAGACAGTAAGTTTGCGAAGCTCCTGCCACATTTGATTCAGACCATTTCAAAGTTCTATGATTTTCTTTTGGCGCCCTTCCTATTGCTTCCAAAGAAAAACTTGAGAGGATGTGGATAGCTGATGGTGAACTACAGGCTGGAAAGGCATTTCGACTGCAAACAGACGACGGAATTCAAGTCGTTCTGGCTGGAGAATTCCTAGTTTACGATTGTTTAATATATCTAGAGAGCCTTACTTACCTACGCTATTCGCTTACCTAGCCTAGAAAACCAGCCCCCCCTTTGATGGCCGAAAAGTCTTATTTCCCGTAGTAGCTATTAGGCCATATGTTATGTTATAAGAATCTCCCAGTGTATAATCTATAACATTAGATATATAGGTCTATCTTTAGAGCTTTCAAATTTGAGAAGTAGGTATGACGAAGTTTGATAGACTGAAATAGGAATGCGCGAGGCTGAAAAATATACTAAGAAGGTTTAAGTCAATTATAAAAGGTCTCCAGATATGTTAGGGTTTATGGATAAGATAGAGGGAGAATAGATGGGTTGTAAAAAAGCAGTAATCAGATTTGTATCAAAACTGATTCTTGAAGGAATCGTAGGTACTAAGAGAGAGATGGGCTTTATACCCCGCACTCTCTCGGTAAGGTCAGCTGAGGTCACATGAGAGAACTTCCAGATACTCCTTGTCAGTTTCGTGACAAGATATAACTTAAAATTATTGAAGTATATATAGTACGGTATGATAAGGTCAGGTAGGTCTTGGCTTCCCCAGCTCTGGTATATAAAGCTTAGGTACTAATCCCTAGTACTATATAGAGGTGCCTATCTATTGCAGAGGTATCTCTATTTAGTAAGGTTAACCCCTCGTCCACTAAGAATAATCCCAGAGGCTATTAAAAGTAGATATTACTATCACCGGGAGATAAACCCTCGTACGTTGGAGACGAACTCCAACGACTATCAAAACTAGATATTACTATCGCTAGGAGACAAACCCTCATCCCCTAAGAATACCTAGGGACTATCTATTTATTTCCAGGTGATGAGTCTTTAATATCTTTATACTTTATAGGCATTATATCATAAAGGGGATCCGTAGTTAGTTAATCAAGTAGGGAGGAGGGCTTTAAGCCGACTATTCGAATAAGACTAGAAGCTAGATCTCATCTCTTAGAGGGTAGGGAGGGTCTAAGTCTCTTTTATACCTTTTAAGTATAGCGGACTATAAGAGCCCATAATATCACACTAAGCCCCTAGCCCTTAGCTATAGTATCATTACTATAGTAGATATCTAAGCGCTTGATCACTACGCCTTCGCTAGGCTCTCTACTACTTTCCGTTAAAAGATCTCCTAAGAAGAGTCTATATCTAAACCAGGCTCTTTTTTCGAAGAATGTGAATCCTAACGCCTTGAATGCCTTTCTCATAGCCCCAATGCGAAGTTATATAGTGATTGGTTATCAACTGCTTCTTAAAGTGAATACAACGGCTATCCTAATTTAACAATGAACTATATGTTCAGGCGCCTTTTTACGATGTCCGTCCCTTGCGGCACGCTCAATGATTTATGTGTGGTACGAATTTCAAGCCGATTTCCAAAGTAACTAAATAGCACATTCATTCTAAACTTTGACAATCCATCATATAAGCCTTCAAGACGATACCACGCTTTTCCCACCATCTTCAGTCAATCTGCTGCGGATTTTTACTTCCAGGTAACCAGGTCCCAATTTTTGAACTATACCATCAATGCCCCTCCCTGCAGGGTTTCCGATTACAGCACTTGGGGAGAAAAGGAATGCCTCACCCACTCGAAGACGGACTATTCTCTCAAACAATGACTTTTCCCACATCATTCTCCTTTCTCCACCCGCACTGGATTCTCTTGAGACCTCTTCCCCTAAAGATACTCCTGCTATATGGCTTTTCAATGTGCGAAGCCACTCCGGCGATGAAAACCGATGAACAACGGTGACAGAGCAGAGGCCAAGAAGAGCGGTCGATATCGTGGGCTCTTGGGTTGAAATCACGATTCTGATGCCAAGATGTCGCTGAAGTCTCACAGTAGAGAGAAGACTTTGGGTAAAAGATTGTGCCTCGACAGAATTGTCCATGTACTAGTAATTATTAGCCAGAACTCACAACAATCTTTTATTGAAACTGACTTTGTGAGCCTCATCAAGAGCTACTATGCGACCGATTCTGGTACTCTGCTCTAGAAATATTCCGAAACATATGTTGAAAAGGGAGCAGGCCGTATCAGGAGGGATGCACGGGCATGAAAGGTCAACTATAGTAAGTTGACTCCGCTGGTCTGTCTCAGCCGATAGAGCATATATATTAAGAAGCTCACATACCTGTGGTCTCCAGTCAGAGCCCCATCTCTTGCCTTTGGGCTTTTTTCCAAAGCTTCCAAACGCCTGCTCTGGCGGCATAAAGCTTTCTAGACTATCTAGACGTTGCTTTAGTGGCTCAAGTTGAGCTGGAGTGAGTCCAGATTCAACCACTCGGTCCTTGAACTTGACATAATCAAAATCTGTTCCCAGAGACTGCTGTTCGATCCGCATTTCTCTAAGAATTCGTTGAACAGTGTGCATGTATAGTGGAAGTGGGCCATTGTCTTGACCGACAGCCATTAGATCTAGCATACGTTTGGTGTTCAGGTCGGCTTGATCAATTCGTAAGGCTTCGACTTTGATTTTGAATCTCGAGTATGTTCCCTGACTACATGAGCGTATGTCTGTAGAATCAGATCGGAAAAAATGCATTACCTTTATGTTTCGAAGATTTGTGGGGGCGCATAAAACTCTGACTTTAATTTGGGGGTTTGAGGCAAGGAAGGCTGCTTCACAGGGAGAGCCTGAGTTATCGCTGATGAAGGTGTCATAATGAAAGACAACCGCGGTAAGAGGTTTTAAAAGCCTCCCTGCTTTGGAAGGGATCAAGCAACTTTCCAGAATACATGACAAGGTGTGACTTTTCCCCGAGCCTTGAGAACCACATATGAATATGCTAGAGGGGGATGAAACGTTGAAAAAAAGTCTAGGGTCTTTTTCCCATGTACTTTTATCTTCAAGAGCCTCATGATCCGAGCCGTTTGCTTTCGTGATTCCAGCCAACAATCCATATTGTGAAACCTCAGCAGCGGGTGTTGGCAGAGATAGATCAGAGAAACGCCTGAACACGTGGCTTGTAAATACCGGGGCAAGAGAGGCTTCTGCAAGTTGTTCTTCATGACTCTCAAGCTTCAGGAGGCTAAGGTGGTAGGCCAATTGATTATCTTGGACAAGGAGGTCAAATGATGTCTTCAAGAACAAGAGAGGTGAGAATACACACCATCAGGATAGGCCTTGCCTAAGGAGCAATCAGCCATGATTGGAGGGTACTTGAATATTTGTGAATGATCTAGTCGGCAGATTTTTGCGGGTATCCCTGTGACTTTTATATGTCTATGAAGACATCTTTTCACTACTGACGAGCGGGTACAGGATTTAGTACACCACGTGGGACAAGAAGTCCAATATCGATCACTTGCGCAATCAAGTGATGAGCCGACAAGCTAGTTCCAGGACTAGTAGCCTGGACAATTTCTTCCCGATGTAGAAGTTACGACACTAAATGTTTAATAAACCTATTTCGGCGAAATTTGGGCGACGGCTCCTGCTTCAGGCTTTGCTGCAACTAGATGATGATAAGGGTTTAATCAAACACGAAATAATTGGACAAATGTACCGGTGATTGGCCACCTCTATGCACCAGACACTTCATTGATGATCATTGTAGAGATAACAGCGGTGAGGAGAAGACATGTATGACCAGTCACAGTGTGATCTCCATTTCTTGCTCCAAACTCGTATTCAAACCCCATTATGTGAGGGTGCTCTATTAAAAGGTTTCTATTGTATTTGAACACTCTATGTCCCTCCTATCATTCCTCGCAAGTTCTACATCCTTTGACAACACCCTTCTTCGATTCTTCAAAATGCTCACTCCACCAGAAATTCAAAAGGTTCGAGATGCCCTTGGGTATCAAAGGCTATCCGAGTCTGGAATTTCGGAAGCTCTCACGGCCGCAGGAGTGGACAGGAAAAAAATGGATGGACATAAGAGACTTGCTCAATTGGGGACTCCCCTCATTGAGTACCAAGTCCTCGAGATGGGATACAGAACGAACATGAGCAGAGGTATTTTCTACTTGAATTTGCATGGAAATTTTTTAATGTTGAAGAGGCAAGGTAGCCCTGATTCTATCCACTCTCTTGACAACGGATTATCGAGCACGGATAGCGAGACACCATGGCATTGACCAATACATCAAATTCAGCCCCAGGGCAGAAATACAAGCAGCTAGCATTCTTGCTCAAGCCGTAAGCGCTCTGATAGCAGTCTTACATCTTGAAGCCAGAGACCCCGACATCACCCGAGAGGGAATGCTATGCTTAGGGTACTTTAGTAATACACCACGGGATTGAGAGAAACCACGGCTGACTTTTTAGATTTTTGAGTATAGAAGTGGACAATGTGGATCATCACGATCTCTTGAGCCAATTTAGGTCGATTTATGTGCCACAACTATCAGCACAAAGCCTACCGCCTGCAACGTCTGACTTGGATGATGCATTTTTGAACTTGAATGACACATCTGAGTTTCCATTCTTGACCTCCCTTCAAATTGTAAGCGAAAAAGATCCGGTCTATCTAGCCCAGACGGTCATGAATGAAGTGTTGGAGACTTCTACTGAGCGCGGAAACTCAAACGCATCGTCGAATCATACGAAAAGAGCGCTTGGTACACTGGACCACCCTGAGCAGCCAAACAACAAACGTCAAGAAATCGGTGACCTTTATCGAGCGTCGATCCTGAGAGACACCGAAAGATGTAAATTACAGAGGCTACCCCCGCCAGGGGAAACATTCTTCAACCCTCGCATTCACAACCGTCTGCTAGAGCTCAATTGCAAGTCTACAGACGCTTTTTGCACCATTTTGGCTCAAATAGCCGGTCCCAGCTCCGTTGTCGCTTTAAAGGAAGCATTGGAATGTTCAAGGTCCTGGCCTCAGGCTCAAAACTGGAGAATTTCAGTTCATGCGACACGGTGTGAAAGAATGGGAATCATTGGAGACCTGGAAGTTCGGGAAATGTACTGCGCTCTTCTCAAGAGATATCATGTGATGGAGCTGTTTCAGAACTGCGGTGGCCCTGATAGCCGGAAAACAAAGGAGATTGTTATTTGCACTGGAAGAGATATAATCCAACCTAGTGGCAGATTCGGAAATCCTAGTCACAATGACGAGGCTTATGTGACTGACAGGATGATGAAAGAGGTCTTCCCTGACCTTCAGTCCGGATGCAAAGGCTATGAGTCCAAAAGAAGATCTGTGTCTCGTCTTCGAGTACTCGGACGACGACTTCAAATGTTTGCAGACAAATTTGGTATTAGCAGTCTAGCTTTCATGCAACCATGCAAAGTCTCTGGAGATTCTGAGAAGCCAATTTCAGACCACATGTGAGTGAAAGTATCTATTTTTGACATTTTTGAAGTTGCTAATTGTTTGAAGGATCTTCGCCCCAAATGACACCGAATTTAAGCTTCTTATCGATATACTGGAGGAGTCACAAGGAGGCCTGCTTCGTCAATTTAGCAGCGCTGCCGAAGGAATTGTTCGTCATTTGATTTATGAGGACACGGATCATGCCGGGCCTTTCCTCTTGGAGACGATCGATTCCAAAGAGATATTCAAGCATCCTAAGGGTTCGCCGCGTCTCCTTGAAATATTGAATGAAAAGGGGAATGAGTATTGACGCAGAATTTAAATTATTCAGCGCACATTAGTAACATTCGCTTTCATTTTCGTGGATCTTTGGGCTAAAAGTTTTTGTTTCTTTAGAATACGAATAGAACAAGACAGATTCTTTCAGTCTCTTCAAGTAGGGCTTAAAGTGCGAAAAGATAACCTTCAGTTTGAACTCTAGTAATAGAATTATACAGGCGTTGACATTTTAAAGTAAGTAACTTATCTAGAACGACGTATTGGTGCGCTAAACTAGAAGAGACAAAACAAACCGTATACAGTAACTCATAGGTCCAAATTCTATGCGCATCGCAAGCCGCAGAAATGAAATTTGATGTTACGCTGAGGAGAATAAACCTACTATACAAGGTACTAGTCGATGGCCTCCTTAAAATAGGCTACATATTAGAATGCATAAAGGACTATGTCGGAATATGGCGATGTCATCCGTGCAATTCTCAGGACCATCAAAATTCAGCATGGTTCTTACATTACCCACGCCTAAAATGGCAAATGTGGCCGAGGTGATGAATCGGCCCACGTTCATTCAAAGAAATCAATATTTCACCGCTAAGTCCGAAGTTGCGTAACCCGAGCTAATTGGGTAAGAATAGGCTGCTTCCGAACTAGAAGAGAGGATTAGGACTTCACCGGTTCTAACGTATACCAGACACATGGAAAGAATGGCAAAGGCAATGTGATCATTGGAATGATAATTAATTCCCTAAAATCAATCAGCATAAGCTTTGCGATCTACTTGACCCCCACCAAACCTGGATGCAAACGCTGCAAACATAATCGGGATTTTCCCCGCGCTAACGCGTGTGCTTGCGTTTGCTTAAAGATAAAGAGAACAAAAGGTCGGGCATTGCCGTACCTTGTCCTTCTGTACACTCTCTGAAACTCAGACACTTCCTGCTCACTTGATACCTAGATCAGACTACCCGATACGCCACCAAAATGGCCCAGGATAACACTTCCTCGCCAGAGGGCGTCTCCTCCCTTCTAGACACCGATCTTTACAAGCTGACAATGCAATGCGCAATTCTCAAATACTTCCCTGATGTTTGTAAGTGAGATGCGCCGGATCTATACTACATCATCTAACCAGCTGGTAGATGTGACCTATGGCTTTACGAATCGAACCCCGCATATGAAGCTGCGGCGCGGGGCATACAAATGGCTCCTGCAGCAGCTGGAGAGTGAGTGATTTTTCTAGTTGAACCCACTCACTACTTTCCTATGACTTATAATAATTAATTTTCGCGTTAGAGCTCGGAACCCTCCGCGTCACTGCCGAAGAGCGCGCTTTCCTTAAACGCAAATGCCCATACCTCAACGATGCCTACCTCACCTTTCTTGAGAGCTTCCAACTCAGACCAGCCGAGCAGGTTGAGGTCAAATTCACGCCTACACAAGATACGGGCAGCGACGAGGACGAAGGCGCAATCGAATATGTCGTCAAGGGCCTCTGGCTCGATACCATCCTCTATGAGATCCCGCTGCTGGCACTGACCAGCCAGGCGTATTTCATGTTCAGTGATAAGGACTGGGATTACGAGGGTCAGGAGGAAAAGGCATACCGCAAGGGATGTATACTACTGGAGAACGGGTGTATTTTCTCCGAGTTTGGGACCCGGCGACGACGCGATTATCATACTCAGGATATCGTGATGAAGGGTCTCACTCGTGCTGCAGAGGATGGAAAGAAGAATGGCTGGAAGGGTGGATTGACTGGTACGAGCAATGTGCATTTTGCCATGAAGTACGATGTCAATGCTGTGGGTACTGTCGCGCACGAGTGGTACATGACCATCGCCGCTATCACGAACAATTATGAGAATGCCAATGAGTTAGCATTGCAGTACTGGCTCGGATGTTTCGGAGAGGGGGTAAGTATCCTATGGTTCATACCTCGGACTGCGAAGCTAACTTGAAAAGGTCCTCGGTATCGCCCTCACCGACACATTCGGTACACCGGCTTTCCTGGATGCGTTCCGCAAGCCTATTAAAACCCCCGAGAGCGAGAGCAGTGCCTCCAAGACATACGCACAGACCTACACGGGTGTGCGCCAGGATTCAGGAGACCCATCAAACTTCATCAAGATGGTGCGCGAGTTCTATGATCGCGAAGGTATCACCGACAAGAAGATGGTCGTGTTCTCTGATTCGCTGGACATTGATTCCTGTCTTGAATACAAGACTCTTGCCGACAAAGCGGGCCTAACTCCCTCTTTCGGCGTGGGAACTTTCTTCACAAGTAAGTAGAACCTAACCGAATGGCGATGCTGGCTGCTAACATCTTTCTAGATGACTACCTCAGCAAGACCAGTGGCGAGAAGTCAAAGCCTCTCAACATTGTCATCAAGATCTCCACGGCTAACGGCCGCCCGGCCGTGAAGCTCAGTGATAATCTCGGCAAGAATACAGGAGACAGCGCCACTGTTGCAGAGGTGAAGAAGAGGTTGGGATACACCGAGCAAGAGGGCGTGCAAATTGACGAGAGCAACCGTTGGGCTCAACGGAAATAGATTTCATTACGAACTCGAGGAATATACCTCATGACGTATTACTGGAGGCTGTTGTCTTTCATCTTGGCTTGTGAAGATCGATTATTTCAAACGTTCATAAAGACAGGTAGTTTTCATGATATCCATTAATAGAACAAGAGACTACATCATGACATTGCAGTCGCAGTTGGTATTCACAATGGCCATGTTGATAAGACCAAATCATATGATGTTATACACTCGTAAATGCGGTACAGATACGGAAAACCAAAACCAAACGCATTGGTATCGTTAAGTCAAGACTTGAAAAAGGGATCTCCAATGTATGGAAGAAACCCCTAAAACATTTCATCCTCAGTCTGAAATCCCAGATCTCGATCCAAATCCCCCGTAATATTGCCATGACCAGATTGATGCGCCAATGCGTTGTCATAATCATCATCTTTAAGCGCAAAGGCAAAAAGATCCTGTTCCTCCAGTTCACTCTGAGATATATTTTGCGGCGCAGGACGCTGTGGATCGAAGGCTTTGAACCTATCAAGTTCCGGTAAGGTTGTTCCTTGAAAGAGAGCTTTTGTCCAATCCAATGCATCGAGGTCTTCTGCCGGAGGTGAGATCTCCATCGGTTGTGTGGTGTGGGTGGTCGTATCTTCTATATCGGGTAAGTCGAAATCGATATTGAGATAGTTGTAGGGGTTGCTGTCGTTTGGAGCTATTTCGGCTGCGAAGTGGTCGTCGAAGTCGTTGGGGAATGGGCGGTGAGCTTGAGCAGGGGTTTGTGATGGTTCGCCAGATGTAGGGATGTTTTGGTTTCGTTGCTGAGGTTGGTTTTCTTCATGGAAAGATGCCGTTCTGTAAGATGCTGGGGTTTGAACATCGGGTTTTGTGCTGTCTTGACGGAGGGAACGAGGTGTAGATATTGAGTCGGCGTTACTTTGTTTCCTGATTGAATCGACAGGGCTGGTCGGTGTGTTGAAGTTGTTTTGCATGATCTGGAAGAATGTGTTGTTGGTGTAATTGCCTGATTGTAGCTTGATAGCGGCTTCGAGATTGGCGAATTCAACGTTGGCGGCTGGGTACATGTCCTTTAAACAGTGCAAAACGTGGATGCAACGTTGGAAATTGTGGGCGCTGCTCTCACGGATAGCTGGGTTGTCGGACACGGAGTTTGAAAGATGTGCCACGGCCGCTGGGAGGATTACTGTCACGCCAGACTGTGGTAGAAACCGTGTGAGATTGAGTTGGTTAAGACCTTGGATAATGTGGGTAATGCCGGAAGCAGCTTCATGCATCTTCGTGCGGGCTGCATTACGCCACTCGGTGCGAGACTTCGACTGGTCTTTCGAGTGGGCTGCCCAGGGCCTGTGGAGTGCGCTGCTGGTCGCATGATACAATAGGCGGAGCATAGCCCCGTGTAAAAGTAGGACATCCTCACCATCCTGAAAATTGCTCTTGGATGCTGGAATAAACTGTGCATCTTTAGGTAGGCCAGTAAGCCAAGAATCTAGTTTCTGGCTGCATCGAGTAAATTCCGATTCCGAAGCCTGTCGGGGAGCTAGCGTAACGGTCGTTCTGTCTGTTGCTCCAAATTGTCGTTGTGACGGCGCATATTGCGCAAATATTACTCGTCCAATGCATTGGCATAGCTTGACCTTCTCAATGAACATAGTGGCCAGGCGTTTTTGGTGTGATGCGTCCTCGAGCTGTCGACAGCGGAAAAGACCGATCGCAGATCGGGAGAAAGGCTCAAAATCAAAGTCCTCTGGTCTCAACATGGGAACACTGCTTGTGCCCTCGTTCACCTGTAACGGGCGTCGCATTCCCATGGCGATCAATCGATCCCGGGAGTAAAGACACCACCAGAGTCGAATGCGCAGTCTTTTGAGCCTGGGATCGATCTCAGCGGTGGATGGATCTTTGTTTAATCCAATAGAATGTGCCTGCGTATTACACACTCCTATCCAGTCCCAAATATCCCGCTGTAGGCTGTTTTCGGGGTCGGACCAATATGTCATGAGTAGTACGGTTTGCAGGATGACGATACGGTCTTCTTCGCAGTCAAGGGAGTATAGAAGCTACAATGCAAGGGTTAGGCCATCCAAATTGGAGTGAAAGGGGCGGTACGCACTCTTAATCGTGTGAAGAACGCATTGCGTGCATCTTTCCTCGTGGAATATCCTGCAGCCTGCAGGTGCTTGATGTCGACAAAAGCTGTCCCCACAAACATTACCGCCTGGAACAGCAGAACACTGATGTTTCCATCGGGGTCGTTCTCTGCCACGCATCTTAAAAGCTCTTGCAAGTTAAGCACAGGCATAAAACTGTGAACCCACTGGATATACGACCGTAACAGCTCATTGCGCAACCCACTCTCTGGGATCGACAACGCGCCCCGAAAGCGCAAAAACTCCAGATCCTCTCGCGCGATGCGGTTCGGCAGCGGTTTCAGAAATCGCGGCTCTTCATCCAAAATGGCAGTCAAAGGATCGAAGTCCGGATCGATTAGATCCTGCACCGCAGAAACCATGTTGGCAAGTGGCAACGAGTTAGAGACGGCAGGGTCACCCAGATTACGCCAGCCCTTGAGTGGCCTGCCGGACTCAAAGAGCCATGGAGCCTGTGGATCGTATCCTGAGATACTATGGCGTTTAGATGTCGGCTCGTGGCGAGCACCAGCTTGCTGCTGTAGCTTCCGCTTCAGAGCCAGCGCATTGCTGTTTGGGGAAAGAGACATCGCCACTTATGCAGGGATCCGCATATGCATATGCAGCCGGTGTCTCCTTTCGTATTCTTTCGATGTGACAGGGACTGAGATCGGCGTGTAGAAGCGAAAAGCAAAAAGGGACCAATTTGTCTAGCCCGGTGAAGCGCAGGGCGGTGTTCGGGACATGGGGGGGAAAATGTGGGGATTTTGCGGAGGCTTACGTGGAGTCAATCTGAATGGTTGGAATAAGATGTCAAATTTGAGTTTGATGTACCGATTGACCGTAGGTTTAATATAATGCTGATGAATACGAGCTCTATGATCTAATTAAAAGCAGGAATCTACCTGTGGTTAGAATTGATGCAATTCTACTGCGGAGTAGAATAGCGGCTAAGTGCGGAGATTCAATAAAGCGAGGGTCCTATATCAATGCTAAGTGGGTCAATGCTCTTCAATCACCTTCCACCTCCAAGCATGACTTGCTTAGCCCACTCGACTGAACGAGTTTCGTTCTCATCCTGCTCCACGGAATAACCTGACTTTTCAGCCTCTACATGGTCGCATTGTTCCGGACTCGCACTAGATAGGCCATGCTTTGGTGGCTCACCAGAGCCTTTTCTCCAGGAGCTCTTATCACACGATGCAATGAGTTCAGTAGCAATCCACCCATACATTTGACGAGGGTTTCACCCATGTTACCAACACATTTCCCGGTCCCGGCTTGACATATAACTGGTTTTATGGTCTATCTTTCCCTTCTGTCGGCAGTATCTGCAATCTACCCACAACGTTAAAGAGTAGAGTGGTATGCCCACTAGGAGCGACATTGTCATTCTGGGAGTTTGCTTGGGACTGGCCAGGTAACAGCCTCACAGATGCCTTAGAGACTCTGTTCCAAGGGCTAAGTTTACTGAGTGTTCCAGATGGAAGGCCCAGTTGATCGAGATGAGAGTGCTACTATAAGATTCCAGTCTGGCTCCTTATTTTGTTCCTGATGACATACATGTATCGAATGAGTATTCTGGAGTAACTTGATGCACATCAGCTCGTTTGCCATCAATAGGATCTGTATCCTTGCGCGCAGGCCGATTCCCGAGTCTATTTTATTTATCATGGAATAAAAGCTCCATACAATCCATTTTACCATCATCTATCTTCAATTGGCATTTTCGCTTATACCTTCCAGTCATATGGTCAACAAGAAACAACTACATTCCTGGCATGCGTGGAACAGTGTTCGATTTTCTGTTTCACTTCCACGCTGGAGCTCTGCGAATGGCACTTTCGGTAGTTGAACGACTTGACACTGGAAGGGAATGGAGGACATTTGAAATACTTAAGCTTTTCACAGAGTGATCTGATCGATTAGCTGGAGTACATAAAGAGTTCCCATCTCAACCAGTTCTAGGTCCACAGTGATCACCACATTGTGGACCTGGACCTGGAGAATCATTGCCTGCATGTGTTAATGTGGTTGAGATCGATCTGAGAGTTCCAAGATTATTTCGTCCTCTCCAGTCCATGTTACTGATTGTAATAAAATGACAGTCAAAATCCTTGGTATTCATGACAAAGCTGTGGCACCGCCCGTGCAGCCAAATGGGGTATGCCTTTGCGAAACTATTGTACAGATAAAAATAGGAGCATCGGAGTGTATGCAACTTGTCCCCTGACCGGCGCCATTATGCTTCCATAGAAAAAAACGTTTCACGAGGAGGGGAGGTCGATGTTCGAGTATATGGTTGGTTTACATACTGGGACGCGTTAGTTCGATCTCGTGCCAATGATCCGATGACCGAGTCTGGATATGACTTGACTTACGGAGGGAGGAGGATCTCGCCGAGGCTGCTGTGGAGGAAAGCAATGCCGACCTAGAGATAATGTCAGATCCTGAACCAGTTTCTATTGTTGAACGGACGTACGGTGAAGATGGCAATGCTGCGGACGATGGTGGCGTTCTCGGGGTTGCGGGCCTCGTCGAAGACGGTGCCGATGAATCCCTTCTGGGAGGCGGAGTAGTTCTTGGGGGCCATTGTGATTGTAGATGGAGTGAAAGCAAAGGGTGATGTAGGAATGGGGATGGAGGTCGGAGGTCGAGAAATCTGCGGCCTCGGGAACGTTTGGCGTCACTGCGTCATAGGTGTCTTTCGACACCCGTATATCTTTTGCGCGGGCGCGCAATGCAGCACCTTGTCTCGCTCGCTCAGTCACTGGGAGAACAAAGGCGGGGATCTTCACTTTTACTTTTTCTCAATCGCATCAACTTTAAAATTATTGTGATCGGAAACCCAGGTGTCATTGCTTAGTTCTTGTTGAGGAGCACGCGCCGCAGCCATGACTAGTGTCGATGAGCTCTTCAAGGTAAGTCATAGTTTCCCACCCCTTTTCAGTCTCTCTCTGACTTTTGAAGAAACCTTTGAGTGTAGGAAGCTCCAAGCGCAAATTTGAGCCGCTGAAAGACCCAAGTACGCGCCTCTTCCCTGCCATAGCCGACATCAGCTAACCCAACACAAGATGAGGTCTACAAATCCGCCAAGCTAGACCCCAATACCGACGTGAGGTCCAAGGGAAAGGAAGCCATGGTTGAGGAAGACATTGATGATGATGGCGAAGCTGGCCCCGAAATGCCCCCAGACATGGACACCGAAGACATTCCCGACGACGAGGAAGGCCGCTTCTTTGGCGGAGGAATGGAGCAAAAGACCGCCCAAGCGATGCAGTATATTGACCAGCAAGAAGAAGATGAAGCTGCAGTATGTTCATGTCTCCAGGTCCTTGACTGTCACTATGCTAATGACTACTGTCCAGCCCGAGAAATTCGACACAGCCTGGGTCCGGCGATTCGCCTTGAATTTCGAAAAAAAGATATCCAAGAACGCCGAGTTACGAGCCAAATTCGAAAATGATCCCCAAATGTATGTCAGGACTAGGGAAAAATGCAGGCTGTATGCTAATTGACTGCAGGTTCATGGCATCCGAAGCCGATCTGGATACCGAGATCAAGGGACTATCTATCCTGTCAGAACACTCAGAGCTCTACGAGGAGTTTTCGAAAATGGGCTGCATTGGCTCATTGATATCGCTACTCTCTCACGAGAACGCGGATATCGCGATCGACGTAATTCAAATCATCGGTGAGCTTACAGATGAGGATGTCGAGGCGGAACAGGAACAGTGGGACAGTTTGGTCAACGCAATGGTAGGCTCCAAGGCATATTTTATTTTTGCGATAGAATGCTGATCAAACTAGATGGACGCCGATCTCATAGAACTAATGACCTCAAATCTCACTCGTCTGGACGAGGGCGTGGAGACTGACAGGGCGGGCGTTTACTATATTCTCAGTAGGTACAATTTCCCAGATAAGATGAGCACCACTAATAGTACCCAGATGTGCTGGAGAATCTATGTTCTCAGACCTCTGTCGCAGAGAAAATTGGCCAGGATCCTTCTATCCTTCAATGGATCATAGCTCGTATCCAGAAGAAGGAATCCCCTGTCAGTCAAAACAAGCAGTACGCAGCAGAGGTACTGGCCATTCTATTGCAATCATCATCTAAGAACCGGGAAAGGTTTATCGGTCTCGAAGGTGTCGACATCATCCTTCAAATTCTCAGTCTATACCGCAAAAGGGACCCTGAGAAGGACTCCGATGAGGAAGAATATGTGGAGAATCTTTTCGATGCTTTGATCTGTCTGGTCGATGAGCCGATCGGAAAAGAGAAGTTCATTGAAGCTGAGGGAATCGAACTTGCCTTGATCATGCTTAAAGAGGGTAAATTTAGCAAATCACGGGCTCTAAGGACTCTCGATCATGCCTTTGGTGGAGCAACAGGTGGTCCGGCCTGTGAGCGATTAGTTGAAGCAGTCGGACTGAGGACAATTTTCGGCATGTTCATGAAGAAGGTAAGCACGGTCTCCTGCTGGTGTGGTGTTTCGCTCACAAGAAACAGCAAGAGGGACAAAATATCGAGCACTTGTTAGGCATCTTTGCCTCCCTCCTACGACTCCTGCCTGGTGCTTCGGCACCGCGTATTAGGACCCTGGCGAAGTTCATGGAGAAGGATTACGAGAAAATCGAGAAACTAATAAAGTTGAGACGAGAGTATGCTGCACGAGTGGCACCTGTCGAACAAGCCATTGAGAAAGAACGCAAGTCTTATCCTCCGGAGGATCAAGAAATCATGGCTGGCGAATGGCTATCTCGGCGGTTTGATGTTGGACTCTTTTCCTTGCAGACAATTGATGTTGTCTTGGCTTGGCTCATTGCGGAGGATGACGGCGCTAAGAAGAGGATTGTAGCCCTCTTAGCAGACCGCGACGAAGACCTTTCCCTGATTCGGGGTACCCTACAAGGTAAGCATCATCGGGACCTATGTTTACCCGCGTACTAACTCCATTCTAGAGCAATTGCAAGGACTGGGTGATGAAGATCCAGGACAGAAGGACACTAAGGATATGCTGAACACCTTACTACAGTTTGTGTAAGGGTTTCACAACTGCAATGTACTATATTCGATATTATTCCAAGGTCTGTCCAGTATCACTGCAGATGATTGTGTTGGTTTACAATGAAGACGCCTATGGAATCCACATAGTATAATTTGCGCAGTATGAGCTTAGTCCATGGTAATATGATCTTCAAGTAGATGTTAGCAGTAATTTTTCAATCTCGCAACTTTTCCATTGCAAGGCTGAGTAGAGATATCTAATTTCATTTGAAACTAAGAATCTTCGACTTTTACTCTACATCACGTGATGTTATACTTTCCACGTGACTGAAGAATCCTTATCAGGACTAGTGTGGTATTTCGGCGCCGCCGAAGCATCAAGATCCTGGGAGATCGCAAATCACTCATCTGTCACCGCTGGGAGTTTTCTTTTATCCCACCGAGCTCCCCTCACAGCTTCCTCACTTGTCTGGACCGACTGCAGAAATTACTCTACAGTCACTGACAGGCGGGTGTTGCAGCGCGTTGGGTGAATCCTAAATAATTGCTTTCCCCGACCCGACGCGCCTCTGCGACCCTTCGAGGATCCCTCATTTCACTTTTCGCCCTCGCCACTAAGAACGCACTGGGAGTTCCCAGAAGATCGACACAATGGCAGACTACGATGAAACATACGAGGAGGAGTTTTACGATGATGCGGATGAAGGAATTACCTCCGAAGACTGCTGGACTGTGATCTCTTCGTTCTTCGACACAAAGGGTCTCGTGTCTCAGCAGCTCGATTCTTTCGACGAGTTCATTTCCTCAACCATGCAGGAGATGGTGGAGGAGCAAGGACAGGTGGTACTTGATCAGACCCTCCCTCCCTCCGAAGACGAAGACGACCCGGTGGTTGTCCGCCGTTACGAGCTCAAATTCGGCACAGTCATGCTTTCGCGACCATCAGTCACCGAAGGAGATGGCGCAACAACAATCATGTTGCCCCAGGAAGCCCGTTTGCGAAACCTTACCTACGCCAGTCCCCTGTACCTCGACGTCACAAAGAAGGTCATGGAAGGACGAGAGCGGTTGATCGCCGACCGCGATGATGAGGAGCCTGGTGAGGGTGAGGAAGACCGCAAGAATCGCGGTACATATCTTCAGTGGGACGAGGTCGACTTTGCAGGAAATTCGGACAAGAAGGAGACAGTTTTTATCGGCAAGATGCCCATTATGCTGAAGTCCAAGTACTGTATCCTTAAAGATCTCAACGAACAGTCCCTCTATGCCTGGAACGAGTGCCCTTACGACTCCGGTGGTTACTTCATTATCAACGGAAGTGAAAAGGTTCTTATTGCACAGGAGCGCAGTGCTGGAAACATTGTCCAGGTCTTTAAGAAGGCACCCCCGAGTCCCACACCCTACGTTGCCGAAATTCGCAGTGCTGTTGAAAAGGGATCTCGGCTTTTGTCCCAGCTTTCCTTGAAGCTCTTCGCCAAGGGTGATAGTGCCAAGGGTGGTTTCGGTCCTACTATTCGTTCAACTCTCCCATATGTCAAGGCCGATATTCCCATCGTCGTCGTTTTCCGAGCTCTTGGTGTCGTCTCTGACGAGGATATCCTGAACCACATTTGCTACGACCGCAATGATATTCCGATGCTGGAAATGCTGAAGCCCTGTATCGAGGAGGGCTTCGTCATTCAGGACCGTGAGGTGGCTTTGGATTTCATTGCCAAACGTGGCTCCTCCCAGTCCAACCTTAACCATGAGCGACGTGTCCGTTATGCACGAGAGATCATGCAAAAGGAGCTGCTACCCCATATCTCCCAAAGCGAAGGTAGTGAAACTCGCAAAGCCTTCTTCCTTGGCTACATGGTGCATCGCCTGTTGCAGTGTGCTCTTGGTCGCCGAGATGTTGATGACCGTGATCATTTTGGAAAGAAGCGCCTGGATCTGGCTGGTCCACTTCTAGCCGGTCTTTTCCGGGTTCTCTTTACTCGTGTTACCCGCGATCTCCAGCGTTATGTCCAGCGTTGTGTTGAGACTAGCCGTGAGATCTACCTTAACGTGGGTCTCAAGGCTGCTACCCTCTCCGGTGGACTGAAGTACGCTCTCGCTACTGGTAACTGGGGTGAGCAGAAGAAGGCTGCCAGCGCCAAGGCTGGTGTATCTCAGGTGCTGAGTCGTTATACGTACGCATCTTCGTTGTCGCATTTGCGACGTACCAATACACCTATTGGGCGAGATGGTAAGATTGCCAAGCCTCGTCAGCTTCACAACACTCACTGGGGTCTTGTGTGCCCGGCCGAGACGCCTGAAGGTCAAGCTTGTGGTCTGGTCAAGAACTTGGCACTTATGTGCTACATCACCGTCGGTACACCTAGTGAGCCGATTATCGATTTCATGATCCAGCGGAATATGGAGGTTCTCGAGGAGTTCGAGCCTCAAGTCACACCTAATGCCACCAAGGTGTTTGTCAATGGTGTGTGGGTTGGTATTCACCGCGACCCATCGCATCTTGTCAATACCATGGCGTCTCTTCGTCGACGAAACATGATCTCTCACGAAGTCAGTTTGATTCGTGACATTCGTGAGCGAGAATTCAAGATCTTCACTGATACTGGACGTGTTTGTCGACCGCTGTTCGTCGTTGATAACGACCCCAAGAGCGAAAATGCCGGATCACTGATCCTGAACAAGGAGCACATCCGCAAGCTGGAAGAAGACAAGGATTTGCCACCAGACTTGGACCCGGAAGAACGTCGCGAACGTTTCTTCGGATGGGAAGGATTGGTGCGATCTGGGGCCGTGGAGTACGTGGATGCTGAGGAAGAGGAAACCATTATGATTGTGATGACGCCTGAAGACTTGGAGATCTCCAAACAACTCCAGGCTGGCTACACGCTGCCCGTGGACGACAGCGACCCCAATAAGCGAGTCCGCTCGGTTCTGAGCCAGCGGGCACACACCTGGACTCACTGTGAGATCCACCCCAGTATGATTCTCGGTGTTTGCGCCAGTATCATTCCATTCCCGGATCACAACCAGTCGCCTCGTAACACCTATCAGTCCGCTATGGGTAAGCAGGCTATGGGTGTGTTCTTGACAAACTTTGCACAGCGCATGGAGACGATGGCGAACATTCTTTACTATCCTCAGAAGCCGCTTGCTACGACCCGTTCCATGGAGTTCTTGCGTTTCCGCGAGCTGCCCGCCGGTCAGAATGCGATTGTCGCCATTGCTTGTTACTCTGGATACAACCAGGAAGATTCCGTCGTCATGAATCAGAGTAGTATTGACCGCGGTCTTTTCCGCAGTCTGTTCTACCGTACATACAGCGATTCGGAGAAGTCGATCGCCACGAACATTGTGGAGAAATTTGAGAAGCCCATGCGACTCGACACCCTCGGTATGCGCAAGGGCACATACGACAAGCTTGATGACGATGGTATCATTGCTCCTGGTACACGTGTTTCCGGAGAAGATATCATTATTGGTAAAACTGCGCCTCTGGCCGCCGATGCGGAGGAGCTCGGTCAGCGTACCAAGGCACACACCAAATTGGACGTGTCGACACCCCTGCGAAGCACTGAGAACGGTATTGTCGACCAGGTCTTGATCTCGACGGGCAACGATGATATGAAGTTTGTCAAGGTCCGCATGCGTACTACCAAGGTCCCCCAGATTGGTGACAAGTTTGCGTCTCGTCACGGTCAGAAGGGTACTATTGGTATCACTTACCGACAGGAGGATATGCCCTTCACCCGTGAAGGTGTGGTGCCCGATCTCATCATCAACCCGCACGCCATTCCGTCCCGTATGACCATTGCTCACTTGATTGAGTGTCAACTCAGTAAGGTGTCGGCGCTCCGTGGGTTCGAAGGTGATGCCACTCCTTTCACCGACGTGACAGTCGACTCGGTCTCTCGCCTGCTTCGGGAGCACGGTTACCAGTCGCGTGGATTTGAGGTCATGTACAACGGTTACACCGGTCGCAAGTTGGTGGCGCAGGTGTTCCTGGGCCCGACATACTACCAGCGTCTGCGTCACATGGTGGACGACAAGATTCACGCTCGTGCTCGTGGTCCCACCCAGATTCTGACCCGTCAGCCAGTCGAGGGTCGTGCCCGTGATGGTGGTCTCCGATTCGGAGAGATGGAGCGCGATTGTATGATCGCCCACGGTGCCAGTGCCTTCCTGAAGGAGCGTCTCTTTGACGTTTCTGATCCGTTCCGAGTCCACATTTGCGATGACTGTGGCCTGATGACACCCATTGCGTACGTTAATCCCCTCCTAAATTTCTCTTGAATCAATACTAACACGGAAATAGTAAACTGAAGAAGGGTCTCTTCGAGTGCCGCCTGTGCAACAACAAGCACCGTATCTCGCAGGTCCACATCCCCTACGCTGCCAAGCTTCTGTTCCAAGAGCTGGCCTCGATGAACATTGCCGCTCGGATGTTTACTGATCGGTCCGGGGTGTCGGTGCGATAATTGCATGCACCTTGCACAATTCTCATTTACATTGTACTTTAATGATTCACTCGAAAATTGCGAGTCCTTAGGACTATTGTGGCGTCTGGGGATCTTTGGCCCTCGCATTCTATCGGTCATACATAGTCGGAAATCAAATTTTGTGTATTTGCCGTGCCTGTAACAGTATTCTTAGCTACTAGATAGCAGAGTAAGATGTCAATCAAAAAAACTCCTGGTATATCTCCTTCAGCTGGACGTATTGGTCGGGCAACCCGAAACCAAGTCTATACCGGTCAGCAGTACAATACTTAGAAAGTCAGGCCGACTAGTCATGGCGCAGCGACAGTTATCGAAAAATATGGAAACATGCAGATTTAAGAACATTTCATATGAAGAGTGCGCACTACGCCCAGGTCTTCATCATGCAGCCGGCCCATTTGTTCCCGTCCCACTGCTCACTGTTGGCAAAGCCCCGCACCTATCACTGTACGCAATTTACTCAAGTATGCCTTGGTCCCAGGATCAAGTTCTATTATTATTCGCCACGTTGTACCCTTGTACCCAAGTAGCCTAGACTCAAAAAGCAACTTCAGAATTACGTGCAGGCCGATCGGACGTCAAAGTAACTGCCAATCAACATGATCCACGGGGGCTGACAGTGGGGCTAGAAGGGATTGTGAATGTACTCGCGGGATGCAGGGAAAGGAAAGCCTTTCTCTTGATTCCGTGTTTGGAGAGTACATGTATGTACATGCGGGAAAGGTGTTGATTCTGGACTCGTATTGGTCTATAACTGGCGGGGAATCACCTGGGACAGCAGGATGACGGTGATTTTTCCCGTCATTGAAACTCAAACCTTGTAGATTGGACTGTGCGCAGACTGATTTCATCAATCATCTCTTGTTAGTTTGGGGATTTATTCATGTAGGTGGTTTTCACTGTGGCTATATTTTGTGTATATTAGAGAAGGGATATACTAGAACGTAGAATGTATGAGCTTGACGAAAGAGGCTGATTCAATGAGTTCCAGTGCTGCCCCTCATCTGGTCTTACTGGTCTCACTTGGTAGCGTCAATTACAGGGGTTTGATTGGTTAAGCATATTGTTACACAGTGATGGACTTGTCAACAACTAGTCCAACCAATGAAGTAGCTTGAATACCCGCTGGCCATCAACCTTCAATCCTCTGCATAATCCAGTCGATTTCCCTTAAAAACAGTCCAGAACCGCCCAGGCGGATTTCTTCTTTCTTTTCTTCAGCGAGTTTTTGTTGTTTGAGTCTGAATCTAGGCACTGGTGGCCCACGATTCTTTTTTTTCTTTTTTATTACTTTAATTTACAAAGAGCTGTGCTCTAACAGTGACAGCCTTACCTTTGATTTACTCTTCGTTGCTGGTCAACGTTTGTGCCTTGCTCATTCAACAAACACGTTAATTTAATCTCGCTCACATTCTTCTGGACCGATTCCTTGCGACTTCGACTTCGAATTCGACAAGATTCAATACAATCACATCAGACTCTGGTAGCTCTGATTCCAATTGACTCTTTACGTCCAATATAATTTATTTGATTCATAATGGCCGCCGTTCAACTCAAGTTCTCTCTGCGGACCTCGTCCAATGTCAAGACCGTCCACCTGGTCGGATCCTGGGACAACTACGCCCGCCAGCTGCCACTCTCAGCCGAAGACAAGCCCGGTGCCTGGGTCGGCAAGTTCCGCTTCCAGACCTCTATGCTCCAGCTCGGTAGCCGCTACTGGTACTACTACATCATGGATGGGTACCACGTCTCCCACGACCCAGCCGTCGAGTACACCGTCGAGCCAACCACAGGCCGCAAGCTCAACATCCTCGATGTCCCCGGCGGAAAGTCCACTAGCTCCAGCACCCGCACCTCGACCCGTCGCAGCTCGAACGTCGCCCACGGCCGCTCCCTCTCGCCGTCCAAGATCCAGCACCCTAAGCCCTCCAAGCCCTACGCCTCGCGCCAGCTTCGCGAAGCCGAGTTCGGCGCCCCAACCGTCGATGACTTGACTCGCCGCTTTGCCGGCTCTCGTCTGTCGGATGAGTACTCCTACTCCAACAGCCCGCCTTCCTCGGCTGGTTCCTCGCTGTCGTCCCGCTCTTCCGGCTCGACTTCGCCTTCTTCTTTGTCCTCCATGAGCGACCCCCAGTCCGTTTGCTCTTGCGAACGCTACGGTATCACCCGCAAGGGAGACCGTGTCAAGCTGGACTGTGGTGGCAGCCGCTGCGGCTACCTTGATGAGTCGTCTGATGCTAGCTGCTCCGAGGATGAAGACAGTGATGAGGAGTACCGCCGTGCCCGCAGTGGTGCCCGTCGCCAGGGCATCGTTGTCCGCCGTTAGGGCTCGACGTTTGGGCTAGTCCGTGTTCCATGAACATGGACTACCTGGGATCTGTTTCCACGTCATACGCTTGGACCTGGTAGCAGGGATTCGGTTTGCGTCTATTTGATTACCTTGCTTTTGAAAAAGAAAATACCAAAAAAAACCCTTCGCCGAGGGTGAACCGGCTTCACTTCGGTATGGGTGGGGATGTGTTGTTGAGAAGGGAGAAATGGGGATGGGGATGAGGGGGGAGGAGCAAGAAGACATCGATGCCCAAATCCGATGCACCAATCCGACAATATCCACCCTGGACTTGTCCGCACGTCCAGACCGGTGGTCGATAAGCTTATCTCGCATGCGAGCCATAAGAGTCAATCCCGCTCCGTGTCCGCATGACAATTTCCCGGACACGGCCTTGCGGACGAGCCTTGCATCTCGTAACCATGAGCATCCATTGATGCCGGGGCTTTCAAAGCTCGCGTCGTGGTTAGGTCTTATTTTAGATGCTATGAATAATGAGATATGACCATTGGATCTCGTGGTGCTTCATTCCTTTGTAGATGTTAGTACGGTGATAGAAAATGAGTATCTGCACCTTGTTTCCTGGCCCATCATGTATAGACCTCGGGAATTATGCTGGTCAAAACTTTTACTCGTATATAGGACAGGTGGCCCGAGTCAGATTGGATCTGATAGTGAGGTAGGAGTGAAGGTGGATGGCGAGGTAATGAGCCACCTACCGGTATCTATAGGGTCTTCATTTTTCGCATCTTCTGGAAACTGGAAAGCGGTGGATGAAAGAGAGGGGCATGTCTTAAGTGAAGACACAAATCTGTCCATCTCCATCCATACATATACCCATCTCTCCAGCTTTGAGAGGGCCGACGTTTTGATTGTATGCCGATGGATCCCATGGTAAATTGTGGCAATTGAATATATCCCCATAACCAACCATCTTGTGATTGGGCTTTGGTGACTACTGCAATGAGGCAATCAGCGCCGTCTCATCGTTCAACACCCAGACCGCGAAATGCAGATTCTTTCCAATGCAAACATCCTCATTGGAAAAGCCGTACAGGAGTATCCATGTCCATACTTTTGATCAATCAATGTTTATTTGAGGAGTTGACAGTTGTGAAGATACACCTAAGCATACGTATGTGCCGAGCCTCCTGCACATGTGCTGCAATGTCAGTCGAAATATATATTATTGTTGATTCTTAGCATACTTCAAACGTTAGATAGATATCTGCGATTTAGAAAGACGACAGAAATTAGGGACACAGTTTATTGCCGTGTATCAAGATGCATATCTGTAAGAGAGGGGAAGAATATATTCCTCTACCATAGCCTCAGTAGACTGCGCAGAAGTCCCAGAGCATGCAGCCCCTTCAAATGTTGCACTGTGTTTGTTAAGTCTGGGTTTGAATGTTTGAGGTCATTTTATACCCCGAGGAGTCAACAGTGCGCTCGAAAGGACTGATAATTGCCTTGGGGATGTGAACCCCCGAGTGGTTCGTGTGAACTTCTGGGACGAGGCTTATTAACTCTATATGAGTGGCCTAAGGTGGAAAAGATATGGTATGAAAGGTTCGACAAGTTGTACTAGGCTAGTTGAGAGACGGCACTGTGGACGAAGTAGGTAATCTATGCACATGTGAGTCGCCAGCATCATGTTCAAGATAAATTTTTCGGGGTGAGGCTCACGTTGAGACAGATGTCGAAGGCAGAGGAAGATACGGGTATCTAGCTTGGGAAGACATTCTTATATATAATCCGAGAACGGCCGATTCGTAGTGCAATCCTACATGTGTATATATTAAGTAGGCAGGCAACCCAAGAGAAGGAAAACGAGAACCAAATACATCGATACATATTTTATCCTGAAGGCAGCAACTGAAGTGTAACGGGAGTGTAGCAAACAACTTTTCTTACTTCTCATCAACCATCGCTCTGACATTCAAATACACTACAAGCCTTTCTATGCCTATCTTGTCCTCTGAATGCTTCAAATTAAGAATAATAAAGGAAACCAAAGTATATTTATCTAAATATGACAGACGTAGCACATTAAACGTATATTAGACAAAATGACACGAAAGGGGCCTTCCAGTTTCCAAATTAGGAAAACCAGTATCTCAAACACTCGGACAGTGCCAAGTGTATGTATGTATTACGAAGCCTTGCAAACACAGCCTTCATAGAGCTCTAGCTTGAGCTGTAGCTCTGGCTCCATACCAATTCTCCCGCTTTCAACTGATGCCTACAGCAGGAATGCCAGAGCACCACCGATAACTCCAAGAGCAGCAGCAGGGCGCGCAGCGACAACGAAGCCAGCACCAGTGGAAGGAGCGGAAGTAGCAGCGGTGGAGCTAGCAGACGAAGCAGAGGTCTTCAAACCAGAGACCGAGGCGGTTGTGCTGCCGCTGGTGACCGCAGTGCCGGTAGAAGTAGAGGTAGAGGTAGAGGTACCGGAGGTAGTGGTCTCAGTCGAGGTGGTCGACACAGCATCGGCAGAGGTAGCAGTGGACTCGCTGGACTTGGTGGACTTGGTAGCAGATGAGGTAGAGGTAGAGGTAGACGAGGTAGACTCGCTAGCGGACGAAGTCACGTTGAACTGGCCACTCTGGGCAAGGATACCGTTGTTGACATCGGACACAATGTTAATCTGGTAATCTTGTCTAATATTCGCGTCAGATGCAAGGCTTGGATTGAATGGGACCCATGTATTCATACCCAGCGGCAATGCTGCCGACGTTAACAGTGTGCGAGCCATCGGAGGTGCTAATGTCCGAGGCAAGCTTCTTGCTCACAGGAGGATAGACTGCGTTGTTGACGAGGTAGATATCCAAGCTCGTGGCATCGGTACTAGATTTGGGTTAGCTTGAACAATTGATCGTGGTGGGGACACATACTCGACATAAGTCCACTTCACGTCCAGGGAGCTCGAGGAAGCGATAACAGAATCCTTCGTAGGCTCGGTGATGGTAATGGCTGGTTCAATTAGTAGAAGTCAATTAGAGGATGTAGAATGAAGTTTACCTCCAACAGAGAGGACCAGAGGCAAAACAGACAAAGCGAGTGAAAGACGCATGGTTGCGATGAGCTTGAACGAGTGAAAGAGAGAACAGTGAATGTGTTTGAAGATTGGATGTATATGACAGGAAGGTTCTAAGATTTAAAGTAGTAGCAGATATACAAGAAAACGAGCATTACGAGATAAAGTCTCAGAACAGACCTAGGAAAACAAGTGAGAACCCGTAAGTCTAATAATACCTGAATCAATATACGGAGTAGACTGAGATGATTTTCAGGGTCTACAACAAACCCAACCCTGGATCCTGTCCGTCAACACGGGGTCCAATCCCGCTAGCGCAACGAAATTTTCATTTAGCCAAGATACCACACCGAGTTCCATACCCACAGTGAGTTCCATACCCACAGTTCAAAGGGTCCAAGATCCATTTGTAAACTGTTTCTGTTCTCCGTACTCCGTAAATGTACTAGTATGAAATTCGACTAGAAATCACCCGATTGGTCTGATAAAGACATAATTTCCCACTTATTGCGGGCTGGCAGGCTTGTATGGCGCCAATGGCTGCGCTAGTCTTCGGCTCGAGCTAGCGTCCGATGAAGCCGGGCTGGGCTGTTATTTATATGGTATTGGTATTTCATGTATGCAAATTTTCTGTATGAAAGGTTCCCTTATCTGACGATTACGAGGTTACATTCTACTTGCCTACTTTTATGCACGCCTGCAGCCCCCCTGATGCACAGGGGTATTTTGAGGCTGTTGATAGCCTCATCTTATCATACAACACGTCACTGCATACGCGTGCACATTGCAGATTGAAATTCAGGCGAAAAGGGAGAAATCTTTAACCTGAATAATCACCATGCCCAATACGAGGGTTAAGGTTATAAAACTAAAATCTATTACGATAGATCGGAGAAATTAATAATCATAGCTTGGCAAAAGCTCGCTTTTACTTGAAGTCTGGATTACAAAGCTTTGTGCGGAGCCGAGTAAGACACGGCCCACGCGATAACTCAGGAACCGATGTTTCACCAAGAATGTACTAGTACAGCCTCGGTAACGTGTCAACTACGACATTAGATACATACTAAATTGGTGCGACACGGAGATGGAACCAAAACAGATTATGATAATTCGCACAGGCTTAACTGCAAACAAGCCATTGACTAAGCTATAATAGTATTAATCGTAAATATTCACATTACTAGTAAGCCGGTTAGCTGCAAGCCCAAAAGCCACAAAGATAAGGAAAGTATGGAATCACGCACAACTCCTGCTCATCTCTGTTGATCGCAGAGTCAACCCACACACTGACACTCATCGCATTAACAGGGAAAACACCATAGCCCCTTCGATCGATGATGACAGACGCATCATGGTTACCTAATAGGTCAACCCATTTCTGTCTCGTATTGTCTTGACCAATAAACATCCGTTTCCGGTTAGACCCTGCATTGCTAATGATACACGCAAGCCCGGGACGTGTCCCCGGCACACCAGCGCGGACGAATCCTAGCACGTAAGTCAGCGCTCAGCTCTGTACTGTACGAAGTGAGTCAGGGGGGAGGCAAACCAATGCAGTTCCTTCGATCGAAATAGTCTTTCTGTTCGCCATTCGCATATACTTTTCTTGCCTTGGCAAGTATGGGAAGTTTTCCGTCACAGGCGGGTGTCATTGGGTCCGGCACATTGCTTCGTATCCCGTACACATCACCGTAAAATAAGCATGGGAAGCCCCCTTTTCGAAGAAGGATTAGTGCGTATGATATCAATTTGAAGTTCGGGGCGATTAGGGTCTAGAGTGGTCAGTTGTTATCTGACATGATAGGGACTGTCCTTACTTCTAGCATCTGTCCGGGTTGCTTGGGCTGAAGTTAGTATTTTCAGGTACAGAGAGCTAAAAGGGGTTGTTCTGGTACCGTATCGTGGTTGGCAACAATCGTCTTGATAAATTAGTATTGGTTTTGGACTTGTTGGGAGGTTTCTTACCACAGCATGATCAGGTCTACACTGAACCAACGTATCATCAAAGATACCACGAAGGTCAGCGGCCCGTGCATGAGATATTTTTGAGAATTTCTCAAGAAGAGGCACATCATAAGCTGCAACAGTATGTCCGACCTGGTCAAGATATTGCAGAAGTGAGGGAATATGCCCAGTCCAGTACTCGCCAATAACAAAAAAGTCCGGATTGGAAGTCCGAACATGAGCCACAAAATCTTTTTGAAATGCAGTCGAAAAGTGCTTAGCCGCATCCAACCTCATTCCACTGAGGGATAGATCGTTGCTAATCCAAGTGCCCCAATTAAGGAGATCCTGTCGCACTTCAGGATGGGAATGATCTAGATTAGCAAACATGAGGTAATCATAATTCCCATTCTCTGAGGAGACATCAGAGGCCCATCCCTTTCCAGGCGCCAAAATCTTGTATATAGCCTGGTGTTTGCTCTTATCATCCCAGTCAACACCATTGAAATGTTGCCAGTGGTATTTCATAGAGCTGTAAGATTCGCCGCGACCGGCAAAGTCAAAGCCAACCCAACCATCTATTTCCAATGGTTTGGATATTGCCACGTTCCTTTCTAAATAAAAGCAGGTTTAGTCAAACTCCCAAGTTTCGGAAATGAAATATCTCACCTTCTGGATCGACTTGAACCGCATCAAACTTCTCCGGAAAGTCCGCACCGGCCTTGTGATTGAGAACAGCATCCCAAATAATACCTATCTCCAAAGACCTCGCTTCATGGATAAACTCCATCAACTCTCTTTTACTTCCCCATTTGGTAGAGATCGCTCCCTTCTGATCAAACTCTCCAAGATCGAATAAGTCGTAAATGTCATACCCATTCCCAGCCGGGTCCATGCCCTTGCACCCCGGCGGAACCCATATTTGATCAATACCAAGACTTTTAAGACTTGGCAGAGTTCGTCGTAAACGATTCCAGTGGCATCGATCTGCAGGTACATGCCATTCAAATGCTTGGAAAATTAATACATTCTCCGGGGCTGCCCATGCGCATGGTACATCAATGTAGGCTGTTTTGAAATGTATTTCATTAGATTGATCAGTTGGCTTGGAGGTTTGATACTGACCTTGTTTTTCTGTATATTCTTTTGTTTTCCGGTGGAGTCCGGTGCACCAGGAAAAGAAGGAAATCATTGCGCTCGGATCACTCGGAATTGATCATTGGTGTTTCTGAGAAGAAACTGGAAATTTAAAACCTTTGTAATTTGTCGCCATGAATTCAAGTTAAATTGCTTTTGTCTCACTTTGGATGTATAAACCTGGTCGAACCGTTGGTTGGTTCAGTGGAGTCGAAAAATTCAACAAAATTCAATCGGCGGGGGTGTAAGCTATTTTTATCTTACGGAACGAGACATCCGTAAATTAAATCAACGGTCAGTTCGCAGCGGGAAAATTTTCTAGTGGGTAATTAGACTGACACTGAGACAGGACAAAAGGTAAAAAACGTTGAGATTATCATTAAGCAGCTAAATTGTCCGATAACTTTGCATCGTGTGCCCTAATCATTCAAGTGTTACAAACCCGGGAAATATATACAATGGGTGAATGACCACAAACCAGTCCTGAACATGAAGAGAGAAAAAAAAAAAAATATGAAAGACCCTGCCTGGTTTTACACAGGATGTTAAAAGAAAGTGCAACGCCCAACCTTGGAAGATCGTAGATCAACCCATCAAAACACCAGCCATCAAAGCCATGAAGAACGCGCCCAGAGCAGCTTGACCCTTGAATTGTGTGTTCCGGCTCCCAGACGACGACACCACTGTATGTCCGGTTTTGATATCCGTATAAGTGATGTTCGAAGAAGAGTAGCCGCAAAGCCCACTACCAGGCATCAGTTCCGTAGGGAAGAACACGCGCGGCAGCCCTGAATCCATATCAACAACCAAAGACGCGTCCCACTCGTCGACCATGTAGGTCTTGCAGCTCAAAACCTCCGTTATATTCGTACCAGCGTTGTAGCTAGACCACAACGTAAGTGTGTAAGGATCGCCGTTCACGCCTTGAGATGATAGAAGCATGATAACCTGGCGTCCTTCGATGCCTTTTGTGAATGCCAGCTCGCTGCTTCCGAGGTATATATTGTAACTTGCGGTATCGACGTAGTCATTGTCCATCCGGTAGGCATGTTTGCGAATTTTGTTGAGCGTGGTGATCAAACTCACCAGCTCAGTGGTGTTGTCGTACCCGGTCAACCAGATGGCATCACGGTTGGTAGGAGGACTGTATTCTCCCTTGAGGTGCTGTTCCTGACCTTGGTAGATGAAGGGAACACCGTCGAACAGCATTGTGAAGGTAATAACATTTTTTGCGAGCTGGGAATAGCCAGTTAGAATGCAGGCTGGAATAGACTGAGGGTTTTCATACCGATAAGTCGTCTGTGAAGCTAGCGAATCGTTTGACATCGTGATTCTCAGAGAAGGAGACAAGCGCAGTGACATCGGGGCACAAGTCACTCATTAATTGTACTTCATTTACCAGATCGGTGACATTTCCCACAGTGAAAGCATTCAATATGGAGTAGTATATAGGGTAGTTGGGAAGACTGCCCATGTAGTTGGTTTGATAATCACAGATGATGCTTGCTGATTCATCCATGACCTCTCCAGTCATGAATACGCCAATCTCGTTGGAATATTTTGTCAAGAATGAAGGTGTGACACTTTTCGCGGCGTCGATTCGCAGGCCGTCAATGGAATATTCGCTCATCGTGTCGAGTGTCCAGTTAACAAGAAGAGATTGGACATCGGCGTGCTCAGTGAACAGATCAGGCAGGGCGGTGATGTTATCACCGGTCTGACAGACTTGTGCATCGGTATAATTATTCCAGTTCGTTATCAGACAGTAGGAGTGGAAGTAATCTGCGTTGTTGAACGGGGTGAAGACTGAGTAGTCAATGCTCGTACCAGGGTAGCTGCCGTTTGTCATGTATGCCATGTTGTTGATAACGGTATCCATCATCAAGTACATGCCTCGGTCGTGGACGGCTTTACTCAAATCTAGCAAGTCCTGTTTGGAACCGAAGTGCGAGTTGAGGGAATAAAGATCGATTGGCCAATACCCGTGGTAGGCTTCTCCGTAACTGACGCGACCCGCGACATTTTCAACGATGGGGGAGATCATGATCGCATCGAAACCCATACCCTGGATATAGTCGAGTTTGTCGATCGTGCCTTGCCATGTTCCTCCACAGTAGAGGCCCTCAGTGGCGTTGCAAGGTGCTGTGGTTGAGCCATCTGTTCGGGCAAAGCGATCTGTCATTGTCTGGTAGACTGTTCTGGACTTCCATTCCGACGTGGTGGCGGCTAATGTTGACTCAAAGAGACATGATATATAAACAAGGCTGCTTGCCAAATGGCTAAAAGTCGATGATTGTCGCATCACGAGGTACGCGCTGGATGCGCCAAGAGAAACGCACAGTATAAAATGAAGAGTGACGCGATTTAAAGAAGGTATAGGCAAAAAGACGCAAAAAAACACAATTAAAGAGTGACACAAAGAGCCATGAATGGACTTTGGAATGATAACGAGCAGGTGGAAGAACTAGCACATAGCCAAAGGGGAACAAAAGAGGGGAATCTACCGGATCAAGATGTGAACCGAGGGCCGGATGGAGTAGGCAATATCTCCCTAGCTTCTCTAGCGGCATTGTGGCGATCCTTTGTCCATGTATCTAGGGCAGAAGACAGCCAGAGCGCGAAATTAATGTGACCCCATTAGCAACTAGTGCCAGTGCTGTCCAATCCTGTTCTGGCATTTCCACAAAATGAATATTCCATCACGGCTAGTTACCACTGGGATTTCTGGGATGATCTGAGCCCGAAGACTGAAGTTCTAAAGACTGAAGTTCTCCAGTGGAGTGAAGTAAGAAAGTGGAGAGGGATCGTAGTTATTTTTATTGTGAAGAATCTTCTCACAGATGTGAAGCCGCTAGAAGTTATGGGGAGAGTCCGGTAGAGCTTGGCTCAGTCACAGTGGGACTTTTTCCAGCCATGAATCATGACTTTGGTGGCTGAGACAATTCTCCATGAGTTTTCCGGTGACCGCGGTTAAATCGCGACCTTGGAAATGGTGCATAGACATAATAGACCGAAAAATTGCCTAAAGAGGGTTTGGACAGATACTATGGGTCTCCACTTCCAGGGTTCGAAAACGGATAATGGACATCCAATATGTACTCGCATTATCTTGGCGTTACGCTATCACTTGAATTGCTTTATCCAAGGTGAGACATGCATTTGGATACGATGCACAAGAAAGGGGGCTTAGCCCTAAAGTTACGATAGACGCAGTTGATATCAAAATTTCCGAGGATCAAACGTTATATCCATAGTTCGTCCAGCACGTAGTAGATAAATATGAGCTCGTCAAATTGAGTGTGGTTCCTGCAATTGTGGAACAAGGATGACAAAGGGAAAGTGGAAGTGAATGGGTTGAATAATGGATACATAGAATAGTCCCCTTGGTCTCTTGGCACTCCACATCCTAGCCAGTCATTGGCTGTTAAAGCTGCCACAGGGTCTGACCCAAGATAAGAACATTATAAATGACAGAACCGTGGAAACCGTACCAGGAACATCGAGTATTTTAAATACTACATTTACAACGAACTGAAAATTACACGTATTGTTACTAGACCGTCGGGTCAAACCGATGGATCCACAGCCGGAGCCGAAAGTTTCACTTATCGGGACTGGGAAGAACGGCACGATCCCGATAGATCGGACAACGATATATTAGGGGAAAATAGGGGAATCTGTCCTAAGTTGACATGTGTATTCTGATAAGAAATATCTGGCGCAGTGAAATGCCTAGGTTTAAAGATAAATTACTATATGATATACTCGGATGACCTTGGATCTACCCATGGATTGGATACCAAACAAACTTACGGGAACTGAATGTCACCCATGTGGGCACTATGTGGGCACTGGCCAGCACGTTTTTGTGATCCATCTCGTACATGATTCGACCTATAATATTGCTTTGTTTCATCGTTACGGTGGGTGGGTCTGTAAGGAGGTGCTAGTATACACCGTACTACGTACTGCACTACGTACTGCATCTATGCCCGAAACAAAAGTGAAATCAAAGAAAAATGAAAAAGGAGAAATAAAATAATCGCACTGGTAAAATGAAGTGACTCTCGGAGTAAACAGGTATTACAGCCCTCTGATAGGTGTTCGCATCTTTTCAGGTCTCAGTCGAGTCCAAGGCGGTCCAGAAATAAAAAGTTAATTGTACACATTCCTGAAGATCGAGGCCGTATTACACTCAATCGACCATGTCATCTTCGTGTTCATCTCGATATGATTGTCCAGGAAAATTCAAGCAGTAGAATCCATGGAAACGAAAGCGAAAGCTGGTTCGCATAAGGCTGACTGGTACCGGAGTACACCGGCTCGTGCTCCGTACACTCTGAAGGGTCTGAAGCGGATGGATACTGATGTCTGTGCTAATGCCAAGGATTGATCATATCAGCCTCTTTAGCGTGTCTCATTTGTTGGTCAAGAATAGAAACTATAGAAACCTAGAACAGCCTAGTGCTTTACCCTTGACCGATACATTAGCACCCCACGCCACTAAATACTCTGTCATCTGGGCATTATCCTTATGTGATCAATTCTACTTTATGGATTGATTTCTTTCCTCCTCGTATTCCTGACCTTATCAGCACCTGCAGGCTGGTGAATGTCGTCCACTCGTTTTTCAAAGCTACTCTGCATCTTTTGGACCCCTGCGTGAGCTTTGCGCCATTTCCCCCGCGATAACCTTTTTTTTTCATTTACATATACCTTCGTTTGATCTTGAAATATTGAGGTGCTCAACACCTTTCAGCAAAGATGGGGCGGTGGTTCCCTATAGCGCTCATTGCGCTTTTTGCGAAAACCACAACTTGTTGGCCATACGATCCGTCCTTGGTTCAGTATAATTTAAACGAAAACCAAACAGCTACAAATCCAGCTGATTATTGGGGAGAATGGCCAGATCATACTGGCGAATATTTTCCTTCTCCCGACAACTGGCGATTCCCATTCTACACTATCTTCTTGGATAGATTCGTCAACGGCGACCCTACAAATGACAACATCAACGGAACATTATTTGAACATGATCTGGATTCCAACCAGATGCGTCACGGTGGTGATGTAGCTGGTCTGGTCGATACATTGGATTATTTACAAGGAATGGGCATCAAGGTTGGTACCCTACCATGAAGGCGAACGCGGTCACTCACAAGTATAGGGACTTTACCTTGCTGGAACTTCCTTAATGAATCAGCCCTGGGGATTTGATGGATACTCAGCTCTCGATACAACCCTCCTGGACCAACATTATGGAACAATTCAGGTTTGGCGCGATGCCATTACTGAAATACACAAGCGGGGGATGTATGTCCTTTTCGACAACACAATTGCAACGTAAGTATTCGAAGCTCCCAACATGCGTCCAAAGCTAAAGATTCTTTTTCTTTCTAGTATGGGTGATTTGATCGGTTTCGACGGATACATGAATACCACAGCTCCCTTCACCGTCAAAGAGCACCAAACAACGTGGAAAACCGACCGTCGATATGTCGATTTCGATATCGGTCAAACATACAATGAGACCTGCGATTACCCTCGGTTCTGGTACGAGAACGGATATCCAGTGAATGAAAGTCTGATTGCGGGCCTCGTCGGTTGTTATGACAGCGACTTTGACCAGTATGGTGATGTCGAGGCTTTCGGTGTGTTCCCAGATTGGCAACGTGAATTGGCCAAGTTCGCCTCCGTGCAGGATCGTCTACGTGAATGGTACTCGCCTGTGCGCGAACGATTGATCCGCCATTCCTGCATGATCATCGCATCCTTGGATATTGATGGTTTCCGATATGATAAAGCCACTCAGTCTACCGTTGACGCGCTGGGTGATATGTCTTCCGCCTATCGAGCGTGCGCACGCGCTGTTGGAAAGGAGAACTTCTTTATCGCTGGTGAGATCACGGGTGGTAACACCTTTGGTGCTGTCTACGTCGGACGTGGCAGACAGCCTGATCAGATCTCCCCGAGCCCGACCGACGCCATGGCAATGAGCAATAAAACTGCGTCGCAGTACTTCTTGCGAGAGCTGGGCCATGAAGCCATTGACGGTGCAGCCTTTCACTATTCGACATATCGTGCTCTGACCAGATTCCTGGGTATGGACGGATCGCTTTCCGCGGGTTACGATACGGCAGTGAACTTTGTTGATGCATGGAACTGGACATTGCAGACAAATGATATGGTGAATGCCAACACAGGAAAATTTGATCCTCGCCATATGTTTGGTGCTACCAATCAAGATGTGTTCCGCTGGCCTGCGATCGAATATGGTGTTGAAAGGCAGCTTCTGGGCTCCTTTATCACTACTTTGCTTATCCCTGGTATCCCACTTATGCTCTGGGGTGAGGAGCAAGCTTTCTATATCTTGGATGCGACTGCAGAGAATTATATCTATGGAAGACAGTCTATCTCTCCTGCAAATGCCTGGAGAACGCACGGTTGCTTTGCGTTGAATTCATCGCAATACTATCATTGGCCCATTGATGCTGGTCGTGACGGTTGCAACGATGAGACCGTTGCCTACGATCACCGTGACCCGACCCACCCAGTTCGCAATATTATGAAGCATATGTATCAGATGCGTGAACTTTTCCCTGTCCTCAACGACGGTTATCTGCTTAGAGACCTGTCGAATAGCACAGAGGAGATATTCTACCCTGGTTCTGGTACCACACCCACGGAAACAGGAATGTGGTCAGTCGCCCGGCTTATCAACCCCGATGTACAGGATCTAGACAACAACCAGATGATCTGGCTAGTCTATCAAAATGTCAACCGAACCATGGACTACGAGTTTGATTGCAGTGATTATGAAACGTCTTTGCTTGCTCCATTCCCCACTGGAACTCGGGTCAAGAATCTCTTCTATCCCCACGATGAATTTACACTGGAGAAAGGACCAGTCAAGCTTTACATCAACGGATCAGACGAGCAAAACGGTTGTTATCCTAACATCACATTGGCTGCATACGAGTTTCGTGCATATGTTCCCATCGATAGCTTCGCAACGCCTCGGCCTATGGTCACCAAGTTCTCTCCCGGACACGACTATCCTCTCCACTCAACGGTGGCACCCAATCTTTCGGAGGATGTGAAGATCGAGCTCTACTTTTCCGAGGAGATGAATTGTACTTCTGTGACAGAGAGTCTCTCATTCAATTCGTCCACAGAGTTCGACAAGGAGCCCACGCTTGACACAAGTACCGTTCATTGTACGACTATCGATCCCACCTACTCCACCGAAAACACGACGACCGGACAGATTCCTAGTACATTTATGTGGTCGGCGAATATCACTGGTGTTTACAACGGAGTTCACCGATTGAATTTCAACAACATCTCCAATTCCAACGGCACCGCGTTTACCGATGCGGTTGACCACTTCCTCTTCCGAATTGGGCAAATCGATAACCCTATGATCTTCAGCTCCGCCAACTACTCCATTAGTTTGCTGCACCAAGAGACTACCAATGACACTCTCTTCATCCAGCATCACGCTGCCGGTGCTGACAAGTACCGGTACTCGACCAACTGGGGATCAAGTTTCTCTGACTGGAAGACATACGCCGGTGGAAACGACACAATCGAGCGCCTTCCGTGGTCAGGCACTAAAAAGCAGGCCTGGGACGGTGACCACGTCCGTGTTGAGTACTGGAGTCGTTTGACCGGCAGCAGCGACTACGTGCAAGAAGGTGATGCAAACTGGGGATCTACTCCACGTCGTTATCCCCATGTCTTCTTCAACGGCCCGTACAACGAATACGGATATGACGGTGGCCTGGACAATGTCGTGCACCTGGACGAGGTAGACGGGCACTGGAAATATCATTTCACGTCGGAATGGCCCGCGGTTGGACAGCTCAACATTTGGGGCATCAATCCTGACGGACAGCCGGATCAATCCTGGGTTCTGGGTGATGTTGACTACGACAATGTCTTGGATCGTATGCCGCCATCTTCTCTCTCGGCTACGTTGATTAATATCACCGACGCTCCTGACAAGGGATACTTATCCTGGAAAATCCTGATCAACGACGGTACTCAGCGCTACCAATTGGTCGCGGTCGGAGCTCAATCGATCCAGATCATCATGTTTGTGCTTTTCTGGATTCTGCCTATTTTGACCAGCTGTGGATGTGTCTACATCTTCATGAAGTCCTTCTACAAAGTCAAGTTCAACCAAGTTGGTATCAGCGAGAAGCGAAGCCTGGCCCCGATGGTACTGTTAAAGAAGTTCAAGCCATTCAACAACTTGATGGGAGATTCTGGCACCAAACTCTTCGGTCTGGGTGGTTCCAAGTCGGCCTTCATGCAAAGCACCACTGCGCTGGGAGCTGCGGGTGCATCGGAAAAGCGCCGCATGGTGCTCATTGCCACTATGGAGTATGATATTGAGGACTGGGCTATCAAGATCAAAATTGGTGGCCTTGGTGTCATGGCCCAGCTGATGGGTAAAACCCTCGGACATCAAGATCTTATCTGGGTAGTTCCTTGTGTCGGCGGTGTCGACTATCCGGTCGATCAAGTCGCAGAGCCTATGACTGTCACTATCTTGGGTAGTGCGTACCAGGTTCAGGTGCAGTACCACGTCTTGAAAAACATCACCTACGTGTTGCTTGACGCTCCTGTCTTCCGCCAGCAGTCAAAGTCTGAGCCATACCCTGCTCGCATGGATGACTTGGACAGTGCGGTTTACTATTCAGCTTGGAACCAGTGTATTGCGGAAGCGATCAAACGATTCCCAATTGATCTATACCATATTAATGACTACCATGGATCGGTTGCTCCTCTCTATCTTCTCCCTGAGACCATTCCTGCTTGTCTTTCTCTTCACAACGCCGAGTTCCAAGGTCTCTGGCCTATGCGCACTGTCAAAGAGAGAAAGGAAGTCTGCTCGGTCTTCAATCTCGATGAGGATGTCGCGCGCCGTTATGTCCAATTCGGAGAGGTTTTCAACTTGCTTCACGCTGGAGCAAGCTATCTTCGCGTCCAGCAACAAGGTTTCGGTGCAGTCGGTGTGTCAAAGAAATACGGCAAGCGATCATATGCTCGTTACCCTATTTTCTGGGGTTTGCGAAAGATTGGTAACTTGCCTAACCCCGACCCTTCGGATATTGGAGAGTGGACAAAGCAGCCGACCAAGGAGGAAGATATCACCGTCGATGCTCAGTACGAAGCAGGCCGTGGTGAGCTAAAGCGACAAGCTCAGGAGTGGGCTGGTTTGGATCAAAACCCCGACGCCGATCTTCTCGTTTTCGTCGGCCGTTGGTCCATGCAAAAGGGTGTTGATCTCATCGCCGACGCCATGCCCGCTGTACTTGAAGCTCGCTCCAACGTGCAGGTTATCTGTATCGGTCCTGTGATTGACCTTTACGGAAAATTCGCTGCGCTGAAGCTCGCTCGCATGATGGAAGTCTATCCCGGTCGAGTATTTTCGAAGCCGGAATTTACTGCTCTCCCGCCTTTTATCTTCTCTGGTGCTGAATTTGCCCTCATCCCGTCTCGTGATGAGCCTTTCGGACTTGTCGCCGTCGAGTTTGGCCGTAAAGGCGCACTGGGTATTGGAGCGCGTGTCGGTGGTCTGGGTCAAATGCCAGGCTGGTGGTATAATGTGGAATCAACATCTACATCTCATCTTCTGGTCCAGTTCAAATTGGCTATCGATGCTGCGCTCAGCTCAAAGACTGATACGCGGGCTATGATGCGTGCGAGGTCTGCGAAGCAGCGTTTCCCTGTTGCTCAGTGGGTGGAGGATCTCGAGATCCTGCAATCTACGGCGATTCAAGTGCACAACAAAGAGAGCTCCAAGGGTCATCATCAAAGTCGCATTCATACTCCGAGGGATAGTAGCTTGAGATCTCCGAGCGAGGCACTCAGCCCGCTGCCTTCGCCAGGAATGCACTCCGCGTTCCCGCATTCCAGAGACAGCAGCTACTCTAGCTTCAACCAGGTCACTGATCTCGGCTCGAACAGCGCCCGCAATATCTACAGTCGAGATGCTGGCCCGGAGACTGAAAAGCCAAAGTCTGGTCTGAGCCGATCTCTTTCTCTAGGTGTGCGTTCGGGCCCTGGCCATGCTGGAAATCGTGCCCGTCGCGGTCAAACTGCCGAGGGTTCACAAGACACTGACAGCGAGGTTGATGCTATTGCCGAAGAGAGCGACGATGATAGCAATGAGGAGTACACCCTTACTCCTGCCCAGGTTGAGGAAAGCAGACATGTACACGCTTTCCAGCGACACGATATTCCGATGCACCGACGTGTCCCTAGTCACGAGTCGGTTCATGCTAGATACATGTCCCCTCTCACCAGTCCTGGTACACCTCCGGCCTCTGATCAGCTTCTTCTTCCCCCTCGTACCTTGGCAGAGAGCAACAGATTGAGCAGCGCATCTGTTCTATCACTCGACTCAGTGGTCGGCAACAAGAAAGACTTCAAATTGCAAAAGGTCGATCCGTTCTTCACAGATGGAAATGGCGAATACTACCACACCTTCCAGCAGAAGCTGGCTGACCTGAACGGTTCCAACTCCGAAGGTCCACTCTGTATCGAAGAGTTCCTGATCAAGAGTGAACAAGAATGGTTCGACAAATTCCGCAACGCCAAACTGGGCCGTTACAGTCACAAGTCACCCACCCCATCCATCTTCCGGTCAAAGCACAACGACTCCCCATCTCCCTCATATAACGAGGAACCCATCATTCACGTCGCTGATAGCGAGAATGGCGATGAATGGGACGACGAATTCCTCCTCGGAAAGGACTATGTCCCTCCTACTGGACTGAGAAAGTGGATGCAGATCAAGATTGGCGATTGGCCAGTGTACTCAATTTTCCTTGCCCTAGGCCAGATTATCGCCGCAAACTCATACCAGATCACCTTACTCACAGGCGAGGTCGGTGAGACGGCCGATAAGCTCTATGGTATCGCAACTACATACGCTATTACCTCGATATGCTGGTGGCTGGTCTACCGGTATTTCAAATCCGTCGTCTGTCTCTCCACACCGTGGTTCTTCTATGGTCTTGCTTTCTTGTTGATCGGCTCCGCTCACTGGGAGCCTCACTCGTTTAACCGAGGATGGATTCAAAACATTGGAAGCGGATGCTACGCCGCAGCTTCTTCCAGTGGGTCTATCTTCTTTGCCTCTAACTTCGGTGACGAGGGTGGTGCACCTGTTGAAACATGGATCTTCCGTGCATGTGTTATTCAGGGTATCCAGCAGGCATACGTGATTGCTCTGTGGTATTGGGGATCGACATTGAGTAAAGCCTCCAGTGAAGGTCTCTTGACTGATGTCAACACAATCTCCAATACCTGGAAGATGACGTACGTATTCACTTATACCTTTCACTACATTCGCTCTTCTTCCTTTCAGTTGCTAACATTCTTCTAGTGCCATCTGCTACCCAATCGCCTTCCTCCTATTCGCTATCGGCCTGCTCCTGATTTTTGGACTGCCCGATTACTACCGTCAGAAGCCAGGCAAGGTGCCCTCATTCTACAAATCTCTCTTCCGAAGGAAAATCGTCCTTTGGAATTTCGTAGCGGTCATTCTACAAAACTTCTTCCTCAGCGCACCATATGGTCGCAACTGGAGCTGTGAGTTCCATTCCATCTTCCATAATGCCGGTATACTAACGCATAATCTAGTCCTCTGGAACTCCATCCACACCAAACCATGGGAGATTGTCCTCCTCTGCATCCTTTTCTTCGGAGGAGTCTGGTGCATCTTCCTCTACATCGTCAGCCGATTCTCCAAGAAACACAGTTGGTTCCTTCCTGTCTTCGCATGCGGTCTAGGCGCTCCCCGCTTCATCCAAATCTGGTGGGGTGTCTCCGGTATTGGCTACTACCTTCCATGGGTGGCAGGCGGATACACCGGTGGAGCACTGGCATCTCGCAGCATCTGGCTGTGGCTGGGTGTTCTGGATTCTATCCAGGGTCTTGGTTTCGGTATCATCCTTTTGCAAACCTTGACTCGCGTGCATATGTGCTTCGCTCTCATGGCGTCGCAGGTTATCGGCTCTGCTGCAACAATCTGCGCTAGAGCTTTCGGTCCGAATGGCCTTGGCCCTGGTCCGATTTCTCCAGACATGACCCGGGGTGCCCATGCGCTAGCAAATGCTTGGTTCTGGGTCGCTTTGTTCTGTCAGCTTTTGATTTGGTGAGTGACTCTAATTCTATGGACTGATGAACATAACTAACATATCATAGCGCGGGATTCTTGCTCTTCTTCCGGAAAGAACAGCTATCTAAACCCTAATCTCTCCCTCGTCTACATTTCCTTGAACCTTGATACTATCCTTAATGTCATAACCACGCCTAATGTCGAACCTCACATATGTACATATAGCCTGTCTGATCGAGCTTTAAAGTTGGCTCATTCATCATGTTATCCATAAACTATAGCGGTCCTTTTCCAATATACTTCTCCAAGAAATCAAATCCTTCTCGCTGTAACCACCAAGTCTTCGAACCAACCTTCATCATCATCGCGAATGTATGCTCTTCCCCAGGAACCTCAGTCATCCCACAAGGAACACCAGCCTCGGTCAAGCGTTTATACAGCTCTCTGCTCACATCAATCGTGACCATTGTATCGGCAAGGCCGTGCACGATATACGTAGGAGGAAAATCAGCAGAGACATTCTGCACCGGGTCAACCAGTTTAAATCCTTCATCGGAGCCACCCTGCGCGCCTGGAGGGTAGATGACTTCGGGAACCTTCCCAGAGGAGATCTGCGTGAAGGCGAATGCATCACGCGGCTGCGAGAAATTCGGACCCTTCGATGCGCCAGACTCACTCTGTCCTTCTAGAGAGACCGAGCTATCCGTCGGGATAGGAATCTCGTCGTAGATTTTGTTAAGGAAGGATTCCTCCAGGTTAGGCGGGAGTTTGGCGGCGACATGGGGGAGCTCTGTTTTCCAGAAGGGGTGTGTAAAGTGCACAGCGCCGTACAAGGAGAAAATAGCCTTGGGTTTTTTGGGGGTGTCGAAGCCCTGTATCTGTTAGTTTCGAGTCCTATTCCACACATTCATTGTTGGATAGAAAGTAGAACATACCAAAGCCAGAGCCAATTGCCCACCAGAAGAAGTTCCAAAAGCAGCAACATTCTCCTTGTCCACACGGTGGGGTCCTTGTTCAGCTAGAACAGCATCGAGGTGTCCATCGTAGACCCAGGCGAGCAAATCGCGAATATCCTGCATGGGTCCCTCAAGCAAGTTCACACCGGGGCAAAGCCGGTGGTTCGGAACGAGCACGATCCATCCGCGCTCCAGGCAGTCGTTTACCTGTGGTAGAGAGACCATGCGAGAATGGCCGAGCATGAAAGCGCCGCCATGAATGTCAATCACTATCGCCAGGGATCAGCATCTAATCAATTAGGTATTTCGGAATGGGCGGATGAGGGAATACCCACCGACGGGGTAATTCAGCGGCGATGACGAGGTAGTTTTTGGGAGGTAGACATCGGTAGTAATCTTGCTTCCATTGATCTCCTTGTAGAGCACTGTTAGGGGGGTTTCGAGCGACATTATGGGTGTTTGAGCATTGAAGAGGGGCAGTTCCGAAGCTTTATGGCGAATCTGGGGAACTCGGGAATTCCGAGTGGGTTGAGTGGGCGGTTGTGGAGATCCCGCATAACCCGGAAGGGGCACAACTACGTTACTGAAGTAGATCTAGAGGATAGATGGTACCTCTTGGACTATGTCTAATATCCCTAAAATGATGAATAATCAGACTTCGAAACATCTATAACATCATTTGGAGGTCTCAAGTGAAGTCAATTCCACCCTGACGGAGCCTCCGATCAATTTTATCGAGTATGCAGACTCCCGAGGTAACGCATTAATGTTCATGAACACCCGCTGGCTTTTAATATCTTTTAATAAGACGATTTCACTAATTCGTATCGTTAGGATAACGGTGCCGGATGAGACAGACATTGAAAGTTTGATATAGTTGGAGTTGGCCCCGGGCTTAAGTGGAGTTTTTTTTGGATTTTCACAAGGCAGACAAGTATTGAAAGGCCAGAGGGACATATCGGTGTAGTATCTTAATAATAGGCCATTACTTACCTCCAAGATTATGATTACCCAGCTGTCAGCTTAAGACGTATCCAGGCTTTTGCCATTTTCACCACTGTGCTAAACCTACAAATCTCTCTCCAAAACACCAAACAGAGCGCCAATATAATAACAATATTTGTCAGTAGAAAATCTTGATTAAAAGGAGAGTGTATTTATAATGCTCATAATACCCCAATCGCTCACGAATGCAAGATGCAGACATCGCTAGAACCAGTCGAGAAACATGGAAAATCAAAAGACAGACATCAAGTCCCGCGAAAGTATCCATATACTATACATTGTCGTGCAATCAATGCATAACTCATAATCCTCCTAGTTCACCACTCATACTATCAATCCACTTCCAAGAACAGTCACGACCGGCGGACTGTCTAAACGAATATCGACTAGCGATTCTCCGCATCAGAAATGGAGATGAGTAGATCGTGGACGAAGTCTAGTCAAGACCAGCATTGAAAAGACAGTCCAGTACTCAAGAGCTGATCCCGCCTCATATACACAGACATCAGGTCGGGCATATAACCGTATTATCCATATCAAGTCATTCCATCATGAACACATTCCCAATATCCAATCAATACAATCCAGTCCAGTGCAGCCCGGTCAAGTCCACAATACCGCTCCAAACCCCATGAAATCAATCAACAAAAAAGAGAACCCATTGCAGAGATCCGAACCACAGCACAATTTCCATCCGCGATTCACAGAAATCCGACCAGCAGATAAAAAGCAGAATCATCGGTAACAATCTACCGCCCCGATCCCTTGGAACTGGAGTAGCCGGAATCCGTCCAGCGACCAGCACTGGGCGAGGAAGAAGCACCGCGCGAAGAGTGAATTGTGCAAGCATAACCCACCAACACAGTCTTTTCCTGGATAGAGTGACCGCGCTGACCATAGGCGGCGCAGGGGTCCGTTGAGTGTTCAAAGTAGACGCATTTGCAGACGGAGAATCGTTCGACAACTCTGTAGCACATTTTGTCGGGAGTATTTGTGGGAGTAGTTGTCAGTTCGAGTACCGAGAATCGAGAAACGAAGGTAAAGAATGAAGATAAAGATAAAAATAAAGACTGAGTGTTCGAGCCAGCGACGAGTGGAGTCGAGTCGAGCGCACAAAGAATGGACCAGCCTGATTAGAAGCTCGAATATTCAATGATCTGCGATGCGACGTGACGTGACGCAATGCAATGCACACGCAGAAGAAAATCGAAGCTCCCACAAAAGCAAAGAATTATAACGAAGGGAAGCAGTGGAGGCAGAAGCAGGAGCAGAAGCAGGAATAGAAACAGAGGCGCAGACAAGAAAGCCCAGAATCGGCTCCATGTGGGCGTTATATACGACAGGGTCCTTAACCTTAACATGTAGGAGTAAAAGAAAGTCGAAGTCAAAGTCGGAACTGCATTAGTTCGGCTGATCACATCCTCATTCATGCAAGGCATCCCGCAACGGCCAGCCCTATGAGCCCCAGGCAGAGACCGGAAAAGACCGATGGGGTCGAACGAATAAGAGAGTAGGATAAGAGCTTAGCTTGTTCTGTGGAGTCGGGTTTGCTATTATTATTCTTTCCCCGAGCCAGTCAGAGCTGGGACTAAGACGGAAATGGGTCTGGATCAGGAGAAAGTTCGGGACTTGCGTTCCTTGGTCTGGAGGTCTGGAGGTCTGGAGTTCATGACTTTTCTTTTGTTTTTGTTCGTCATCTGTGGCTGGAACGTAATTACGGTGAGTACAGCTTGAAGATGAGGTTTTTAACAGCATTATTTTGTAGAATGAGTCGGTGAGTGAAGGGATGGAGGCTGAGTTGCTGAGAAGCTAATTGATAAGTATCCACTTTGGAGGAATTTGAAGTCTCATGTTTGGTTGAGGCTTGATGATTCATCGGGCGTTCTGACTGCGCCTCAGTGGCTAAGGTAAAGACAAATTGCCCGGGATTCAGCATTAGCATAATGATATAATGATTATTGAAACCTCACCGTTCGTACACTTGTTATTCCCATAGTAACGATCATATTTCCATTGTAAATCTACGGTGTCCGTATAGGGGGTGGGTGCGCCCTAGGCTCCCACTTTCAGCTGACGCACACTGAACGAAAGATCCGGTTTTCCTGACGAACCTTGGCCCATAGGGCTGAGAGGGGTTTGATCCACTTAGGGAATGGTGCGACATCGGTAAATGGTCTCAGCTAGCGAGTCATTCGATTACTGGACTGATTACACTGGATCAAGTTCATGCAGGGGTATGATGACCTCATTTAGACAATGGAAGGCCCCAAAACGAAGGAATTTGTCTGATAAGCTCGTTTTCAGGCTATTTCCAAGCCATGTGCTATGAGGAAAGGAATTTAAAAAGAAACCAAGACAAGCCACAATAATCATACATGGGTCCTTTTCAGCTCATGTCTAAACCGACCCCAATGCGCCATAACTCAAACCACGTGCCAACCCCGTTCGTAACATCCGGAGTACATCCTCGCCCTTTGTAGATTCAGGGAGTCCTACTCGCCAGTCCCATCCTCGGGCTCGGCCTGAATCCTTGTCGCTCGGATGAGGCACAAGGACGCCTGAGCTACCCACCGAGGCTGGGCCGCCGTTACGAGCTGACTCGCGTATATCATTCCCAATGAGAGAGAAAGTTGAGGCCGACAGCGCCGACACTGATTTCTTCAATAGTGCACGGGGAGAAGGTGGTGAGAATTCATTAGAGTTGCGCCCAGCAGAGTAATGCTCCAATAACGTGGATCGGAAGCATTCCTCACACTGCGCGAAGACCCGAGGAGTCACTGTCTCAAGATCCTCAATCGCGGACAGAATGGCGAATTGTTGAGAGACCGATAGGATTGGAGTTGGTTCTGCATAGGTCAGTATATATCAGGTCAGGTCTCGCGTATGGATCAATACTTACGATTCACAAATACCAAGGCCTCTCCAAGAAGAGCCAGCAATCCATCCACCTGCACGGCAGAGTCACGAGTAGGGTCGTAAAGTCCACCATAGATATTGTCGGCCGCACTGCTGATGACGGCCGTAAGAGCCTTGGCGGCCATGCGTCGTCGGGCCAGCGGCTTGAATCTAGGTCGCTCGCCGTCCTGCAACTCCACAGCCTCATCTCGGATTTCATAGAATCGGCGCAATGTGGCATACCCACTGATGTGGAACTGCAGAATACGGGCAGCCTCCTCGTCGACCGAGGCAATAGAAGACAGGCAGACCTTGGGGTCTTTGATCAATGACCAAAGCTGACCGTCCAAATCAGCGGCATCCGGGAAGGCACGTGACTGCACCAAACTGTAAGAAATCAACAAATCTACGACGGACTTGACCTTGCGCTGGTTGCGGGCACGGGCATAGCAAATGAGAGCAAGGCCGAATTCCGAGGCCTCGGAATCGTCAGACTTGGAAGTGATCTGATCACCAAATCGCTGTAAGAGGTTAGCGTCCGGTCCCAGTCAAAAAGTAACGGTATACATACCTCAGAAACCCGCCGGCCTTCCTCCTCCAAGCCCAAATCAGAGAGGAGCATCACCAGCCGGTCCAATTGGGCAAGGTCTTCCAGTGGCAGACGACTCACGACCTCTGACACTGCCTTTTTCATCATCTCCGAGTCATCTACTCGAGTGAGGACTTCCAATGCCATTTCCCAACCTTGACGAGCACCAGTCTCATTTTCGATGGAGCCACGATCATTCAACCCAAATGCATAGCTACGGAGGATATCATCCTTGTGGAGACCTTCAACCGGTGGCAGATGATCTTGTCCATACGAAAGCACCATCAAGTCATGCTCGCTCAGACCCGGCATCTTCTTGGAGCCGCCCGCCTCAAACCATCCACCGAGACAGGCAACCTCGGTGACACCAGCCGCCACACAGAGAGACCAAGTTTGTATGAGTTCCAGAGTACCCTGCACGTTGCCTTCGAAGACAGAGGCCAATCCAACCTCCAGGCTGCTCATAGTGTTCACCCGGAAGCCTGTATCATCGGAAGGCTCATTGGTGGCGCTGCTAAACGCCAAATCCAGGCGCCGGAGGTACGCGTCCCTTGTGTTACGGTCCACGGCCCGAAGCTGATTTCGGGATCCGCGGGAGCGCTGGAGGTCATTGCTAGATGTGCTTGCGCGGAGATCAAGATTCGGGGCGCCATCGTCATCCTCGCCATCCCACCAAGCAGTTAGTCCAATGGTGGCCTCTACCCAGTCTCGCGAGTAGGCCTTAATTGTGGCGGTGTCGCCAAGAATGATTCGGTACAATGATCGAATGTTTTGGTAGATACTCCATGGCACTCGGCTTTCAGCCATACGCGCGGACTGTGTGAAGCTGACCGGATTTGTGTTGAAAACCCCAAAGTTGACGGCCTGAAATTTGTTCTCCTGAACAGGAACATCGGCTTGATCTTTCTCGTTGCCCTCGGCAAACTCTTCAAGATCACTGACCGCGGCAAGAACCCGTTTCCGATACTGGGTCCAGTCTGGTCCCGTGATGTTCCAGTCATCGTCCTGGAACCCAGGGCAGAAGTCCAGAAGTTGCAACGCTCTGTTCACGCAGCGCTGAATGTTCTGCAGTTGAACACCGCGATAGCCTGGCTGGGGCAGGCCGTCCTCCAGGGCTGACCGAGCGTAGTTGAAATCAGCTGAGCGTAGAATTTCGGCGGCCTCTGCAAATCGACCACGTAGAACAGCAGCATTTATAATGTCCCAGAAATTAGAGGATGCAGTTGGGTTCGGTTCCACATGCCGCAAAGCCTGGAGGTCATTTGTTTGGGATGCGTGATTTCCGTTCAGCCAGTCTAGGAGGATCTGGGGCAATGGAGTCGCAACACTGGCTCGCTGCATAGCCTTGACCATACTGTTTGGTGCGCCACGGGCCATAGGGTTGGAGGCGCTAGCGATCGGGGCAGAGGCCCGAGAAGGATGGTGGATTTGCAGCAGTAGAGAGGCAAGGAAGCTCGCCTTCACTAGGTTAGGAGCCTGCTCTCCCGGGCCAATCTTAGACCCAAAACCGTAGGGGCGAGTGATACCACTGCGGTCTGCACATATATCCCAGGTTGCAGCCAGCTTGTTGGCAGTATAGGACAGGATTGAGTCAAGATCAAGGTGTCCGTACTGACCATCTCGAATCTCGTCCCACAGGCGACCCAATGTATCCTCCGTGTTGATGATCATATCAGCAGGCTCGTTGACCGGCGGGGGAACTCGTGTTCTAGAAGCGAGGTTGTGTAAGATCGAGGGCATGGCCGAAGCCTTCTTGGGGGATAGTTTCGTCTTGCGCAGAGGTGACTGATTTGCCCATTTTTCATCCAGCCTCGGGCGTTTGGCATCGACAGGGTTTGAATAGATGGGCTTGCGCTGTTGGCCAAACAGGAATGACGGCTGCAGTGGCTGGGTCGGGGCCTGGGTCTTCTGAGTCGGTTGCTGGGTAGGTAGCGGCTGTGTCGAAAATGGCTTTCCAAATGTTGAATCTAAGAAGCTGAGGTGGTTGGAGGGCTCACGGATGCTGGTATCCATATCACCCTGCGCATCTTCCTCCTCGGGCTCCATTTCCGCTTCGTCGTCGTATTCCTCGTGGTACTCGCTCAGCTTGGACGACGCGAACCCGTTTGACTGGCTGAAGTTGGCCGAGTGGGTGAATGCACTCCCGTTCGTCGCGGAAGTGAAGCGAGACTGTGACGTGAAAGTGTTGGCCTTCGGCTGGGTTTTCTTGGGCATGGCATAGTCAGTTGACCCAAACGAGGACCCGAAGATGCTGTCATTGGTGTTGAAGCCGCCGGATTTGGTGAAGAGGGAGTCTCTGTTCTCGTTTCTCGATTGACCGAACTGAGAGGTATTATGGGCCGTGGATTGCGGGTGGCCTTGGGGGGTGAACGATTTTGTGCTCGAGGGTGGCGGGCCGGCGGGTGTCGTAGAGATGTTGCTCCAGAGGCTCTGGCCCTTCACCTTGTCTGGTGTCGATGGCGGCCCCGACTCGAAGTCGTATGGAACTTTGAATGACATTGTTGGTTGTTGATGGGTTGATCACAACCTCTGCAGATGAAGAGAAGAGAAGGAACTTTTGGGCCGCAACAACGCAGCATGCGTATATGTCGTGAGGGAAGCAATGGCCCAGTGAGTATAGTGATCAGTGTCGCCAGGTGTGAGACACGATAAAGGAAAAACTGTATTAAGCACAGTCCATTCTCAAATGAATTGTTGAATGTTTTTTTGGGGTCTTGTTAGTCTATCCGTTGACGCGACTCCAATCCGCGAATTCCAGGTCACGTGAATCGAGCTAGCTTACTGTCGCAGGGGTCGTGATCCATGCACCTCGAAATTAACCCACCACACCACGTTAGTTAGTTAGTTACAGAAGCCGCTTTTCTTACCTAATTTAAAAATATCGGAAATCCTCGGACAAAAGCACGTGATGTTCAACGTCTGATATCAAATTGTGAATACAGGAGTAAATCAAGATTTATTTGTCTGGGTGTTCCGGCCGATGGGGTGTTCCGCTCGCTTGGGAATTACGTTGTCCCCTGTCGCGAGTTCCAATATCTGAGGGTTTACGAAATACCAACACACTTTTTCTTTTTTCAGATTTAGACAACTCTGATATCGGATCTCAACAACAATTGCATCATTAGACCGACTTCCGTATGAGCTCCTCTCCAGTATCAATGGATACGCGGCGGACTGGGTTGGCCTCGAGAGTCTTTTGCAAATCTCCCCCCCAAGTGAGAAAGCTTTTCGCAGGTGATTTCAAAAACAAAGCGGACCCTGAAGCCATTCGCCTGGTTGAGTCAATTCTGGAGAAGAATCCCATACTGAGCCATGAATTACACTGTTACTTCCGCATGACTATGGAACTGCGCCAACCTTCCTTGGCGGATAAGAGTCTCGCCGAATTTATGGCTCGGGACTATTCTCTTTCGCTTATGACCTCCTCTTTTTCGACAACTCGCGCCATATTGCAGGAAATGGTGATAGTCGCAGCCAACATTCAGCGACTAGCATGCGCTTGCCTAATCACTCTGTTGACCCGGCTTCGGAAGGTTCAACCGCGGCGCTGGGAAGTGCATTATAATCCGGACTCTAACGTTCCCTAATTGACGAGCACCACCCCATATGAGTCACGCGACGCTGGCCTTCCATCCTGGATTGAGGAGTATCGGGTCTACCGCGCGCTATGGCACCTTCAATTGTGTTTTGATCTATTGGTCGTTGCCGACAGGCTAGAATGGGCCCAAAGTGACCTAGAGTATCTGCGGTCTCACTACATGGACTTGAATCAATTGCCTGATATAGCTGCGGATGAGATCCTCTCCGTCAAGGAATGTCTAGAGGATCTATCTAGTGCCGATACAGATTATACTACACAGCCCTCGGTGGAATCGAACAGCAGTGATATGGCTCTCATTAAAAAGCTACCGATTGCCACTCAACTATCCTGCAAATTCGACGTTTGGTCACCTCCTCTTGCACCTATACTTTCAGACTACGACGCGGCGGGCATTCTAAGAGACATCTGGGGCCGGGGAACCCGGATTACCAAAAGGAAATCTAAAGGCAACCTTTGGCGCTCGTGGCAAATCCGCAGCAGAACCCATCCTGCCAAATTTCAGGCATGCAGCCTCCAGGATTCCCGTCCATGGCGCGCACTGGGGATGCCGTTCTGGGATCGCTGGCGGTTCTATGGGCTGGGACTTTGGACGGCCCAATGGCCCGTCCGGCCGGAGTCAGGACCCATTTTGACTCCCGACGGAGTGGAGGTACCGAAAGGGGCTGATCCCCCTATCAGCGGTGAGGAAATTGATTATCGCTTGTCTGTTCTTGTCGACGCGCGTGTGCAAATGGAACGTCAAGAGAGAATGGAGCGAATGGCAGAAGATAAACTAGCCAGAGAATAGAAACTAACTATACGTGTTGAATAGCTAGCTAGATATGGAAGTGCAACCCAGCGAGACCTTTTATCATTTAAGTACTGGACTGGAATACCATATGATACCAATCCTCCCCGTTGCCATTTTCGTCTGTTCCCGGGGTCGTCCAGGCTGTTACCGACACCGGTGCTTTCCGTACTGCGAGTTGCTGCTTGTGGTTTATCAAAAACCAGGCAGCACCTCCACCATTGGGAGTGCCCAGCAAAGCCAGTCCACTCTGATTGATCAACACGCCGCTTTCTTTTTCTGATTGATGTCGAAAGACGTCCCGGGCCAAGCAGGTACCACGGTCGATAACCGCCACTCCGTAAATGGCTAATAATTGGCTGACCGCCCTGGAGACCGCCCTTACGATTACTTGTACTTTGGCCTTGCAATTCCCTCGATCCGTGTTCAATAAAAGTGCATTTTATTCAATCTAGACTGCAAGCACAAGTGCTTGAGATATAACGGAATGTACTTCGTACGTGCACTTATAACAACAATTTACGGTCAAGAACAGAGGTTTACAGAGTACCACCTGGCAGATCTATGTACTCGGGCATAAACCATTGTTTTCAATGTTGCCGTGTCCTGTTTCCCCATAAGGTAGCACTGCAGCAGGACGGTATTCTTCCATGGACGTGAGTCTAAGCAGACCTTTATCTTCTTTCGGCAATTTCGTAAACACCCGTAAATATCCAATCGAATGAAACTGAAACCCAAGTCCGTCTAATTTGGTAATCGGTTCTAGTTAGGGCCTTATACCCTACGTGGGGGCCAAGCTGCTCCTATGACCTCAGCCTTGCTTTGATCGAGATCTTTCCATAAAATTGAAGCATTGGTTTCAAAAGCATGCTGAAATCGCTAAAATCGCTGAAATCGCTGAAATCGCAGCAATTGCTATGATGCGCCGGTCTTTACCCAATCCAGACCTGAGTGTTAATTTCATGAAGCATTGAGCATAATATACCCGGATACCTGATAACCTTGGAAATCCACCATGCCCACAAGGCTCCCATATTCCCTCACTCACAGCCTCGCATGTCTTGTGATCACATGCTTCACGTGGATAGGTAACTTCGAATGAATTGGAAAAAAAGATTTGACGTCCCACCACGGAGACACAAACGGCCCCATCGCGGCACTTGGCAAATGCCGACACCCTGATTGTTTTCCTCCATCCTTACGGGCCGCCGGACGCCAACCATCAGCGCATTACACTCGCGAAAATCTGCTATTTTCAGATACTTCATCTGGTGAGACCAATTCCTTAATGGCACTCGCGTTGCGGAGTTTCGTCGGGCAACACATATTACAAAGGCGGGTCAGATGGAGATCAACAAATGCTACGGTGACCAGTTTGCATGATTACGAGGCTTGGCAATTCAATTGGGGGCCAAGGCTTGGTAAAGCTATACGGAGTACTCCGTACACAAACACACAAGGTTCCGAGGTTCCGCTGTTCCCGAATGACGGATTTTACAAAATATGGAACCATGTGGGAAAATGTTTCAGAGTGGTAGTGATGGGGATTTTAGCATGATACCACGAGGGAAGTAGTCTGGAAGTAGTCTTAATTGTAATTAACTCAATCAGATCCACTCACTATTGAATTGTAAATTAACCGAACCCTCCCAAATCGATCAATCAAAATACCAAGCGAGGCAGTGCGAGACAATGTTTCAGAATGAACAAGCCTTTTTGATCGACAGGGTTCGATTAGGTAAGCTCATAACTAAACTAAGCTTGTCAAAATCCTAAATCCTGTTGCCTACTTTACTCCATTAACTGGTCCTGAAACTCTTTTCGTCTTAGTTAGATCTTAACCGGCATCAGATCCTTATTTTCCCCTTACTCGTTGATTTCTATTCTTTCTACCCCAAACCATGCCGATCCAATCGCTGTGATTTCCATGGCGCTCCGACGGCCACACAGAAAATCAAGGCATGGGTGTCTGGAATGTAAACGAAGACGAGTCAAGGTATAATTTATTCCAGTCATTAACCCGCATAAATTAATGCAAGTCACTAGTGCGATGAGGCCCGACCTACATGCGCAAATTGCGCAAAACGTCATGCCGAGTGCGAGTATGGCTCCTCCACCTCCCTTCTCTGGGCAAATGATGATTCCAGGCAATCATTCCACGCATCATCAGATAGTGGCCAGCAAACAGACTCGGTCCTGGGATCTCCCACCGCCGCATCAGCCTCATTGGGAATTTTAGGCCAATTGAGCAGTTCTGCCGCTGCAACCCCAGTCCCAATCCTCAATCTCCATGATCTCGAACTAATGATGCAGTGGTGTAACACCACCTACCGCACCCTCTCCCGCGATGAGAGCACAGATCAAATCTGGCGAAATGCCGTGCCTGAAGAGGCTCTTTCCCACCCATTTTTAATGCACGGCATACTTGCTCTCTCCGCGCTTCATCTCGCAAGGATGGGCCCGGATCCATCCCGGCGCGCGGCACATCTCAACCGTGCCGTCGCGCATCAGAATCAGGCACTGGCACTATTCCGCGAACTCCTGGGTGATATCCAGGAAAGTAATGCGAAAGCCATGTTCGCGTTTTCAGGCATCGTCGTCGTCTACACATTCGGATTCCCCCATTCCCCAGATGCACGAGACCATTGGACCTGCATCGATGATTTCCATCAAGTCCTCGTCCTCACGCGTGGAGTACAGCAGGTGATTAAATCGCCGTCGGGGTTTTTAATCGATAGCTCGTTCGCTCCAATCTTCAAGGTCGATGAAACTCGTGCCCCACTTCCCGAAGAAACTGCCGCCGTCCTGCGACAATTACATGAAGCGAACGATGCATGTGGGGCGCGTGATCCGAACCACGAAACAGACGTCTACGCGGCGACCATCGAGAGCATGGGCAGTATGTTGAGCTGGGTTTACGCTGGGATGACGGCTAGTTCGGTCGCGGGGCGTTGGGCGATTCAGCTTCCGTCGCGGTTCTTGGATTTGCTTCGCGAGCGGGAACCGTTGGCGCTCGTCATGTTAGCGCATTATGGCGTGCTATTGCAGTATTTGAAGCATCGGTGGTGCTTTGACGAGTGGTGCACACGGGTCGCTAAGGCAGTGTGGGCGATCTTGGATGATCAGTGGAGACCATTGGTTCATTGGGCCATGCGTGAAATCCTTGGTCAGAATTACTTGGAGCGGATTGAGACTTTTTGAAGATGTCAAGGAAGATTCGCTATATCTCAGCAATGGATGTCGCGGGTTGTCCGAAAGACACCAGATCAACAAACACGATCATGAAAATAAACCGAACCTACCAGTGTGCTGGTATACCCAACAACTTCCTCGACCGATCCAAACGGTGGCCAAAGTCTGACAGCCGTATCAGAAAGGCAATCCTGAAAAATCAGTGTCACGAAGAAAGCCACAGGAAGCGACAGGCACGCAAACATCAATGATAACGTTTGCCCGTTTATGTGAATGATTCGATGCCCTGGACGAATTGGTTCGCTAGCCATGGGCGCAATTGGAGATGAAAGAAAAAATGAGAAAAAATGAGAAAAAATGAGAAAAAGGGAGGAATCGAAAGTCTCAATCGAAGGGTACTAAGTATACCTTCGTCATCAAATCCTTATCCCTACAACTTACAAGAGGTTCCCCCGATCACACACCCAACCATGTATGTACTTGCATCAAAAATCGCAAGCGCCGGCGCAACCGGGGCAGCATCCCCTGATTCGTTGGAGATGACATATGTATATGAATTGGGTTGGCTGTGAATGGGGAGACTTTGGGACTGTATTTTAGAACATTTATCCGTGGACATGATAAATAAATACCCCGTTCAAATGTAATACCAACATCCCCAAGATTGGACTTGAGGCTTTTCATTTTCTTGTCTTGATTACCATTACAGTAACTACTAGATTGACAGAGGAAACACCAGAATAGCTCAAGGTTGGAGAATGCGCATGTTGGTCAATTACACGGTCACCTAATAGCTCTAGGCTGCCATGAATAGAGAAATGCCATATCCAGGTCTTACGTACACTTGATCTTAGTAGCTGGACAATGGATAATGCAAAATCCACCTTTGACATGTACAATCATTCATTTAAAAGGTCCTCAAACTTTAAAACTATGTACAAAACCAATCGACCATCTACAACTTTGCCTGCTCTCCATTCTGCAAGACATACCGATATCTTGCCTTCCCATCATGCATATCCACTAGCACATCATTCACATCATCCATAGACCTCTTCTGAATCCATGGCAAAACCCTCTTCTCCGCAGCAAGTTGCAACATCTGCCGAATATCCTCGGGAGACCCAATATTCGATCCAGTCACCTTAACTCCCTTCTGAATCAATGAAAACGCCGCCAGCTGAGGCAACGGCTCCTCCGGTGCTCCAACTTGAATAAAAGTTCCATCTCGCTTGAGAAGACGCAAATACTGCGAAAATGGCATATCACCACCAGAAACCGTCGAAAGGATGATATCCAACGATCGCGAATACGTCTTCGCCCACCCCTTGTCCTCCCCAGTCGCAATAAAGGCATCAGCACCCAGCCCCTGCATCGCATCAACCTTCTTACTAGAAGATCGCGAAATCGCAACAACCCGATCCGCACCCAACGCCTTCGCAAACAGAACCCCCAAGTGCCCCAAACCTCCAATCCCAACAATCCCCACCGTCTTCCCAGGACCAGCGCCATATTTCTTCAACGGCGCATAAACAGTAACCCCGGCACAAAGTAACGGCGCCGCCTCAGCAGAAGGAAGTCCATCAGGAATCTTAAAAACGAAATGTGCCGGTCCGCGCCATTTCTCCGCAAATCCACCATAAGATTTACTCTTATCAGCATACCGACCATTATACGTCCCCGTCATCCGGGTACAATATGACTCTTCCCCATCAGCGCAAGCCTCGCAGTCGGATCGGAGACAGGATCCGCTCTGTGCGCCGATACCGACCCGATCACCGATCTGGATCTTGCGCGAGGCCGAGGATGATTCGAGTGTTGGGACGGATTTGCCGATTCGCTCGACTATTCCGATGATCTCGTGCCCGACTACGCAGGGGTAGTCGGTTGGGGCCCAGCCTGAGCGGAGAGTGTGGATATCTGTGCCGCAGATTCCGCAGTGCGTAACACGGATTTCGATGTCGGTATCCGTGAAGGGCTTTGGGGTGAAGGTTGTGTATTTTAGGGGGTTGGTTGCATCGTGGGCTACCCAGCCTGTGAACGTTTTGGTGGGAGAAGACATTTCTTTGCTATGGATTGTGTTGTTTTTGATTTTGACAGGGTCTTGTGGTTGCGATTGAGGGTTCGCTTCATGCGCTTAATGTGTGGGGTCGTGCGGAGAACGAACCGCGGTCGGCACTCAGATAGCGTGGTGCTGGAATCAAAAGTGCGGTGGATTGGGACTCGTCGATGAATGTTATCAATTGGAAGATTTTTATGATAGCTTAACGAGATAGTGTCGAACAGGGGGTGTAGCATTGTAACTTGGAGACGACTGACATCTGAATAGGATGCCGCATTGGAGCCGAGGTACTTGCCCGATCGGGACAGGATTTGCCTTGAACAACATCCCCACACTTCTTCCAAAAAGCTCCTTCTAAGTGCGGTGGGCAACAGCGATCAGTCCGACAACCCTTTTTGGCATCATATGATATATCGCAGAAAATCATAATTACCAAGCTAGTATGACAGAACCCTTACTACATGCACCTTGCTGGTGCACCAATTGGCGACCGCTACAATACCTACTATACTATCCGATTCATATCCATAGCAAGTTATAAGTGGACAGGCAGGAAAGAAGGTAGGAGACTGAGTGAGAGACGTGCGAGACTGGGTAGGAGACTGGGTACCAGATATAGCAGGATATCAACATAAAGAATATTTATTCTGCCTAGGTAGGCGCGATGCGAAATGCGAGCGGAAAACCTCTAGTATGTGTATATAAAGTGAACTTGAATGTTACTACTATTAGACGATCACATTAGTGGATATCTAGTACAATACAATACAGAGTTAGTGAAGACGGTAAGGTTAAATCATACATGTATTACCATTGGAGTTTTGTCGGACTGATCGATTACTATTGCCCACCGTATTCTAAGTCTCCTTTCTTGTCTCTCACTGCCCCCAGTGGCTGAATCTGGTTCGCAGATATGGTTTTCCACGTATCTATCTCAGTAGGTACTCCAGGTAGCTACTGAGCTATGCATTCTTTCCAAGAGCTGGCTAGTCAGGGGCCACAAAAAAAGCATAAGTACCCAAATAGTAGAGGGCTAAATGGCCTGGAATAGAAAGATGGAAATTCGATTTCTGTGGAGTTTTTGCTGAACATGGGTCATCAGCCTTGGGCTGTTGAGCTTAAGGACCCCGCATCAATTGCCACGTCAGCTATCTGCAGGCTACTGGAGTTGACAATTATGAGCGCCAGCCCAACTTGACTTTGTATACCCTCAAAATCACGGATATCCAGAATAAGGTCAACACAATGCCTAGTATCTTCAATATCAGGGCAAAAACTCGCAAAAGGCCTTCACTAGAACGCGAAAAATCACCGAGTAAGGACAGCCGACAAATTGCCCGTACACCGGATACGAAGCCAGAATTGACCGCTGATTCCACCAATCTTTGGGCTCAGGCCGAGCAAATCTTAAGGGCAGACCCCAAAACGAGGGAAATCCTTGATGAAGCGACCCGGATTCTTGAAGGGTTTGGATTGAAGATTGGGTCTGAGCATCAGCAGCTTTGCAGCTTTCTTGACGACAGAGTCACCAAAATTGAAGAGAAGAAGCGGATGATTCATTACCGCGAGGTTTCAGGTCAGGACCTACTCACTACGATATTTCAGAATGTTTTGAAGGTGAAAGACATTGTCAATACCGCGGCATCTGCAAGCACCCCTGCAGCAATAGCCTGTGCTGGTGTGACCGTCTGCCTCGTGGTAAGTGAGCCCCACATTCTATCCCATATTCTATCCTGTTGCAACATTCTAAATCTTTGATTTAGCTTTTCATCCAAGGTGTTGAGCAACATAAGGCTCTTCTCAAGGGCCTCGATACAACCGCGGCGTTGATCCCCCGCTTATGTATAATGGAGAACCTTTATTTGCATTCTCAGTCTAGTGCAAAGCTCACTGATGAGTTTACTGAGAGATTCAAAGAAAGATTCATGATTATGCTAGGCAAGATACTGGAGTTTCAGGCCCGTGCACTCTGCTGTCTTCGGAGAGAATCTTTCACCCGGTTCTACAGGGGCATGCTGAAGCAAGATCATTGGGACGCATTGTTGCAGGACATGACGAGCCTTGAGAGCGAATCAGAGAAGTTTACTACCCTGATAAACGCGGCGGAGAACAAAGCAGAAAGAGAAAAGCTAGAGCACGAACTTGAAAATGCTTTGCAGAGTTATAAAACTTGGCAAACATCATCAAACCGGGACGAGAGAGTCAAAAAATTTCCCCGGGAGCTCTACAAACACACGTGCCCGTACCAAGAACGGAAAGACCGAAACAACAAGCACGTTCCGGAGACGTGTGAATGGTTTACTCAGCATGAGCGTTTCAAAAACTGGGATCAGAGCCATGAGTCTTGTCTGTTATGGGTCTCCGCCGATCCTGGGTGTGGAAAATCTGTGCTAGCAAAGTACTTGGTCGATGAATTTCTCCCGCGGCCCAGAAAGAGAACAGTCTGCTACTTCTTCTTCAAGGATGATATTCAGACCAGAAAAGCTCAACAAGCGCACTCTGTGCGGTGATACGGAATCTCTTTATATCTCAGCCATCTCTACTATCAGACAATATCCTCAAAAAAGCTGATACAGATGGGGATAAACTGTTCCAGTCCTTTGATGACATGTGGGAGATCCTCTTGATAGTCACAACAAACCCACAGGCGGGAGAGGTCATTTGCGTGATCGATGCATTGGATGAGTGTCAAGAATGTGACCGAGATCAGCTTATTCGAGCCGTGAGAGAATTCTACTTGAGGAGCGATAGCGAGCGCACTCTGAAATTTCTGATGACAAGTCGTCCTTGCGATCACATCCGCAGCCGCTTTCAATAACTGGAAGACCGCATGCCTATGATTCACCTGAGTGGCGAAGATGAGGACGAAGTGAAGAAGATCTCTCGCGAGATTGATCTTGTGGTTACAAGCCGAGTTCATGAGATTAGTCGTCAGAAGTCCCTGGAGTACGCGGAGCGTGAATTCCTACAGCAGCAGTTGACATCCATAGAGAATCGAACCTATCTGTGGGTTACTCTGACGTTGGATTATATCGAGAACACCCCAGGCTTTACCAAAGGGCAAATTCGCCGTGTCATTAATCATCAAATACCTCGGACGGTGGATGAGGCTTATGACAAAATCTTGAACCGGAGCAGTAATCGCGACAAAGCGAGTAAGCTACTGCACATTGTCACCATTTCAATGCGACCACTGTCTGTAACAGAGGTGTCCCTCGCCTTGGCTGTAACGCCAGGATGCCAATCCTACGACGGAATCAAGGATGAGATTGAGCCTGTTGAACGATTCAAATTTACTTTGAGACAAATCTGTGGCCTTCTTTTGACGGTCATTGACAGCAAGGTTTACCTACTTCATCAATCCGTCAAGGAATTCTTGGTCTGGAAAAACCCCCCAATGAATTACAGTCCACCTGAGAATACCTGGAAGAACACTCTCGTGCTATCACACTCAAACAGAGTTATGGCGGAGACTTGCATGCGATATCTTCTTGCCGATCTTGATGAAACACATCTTTGCACATTCAGGCTGTACTCGGCCGAATTTTGGCTGCATCATTTTCGCGCAGCTGATGATTACGAGCAAGAGGAGATTGAAGTTCTCGCAAGCTCTCTCTGTGAGGTAAAATCAAAGATATTCAGAAGCTGGGTAGAAGTCTGGAGACAAACCAGTGGAGAACAGCATGAAGTCTTGGGAGACCATCAAAGCACCACGCTACTGATGGTAGCATCTCGTCTTAGTCTCGGGCCCATTGTCCGGCGGCTACTAAGGTCTGACAATGTGGATATTGAGAGTAAAGGCTACAATGGCATGACGCCGCTTTTACTAGCTGCATTCCACGGGCACGAAGCTGTGGTGAAGCTACTTCTGGATACTGGGAAAGTAGATGTCGATAGTAAGGATGTTGATTACCGGACACCACTCCACTACGCTGCACAGTTTGGACATGCTGTGGTGAGGCTACTTCTGGATACTGGGAAGGTGGATGTCGATAGCAAAGATGATGAAAACCAGACACCATTCCTTTACGCCGCACTGTGTGGACATGAAGCTGTGGTGAGGCTACTTGAGAGATCATGTATTGAAGAATCCTCGGCATCAAATTGATATTCCATATTACTGAGTCTCAAATCGATCCGATCCTCTACTTCTCGGGTGATCATGCTTTTATGTGGCTCCTGACTGGCGAATTCTTGCACACATGTGCATGAAGCATACACGCTGAAATAGCTACAACAGCGCCTATTTCTCCCAGGTGCCCTTTTTGGAGTATCTAATGAGGGATTTAGGTCTAGTGCTGGAGGCTGGAATACTCTCGAGGCCCACCTAGCAAAGTTCAGTTGTAGCTAGTCCATCGGGTACCTAGGGGAAAATCCTGCTTGTTTCCCTACCCCACCTCCAACCTTCAATGTGATGTACTGCACATGTATACCCAGAAATTCAACGCAAGCACTTTCAGGTTTATCTACAGCTTCGGAGAGCTGGTCAGTTAGATATACTTCGCATTTGCGGCTTGCCTTGACAATATACAGAGACTCGCGAAGATCGGCGGATTGGGAAAATCGTCGGAGTTTTACAGGAGGATTATCGGCATCTTCACATCTCTCTCATTCGGCAACAGGCGATGTCTCGGCAGTTTACTGTATTTTGCCGATGGCTTCATGCAAGCACAGTTGTAACCAACCCGCTTTGATGTTAGCTATAACTAACTACCCTGCAATGCCCATCTATTTACTCCACTTTGAGACCCAAGTGTCCGAAAATATGGCGATTCAACCCCGCAGAAGAACTGTCTCCTATTTTAATTCTCATCCATAGTTCGCTGCTCGAGTTTCAAGAGGTTCTAGAAATTGGACCATCATCATGAAATTATTGTTCTCATTTCCGGTGGTACTTGGTACTATTTTCTCGTCAGCCTGGGGAGAAACCCTCACGGTTGATGGGATTGAGAAGATGGGGAACAATAGCATATTCACACTCGCACGCTGGAGGCCATCTTCTCATTTTCTTGCACCTGCGGGATGGATGAATGTATGCAATAATTTCCTTGGCCCGTGGAACTGGACTGAAGTTTAACAGGATCCTTGTGCGCCGATGTACGATCCAGTTCGAGGTCTTTACCATTTACATTATCAGTTTCATCCCAATCATATTGCATGGGGTAGGAACTGAACTCCAAGATTGCGAATAATTTCCCGAATGCTGACCAACATAAACCAGGAAATGTCTCATGGGGACATGCGATATCTTCAGACCTGATTACATGGACCGATGTTGACCATTATCCTGAAGATGGACTTCCTGCCTGGAAAGACTACCAAGCACAATCGATCGGCACTACCAACCTTACCAGCAGCCACCACGACCCTGCACTCTACAATCACTTATCAATATTTTCCGGTAGTGGACAGGCAGTCAATCTAACTGGAGGTGTGGACGGCACACTTCTAGCCTTCTACACCGCTGCCTCGGAGCTACCAACAGCCTGGAACGAGCCATATCTTCGCGGAACTGAAAGTCAGGCGTTAGCGATTTCCACCAACGGCGGAATAACATGGGAACACTATGATAATAACCCCATTCTCAGTGATCCACCTGGTGGTTGGAATGTCACTGGCTGGCGCGACCCGTTCTTTCTTCCATGGCCTCAACTGGACGCACTGCTTAATAAGACAGAGCCTCACTGGTATGCGGTCTGGGGCTCTGGTATTCGAGAGATCGGTCCCCGTATGCCGTTGTATACCGCCCCTGCCTCCGATTTGACCAACTGGACCTTCCTCGGAGCCCTTTGGGAGCCGGAAAAGAATACTTCTCTTGGTATACTGGAAGAAACGGGATCTTACGGGTTCAACTTTGAGCTTTCCAATTTCTTCTTAATCGAAGATCGGTACTTTGTCTCCATGGGAGCCGAGGGAGGTAATGTGAGCTTCCATCAGGATAAATGGTCATTATGGAATGAGGGGGAGGTATCTATACGAGCTAACGGAAGTATTGCTTTTACGCCTGTCGCTGGCGGTGCGAGTGACTACGGTCTTTTGTATGCGGTAAGGAAGTCTGGTTTTCACTTTACCACGAACCTCACTAACAATCACTAGATCAACTCCTTCGACGATGTCAAGAACAACCGCAGGATTCAGTGGGGATGGGCCCAGGAAGACATAAATGATTTCGGCGCCACCCAACTTGGATACCAGGGTGCGTTCTCGCACCCACGAGAGTTATTCATCAAGAATACCACGGGCCTTGTTCATAGCCCCTCCAAAATTCCCGGGAGCTCCCGCTATTTCCAAAACAGCAATGGCAGCTGGACGGCGAGTACTTTGGGTGTCCGCCCAGCCCCAGATGTCGTCGAGGGTATTCACCGTGGTGCGCGCTATACCAAGTATCCATGCGGCAAGGGGAAGTGTGATGCAAAGAATATCACCCTGCCCAGTAACCTTACCTCTTCATATCATATCAGCGTCACTATTGAGCACACAACTGGTATGGCTGGAGTAACAGTTGGTGCTTCGCCTGACCGTGAGGAATATACAAACATTTATTTCGATCCTTCGAGCAGCAATATCGTTGTGGATCGTGCTCATTCCTCTTTGATCAAGGAGTTCACTGATACGTCTCACATTGGATTTTTTGAGCCTTATCGGTTGAAAGGAAGGAGTGGTAGTAACACCACGGAGCCTATTCGGCTGAATATCTTCATTGATGGCTCTCTTGTGGAAGTGTACGCTAATGATCGATTTGCTCTCACCAGTCGTATCTATCCCAGTCGGGAAGACAGTACTGGTATCTCTTTCTTCGCTGAGGAAGGCGTTGATGTCAAGTATTCCCAATTGGAGATTTGGGATGGCTTGTTGAATGTTTGGCCAGAGAGACCTCAGAACAGCAGCTCCCTCTTAATATGGGATACTGCTGCTGAGACGGGCAATTATACCTGGTGGACAGGTAACTGAGCCTAGTCCGGTGACTGTATTCATACCTTGTGAATAAATGCACCAGGCTGAAGGGTGTAGATATTCATCCTTGGCTCGCGAAGGCCGCTGTATATAGGCATTGATTAGCTGTCCGTTCGAATTTCTGGTCATATTCGAATCCATTATTCAAAACGTTGGCAAGGATCAAATCGAGGCTAAGGCACCGAAATGAATTATGGTAATCATACACAAACGGCACGCCATTACATGCTCGCTTATAGGTCAAAATATATGTACAGTACAATTAAAATGTTGGCAAGTGCTCAGTCATATCTTTCATCGTGAGGGAACACCCATGAGATCATCCAGTTCGTCATTGGTGAGTGTACTTCGGCGTCTGTTGCCAGACCGGCTGGGCACTTTCTCTGGTCGACTTCTTTTTCGTGTCTCTCGCTCCTTACGAGAATTTGCTGCAGCACGCGCTTCATCTTCGGCTGCAGCTAATTTTTGGTGAACACTCATAGACTCGGTGGCATTGCCCTGTGGGAAAGAGTTAGTACATATACACTTTTTAAGGGATTTTGATCTTACTAGCTGGCTTGCCCCGAGATCGGTCTTGCGACGTGAGGGCCGGCGAGTCACGGCTCCTGATCTGTGAGCCTTAATCTGCAGGGTTTCATCGTCCGCAATAGGTAGGCATGGCGATCCTTGTAGACCAGGAGTGAACGAAACTTTTCGAAGTCTTTTAGGCCTGGCAGCTATGTTATCACTGCGTTCTCGTAAAGCTCGCTCTGCGCGCTCCGGGACCTTGCGGATCTTGGAGCGAGTCAACGGCGCATCATCTGGCTGCTCCTCTCTTTCGCTCATTTCCTCTTGGTCCTCCAGAATCGGCGAAATGGGCTTGTTCTCTGTCTGTTCCTGCATGCTCACACCTTCAGTGGAGTTGAAACTAAGATCAAGATTCATGCCGAGCTTCAGCTCTTCTACCCGAACCGAGTCACCACCATCTGCAAGACGGCGCTGCCATCCATCCATCATAGTCATTGCTTGACTCCAGCGATTTTCCATCTTCTCCCAGCTTGCGCGCAGTCTTGCGATCTCTTCGTCCCGGATCTCGACCTCCTCCAGCGGCACAAAGGAGGGGTTCGTGAGAAGGGTTCGCAAGTGATCCAGCACCGCATTCATTCGCATAGACAGCTCCTCGGTTGACGTAGGGAGTGTGGTTACAGCGTTAGCCGACTTTTGTGGTCCAACACTGGCTGCCAATCCTGGCGTCTCCTCGCTCTGATTTCCTTCCTCATCCTGGGGAAGTCCTTGAACCTCTCTCAAAGTCTCGACGGTGTTTCGCGCAAGCTCGATCAATGTATCATTCTCATCACTCAGATTTTGGCACAACTCGGTCAGGAAGTCTGTTGTCTCTTGCTTAAGACTATATCCCGGATCATTGACTCTATCACCACCACTAGATCTCAATCGAGAACGTGTCGAGGATGGGTTTATGTTGATGGTAGTGACGCTCAATCCCTCGCGCTTTCCCCGCTGCCGGTCCGCTAGGTGGGATTTTAATTTCTGCATTTCGAGATCACGTTTGCGTATGTCATTTGCGCATTGGGCGCGCACTTGCTGGACGGTGCTCTTCATGCGCTGGACTTGCTCTTTCAATCCTCGGATGGACGCTTCGGCGCTGGACATGTTAGAGCGGAGCGCACGCTCTGATGCCTCAGTGAGGGCTAGCGATCGTTTCAATTCGGATGATTTGGTCTTCAGTTTCCCCTAGTAAGGCAAAAACAAATCGCGCGTTGGTTTGTGAGCTTGGGCCTGTAGGATATTTCACGTACGATCTCCAAAGTCTGCTCCGACTCGCTACCCCGCAGGGTTCGAATTGTTGTTGCTAAATTCTCACGATGCTCAGCTTCTCGCTAAGAATTGTCAGATATGATGCGACAGTGTTTAGCGGTAGTACTAACATCTCTCCTTATAACCAAGTCGTTGACTAGGTTAATGATTCGCGCCATAGTAGCTTCGGTTCCCCCCTCCTCATTTTCGGGATGAGCAAAATCGATTGAAGCCCCATCATTGAGTAAACCGCGCGCCAACAAAATATTGTTGACATAAGTCGACGCAGCCTGCAAATTGTGCGCATCCATGACGTTGCGATGGTGGAGCTATGCAAGATCCAAAGCGGAAGAAAGTAAACATTGTAAACAAACTATGTAATCAGATTGCGGTCAACCGGAGGGACCAGTCACGCAAAGTCACGTAAACTCGAACACGTGACACTCCACGCAAACACCGCATGTTTCCCATTGATCCTCAGGTTTTTAATTCTTCTCACTTTTCAAGATTCCTAGAGTACCGATGGGTTTAATTGCATCATGACATCAAATGTCTCGGCTCTCCATAAAAAAGGCCAGAGGCTCTACCAAAAAGGAAACTTCAAAGCTGCCATCGAGGCCTTCAGCGAGGTAGGTCCATCCACTCTAACCCAAAAAGGCAGTCCACTGATCGTCCGCCAGGCATTGAACCAAGAAGATGCAGATACCATTGGCATTTTAGATAATCGTGCAGCGACTTACTGCAAACTTGAGAACTATGACCAGGCGCGTCGAGATTCAAGACACATGATCAAAAAGGCCAACCAAGATGAGCGCGTAAGTACTCTGTTTGTGCCAAGATGCATATTTTGACAGTATACAGGGATACCTACGATGTGCAAAGGTGCTTCTCCTTGAAGGAAAGCCATCCAAGGCTCTGGAAATCTACGCTTATGCTCTGAAGACGCTTCCAAGTAAACACCCACGTCGTGAAGTATGTTCCTGGCTGTCCCAACGTGAATGAATACCTTTGAGCTTACAATACCATGTAGTTGCTGGATCAATTGCACAACAAGCTTCAGGATCGGATGCTTCTCAATAAGCTGGATCCTTTTACAGTATTGCCCTTCGAGCTTGCAATGATGGTAATCAAGGACTTCTCCTTCAAGCAAATCGTGGGCATTTTGCGTGTCTGCAAAGGATGGGAACGATTCTTCGGCTCCATATCGGACTTATGGATGAACCTTGACTTCAGTACCGCTCGAGCGACAGTTCCTTTTTCCGCAGTCCGGTCATGCATCCGGCGATCTAAAGGGTTGCTCACTCGAGCCTTTCTCAAGAACTTGCCACTTCCGCAAACACCCAGGACCTTGGAATTTCTGAGCAGATGTCCACATATTGAGCACCTGCAACTATGGGTGTCTCACGATCATAACGACTTATTTGCTAAGTTCAAGGGCTCAAAGAAGCTCAAAAGCCTAATTCTCTCGGCTGACATGGCGCTTCCAAATGATTATCTCGGTCGATTCTTGATCGAGCTACCGAAACTCGAGCGTATTGCAATATACAATTCTCGAAACTCATCTCCGGTGTTTCTACGGGCTGGATCCTGGCCGGCTGCTCTACCAAACCTTAAAAGCATCCTTCTGTCCACGAGCCAACAGCCGCCAACCGGGCCATTGACAGAAGTCGTGCCTGCTCTGCATATTCCACACATCCTATCTGTGGGTTTTTTGCTCCGCATCGTTTGTCTTTAAACTAACAGTTACAGGATATCAAACCTCACCCTTATCAGAATCTAGAAGATTTGCGGTTAGAGGCGAACCCACCAAAGATTACGCCATTGTATTTCCCCTCCGAAGCCGATGCGGGTCCTGGTGGTCTTCTAAATACTGCGAATATTGAAAATTACTCTCTACCACCGCTCCGTCATCTTAAACTTCAGGGCATCTCGCCAAATATTTCCTTGCTCACCTTTTTACCCACTACCATCGAATCCCTCGCTATAGTCGGTGGACCATCTCGGTCAAGCGTCATCAGATCCGTTCCAAAAACATTTTCAAAGCTAGACACCCTCGCCTTCAGTGACACCGGCTGGCTTAATGGGTTGAACTTTCAGATACTTGTTTTTGAGCTACAGCTCCCAATTCGAACTCTGCACTTGGATCGATGCTTCAATCTTACTTTGACAAGTCTCGTTGATATGGTGGATGCAAGGCAAAATGCCCATCTGGCGGGACTTGAAGAGCTCACCATTACTCATGTGCAAGCGGTGGATGACGATTTTGCGATCCTGCTCCTAGACGCATTTCATAACCTTACTCTGCTGGATTTATCCCATACGGGTATTACGGGCTGCACGATTCGGAGGATTGCCGATTTTCTAGGATCTGATTCGTCCGAAGTTCCAAAGATTAATCTTCTGATTGTGCGAGGCTGCGAAGGCGTCTCTTCGGACGCTGTGGTATACGGTCGAGAGAAGGGACTGGATGTGGTGATCTGAACTGCGGGCCAGTATCTATAACTTAACTCCAATTATCAAGCCTGTTCTAATGGCACTCTCCATCCTATTTGTCAGCATTTTTAAAGCGATCAGTACGAGTTTGTGTTGATAACTAAGCCATGTTTAATAAGTTTTCTTGCTTGGGAGGATATTACTGCAAGGTGAAAACTCTCGCATAGACCTCATCAATGCCTCAGGTAACGGAAAGAAATAGAACAATGAAGAAGCCTAGGTTCATTCGCACATCTTATCAAGTTTGTAACAGAAATCTCCCGACTGGTTGGCCACTTTTCTTGTTCCAGGACTACTATTTCCAGATATCTAATTACTGAATCTTCACACACCAACCCCAGTGTAATGAATTCTCAAATGAATAATTCAAATCTTCATAATCGAAAATGCAGGTGATAATCATAACCAAAAATCATGCACGCAAAAGAAACCAAAGAAAATCCAAAGCCTTATCAAACCCCCCGCTCCTGGCACCACTTCTCCACCTCCTTCGCCAGTTTATCCTTTTGATCGCGCACAAGCTCCATCATAGGCTCGACCTGTTTCCGGTGTCCAGCAATGCGATCCTTGGCTCCATTCACGATTGTGACACCCTCCTTAGGTGCGAGGTAAGAATCATAGATATGGATCATAAGATCCATAACCGCGGACAACTGGTTAGGCAACCACTGAATTATACAGATTAGCATAAATTTAACAAAACAATATTCTAGACGAGTAAGGCAAGATCAACTTACAGTCACAATAGGACTTCCACCGGTAGCAGTCGGGTGTGGAGTCCGACGAATAATATATTCGCGAGCAAAGAGCCAGTGACGCCAGCGGAAGCTGCGAACATGGTTCAACACCTTCAGGAAAAGAACTGCAGTCTCGGAATCCTGGACGGAGTAGTTCTGGACGCCGATTTCCTCGGACTTTTCGCGGATGTAGGTAAGGAACTCCCTATGAGGCGCAGGGCGGTATGCGCGGAATTCGTGCAGGATCTTGGTAAGAGGAGTTTCAGGCATAGGAATTTGGCAGAGGTGATCGAGGAGAGGGATCTGTAGTTGATGTTAGTATGAAAATCCTACTGACAAAAAAAATGAAAGAGGTGCATACGATGCTGTCGTTGGCACCACTCTCGCCGCGGAAGGAGAGTGGCTTGTTGTCCTCAACACCGTCGTAGATTACGCCACTCGGGAACATTGATTGCTTTGTTATGCCGAAGATGAACACGCGGAAAGAGAGGTACTCTGATGGCTTGGAGTTGCCCCACATATCTATGGCAAGATTAGCTCATGCTCAGACTGGAGGTCATTTGAATCTGCTGAGTAGGGTCGGGAACATACCTTCCATCGATGCCTCGATCTTCTCCATGGCTGTCAGGATCTCACGATAACCATCGTTGATCTGGTTTCGTGGGCCATGCTGTTCCAGGGTATCAACTACTCGTAGGACACCACTGATTAGAGAACCAGTCTCCTTGACCATGTCGACGTGAGTCAGGATAAAGCCTGCCTCAGAGCTCTTGGGGTCCAGGCCACGTTCGAAGCCGCGGATCAGACGCAGGTTTGAGTAGTCTGATAGACCCTTCGAGTGATCGGCAAAGGTATAGTTGAAGAGAGCATATGAGGCAGCATAGGACATGAATGGAGGAAGGTCCAAGCTATAGATAGGTTAGATGACATGCTACATGGCGATGTTCATACATGTGGTGTGAGGACATGCAGACATAGTAGACAAAAGAAGATACTTACATCTGAGCACAGCGGTACATGGGGCGAGCAACAGACTTGGGCAGGACCTCCCGTCCAAGACCATACCCCTCGTCTGGATTCTTGCACCAGTTCTCCCAGCAGGGTTCGAGCAAGTAGGACGAGGCTACGAAGGTGTAGTCCCGGAAGACAGCAGTCATAGTGAAGCGGTCCGGCGAACCATCAGGAAGGACAAGTTTCTCAACCTCATCAGTCAGATCGGGCAACTCTGCCGCAACAGCAGGACCGAACTCATAAGTTGCCAAGAGACCGGGCTTCCCATCGAGCTTGACGACGGGCATACGTTCCACAAGGGACTTGAGAGGGTGGAAGGCATCAGGAAGGTCCACGGGGGCAGTGGCATATGGCAAGAAGCCTGTAGATGTGGTGATAGTGAAGGGGTCCAGGGCATGCGACAACGTGGAAGGGTCATCATGGACATGGGGGAACCTCTTGAGGGTAGAAGGGGAAGGATAGGGCACGTGGGAGATAGTCATGTTGCAGGTAGATGATGGTGACCAAGTGTGTTGATCTGTCTTATGTTCAATGAGACAGATAAGCAATGTATCACAAGGAAGGGAAGGTTTGGTATGGAAGTGTATCAGGGGTATAAAGTATAACCAAGGTGGAAGACTAAGTCAAGACCTAGGAAAGCAGGGGAAACGAGCCAAAAAAGATGAAAAAAGGGTTGGGGAATCTTGAAAGATGAAAGAGAAAAGAGAAATACCATTGCTTTGGGCGGGTGAGGAGGCGATTCTTATAATAAGAAGAGGCCGGTATCAATTCCGGCCTCAAGCCCACATTACGAAATAGAAAGCAAGATGGGGATGATCTAGTAACATTGGGCGTAAATACGTGCCGATAATGAATTTGGGGTCCTGTATAGGGTTTACCTGACTACCCAGCGTCAAAATAAGGTAAACCAGCATCTATGAAGGTATTCGGATGCTCTCTGCAGATGCACCGTCATGGAGGGCACAACGGTCACGAGGGAGGCGCTAGGCCCGTTATAGTAATACTGAATAAGACCGCATAGTTGATATTTCGGGTCAATACGACATTCGTCAAGTGACGAATGCTATTTTGGATTAATTCCATGTCTCCAGAGACCATTCGTTCATGAATGCATAGATAATAGGGTCAGTCCGTTATGATTTTGCCATCGATGTCATGATGTAGGCTCAATATACCTGTGTATCGTAAACTTAGTACGAATATTACCTGCGTTGTAACAAACGGGAGGTGCCTGTCGCCCGGTATAGACTACAGTTCAAGCTACTCCTCACACAAGAGACAAACATAAAAGACAACGGCTCTAACATCGATATTGAAAGGAAGGGTGGCGAAATCCCAAGTTATGCGTGCCAAACTATATCTGTGCAGATACATGTTCCATCGTAACGGTTCTCACCGCGACAGCTGTGCCAAGGCTGTCATCGAGATCCACAGTTTTTATTGGCCGATAAGGGACATTTAAACTTTCCTAGCGTCAGGAGGCCGGAATTCAGCCGGCCTCCGATAATAGCCGGCCGATTTGCTATACTCCGGACTACGGACCCCGTGATCGGATGATTCCGAGTCAATATTGTTACATACTAAGAAGCTTATAGAAGAATGATTTGAAAGAAAAATGCAATTGGAGAAAGGTGAAGAGGAAATAAAAAGACTCAAAGAGCACATACTGCAAGAAATTGCGGTTCTCTAGCTCGGTTCACATGCCATACATAACAATTGAATCAATTGATGGTTTTGAGGTTACAAATCGATATATAGACTCTCCAAATACCTTATAATGAATAATTGACAGTCCTTGATCAGATCATAGTTATGTCTCTAGATACTCTATTAATGCGAACAATACAGCGGAGCATAATCCCTTTGACCTGCAAGTTGTCAATAAACTAATGGGGAGCGGCCCCGAGGAGTAGTATGTGTTCAAAAGTAATATTTCAATCAAATTCGGGTATCGACTACGACTTGACAGCAGCACCCGGGTGGAATGGAACCAGCCTGGTCTAACTGTGCAGCTCAGTTACCAACGCCAGCCTAGGCGGAGAAGGTTCTTTAACGCTGGTGTCACCGTGTGGCTCCTAGCTCTCAGTCGAATTTTGGCTTTCTCCGTGGCCACTCCGATGTCAGCTTAACCCGAATGGTAGCAGATTCCAGCGATCTCAAAATATGATTGCCGTATTTATATATACTAGTCGCCCAAATATGCACCTGCCCTGGGGTAGCATACGTCTTGGCAGAGTGCCATACAACCTTTCCAAGTATGAGAGCTCAAGAAGTGGAGTTTCCCATATATCCATTCTAGACATTCGAACCAAAAGCTGATTGAGAGAATAAGGCGAATCTGGGGAATGATATGGTATGTTGAGCCGATGTGTGGTATGATTTTGACTTGACAATAATCGTCGCTGATCGAAGGGGAGAGTCCACTGGTATAATACATCAAATAAAATCGTACACGACATCTACTTTATACAGGATTGAACAAGTCGCCAAATAGTACAAACTCCCTGGGCCCGAATTAGAATGAGGTCATCACAACAGCACTGCGGATAGAACCTACCCAATATGCATTGCGCGGTCCAGTGGCGCAGACAAAGGTACCCAAACGCTGATTTTGAAATTCCGCCTCATGTTCCTGTATTCGAAGGTTGATTTGCCGGGCTTTGGGCATCGGTGGTGCTGGTAACGGTCTGCAGCTTCAAGTATTCCTCTTCCAATCGCTTCTGCAACTCAAATTCGGCCTGTCGTTCTTGTCGGATTCGCTGTTTTTCTATGTCTCGTTCAACACCTCTATGCATCGCCTACAATTCGTCAACTTTAGTATTTGTATCTCCAATAAAGAAACAGGCGACTTACCGCTCGGTCCGCCTCTTGCGCCCAGTGAACAAACCAGACAATTCCCGCCGTACCCAGACCGGTAGCTGCCAGAGTAAACTTTGACGCGCGAGACATTGTCGATTTGATCAGAACGGAAACGTTGAATAATTCACACCGGGCAAATGGACGTAATGACAGATCCCAAAAATGCCGGATTATCAGTTTATCGCGTCGGGGCGGTGGGGAATGTACTGCCAATCCCCACCGCTTTGGGGGGTCATGCGTGGCTGATCGAGCTACGAAGCTCCGACTCTCCAGCAGTTAACGTTTCTTTCCACTTCCCATCAAACCTAAACGAGGGTTCCAGGAGCAAATATGGTGAGTTATACTACGACAAAGCCAATCATAATGTGTGCAAATGCTAATGGTGGTGGGGAATTAGTCGGCCCAGAACTCCGCGGGTATTCAGACCCTCCTCGATGTACGTTCCGACCGGACTCAAGCACCAGATCGATCATGCTGATGATAAATACAGGCCGAGAGAGAGGCCCAGAAGATTGTGCAACAAGGTATGATCACTGAACCGTGAGATCGTGGGCTCTAGATGCTAATATATCTGATTCGTTTAGCCCGAGAATGTACGAGACCCGATTACCCCGATCGGCATGCGCTGGTCCCCTAATCTGTTCTTTCTAGACCGTACCAAGCGGATAAGGGAAGCCAAGGCCGAGGCTCAGAAGGAGATTGAGGAGTACCGCAGCCAGAAGGAAGAGGAATACAAGAAGTTCGAGGCGGAGGTAGGATCACTTCCTGGACACAGCATTGTATCATCATCAATGGTTATCGCTGACATTCTTGGCACTTTAGCACTCCAGCGGATTCAAGAAGGCCGAGGAAGATGCCAGCAAGGAGGCCGAGGAGAAGCTCAAGGAGATCCAGGCTGCTGGCAAGAAGCAGGGCGAAAAGGTCGTAGAGGACCTGATCAAGGCCACCACCTATGTCAAGCCTGTGGTGCCGGAGAAGATTATCAAGGCATAGAGTTGATTTTTCGTCATTTTTCGTTTCTTTGCTTGTCGCTAGAAAATGCGATTTCGGCTGTTCATCGATATCCAACATTCGAGATATATGAGTTTTTACTGACTTTATCTTCACTTTTTCTACTGTCACTGTTGTGACTTTGTAACAACAACCTGCAAAAGGGTTGAATATTAGAATCGAATACCAATATTGTTTGTTTTGCCTCTCTGGTCTACCATTACATGTGCGCGATGTAAACGTCTACACAACGAGCTTTAAACCCCATCAGACCTCCATACAATGATCGGACTGAAGGGTCAATTGGATATTCCATGCATCTATGTTAATTAATGTAAACATTCGAGGCCGGAAACTGCAACAAATTAATCTACAACATGATCTATAGGTGGCACCTACTGATATGTCAGGTGAAACCAATGCGTAGCTCGAGAATTGGTCATTTCTTATCAAACGGAACTCTTGGTTATTTTAGCGCTTTATTTAAGATGATCTAGTCGGATAACGACTAAATCATGCAACTCATAGACACAGGCGGTTGATCGTGGCTGGTTGATCAATTACAAACCTAAAACTTAAGGCAGCAACGGCAATGTTTCTGGGTTGCGTCATTCCGTCTCTGATACAACCGTCGCGCAACAGATGATGATGGGATATGCGGTTGGTGCAAATATCTCTACCAAACAAATGCTAAGTGGACGCCTTATTCAGACGATAGGCATCTCAAAAAGGCGCACATTTCACACGTCCTCGCGCAGACTGAAACCCATTCTTGACCCACGCTTGGAAGACCTTGGCCATGTTATCCATGATGAGTACTCGGTGATTCGCGATAGCTATGGTGCGTATTATCCCAGACTAATAGACTACATGTTTCAATCCTAATTCTCGATAGCCGCTCCAAAACACCCAGTCGTTCTCGCCCACGGGTTGCTTGGCTTCGATGAACTGCGCCTAGCTGGTCCCTATCTCCCTGGTGTTCAGTACTGGCGGGGTATTAAAGAGGCCCTCTCCGCTAAAGGAATTGATGTCATCACTGCTACCGTTCCCCCATCCGCTTCCATTGAAGAACGTGCTGAGGCATTAAGACGTGAAATCGAAGATGGGGCACGGGGAAAAGATGTCAATATTATCGCGTATGTGATGTATCGCCGGATGTATGGGTATCCTCATGCTAATAAATCATCTTTTCGTCCAGTCATAGCATGGTAAGGGACTTTCTGCATTCTTGAACTGAGCTTCGTGCTAATCCAAGAGCAGGGGTAAGCTATCAGACACAAGTGCGCTATCATACGGAAATCTAACAAACATAGTGGCCTCGACTCCCGATACATGATCAGTCGGCTTCGACTAGAGAAATTCAAGGTGCTATCATTAACAACAATTGCCAGTCCACATCGAGGTGTGTAAAGCTAATGCTTCAAGGTGCTGTCAATTGAGCTAAACCGTGATCCAGGTTCTGCTGTGGCAGATTACGTCCTCGACCAGATTGGAGGTTTGTTGATACATAATTCTAAAAAGCTCTTGAAATTTCTTCTTATTGACCTGTTCTGTTATCCAGCCGATCGCCTTCCTCAGATTTACTACGCATTGAATCGGCTAAGTGTCGAAACGGGAGCGTTTGGTCAGCTGACGAGGAAATACATGTCCGAGACTTTCAACCCAAATACGCCGGATCTGGAAGATGTTCGGTGTGTATATAAGTCAGGATTAAAGGCTATATACTCGGCTAATCAATTAACCCTAGATATTTTTCATATGGTGCAGCATTTGAGCCTAGCATCTGGTCCGTGTTCCGCTTATCTCACAAGATCCTCGCCCAGATAGAAGGACCCAATGATGGTCTGGTCAGTGTGGCGAGCAGTCATTGGGGAGGTGATAATGGATATAAAGGAACTTTGATGGGAGTTAATCATCTGGATCTTATCAACTGGAGCAATCGATTGAAATGGCTAGCTGGGGAGGTAATGGGACAACCACGGAAATTCAATGCTATCGCATTTTATCTGGATATTGCAGGTATGAAAATCCTCTTGAGCTTGAGTTGTCAATGCTAACCTTGCCGAAGATATGTTGGCGAAAGAAGGTCTTTAATCTTGGGTCCCGAAATTTGTATAGTGTCAACATTAGGGATCGACGGGATGCACAGACCCAACTCTGAATCTTCTTTTAGATCTGGACAGTAGACTAGGCGACAGTTATTAAGATAATCCACAGCTTTCGCAGTTGTTAATCTCGTGTATTTTCCACACCAAGTCATCTTTCATGCCACTGTCTTACTGCAGGCCAAATATCCGGTTCTTCGTGGCTGTGGAAATACTGGTGCCTGGCGCGCCCGGCTATGTAGTCATTTCCAAGGTTGGTTGGCATGACATGTACCTACATCATCATTTTTTGACCCATTTGAGCTCTCAATGGTGATGCAGTTTTATATATTTCTATTTCATTGCATTGATCAAGATTGAAAATCCACCAGGCAATATTGGATGTTTAAGTCCTGATGAAGGGCTGAAGATTTCCTGTAGATCATGCCGAGCTCCGGTCGTGAAGATCCAGGGATACTTGTACTTGTAACTTTGGTCAGTGATACGCTTTTTCTCATCCAGTGGACCAACGTGGCTGAGTATCAGTGAGGCGCAGCTCTAGCATTGCCCTATTCTTTATCCATTTCATGACGATGGTGGGACTATAGGGCAGAATAAAAGCTGCCCCATCAGTTGATCGGATCTGCGGCCCCAACGTCATCTCCGCTCCCTCGCATTTAATCTTCCTCTCCAACCATCCCACTCCGATCTTTTCATCCACCATTGAGCGGAATAACTGCTGTCGCACACGGAAAAGGGAATTCGACTAGCCGCGAATCCAGACAAGCTTACGCCCGAAGGAGGCCGAACCGCTACGGCCCGAGCGCTTGCCGCGATGTCCGCCTCCGCCACGGTTTTGCTGGATAACCAGCTCTCACATTTCACAAACCTGGACACCCTCTCCGGTCGCGTGGTGCTCCGCCTACCGACAGAAGCGGCCATTGCGGGTATTCAAGTCAAATTAGAAGGAGAAAGCCGCACAAGGCTGTCGGGACCTCGCAATCCGCAAAATGTGCACTCTGAGAAGAAACGAACAGAGCTGGAGGTTCACAAGGTACGGCAGGATTTCAAATGAGAAGTATTGCTGGAATAAAATGGCTCATCAAGTCAGATCCTATACAAGGTTGCGACCGTCTTCCCTACACCAGCTGTCGTGCAAACTGGACCTGCGGCGACGTCCTACACATTCGCAGCGGGCTCTTATGAATATCCCTTTCAGTTCAAGGTGAAAATATCCACCTCAAGCTTTTGGATGAGGTCTAATTTCCATCTAGTTCCCATTCAACAATGCGTGCAGTGCCCATAATAGCATGCTCACAAATCTCAATTTCACTGGCCTAAGGGTCGAGATGGCCCGCGATCCCAATCGACATGTCAAAAAGACGCTCCCTCCATCTTTGAGTGGATTCCCAGGCATGGCAGATATCCGCTATTTTGTCAAAGCTACCGTCATCAGGCCTCAATTTTACAAAGAAAACATTCGAGCGGTACGCCATCTCTTTCCAGCCCTCCATACCAGACTGACTGATCGACTTTACAGATTGTGCCTATGATGTTTCTCCCCATTGAACCCCCGAGAACTGGGAATCCTAAAGAGGAGACATACGCTCGAAGACAACACCAATTTGCTAAATACCCGAATGGGAAACAGAAGAAGAATTTATTTTCCCGATCGTCGATACGAGAGGCCTATTCCGAGCCCCCTCGCGTGTCCCTGGATGCTCGACTCCCAAATCCTTCTATTCTCACATGCAACGAGCCTGTTCCAATGCGTTTGATTGCCACAAAGCTGACTGATTCGCCGGACATGATCTACCTGCAAATGCTACAGATTGAACTGATTTCCCACACCAAAATTATTGCCCATGATATCACGCGGACAGAAACCAATACTTGGGTTGTTGTGAGTCGCAGCAACATGGGTCTTGCATTGGGAAACCCGGACGACAAGGTTGGCACTGACTGGGCCATCAATCCCAATTTGTGGAACAATCAGCCTTTACCAAATTCGGTAGCGCCTTCTTTCGAAACATGTAACATTGAACGGAGATATGAGTTGGAGGTACGGGTCGGCCTGACTCATGGCACGCCCGGAAATATGAAGGTATCTTTGCAACTTTGTCCCTATCCTATTTTCCACCCGTCAATGGCCCCTCGTTAACATCTATATAGCCACAACTCATTGTTCTTCCGCTGCGAATGCCAGTCAAGGTCTATTCTGGAATCGCTCCTCCTCAGGCCCTCTTGGATGCAATGGCAGCAGCAACGCAGCAGCCATCACCTTCCAAAATGAAACCGCGGCCCACTTGGCCAACGGAAAACAATCTTGATACCCCACCCCCAATGCCACCCCGGCCGGCTGGACCTGTTCCTGTACCAGCGGAATCAAGTGCCATCTATGATGAGGCACCTCCAAGCTATGAGGATGCAATGGCAGATAATCTTAGCCCAGTTGATGGACCACGCCGCGAGTATCACCCACCAGACGCCTCCTCCTCCCGGGGCACAGTGGAATCTGGAACTGATGCCAAATTCCCAGCCGAAACTGGCCGAACGCGTGAAGGACTCCTTGCTCCGGAGAGCAATCTCGAGGTCCAAGGCCGCTCTTCCTCCGAATCCTTCGACATGTTGCCCACCACGCCCCCTGAATCCATATCCGGTTCCCCGCCTGACTCCCCTGTGAGGCGCTCCCAAAGCATGATGAAGGTCCGTCGGAATCCCGTGGACGACGAAAGCCCTCCCCAGTATCAGCCTATAGCGGATAGTCAGCTCCGGGCCGCGAGTCATACCATCCAGCACCGACCCTCACAGAATAGTTTGCGCCCTATGAACCTCGGCGTACCCTCCCGGAAACCGGTGCCGAGCCCGAACAGACGACCTACCACTTAAGCTTGGAGCTCTGACTCGTATCTTCTGCTTCACACTCTAATACATATCTTGCAGCCAATACTTATCACCTGCATCTCTGATACCCTTTTCTGACGATATTCTTGGGCATATTCTAGCCCTCTGGAAGGGTTTTGCATCATGCGGAGTTGGATACCGCATTCAAATTACGCTACATAATATCATTGTAATTTGGTCTTGATCATACGATATTTGGGCATATTTCCCTTTTGTTCTTTTTCGGGTTCGTACATATGGATAATAATTAAATAGACTAATATTTTACCACCAACTCTGCAAAGCATGCAAAAAAGCTTGAATGTTATATCTAGCTTTGCTCGCGTATTCAGAAAATTCTTTATTCCACTAAGACCAACTGCAATCGAGATATGAACATTGTGAAAGTTTTTTCTTGCTATTTTCAATCATAATACAAAAAGCGGCGTATTCCCCTGTTGAGATCAACTGAGTGTCCTCCATATAGATCGAATGGTTTTAGTTCACGGCGATCAGTTGCGCCTCAGGCAACAACGTAACCCAACCTGGCTAGCGTATCTCCAGGTTTGGAGCTGCACGAGGCGTCTTTGCTGGTCTAGCTTTCTGTATTCAGCACATCTCTTCCAGTTTTTTGGGTCTCTATCTCACGCTCTTCAAATAATCCACATCTCAGGGATATTACCACCGGACGAAACGCTCAAGAAAACACCAAAATCCGCGCTCTTATCTTCCACCCGCTCGAAATTTAACGCGCAAACTCGTCGTGACAACACACGCCTTACCATAGCCCCCTTTCATGTCCCGATGATTTAGTCAACCAATTCGCATCATGCGGCTTCATCTGATTATCTCACGGCATGGTCTGCCAGCTACACGGGTTTTGTGGACGACTACGGCTGCCGCTTCGTTAGGAGAATATGGGACCCGTAGCGCAGCTCCGACTTCTGCGATTGCCTCGTCTCGGAACCCCAATGTTGCGTTTTCTAATGGTGGATACACGATTGCTCAGTTGTTGGAAGACATAAATGAGGTTGTGCCACTCGAGACGGAGCCCAGCGTCTTTGATCCGGAGTTCAGTGGCCAGTGGGGGTTGGAAGATTATGTAGTGGAGGTTTGTGGATCGGAATGTCTACATTTTATGGAAGTGGAGGGGTTACTTCGTGATGGCGATGAAGTTGTGTATGTCAGCCTCGGCTTTCTTCTTTCTATTGGGCTCTTTTGCTGACAATGTCCATAGCATCCGTGCTTTACAGCTTGCCGATCTGCGCGCAAGGCGGCTTTGTGGTCGTCATCAGATTGCTACAGATGGCAAACACCTTATCGATGGTGTTCCATTTGGATTGCCCTTTCTCAAGCGCGCAACCACTAGCCGACCCGCTATTACGATTCCTCCTCGAAAGAAACGCCGGACTGCATTCTCTTCTAGCTGGGACCAAGACCCGGGACATGCGTACGAAGCTTTGAATGAGGATGAGGAAGGCGACAGGGAGTGGCTACCACCAACTGACCCCGGATTCGGAAAGGAGCTCTCGATCCTGCCCGTGGAGCATGACATGTCTATGGGCACTGTAATCAGACACCCCATTGATCACTCGGCGGATGAGGACAGTGAGGATGTAGACGAATATGAACCTGAGGAAGATGAGCTCGAGAGTGAGCTCAAGGCCTTGAAGGAGGAATTTGAAGAGCCCGCTTCACAATTCGTTGATATTCGGAACCAAAGCCAACAAGTTGCTGATATTTCGACGGGACGTCCTACCTCTGCGGGTAACAGACCAGGTTCTGCGAGTACACTTCCGGGGGGATCTGTGGTGGGCGCTTCATCTTTGTCCAGTAAACGCTCGCGAGGTGACGAATCTTCACCTAGGGTTTCCAAGGCTGTGAGGTTTAATAGAGGAGACTTATTCCCAGAAGAGCCGCAACTCGCCCAAATCGGCAAAACTGAAGTCAAAGATAGTTTACCTGAATTATCCGACTCCGAATGTGGCTCCGACTCTGACAGCGACTCTGATTCTGATTCTGATTCTGATTCCGATTCCGATTCCGATTCTGATGAATCGCAAGAAGGCTCCACTGGATCAAACGCAGCATCTTCATCCGCAGAAGAACCTTCGGAGGATGAACAGTCAGATTCATCGAGCTCATCTTCGTCTGATTCTAGTTCCGATGACTCCTCGTCCGAGGACGAAAAGCCCGCCCCAAAAAAAGCACGAAGCTCCCTTATGGCACCTCCTGGTCAGGGTACCATACGGACCAAGAAAAGCAACAATCGATTCAAGCTTCGTCGCCGTCTTTCCAAGCTTAAAGAGGTTGGCGTGCTCCCTGCCGACGCAGACTTTTCTGTATTGCGCGCCTGGGAAGAGAAAAACGGAGGCTTCCACTTCCCTGAGGAGTCACACATCATGTCCCCTGCATTAAAGAAGGCGGAAAAGAAAGAGCTAGAACAGAAAGAATTTGAAGCCAAACGGCAGCAACTTCTACGAGACCTTGCAGCCTGCGGTGTTGATCTTGAAGGGACATCTGAAAAGGAAAATGTTCCCCCGCGCACTTCTACCGTCTCCGCACCTGCGGTCCCTGAACCTGCTGTTGAAGAGTCCAAAACCGAAACCCCTGAAACCGAACGCGCAAATCGCCGTACCTTGGATATCGCAAGTTCGCGACGACTGCTTTTCGGGTCTCTTGGAGTACGCACGCCAAAGACAAAAGAAGACGAAGAGAAGACCATGAGAAAGCTAGCGGCCCAAGCCAGCAAAGTTCACAAAAAGCGAGCTGAGAAAGTGCCCGTCGAAGAAGAATTGCCCGTCGAGGAGAGCGATGATGGTTCTAACTGGGAAGACAAACTCAATATCAAAGCTACAGAATGCGTATTTGAAGATATTCCCCTAACGGCACCACCGTTCCCCTTTAAGAACCGCTGGGATGCGGAAGCGAATGCGTTGATTCGGGAGCGGATGGGCTGGAACAAGAAGCGCAAACGCAAGCAAAGAGTCCAGGTCTACGAGGAAGCCGAGGAGTATGATGAGGGCCAGTATGGAGAAGAGGGCCAATATGGAGAAGAGGGCCAGTATGATGAGGCCCATTATGGAGACGAGCTCTACAATGCATACCAAGGAGCTGAAGGCTACGAGTACGGACAGGTTGCCTTCCACAACTATAACGAGCCCACCCCGTCTGTCAACAAGAAAAGACGTGGAGAAGAACCGATGGTCGATGATCTTCCTGTCTTTCCCACCGACTCAAGTTCTGTCCCGGAGTTGCTTGAGAGTGAAGCAAAACCTGGTGCTATCATCGCTTTTCGCCAACTAGATATGTCTAAGGCGACAAATTGGCAGCCCCGTATGTCCGAGTACAGAGTTGCCGAAGTTCAAAAGGTTGACAAGGATGCCATTCATGTTCGACTAGCAGTACGCGATCGGAGACCAAAGAAAAACCCTGAGGATGACGAAGGAGACGAACCCCGTCAGTACAGCGGCTTCGAGATGCCTGGATTTGATGACGATGAAGAGGATGACGACGGCTATCGCGAGCTTGTCTATGCGGAACTCAGCGATCCAAAGCTTCTAAAACCTGCGCCACGGACTGTAGACGATGACTCGGATGATGACTCGGATGATGAATCGGATGACTCCAGCGATGAATCCGGCAGTGAGAAGGAGAAAGATGAGGAGAAAGAGAAGGATAAAAATGTCGTGCAACAAGATAGCATGTCAGTAAATTGACCTCGGGTTTTGGTTGCCAATGCTTACTCGCTTCAAGTATCTCCGTAGTTGCGGATTCGATGCCGAACGCCCAGCTGGCCCCTCCCTTGGACGACATGGACCTTGATGAAACGACATTTGTCACTCTAGTCACCGCCAGCGAATCTCCGCAAAGGCTCTCCGACGTCACGTCTATTCACACTCCCGGCATCGTGCTGCGACGTGCAACTCTAGACCAAGGCATCGAAGATGAAACTAGTGACAGCCCTCCAGTACCGTCACCATCTTTCTCGGGATTTCATTCTGCGCGGTCATCTCCGGGCACGAGATTGCGTTTCGGCAATGAAGGCGAAGAGAGCAATCTCGATGGTCACACTCTTGTCGGCGAGGCGCAATCTATGCTCGACATCTCCAACCAGGAAATTTCGACGCTTTCCTTTTTATCCGCCAATGAAACCATGTCCCACGATCAATCTCACTCCGAGGAGCACGATCGCCAGGTTATTGAAGAGCCCCAAGTTCTTGGAGTCAACGGTTCTGGACCGGATTCCTTAATCTCACAGGTTCATAACCCAGCCGGTGCCAATTCGGATCAGTCTCACCCACCGCCTGTCCCTACGCGGGTTGCTGTTGAAGAAAGTTCCGACACACGAAGGGTTTCTCAATCATGGGAAGATATCCTGCGCACGCCTTCTCACGAAAACTCCGATCTGGAAGACGACGCAGAGCATGCGAAACACGACATAGAAGAAGATAAAGACAGTCTTCTTCATAGTAACCAAAGCCTCGATCCGTCTCCGAACCCATCCCCCCCTCCATCCAGCTCGCGATTCTCGGACAAACCCCCTCCGAGTGCCCAACCAGAACGTCGCTCCAAGAAGTCCAAGAAATCAAAGGCATCGTCCAAAACAAATACTGAATCTCCCGCATCATCCATCCGTTCCAAGTCCCGTGCTGTTCTTCCGTCCTCCGAGGTCCCTTCATCACAGATGTCTGAACTTGTGGACCTCACAAGCCCCGGTCCCATTGAGCCCACGGACGAGGCACCAAATGATGAACCCGAGGGGGTCTCGAAGCCCGCTGCTGACGATAGTACCCCTGTACGACAGATCAAAATGCAGCGCATGACCGAAGTCAGCGTCAGTCCCCAGGTCAGCCAGAAGAAGAACAAGAAGCGCTTGTCGCGCAAGTTTTGAGCTCTCTACCATTTTCTTCCTGATCTAGTCATGTGATTGGCTCAAGTCAACCCTTATTTCCCATTTTATGCAATTGATAACCATTCGCTGTATCTTATCAACAATTTTTGGCATTACGCCGCGCACAAATCTAATGGTTTCTTTCTTAATGCAAAGCATTACTATTTCCTAGTTCATGATGCCACCAAAATGACTAAATCTAATCCGTGGGTATGAAGGGGTGACTAAACCAGTTGAATGATTGGCTCGGGGTGATGTCACCCTACGTCTACTGCATCACCAGTTCATTTCAAGTTACTGGGTAAAGTATACCTGTACAACCAGTATTTAATCGCAATTACCTGCAGCAATTGATTCCATTATGTCTTCCCCTCTTCTCCTCCCCCGCTCCATGTTCCGCCCTTTGCCAATCAACTCAATATATTTACAAAGACTACACATAAGTTGTCTTGCCAGTAGCTATACTCAATCCATTCCATATCAAGCTCGATATAATCATTTCACATCACTATTTCGAACCTCAACCCCGCATTGTTCCCACCAATTTTCCATCCGCCCTTTCTCCTCGCTTAACACCAACATGGCTCAAGAATACAAACTTAAAGGCCTAGCCTCCTTTGGGGACTTGAAGACCACCGAAAAAATCGAAGTTGAGGTAGAAGGTGTGCCCGATGGAAAGATTTTGCTTGTCAATCTGGATGGCAAGATCCATGGGTTGAGTCCACGGTGTACTCATTATGGTGCACCGTTGAAGAATGGAGTTGTGGCGCCGGATGGGAGAATCACCTGCCCTTGGCATGGAGGTATGTTTAATACAAACTGGGCTTAACAAATTATTTTGTCGAAATGATACTAATGAGTAACAGCGTGCTTTAACGTCAGCACTGGAGATGTCGAAGATGCACCCGCTCTAAATGCCTTGCATAAATTCGACGTCTTCGAAAAGGACGGAGCAGTCTACGTCAGTGCTACAGAAGCCGATATTAAATCTGGACAGAGGAACCCAGTCGGTCGGTGCAGTGTATCCAACTCAGATGAGAAGATCGTCATTGTGGGAGGGTCAGTACATCCAAAATCTACATCGAGGTCCAACCCTTGGAATACTAAAAATGCGCAGTGGAAGCGGAACAATTGGCTTAGTCCAAGCTCTCCGCGAACGTAAATACCCAGGCCATATCACTATTATCTCCATGGAGCCAGAATATGTGATCGACCGCACGAAATTGTCCAAGGCGCTCATCCCAGACGCATCCAAGATTCTCTGGCGTCCATCTGAATGGTATGCTGAGGCAGGCATCGAGAAACTCGTCGACGAAGTCAAAGCCGTAGATTTTCCATCGAAGCGTCTCTCTACGGCATCAGGAAAGACTATCACTTATACGAAACTCGTCATAGCAACAGGAGGAATCCCGCGCTCACTTCCACTACCCGGCTTCAAGGACAATGAGCTGCGAAACATCTTCCCCCTGCGCACCGTCGCAGACGTCCAAGCCATCCTAGAAGCAACAGGCGACCAGAAGAAGCAGGTAGTGGTAATCGGCTCCTCATTCATCGGCATGGAAGTCGGAAACGCACTTGCCGGCAAAGAGCACAACGTCACAATCGTCGGAATGGAAAGCGTCCCACTAGAACGAGTAATGGGCGCCAAAGTCGGCCAGATCTTCCAGCGGAACCTCGAAAAGAGCGGAGTCTCATTCAAGCTCTCCGCCGGCGTGGAAAAGGCCACACCTTCCTCGTCAAAGCCTAACACCGTCGGCGCAGTCCATCTAAAAGACGGAACCGTCCTCCCAGCCGACCTAGTCATTCTCGGCGTTGGCGTCCGTCCCGCAACAGACTTCCTTCAAGACAACAGCTCAATCTCTCTCCAAAAGGACGGATCTATCGCTACAGATTCCAACTTCGTCGTTCCAGACCTCGATGAGTCTGTCTTCGCTATCGGCGACATAGCTACATACCCTTATAACGGTCCAGGTGGAGATGGAAAGCCCGTCCGAATTGAACACTGGAATGTAGCGCAGAATGCTGGGCGGGCTGTTGCGCGTGCGATTATTCATGCGAAACATTCGCCGATCTCTTCTCTCCCGCCTAAACCATTTATCCCGATCTTCTGGTCTGCGCTTGGGGCTCAGCTGCGGTACTGTGGAAATACGGTGAATGGGTACGATGATGTGGTTTTGAAGGGTGAGCCGGAGAATGGGAAGTTTGTCGCATACTATACTAGTGGGGATGTGGTTGTTGCTGTTGCTACTATGGGGACTGATCCTGTGATGAGTCAGTCGGCAGAGTTAATGAGGAGGGGGAAAATGCCTGGGAAGAAGGAAATTGTTGGGGGCTTGGATGTGTTACAGGTGAAATAGAGGATTAGGTTCTAAATTGATTGATATTGGAAGTCTTAATTATGACTGGAGGGTAGACCAAAGTTATGTATACGACTTCAAATAGCTTGGAATACCCTAATCAGTCTCCACGCAATGTCTTGGTAATGAAGCAAGTAATTGTATTTGGTATGATTAAACTTCCTAACTGTTACGATCCGATAGCTAGCTCTTCCGTCCATTATGCGCTTCTCTCTCCATGGCACTTATTATCAATTTCACACATTCTGACCTGGCTTGTCCGCTTTCTTGTTAAGCAAGGTAATCACGATTCACGCTTGCAAGCAAAAGTAGCTATTGACAACAATCGGCTCACTCGGCTTGAGCATTCTTGATCTCCTTCTGACGTTAAGTCCATGGAGGTATAACTGCCATAATCGCAGCGAAAGGATAAGCCTCGCTCAAGGAAGCCTCATTTCCATAAGTCAAGAAACCTATTGCAAGCTCTCGATGCTGCGGTCTGAAAAGCCATGTTATATATAGCCTTAGAGTAATTCTTTGTTTGCCAGCTTTCCTTGACGAGCTGGCACATGAAGTTAGTACCACTATTATATGGTCTTAGAATAGGTAATTGATACTCATTGTGGACAGTGACTCTTCTTCAAAATTGCTGGTATTAAAATACTCCTTCAAGTGGCTTCCTATGTGTACTTTTTTACCCACGCTCTGGTATATGAGATAGTCCTCTGTGTCTGAGGATGATGAGCTCCCCTCACTCGAATCCTCATCTTCTTCAATCAGCACGGGGAGGATTTCAGCCTTGATACCAAGCGATCCCAGGATACTGTAAACTGCGAAGTCTTTGCCTTTCAACCTCTGGGGAAGCAACCGTTGGGCGCTGTGTGATGTGTGTGGATAGGCATGAGAGCAAAATATCCCCAACACACCACCGGACGTCATGAACCCGGGCATCTCTAGGATATTTCTCAAATCTTCGTACAAGGGAAAAGCCTCTGGATTGATGAAAGGACTAGGAGATTCTGCCGTGAGTGGCTTCCTGATATCATTGATGAACAGATTGTAGGTCAAAGTGATGCGGTCGCCATGAGTAAAGGTCTTGATCTCGTGCTCACAATCACTGTAGAAAGCGGCCCACTGGATTGTATTTGCGCTGCGGCGTTCCCAATCAAAATCCATTTCTTTCCCTCCGTGCCGAATGATCAAGTTTCCGCCCTTAAATGGCGATGGCAGACACACAACTAGGGACCCGATTTGGTTTTCTGAACGTGGACTATCAACATGTTTCTGAAAGAGACCCGACGGGCCCGAGTAGACATTGAGCTTGTAGAGCTCAGCTTGAATGCGTCGAGGCGTGTAAGGATACTCATCCTGATCTGGAGCCAAAGGAGGAGCAAGGATCTGCTCAATTGTTTCAAGGAGACGAAAGTCTGCTAGATTGAAGCTCGTAATAAACTTACTAGGATCAAGCTTCCCAGCCCGGCGGTATTCAAGATCAAGGACATTTTCTTTCCCTCTGCCAAACCCAGCGGGCTCACAATCCGCAACTATCTGGGAAAGGCTGGTGCTACTTGGGTCTTCGAGGGGAAGAACAAGTTTCTTCGGGCTATCATCTGTCTTCCAGAAGCAAATAGTGACCGGATTGGACACCTTTCTGGTCTGACCTTCTAGGTTGGCTTCAGCTTTGACAGGAATATTACCCCCGCAGGCAAACTCAGGCGATCCCGTTATCTTTGCCAAGGGATTCTTCAAGTTCGCGACAAATTTTCCTGAACGCTGTCTTTGACAAGGATGAGCTGCCAGAGCTGGTTTTCCGTACCTTTCGCTTAGGCATGGTGAGTCACCGTGATTGTCAGTTGCAGGAATGTCTTTTTATGAATGATTATAAGAGGTCCAAGCAGATGCTTGAGCAAAAGAAAAGGTTGAAATACTTGAAAGGAAAGGTCGGGGGAAAGTATTTAAGCTCAAGATTATGAAAATGACCAGTCCAACTAGGGAATCGGCACCTGTTGAGCGGTCGAAAAAGCGACCAGCTGCCTGGAACTAGGCAGAAATGGTAGGATTAAACCTGGGACCAACTGCTATATGGAAAGCGCGCCGGACTTAGGATTGATATTTAATCTATGACCTCTTATTACTTTGGCCAAAGTACCATGGCAGCCTCCAACCTAGTCTCTACATTGGTCTTCCACTTTCTTTCCTACTATATTAGTGAAGCAGTCAGTGGACTCTCCAAAAGAATAAGTATTGATCTGGAATAAATGAAAAAGTTTTGCCAAAAAGTCTACAGTGTACCCAAGTAAGAGAGGGGTTCATCTCTTTGATACATTACTTATCCTTGGGAATCGTCCTTTTTGAGACTCCTTCGAATGCTCAACCAATATATTAGGAGAGAATCTACGAGATATTACAGAAGATCAAGTAATAAAAACCTAAGTAGGAGAGGAAGAGTAGGTGATCAGGGGTAGAGCACTCTAAATTACGTACTCAGAAGCTCTCAGGGTATAAGATAATTTAAGTTGATTTTCAATTCACATGTACACATTGCATAGCTATAATTCTTTTAACCGGAACGCCCACCGCGGATGTAAATGTCAAAATGTAGTAGAATATCAAAAACACCCAACAGAGACACTCTGTCGGCTCAAGTATACAGACCCTATTGCTCCTTCTTTGACTTCTTCTCTTTCTTTTCCTTCTTCTCTTTCTTCTCCTTCTTTTCTTTCTTCTCCTTCTTCTCCTTTTTCTCGGTCTTTTGGCTCGGCTCCAACTCAACATCAACCACCTGCACCGACTCGGCCGGCGGTGACACCGAGATAGGAATCACCCGGTTCGACTTCTTGTCTGATGAGCCAGAGAAGAAAGCCATAGGAACAGATTGACCCTGGTGCTCCGATTGAGCGAGCTTCTCCTCCTCAACAGAGTCCAACATCGTACCCTCAATACTCAAGAACCCACGCTCCCGCTCCGAACCGGGAATGACGTCGACATCGACAACGCGGAATCGCACATTCCCGCGTACCCTGTGCCCAGACACAGACTGGAAGTGGCCAGAAGCAGCCTCCTCCTCTTCCTCATCAGCACCGATGTCAAGCTCGTCCGCAGCCAGCGCGGCGGGCTGGAAGTGTTCCTTCTCCGCGTCGAAAAAGGCCTTCTCGTTAGATCCTGATTCCTCATCCGTAGTCGCATCGTTGACAGTTCCACTGGTGCTGTCTTCAGTGTTCTCGCCCTCCTCACCTGGTGGTACCCAGGTCCAGTTTGTGGGGAGTCGCTTGCGCTCAATGCCGACGGAGAACAGGTTAAAGACAACGGCTCCGAGGAAGCCCTCCGATTGAACGTTCACCCAACCGTCCAGGGTCTGTCCGCGCTTGGGACGGAAGACGAGGAAGGTCGCTGTCAGGTAGACGTAGAGAACACCGTACTCGTCGGCAGTCTTGGCGAGAGTCAACTGTGCCGGGTTGTGGTCCGTGGACTGCTTCGGTGTCGATGAAGGTGGGAAGCTGGAGATCGAGGCGTTCGAGTAGGCCATAACCACACCCTTAAGCGGTGGGTAGTAGGTCAAGAGCAGCGGGGCGAGGTGCTCCGCCTGCAGCGAGGCCAGCGCATGGGTAGGCGAGATAGAGATAGGAGCCAAAGGCAGGTAGAGGGTAGCCTTTGTGAGCGAGAAGGGGGACTCGGGGTTAGGGTCGGAGTTTTCTGTAGCGGCCTTCTTGCTTTTAGATTTGGAGTCGGATTTGCGCTTTTTCGTTGGAGACGAAGCTTCCTGCTTTTTGTGCTTGCGCTTGCGCTCAACCTCTGTGGCAATCGCTGGGGAGCTGTCGATATCCATTGCGTCAGCCATTATGGGCGCAATTGAGCTGCTCCGGCGAGCTGTGGGGAGTGATCGGGGTCGGTCTTTTTTTTTTGATATAAGAAACTTTTTTTTCATCTTGCATTTTGCTGATGAGAGAGGAAGGCGGTGGATCCGGGCGGTGACGAGAAGTAGACAAGTTACGCGCGAACCAGCATAGGTGGAACTTCAACAGTTTAACTCCAGTCAACCTTGTGCTCGAAAATTTGGTTGTCTGGAATGTGCTGGATTGGAGATTGATTTTCTTTAACTAGATCCGTCATGGCATCATTACTCCCCTTTATTGGGTGGGCCATTCTCCCAAATGTATGTGGATACTTTCAAACAGATGCGGAGAATACACATCTCCGCTGCCTTTTGATAAGCCCCTCTAACAGATACATAGTACGCAACAAACATCCTGCAAACCGTCTACTATGGCATCACCATTCGAGCAGGCGAACCTCGCCCCATGCCCCAAACCCCGCGGTATGAGCGTCATCGCCGTCGGATCTTCATCTTCGTGATCGTCACCTACCTTCTCTACACCCTTTACGAGACCTTCCACCAGGTCCAATTAGCAGGGGACTATTACCAGGTCCTAGGCGTATCCCCCTTCGCCGATGAGCGCATAATCAAGTCCCGGTTCCGCCGGCTCGCAGCGCAGCACCACCCAGATAAATCCGGCATGGAGGCCGGATCAGACGCCTACTTCATGTTCCTGCGCCGAGCTCAGGAGACCCTCGTGGACCCCATGAAGCGCTTCGCATACGACCGCTTCGGTCCCGACATGCATGGCTGGGGAGACCAGAAAACAATGCGCGACTTCGTGATGCACTCTTTAGTCAAGTCCGTCCTACCCCAATATGTGGGCGGATTCATGACGATGATAGTATTGAACTGGCTCTGGTGGCCGAATTGGGGTCGCTACGTAAGTAAGCCCACATCACTGTTAAGTGCAATATCTAATTGCTGTTCCAAGTGGCGTTTCTATACCTTTGCCGCACTGCTCACCCTCGAACTTACCATGATCACCCAAAACCAAACTGTCTTCATGCCAACAACCTACCTCCCTGATATGATCCAATCCCTTCTCCCCGAAAACACCTTCTACCTTCTCCCATTCCAGATCCTCACACTTGCCCGACGCGCGTCTATCACCCTCCACATCTTCATTTCCCAGGCCGCTCCGCCGGGCAGTAAGAATGCCGAAAGTGGTGGTGACAAGATCTCCCCGCAAACCATGCAGCGAATGGGTCAACTTGTGACAGCGACTAGGGCGGCGGATGCCGAGGCCACTCGTCTGCTACAGCTGGGATTGGCGCCGTATCGCGGGGATCGGGAGAGTGTGTCTGCGTTGAGGAGGGGTATGAAAGAAGGGTTGATTCTTGGGGGTGTTAGGTCTGGTCCTGAAGTCCAGCGTGCTGTCGCGCAGGTCGTAGAACGACGAAAGGCGGAGGGGACGACCGAGTAAATATTCAAATAATGTATTACATATTTTTGTTAGAGGTATACTAAAATCATATAAAGACTATGCACATGTTATTCCTATCTTATCCTACGTAGGGTCGGCGGGTTGGACAACATCCATGGACATGAATTGAATTGTAAAGGCCATGAAATTACTACCTGACACGGTACATGAATGAGACAGTTGGGTAGAGAAATTGTTGCCCTAGAGGATCCCGGTTTTTTAGTCCTGCTCCCGATAATGGTGGGCACAATGGTCTTGTGACACTCGTTTCCCGGTCTAAAGTATAGGGTATTTATTCCTGCCCAGCTGTCTACCATTCGATATTATTGGGTTACTAAAGATATATAGCCGGTTACAATGGGAGTTTTGGACATTCATTCGGTAAGGCAACTTAGTGAATACTTGTTGAAATATACATGCGATACCTGAATCGAAAAAGTCCGAATGCCTAGTAGAAATTAGAATCAATACTAATGATATAATCTTTAATCCATAAGCTATCATCCTACATCTTACATGTCTACCCCATCCATGCACATGTGGATGGAACCCGTTTAATGCATGGATTACGTCTGCACATGTGGGAAGTCTGCATGATTAAAACATTCATTGTGTTCATTTGTACTCTATAACCTGTTTTTTTCCATTAAACTCCAATGTAATCAGTGATCAATCCCCTATTGCTTTCTTCCAATGCTGCGTTGACCGGCATTAACAGCCGCAGTAACCTCATCCAGACATCCAGCAGCGGCAGCGAAGAAACCCAGGAAAGCCTTGCTGGGGCTCAACACACGGCTGAGGTACTCGGGGTGGAACTGGACACCGACGAACCAGGGGTGATCCTTGATCTCGACGATCTCCATACGCTCACCCATAATGTCCTTTCCAATGAACGAGAGACCGGCCTTCTCGATCTGGTCGATCATGGCCGGGTTCACCTCGTAACGGTGACGGTGACGCTCTTCCACTTGAGTGGTGGTGGGTCCGTACATGGCCCGCAGACGGGACCACTCGGTTCCCTCCTGGAAGATACAAGGGTGCTTGCCCAGACGCATGGTGCCTCCGAGCTTATCCTTGTCGACCTCGGGCATGTACACGATAGCGTGGTTCTTGGCGTTGGGGTGGAGCTCCTCGCTGCCAACATCCTCAATGCCCGCAACGTTGCGGCAGTACTCGAGAACAGCCAGCTGCATACCGAGACAAACACCGAGGAAGGGCTTCTTCTGGGTACGAGCCCAGGTGATCGCCTTGATCTTACCCTCGGTGGCTCGGTTGCCGAATCCGCCTGTCACGAGGACACCGTCGGCGGTGCAGACGGCGTGCCACGCCTTGTGGTACTCGGCCGGCGAGTTGGTTTCCTCCTCAAGGTGCGAGGCGTCGACCCAGACGATCTCGACCTTCTTGTGGCAGTACATAGCGGCGTGCTCGAGCGCCTTGGACACACTGATGTAGGCGTCGTGGAGCGTGATGTATTTGCCGACCAGCGCAATGGAGACAGTATCGTGGACGAATTCCTGGCCACGGGCGAGCTCGCACCAGTCTTCCCACATGCGCTTGCCAGACTCAATGCGGTCAGCAGGGGCTGGGGGAAGAGAGGTCTGGAGGCTAAGGAGGTTGCTGATGGTGCCAACCAGGTTCTGCTTCTCCAGAAGCATAGGCACGTGGTATGTAGTGGTGACGTTGTGCACACCCAGAACCTGGTGGGGTTCCATGGAGCACATGTTGGCGATCTTCTGGATCGTGGAAGCCTCCAGGGGCAGTTCACAACGGCAGGCAATCAGATCGGGGTTCAAGCCGGCGCTGCGCACATCACTCATGGCACGCTGGGTGGGCTTAGTCTTCTGCTCACCACCAGGACCCGGAGGAATCACGGGCACGTAGGAAACGTGGATCTGGACAAAGTTGCCCTTGCCAGCGCGACGTTGGAGCTGACTCAGAGCGTGGATGAAGGGGGCACTCTCGATATCTCCAACGGTACCACCGAGCTCAATGATGCAGACATCTGGCTCCGCCCCAGACTCGTCAACGGGGATGCGGGCCACACGCTCAATCCAGTCCTGAATGGCATCGGTAACGTGGGGCACGACCTGCACGGTCTTACCAAGGTAGTGGCCAATCCGCTCACGGTTAATGACGTGCTGGTAGATTTTACCGGTGGTGATATTGTGATCGCGGGTCAGGGTGGTGAGGAGGTAACGCTCGTAGTTGCCCAGGTCGAGGTCCATTTCGCCGCCGTCATCTGTGACATAGACCTCACCGTGTCTGTAGAATTACACCGGTGAGTCAACGGGTTCAATCGAGACGTGGGATCGCAGATACTGACTCGGTGGGGGCCATAGTACCCGCATCGATGTTGATGTAGGGGTCGATCTTGATACTGGTGACCGCCAAACCAGTCGTCTTGAGAAGCAGGCCAGTGCTAGAGGCAATAATGCCTTTGCCCACGCCGGAGATAACACCTGCACGAGGGGCGATGAATTAGCTTAATGTTTCCCAATGGATAGTTTTTTTTATTTTTTTGAATGATTGGAACATGACAATCTTACCTCCAGAAACCAAAACGTACTTCATCTTGCCGGCAAGCAGAGCAAAGCAGAATGGACCAGTGCGCGAAGAACTGGGCGACACGGCAAAAAAGCAGAAAGAAAATGGAGATTTGCGCCGCGGTGAAAATCGCCACGCTAAGCCTAATTGGGTGACCACGTGACCTCATCGAATCTGCAGAAGTATAAAATATTTGAGTTGATCATCATAAGTCTATATTAGATTTCTTGAATTTATTCGAAAACTTCCATCCTGTCCCTATAATACCCGTGAATATAAGGGACCATTTACTGTGGTGAATAAGGAGGTTGATAATGACGTAGATAGGGGTGATCTACATCTGTACTTTCTAACGGTCGATCTAAGTGCTAGTATGTATAGATGACTAGAACTCGTGATAGGACAAAACCATCCACTAAGAAATTCTGATAGGGTGGTGGACTCAAGGCCAAGACAAAAGTACTGTGCAATGAATCTGACCACTTTTGGTCTTAACCCCGTGTGCAATTTCTCGGGACGCAGCGGGTACAGTCGACTTTTTTAGACTGGAATGAGATCCATCGACCGAGTTAGGGTTGGCAAAACTTGGGATTCGGAATGCTCTGGGCCGAAGATTGTACGCCCCGAAAACAATGAATGATGGGAATGATCAAGAGTTTGATCTATACAATATATGCGATCTAAATTTCTGTCGTACTAAATTGTATATAAGAAATCAAACAAGAAAATTATATAATACATCTTGGTTACAGAATCTTTGGATGCAGATCGGGTCCAAAAGTGGTAACATTGGTAATCGTATTGTAACACTACCATAAATTCCGGGATTGATCCATGTGTAATTTGGTCACACGGTGTACCATTTGGACGCGAGGCCCTCACCTCTTTTCCCCCCTGTGTCTCTTCTACGGCTGCGACGAACCTTTTTTTGATTTGGGCCTTTAGAGAAATTAAACGAGATGAAATCCACTCGCCTCAACATCCCTTCTTTTCCTTTCCCCCGCCCCTCCCATCTAATAACCTCCTCTTCACTTCCCCTCCTTGATCTTACTATCATCCCATTTCTATTCACCCTCGACACTTTTGCCTCATATTGAAGGAGTAATTTATTTCCCCCAAATCCTTCATCTTCCGGGCGGTGGAAACACCCACGTCACAATCACCGCCCCTACCAACCTCCTTACCACCCCCAATCTATTCAAGTAAGAGGTCAACACCCCGACTCCTCATCACCAACCATCATGGCTCCCGCTGGCTCTACTACCAACGGTCGCTCCAATCGCGCCAGCACCTCTAAGATCACCCCCAACTCCTTAGTGGTGACTTTGAAACTGTCTCCAGAGGCTCTCCAGCAAGTTCTAGGAGAGACCTTCGACAGCCACTCCCCCAAAGCCAACCTTCTCAAGGGCGAACGCTCCTCACCGGCCTCCTCCGAAGCCCCTGCTGTCCGTCCCTCATCTGCCGGCAATGGATCTGATGCCGACGCAGCTTCAACACCCGCCGGAGAAACTCCAGGGGACACCCCGCGCCGGAAGGGAGTCCCAGGTCCTAAGCCGGGCAACAAACGGACAAATGGACAGGCCGATGCCGCGTCGCGTTCACGAGGCAGACCAGGACCGAAAAAGAAACCCCGAGTGTAGGTTTGAACCTCCGAGTGATTGACTATCAACATACTAATCCATTGTTCTTATAGTGAGGAAGGCGGCGACGCTAGCAAACCGGCAGCCAACCACCGTATCGGACCGAAGGCCAACACCGGCGCCATCAATGCTGGCCTACGTGCTCTCGACCGTACCGGCGCTCCATGTCGCAAATGGGACCGACAGCCGTTGAAACTACGCAGTTTCACCGGAGTTGCCTGGCAGCTGCCTGCCTGGCATACCTTCAGATCATCACACATGGACTCCGACTCGAACAAGGATGGTATTCTCGAGAGCGGAGACAGTGACTCCAAACCCTCCTTAGCCGTCCCAGGCCCTGATACCCTCAATGGTAGCAGTGCGGTACCAAGTGAAAAGAGTGCTGGTGACGATGTCACTCCTGCTCCGTCCAATCTGGTTGAGCCCTCGTCGCCGGCGATTGCCATGACCGCATGATCCCGGAGCTGTATATTAAACTCCTCTTCTTTTCCTCCCTTTTTTCCTTATCTCTATTTATTTCCTCTACGATCATGTTTCGGTTCGGTTTCAGGTTCGGCGTCTTGTGGGTTATTGGCTTTGCTTTGTTTTATTTATGGGCAAAGGGTCGCATGTTGCGTCACTCCGGGAAAGGTTGGGTCTTTGGGTTTATCTGGCTTCTATTTTGTATCATACATTATCAGGGTGATTTTTCTTTTGGTTCTTACTTTCTGCTTTCCAAGAACTGAGTGAGAGAAGTGCTAATTTTGGGTTGATCATTTGGGGAATGAGACCATAGCGCTAGGATTCTTCCTAATAAAAGTCCAAGTCTGCTTTGACCTATTGGTTAATATGGCTCTTATCTCTAGTAAATCCAGTTGTGTAGGGTAGTCTATGGGTCCAAAAATTTATAGGTAGTTTATCAGTTGACGGAGTTTTGAAATACCGTATAGTTCCGTGACCCTTTACCTGGTTAGGATGTATAAGTACTATAGTAAGCTGTACGGAAAAGCAAGACAATAAAACCTGGACTAGCAATCTATATCTTTTGAATAAATCAAGGGTACATTTGCATGGAAAGGGCCTCGTGACAGTTGGGCATTTCCAATCACCAATCACTCCCCTCTTTTCCCTTTAAAAAACATCCCGGATCTTCCCCGCAATTCCCGATGAGTTGTTTGATATCTTGTCCTTCCTTAATCTATTCTGAACTTACGATTTCAGACTAGTTTTTACTCGACTGGTTTGATTCCACATTACTGTGTCGCGGCCTTGTCGCTGCTTCCGGTCACCCAGATGACCCGCTGGTCACGCAACAGTCAGCAAGAGATCTCTTAGCGTGACGCTCGGCAAGAGTGAAAGAGAGGAGGGGCAGGAGAAAACCATAGCATTCACAAATCAGCACAGCCGAAAAGAAAGAAACTATTCGCAGGTCGGTAAAGAGAGACACGAGAGAAACATAGCGCCGCCCCGTCATCCATTCGGGGTGACCCGCACACCCACCATGGCTGATGTTCCTTTCCCCGGTGGAGCTCGAGGAGCTCCAGGATACGGCATCGGCCAACGTCGCTCTTCCTACGCCTCCGTCGTGTCCGGCAACGCATTCTCTCCCCCGATTTCCAGCTCATTTTCTCATTTGCTGAACTCCAACCCCATCTCCTCTTATCCCCCACCCTCTCCGTCTGAGGGCCACCTCCATCGGGCCTTGTCCGGCTTGAATGCCGCAGATATGCATCTCAACCCGGCCTCTAGGTCCGCTTCCTCTTTGGACTCTCTCCCTGCCTACTCCCGCAAGTATGCCGGTATTCCGCGCTCGACAGATTTTCCGCACAGCCTGGCTTTGACCGATACCCCGTCGTTCTTGACTCCTTCCTACCTACGTGACTCTCCATACATCTCTCGCCTCGAGGCCGCCCACCGAGCCAAGTTGGCCACCCAGCAGCGTGATAATTCTTCATCAAATCCCGCCTCAAACCCTCCCCTTTCAACATCATCCAGCCATGTCCACCTTCACCGCATGGCGCCGTCCCACCGCGGTATGACGTATGATCTCATCGAGAAAGAACCCCCGACGGTTGCCGATAACACCATTAATCCCCTTCCCACCCAGTGGAGCTCAGTGGACAAATATACCGGTCTAGAACTATCAAGTGATGGCTTTGAGGTCCGATACGGTGGCCCTGTGCACAAACACGATCACGAGGCAGCTGCGTTGCGGGCGGACAACCCCATGCCGCCACAGTGCGGGATCTACTATTTCGAGATAAAGATTGAATCCAAGCCGAAGGAAGGGTGGGTACTTCAAGGTCTTGGGAGGATTTCCAAGGTATACTCGTATCAGTGCTAATGGTATTCATTCATTGCAGCATGATTGGAATCGGTTTCTCCAGCACAAAGGCTTCCGTTGAGAGACTCCCAGGTTGGGAGCAGGAATCTTGGGCATACCACGGAGATGACGGAAAGTCATTTTACGGCGAAAGCCAAGGCCAAGGCAAGCCTTATGGACCAACCTTTGGAGTTGGAGATATCGTCGGATGTGGTGTCAACTTCTCCACTGGTCAAGCCTTCTTCACCAAGAATGGCGCCTTTCTAGGTATGTGGGATGGAAATAGGGCCGAAGACTAAACTAACAGCCTCCAGGATATGCATTTCGTGAATTGCGCAACGTCAAACTATATCCATCTGTCGGGATGAAGAAACAACCCCCAGTGCACTTAAAGGCGAATTTCGGCCAGGAGCCATTCGTATACGATATTGACGGCATGGTTCGGGTATGTCAGCTTTATTCCTGAACCTTGCAATTGACTAACGTCGAGCAGCACGAGAAAGTCGCCATCGAATCTCAGATTAGCATGACAAGCACAGACAGCTTACAGCCGCCTCTAGATGAATCAGCGTTGCTTCAGGAGTTGGTTGCTCAGTTTTTGGCCCACGATGGCTATGTAGAGACTGCGCGAGCATTTGCTGAAGAGGTTGCCACTGAAACAGCAGCTCTGCAGAATGGACATGACGCCCCTTTGAAGAAATACGAAGTTGAGGAAGATCACGAAGCCATTAATCGAAACAGTAAGTCGATATCACACTTGGACAGATGCTGGAACAAGAATCTAATGACAACAGGAATCCGTGCTGCTATCCTCGATGGCGATATTGACAAAGCCCTTAAGCATACGAATGCCTATTACGCCAGCGTTCTAGAAGACCACCCCCATATTCTTTTCAAGCTCCGGTGCCGCAAACTACTGGAAATGATGCGCCAAGATTATGAGGAGGCAAAACATGGCTACTCAGTATCGTCAGGGGCTCAAAATGCCGTTTTCGATCAGGAGATGGAACTCGATGATGGAAATTGGGATGCAGACGGGATGGATACTGAAGAGGCTGGGCCTCCCGAGCCTGAGTCAACGCCGCAAGTACCCTCTGGTATTTCGACCCAAGCCATCTTGTATGGCCGGCAACTGAGTCTGGACTACCCATCCAATGAAAATGGTGGGGACCTGAATATGCTTAAGCAAATTGGGTCACTACTAGCGTACACGGACTTCAACTCTCCAAATGGATATTTACTAGATCCTTCTGAGCGAGTGGCTGTGGCGGAGGAACTGAACTCGGCCATTTTAGGTAGGCCTCTCAACGTGATAATCATGAAAAGTGCTAACATGTCCAGTGTCCCTGGGGAAATCATCATCCGCAGCTCTAGAGAGGCTATACCAGCAAACAGAGGTCCTAGTTAACGAGATCAGTGAAGACGGCGGCGCTGGGGCGTTCATCAATGTTCGGAATTACATCAACGATCGGAATGACGGTTTGCTTTGAATCGGCGCTGGGTTTCATATTTTCTTGTCACTTCTTTCTCACGTCCTTGAGTCTTAGACCATATTCAAGACCAAGTGTTCGGGTCTGCTTTAGTCTCTCTACTCTGATCTGGGTTGGATCGGTCTGGATTCCATTCGTGTGCAATTCTTTCGTCTATCACAATAGCCAGAATGTTTGAATGATTTCCTCCCTGGCTTTCTTTTTTTCACTTCAAAGCAAATGTTCTGTCTCGTGTTCTCCTTGATATCTTCCGGTCATAAATGATGCAGTGCTAGCTATCGCATAATCTGCACAACTGCATATGCTGGAGATAGGACGGATATGGAATGGAATGGGATCTTCGCTAATACAAACCTATCAACAGAGTTGAATGTTTACTTATCGTAGTGATGGTCCGCATCTTCCATTAAATCGCTCTTCCAGTGCCCACATTATACCAGTAATGGCTTCGAATTTACGACGGGAGGGCCTAAGACGTGCACCAATTAGGTCATCTGAGCTGATCTTCGATTGCCCTTGAAAATTATTATGTATTCGTACTCTGTACATATACTTACTGTTGTAGGCAAATTATAGTTTCTATCTTGCATAGGAGTTGTCAAATATCAGATCCCGATATATATTCATGCAAGGGCTATGTGTCATGAAAGTGGAATGTAGGTACACATACAAAAATGGACACCTCCCAGTAAATGGCTTCCTAAATCTAATGAGCCCCCTGAATATCCCTCCCTCACATATATAACCAAATAAACCCTCAAGTAACATCGTAATTCCATTTTAGTGAATTGTCACCGTGGCTTATACCCAATTACCTAATCACATCACCTTACATCAGCTGTTCGCCTGATTTCTCCGCTTTTTTGCGCCAGCTGTGATTAGGTACCTGACCCTGCATCACTGCACAAAGAACGCTGTGCACTGTGATAGCTCTCATTTCGAGGCCCAAGGGAATCGGATGTTCAGTTCGTCTAACTGTTGCTCCTTCAAGGGGTAACATTCCCGTATCCATGGATTCCCTCCCGCATAGCTCGGACGGGAACCATTATCCCAGCATTCCGACTCATTCCCGCGCGCCAACTTCCCTGCGCTGCTGCTGTGGTCGTGATGACTGTGCTCTACTCGAACACAATAATCTCGCTCTCGAGGGTTTGGAAAAGGATCTGGAGACCGCTGCAAAATTAGGCCAGGTAAGTTGCTTTTTATGTTTCTTATACGTTCGCTGCGATCTTCGTCACACCGCTGTGGGGCTTGGTGGTTTGCATGGCTAGCTGAGCCTGCATGATTGATCGATAGATCATTTGGATGTTGTCATTCCGGAGGTTTTCTGGCTTGTGGCTTTTCTGAAGAATTTCCTGTTCCTGTTTCCCTTTCATCCACTCTCCCCGCAACTTAATCTATACGAGAGAAAGTTTCCTGCCTTTGTGTACTCCACTCGTCTTGCCTATGGACTCCCTCAAATTGAGGTCTCCTGTCCTCTCTCTTTGCGTTGGCGTCCGTCATGACCACCCTTCATTTCCACGACCCTCTTGTTCCTGCAGACTGTCAAGCGTCGTCGTCGCTGACTTTTGCTCTACAGGCCCTGCTTTATCGGCATGAAAGCTACATAGCTGAGGCGGAAGAAGACCGCCAGCGCTTGCTTGAGAATGTTGATTCACTTGAGCTCGAAAAGCGTCAGATCAAAGCCGAGAACGCACGTGTCATTGAAGAAAACCGTTGTCTTCTCGAACAGCTTGATGGGTTAAACCAAGCTGCCGTCGAGTCAGACGACCAAATTAAGTCGTTGAGTCTCACTTTGGAAAGGACAGAGGCGGAAGTACGCAGATTGACAGTGGCTGCTTCGCGTGCTGAAGAACTCGAGATGCAATTGGCCATCATTGAGACCGAACAGTTGAAGTTACAGGACAGCCTGACGACTGCTCAAGAAGACGAGAGATCTGCTGTACAGCGTTGGCGTAATGCCGAACATACACTCCGGGCTCTCAATGACCAGGTTGAGCGCATTGAGACGGAAGCTCGCGAGGAACGCGAGCGACATGAGGAAATTATTCAGCGAATGGAGCGCAAGCGGAACGTGGAACGTGAGTTGGAAAACGCTGCTGTTCGATTAAAAGGCGCAGCGGCAGCTTCTGAGCTCGGCCGCAATCCTGGTACACCTGTGGTCTCACGCTTTGTGAAGGATATCTTAGAAGACAATGCGCATCTGCAGGTCGGCATCATTGAGTTGCGTGAAATGCTTGAGAGCTCCAACCAAGAAGTGCAGAATCTACGAGATCAAGTCCTATATCATCAGCCGCTTGACGGCGTAGATGAAGAGGATGGTGAATCTACTCCGGTTGCAACACTATCTGATGAATTGGACGCAAAGGAACGTCGTGTCTCACAAGAATTCCACGTCCATCATCATTATCACACCCCAACGACGACGCGCAAGGATAAGGGTTCTCTGAATCGTCGTGTCAAGAAGAAACGTCCCTCCCTGGGAAGCCCTGGTCCGATGCATTCTGCCATGACCAATTCCCCTCGACGGTCTATCCATCGCTCCCAGTCATCAGGCTCATCTTTGAACACCATTTTGTCACAAACGTCCGTCTCAATTCCACCTTCCACACGCCGATGGTCCCTACAGTCACCAGCGGCAGATTCATTGGCTAGCTCTCCGCGGTCTGCGTTCCGTACTTCCTCCATCTTTGATCGGACCGATCGTGGTTATGATTTCTCTCAAGCTACCAGCCCCGATAGCACCGTTTTCTCTTCTCCTCTCATCGATGCACATAATACCAAGGGCTTTGACTTGACTAACAGACCAATGGATGGGTTTGACCATTTCGATCAAACGCCCATGGACCCCCATCTATTCTCTGAGAATCACTACGACCAACCTGGGTTCTTAGACCTCTGCGAAGGCGTCAAATCTCACCCCGCTATTCCAGAAGAGTCAGAACCTTCACCCCCTGCGCGATACTCCGAATCCAAAAACGACCCACACACCGCAGAGGATATCACGGGGCTACACATATCATACACACCGTCCTTACGCAGGTCGGCATCCCACGACAGCCTACTCTCTGTAGCCGGCATGGACATCCACACCTCAATCAACCGCCAGGCTCGCATGGGCGACTGGCACACTGGCTTACGAATCCCCCAACGCCTCATGTCTCCTAGTGTTGAGCTGGTTTCCACTCCCCCAATTATCTCCGCCCCCACGGTCATGGTCGATCGAGTCAAGGGCCAGCTTTCATCCCGCTCTCTGCTTGCCTCCATGGCCGCAAGTGCAGGGAACCTTCCATCGGATTCTGCATCAGCGGTATCGGCAGATAGTTCCAGCACTACCTCAACAACAACACCTACCTCTCGGAAGTCCTCCGCATTGGGTCGCTGGGTTATGGGTCGGTGGGGTGTATCTGCAGTACCAGAGAGAGATCCCCAGAGCGAAGACCGCATTGCCGCAATTGAGTCGGCTTTGGTTCCAGAACCTCCAAAGCCAGAGTCGGAGTCAACGCCTTCGGTGCCGCCTAAGGCCACAGCTCCAGAACCTGCACCGACTTTCCGCTTCAGGCACCCGGGCGTGAACCAAAAGGGACCAATATTGGGTCTTCGTCCTCCGCTTCCGGCTCCGGTCACTCTACATGCACAAGACATTGATGAGAATCTCTTGCGCGAAAGCCTTGCTGAGAACGGCGAGAGTGCGTGATTCTCGACGGACATATTTCTTCTTATACATCTCCCGCCCCTCCTTTACTATTTCCTACTCACCTATTGACCTACCTCTCCATATCTTCCACCTCCCTACCTTTCCCTACTGCTTTACTTTTCCTCATAGCATTTTCAGCATTGCATTTGGGTTGGCTGTCTGCTAGTTTTGCATTGCGTGGTATATCCAGTCTTTGACTTTGATTTTGGCGTTTTCACGGCGCCTGGACTGTGTTGTTGTCGACGATACCCTGAAGACTTTCCTTTTACCTTTTTCTTTGTCCGCCCGGGTGGCTTGGATCGTGATCTTCCACCGGTTAGAGTACTTGAGCTATTCTGTTTCCAGTCATGAATATAGAACGTTGATTCATATTTTGATCCAATAAAGCCAAATGCAGGTAACCTGATGGGTATCTAATAAAACAAGCTCATGGTCTCATAGCATGGCTATGCCGGTAAAACACGATATGTTTGAACCGGGATGTCGGTTGTATGGAAAAATCCAGTCTGTTGATCAGCCGGGGTAGATTCGAACGGTAAACGTTCAACCTTATAACCATAAGAATCTGTTCTCGTCAGCGTCTGTTCTTACAACTTCAGCGACGCAACTCACCACACTCAGTTAAGAATGCCTGAAATGTAGCCTCATTCCTTAAAGCCACACCAGTAACAAAATGACCAACACCATAATTCTCGAAGAGATCCCGCAGCGTCACAAGAAGCGGTGGAACAATATCCGCATCATAAACCTATCATATAAGCACCCATCCATTCACCAAGAAAAAGAAGACGTACCAAATCCGCTCCAAGAGCAATATCAAACTCCAATTCACCCTCTTCCACCCCCTCCACCCCCTCCAACGGCGTCCCCCAATCCCACAGAGCAGGATACATAGAAATATCCCTCCCCTCCGCCACCGAGTTCAGCCGCACACACTCCCTCATATTCGCAACCAACCCCGGCTCCCGATCCGTCGCCACAACGCTCCTTACACCAAGATGTCGCGCACAAAGCAACGACAAGAACCCCGTCCCTGCACCGAGCTCAATAACCTTCTTCCCCTGCACGATAGTCTGACCTTCAGCCGAAGCAAGGAAAGAGCCCAAATGAAGCGCTGCTTCCCATGTTCTGTTACCGGTCGTTCCGCCCGAGAGGATCAGGCCGCGGTTCTCAACGGTTATGACAGTTCGGTCGGGGATGTGTGGTTGGCGGGGAGCGGTGTATTTTACATTTGAGAGTTCTGTTGCGATGTCCATGGGGCTGGGTTTTGGTTGGGCGAGGAGATTTCCCCAGGCTGTCATTAGGTCGTCGAGGATTTCCTGGGGATGTTAGTTAGTATATGACGTGGAGCGGGGAATGATGGGAAGTATTTTTCGGTGTTCAATCATTCAAACCAAGAGGAGATCACATGGTTGAAGAAATGGAAGGAAAGGGAAGGGGAATATACATCTTCTTCGGGGTTTGTAAGGGCGCCTTCGATGCGCGCAATCAGTAACTTCAAGATGCGCGCCCGGTATGTTGCTGGTGGTAGTGGGGTCAAGGATTCGTCGAACATGTGCTGGTATAGGGCTGCCTGGACTTCGGGACGGATGAGGACATTGTCTGGTGGAAGGTCGAGACTTGGAGGATCAACCAGTTGGAAATATTGAGCAGTGGGAAGATGAATTATGTCCATGGTTGTAGAAAGATGGAGATATTTGGTGGCTGAGAACCAATGTGTCTGCAGTGACGCCCGCGTTACTGGATTGGGTTTAGCGGGTAGAATGGGGAACTATAGATCGAGCGGATGTTAAATGGACCACGAGGAATGAGGAATCTTCAATATAGTTGTTCGGAGGTTGAATAGACTGAAGATTCTTAAGATTTTAATGTTGACTCATTGAGGAAATATTCATATGAAGAGCGTGGGTTAGGGACCGTAGAGTTGAATGAACTGATTTTTCTATGATATAATGTCATCGAGTCCTCTTTTAATAGTGGAGACACTTGAGATCAATCTCTGATTTGTTGAATGCTCAGGTACCATTCACTGATTGGCTCATAAGTAGATCCGCATTTAATGTGGGGTGCAAGTAACTTGGATAAGGTGGAATGGGAAGAGTCACAAGGATAAATAGGAGGATGGAAATAACCCCATGGATAAGGTGGAAGGAAGGTGGTCCAACGTCTCGAAAGAAAATGGGGGAATGGAAACACCCTCATGAAAGGAAATTGGGGAGGTGAGAAACGGAAACATAAATAGCATGGGAGAACAACAAAACCAAACATTAGAATTGGCCTCACCCGAATACTAAGAAAGTACCAATATAGGGACAAATAATTTGAAAAAGGTATGCCCCCCGCCATCTTGTCCTAGTATTCAGAGCACCGCTGAGGATCGCACTCTGGTTGATAGATATCTCCTAAATGAGCTGAGATGGTGGATGCGCGTCCTAAATACAGTGCTGGTCCGTCCAGAGCAACCACAAAACTACTAGTACATTGGCCATGCTGATCGGCCCTGTTAAATTAGGGATCAGATGAATAAGCAGTGACGGACTTCAAAAGGGGGACTATTTTTTGTAAGTCAAATACAGATCATCTTTCTAGAGGGAATTGGGCTGATGTTTTTTTACTTCCATTTTCATTATCAATTTAATTTTCATATGTTTAATAATCTATATGTATTTCTCTCTGTTCTTTTCCGTCGGAATTGAAGCTATTCAACATGAACATCTATGGAAGACTGATAAGGGATTACTGATAAGCTGATAACCATCCTTATCGATGAATAAGTCAGCAACCCTGGTATCCACCTGACCTAATCACACCCTAAAACAGACTAGCGTGACTCAGTAGCCGAGAAACGCACACGAAAATTGAAAGTCCATTCAGACTCATTCGACTTCCCGCATCACCACTCACCACCAAAATGTCCGACACCCCCGTTACTCTGCGGACTCGCAAGTTCATTCGCAACCCTCTGCTTGGCCGCAAGCAGATGGTCGTGTAAGCGCCCCCTTTCCCCCCCATTCTCTCGGTCTGGCGCAAAATGGCAATCCAGGATTGAGCAAGGACCATCGAAATTCAATTCGAAAACTCGCCTCCGACACATGAATACATGGAAAACTGGAGAGCACGGATGGAAGGGGAACTGCGATTGTCACGGATTTCGCCAATTTTGCTGCACAGACCGATCTTCGAATTTCAGAATTCGAGACTGACTTTTCATCTCTTCCAGGGATGTCCTCCACCCCAACCGCCCCAACGTCTCCAAGGATGAGCTCCGCGAGAAGTTGGCTGACCTGTACAAGTCCAACAAGGACCAGGTCTCCGTCTTCGGGTTCCGCACACAGTACGGTGGTGGCAAGTCCACTGGCTTCGCTCTCGTCTACGACTCTGCCGAGGCCCTGAAGAAGTTCGAGCCTCACTACCGTCTGGTTCGCATCGGTGTTGCCAGCAAGATCGAGAAGCCTTCCCGCCAGCAGCGTATGTCTCCCCTTGAAGTCCCCCTAAAAAAAGATTTTTTCCTTCGGGATCTTATCTACCTCTTCGTGAGGTTGCCTCCTTGAGGCCGACCCTTTATATTGGTCACCCCACTGACACTACTGATTGCAGGCAAGCAACGCAAGAACCGCTCCAAGAAGTTCCGCGGTACTGCCAAGACCAAGGGCCCCAAGAAGTCCAAGGCTTAAAGGACTCGCTCTTGTACTTGACTCGATGGATGCATTGTTTGGTACCCTGGTGGTTCTGGGAATCTCCTGTTTCACATCTCTTTTTTGAAATGTAAGCAGTCGTGGTCGATGGTGGATGACACGGATGCATTAAGATACGAAAAAATACCTATTGTGGCCTGTGGAATATCTCCCGACTCCCAGATGATCTGTTGGTGGTTATGCCCCCCTGTGGGAGCCGGATCTGCTTTACCCTGTAGATACCGGTTCAAGATCTGATGATTGCTTCAAAAGGCGTCAGGTCGAATAAAAACGAGGGATATGAGAATCCGGGTGGTTTTCCCCCGGTATGAATTACATATTTTCTTTCTGTTCAGCCACGTCTGTTCAGCTGTAGATGTAGACCATACAACCAAGCAAGGTTTATGCCGAAAGTCCGGGGTAAATCTACTAAATCTTAATGCCCACCTTCCCCACTACCCATGTCCTTGGACGTAGAATGTACAAGGTATGGAGTACAAGTAACACAACCACCCTGGCAAACCCTGATAGCCAATACCCAGACTAGGCTAGCTCATTCCAGGAAACCGGGGCAAAACGGGGCGGACAGCCGAAAGCTTTCCCAAAACTCAATCCATCTCCATACACATGCACAGACACCGCATATAACCCGAAGCCGGATGAGGTTTGAGTTGGAATTAGAACTATGGAGTACAGTGCATCACTGAACACAGTACAACAGTCTAGAATGGGAACCAGAAACCTAATCTACAGGACTTGGGAGAGTAATGAGGGACATGGTTAACAAAGTTATCAAATTCACCGAAATTCAACCATTCAGGGATTTTAGGGACTTAGGTCTTTGCCACTGAGGTCATTCCAGATCGTATGTAGGTAGAGGATTAGGGTTGTGCAGGGGCTTACACAGGGTTGAGGTAGACGGGCATAGTTGCACGGTACTTTGGAACTTGAAACTTGGAACTTGGAACTTGCATGATACATTTATACACAGATGGTGACTTTAGGTCTGTTGGAAGGGTTCAGCAGTATCTACTAATAGTTTTAACTTGGAATGGAGAAAGATTGATAGGTACTGATACTGTATTTTTAACACAGACATCGAATCTCGCCAAATGAGCAAAGTGCACATGATCTTGGTGCCCATACCTAAGGTTCAGACAGATCCCTGATAATCCCCAACAGCGAAGTAAATAAGGATGCTTAGGATATGCAATTTTATGGGAGTAGAACCCTGCATGTCTATTCCTATAGTTTCAATCCCTTTGCATATTAGCTTGGATATAATTACTTCTTTGTCCAAGCAACTGAGTCCTTCGTATCACATTTTTGTGGGCTATTTCTCTTGATTGTCAAACTTGCTTCTTCTTTCAAAAATAATTGGAAATCTTATTCATTCTTGATGGCACATATTCGACAAAAGACCATTATACGTCTCCCCTAGCTTGTGGGTATCTTGAAACTTTCTGTGTAATATTGTAAAGTCTATCCAATCAGCACCTGAGGACATCGAGACAGTCTAGACAGGCCGATGTGATTCAGATAAGATCTTACACGTAAGAATCCGGTAGATTAAATGCTATCACGAAATTCTCATGGTACGAGGGATATGTACCACTCAACGATCATGTTGTAGATCCATAGATATAGCATGTACCACCAGCCCTCAGCGAGTAGATGGTAGATCTGCATAGCTGATAAAGTCAGATACGCACTTAAGAAAGAGGGCATGCAGGTACATATTCCATATTGCCCTGGACAGGCACTAGCTATTATAGTCATTATAAGTTCCACTATTATATTGTAATACCAGATATCAAATCTCAAATGGAGATCGGAATGCAAACAGAAACGCCTCCGGTACGTAAATCATAGAGTAAACAAAAAAGTATCCTCCAAATAGAAATGAAGCAAAGTAAAAGTGCCCGGATCTGAGCTTGGTAATTAAGTGTTCGAAATTGCAGGGTTATCAAACAGGGGAAATGGAATAAGCAATAAAGAGAAGGGTCAACCATCAAAGTATGAGATGAGGAGAGTTAAAGAAACAAACCAACAAGTACTCAAAAGTAGCCTCCCATTCAACGATTAGATATTTGCCGCTTCCAGTCCAGGCCAAGTATTTTAAAATCAATCACAAAAACGACAAAATTGCAGGGTGTCAAGATAGACGAAGGGAAATGGAGTGATCAGAGCACATGCAGGTACACAAACAAAACCAAAAAAACCAAAAAAAGAGATACAACTGATCGAAGACACATGTAACGCCGACATGGTTAGGGTCCTCCGGAGATCCAGGCTTCTGAAGGCCGATCTCCTCAATTTCATGCAGTGTCGACCGAGACCGTGATACCCCAACGCACTATTCTCTCTGATCAGAAGGGAAGAGATAGAGATCGTGGATCGGGATACTCCGACCAGGTCCATGTTGGCCTTGCACGCACGAGTCGGTCATTCATCACACCAAAAAAGACCAATCCCAAAAGAAAAGATAAAAGGAAACAGAAGAAAAAGCAAAACAAAATCAAAACAAAATAACTTGTGACAAGCACATTGGAAGGGTACGGACACTTCTAATAACCCTGGTTACCCAACGGCTCAACAGGCCGATGCACACTTTCGACCACAGAACGGTGATACTCAGGCATATCAGGAGCCAAGCTGAACAACGCACCAGTATCCCGGTGCGGCACGCGAGTGTACGAAAGCCCACTAACAAGCGTACCACTCCCACGCTTCTTCTCACTAGTGCTGTATCCATACATATCAGACGAACACTCAGTCAGAGCTAGTAACCGCTGACCGGAACTTTGGTCGAGAGAAGAGCTGCGAATCTGTCTTGTTGGGAGTGGGTATTCGGAGTCTAAAGTCTCGAGGACGGGGTAGACGGGGCTCCCGTTCCCGTTTCCGCTTGGAGCGGCCGTTGAGCTTCTTTCTTCCGCTGTTGTGGGCAGGGGGTAGGAAAAGAGGATCTCTGGTGTGGGGTTTATGTTGACGTATTTGTTTTTGCTTCGGTCTTGGGGTTGGCTTGGGCTTGGGATTGGACGTTCTGGACCGTTTTGACGTGTCCAGAATGAGCTTTTGTAGTCTGGAGCTGGGGCCCATGTCCCGTCTGGTAAGAAATTTGCTGAGCTTGTAGCTTGGGGACAGCGAGATGTGGGAGTTGGGAGGGTCCGCGCTGGCTCTGTAGTTTCGGGTGAGGAGACAGAGCCGGCTGTGGGAGCCGAGTTTGGTTGAGCCAAGTCTGAAGATATGCCTTGGCTGGGGAGCATGTAGGCATATTGAGACTGGTTTAGGTTTGCCTCTGGATCGGGATAGATGTTGTCATTGGGAGTTCGGCCTGTGAACATCGAGTTCCATGCTTTAGGGCTCCATGTGGCATAGTCCATAAAAGCGCTGGACGGAGCGTATGAAGAAGACTGGATGTAGTTTATAGGTTGCTCGAAGATGTGAGCGGCAGCACTCATATCAAACTCCGGGCTTCGCTGAAGCTGGTACGGAAACGCAGCCATACGTGTCTGTGGAGAACCCATAGAAAGATGACTTGATTTGGAGTGTGGGTGCATTCCCTGAGGACATGGGGTAATTGCTGCACCCACATGTGGGTAAGGCCAACCGGTGCTGGTTTTATGAGAGTTCACGGGATGAGAAGTCACCACATGAGAGTCTACAGAATGAGAATTGACCTAAAATGAAAAATATGAGTGGATGACAATTTGCTCATCAGAGTTAGGGCAAGACTTACTCTGAAGAACTGGCAGTCCTTACTACCAGCACCGCGACAGTTGGAGCATGCTTGACCATCGCCAGAGTCACCACTGCACTTGATTTTTCTCTTTCGGCATCGTCGGCACTAAAATGATTAGGCTATGAGATCCCCGGGTTTATCCGAGTACCTACCGCCACTGGAACACGACGCCGTTGAGAGGTGCGCATTTTGCCCTCCACCTCGGTAGCCGGGCTCATACAACGAGAGTGATCCGTCAGATCATGCTGATTTACACTTCGCATTGAGCGAGACGGTGAAAGCACATCGTGATGGGACTGGTCAAAACCAGGTTTTTCATAAAAAGAGCTCATTGCTAGGCCAGGTCAGTTGGATTTGAAGTAAGAGAAGGAACTTATGCATACCCAGACACAAAAGAGAAAGGGAGTAAGCTTTTAGAACATAGACTTGACGAGACTCATGGTTCAGCTGAAGGGAGGAAAAATGAGAAAGAGAAGATGTCTCTCAAGTACTGGAGGTAGGGCTGGATTTAAGCCTATGTTTGGGTAACAATCGGTGTGATGGTTTAGGTCTCTTTGATTGAATACTAGGCCCCTGGTCGATTTAGACGAGTTGGTCGATCTAGAGGTATTATTTGAAATTTCAGTCATTCAGTTTTTTAATCTTTAATATTTCTGTTTTTTTTTTCTATGATCATCTTAGGCATAGTTGGGATTTGAGTGCATGAAGGTGGAGGGTGGAGGGTGGAGTTTGTGAGAAAAAAACAAAAAAAAATCACGTAACCAGGGCGTTTCTGATTTCTACTTCTGGCTTCTTCTTTCTAAATTCTTCTTATTCTTCTTTTTTGGCAACTTGTTGTACCCAGGGGAAATGATATGCACAGTTCCGGAGTGCATCCAATCCAGATTCCCCAGTCGATGGGAAAGACCAGCCAGCAGGACTGTCCCCGGCGTTTTAGAGACTTGGTTTCACAAAGTAACGTCACACTGGTCATGACCTGATAGCCATGACGAGAATAAGTCAAGACAAGGAGATTAGGAAAGCCCTCTCCGCCACAATAGATTCCAGCCAATCAGTCCAGGGATACATGTTTCTCCTCCACGTTCCCAATAGATAAGCTTGGGTGATTTGTTTGACAACTTGACATGCTTGGCTTGATACTATAGGATCCTGATAGGGAAAAAGAAAAAAAAGGGAAAAATTAAGCGGATGACCGTCAACGTTTGCCGAACTTCCTGGTGTCGATCCGGGGGACAGCTTCCGGTGGATCGATCCATCATGAAGATTCAACAAGAAAATGTTTGCTTAGAACCTGGTCAAACTGCTGATTGGTGTGGCGCCTGTACTTCAAGGGGCTTAGGGTCTTTTTTCAGATGCATCAAACAAGGCGTTAAACAGTCCGAACTGGGGGGCCCGCGACGTTGAATCGAGCGGACAAGTTGATTGGAAGTCATTCCTTCCCCTTTTCCCCAAAGCTTCTCAAAATAACATTCTCTTGCGACAAACGCGCACACAGTCCCAAAATTTTATTCAGGTTGCCCCATGTCTCAGACTCATGGAGAGACGTAAATGTCTCAAAAGCCAGATAAGAAGCTACACTTTAAAAAAAAGGAAATCGAACACTTGACACCTATCAAATTGATCAGCCGGCGCTAGCACGTACTAGGATTAGGGCGCCAGCAAAAAGGCGCGCGCCATAAAGAAACACTACCAGGATCCATGGCCTTAAGGTTGCGTCTTGATCGTCGGCATGGATTGGTGGTGGATCCACTGGCTATTAGCTCATCCGCGCGCAACTAGATCGAAATGGCAAGGACAAAAAGAGAGAAAGAAAAAAAAAAACTGACAAGCCAGATCCATAGGGCCTGGAAAGGTTGGGGGCAAATCTGAATGTCCCAAGCTTAAAGGGGAAAAGGGGGGAAGATTGAAAGGCCGCGATGCAGGAGATTCCAGGATACTATTCTAGGATGGGAGTTCAGTCACTCCACAAGGAGATGTTGTCCTTCTTACACGGTCATTGTCCCTCCTTATGGGTATTTCTGTGAATATGGAAGAATAGAAGGCTTGAAGCTAGAAGAAGAATAAAAGCCACACATTTCATTCCATTTCAATTATCCGGAGCCGGCAGAGATGAAGAAGTCAAGGGAGTTCTAGACAACTCCGCGACTGACATCGCACGACATGGGCCGGAGTCAGGAGAGACAAACCGGGCTAAACCAGCTGACTTTGGCTTGACTCGCCAGTAACATTGAAATTGAAACTAGTCTTTTGCACTAGGGATACCTTGTACTTGCCCCCTGTTTGCCGGGGCGAGAGGCTCCTTCTGTTTTGAGTTGTTTTGGGGCTGAGACTGGGTTTTGCTTGTTATCCTTTCTTATTTCTGTGCCTGACTCAAATGGGAAGACCTCGTTCATGATCCCACGTGTAGGCTATGGGGTTGAAGATGATAGATGTCAATTTCGCCATCCTGCTTCATTCCTGTTCTGCAGGAGGCCGCCCGTTTTGCCCTCTCCCCGCCGTTTTCTGTCGTGGAACAAGTCATCTGGTTATTCAAAGAGGTCACTGCGCTGACAGGTTGACAGGTCCGTGGTACTGTGTACATACGGTAGTCATGTCATGAAGTCAGATAGTTAGACTCGGAGGGGAAGGGGTGATTAGAAAACGAAATACATCCATAATTCTCCTTTCGGTCCGGACTGACTGATGCAGCTATTCCGAGAAATCGGTGAGGAGATCTGCAGCAAACAGCTTCAGATCTGCATCTCGATCTGAAAAAGGGTTAGGGGAGGCTTGTCCAACTGGGACACTCGGAAGATATGCCGGTCGATTGTGAAGAGAAAGCCCGTGAGGTGACACCAAGGAGCGCGGGTCGATCATCCGGAGAAGCTATGAGTTGTGGCCTGCATGTGGTGATTTGAGGGTCAAAAAAGCTCCTTAAGTTCTAGTTCAATTCAAGTTCAATTCAAAGTGTTGGTTGTACAAGAAAAAAGAAAATTGTTGCAAATGTCTAGTTCCCCGCTATACATTTGTCTCTCATTGGTCCAAGCTTCATGTCGATCTTTCTCCGACTTCTCTTTGAACTTTGAACCTTGAACTTATCGCCAAAACACTATACCCCCTGTCCCTCCCAAAATGAGTGCTCTACTGGAGACCTCACTGGGTGATATCGTCATTGATCTTTTAGTTGACGAGTCACCCAAAGCTTGTGAGAAGTAAGCGCCCTTTCCCACCCTTCGCATTCCCATCTTGTCCGTCGTGGCATTAAACTTATGCTGAGAAAATACTAAGCTTTTCTCTGTTTATAGCTTTCTCAAGCTCTGCAAACTCAAGTACTACAATTTCTCCCCCGTCCACAGCGTCCAGAAGAACTTCTCCTTCCAAACCGGCGACCCGCTTGGTCCTGACGCCCCCGAAAGCGATGGCGGATCCTCGATCTGGGGTTTACTGGACGGCCCCTCTAAGCGCACCTTTCCAATCGACCTGCCGAAACTCAAGCACACTGAGCGCGGAACGGTGAGTATGGCAACCGTTCCAGCCACCAACGATCCCGACCAACGCCTGGCCGCCAGCCAGTTCCTAATTACCTTGGGTGACAATCTGGACTACCTGGATGGAAAGGCGGCTATTTTTGGTAAAGTCGTCGAAGGGTTTGATGTGTTGGAGAAAATAAATGATTCGTTCATCGATGATCGAGGTCGACCCTTGAAGGATATTCGTATCCGCCACACTGTCGTTCTGGATGATCCCTTTGATGATCCATCTGGGCTGGTCGAGCCGCCTGAGAGCCCCCTGCCATCTAAAGCGCAGCTGGCGACGGTGCGGATCGCGGACGATGAAGAATTGGATGACGATATGGATGAGGATGCCATGGAGAAGTTGCGCCGGGAACGCGAAGCCCGTGCACAGGCCTTGACCTTGGAGATGGTGGGAGATCTGCCGTTCGCAGATGTCAAGCCCCCGGAGAATATTCTCTTTGTGTGCAAATTGAATCCCGTGACTCAAGGTATGTCTACACTGAGATCTTGGTTGGAGTTCTACGCTCACTATGTTTTAGATGAGGACCTACAATTGATCTTTAGTCGATTTGGTGTCATTCTATCCTGCGAGGTCATCCGGGACAAGCGTACTGGGGACAGTCTGCAGTACGCGTTTATTGAGTTCGACAATCAGAAAGACTGCGAACAAGCCTACTTTAAGATGCAGGGTGTACTCATTGATGACCATCGAATCCATGTCGATTTCTCTCAAAGTGTATGTTCTCAGATCCCTACTGATATCAATCAAATTCTAACATCCTCTAGGTTTCCAAATTGTCCGACAGCTGGCGCAACTCCACCATCACCAAGCGCAGGCAGCGAGGCGGATTCGGTGGTGTCGCTGATCTTGAAAAGAAGCGTCAGTACCGAGTGCCAGACGACTATCGGGCTGATGGGCCTAATGATAGTTACAATATGGTCTTTGATAAAAACAAGCGTCAAGTTCAACCAGATCGGCAATCTGGGCCGCCTGACTCTCGTGAGCATCGTCGCAGTCCCCCAAGAGATTCATACCGGGATCGACGAGATCAAGACCGACCTCGTCGGCGATCTCCTAGTCGAAGCCCTGGACCAAGAGATCGTCGAGACCGTGATCGCTACCGTGACCATCGTGGACGAGATGATCGTGGACGAGATGATCGGTATGATCGTCGCCGATGAATTTAATGTATTTAAAAAACCTTGTATCAGCAGTGGCAATAGATGACATCAAATCAATATATTAGCCTGTCCCAATGTCTCAATGTCTCAATGTCTCAATGTCTTCAATTCCAAGTAGAAATCCGGGTCGGACTGGCCCCGCTGGCGGGGCACAATCGGCAAAGGCAATCCAATGGACAGGTCTCACCCCGAGACTCACAGGTTATTCTGTCCGTGGCTCCGATTCGCCTGAGACACTAAAAATAATTTCTAGTCTAAACCATTTAGGTATTAGTTGAGATGTATCCCTAGTTACGGTGTAGACGAAGCTACAGCTTCACCCCGCGAAGTTCGATTTATTTACTTTTCTTTCCCGCCACTTCCCCTTTCCACCCCTCCTTCTCCCACAACTCCTTCTTTCCCTTTCCCTTGCTACATAACCTCTTTAACACATAATCACAATGGCCGCCGCAATCAAGGAAACCGTCTCAAACCTCATTAGCAAATTCTCAGGTGCTTCCCTGGAGGAATCTCCCCGCGAGCCCTCCACCGAAGAGTTCCAGTCCCTGAAGGACAAGTACACCCAGGCCGGTCAAGGACAAGTCTTCGCCTTTGTCGATGAACTGTCAACCGTCGAGAAGTCCCAACTCTTCCACCAGCTATCGAACTTTGACCCCACCCGCATCAACGAGCTGGCCAATGTTTCCCTAAACCCTCCCAAGACCGAGCAGACTACCGCTACGGTCGAGCCCCTACCGGAATCCGCTACGGCATCCATCATCGATTCTGACGCCGCCGATCTCCAGAAATGGTTCGATGCCGGTCTGAAGGAGGTTGCTGAGAACAATGTCGCCGTGGTGCTGATGGCCGGTGGTCAGGGTACCCGTCTGGGCAGCTCTGCACCCAAGGGTTGCTTTGACATTGGACTGCTGAGCCAGAAGTCGCTATTCCAGTTGCAGGCGGAGCGGATTCTGAAGCTGCAGGAGGTGGCGCAGAAGACTCACGGCGTTCAGTCGGCGATTATTCCCTGGTATGTTATGACCAGTGGACCTACTCGCAAGCCGACAGAGGAGTTCTTTGAAAAGAGCAATTACTTTGGACTTGATAAGAGCAATATCTTCATCTTCGAGCAGGGTGTGCTGCCTTGCATCTCCAATGAGGGTAAGATCCTGCTCGAGAGCAAGGGCAAGGTATGATTATGATTTTTTACTTCTACTTGGCATAGATTGTTGACACGCTAGTACAGGTTGCTGTTGCTCCCGATGGAAATGGTGGAATCTACCAGGGTCTGGTCACCTCTGGAGCCCGCGAGGACATGCGCAAGCGTGGCATCAAGCACATCCACATCTTCGGTGTCGACAACTGCCTGGTCAAGGTGGCCGACCCCATTCTCATCGGTTTCTCTGCCGCCAAGGACGTTGATATCGCCACCAAGGTGGTGCGCAAGCGTGATGCCGCCGAGTCCGTTGGCCTGATCGTGCAGAAAAACGGCAAGCCCGATGTTGTTGAGTATTCCGAGATCGACCAGGAGACCCGTGAAGCCAAGGATCCCAAGCAGCCCGAGTTGCTCAAGTTCCGTGCCGCCAACATTGTCAACCACTACTACTCCTTCCGCTTCCTCGAGTCCATCGAGAACTGGGTTCACAAGCTGCCACACCACGTTGCCCGCAAGAAGATTCCCTTCGTTAACCCAGAGGACGGTGAGGCTGTGAAGCCTACCAAGCCCAACGGTATCAAGCTGGAGCAGTTCATCTTCGATGTCTTCCCCATGACCCCGCTGGACAAGTTCGCTAGCATCGAGGTGCGCCGTGAGGATGAGTTCTCCCCCTTGAAGAATGCCCGTGGTACTGGTGAGGATGACCCTGATACCAGCCGGGCCGATATCATGAAGCAGGGCCAGCGGTGGATCGAGGCTGCCGGTGGTGTTGTCATCACTGAGGGTGAGGCATTTGGCGTGGAGGTCTCTCCTCTGATCAGCTATGTATGTTCTTCCCACTCTTTTCCCCTTTCCCTTGTTACTTATTGCTGACTACTTCGTTCAGGCTGGTGAGAACCTGGAGTTCCTCTCTGGTCGGGAGATTAAGGCTCCGGCAATCCTGGAGCGGGAAGAGTAGATACCACAACATTCCTTGTGTCAGAAAATATTGAGAGCACCTAGTGCAGGTGCAACCTCATGGGCTACGCTTTGGTTGTTACGGTTTAATCTCCCTTTTCTCTCTTTATGCAGGGATATTCCCAAGTTGGAACGAAGAAATGAATTGCATGGTCTTGTTTTATCCTGTTGATCAGAGAATGAACTTGGTTGCATCTATCATAAATGAATGATCTCCGGAATGTAGGGGGATGTACTCCGTACCTCGAAGCTTTCTGTCTAAGCTTTAGAAGCTATAGCTTGAACTACGACCTTGATTAGGTACGTCATGTAAAATATACACAAAAACGATTATCGACTCTTTACTACACAGAGTATCTCCAGTAGCTCCATTGTATAAATTATATAAAAGTTGCAATAATTGACCCTTATAAAGCATTCCCTCGTCATTGACTGAATCAGCAGCCTTACGCAATACGGAAAAGCCCGGGAGCTAATTTGACGAGTTTGCAACCCACTCTTTTCTGTCTCCTTCATTCTTCTTAAAGAAAAAGCTATATTGCAGTGAAGGGTTTGATTTTCTCGGTGTTGTGGTAAGTGAAGTCATTGTGCGCTTGGGGGCTAATGTTCCTTTTCCCCCACTTTTTTTTTCTGTTTTTTTCCCTTTGGTGGGCTGTCAAGAACGTGGTGCTTTCCCCCTCATTGTTAATTTCTTACGCAAGGTTCTCAAAGCTAACAGGGTCCCTGTAACTCAGACTTGAATTTGATTGGATATTTGGAAAGGATCTTGTTCTTTGAGTGAGTGCGCCTTTACCTCTCGTGCCCATTTTGTGTCCCCCGCGCGGATCGTCGTTCCCCTCCATCCGACATGCAAAATTTGAAGATGCCAAAATCGAATATACATCCCGCCCGCTGAGTTTTGGGTGGAACAGTCATGCGCATATGATATCGCTGCAGCTCTTGCTTTCTAACCTTGGATGAGAATGGATGGAGAACGTGACCGCGGAGGGACAATTGGCGATCCGAGACTTGCGCGCTTGGAGGATAATATTTTGGAATCGAATTTGGCTGACGAGCACCGATAGATAATCGGAAATGATGTTGTCTCGTCGTGCGTGCTACAAGTGTGGCAACATTGGTCACTACGCCGGTCAGTTGAGATCATTCAGGGTTGTATAGAAACCTTTCACTAACTGGCGTAGAGGTCTGCTCATCCACTGAGCGCCTTTGCTACAACTGTATGTACATCCCACATTTCTTCCTCTCGATCTGAAGCTAACGATGATATCATAGGCAAGCAGCCTGGTATGTGTGTCGTGTGACCATCCTCCATCAACAAAGTCTCATTCGTTTCAAACAGGCCACGAGTCCAGCAGCTGCCCCCTTCCCCGTACCACCGAGAGTAAGAACCACTCTGTTCGATGATATCATGTTCACCATGTCTGACTTTCTTTTAGCCAAGCAGTGCTACAACTGCCAGGGCCTTGGCCATGTCCAGGCTGACTGCCCCACTCTGCGCCTGAACGGTGGTGCCAGGGGCAGCGGCAGCTGCTACAACTGCGGCCAGGCCGGTCACCTTGCTGTATGTTGAACGAGCTCTGTTCTTCCGGTGACTGTTATTGACAATTCATAGCGCAACTGCACTAATCCCGCTGCCCCCAACGCTGGCCGCCCCTCCGGTCCTCCTCGTGGAGGTTTCCAGGGCCAGGGTGGTTTCCGTGGTGGCTTTGGTGGCTACCCCCGCGCTGCCACCTGCTACAAGTGTGGTGGTCCCAACCACTTCGCCCGTGACTGCCAGGCTCAGGCCATGAAGTGCTACGCCTGCGGCAAGCTTGGTCACATCTCTCGTGACTGCACCTCCCCCAACGGTGGCCCTCTCAGCCAGACCGGCAAGGTCTGCTACAAGTGTGGTCAGCCTGGACACATCTCCCGTGACTGCACCGTCACCTCTGAGACCGCCGCTCCTGCCGCCGATGCTGCCGCTGCCACTACTACCACCGTCGCTGTGGATGCCGCTGCCTCCGCCCCCATTGCCCCGGTTGTTGCTCCTGTTGCTGCCGTCGAGGCTGTCGAGGCTGGTGAAGCCGAGACTGTCCCCGCCGCTGTGGCCGCCGCCACTGTTGCATAAGCGACATCTTCGACCTAACCTCCTGAAAATCTCACCACCGTGCCATGCCCGGACTTATTTCCCCCACTTCTTCTTTTACCCCTGTATTACGGTCACTTTCAACCCCCGAACGATCTTTTATTCCCTTCTCTCTGGAGTCTTCCTTTGCATATATTGGCCACTCACCCTTTGGGTACTGGTTTTGAATCTGTTTGTTTATCGTCTTTGTCCTTTTTCACCTTGCCTGTTATGTATACGACGATCAAACAGAAAAAGTTTTCCCCTTTTTCTTGCTTGAAATCACGAACTCCCTTTTTCACTCAAACTGACTTGATCATGATCAAGTCTCATGGTTGGCGTCTTGTCTATTTATTTCTCAATCTTCTCGATTTGATGAAATCTACTCTTGATTGCGGTTTTCCAGGATGGGCCCGGAGAGTGAGCGAGAGAGGGTGAGGATGAGTGGTAGCAGAGAGAAAGAGAGCAGATCGCAGTGTATTTGGAATGGGGCCTTTTCCGGTGAGAATATTCCTCGGTGCTGAGAACATGAAAACGCAATTCTTTCGAGTCTATTTTCCAGTAAAACTAGTGGTAAAATCGATATAGAGGAACATACTAGTAGTACACACAGTCACCTATTCTGTTAAGACTCTCGACCATCCAACTTTCAACTCTTCATCCCCCACTTTCCATCACCACCGCCGAAATGCCCGGCTCTGATGTAGGCGATCAATATGATGACGAGGTTTGTTATATTTGATTCCATTGAATTGATGTCTTCAGACAACTGACGTTGATCAGAACTTCATCGTGGATATCGATGACATTCAGGCCCACGGCATTGGAGCAGCTGACATTACCAAACTTAAGGCCAATGGGTACTACACTGTTGCTGTGAGCATTTCCATTTACTAATCTCAGTTATTGAAGTTTCCACTAACAGATATCAGTCCGTCCATGGTGCCACCCGCAGAACACTTCTCAAAGTGAAAGGCTTCAGTGAAGTCAAGGTAGAGAGAATCAAGGAAGCCATCCAGAAATGTCTGGTAAGTTTGGCATCAAATCTTCAAGAATAATTGAATATCTAACACATGATTCACAGCCCTCCGCATCAGGATTCATCACCGCCGTGGAACTCTTCCACCAACGCAAGAAAGTCGTCCGCATCTCAACAGGAAGCAAGCAATTTGACGCTATTCTCGGAGGGTAAGTAAACTTCCTCAGGCCACACCATACACATTAATCTGTACATTCTAATCCATTCTCATTACAGCGGCTTTCAAAGCATGAGCATCAGCGAAGTCTTCGGCGAGTTCCGTTGCGGCAAAACCCAACTCTCACACACAATGTCTATCATCGCCCAGCTCCCCAAGTCAATGGGCGGCGCAGATGGCAAAGTCGCATACATCGACACAGAGGGCACTTTCCGGCCTGAGCGTATCGCCCAGATCGCCGAGCGCTACGGAATCGATGCGGAAACGGCGCAGGAGAACATTGCGTATGCGCGTGCTTTAAACAGCGAGCACCAGCTTGAACTTCTTAACACGCTGAGTCGAGAGTTCGCGGATGGGTCTTATCGGCTGCTTGTGATAGACAGCATTATGAATTGTTTCCGAGTGGACTACTGTGGGCGTGGAGAGTTGGCGGAACGGCAGCAGAAGCTGAATCAGTTCCTAATGAAGCTGGCTCATATGGCTGAAGGTGAGTTCATTCTTGTACGGTGCTGCATTTGGTACTAATGTCTGCAGAGTTCAATGTTTGTGTCTTGATGGTTAGTAGACTTGTCTTTCGAGATTTTGCTGGCTTCTAACTTTCTTTAGACAAACCATGTCCAAAGTGACCCCGGTGCAAGTGCCCTCTTCGCTGGTGCTGATGGTCGCAAGCCTGTTGGTGGACATGTGCTGGCTCATGCGTCTACTACTCGAGTGCTGCTTCGCAAGGGCCGTGGTGAGGAGCGTGTGGCTAAGATTCAGGATTCACCTGGTAAGCAGACCACTTAGTACCTTGTTAGTCACTGGATATGCGTTGATACCTTCCAGACTGCCCCGAAAGAGAAGCTATTTATGTGATTACGAATGGAGGTATCAACGACCCAGACAAGAATTGAGTGAGGCTATGAAACAGTGATGTGGGATATGAATCTCGGGGAACGCATCCAGATGGGAAGCAATTATATTTCCTATGCAACCATGCGCATTATATCATAATCATTACGTTATATTAGCGATATTCTATTCGCATGTTTCGATGACTCAAGTTGCTCGAGCCTATACTCCCTTACACCCCTCACCGCCAATAGATCCGCCCAGATAATATGGCAGAATTTTAAAAAACTGCAAAAAAGTCCAACTCCACCCGCGAACAAATAACTCCAACCTCAGCGCCGAAATGAAGAGAGAAGCCCCAAATGTGGAAGGGTACACCACCCTCCCACTCCAACTTCCATCAATCTCGACCTTCCCCCAACCAGCTACTCACTACCTCTACATTCGTCCTCACGAACCTCGCATCCCAGACCCCGACTCCTCTCGCTCCCTCTTCATCGTCAACACCCCCATCGACACAACAGAAACCCACCTCCGTCACCTCTTCGGCAAACAACTGGCCGCCGGTCGGGTCTCAAGTGTCCAATTCGAAGATGTCCCCGCTAAGAAGACCCATGTCGCCCCCGCAACAGAAAACAATCTCTCCCACCGCAACAAGAAGCGCAAGCGTGTCACAGCCGACGACCTGCAGTCCCAGTTAGACGAGATTACCCTCCCATCAACCTGGGACCGCCAACTCCACAAGAGCGGCGCCCATGCTATCGTGATCTTCGCCGATCGCGCCAGCATGGAAGCAAGCCTCAAAGCCGCCGCTAAGGCTGCCAGAAAGGGAACCACCATTGTCTGGGGTGACGGTGTCTCTACAGACCGTGTCCCCGCTCTGGGTATCCAGCGCTATCTCTCTCACGAACGTCGCAGATACCCTGCCCGCCGAGAACTGCTAACCGCCGTCAACGACTTCATGACTATCTTCGCGGAGGTTTCCGAGGCACGGAAGCGCGAGGAGTTGAAGAAGTTGACGGAGCCGGACGAGGATGGATTCGTTACTGTTACGCATGGACCTAAGTTGAACTCTCTTGCTCGGGAGGATGAGATGAAGGAGTTGATTGCGCGGGAGAAGAAGAAGAAGGAGGGATTGGAGGACTTCTACCGGTTCCAGTCTAGAGAGAAGAGGAAGGAGAGGCAACAGGAGTTGCTTAAGAAGTTCGATGAGGATAAGAAGAAGTTGGCAGATATGAAGATGCGGAAGGGCAAGATTCGGGTAAGTCTCTTTCTTTGACTGACTGGATTCCAGGCTAACATGTTGCAGCCCGAGTAAGGTCTATAGCATTGCAAGGCGTTCTGGGAGTATCTGTGGACAAAATCCAACCGTTCTGGTACATAGGGAGTGAGTTGCTTCGAGTTTCTTGAATTTCCTGTTCCTATTCCATACATGATGAATTCGCTGGGGCCAGTGTAGCAAGACGCGCTTCGCCGCTGTCTGCCATGCCATCAAAAACCAGCATTATAACAATCTTCTCACCTTCTGAAGAGTTCAATCCCGTGAAATCTTATCTCTAGCTTGATGTGGCGTTTACTGATGAGTATACTAGTCTATCAGCCGTTTTCATTTATGTGTCTATGTGAATACAATAAAATTAGGACATAGGACGTTGACATTGGCAACCATGTAATGGACCAAATGAACTGTATGATGTATCGGTAAAGCACAGACCAAGGCTTGGCATCACATCCCACTTAAGCTTGTACGAAGACTCCGAGCTTCAAATAATCTCTAAGGTAATTGCGCAGCTTCCAGGTCTGTATATTTAGACAGACTCCGAATCTCAGGAGCTGAGATTGTACTCCTGTTATACATCAGCACTTGTAGAGTGAAGTCCCGGCCACTATCGGATCAACCAACCCCGCAGAACATATACCTCAACCATCTCACTCTACAACCACACTAGTCGCATAACCATCTGCCACTCAAGTGTGCTCTCTCACCTTCTTGCTCATTAACATCCCCAAATCAACAAAATCACAAAATTTAAAATGTCCAACACCGCAATCCCAGAAGATACCGACACAGACTCCGACTCAAATGTGGAATTCGAAGACGTGCCTCTGGCACCGAGAACAGTACCAGCAGAAACAACAACACCCTCATTCCACTCCGTCTCTTTCCAAACAGAAAGACCTGTCTGGGTCCCAGTCCTCTCTCTCCCCGAGCAAAGAGCCGCACCCCTCCGCCCCGGCTCAGCGGAGGAAACCCAACTACGCGGCCGATTGAGTGCAGGCATCGAAAGAATCAATTACCGCCACATGAAAGCCGAAATGGGAATGGACGGAATCAACACCGATGACTCAGAGAAACGATTCAAAAGTTTCGCCGACTTAGCACGGGAGGTGGGGTCATTAATTGATACACTCTGGACATCTTCTACTCGTGAGTTCTCAATCCAATCCAATCCAATTCCAAAGCCCACCAAACCTGCATCAACGTCTTCCATTATGCACAAAACTGTAGAAAGAATAAAAAAATAAACACTAACAACATTTACATTCAAGCCTCAATCCAAGTTGAAGGCCTAATCACTCTCGCCGGAATAACTGAGATGGCTCTCCCAACATACAAATTCGATCCAGAAAGCACACTGACTCTCCTGCATAAATTTGATTCTGTCTTCGCTGCTCTCTGTATGGGGAAGCATCCTGTTACTAATGCCACTATCCCCGGTGCTGTGGATGGTCGTCCACTCGTGACGCAGACGCAGAAGGTTCGGATTCGCAGTTTGGCGGAGACGACGCGGTACAAGATATTTTCTTGTCTTGAGGAGTCTGATTCGAGTTTTGGGGATGGAAATGCCAATGGAAACGGGGTTGGAAATGGAGATCAAAATGACAATGGACAGGTTTACAATGATGAAGAAGATGAAGAAGATCTGGATGTTCCTATGCAGCCTTGGTTGATGGAAGCTGCGAAGGTTTATGATCAGACTTTGATGTTGTTGGCGGATCAAGGGGAGGGTGAAGATTTGATGCAGTTGGATGGTGTTTGTTAGGTGGAATGAGGTGGAACTGGTGCCTGGCGTCTGGTGTCTACTGTTTAATATTTGGGTGGCTTACTGGGCTTGGTTTGAATGGAGAAGCGGTTCAAATGTTCTGTACGGAGTACGGAGTAGCTATGTTCGAATCCAATGTTTTATCAACTGGTGAAGAGTATCGAGTCTGAGCGAAGGTTTATTCCCCGAGTATGCAAGTAAATTTGCATTGTCTCAACCATTCGATGCAATGCTAAACATTGTCATCCATCTAAACATTGCATTTGATCAAAAGAATTAGTATAATGTACGCACATGTGCAGCTTTGGGAGCATCTCCTTGACAGGACTAGTATTCCGTAATTACTATGCATATCCCTGATCGGGTTAGATAGCATTCCTCAAGCTAACTGTAGTCAGAAACAACAAAGAATCTTCTCGAAAACACCAAGGGAAAAAAAACCAAAAAAAGAAATGAGTGGACCCAGTCAGGTACACATTGCGTCCCAAATCTGGATGGGAGGTACCTATGTAATAGCGATAACCGGTCGAGGGACCCGTAAGAGCAATACATCGGAGAGGCGTATTGAACGAAGCGAGTTCCAGCCTTCTCTTTGGACAAAGCGTTGCGAACTAGTGTGGATTCGAGCCCTGAAAGTGGAGAATCGGTTCTTGGTTTTTGGGCGGATTTGCTCAGCCTCGGGCCTGAGCCACTATTTAGTACGTTTTAGTCTAGTTTAGTCTCTACTTTTCCAGTTTCATATTCAACGTTGGAAATCATGATTTTACCTAGGCATTTCATTATCATCTGTAACATTTGAAGAGATTACATATATAGGGTATGCCCTTATTTCCTAATTCCGGTGGTGGGGAGCTGAGTGTTCCATGGTTCAGCTAACCTTGGACTTCAATTATTAATGACTGAGAGAAATGCGCGGTTTTTCACGCGTAGGGATTACATACTGTAACCACGACTCCGCGGTATGTAAATAAAGTATATCCTGGCAATGCAGCAGGGAGGTCATGACAGGCTGAATCCACATAGTTTAATTCTAGTCTGTGGTGTAAGGGCAATGAAATTGATGCAAGGGTTTCATCTGGGGATCGGGCATCAAAAGTTCTTTATTTCGAAATGATCTCATAGATCAACGATCCCTTACCGTACGTAGTACTTCACACCAGTTTCGATTTCATTTTTATTTTCATCTTTGATGTACGATCAAACTCTATATGCTCGATCTGGATTCCGGGATATGCATCGGCTGAAACTTCATGTTTATAGAAACTTGAACGCGAATTCAACGCGTCTTGCCTCGCCAAGCTTGATCCAGCAGCTCGGTAATTCCAATACGACTGAAGACGGCGCCCTTCCGACCAATCAGAATACAGGAGTGACTTGCTCGAGTCCCATGGTTCTGGTTCAGGTCGATGTTGCTCAGCTTGTATTGTGCGAGTGACGTATCGCGTCCTTGCGTAAAGTCCGACTTGGATCTGAGAACCTTGCTTCGAGAAGGTTTCCTACTTCACAGGTCATGGGTTAGTAAAGCTGCAGATTCAACCCCGTTCCAGTGTTTTTCTTTCTTTTTTTCTTTTTTCGTTCTTTTCCCCTTGTATCGGGCTGACACACTGGTGTATGGTGTCTTAGTTTTACACGGAAGCCATTTCCACGGTTCTGTGGCGTCTGGTGGAGTCTTCTGTTTTCCCGTTTGTTCTGCAGGTTTGCGTGAGCAACAGGATCTAATAGTAGTGTTAGCTCAAGGCTATAGACCCTGCGCTATGTACGCAGGACATCTACATAAGATGTGCGGAGTAAATTTGTAGGTTCATAGGAGATGCTAACGGACCTAGTATTGGGTGATGCTAAGTAAGTAGTATTTTATGACCTCACTACTAGATTGAACCTTGATAAGCAATGGGGTTCGACATGTCACATTAAAAGGGTAGCGACAGGTGGTCCTTGCAGCACTCCCTTGTATACCTGCGTTCTTCCCTTGACTGTTGAGATGATCGGGTATAACGGAACGTTTTTTTCTTACAGATCGGCTTGGAGCTGGGGGTGGGTTTTATGAGATTCTGCATGGAAATTAGTACCCCGGGATCTGGTTTCGGCACATGCATGCATGACAACATTCAAATCATTGTACCGTAGAGAGGAGAAGTACGTACAGAGTATATAGTACTAGTACAGATAGTAATAACATCAGAAATCAGAAATCAGATCATAGCTGAGTATCATAAGTGGTATACGACAGGATTATGTAAAATAAATAACTTACAATACCATACATAAAGTTACCAGGTAATCTCATGTAAAGTGCATTTCCCTCCCTTAGTAGCGTAATGGGCCTTTCCCACTTCCCCTCCCTCTAGCAGAATCTGAGATTTCAATTCTTCATCTTTCCCCTCCAACCTTCTTCATCCCTCCTTTCCTATTGTTCCACCTCTCGGTTTGCGGATTTCGTTCTGTCTTGCGCTTCGGGAGTTCTGCTCAGGTTTTCCTCCACCGTTTTTTCGTTTTGAAATTTGTCAGGTTCTTCCTCCCCTTGGTAAGTCAGAAGTCGCTCTAAAGCCTCTTTCATCATCGCCTTCCCCCAGTCCTACCTTCACCAGCCACACCGTATCTTTCCCCCCCAAGAGTCAAAGTCCATGCCCTGGGTCAGAATCTATCGCCTCACTTTCGCGACGGGTTTCTTTCATTCATCGGTCACTTGCTCGCACCTACTTTAGCCGAGATCCAGCTTTCGGGATATCGCGCCGTTGAACCCTCTCCACCTTGCGCCGGTCGCTTCGCTTCCACGATTGTCGTCACTTGTCGCTAGCGTCGCAGAACCGTCACACTCTGATCGCGTGGATCGAATAAGCAACCGATGAGAAGTGGGGCCAACTGGACGGTCGCAACTGACGGGACCTGGACGGAAACGGCCGGCGCATGAAGCGGAACCAAGTGATTCGGCAATCTGCTACCCACAAATCGCTCTGCAACATTCGATTTCTTTGCGAGACTGTCTTACCTACTCCGGCGGTTTCCGCTTAGACCACCAATTCGCGCCTGAGCAGAGCACTTCATGAAAGAAAGAATCTTAGTCTCAGCGGTTTCCGGCATACAGTCGCGGCTGAAGTTTGTGTCCGCCTTACCATCACTTGGGACCGCTTTCGCTCCGCCCCCAAAATCATCATCTCCGGCTTCACATGACCCGGGTGTGGATTTGACTTGCATTCTATTTTCTCACCTTCAATTCGCTTTGCCTCTTTGGATGCGCATTTGACTCCCGCGCTTTCATCTCTCTCACCTTTCTCGTTCTCGGACTGTCTTTTAACCTTAACTTGAATCAGGAAACCTAACGCCCATCTCTTAGTTTTTGGGTTCACGAAGTGCTTCTTGATCTTACGGTCTCTCCTTACGACTCAACGAACTTTAAGTCGCCTAGGCCGTTTTATATTCTTACGTCGAATTTGCGGATACTTTTGATTGCACAATGTCTTTCAACAACTTCGATTCCTTCCCCAACCAGGCTGACGCCGCCGCCGCCGGTGCCCCAGCTCCTGCTGACACCACCATGACCGGCCAGGCTGACCCTGCCACTGCTGGTTTCCAGGGCCCCGCTCCTGATGGATCCGCCCCCGTTCCCCAGCAGGGTGCTGATGGCAAGACCACCCTGTGGTATGTTTGATACCCAGTTCCGATCCCATTTGTTTCTTCGGACATCAGGCTGACAATTCGGAAATAGGATGGGTGAGCTCGAGCCGTGGATTGATGAGAACTTCATCCGCAACCTGTGGTTCCAGATGGGTGAGCAGGTCAACGTCAAGATGATCCGTGACAAGTTCTCTGGGTAAGACCACGATCCCCCTAATATTTAACTTTTGGATGATTCCCGTGGTCCTAATGTTGGTAGTAGGAGCAATGCTGGCTACTGCTTTGTCGACTTCTCTTCCCCGGCCGCCGCTGCCAAGGCCCTCTCTCTGAACGGCACCCCCATGCCCAACACCAACCGTGTCTTCAAGTTGAACTGGGCGACCGGTGGTGGTCTCGCTGATCGCAGGTAAGCGCAGCCGCTAGATTTCTGTTCTGAATTTAGCTTACCTAATTTTACTCTTTCAGCCGCGATGACCGTGGTCCCGAATACTCCATTTTCGTTGGTGACCTCGGCCCTGAGGTTAACGAATACGTTCTCGTCTCGCTTTTCCAGAGCCGCTTCCCCTCGTGCAAGTCCGCCAAGATCATGACCGACCCCATCAGCGGCATGTCCCGTGGCTACGGCTTCGTTCGCTTCTCTGATGAGACCGACCAGCAGCGCGCTCTCACCGAGATGCAGGGTGTCTACTGCGGCAACCGCCCCATGCGTATCTCCACCGCCACCCCCAAGAACAAGGGTCCCGGTGTTGGTGCTGCCAACATGGGCATGCCCGGCCCCGCTGGCATGTACCCCCCTATGAACGGTCCCCCCATCGGTTTCTACGGTGCTCCCCAGCCCATGAACCAGTTCACCGACCCCAACAACACCACTGTGTTCGTCGGTGGTCTCTCTGGCTACGTCACCGAGGATGAGCTCCGTTCCTTCTTCCAGGGATTCGGCGAGATCACCTACGTCAAGATCCCCCCTGGAAAGGGCTGCGGTTTCGTCCAGTTCGTCCAGCGCCACGCTGCTGAGATGGCCATCAACCAGATGCAGGGCTACCCTATCGGTAACTCCCGCGTTCGTCTGAGCTGGGGCCGCTCCCAGAACAACTCCGGCCCCGCCGGCAGCCCCTACCGTCCCGCTCCCCCGCCTCCCCCCATGTACCCCTCCATGGGTATGCCCCCGGCTGCCCAGCACTACGGCGGGTTTGCCCCGATGAAGGTTAGCAGTCACCCCGGCAGCCCAGCACCAGAACACTCTTGAGTTAAAGGCTCGGTCGGCTGACTCTTACATTCTCTCTTCATAGTAAGCGTTCCTTTATTCAAAGCACCAGCAGGAGTTGTTTGCATCATTTCAATGATGGGTCCCCCTTTTGTGTGATAAACAAATTTGCTATTCCCCCTGGTTTCGAGAGACTCTGCGCTCTATAGCTCTTGATGAGCATTCTTTTCCTCCTGTGCTACGCATTTCCGTGAGCGCTTATTATCTTAGCAAGATGAGCCCCGCAGTTTTTTTACTTTTACGTCTCTTTTTTTGTTACCCAGGATCGTGGACGTCATTATTCTTGTTTCTCCTCCCCCTTCTTGTCTCCCCCACACAACGTACTGCCCCTTTCTAACGTTGTGTTCTTTTATCTCAATGTCCCACCCCCTCTTCTCTATTTACGTCTATGCTGCTATTTTTTTATCGATCTTCCTCCCCGCCCTGGGGTCCTTTTTCGCGTGTAACGAAAGTGCGTATTTTTCATGCGGTTCTTTTTTACTCTATACTCCCTGGGCAGGCATTCTGCGAAAAGTTCCACTTATTCAAACCCTCGCAATCTCTATTTTCCTATGTCCTTTTTCCTTCTTCCATCGAGCAGCCAAATTGAACTATGTTCGCTTCGAACTATTGTTGCATTTCGCCGTCTCGTTCTTTCTATTTCTTTCCTTGTTAGACTGATGACGGCTTGTACAACACGCTCTGTTTCGTGCGTCTCCGCGTTTGTCAACCTTTCTATAACCATTGTCATGCACTCTTTTTGATTTTGACGTCTCGTGCATTTGGCGCTTGTCTTTGGTACAGTTCTGCAATCATCTCCATCAACCGAATAGGGATCTGATGAAGCTTGTGAGTAGTGCGGCTTCGGTTGACGAGACTTGAGACCCCTTGTAGCTGTGGGATCATGGTTCTGGCGCACCTTGGAGGCGTTGTCGTCTATTTTTTTTGGTTTTGCCTGCATGGAATGACTGGCAAGGTTAGCCAATTTCGTATCTTGTAACATTCGGAGGCTTCGGTCTCGGTTTCTTGCTGGCGTTCTTTCTTTGGCTTGGATGATTCCCCTTTCGCTATATCATTCTTGTCCCGCCATTCCTTTGGGAATTTTAGGGATTGCGACAGAAATAAAGTATCGTATTAAAATTGGTATATTTTGATTATTAGTAGGGTCATAGTAAGCTGTAGGATAAGTGGACCATCGCTTTGCATATTGTATCTCATCCAATTTGCTTCGTTTGCATTTGCTTGAGATCAAGATCGTTCTACAATACTGCAGTCTCCAATAAAGCTCCGAGTCAGTTTCAAAGCTTCATAGATCGTCGGCGCTCACGTTTCCGTATATCCCCGTTTGTACCTTCTCGTCCTCAGTAGTAGTAGTATGTTCCTTCCGTATATTGAGTATACTGCGTCTTGTCCGCATTACATTCAAATAGAGCAGGCACGTTCGTAAGAACAACCCACTTCGTTATTCACTTCACTTTGTCGTTATTGTCTCTTTCACCTCCTCACAACACAACCACAAACGTTAACCGAAATCATGCGGTATGAGAATTGGGATGTTCTGCTCTTCCCCGAGGGTTGCAGGGTGCCTATCCAGGAATTCAAAACGCAATGCTTCGTGACCAAGGACATGGACTCCCCTTACCTTCAGATGTCCGCCGCCACGAGTCCCCCGGCTTACTATCCCATCCATGGTAACATCGGTCAAATACCTGTTCTGACGACTTTCGTTCCGAGTCTGCCCAAGGACACTCCCTTCCGTGTGTCTATTCACAGTTGGGAAAAGCCACGCCCCAGTCGTTTCATGGAGAAGTTGATGCAGGCGGATGACGTGCTGGTGTTTGAGGCCCGTGTCTTGATCGATGGACAGCCTGTTGCGTAAGTACATTCGAGGCTGTTGTCATCTTCACTCTTTCAAATCTGGCGGCAAGCCGTTTGGAATATAACCAGGCTGACTGTCACTAGGGGCGGTATCTTTGGTCACAGGTCTCTGTGGCCCTATGTGATCGGTATGTTCATTCCGCGGTCAAAGGCTCTTTGCGGTTTACGTGCTGACTATTTTGGAATAGATTTCAGCAGTAGTATGAGCTCAGACTCTTGTTTGCGAGGAAATGTGCTGACTAGATTACAGACATCGCCCGAGACGGCAATCAAGATGTCCTTCGCTTCCCTGATTTTCACCCTGAGATTTTGGACCAACAGCACTGGGATGCTGGAGACCCCTTCGGCCGGGTTCAGGTGATCATCTCTGAGGGTTTTTCTCGTCCCATGCGGTCTCCTCCTTTTGAGAGGGTGAAAAACGTCATCTCTTTGTCTTTCCAGCACGCTCCTTTGCGTGAGTATGGGCGATTCATACTGAAAGAAGCGAGGTTGCTGACGGGACAGACAGACATTTTGGAGTTTTCCAACCTCGCCTGGCCCAATGCCAACATGTGGAACCAGGCCTTGTACGCCGGATTCAAATTCGACTCTATTGGACAGCCAGACACCGATAATCCTCATGGTCACTCTCCTTCCAGACCAGAGCCTCGGCCCTTGCCAGTCGCGACTGGCAGTGAGTCCAGCAGGAGCCAGGGCGGAGCTTACAACGCATGGGTCTCCAATCGTGCATTCCCCATCCCTGCATCTCAGTGGAACCGCCAGTCGCAAGACCGTCGATGGGGAGTCGGAGTCTACCTAGATCGTAATCTTGAGCCATTCACGAATGAACAAGGTCATGATTCGCTGGTCAGCGATGAGGACTGGCACCACCGCGGTGCACGATCGTCCCGGGACGATGTTCCCATGCCAGACTACTCCAGCATCGCCAGTAGCCGTGTCATGTCGAGCGTTACTGGCATGAGCTATGAACACAGCAAGCAACCCAGCATGACCACACCTATGGATGATGATCAATACAACGAGTTGATTCAAGCCCTAACTCCCACCAAGCTGCCCAACACTGGCACTCGGGCTCCTTCCAACACCCCGTCGACTCAGGTTGGATTAGTTGATTCCGGAGTCACAGGCGATGTTCGTCCCCAGGGCAGTACCCGCGCTTCTGCTCTGCGAGAGGTGTCGCAGCCCAGTACCCGAGATTTGTCTGGATCGAGCAACCGATCTCCATCAGCGGAGCAGATCATAACCCCATCCAAGCTTGGGCTTAGCCCCAGTGGCAATATCAAGGGTAAAAAGGAACGGGTCGGTGGAAACTCCAAGGACTCCCCGCGAAAGAGTTCCGGGGCGGTTGCAGTCGTTCCAGTCGAGGAGCCAAAGGAAAACAACATTCCCCAGGAGAAAGAGGTTGCCAATAAGGAGATGTTGTTGGAGCAGAAAATGACTATTGATTTTCTATGAGGGGTTTCTCTGGTTGTGAGGCGTGGATGTGTGTCACTAAAGGTGGCGTGTCAGTCAGCGAAGGAGTGTCCGTCAACCATGAAGTTTCAGTCACCGAATATGCGCTATTGGCATCACTGAAGTGGGATATCCATTCTTACTCGTGTATTTCTAGAAATTCGAGATGAATGTGAAACAGCTTTGATGTCGAAAATCTGGCAATTAAAGAGACCTAGGACCTGAAGGGACGAGGTTGAGGTCAACGAAAGGGTACGAGGCATAACGAATGGCTTGAAATTGCCTGGTTTACTATATTAACATTGGCATTTGCTAACAATTTAATAACAGACGTGTTTGTCTAGTCATATCGCTACAGAAAGTCTTACTAACTTTTCGTGTTTTACGTGTTGTCTCGAGCAAACGACTCGAACAAGTCTCACTATCAGTAACGTTGACCCTCTACGTGATTGCCATACGTGCAAACCCACAGTTCCTTCCCCCAATCTTCTCTGTTTCTCTTTCTCCTTTCCCTTCGCTTGGTTTCCCCTTTTCATCCTTCATTTACGTTCTATCTCTCTATTTCTTGCCTCATCCACACTTTCACACTTCTCCTCGAATACCCACCTTTTCGTGATCATGGAACCGAATCATCCTGATGAGCCTGAGGTCCATGCTTCTCAGCAACCCGAATCATCTGTTAGCCCGGCAGATAGCTTTCTGACACGTCTATTGATGGAAATAGACGCTTCCTCTCCTGTTGCTAGCCACGTTCCTGTACAGCCTCTTGAGCAGGTCGATCAGTCGTCCACGACTAGTGTTACTTGCGCAAATGTCCCGGGCACGCCTGTTGGAGCCATGCACGAAGACAACCTGGGATCTCAGCTTTTCGAGCAGGTCAATCAATCGTCCATGGTTAGTGTGACTTGCCAAAATGTCCCTGGGACTCACTCTCCTATCTCTCGGACTTTCACGAGTCACTCATTTGAAGCCATGCACGAAGACAGTCTGGCTCATCAGATCCAGCCTCGAATATGGACTTCATTTGCCCCAGGCATGAGGCAGGCTTTGGCCCCTTCCGTTCATACGTCTGACGTGAATCCACTGGCTCCAATTGACTATTTCAGCCATCCCACTACTTTTGTGGAATTGGCGGTCAGAAGGGATCTTTCATCTGATATTCAGGGCCTGCGGTCTTCACAGATGTATTCGGATGAACCCTTTCTGGAAGCCCCCAACCCTGTTGTGAAAGCGGAACCTGGAAACGCGCCCTCGTCCATGTTCGGATTATTCGATCATGTGAAATCTACTGCAAAGCCAGTAAGTACCATACAGTGATGCTGATATATGCTCTCTCTATACCGGCTAAAATGACTTCTGAACAGACTACTCTTGGGCTTACAGATGTGGACAATCTTTCGGACAATGAAATCCTTTTCCTCTTTGGAGCCTTCAGTCAGATGTTCAAATTAAGTCCGCGCTTCGAGTTCAAGCATGGAGGCAAGCGCGGAAAGAAAATTGGTCTGAAGCTCACTGTGTTTGGCCACACGGTCTTATTGCCCCCCACAAGTGAGGTTGCAGATGAAATCAGAATCTTGGGCTGCAAAAAGATCCTTGCTAAGCTGCGTGGTTATAACCCCCAGTGGGAGGTCCCTCCCCAGCCCATTTCTGGACTTCCCTCTTCCCTTGGATGGAACTGGCCGAATATGCTAGAAGGTGAGAACCAGGTCTGATTGAAACCTCGAGAATTATATTAACGCATACTTCCAGATTTTTGCGCGAATGAAGGTTGGTCGTTCCCAATTTACAAGCCCACAATGTACGGGAATGATAACCAGTGGCACTGTGATGTCTCGATGAACGGCCACCTGTTCCGCACATCTTGTCCATCGGACGGCAAGGAGCAAGCACGAACCACGGCCGCGCACCTTGCGCTGTATACGCTGCTGGTGAATTGGAGAACGACTCCTGAGTATATTCTACCGGTCAACGACCCGGCTTTCACGTTCGCTAAGGCAAAATGGTGCAAGGCCAAGAAAAACACCACCGTTTCTACCATCCCTGCGAAGGTTTCCACCGTCCCTGTGAAGGCTTCTTCGTCGGTGGATAGCCTAATGAGTGACCTAGAGGAAGCCTTTATCGCGCGGAACGAGCGTACCCAGGGTGTCAGATCATCTAAGGGAATTAAAATGCGCGGTAAGATGATCAAAGAGGGCCCCAAACCTGCAGCCGCGATCCCGCCCAAGGCTCCGAAGGCTATGGCTAGGAAGGCCAAGGCTGCGAAAGCTAGGGCTGCGAAGGTTTCAGCTCTGGAAGATGCCAATTCCAATTCGGTTCCTTTAGCCAATTGCCGCGTGGCCCCTCGAATGGTGAAGCCGGAGGTTGTCGAGATTCCTCTGAAACTGCTTAAAGACATGGAGCATGAAGTGGCTACACTGAGTGGGAGCTCATCTTACGCCACAGTTCTGTCCCGTAAGTATCATTATAACTTCAATCATTCTGACTGACCAAGTGGGCCAATAATAACTTTATTTTCACAGACATGTGTCTTCCACTGGGTGTCAACCCTCCCGACATCCGTTTCGAACCGGATCCCGAGAGTCTCGTCCCCAGGAAATACATACTTCGTGCCTGGTTTGACCTCAGTCACCCCTACCTGTACCGTGCTAGCCCAATCATGCTGGCCAGGATCGGGAAGACCGATGAGAAGGAGGCTCGCTTGATTGGCGTCAAGCAGGCAATCCTTTACCTTCTCGACATGGTTCAGGAAGATTCTGGGATCAATATTTTGGACCCAGTCTATGAGGTCTCGTTTCCGACGCTGAAGGCGTTGGAAATTGAGGTCAAGAACAGCTTCGCGCGGCGTGCACCGCCCTATGCAGGGTTGTGATGCGTCGCGTGTTTCTCGCTAGAGCGATGTACAGTATCGGGTCAGATTGTGGTGTTTCGTGGTTATGAGACTCTTGAGAATGGGAACTGCCGAGTCTGGTTTCGCTTGTCGTCGTCTTTTCTTTTCTGTCTTGCCCGGTTTTCTTTCTCATGAAGTCAGTATAAATTAGCCAGCGTGTACTTCGTCAAGGTTTGTCTTCGGATTTAGTTTTGTCCCATCCAGGCGTACGCATGTAAGCAAGCATGTTAGCTAGTAGTGAAGGGTTTCTTTCTCAGTATGCACTCACTTAATACAAGGGCTATGCCCTTTATACTATCTCTCACTCCCTCCCTTTCTCCTACAAAGTATATCAAGTAGAATAGATTCAAGAAAGATGCCATTGGCAATGGATATAATTCGGTGCCGACGAACACCTCAAATAGGCGTGGACATTATCAAAAGAAAGACATCACACATTGACCATGTTTAGAGCCTCCATTCCCTCCATACTACCATCCATAGCCATGAGAATCCAGCACCAAAATCAATAGCATAAACCCCGCATGCTTGGGGTATCATATTCCTTGTCGCCGTTCTTTTGGTCTCCTTTCCCCAAGATAAATAGGAGAATTCTGTTCCGAGATGAGCAAGATGCGGAGTGAGAATCAAATGAAGAGAAAAGAAAAAGTAAAGAAGAAGAAGGAGACGAAGAAAAGAAAAAGAGAAAGAAAAAGGTAGAATGTGAAATGAAAAGGCAGCCTGTGCAGCTAATGGTAATGTGGAAGTTGGCGTATGTCAAGACAAAAAGAGAAAGAGGCATTGGCGCTGGAAATACTAAGGGCTCTCAACACGGCACACCATGTCGAGAGAGCAAGAAATTAAGTAACCATGAGATAATAAGTAGTAGTAATAGAAGAAAAGAAGGGAAGGCAAAACTCATAGGTCACAGTGCACTAATCTCAAATACAGACAGAAACTCCAAGGTCAGTCCGAAGGATTGCGGACATGTTGATAGAGAAAGTATGAGGGGATAATGCGACCCCTCTAAACACACCAACGCCAATCTCGTATCCAGTGAGGAACAATAAGAAAAGAAAAGCAAAGGGAGAGAGAAAAATATCCGTGGAAAGGAATAGGCCAAAGGTAAGGAACTGCCAAATCAAATCAAATGTACAAAACAAGGGTATATCGGAGAGGTTTAAAGCACCTGAAGAGGACCATCAAGACTTTTGCATCATTCAGAGACCGTCGCCAGCCCCGGTCTCAACACCGTCTTGGGCGTAAGGCATAGTTGGGTCGAACCCAAAGTCGGTTCCAGCAGCATCGGTGTTCAAGAATGTATCGAAGTCGAAGCTCTCTAAGATATCGGGATTATCCAAAGCGCTGAAGTCAAGGTTGAAAGGAGTCTGCTATTATGAAAGGTTAGCAAACCATAATAAACAGAAAGAAAAGAATATCTTACATCAGTGATGTTGATATCTGCACCGAATTGAGACTGGTCTGGGGTAGATTGAACCATCGTAGGAGGAGCAGGAGCAGAGGCTTGCTGAGGTGGTGCGTTATTCGCATTGGCTCCACCTTTAAAGGTGTTGTTGGGAGGATGAGGCGTGACTGGAGTAGGCGGATTGGGAGTTTGCGACGGGTCGCTGACCTCGGCGGACGCAGCATTAGCAGCCGCAGCCTGGCCCTTCTTGTTACCTCCCTTGGCTTGGGTCTTCTTGTCTCGCTTCTTGGGTGCGGGCTTGGAAGGTGGCTGAGGGGTAGGGGGCGCATTACTGCCAGCAGGAGACTCCTGGGCACGGCCGGCGTTACCTCCGACAGTAGGCGGTGCTTGAGGTGGAGGCATGTTGCCTCGTTCTTGCGGTGTGCCAACTTGAGGCTGAGTCGCAGGAGAATGCTGAGGCGGCATTTGTCCTGGTGCCCACTGACCACTAGGGATGCGGTTAGCAGCATTGGCAGGGATGGGCTGGCCCATCTGGGGACCGCTAAAAGACGGGTTAGAGCTCGGGGGGCGCATGTTAGGTCCACCCGGGCCAGTGAAGAATTGAGCGCCCATATCGGGCATCTGACCGTTGAGATGCATGGATCCTGGTGATCCGCGGTTCTGACCGAGATCGCCAGCGCTAGGCGATCCAGGGAGACCACTTTGAGGCATCTTAGGTGTGCCTCGTTTCATTTGATCGCTCGGGTTTGGTGATGTGCCCGTCCGGCTGCCCTGTGGAGAGGTGCCCGGTTGCAAGGCTCCCTGTCCAGGCATCGGCTGGCCGTCACGAGACATGGTGTCCTGCTCCTGGCGAGCCATCATCAGGCGGCGCTTGTTCTGCTGCTCGAGCAGCATAAGCTGCATCTGATAATCTTGGAGAGCGTGGTTGCCGTGCTGACCGTTCGGTGTGCCTGCCATCCCCTGGCGGACCTGAGCGAGTTGGCCGCTGGCGTTGTAGTACTCTGCACCCATTGGGTACATTCCCTGGCCATCAGGCATCGCCACCAGATCCCCCTGGTTTGGCATCACACCGGGGTTCATCATACCACCATTCGGAATACCCTGGGAATTCAATGCTGAGCGCGAGTGATGAAAGGCTAAGTTTTGAGCATATACCTGCATGGATTTTTGTTGCGCCACCTGTCCCTGGTTGAACTGCTGAAATTGCGCTGGGTTCATCGCCCGCTGAGCCATTCCGGTCGGCATCATCATCTGTTGATTCGGGCCTGGCATTCCTTGTCCCTGTCCCCGTCCGCCAGGTGCCAATTGCTGTCCGTTCGGGTGACCCTCCAGGCGAGGTTTTTTCGATGGGGAAGGAGCGTTATCGGTGGAGGCGGGGGACTGTGGTCGGTTCCCGTTCATGTCTATCTCCGAATGTTCGCGTTGCATCTGCTGCATCATCTGCAACTGCTGTTTCTGTTGGAAATTGGCCAGCTGCTGCTGTTGTTGGGATCTGTAGTTAGGGGAGGCAGGTTGTCAGCAAATCATCGGACCAATTCCAGTATACCTGGGAAAATTGCCGGAGGTGTAGCATACAGGCCGGAGGTGTTATTCTGCAAAACGGTCTTGGTTAGGTTGTTAGGCGGGACCATGCCGTTGCGGGCACGCATGTTCATCTGGCCCATGTGGCCGGGCATCATGGGTTGCTGCGGGCGCATCATGTGGTTTTGCTGCTGTTGTTCTCGAAGGCGCATCATGTTCTGTAAGTGCATGTCAGATTCCACCAAAAGCACCCAAATGTCTGCAATGCCCACGAACCTGAGTATGCTGGAGGTACTGCCTCACGTCATTACGGTTGCCCTGCTTCCGCTGGGCCCAGAAAAAGTCCCAGAAGAGACTAAACCAGTCCAGCAGGAATGAGGACTGCAAACTCTCGCTAGGGATAATAGGACGAGGAAGATCATCGGGGATCTTGATCTTCTCCCCGTCCTTGCCATCCGTCATCATCGCATCGCCATCGATTCCGTTCACATCATCACGCCGATTACCGGGGCTTTGCTTGGTGCCGGACTCGGTATTGAGTTTGATATTTTCATCCTGAACGAGGGCGCGGGCGCAGTCGTGGTAGCCGCGTTTCAAAAAGTAGTCGTAGATATAGGTGTTGAGATTGTTGATCATTTGTTCAGGAATATTCATGGTGCCGTCATTACGAGGAGCCGCGGAGCCGTTGTTCATCATTGGGACACCACCCACGGGGCCTGCCATCCCGGGATTCATGCCGACGTTCATTTGGTTCATGGTGGCGAATGGTGGAACTGCAGCCACCCTTGCCAAGGTAGTTGGGTATTATGCGATTCAAAATTCTCAAAGCGATCAAGACTTCCAAGCGCGCATCCACCGTTTCAGGCGATGAGGCCTAACGCGGGGTGGAATGAACGACGCGTGGGAACGGGATAAGGAGAAGCGGTCAAGGCGCTTTGGGCGGCGGAATAGATCCGACCAACGAACACTCTCCAGGGGGTATATACGCGTAGAGGGAAGGTGCGCGCAGATCAACGGAGTCCGCTGGCGGTACGGAAGGCTTGCGATATAGATCCGCGACGATTGGCAGACGTCTTCTCCGGGTGGGAGCCACGCGACGAGATAGGGAAAAAGGATCTAAATCCGGGTGGCGCAGAGGATCACTTAGATAAGCCCGACTGCTATGGAATCCGATAGTTAGAGATGAGGTCTCAATGCATCAACGAGCGCAAGTGAAGATGAGTGAAAGAAAAGCGCAGTCGGTATGAGTTGCGATGACGGAGGTACCCAGGAGGCGGGAAAAGTGTAGTTGAAACCAGTGAAACCAGACAAGATGGGGGCGGGCACTTTGAGGGGGGGAAAGGCCCGATCGGGCCGGTTTGACAGAATAAAAAGGGGAATATACCAGCGGGATCAAGGGGAAGGATCTCACCAAGAGGGGAGGGGAATGAGAAAGTGAAGGTGTGGAGTCCAGTTTGGAAGGGGAAAAGAGGAGCCGGGGGGTAACGTCGACTTGCTACTGCTCTTTCTCTCTTCCCAGTCTGTTCTGGTCTGGAGGAATCGCTTGTTCGGATTCGGATTAACTTATATTCCCGGGGCTGGGGATGGCGCTGTCAGGCGTATTTCTGGGCATGCAAGACAAAAAGTGGGCTGGGGGATCACAACGATAAAAAAGATATCAGGACAAGATATAGAAACCAAGATCTCTAGACGCACAGATGATCAGAAATGTTCAAGAAATTCAGCAGGAAAAAAAACGAAGAAGAAAAGTTGTAGAGGAAATTGAAGGTGGGAAGGTCCGATCAGGCGAGAGGCAAGTTAATATGGGTCGATTGATACACCATATGGATCCCGCAAGTCTAAACTCAAGACTCCGCGTAAGAGTATATATGATCGACGATCGAGCCAATCAAGACAATCAACAGGGTTTGAAAATAATATGTTGATAAGTTGAAGAGAAGATGGAAGAGAATAGGAAAGAACAAGGGAAATTGATCTGTAGGATTTTTTTTCTTTCTTCAGGGTGGCGGAGGTATGTATTGATAATACCGTATTATTACACATTTTCACTCCCGGGTGTACTACAAAGTATGCAGATCTTATATCAACTTTGATCATATGAGGACGAGTATATTACTGTACTTCTCTATATAAATCAGTCTGAATTAAATATCCATCCTTGCTTATTACAGGAACCAGTTTCAGTTACAAAGTCTATTCCTTGAAAAATACACTGTGAACCGATCCGATACCGATAAATCGTGTGGCGGGGGAGTTCTGTTCCTACTGATAGATCATAAAGCCTAATGCTGGCTGTACAGGGAAAAAAAAGAACAAGAATAGAATTTCAGTCAAATCATTACCCATCATAACCTGCCGAAAACGCCTGTGGATGCTCTTGTGCCTTCTTACTCCTCTTCCGGTGGCATCTCATCCTCGATGTATCGAACCAGCGAGACCCGCATCTCTGTAGTGTCATCACCGCGCAGCACATCGCTCACAAAATGCGCCTCGATCTGCATTTGGACCTGGATTCCGGGTCAGCGATCGGACCCAGCAGAAAGGATTCCCGGAGATTTGAATAAAAAGGGAAGTAAGAGGGGAAGGGGGAAAGTTTACCATTTCCAGCGATCCTCGAAGCACACCACATAGGATGTTGGAGAACCAGAGCTCATCTTGAGCTCGGCCATCATCCGGTAGCTCGACAAAGTCTGCCAGAGGGTTCTCATCAAATATCAATGAGAACTGGTTGTTGTCACTGGACCAATTGGTGACCGTTGGTGCCACGTTCAAGAAGATCTTGAAACCCACCTAGCAAGTAGAGGATCAGTTGGTTGCAACTTTGACAAACTCTCTTTATCTTAATTTACTCACTTTGGCAATCATATCGGCGGTCTCGCGGAAATTGGAACACCGACCCACACCCGACTTGGCCAGGAAGTCCTCGATCAATCGCATACCGATATTGTAACCCATCTTGTCCAATTGCTTGTTCACCTCCTGGTAGTTGCTGTCGTAGTCTTGGCATAATTGTGCGACAATGGTGCCGTAAGTTAATGTGACTAGCTCCGCATTGACTTTATCGATTCTTGTTCTGCATGAGAACCAAGTTAGATAACATAAAAGGGACGGATATCGTTCGGTGATCTGGATCAGTTCCAGGGTTTGGTAGGGTTTTCTGGCTTACTGACTTCCATATTCTGTCAAACGAGTCTTTAGCAAGATATTAATTAATTGGATCCGAGTCCACTCACTCTTCTCCTATTCTGGAGGCTTTTGTAGCTGACATGGTGAATGGAAGATTTGCACTATTCAACCTGAATATAGGGCAAGATAGTTAAAAGCCCGGATCTGTGTCCAGTGACAGACAAATGCGACTAGTTTTCAGGGTTCGTGGAGGTTGATTGCGGGGAGTGCAAGTCGCTGGAGCTGTCTGTACACAACCGGTCTCACCGCCCGAAAGAGTGGGATTATCATTCTTCCCGCTTTCTTCAGATCTGGGAATCTTTGCGCATCTACGTTCGCCGCTCAATTTGTGACCTTCATACGAACTATCACTTGTGTTCGGACTTTCTGGGGTGATTATTCTGTGACAATGTCTGGAGAAAAGCGCCCAGCTCAAGAGGCTTTCGGATCATCCAGCCAGCTCGTCGTGAAGCGAAAGAAGTCCGATGCCGATCTGAACCCGGGTACAGCTATCGTCAAAGGCTCTTCGCAGAATGGAGCTCTTATCCAAGCTGTAAGTTGCTATATCTATAATTTGGACTGACTAGATGGGTGGAACACTAGCTAACCTGTGGATAGATCCCTCGAACCAGCGGCCTCGATGCGCCCATTATGGAACTTTCTGGTGAGACGCGTTCGCTAATTAAATGGATGGGCTTGCTCTAACAAAATCAATATAGGTCACTCTGGGGAGGTCTTTACAGTTCGATTTGATCCGACTGCACAACACATTGCGTCTGGTTCGATGGACCGGTCGATTCGTACGTCGTACCTAATATTGCCTCCAGAAAGCATTGACTCATTATTTCTTTCATCATAGTTCTCTGGAACACATACGGGCAGTGCGAAAATTACGGCCAATTGACAGGCCACAAAGGTGCCGTTCTAGACCTCCAATGGGCACGCGATTCACGAGCGCTTTTCTCGGCATCAGCAGATATGACTCTTGGAAGCTGGGATGTGGAGACTGGCCAGCGTGTGCGCCGTCATATTGGTCACGAAGAGATTATCAATTGCCTCGATATCAGCAAGCGTGGACAGGAGTTACTGGTGAGCGGCAGTGACGACGGCTGCATAGGAATCTGGGACCCACGGCAAAAAGATGCGCTGGAGTATCTAGAGACCGAACTTCCCATCACCGCGGTGGCTCTTTCGGAAGCGGGCAACGAGATTTACAGCGGCGGTATTGACAATACAATCCACGTGTGGGACCTGCGCAAGAAGGCTGTGGTGTACTCAATGGCTGGACACAACGACACTATCACTTCTCTTCAGATCTCCCCCGACTCCCAAACCCTCCTGTCAAACTCTCACGATTCCACTGTCCGGACATGGGATATTCGACCTTTCGCCCCGGCTAATCGCCAGATCAGAACCTTTGATGGTGCTCCCGTTGGACTGGAGAAGAACCTTATCCGCGCTAGCTGGGATCCTAAGGGAGAGAAGATCGCTACTGGAAGTGGTGACCGAAGTACGGTGGTATGGGACGCAAAGACTGGAAAGCTTCTGTACAAGCTCCCCGGTCACAAGGGCACTGTCAATGACGTGCAGTTCTCCCCCAATGATGAGCCTATCAGTAAGTTTCGTATAACTGACTGATACGATATAACTCTAACATTCTCGCAGTCGTTTCTTGCTCTTCCGATCGCAACCTTATGCTTGGCGAATTAGGGAAATAAGCATGATCAAATACTTATCGGGGAATTTTTTATCATAGTGGATAAGCGGGCGTTTAATTGATCTAATCCTTGATTATCCTAACATCTGAACCACAAGTTCTGGGACCAATTTAGCCAACAAGAAGGCTTCCCCATAAAATGGGCCATCTACTGCTATCTTGATTCTTGCAGAGATACGGTCCTAATGATGTACACTATATCCTACTTGAAGGCGTTTGCCGTTCTTTTCTTTCACTTGGAAATCTTCATTTATAAACAAAGCTACGTGATAAGATGAATATCTCTAAATATCTTTGGAACTAAATCATCCCTGGTTGCTATGTCAAGGGTCCAATGATGCAATGCCAAAAGTTTCCCGAATTGGCTTATCTGGCCGTATCCACTCTCCCTCACCTTTTTCCTTCAGCGGGCCAAGGACACATTCATTTATTCCTATAGGCTATCTCAGGCACTAAGGGCACTTCTCAACCCGCGTGGACCTTATAATACTTCGTCTACCATCTACCCCACATAATCCCCGCTCTGGTGATGCGCACGCGATGTTGGAGCTTGCCAATGTTCAACCCCCTTCGCGACTGGATAATGCTGGCCTGGGCCATCTTGTCACTATGGCTCACTCTAGCAGAGGGGATGAGAGATTACCAAATTAAATCGCTCAGGTGCGACACTCTGTCCAGTCTCTACCGCCTGGATCCAGCCCCGTTGTTGACACCCTGTTCTACAGACAAGAAACGGAGCACATGTTCTACCATGGATTTGAAAACTACCTCGACCATGCGTTTCCCGAAGATGAATTGCGCCCACTCACCTGTGGTCCTTTAACTCGCGACGAAAAACATAACGATCATAACGATGTGCTTGGCAACTATTCCTTGACCTTGATTGACAGCCTGTCGACCCTCGCTATTTTGTCCTCGAGTCCGGAGAGTGGGGATCGGTCTTTGGGATATTTTCAAGATGGTGTGAAAGATTTCGTTAGATTATATGGGGATGGCTCGCGGGGCCCTGCTGGTCGGGGAGAGCGCACAAGGGGGTTTGATATTGATAGCAAGGTGCAGGTATTTGAGACGGTCATCCGAGGACTGGGTATGAGACACTGCTCTGCGCTGAGTTGATTCAGCTAACGTCAACCTGCAGGTGGATTGCTTAGTTCCCACCTTTTCGCTATTGGCGAACTTCCCATTACCGGATATCAACCACCAGAGCAGGATGCTGCCTTTGCTGCTGCTTGGAACAAAAGCTCTTTCTGGGAAGATGATCATGGGATTGAATGGAGAAATGGATTTGTCTACGATGGTCAACTCCTCCGGCTGGCAGTTGATCTAGCAAACCGTCTCCTTCCAGCGTTCTATACAGAAACAGGTCTGCCATACCCGCGGGTCAATTTACGGCATGGTGTACCGTTCTACGAAAACTCGCCTCTGAACCTCAAACCTGCAGGGAACAAGCGTAAGAAATATTCTTACCTGACAAGTGCTGAGGTTACCGAGACCTGCAGCGCGGGTGCGGGCAGCTTGGTTCTTGAGTTTACCGTCTTGAGCAGGCTCATTGGGGATGGTCGGTTTGAGGAACTAGCCAAGAGAGCATTCTGGGCGGTTTGGGCCCGGCGAAGTGACATCGGATTGGTTGGATTTGGTATCGACGTCGAATCAGGGAAATGGATAGGCTCATTATCGGGAGTAAGTGATGATAACAGTCGATGAACGAAGAGATACTAATAAGTGATAGATTGGTGCCGGTATTGACAGCTTCTTCGAATATGCCCTTAAATCACATGTTCTTCTTTCAGAGGGAGAACGTCCCCCCTTTGATATGAAAAGTCCTTGGAAGATTCTGGATGATTATTATCTCCCCTTGACCGAGGATCAACATTCTCCAGATGCCTTCCTTCAGGTCTGGGAAGACTCGCATACCTCAATCAACCGCCATCTATACCGTGGCGAGGGGTATCAACATCCCCACTTGGTTGTGGGAGATGTCATCACCGGAGCTACGCGAGCCTTTTGGATTGATAGTTTGAGTGCGTACTATCCCGGCTTACTCGCTTTGGATGGGAAGCTGGATGAGGCCATCGAAATCCATCTTCTCACAACCGCAATCTGGACTCGCTTCTCTGCCCTCCCTGAGCGGTGGAACGTGGCTACGGGTGATATCGATAACGGGCTTTCCTGGTACGGAGGTCGACCCGAGTTTATCGAATCTACTTACTACATTTACCGGGCAACTCAAGATCCCTGGTATCTGCATGTTGGGGAGATGGTGCTTCGCGATATTAAGAGACGTTGCTGGACGAAATGCGGATGGGCTGGCTTGCGCAATGTTCAGACTGGTGAATTGATTGATCGTATGGAAAGTTTCTTCCTCGGAGAGACTGCCAAGTACATGTTCCTTCTCTTCACTCCTGATCATCCACTGAACAAAATCGATGCTCCATGGGTGTTCTCCACCGAGGGTCATCCTTTGATCATTCCGAAAAAGACCAGGCCGAGTCAACCCCATCGCCGGCAAGATGTTGCGCCGATTCGGCACACAGCTGATGACGTTTGTCTCGCGCCTCTTGCTCCATCGAGCTTTGGCGCCTCTTCTACGGCATCGCGGTCTGATATATTCCACGCTGCTAGTTTGGCGCGTTTACATCTTCGGCCTCGTAGCGCAGATGAAGGTGCCATCTTGGCAGACTCACCCAAGCATCCCAGTGTATCGGTATCTGATCTATCATCGCCAAGCAATTATACATTCTACCCGTGGACACTTCCTCCCCAGCTTGTGCCTTTCAACGCCACCAGCGCGCCAATGGCTATTCGTCCCACACTTGACGTTTCATTCCCATCGCTCCCGGGTGGTATCAACATGGGTCCAGGGGCTTTGGAGCGCGTAAAAGACGGCATTCTGATTAAAACGGTTGGAGGGCTTCGATTGAGCATGATCCAGGATGTCCCAATGGGAACGGGCGTCAAGGGCAACTATGAAGACGGCTTCCGGGTCCAAGTCATCAACAATGTCCCTCTGGGCAAAGATGAGAAGGTATACCTCTCGCGCCAGATCACCTTTGACATCGTCGACCCCTATGATCCCAACTTCACCCGAGTCCGTGATACCGCTATCCTTGACCTCGTCATTGACGTTCTTCCAGAGCCCCATCGACGAAACAATGGCTCGGCTCAAACAAGATCTGAGCAGCCTGCATCAGAGTCTTCAGATGATTCGGAACTTCCAGAGTCTCACCTCAGTCGCCACAGACCCGTCGCCGACGAAGATAGCCCTAGTGTCGACTCACCCATGAAGACCATGCTTTCGTCACTCGTCAACACAGTCTCATCTCTCCTCCGCGATGACCCCGTCGAAGTTGCCCCGCTTCGCCTCAGCCTCCCAGCTACCATTCCTACTGGCGTCGGAGCCGCCCCCCTCCCTGAGGTTGAAGACGCCATCAGCATATCCCTAACTGGCAACCCATCCGCAACACAACTCTCATGGTCATCAATCTACTTCGCTGATGATCTCTGTGACGAGCGAATCCTCCGCGACATCGTCCAAACCCACGAGATCCTCGTCCTGAAACGCGGCGGCTGTACCTTCTCTCATAAAATGCGCAATATCGCCGCTTTCAGACAGTCGCGTTCATCCTTGAAACTTGTCGTTGTCGTATCCTACGATGACGAAGTTCCCCCGCAGCCTGAACCTGAGGAAGACCCATCTTCTGAGGAGTCACGGCCGATTTCTCCTCTCGCCGCGTTGCGCGCGGAACCATACCTCATCCGTCCTCATCTTGATGAGAACCAGATGACTGCTAGTGGTATCCCGCGGAATCACCTCATTAGTATGGTTATGGTTGGCGGGGGTGAAGAGACATATAAACTTTTGCAAGCTGCCACTGGTGTTGGAGTGAAGAGGCGGTACACGATGCAATCTCAAGGTGTCCCCATCACTAATCTGTATATCATTTGATTGCTATATACCCAGGCTGATCGATAATGCATTTATTCGGTTCAAATGTTTGGTCCAGCTTTTGTAAGATTTAGATATTTCCACAATCTATCACTGTTTCACGACTTCCAAGGTTATCAGACTCGGATTCTAGTATACACCGGCGTTCACATGACATTATATATAGCCCAACCGGGTATTGATTGGAGAGTCAACGGTCACTGTTTTCCCTCAAGTCAATCAAGTATATGTTAGCCACATGAGTTATCCAGTATTTGATATACTATATCATAAAAGTCTTAAATATACTACCTAGACAATCCATCATATCTGACCCATATCTATGCCCCCGCATAACAAGCATGAAAACACGAACAGGCGGTCCCTTTCCCACATTTCTAGTCTCAATTATCTATTGTACAGTATGGGGTTTTACGAGTCTTCAGAAACATGAATTCGACATGTACTAGTCCTTATTCGATATTGTCTTTTATCATGATTTAATTTCATTTTTATATCTTGTACCGAGTACATCTAGATTTACTCCAGAGCAATGCACTCAATCTCAACAGGAACACCCTTGGGCAGCTGGTGAACAGCAACACAGCTACGAGCAGGCTTGTGGGTGAAGAACTTCTCGTAGACAGCGTTCATGGGAGCGAAGTTGGCCATGTCAGTGAGGAAGACCTAAATCATATCAGTTATCATGTATACCCAACCCTTACCCAAGCTAAGATATGGGAGGATAATTATAGAAAAAGACTCACGTTGACCTTGACGATCTTGGAAACGCTGGATCCGGCAGCAGTGATGATAGCCTGGATGTTGTCGCAGCAGGCCTGGGTCAGGACACCAATGTCACCCTCGACCAGGTTGCCGGAGGCATCGGCGGGGATCTGGCCGGAGATGAAGAGCTGACCGTTGGCCCGGATGGCCTGGGACTATATATTATGTCAATTGGATGTTCTGTTTGTGGTTTATGTAGCATTGGTGCGATTGGAGTTCTTAGGGTTGGGATGGTGGGGTTGGAATCCATGAGTTGAGTCACAAGTGGGGATTTGGGATTCGAGAGAGATATATGGAGTGTGAAGCTAGGGATGGAGGAGCTGGAGCTGGAGCTGGATGAACGTACGTAAGGGCCGGCAGCTAAGTAGAGTCAATGCCTGTTAGCAATCGGCTCCGATCTCGCAATGACAATCATGGATAGTATGGGAAGGAGGTCTGAACTTACGAGGGCAGGCATCCTTAGCGTGGATGATGGACATGTTGGCAGACATTCTGGGAGTGATAGGGACGGTGAATCGAGGATTAAAGGTACGAGAGAAAGCTTGAAGACGACAAATAGAGCGCAGCATGTTGGAAAGGTGGGTTATATGATGGAAACTGCCGCAGCACCCCGCCCTAGATTGGTGGGGTTGTTGGCTTCTGTTTCCCGCGGTCAACTCAATCACTCGGGAAACATGGAAACATTGACCTATCGAGATTACGGAGATACAGTACTTTGATATGATTTGAATTACATAGGGTGGTGGGTACTGATTGTGATAATGCTAGTAACTCAATTCGCTCAGATAGTGTACAAGCTAGTCGTCTCTTCGTTAATGTGATATCGCTGTGTCCATGAATGGCTCGCAAGTAAAAAAGGTTCAGAAAGGGTGTGAAGGGTACATCTCATAGCTGCATCCCCATATTACGCAGTTGTTGCATCAAGCTAGCCGTCTGCTCAGCTGAATATCCGAAGAACACCGGTCCATTGAACGTGACATGAGATGGCATGGGATTTGTGTTTGCCTTGGCAGTGGGATCACCCTGGGGGGAATCGGCATCCGCTTGAGCAGGCTGGACATGTTTGGCCCAATTGGACAGAGGTGACACCGACCGTTCGACTTCGGGGGCAGCGGCAACGGGGGGAGGAGGCGCTGAAACGGGTTCAGCTGCTTCTGGCTTGGGGGCACCATGTCCAAATGGGCAGCGACCGGCCGGCTTAGATGAGGCATCGGTGGTCTCAAGGGGTCCGACATGAGACTCAGGAGACATAGGGCCAGGTAGAGATCCAGAGAAGGGAAGTGAAGCGCTGGTTTGCTGGGTGATGGGTACAGGAATACCCCATGGTCGGCTTGGGGATTCACCCAAGCGTACCTCGCGGAGAGGACGGTCAAAGCGACCCTTGCGGTCATCATCGTTCTCATTATCATTCTCATTCTCATCCGGAGGTGGCGGAGGTCCGGGATCGGCTGGGTCCAAGTTCTCTGCCCATTTCTCAACTCTCTCGGTAGACACAGACGGCGCCTGGCCATCGCCATCGCCATTTGCTGGCAAGAAAGCCTGATGCTTGGCTGAAAGACCACTTATCATATTAATCAATCCGCCATACTTCGCATCCAGCTGTCGCATATTCTGAGGGTCTCTCTGGTAGCGCTTCACGCAGATGGCATGGCTTCGAGGAATTTCATGCTTATGTCTCTCCACATACTCGGCAATTTCCTCTGGCGAATGTTTGTCCAAGTATCGAATAGGACATCTTGAAACAGGGCATCGACTTCCCGAGGTCCGCACAGATGGCGTTGTACTGGACCGTCGTTCGTCCTGTTCGGCCTTGATAGGGTCCAAATTCTCGTGACCACATGTATCAACTTGAATCTTAGGGCCATCATCCGTCCCATTCAACGCCTCACTTCCTGAGGGTGCCTTGGGTTTTGAGAATGGGCAGTGCAGGCTACCCTGAGCACCGTTGGTGGTGAAGTCTTCCTCCAGGTACACAGAGTCTGGGCCACGCACAAACATGCAAGAATTGGTAGAGGACATTTGGGAAACACCATCCTGGGTACGGAGTAGAGCCTTATAGCCCTTAACCCCAGCCACGATGGCCCGAGTGGCATTTTCGTCTACATTTTGGTGTGAAACGAGGGTCTTGATTACATGCATGGAATTGAGCGACTGCTCTTCGATTGGAGGTTTGTTGTGCACAAGGCCTAGACACAATTCTTTCTGTTGATCCAATAACCTTTGCTGTACCTCCATCGCACGAGGTCTATCTGGAGGAGGTAGCTGCCTGATAACATCGGTGTACTAGAAGGTCGCATGTTAGCAGCCATCTCTCAAAGTTGTGATGCAATGAAGATAACAACAGTCTCAATCAGATAATACATGTTAATCCGTCATCGCCACATAAGTGACTCCTGATCTAGAGCTAATTTCTCGTCATTTGAGACATTGGGGTTTGGGGCTTGGAGGCAAATGAAAGTAGCGATGGAAGGGAGTATTTACCTGTTTGAAGACATCCTCGGTATGTTGCTTGAGTTCATTGTGTCTGTTGGTAAGCCGGTACAATGTTAGTAGTAGGGCATCGAACGCCTTGCCCACGGCTTCGAGCTGGTCCTGATGCAGATCCGGCCGCATCTCCTCGGAAATAGGGGCTGGCATGTCGTGGTGGAGCGAAGTATATTACAATGTGGAGAGAAAGCTCATTTGACATTCCAAGAGCTGGACTCCATACGGTGGTGCAAACACCGGAGAATGGAAGATGGTGAAGGAAGAAAAGGTGAGGCAGACATTTTATAGCGGATGGCGCGACGCCGGAAAAACATAAGCGAGTTGGTCCGTGCAGTGTCACGTGGTGTTCGGGTTGGAAGATCTTCCGAGGCTCAACTCCGAGATTGCGGTACATGACATGATCAGTGCATGATCGTACAAAGTAAATTTTTCGTTCTGGTATTGTAATCTACTTGGATTTGCCACTTTTTGAGGCTGACGCAATTAATGGATGTTGCAGTCACACAAAAATATCATCATGTGAACCTTGTTCATCTATAGGGAGATGTTGCACAGGGTGAAGGACCCGGAGCCTGGAGCGATCTAGATGCAATTAATAACCTTGGAATTCGAATATTCTATTTTTGATCAAATATTTACGTATATCTGGGTGTCTATTGCTATGTTTCTCTGTGGATCTTGAAATCGTCAAATGCTGGGATCTCCCAAAGTTAGAACATGTCTCTACACTGTTGGTCGGTTCCAACTCACATACAGAAATATGTATGCCGCACCGGTGGATCAAGTTCCAAAGATATACAATGTCAGAATGGAATTTAAAAATCTTACCCATGTACTAGTAAGCATGAAACTGATCAAATCGGCTAAGTGTCAGGCCAATTTTTTTTCTTTATAAAAACAAACCACTTGTTCTAGACCTACATACATGTGGTGCTTTGATGACTGATGATAGAACGTATCTGGGTGAAACATGAGTCTTGGATCATGTAGCCATATATTTATCCGCCTTCAACAAGCCCGCCGGGCTAGCTCAATCGGTAGAGCGTGAGACTCTTAATCTCAAGGTTGCGGGTTCGACCCCCGCGTTCGGTTCTTTTTTGGTGAACTGCCATTAACTTTTCACTTTTCGGCTACATGAATTGTTATGATTCATATAACCATATATTGCTCGGCCCTTCAACAAGCCCGCCGGGCTAGCTCAATCGGTAGAGCGTGAGACTCTTAATCTCAAGGTTGCGGGTTCGACCCCCGCGTTCGGTTTCTTTTTGTGCTGTAACAGCTTCCTTTTTTGCTCCCTTCCGTCATTTTGCTGTATCCGTTATTTATAGTACTTTTAGCTCTAATGCAGTTACCCCTCATCGAATCACAGAGAATCGATTGATATGATAAAACTCCCGGCCCCCTGCAGAACAGATAAAGACCCGGATCCCGTAAAACGTTCCTCTCCGCTGAATCCCCTAGCGCTGCATGCATGTACCAAAAAGTGCAAACCCACTAGGATGGCTGTGACGAGTTTCCGATCGCGATGCAACTGGCCTGGCGATTACTATTGGCTGATTGACAGTGTTTGTCCGTTCGATGTGTCAATCAAGACTGCATGGGCACCTGCATGGGCAACGTAGCGCTCGGATATGGTCTGATGGTCTTAGACCACTAGCTTCATCCATTCTCGCCTATGATCATATCCCAATACCTCTTTCGATACACACCATCTCAGCCACATTGGTCTGGCCAAATATAGGGTAAGCTGTGTGATCCATGAGTCATTTTCGGTTTCTTCATTTGGTCTCGAATGAACCTTCTCAGTCGAAGCCAAACAGAGGATGGTGTGATGGGCGCAACACGACCTCTGATTCGTCCGGGCCAGACAGAGGAGGCGTCCGTCGCCCCAAGGCTAGGCAGCATGCATGTCTAGGCAGGTGGGCGATTCCGCAGATCAGAACGAGCTGAGTGTAGAATCTGCCCGAGGCCCGCAGCGGGATGGACCCGAAGGACACCTCAGAAATGAGCTGCATAGGCGAATTCTAGAAGCGGGTTTAATGGCGTGACATTGGTATTACCAGTCACCGCTTATTGATGAGCATGGCAACGGCCATAGTCCTGAAGCATGAAGATAAAGTATAAATTCCCAGATCTGACCGCTGGTTAAGGGATCAAAGATTCCAAGGGTGAAAGTAGATAGCATGTTAAGTAACAAATAGTAAATAATGAATAGTAAATAAAAAATAAGAGTTAACAAAAAGATGTTCATCCTAGTTCCAGTACTACCCCTCCATAGTATTCTAGACCCCCACGAGGGGCAACTTATCTGCTTATCAATACCCGTAATTTTTTTTCATTGAATTTTCTTTTTCTTTTTTTAATCTTTTACTTCCGATATAAACCTTCTCAATTGTTTTCTACCCCTCCTTATCCTTCCCCCCTTTTCCTCTCTCATCATGTCCCAATCTACTCTTCCTGATGCCTCCGCCCAAGTCTCCGGACACTCCGCCTCCAATGCCACCAGCGCCGCCGAACTCGCCAGTCTTAAGGTGAGCCTGCGCTCTTCTCTGCGCCAGTTCCCGGACTTCCCTACTCCGGGAATCCTGTTCGAGGATATCCTGCCTATCTTCGCCAACCCTAAGACCCACGAGGCTTTGATCCGCTCTTTGGAGCTGCACATTCTCGCCAACAACGGTGGCCAGAAGCCCGATGTTATTGTTGGTCTGGAGGCCCGTGGCTTCCTGATCGGACCCAGCCTGGCACTGCGTCTGGGTGCTGGCTTCGTTCCAGTTCGCAAGCAGGGCAAGCTTCCCGGTCCTTGCATTACTCAGGGCTACGAGAAGGAGTATGGTCAGGATTTCTTCCAGATGCAGGAGGATGCTATCAAGCCTGGCCAGAAGGTCATTGTTGTCGATGACATTATCGCTACTGGTGAGTGACCAACACGTCTAGTCATAAATTGCAATCCACTGATGGTTCTCAATTTATAGGTGGATCTGCCTACGCCGCCGGTGAGATGATCAAGAAGCTGGGCGGCGAGCTGATGAGCTTCCTCTTCATTCTCGAGCTTGAGTTCCTCCACGGTCGTGACAAGCTCCCCGCTCCCACCCACACCCTCCTCTCCGGCCAGGCTTAATTTTGTCTCTGCCGCGGCTATGCCTCAATACAAAAGTGCATTTATTCCGATCCCCGAGATCGCTGACTCGTTAATGACCCAAATGCCCGGACTGGCGGTGTCCCCACCCTCCACCCGACCAGCCGCCACTTCCGACTCAGCGCTCATGCAGTTAATCCAACCCGAATTCCGGAGCTGATCTGCGCGGGTTTTCCGTTCTTCCCCTCTTTCCATTTCGGTGATTTTCAGTTACACGTGGTTTCTTCTGGGTTGGAGTCGAGCCGGGCTCATACGACTCCCAATTCAAATTTAATTAAATAAACCACATTATATAGACAGATACCTTGGAAAATAGTTCATGTTTCGTGCTTCTTGTTTGGCAGAATTGCTGTTCAGCCTGTTATAATCTGATTGGAAACGGAGCTACAGGCCTTGATAGAGCCTCTCTAGTAGATCATAGCCCAGGTATACAATCAGACACCGAACCAAGCGGAATAAACCGCCTCATAACCTCCTCAACCCAAATTTCGGAAACTCCCAACGCCACAGACTCCCGAATTGCCCGATTCATCCGCCCAATATACTCCGTCTTCGGCGACGACACCTTCACCCGCTCTTCATCAACATATACAAGCACCCGAACAAGTCCAGATTCCGTCTTTAGCCGATGATCACCATCAATCCACTTCAAAACAGTCGCAGGAAGATACCATTTATTATAATCTCCCTCCCCCTGCTCCCTAGGTCGGATATCCTTCCCCACTTCTCCTTCCCCTCCCCCCACCTCCGCATTCCAATCCACACCTTCATACCCATCTAGAAGCTGCTCATCTCCAAGATCCATTTCATAAAGGATACCATATACAGCATCCTCTGTTCCAGAAATTGGTACTTTCATCGCGGCTTCGCTATTCTGTGCCCCGACCCGCATCCCTGGCGGAGGGAGGACATTGGCGTACCCCGCTTCACAGATAAGCCACCTCCACTTCGGGAGGATTGCGATGGCGATAGGTTTTGCCGATAAGGAGGGATTAATATAGCAGCGCTGTTTCATCTGCGTCGGGGAGAGATTGGAGCCGTAGGCAAAGTAGAGGTTTGGTTTTGTGGCATCGGTGCGGGGTGAGGCGTTGGGGCAGGTGGTCGCTGAGATGGGAAGGAGAGTCTCGGATTGGGGCTCTAGTTTGAGATCAATATGCATGATGTATGTTGTGTGGATTGAATCTAAAGGAAGGTTCAAATGTTCCAATGTTCCGGTGTTTCAAGGTTGAAGGGTTGAACAGGTACCGAGATCCATAAAGCTTAAATATATGGTTCGGCCGCGGATCAGTAAGGAGGCGGAAATATCTATAAAATGAGTCTTCTACTTGGATATGACCAAAATTCCCCTTGAAATTCAGTACTTCTATCCAATATAAAATTTATATCGTGAAATGCTGTGAACTCGAAGGTGCAGTTTCTAACCCCGAGGAATCTTGAAATTTTTCATAGTAAAAAATCCCTATAGTAGGATGAAGGTTATATGGATCTGATTTAGATTTCAGCCTAGAATTCAAAAATTCATATCAGATTTGAGTTCAACATAGTGAAAAACAAAAGATGTTGCCTTGAACGCTAAGGAAACTTGAATAATAGCAATATCAAAGAGTCTGTTTCAGGCAGTAACATCTATTAAACGGTATTTCAATTCCAACCTATCGAGTTGCAGTCTGGACTGAGTTGGCTGAGGACGGAATCTCGTGCTTGACACGATGTACGCAGGTGCACCCGATATCCTACGGCAAAAAGCTAGACGCGCGGTGGAAAGCCTCTAGTATCAATCTACCATGTCGGTGGTTGGCTCATGTAGTGCTGCCATCAGCACTACTTGTCCACCAAAGGAATATAGCTCTTGGTCTCTTGATGTGGGGGAAGAAACCTGCTGCACCATGGTGGGGATTGGAAAATCCCAAGGAGGAAGAGGGCCATTGCATTTTCGCATACTTAGATATCATCCCGTCCATTTCAGCAAAGGTGTTCGCGTAACTGTAGCTTGACAGGGAATCACCTTTATCAAAGGATAGTCCATAGTATAGTAGGTTGGATTGCAAAATTCGTACAATGAGTTAAGAATTACAGGTCACATCATACCATGTCTTAAAGAGCACTTCAATCGCTATACATGTAAAGGAAATGCAAAATGAAAATGTAACGATAAATCAACTCAGCGCTGGGGAATTGTCCCACTCATTCGACTACCAACACCGGCCATCAGACTCTGCTTCACAATGGCATCCGCCGCCGCCGCCGCAGCCAGTCTTTCCTTTTGACGGCTGCGATCACGGAGATAACCGGCTGCTTCGGGTCGCATGCGAAGAATACGCAGGATCATGTCGTCGTTCGGATCAGCTTGGGCTTCACGGCGCTTCTCTTCTTTCATCTTCTTCATGGTACCCAGGTTGCGCGATAGCATGATGCTCTTTGCGCGACGGGCCGTGGGAACACCTAGACCACCGTAGCTACCGGTGGCTCCAAGGTGAGCAGGGGCAGAGGTGCGGTTGCGGTTCGCCTGCTGGCGGTTCACGTTTGCCGAGGCCATCCGCTCTGAAGTGCGAATCAGATTCTCGGTTGGCTCAAAGTAGAAGAAGTTCAAGCTTTGGATTTCATGGTACTTGGGAGATTTCAAAATGTCGATAGGAACACCACCGGCGTCGCCGGTTTCCTCATCTACTGCGTGGAAGAAGTTCAACAGCAACACGAGCCAGCGTGATACGATATCCACTTCTTGGATTGTCAATGGCTTCTGGTGGGATGGCTTGTCGGACAGAGGAGGAACCAGTAAACTCTCAATGGTTGCAAGGACCTCTTTCCACAGACGAGCCATGACCATTCGCATAGCCTCTCCGGTCAGTGTCTTGTTCATGATAGCAAAATTATCGTTGAAGTAGTTGAACAAAGGTGTCAAAGCATTCTCAACGTCGGCCGGGGTGGGCCCCGTCGAAGTCTGCGGCCCTCGGTTGCGATTGAGGAAATTGGACACCGTCGACATGCTGATTCCACGGGAGAGTAACGACTTCAAAGTTCGGCGTGATAGACAATAGCTGATATACGCAGAAAGCTAAGACAAAGTCAATGGGCCGTGACACAAAATAGGAAAAAATAGCAAAGTCACTCACCTTCTCAGTAATCTTCCTGGTCATGTCCCTCTCTGTTCGTTTGAGGGTACGGAAAGCTTTACCAAAGTAGAACTGAATATCGTCACGCTCGCCCTCCATGCTGACACGGAGTAAAAGCCGACCTTGGGTGTCCAGATCCAGCCAGTACTCCCTCGGTAAGAAGTCACTAAAGTGAACTGGGTCAAGCTTGATAGATGTTCGACCAACATAGTCGTGATCACCAACGGCATCCCAGTCCCAAATCGTAGCGATGATGTTCAAAGGACCCTGAGTGGTGATGTCGACAGAGTCTTCCCAGCGGGGGTTGAGGTTGTTATAGATGATGCGGGTCTTGGCAATCCGTTTTTGATATTCGTCTGCAAGGACCACGTACGGATCACTGGCACCATTCATGTCACAGGCTTTCAGGTCTTCTGCCTCCACTACCTTGATGGTAAAGACATAAGTGGTTGACTTGCGGACCTTCTTAAGCTGCGGAGGGCTCTTCTTCGCAATAACTTCGGCACAAGCATCGACGTTGATCTCACGTTCAAGGCTGTCCAATTGCGAAAGGGCATATTCGATGTTGTTCAGTTTCACCAGGGACTGTTACAATGTTAGCGAAGTGTGGAATTTTCCTGGGACCAAAATTCATACCTCGGAGGAAAATTGGAAGGGTTCAATTTTTTCCTTGTTCGTCCATGTGTCCTTGGCGAATTGCATTAGCTTTTCCTGGGTGGTTTGGTTCAGAACTGCCTCTTGCTCCGGTGTGAGCCGGTCCATCTCCCGGGAAAACATTTGTTCTAAGAACTCGCAATATTTCGCGACACCCTTCCCAATGGAGCTGGATAGTGCAGTCATGAATTTCGCGTATTGAAGATCATCATCCCACTCTAGATTTACCAGGTTCTCCACCACTTGGTTGAAGGACCGGAACACATCGATAACGGAGACACTGTGTCGGGCTTCCTCTGGGACATCCTCGGTCGCTCCATCTGCACGAACGGAGAAGGCGTCCTGTCTGGTAGCTTGATTGACCCATTCCATAACACTCTGGTCTGTCAAACGCAGCCATCGCCAAACGAAATCTTCTAGAAGACTCTCAATGTGGAATGGGAAAGGGTCATCAGGGATTGTGCTCACAAACAGGCGCCTGATAGTAGCAAGTGCCCTGTACAGATCGAAGCCCTCCTCGACAGGGATCTCTTCATCCCTGGCTTTGGTCTGCTCGATGATTCGGATGACCATTTCTTGCGCATCTTCAGCAAACATGGGGAGCACATTTTGGCAGAGAGTTGTATAAGGATTGACACCCATAATCTCAGGGTTATTCCTGTAACGCTTTTTGATCTTCAGTGCAAGTTTTGAGATCGCATCGCCCAATTGGATGATATCGTCAGGCCGCCAGTCTTCCTGATGAACAGAGATTAACTGGCTTAGAAGTCTCTGGTACTTTTCTGTCGCCTTCTGAGCAAGACCCTCTTGCACATACGACCCGAATCGACCAAGATCCTCGGGATTCTCTGTATAATTTGGATCCATTTGGACATGGTTCTCAAGCACGTACATTACAGGTCCAAGTGGACGTGGTTTTGCCTCGAAGCAGTCCATCATCACATCGTAAAGCTCGCGTAGCAAGGCTTCGTGAATCTTGGACAGGAGATTCTGCATCATTTGAAGATCATGCACGGTCCATTTCCGTCGGTCAAAGACAGATGGCGCCACAAAACTGCTGCGCTTGTTGCGGTTTTCAGTGGGAGGAGGCTCTTTTGCAAACGTAAATGCCTGGTCCAGGGTATTGAGGTCAATCTCATTATCCACAAACTTGGTTTGTATGACGTCCAAGAACAGTACAACGCGAGAGAAAGTCGGAAGCCGCCAGCGGAGACAGATTTCATTCAGCATTTCTGTTGATTGCTTAGATAGGAGTTTCACTGACGGGGTATCTGACGCGGTTTGGGTGGCCTCAATCTCACGATCTCGTAAATCATGGGTCAAGGTTTGCGTCAAGATAGCCCTATATACAGTCCGAGGATCAGAGGGAATGAAAGTATAAGTATCTGACTCCTCTGAGTCGCCATCGGCGCCCAAAGAGAGTCCACCAAGGTCAACAGGTGAGTCAGCGCCATAAGATGTTCGGTCAGTACGACCAGAAGATGTTCTTGTCAAGTCATCCTCTACTGGTGAGTTGAACTGAGGTAGAGTGCCAGGTGTGCTCTTGGCCAATTCCGGGTGGGACTGCATGATGGAAAGCATCATCTGGGAGAGCTCAGGACCCTCGGTTTTCTTCCAGCTCTCATAAGCCTCATCCGTCTCAAAATCATCCCTCGACAATGTCTTATGAGTCTGAAGACTCAACTGGGTTTGATAAGTCTTGAGGTCCTGCAATGCAGCTTTCTCCGTCCATTTATTCTTATTCTTGTCAATCTCGGCCTGAGCCTGGGAAGTAGTCATTCCGAAGATCTTGGCCACATGTTGCACCAGGGGCATGTCCTTAACGTCGTAGCTCAACGGGGCGACAACCTCTGTAGTCGAAGTCGGGCCTTTCGCGTTCATTAAATCCTGATCTTGCACAAGAAGCTTGTTCTCCAGTACAGACAATCGATTTGCCAGCTCCGGTCGATCCTTGACCCAGTCATGCCCTTTCAGTACCAATGCAAGCAATCGGACAAACAGCGCCACGTGTCGATCTACCATGAGCTTCCAGCTGTCATCATCATGCTCCTTGCCCTTGCTCAACTCCTTGATCGCATTAGAGTAGAAGATGAGCACCAGGTCCTCGGCTCGGCGGTCCTTTTCCATGCGCTTGCGAAAGGAATCTTCCTTCAATACATTAAGAAAGGCAGCAAATGTGCGCACCACCAAATGATCTTGGAACTCCTTGCGCTTCTCTTTTCCCATCAAAACGCCCGTCAACCGTTTCTCCAGCTCGGCGACAAATCCATGGGGAATTCGTGTGCTCTTAGAATCCCTAACCAGCGAAAAGTCACTCATCAAGTCCTGAATGGAGGTGTTTGATCGCTTTGGCCGCGCCGGCGCGACGGTTACACTCTGAGTGCGACGAGAGCGAGGGTGGAGGAGATAGGCAAGGTAGGCTACGCGGAGCGCATGGCTGGATGCGATGTTGGCGCTAAGTGGTCGGCGCCGTGAAACGGAGGAGTTGCGCGAATGTCGACCTTCATTCTGGATGCTGTTGATCCGTCGGTTGACTCCTCGGGACTGACTAGATGTCGACATGAGGTTGTCTGTATTGGACGATTCGGGGGGAAAGCAGTGGAGTGCGGGACCATAGATGGAAGGCGCAGACCACCAGCCAGCAGTGGACGAAGCCCTTTAGCGCGACTTTAGAGGAAAATGTTTTGGGGTCTTAATGTGGATATGTCTTGGATGGGGAGAAAACGTTAGGCCGAGCAGAGGGTCGGTAATGGTAATGTGGTTTCCAAATATTTACCCTAAGGAGAAGAAAGGAGAGGGGAACGGATGAAACAAAAAGCTCCCGGACTGAACTGACGTAGGCGCCCGGACCAAAACAAAGATATGATTATCAACCCAGAAGAAGCTCAACAGTACTCAAATGCTTAGATGTATAAGGAAAGTTGTTTTGTACCTGAGTTTCTGATTTTAGCGAGGAGATAAACCTTAGGTCCCAAGTTTCTCCCTTGGAGGGGTTCAATCGGGCACAAACAATGATGATATAATGCAAGGGTATATACCCCCAGTATGTACCATTGACCTGAACATGTTGATTCCTTGATTCCTTGATTCCTTGATCCTTATCCCTTTTGATTATAGAATACACAGAATATCCATTCTAGTGTATTGTGCCTTTTATGAATAAGCGCTGCATTACAACTGTAGCTGTTACTGTTCCTAGAGTGATACAGTCTAAGTGAGACAAGTTGGAAAGGAAAATATGTTGGAACAGAGTAATCGAGCATCTAGTTCTCGTCTTGTCCAACATGCGTCAAAGAGCCGGAAATCCGTTATTCGGCGAATCGACCATCAGACACTCAAGTGACGCCAAATCGAGGGAAACAAAATCGTCTTGGTATTTACACACACAACAAAAAGGAAAAGAAAAGAGAGCAGAGCCAAGATTACCACTTGTCCTCGCCAGCTTTGCGAGCCTACATATATAAAGGTTAGTGGGATGATCAACATAGCGTATGTTTAAAGAAGCTCATGATCTTACCGGCACAGCATTCGGTCCACCCAACTCCTTCTCCAGACCATCTTCATAAGCCTTGGGAACGCTAGGCTTGTCGGGGTAGTAAAGGCTAACAACGCCGCACACGCTGAGGAAGGCCACAACGAAGGCACCGAGGTGGAGGAAACCCTTGCCGGCAGAGACGTGGGTATATTGCTCAGGACTGAAGACACCGAGAATCTCGTTTTCCTCGTGGACAGGCTCGCCGAAGTTTCGCTTCTCCTGTGCATCCCACCAGCCTCCGTAGGGGTCTCTGAAAGCACGCTTCACGCGGGGAGGGTTCTGGTAGCCACCATTCTGCCATTGCTATTAGATCGCTTGGGTAATACTATCAAAGGAAAACGCTATACCTGTAAAGGGTCCTCAGACTCGGAAGCGCGGAGGGCAGCGACCTGAGAGAAGGATGCGCGGGGGGCAATGGCGTGGCGGGCAGCCACCTGGGGCAGACGCCGGGCTAGGATCCGTTGAGACAGCATCTGGATGGGGATTGAACGTCAGTAATTTCTCATAGAGCAGAAGGAAAACCAGAATCAGACCAAAACTCACTGCTCTGCCAAAAGATCAAAGACCAATGGGGAAAGGGATAAAGGTCAGGGAAATTGGTGGAGATGAAGTGCAGGATGATTCGATGATGGAGACGGAGGTTTGCGGCTGTTGACACCTTAGGCACGAATTGACACCTGAAAAATAAGGCCTTCATGGCGCGGCGCGCTTACAAGTCGAAAGTGTTCGTTCCCGACAAAAAAACCACTTCCTCACGTATTCCCCCCATCTCACCACCTTTTCCATCGCCATCAACGCCACGGTACCGATAAGGATGCCAAACTTTGTGTGGCACCTTGAATCGATCATAGCTACCCGTTGATGCTAAAATCGCGAATTTCGACCGCGCTATCGTTGGGATAACTGGGGTCACCTGCGCAGAAGGCCCCTGTCGTCTGCGGCAACAAGTCATGCAAAACGGCAGCCCAAATGGCCCATCACCCCACGATGAACGCATAACGCCTGAGCCTGATACTACCCACCTCGAAGCTCCCGGTGTAGATTATTTATCTGATTCGACCCCCTGCGAATCGATCCCTACCTTACCGAATGACGAAGCTAGCCATCAGCTAGAGGAGCCACCATCGAAGAAGCGTCGCCTGGCAGATTCAACCCCGTCGCGTACCTCAACTCCCCGACCTCCCTCGCCGCCATGGAAGAAGGTTGGTGTGGAGGGGCCGACATCATTCTTGGTGGAGGGTCGGCGCAGGTCATCGCGGCAGAATGTGCTTCCTATTGAAGAGCAACCAGCCTCTGACAAGCGACACACGCGCGCGGCGCAGCAAAACTTCGTGACAAAAACAACCCGAAGTGGCGCAAAACCCGTCACATCCTCTCCACTGGCTGTGACATTGTCGCGTGCAAATGGGAAGCCCGGTGGCAAGCCGATTACAAATAGCTCGTCCAGAACAGTGCTTACAAAGGGCGCATCCGGAAAGCAGCAATCTTCACAGTCTCCTGCATCAAAGTCATCTCAGTCGCGCACTCGGTCTCGAAGCTCCGCAACTAATCAAGCACGCCCCGGCACAAACGGCGCCAGCCCTCGTGAATCTCGCAACCGCACCTCTCTTTCAACCACATCTCCTGCGCAAGATCCTGCCTTCGGCGACACGAATGATCATAATGAGGATCTAGAATCAGGGTCTCAGATCGTACCACGACTTCGAATCAAAGTGAATAAGCCAGTACTCCCGATCCGCCATCCCGGCCACGTGTCCGGTAAGAAATACGAGTCTTTCAGGGAATGGTTGAACAATGAGGATACCCCGAATTTGCTATCATCGGAAGAAGCTCTCGAGGAGGCCCGAAGGCGGCAACAAGTGTTCAATGCAGCGGAACCTGGTGGACTATTGAGCTCAGGGGTCTGCTCTGCATATATTACGGAACCACAGGAGGAACCACCATTTCAATATTCCCACCAAGATCATCTAGTGGCGCATGCTCTCTATTTCCAGAAGCTCCTTGAAAAGGAACATAAGCGTCATCGGCAAACGGCCAAACTCTTTGCCCAATGGTGTGCCGACGCGTATAGAAAACGCCACAAGAACCCCGAGGATGTCCTGCGGGAACAACAAGAAGAAATGCGTGGGAAGCGCAAGCAACTGGCCAAGGACCTGCAGAAGATGTTTGACTTGACCCGTGCCGACATTGACCGGGTGCGCCTCGCACGCTGGGAGGAAGAGCGAAAGGTTCAGGATCAGCAAGCCCTCGATCGTGCTATCAAAAAGTCAACCATGCTGTTTGAGAAACGCCGGTCCGAAATTCTTGGAGAGGTTCCCAGCGATGCTCCTGCTTCAAGTGACGAGGACGGGGAGACCGATTATTCTTCCGACGCATTAGATAACGATAGCAACATGTCGACATCTGAGTCAGAATCTGATGATGAGGCAAATGTGGACGATGATGCCAAATTGACAGCCGAGGAACTTCGACTGAAGTACGCCGGTATGCCGGACGAAGGCACACCCGCGGAAACACCCGACCAAATGTCTGTGATCTCTGCGTCTGTCAATGATAGCGAAGCGATTCCTAACGATACTGATGCTGATATAATCCCTGGCGACACTCAGCTGGATGACGTGGATTCAGTGTTGATGGACGATAGCGATGAGTCAATCGATATGAGCGACGAAATGAGTGATAGTGATGAGAGCGGATCTGATAATGAGTCTGGTGAGGAATCCGATGGCAGTGATGCTGGTAGCGGTATGCTCGGGTTCTTCTCACGCAAGCAGCTAGCCCGTGACGAGGATTCCGTTGAAGCGGATGTCGAAAGTGTTGATGACGATGAATCTAATGATGGAGAGTACAAATCTCCAGGAACAGAAGCCCTTGATAACGATATGGAGGATCCGGACGAGGTTTCCCTAGTTCCGAACGGGTTACACATGAACGAAAACGAAGAGATGCTAGATGAATCGACCCCTTCAGAATTCGTCGAAGCCTCCATAGTCACTCCTGCAGATGTCGAAGACACTTCTATGATTGATACCTCTACGGTCAATACTCCCACGGTGGACATAAATGTGGAGGATGAACTCTCCGAAGCAGTGCCTGACTCCAGCGCTCTTGAAGTAGCAGGCAAACAAGACCAAGAGCTCGACACGGAACCGCAGGAGAACCGTCCCAGTGGTGAGATGTCCAGTGAAGTATCTCCAGGGACCTTCGACACCAAGCCCTCTGACCCCGAGTCCGTCTCTTCATACGAACCTGCAATTGAGAAAGCATTGCAGCAGAGTCATTCACCTGCACCCGGCTTGCAAACACCAATCCCTCATCTACTGCGCGGCACTCTGCGTGAGTACCAGCACTACGGCCTGGATTGGCTCGCTGGCCTCTACAAGAACCGCATCAACGGTATTCTGGCCGACGAGATGGGTCTCGGCAAGACAATTCAAACCATTGCATTACTTGCTCACCTTGCTGTGGACCATGGCGTCTGGGGGCCGCATCTTGTTGTTGTTCCTACCAGTGTCATGCTGAATTGGGAAATGGAATTCAAAAAGTGGTGCCCGGGATTTAAAATCATGACCTACTACGGAAACCAAGAAGAGCGGAAACAGAAACGCAAAGGTTGGACTGACGACAATTCTTGGAATGTCTTGATTACATCTTATCAACTTATCTTGCAAGATCAAGTTTCTCTGAAGCGAAGGGCGTGGCATTACATGATTCTTGATGAAGCGCACAACATCAAGAATTTCCGTTCTCAAAGATGGCAAGCTCTTCTCACTTTCAGGACACGCGCCCGGTTGCTCCTGACTGGTACACCACTTCAGAACAATTTGACCGAGCTCTGGTCTCTTTTGTTCTTCTTGATGCCTTCCGACGGCGATGGTGTTGGTGGTGTTGAAGGTTTCGCCGACTTGAAGGACTTCTCCGAGTGGTTCCGACGACCAGTGGAACAGATCTTGGAGCACGGAAGAGAAACTATGGATGACGAGGCCAAGCAGGTAGTCACCAAGCTCCACACAGTCCTTCGTCCTTACATTTTACGTCGCATGAAGGCAGACGTTGAGAAGCAGATGCCTGGAAAATACGAGCATGTCATGTATTGCCGGCTGTCAAAACGCCAGCGATTCCTGTACGACGGTTTCATGTCGATGGCCCAAACGAAAGAAACACTTGCGTCGGGCAACTTCCTTTCCATCATCCATTGTCTTATGCAGCTGCGCAAGGTCTGTAACCACCCCGATTTGTTTGAGACAAGACCCATCTCCACCTCCTTCGCCATGCCACGTTCTGTCGCCACCGACTACCAAATGAAGGAGGGCCTGGTCCGGCGACGACTGCTCTTTGATCACCCTCTCACCAAGGTCGATTTGGACTTCCTCAACCTGGCGCCTGTGTTTCGAGAGGATATCTCTAGGCGACTAGCTGATGACAGTATCCGACTCATGGCGTTTGGGCCGTTCAAGACGCTTCGTGAGCGACAATACAATCGCACAAACTGGCAGATGGAGTTTGACGGGTCTAGCATGGAAACGATCCTAGAGTCGTTAGAGAATGCCAGCCGGAAGAGACGAATGGCCGAATTGGAACGATGCTTGTACTTTGAGTCTAAGCGTCACGGTCGCCGACCTGTGTACGGTAGCAGCTTGATTGAGTTCATCAGAGCTGGGACCAAGGAGCATGCACTTTCCAACGCGCCCTTGCGAAAGAGCAATATGGCGGAGTGGCTTTCGAGTCGGTCATCCGTCCTTGCTTCCATGATTCTGACGCTGGAGGAGCGCTCTCTCGACATGGACGGGTACGTTCAGCGATTCGCTTGCGTGACACCGGCTGCTGTTGCGTCGGGCATGACAGAGGCCGCCTTGACCCCTGTCGAGACGCGACTTCTGACCAACACTGCCAAAGATCAGCCCTATGATCCCTTCCACGAAGCTCGCATGCGTCTATCCATTGCTTTCCCAGACAAGCGGTTGCTACAATACGACTGTGGTAAGCTACAGCGGTTGGATAAGTTGCTACGTGACCTGAAGGCCGGCGGCCATCGCGCATTGATCTTCACGCAGATGACCAAGATGCTGGACATTCTAGAGCAGTTCCTCAACATCCACGGGCATCGCTACCTACGCCTGGACGGTACAACCAAGGTTGAAGCGCGACAAATGTTGACCGAGCGGTTCAACAGTGACCCTCGCATCCTGGCCTTTATCCTCTCCAGTCGATCCGGTGGTCTCGGTATCAACCTAACGGGTGCCGACACAGTCATCTTCTATGACCTGGACTGGAACCCGGCCATGGACAAGCAGTGTCAAGATCGTTGCCATCGTATTGGCCAGACCCGCGATGTCCACATCTACCGCTTCGTATCCGAGTATACCATCGAGTCCAACATCCTTCGCAAAGCCAACCAGAAACGAATGCTCGACGATGTCATTATCCAAGAGGGCGAGTTTACAACGGACTACTTTACCAAACTCCAAAATGTGCAAGTGGAAGAAGTCGATGAGCGTGACGGCCAGGACGAAGCAAGTGCAGCCATGGACCGTGTCCTCGGCAACCGCGTTGCGACTGGAAACCGCGCCTTCGAGCAAGCTGAAGACAAGGAGGACATCGACGCAGCCAAGAATGCCCAGAAAGAACTGGAGCATGCCGACGATGGCGACTTCGAAGAGCGCAGCCCTTCACATGGAACCCCCGCTCAACCTGGTACCCCATTACCCGGCTCTGGTGACGGACAAGGTTCAGTTGCGCCCGAGGATGCAGGGGCTCCGGAACCTGGCCACATCGACGACTACCTGCTTCGTTTCATGGAATGGAACATGCGTGACGAACCCCTAGTTCTCCCGGTGGATAAGAGCAAGAAAAAGTCTAAGAAGGGCAAGGAGCACCACCTCAAACGACGCCGCTGATCATTCACTCGGTCCAAAATCCTTCGCGAAGTCAAGTTCAGCCTTTCTTCCTTGCTTTTGATTTTCTCAGGTCACGGGGAATCATCATCTCCACTCTCTTCAGCCCAACCGTTTCACAATCCCATAGTTCCAACCACCCCATGTATTTCTGTCGGCCTTTACTACCTAATTGAGCGTGTTCAAGTTTTGTTCTTCTTTTGTTGGATTTCGCTGTGGCGAATCCGGTTTTATTCTCTCTCCTCCTACCTGTACCCCTTTTCTATGCACTGCGCCGGAGCATGTGGGTATACTACTTTGTAATAGTGTCGAAAAAAAGAGTGGAGAGGTCTGAGAACCAAAAGACCATGTGTACCGATACGTTGTGGAGGAAGACCAAGACCAAGACCAAGAACAGACCAGACCAGCTATGATGTCGGCCAAAAATCTCTGTATCTGTATTTATACTTCGCACCGGGCAATTAGCGTCAATGTTTTGATTAACGTCTAGACTATTTCGGGGCAAAAGCCCACTTTTTACTTTTCATCGTTGCTAAAATCTACCTCTTTTCTCCCATCCACTACACTTGCACTAGTAGGACTTAGCTTTGGCTTGTTTCTGCTATTTCTCTTGGCTTCAGGCTTGAAGGCTTCCGAAGTCTCTCCGATACACATGTGGATGATCTCCACGTTATAATGACAAATTATCTAAATTAATCTATCCGCAAATCTAAAGGATAAGACTCGTGTGCTCGGAGACAATGTACTTATCTGGTTAAGTAGAGTGGACTCGAGGCTTTTTAGGGTTTCGCTTTCCGCCTCTGCATCTATGGGGCTTAGTCAGGGCGATTACTATCGTCAACTATATGCTCACCCCGAGGAGAAAGAGAAAAAGATAGCATTGACGAGGAAATCAGTACTGACCCTTTTCCGTCCCATATCAATTGGTTCGTCATAGACCTTTTTGTGTTTCGGCAGTGTAACTTTCAAGATATGAGGCATTTAGGTTTCAGTGTTTAGCCTAAATAGAAACTACACTAAAGATACCTAGAATCTACTATGAACCAAGGTTAGTAGATTCCTGAAGATACAGCTCTAAACTACAGCCGAGTCCACTCTGCACATGGGAACATGTGTATCCGGTCGATCACGGGAGGCGATCAAGGCGGGTTCCCTCTCGGCCAGACTACTCCGAGGAGCATCAATGCACCGGGGAGATAACCTCAATGGCCTTGAGAAGAACAATTGGATGGCAAGAGAATAAGGATACGGATATCCGGATTCGGAAGATCGGGGAGGAATTGGAGTAACAACTTACTCCAAAACCTTGTTCATCAACCCAGCCGTAGGGAAATGGGACATGGTGTCCACGGTTCTTCATCCATCTGGCCTTCCAAGATTGTTCTTCAGACTTTCGTCTCCAGTTTTCTTCTGTGATAGAGTATTCGCCGGCTCTCTTCTGTACAAAAAGTGGAGATGTCGATCCACGCGACGGTGTTAATGCCCGTTTCGGAGGTCTGATCCGGCGTTGGAGGATCATTTGCAGAGATCCACGGGCATCCGAAGATCTTATTTGCTGCCAACTCGTTTTCGTTTTCCGTTTTTCTTTTTTACGGAATCTGTAGGGCATGATTGATCAGGTTTCATCAGATTAGGAAAAAAGTGACCGGTCTTTTTGATGTGAACAAATATCATGATTGGGCATAAAGGGGAATTAAATCTTAAAATTATTCCCCATAGAGAGCTAGTTAATATGCAAGGGATGATCAAAACGTTTCTCGTGGTTTAGTGCTTCGTGCTGAGGGAGATCTCCCCCTTTCCGTGGACCGGAGATAGTGTCTTACCATCTCCGGAATAATTTCTGCGACATTTCGCCGCAACTTGGATCATGACCAAATATGGTATGGCGTGATTCAAGGGAAGCGATATTGTTCGCTGATTCCCAGTTCTTTCTCAGTACTTGGCATAGACCGGCCTCAAGAGCTGGTTTTGATGGAAGACAAGGAGTATTTAGGGTTTCGGTTACTGCTACCGGAATACAGCGAGGCAAAATCTGGCGGCAGTTTAAGCCAAAGCTTTCCCGAAAGCTTCCGCCTAACGTGGCGGGGGGAAATCAATAGGTCGATCCAAGGAATAGTGAGATAATTTACACATGACTGGTCAGTTTGACAGTTTGCCAGCTGTGCACCGTGCAAAGATGTGACATGCAGCCGCAAGAGACACGCACACTCGAGGACACCAATCGAGGACGGCTTTGGCCGCCAGGCCCGTGCTGGTAAAAATTAAAAAATGGAATCTCTTTATCCTCTGTTGCTCCAGATGTCAGGCTGTAAAGCTCGTGGCGTCCAACAGTCGACAATGTGACTGGAGACTCTAGTCTCAAAAGGAGCTCCACTTTATCCGCTATTGAGTACCCGGGCAGATCGCGGCGATCCACATTCCTATCCATTGGCGCGCTCACGAACTGTTGCTCCACCGATCGCGTCATTATTGGTCTCGTCCGAGAGAGGCGCGCACTAGACTGACATTATTCCGCTTTCTCTATTAGCGTGTTCAATGCAGGGCGACAATTGGTCACAAGAGGAAAGTCGTCATCGAGAGATGGTCCAGGGATTCACGGCACGAGGGAGCGAGGTCAACGTTTGTGCCGTGCCAACGAAGATCCGGAGCCGCCCAGGCACGAGCGCTGGCTGCGCTATTGGTGCTCGGGTGTTTTGTCATTTTAGTAAGTGTCCGGGACCTCAAAAAATATTATTTTTTATTCCTTTTTTTTCGACCCGGGGCTTTTACCATTCGGTAGCAACCGTTGCACATGTCGAATTCTAATTGAAACCCCAAAGGTGTGAAACGCTTAACAGCTCAGATCTCATTTGGGGAAGACTTCCGATGAGGAGCCGAGAGCGCGTGAGGGGTCCCGGGTCCGGTGATGATCGGCGGGTTTTTGGAGATCCTGGTGAAACCAGTATCAGTACCTCTCCTAAAGTGGAGCTCGGACTGGGGGAAGAGGGGCTTATCTGAATACTCGCTAGTAAAGCTAACCGTGAATCAAACGCACGGGGGATCGGGAACTGACCCCATGTTCGTAGAATTGATCCGATATAGGCAATAATGAGAGAAAAAAGTAGTAAAAATATCGAGACTTAAAACCCGATTCCATGGGAACCAGATAGATCAACTTTCGTTTTTCGAAAGGGAGACGGCATCGCATTTTAACTAGTTTTCATTAGGCAACTTGAGACAAAGAGATTCGAGCTGTGATCTGTCAGCTGTCATGGATGTTGAGACCCTCTGTGATCTGTCAAATCTGCGTCTTTGTTCAATTGGATATGCGCCAAGTTCCCCATTGGGGATAGTAAATGTTTGGATTGGAGATGTCAACGATCCACAAAAGCCTTGATCGTAGATCACCAAATTCCCACGTCAAGCATCTCGTCAGGATCTACGAAAGAGGGGAAACAGCACAGTAAGTAAGAAGGAAAAAGTGGAGAGATTTTGCCAATCCAGACCGTAGAAATTGGTTCTGTTGGAACTTGGATTTGCATTCTCCACTTGAGACTATTTGATTAGATCCTAGTCATCCTAGTCAATTCCTACTTTTTTTCTCATTTCCCCCCCAACTGCTCTAGCTCTTATATCCCTGCCACTTCCCCTGGTATCTATATTACCCATTTCCATCTCCTCTTTCTATCCAAGGATGAAGACATCCATCTCCTCCGATGTGTGGGAGAAGAAGAAAGCGTTGATCGCCAAACTATACATGGAGGAGGAATGGCCATTGAAACAAGTCATCAAGCAGATTCGTTCGGATGATTTCAATCCAAGGTTGGTGTTGTGTTTCTCATGATTTCAGGTGCGAATTTGGACTCATACAATTCCCAGTGAAACACAATTGCGCAGTCGGTTGAAAAAGTGGCGAGTTACCAAGCCATCGCGCCAGACTCGCAAGAAGCCCGTTGTGGATGACGACAATTCAGACCGGGATGTCAAGAGATCCTCGACCTCTCCCCACCACAATCGGCAACCTCGCGTGAAAACAGAACGGTCTACCACCGGCCCCAGCTGGACCAGATATCCAGAATACGCCCCAGAGCTTCAGTCAACCGACCAGCAGAAGTGGAACGCATCTCTAGCACCACAGTTAACACCCAGCCCATCGGGCGAACATGGCCCTATAGGAGATAGACCGTCCACCCACCCTTACCACAGTCCAACCACGCCCTTCGAGCAACCAGCCCAGACCTCCCCCGTGGATGAAACCCTCATGCTCAATACCACTACAGTCATGACTCCCAACTACGCGGGATACCCTCTTTCGCCTGACTCCGGCCTCCCCAGCCCAGGATCCACCACGGCAGCAATGCCATGGCAATCCCGCGCCGTTTCTGTTGATATGGGTCTAAACCCAGCATTGCACCCCGTACAATGGTACTCCGTGCCTTTCGAACCTGTCACCCCACCACCCGGTGTGCCTCACTCTCATATGCCGCCCCCGGGATACAGGGACCACATGCCCATGGGTCCAGCCCAGGGCGTCTTCTCTCCGGAGTTCGCACCATACCCTGGGGCATCAGAATACCACCCTGGGTATGATTCAAAGACATGGAAGAGAACTATGTCACTCCATTATGACTATGCACACCCGTCTTCGCGGCCGGACCTTGTGGACCGAAAATACCCTGTGTATGGTCACCCACCTCCGGGCATGCTTTCTATGCCCCAGCCTTCGCACAGTATGTGTGCGCCACTTCTCCCGTATATGGGACAGGATCCTTTGCACAAACACTCCGGTGTAGGATACTGAGTGGCTGTTACCTTGTGATTTACCTTCTTTTTCTTTTCTTTTTTCAACATTTTCCTTGACCGGAAAATGGGTGTACTCAATAGATATCCGTGTATGACATACTTGGTGTTGAAATGTGGTGGGTGGTTGTCTGCTTTGCTTTGTTTTTGTTTCGGCGTTGGCGGGCATTTGTTTCTTTGATACCTCCTGAATTGACCTGTACCTTTATGTCTCCTAGTCATACTTTATTACATACTATTTTATCTTACATTTGAACAAAGTGCATATTCTATCTTACAACCTCAAGATTGTAGAGCTGATAGCCGAAGACTCAAGTACCAGAGCAAGACATGATACAATGACTTCATACTCAATCCTGATAATCAAACTGAAACGATTCAACTCCCCGTCAAACCTAGTGGAGTCACGACCTGATCCCTAGGGCAAATGACCGTTTTTCTGGCCCCGTTTCATGCCTGGACCCCGCGTGCCCTGTTTTGGTGAGATTAGCGAACCTTATCGCCTCCCAACTGCAGCCCCAAAAAGGGTTCTGATTGATCCACACCAGCCCTTTCCATTACACGTGGCGATGACCATCCAGCCGTTGTGGTGAAAAGCTTGATGATGACCCTCGGGTACTAAAGTAACCACGGTTTACCGGATAGGTTATGCCGAGGTTGGAAATTTGCCTCATCAAAGCATTTTTCCTTTGATATGGAACTGCGACATCAATTCCATTCCCTTAATATGTTAATATTGATTTTTAATGCTCTATAGACTTGGATGAAATGATCTCCAGCATGACTTGGACTTTGCTGATGACTAAGCGATAAGTCGGACTAACATAATACCGTGCCGTGTTCCTTATTTTTTCTTCATCTTCATCTCGACTTCATCCTCAATCCAATCATCTTTGTGGTTGCCAGAATCTGATGTTGTTTCTGTGTATACTATATGAATCTTGAACACTAACTTTACAGAAGTATTATATACCGCAACTCTCCAATCCAGCTGTTCCTGTCCTTTGGACTTTTCACGGACCCTTCTTAAGGACGGTCTTCACAGCGTCGCGTCTTGTGGCCGTGATTGACTGGAGCTGGATTGCGCATTCGAGGTTCCTCATTTGAGGGCTTTGAGTGTTGATTCTTCGAGTTGCTAGAACAAATCTAGGGCCTTCATAGTTCATGTTTACTTGCTCGAGTCTTCTTCTTTCGGGAGGATGTTATCTTTTCTACGAGAGCATGACTCCTTGCGCACCTACATTATTATATCTGCCAATCACATTCGAATTGATACATTCCATATATCTATTTGCCTATCTAGGTAGCCCTACAGCCGACTCTTAGCCTCACCAACCACATTCACAACAACCTTCCCCCAAGTCTCACGTCCACCAAGCGCCTGCAAAGCTCTTGGCACACTCTCCAACCCGACGAAACTCTCATCCTTAAAAGCCGTTCCACGGAACTGACCCTTAGCAACAAGATCAAAGATCCCCTTCCATACCTCCCCAACAGTCTCCGTCTCAAACTTCGCATACTGTCCCCAATGCAACCCCACCAAACTAACATTTTTCAACAACACCCGATTCAACGCAACCTTCTCAATCTTTCCCGCTGCGAACCCAATAACCAACAACCTCGCATTCCACGCCACACACTTCAAACTCATCTCAATTAACCCAACAGGATCATAAACAATATCCACTCCAGCCTTCCCATTCCCACTCCTCTTCTCCGCACAAAGCTTCTTAACCTCCTCCGGCCAGTTCTTATCCGTATAATCAACCACATAATCAGCCCCAAACTCCATCGCTATTTCCCTCTTCCGCTTCGTTCCAGCCGTCGCAATAACAATCGCCCCCTTCGCCTTCGCAATCTGAACTGCGGCCAATCCAACACCCCCAGCAGCCGCATGCACAAGAACCCAATCACCGGCTTTCACGCCAGCACGGTGTACAAGTCCTCCATAGGACGTAGGAGCCGTAACGAATAACCCGGCTGCATCTTCGAAACTCCACCCCGCAGGCACGGGGAGTAATGTACTTTCCGGAGCGAGGACGTGCGTAGCATAAGCACCTTGTGTAGCGCCGAAAACCCGATCCCCAACCTTGAACTTGAAGGCCGAAGTCGAAGATGAAGTAGGTACCGCGATAACAGTACCTGCGAACTCGGCACCACCAACCCAGGGAAGAGGTGGTTGGTGTTGGTATTTCCCTTGGATTTGAAGAATATCGAAGAAATTGGTACCGGCGGAATGGATCTCGATGAGGTATTTATCCGGTGCTGGGGTTGGAGTTGGGATGGTGGAGACTTTTAGGTCGAGAGGTCCCTGGTTTCTGGTGTTAATGTTGGTTATGGAAGGTGGATGAGGGGGCGAACCTTGACATATTCGCTGACTTGGACGGCGCGCATCTTGGATGTAGTTGTGATATCTTCGAATGGAATATAGTTGTAGGTTGAGGGAGTTGGGGAATGTATGGGAAAAGATGAAGTTGGGGTTTTCCCCGCGTGAGATGCCGAGGTTGCTTTCGGATAATCTATCGCCAGGTATAGATCGACTTCACGCTTATCCGATATCATCAACTTGCAATAATCATACACGTATACCTGGGTATCACTTATCTTACATTATATGTTAAATCCACAGGTAGTCAATCGGTAAAGTACGACATGCCTCATCGTGTATTCGTAGATAGTGCAAAACATCTTATAATACAGTTACAGTCCAATTCAAGGAATAGAAAATGCAAGTGGATATTGGAACCCCTACATCCTGTACAGCCATCTGCTTCCCCCAATCAGAAAATATCCTCCGCAGAACTCCAGTTTTGGGCATCTCTGTTGGCCCAATATTTGCCATTGTGAGCCCAGTACTCCTCCCCAGTAGTAGGCTCTTTAGCCCGAATGAAATACTGGGGAGAGTAAATCTCGCCCTTAGTCTCCCGTTCCCTCCGCTTGGCACGCTGCTTCTCTTCAACGCGATGCTTTTCATCCGCAGCAAAGTCGTACTCGCCATCCTCCATGGCACGCTGGTCAGGACGTAATCGGGTATCAGTAGGAGGTAACCAAGCCCTCAAGTTGTCCGGGATGGCGTTCAGAGTGAGAACGAATGGAGTCAGGTTGAATGGGATACCCTTAGGGCGCTCATGGGCTTGCCAAACCAATAATGTCTTGGCCGACTCGGGATCCTGACCGGAGACAGGTGCTTCGAATCCTGGGGTATGGCGAGCGTAAATCTTGTCGTTCCACCGGCCACCGATACTCCACTTCGGGGAGCCGTCACAGTCAACCACCTTACCGCTGACTTGGTAAGCCGAGGATGCTTTCCATCCACGAGGCTTGAAGTCAAGATAGCAGACCTCGCCGGTGGTCCAGTTCTTGATCTCCATCAAACCATAATTGTCCACGGTGGGGTTACCGGTAATGATGCCAATCACAGAAGATGTGACCTTCTTCCAGGTGTATAGCTCTTCGCCTCCTGTGCACGGGCGCAGCTTGAGGAACCAAGTACCCAGAAGATTGATGTCGAATGACTTGCCGTAGAATTTAGACTTGAGTGAGGACTCGCCCTAGCAAATTGTTAGCTTGGACAAAGTAGGGATACAGAAAAGAAACTTACCCAGTAATCCCACTTAGGAGACTCAGCCCATGCCGCACCGATGGGAGGGTGGTGGCTGACTTGCTCGACGAAGAACCGGTAGCCCTTGTCAGGACGCACATACTCAAAAGTTTCACCGAGAAGAGGATTGAATGGCTTAGCCACACGCCCAATGGTTGAGGCGTATTCACTCGCAGCATAAGAAGCCACATATAAAAGACGCTCCATGGAGTCGGTTCGGTCAGCAGCGATATCGAGAAGGTCGGTGTACTCCAAATCCTCAGCAACTCGCTGAAGTAACGAAGTAGGCTCGTTGAAAGACACGGGCAAGGTCATCTTCGTCATGTCCTTGCCGATCATGGATTTGAGAATTCCCCATAGCGAAATCTTTGGCCGGTCATCATTGTCCATCTTAAGTCTCTGTCGCACAGGGTCTTCGTAACCCCTGAATGAGGACTTGATTACGGCAGCCTTTTCTTTCCGGGCCAGAGCACTTTCATCCTCCGGTTCTTCGGGCTCTTCAGTCTCATTGGCGTGGCTGACATCCTCTACTTCGATTTCACCAGCATCAATTGCATCAAAAAATTCGTCTCCATCCGACTCGGAATCATAGAGACTGCTGATTCGAGAAAGCACAGAGGGTTTCCGGTTGAGGGGAATAGGCTCCGTTGCAAGCTGACTTGACGAGTCCTCTTGCGCCGGTTCAGATTCGCGGATCTCAGACCGACTAGTTTCCAGAACGCTAGCAGGCGCCGTTGGCATACGCGATGGTGCGGCACTGAGGGAACGGCTGCTACCAGCCGCATTTTCCAGCGCCTCCTTCAGAGCTCGCTTGGTCCGCTTGCGCTTTTCCTCAGACTCGCCCATCTTAGATTCTAGCTCTTCGTGTTCTTGAGCAACACGGGCCATGTTCTCCTCCCAAATATGACGAAGATGTTCCTCGCGGCTCAAACGGTACTGCCAGTAGGAATCACGGTCTCGTGAGATCTTGAGGAGGTTCTGAACTAAGCCCTTGAGACTACTGACTGCACCTTCGTAGGCAGTAAGAGCTTGTTCGATGGCTGGATCCGCGATCGACATTTCAGGGTTTTTGGATCTCTCAGCCTGTAACGAAGCGGAAACATTTGCAAGAAGATCTAATTGAAGTTTGGCGGACTGTGCAGTAATGTTGAGGGCGTCTTTATCATTAGTCGGCACGTCAAGGCTAGAAGCATAGTCGTTGAAGTCGTCGTCATCATCACCATCAGGCGCAGTGGTTACATAACTGGTCACTCGGTTCACATCGTTACCCTGGTCCACTGAACCATAAGCCGACTCATCTTCCTCCGCAGGTGAGGTTTCAAGAGTTGTGCGCGAAGCATGGGTACTGATTCTGGTGAAACTACCGCCAGGAACCCCAAGGGACGAGGGGGGTGGGCCTCTACCGCTGGTTCTACGGCTAAGACCAGACTCAGAGGGTGTTTCCCCAGTAGACTGGTCAATCTTGGCCAAACGGAAAGTTTCGGCGTTCTTCGAGCGTTGCCGCTCTTCCTCCTTGGCTTCGTCTTTGGCCCACTGGATCGCGTTGTTCAGGGACCAGAACCAGCGTTTCGCTTCCACCACATGGTTTGCCTTCAGGTGGTACTTGACCGACGACTTGCCGTGAATTTCAAAGCGAGTCTTGTCTTGGGCATCCATGTTAAGTCTGGCGATTCTCATGTTGATAGCTCCACGACAAGCAGAGCCGGCGTCATCTGTGAAATAAGTTAGATTTGAACACATATACCGGTATTGATATATGTCTAGGATAACATACCCTGATGCTTATAGTAGCTCAACACACCATCCTCGAGCACAAACCACCGCAGCTTGTAGCCACTTGTGTAGTTGGTCCACTTCTTAAGATAACCTCTCATCTCACGGGCATCCTTCCCAGCCAAAGGTGCCTCCCCAATAGAGGCACGACCAGAAAGACCTTGCGCATTGCTGTTTCCAAGGATGGCCTTCTCTTGAATACCGCGCTGGGCAATTGCAGCCGCCGGCGACTTCTTCAAGAGTGCCCGAGTCTTGTCATCCTTGGTGACATCTTGAGGCAGCTTGCCCTTTTTATCACGACGGAAAGGGTCAGCTCCATGGGTAAGAAGAACCTCAATAAGCTGCGCATCTTTATTGCGAGCACCCTCATGTAACAACGTGCCACCAGATTGCAAGGTAGCTCGGTCGGTAACCAATTCCAGACTGTTCACATCCAAAAGACCTTCGGCACGGGGTTCTTCCAATAACTTCTCAAGATTATCATATTCCCTCTTGCTGATCAACGCTTGAATCTCCTGCGTCTTGCTGTCAATAAACAGGGACCGAGCGAGTTGCAGCTGCTGGAATATCTCCGGGGTGCGCGCTGCCTCAAGCGGTGTTTGACCCCGGTAGTTGACGATAGCATCATTAACTTCAGGGTTGTTCAACAGTTCCCGTACCAACGAGACCCGTCCCAGCTGAGATGCCAGGTGAAGCGGGGTGTTCCCTTCACGATCGCGCGCGTTGATGTCCAGCCCGCTACTCGAGGATAACACAAATTCCACGACCTGGGGTTCGGCGCACTGCAACGCCAGATGAAGAATGGTCGTTCCGTACAGATTGTTCGCCACCTGGGGATCTTTGGCCTCCTCGACAGCCTTGGCGATGGCATTTGTATCTCCACTGCGCAGGACCTCAAACAACCGGAACGTTCGTACTGACTGTTCCAGAGACATGCTAGCGCTCTCAGTCTGGGGCGCGGATGTTACGCCCTCCATTCCGGCGACGGGGTTGTCGTCGAGGGTATCTTCGAGAATGGCTGGGGTCGGGGGCGAGCTGGGGTCCAAAGCAGGTTTGCGGCTCCTGTGACGGCTTAGGCTGCGGGCGTGGGTCAGTGGAGAGGAGCCATTCGTCGAAGCTGTCCCGGTTGAGGTGTCGGTGTTTTCTTCCAGAACTTTGTCTTCGTTGCGGGATTTATCGCGGTGGAGAAGAGAAAGCGCTATAGAGCTGCGAGAGCGCTTATGCCTGCGTGACAACATCGGGTCAGTCACATGAAACAGGAAGGAGCGAATCGGTGGTCGCAGTTTCCACGAGGGATTTGCAATTTATTCACTCCGAGTCTTTCTTGTCTTTCTTTGTCTTTTTGTCTCTGTCTCTGTCTTTCTCAAACAGGACCCCCGCGGTCATGGGGAAACCACCCTTGAACCATGGGTCCAAGTCGGAAAAGGAACAAGTAAACGAGAACTCACCCTTCAGGTTTCTCAGACATGTTAAGATGCCCCGTCAGGTATGTGGGGTACTACTGTCAAGACAAAAGCATGAATAGGGGAATTAGGGGAATTAAAATGAGGCTTTATTTTTGGGAGGGGGAAGGGGTTCGGCTCTTGGCGCCCCTGTAGATATCGAACTACGTAATGATCCCAATAACCTTCAATCTTCTTTGTTAAAATATACATGTATTGCTATATAGAATAGCTATAGTACAGATTTATCCTTATTTATCGAGTCTCGCCGCTGACCAAAACAACAACACTGCCCAATTGTCGCTTCATGTCCTCGTTGCCCACATCGTGAGTATCCTCAACCTCGCCCCACATGTCTGTCTGCCACTTGACCTCCAAGCTCGAGGCCTCGGCGGCCTCATCTATACCAAATTTCTTCACATCAGACCGTTGGAGGTGACGGAAGTTCTCACTCCACTCCACCAACAGGCGCACAGCCACTAGGAGACTCTTCGAAGCCAGAATGCCTCGTTCCAAGCCAGCCAGATCATGGGGTGCCAGCTGCGAAACCCAACCCTTGATGGTATCTTTAGTGGTGGGAGGCTGGGAAACGGGGAGGATGCTGTTCTCATCGAGGATTGGCTTGATCTCTAAGCCAGGCCAGACCTTGGTGGAAAGGAAGCTCATAATATCCTTCGCAACGCGGATTTGAACATCGCGCAAGGTCTCGGTATTTTTCCCATCCGCGTGCATTCGTCCATATAACTCGGCGTCTCTCTCTGGTTCCCAGCAGAGCAGAGTGTCTGTTTCCAGGTACTTCATGGCTGTGGCGGTGATCTGGCTTCGGGTGGTATCGATGCCCTGGGCATCTTCGCGAACGATATCGGCAGCGCGAGCTGATAGGGAGGTCAAGGGGATCAAGTGGCTCTTGAGAGCTTGTTGGGCAGATGTCATAACATCCCACTCCAGGGCGACTGCGTGTGCGAGTTGAGGCTTGGTTGGAGGTATTGAGAGAATATCCTTGTTCGGGGTCCTCACGGGGCGCTTATCAAGAAGTACTTGGTATTCTCCTGTGGTAACATATCCGTCAGTCCTATTTCTCTCCGCTCCAGTCATGTCCCATCATACCGGGCTTTCCGTGAACGTGAACATGTTTCCAAAAGCGCGACTTCAGCGGGGAAGGCTTAGTTAATGATGGTGAGTTCTGTCCTGATGATTCAGTTTCCGATTGGCCAGCTTTATCCTTAAATTGTGCTGCTGGCGCCGGAGCTTTGGGCGGGGGACCGTGGGCAGTGATCGGGTGTGGAACGGCGGCGCGGAATGGGGAAGAGTGGAATTGGCGGGCAGCATTAAGTCGCACAGAGGAAAGCTGCGGGAACACACGAAGGCCAGCCATGTTAGATTTCAGGTTGGAAGACAAGGGTTGGAGCTTCGGGAGAAGATGCGGAGGAACTTTTTCGAGTCTCGGCCCGATGGTTCTGCTTACACATACACGGAGACTACGTTGACTAAGTTAGTTAACTACGCAAGTACAACAATCATTCACCTGCACTTTGATTTTGGAAATTTGAGAAATCTCGAGCGGGGCTAAAATCCTCGCAGCATTGCATGGGATGACACCAGGTTTGTAGATCATCATAATTCAGTTGATTAGAGATTATTCAACAGTAATCAGAAACCTCCAGTGCATCTAGAACCCAAAGAAAAATAAAGAAACATTGAAATGCTACCACAAAGAATCCCGGGGAATCAATAGCAGAGTAAAAGGTACAAATGCAGACGACGAGAACCGCCCGTGCTTTTATAATTTACAAGAAAGATCAATCAAAAAAGAGTGCAAATCTCGAGGTTGGCGCGTCCTTTTTGTTTTGAAAAACCATGCAGAGAGAAGAGAAGAGAAGGGAAAAATGGGTCAGAATGCCCTGTGGCACGAAGTTTCGACTCAGAGCCATGGCGGAAATCAATGGATCTAGAGGCGAAAATGAAAGAGAATAAAGCGAAAGGTTCGAAACAGTCGTCACGGCATTTCATCGTAAAATAGTTCCAGGGCCTTTTGTTTTCCCTGCACTAAACCAGTCTATTTGGTGAGATAGCTGGGGTAGTAAGGGTAAGGCTGCTTTTTGCGATCGGCAGCAGTACGTCTCTTCATGCGCTCCGCATCATAATCGTCAGCGCCATCACGGCTACCCCATGTGGTCTGGAACGCACGGTTAGCGAAAATTCGGAAAAGGTTTCGGGAAAAATGAATCGCCAGATCGGGAGAAAATCCAAGTAAGTTTTCACGGGATGGAAAACACTCCTGTAAGAGGAGTCGTGATCAAAGCGCTTGGGAGTTTGCCATAAGAGGCAAAAAGAGAGGGGCTCGGGGTAAAGTGATTTTGTATTGCTATCGATCAATACGTAACTTACCACATTCAGTGTCATCACAGCGTACATCTTGATCGCGCCGTGGAAATAACCAAATAGCACGGACACAGGCAATAGGAACACATCAACCGGATACCGGATATAATGACCCAAGAGCTTGATCCATTTGCTCGTAAACACCCACAGAATGAGCGCGTTCATGGCACGACTATGAAGGACTTCACCCCATGGAGCGGTCCCTCGGTGACACAACCAAACAAGTAACAAGTCACCCAACAGAGCGGGAGGCGACAAAGTTGTCAGGTGTACGGCATATGAGCTCCAAGGCTGACGACTAGGCAAATGTTAGCGGCCAAAATAGATTAAACATGAAAACTTCGAGTATCACAACAAGGCAAAAAGAAAAATAAAAAAAACAAAACAAAACGATTCAAAAAAAATTTCATCGGATACCCCGAAAAGCCAGTGCTCATGGGGTTTTTTCCCCCCGGACATGCCTTTCTGGTTACTCAAAAGTCCTTGGCCGGGACCGAAAAACGGGCTGTACGAGCGCAGATGCAGCCTCTGCATGCACGACAGACGCATCATGGGCCGAGGCCATCCGAGGACCATCAAAGGAAAATTATGCGAAAAACAAGAAAACCAAATATGCGAAACGGAAAAATAAAACCGATCGGGAAAAAGATAACCATCAAAGATAAGTGTCACTTACTACCAAATGTGCTTCTCGTGGAACATACTGGACAGATTGCTCCGCCAATTGCTTCGAGACCAACGCGCGCATTGCTTCAGGAATCGGGGGTTATCCTCCAATGTAGTGAGCACCTCCGCTTCAGGGTGATACTGCATATAAGTCTCCCATCCATGGGAAACCATCCAACGTGTGATAAAGTTATCATCGTCGGCATTGAGCTGATACTTTCCATACCACCACTCCTCATTAGTGAAAGCATATGTAAAACCCTCGTCCTGAAGGATCTTGGTTCGATAAGCCACCGTCCGGCCCGACATGCATGGCAATCCTCCGTCTATATTGGTCGTAGCCCCGCAGTCGAAGTTGCGTCGCTCCAGATACAACGCGCCCAGGAACCCCCAGACGCGCTGTGAGAGGGTTGGCGCGATAGCTCGACGCAGCCGCTGGCAGGTCACCACGCCGCCGTAGCGCTCATCTTTTTCAAATGGCGCCAGGATCCATGGGAGTACGGTTGACGGCCAGCTCACGTCGTCGTCGGCTAGAAGAGTGATGGACGTGCGGACCTCCGGGATGGCTCTGGTCATCTGGCGCCGCTTGTTAGGGTGAGTGACAGTAAAGAGACGGATTCGGGATTTGGAGGCCGGCATCACTTTCAGCATGGATTCAGCCTTCTTCCGATTGGCCTCGATTGTTACCAAGAGGATCTCAAAGGGCTGATTTTCCAAGATCGAGCGGATGGTTTCTACCAGCTCTGCGCCGCAGCCATCTAACGAGGGAATAATAACCGTGACATCTTGAGAGGTCAATTTTGGGAACTCGGGGGGCGGGATCGGTTTAAATGTCCAGAAGGAGATCAGATTCACCACGAGGCGAAGGTAGCGATACACACTTTAAACCCTGAGTCAGCCAGCCATCAATTGAGAACGTTTTTTGGATTCTCACTTACAAGAGCGCAACAAAGGCCCGCAGGAAAGGAAAGGCCATAATTTCAATAGTCACTTCAATGTTGACTTGGGAGTATTTTTATAGATTATAAATTCTCAAAGGCTCTCAAGGTTCTCCGAGGTCGATCGGTAATCCAGCCCAGTATTGCGCGGGGGATTTTTGCTTGTTTTTTTTTGGTCAATTCCACTTCATTCGTTTAATTAGCTGGAAGTTCACGATTTCTTGACTAGGTCAGACAAAACGACTCACCCGTGTGGCTCCAATTGTCCCAGAATCAACGGGGAGGGGAACGGAGATATGGGCTGGTCGGAAAAGAAGCACAATAAAAAAACGAATGTCGGGGAAGACCTAGCTTCCTCAACCAGCCCAAGGAATTGAGGAAAGGAAATAGGGGAGATCAAAAGAATAAGGAAAAAAGAGGATTCAAGGATATGGGGAAGGAGGTTTAAATGATGGAAGCACATGCTATAACTCGACGTCAAAAAGACCCAAAAAATATAAATATAAATATAATATTAAAAAAATATAATAAGCAAGTCCTAAAAAACCCCATAAAAAAAGATTTAAACACCCGAAAAAGCAACGAAAAGACAAGCTAAAAAAAACAGCGCCCCAGTTCCGATTGTCGTTTTGAGTGTGCTGCAGGTGTAGTTTTGCCTCGTGCGTCAGAGACCCTGGATCTAGAGGCATTCGAGGGTGGAGAGGGATGGTCCATGCAGGTAAAGTACGTATTACGTCGTCAGATAGTAATATACCCATATAACGTGTTATCGGCTAGACAAGGTTGGTGTTATTGATTTTTTGGTTTTTGGTATTTGGTTTTTGGTTTTCATTTTAGTTTTTAAGGCGAACGTCAATCCAGGGAACCTTGGAAATGAGATCAGCTGAACCGACATTCTCTAACGTTAAGGCAACCATGAGGCACTTGACCAAATTCCTCCATTCTGGTTGGTGTTTGTCGCAAGGTACCATACCAGAAACGATCGAACTAGAATCGGTTAGTTAGGGAAAAAAGTAAAAAGAAAAATATATTCACAAAATAACTATGCAAATTACGGAATACATACGCGGAAAGGGAAATATCGGCTACAGTATGCAATGGAGGGGCCACGGGAGAGCATCTCCCATTCCCCTCTTCTCAGTGAACCTTCATTGGTGCCCAGTCCACGCTTTTTTTATCTTTTTTTTTTTTACTGTGATCAGCAAACTTCTATCAAATTAATATTAATTTCCAATATCTGATATCTGATATCTGATTACCCTGTAAACAGACCTTGAAAGTATTTTGATTTGTGGAAGAATGCTTTTGACACCAAAATCCACAATACTAGCGTCCGGTCAGGACCCATTCCTGTACCTTTTTGTACATAATTTTTTCCCGCTTCAAAGTGCGACAAAGATCGGCCATGATTCGCACGCCTTGTGCCACAAGATGGATTTCTTAATTTTAACGTGCATCGGTCAAATCCACTTCCGTGCTGGATTTGAGCCAAGTCAAGTGGTTTCGAGGACATCCTAGCGGCCGATCGTCACCTAACTGATTCCAAATTCAAGCTTGAGTGGGGCATGCCGAATTACAGAGCAGTGAGTAAGAAAGCATACGAGAACTCTGGATAAAGTATCAGAGAGGCGCGAGAAAAAAAAGAGGCCCTAAGCCCATAGAGAGAGTTTTAGGCGACCCAGCTGGCTGGCACCCCACGCGCAGGGAAATAAATATGTTCTCATTCTCTGCCGTGTGAACGAAGTTGCCTGGTAGCTTTGACCTGCATATCTCTCCGCCGTATAATATGTTCAAGGTTCAATGTTGAAGGTTTACTCGCTTACTGTGACTGATACTAATACTAATACCACCACACGTGCATATCACGGGTACGTAGTCGAAACTCCTATGAACCAGGTACCCCAATCCCCGATTGGATCAACTCCACCTCTTGGTTGCTTACAGGCGCCGAACGGGCGTCTAATCTAGCAGAAGCTCGTGCTGACCATATGTCCACAACTGACTTGGCCAATGCATCCTGCATCCCGCCCGATGGGGAATACCTGGATCTTTCCGCCCCATACGTGCACAGGGTGGAACATGCGCTCGGCCATGATCGGCCGTGGGTAAAGTGTATACGGAGTACTGCAGAGTTAAACCCATGCCAAGGTCGCCTGGAACTGGATCTTGACCACGCAATGTACTTTTGACACTTTTTCCACTTTCCCAACGGGGTTCGCTACAGCACAGGCCGTGGTTTTCTTGGTCCAGTGGCAACCCAGCGCAACGGATGGTATGGAGCAAGTTGAAAACGCCGTGTTTATTTGTTGATTTGGGAATTCTTTCCTCATTTCAGTTGCTTCGGCCGAACCTAGAGCACTTGAAGCTGTTTTTCGCTTTGGTGGAGATCAAGGGAGTGAAACAGACGCGTATCTCGGCAGCACGGACATTCTCACTTTGCCCGGACTCCACAGTTTTCCACTTTCCCACTTGAATACCCGTAGCGTCCTTGATGTCCACCTGTTATCCCGGGAAGGGCCGAGTTCTGTGATTCTGTGATTCTGTGTAAGGGAGGGGGGTTTAAAGAATCATGACGAGAATTCATGCTCTACATAACTGTTTATTGTTTTCATTCCTCCTAGTTTGAAGTTCTTCCTGGGTTCCCTTAAAAAAGCAGAGGAAAAAAAAATCAAAACTAAAAAAGTCAAGTTAACACGGAGATGACTTGCAGGTCGATCAGACGGCTTTCCCCTCTTGTCGGCCCTTGTCTCCTACCTTTTAGCGCTGACAAGCCGATTAGCCATCGTCTAACAATTCCAGCGAATCGCAACACGAACATGCCACCAACTACTGTTTCCTATTTGGGAGGAAGAGGAACGCCCAGATCGTCTAGTGGGGCTCAGCACGGGCACAGTCCGTTACAAGCGTGGAAAACATTGAAATGAAAAAACGCCGTAAAGTGGATTCGCTTCTGACTTGCCAAAGGTCCCGCTCGACGGAGTATACAGTAACAACACATATGCCACATCCCACATCCACATCCACACCGGAGAACTCTTTCTACTCCGTTACCCATTTCTGCTCCACAGGAATAACACGGACCAACTAACCCCCCAGACATGAGACGTGGTCAGCATCCACTTTTGCTGAACGAGCATGATCGGTGGCAACGGCCGACAATACTCCACATAGAGCTGCAGGGGGCCCCGGAGCGGTACAATCCCGTGTCAGATCCCCATTCTCCGGAGGCTCTCACTGATACGACGTTGAGAACCAACCGCTTCCCGCTAATGATTTGCGAGTTGCAATCGTGGCGTAGTATCGTCGACTCCGGTTCCCCCGTTTGTCCAGGTAGAAAAACTAAATTTGCTGTAATTTGCATTATTTGCCGATCTCTGACTCGACGCGAGGTAACTGAGAACAGAAAGGGGAAAGATGGGGCAATTTGTAGCAGGAAGTAGCGTAGGAAGTAGCGCGTTCCAATTGTGGCCAACTGGTTGAAATGTTAGCAGTATAAAGGTACCTAGTATCACCATTGACAGCGGCTCATCACCCCTGTTAACCTTGTCAATCTGTTAACGTCTGACATTTTTTCTATTGCGTCAGTGCGTATTACATGCAGCTTTGACGGCCATTGCGTTTCCTGGATTGCGTTCCCAGGAAACGCAAACGACGTTCAGACCTCTTGCCGAACCCCGAGAAAGCATGAGGCTGCTTTGAGACCGATTGCGAACCGGCTGAACCAAGACACAGACTCGGGGGCAGTGCTCCTTGCATTCCATTGCCTCGGTTCAGCTATACAATCTCTATAACCGACATTCCGGATCTTCACGACATGCACTCGTTGATTCGATTTGCCCTGCCGTAGATGCAGGATGCATTATCTGACGTCAACTTCCCTTCTGCTGTTCATGCACCTTGACTAACTTAGGGGCGTCCAGGCCTGGGGGCGGGAGGATGATATGCCCCTGGTCACTTTACCCTGATACCGTACTGCATGGCGGAAATGCAGCTCTTGCTTCCCCCCGGGACTAATGCGCGTCTCTGTCGGTTTCTTTGGGGAGGAGTGGCCGATACCTTTCTAGAACGATGCATGTCCCAGCCTAGTCCTAGCTTACATGAATGCTTAGCCGGTTGTCGGAATAGGCGCATGTTCATCCCGGTACCATTCGGATATTATCCCGATATTTCTGGATATAGACTAAGTACAGAAGTGGAATCGTATGATGAGTTAATCTGGATTAGGATATCATGTTTCATCAAGGGTTCCAGACCTAAATATACAACAGGCCTGCAGCAAAGAAAGGATCTATATGGTTAAGCAAAATTTGAAACACCAGCAACAAAATCCATCTCTTGAAACACCCTGATCCCCTGATCTCAGACTTGGAAGTTATAGATCCCATCTAAGGCTTCCAGAGCCAACCTGCAGGGTGAAAGCAGCATTCAAAGTCGACGCCACCAAACAGCCCAATAGCCCCATATACATCATAATCCCCTTGCAACCCATCGGCCCCCCCATAATCTTCATCCACCTCCTCATGCAAGTCCCACCCTCCGGCCGGATGTCCATTCCGAGTAAAAAACACCTCCACCTTACACTTCCAGCCCTGTTGGGCATCCCCGCTAGACCCAGGAAGGGAAAACACCATACCAAGCCCAACTGTCTCACCTGCATTAACAGGAGATGTAAACGGCCGCCCGCCCCACGAGTCATTCACGAACCGACACCCATCATCCGAGAGCACCCCCAGACTTCCCCGCTCCCACCCAGGTGATCGCCAAGAGGGATAAGGCTGAGCCGCGAATCCGATAGAGAACCCACTTTCGTTACCGGGACTAGCCCGGCGAGAGAGTAGTTTCACCTCAAAGTAAATTGTTTTGTGTTGGCGGAGGAAAGGCGAGTCCTCGGCGGCAAAGTAAAGAGGAAGATGTGTAAAGATAAGGCAATCACCGTTTCGGTCGATTGTGTGACCTTGCCATCTTCCTAGGCTGGTTGTGCGTAGATCCCCGATGTACTCCCTGGCTCGGACAGGGCGTAGGTCGTGATTCTGGACGGCGTTGTAGACGGGCTGGGAGGGCCTGGTGGGAATGTAGAGTGGGTTTGTGTTACAGAATGCGTGGGCGCGGTCTGCGTCGTCTGTTGATGCATTTCCCGTGCCTGAGCTGTAGAACCCTGATACTGGGGGTGGGGGGAAGGTGGAGGTGTCGGGGACGGCTTCTTGCCAGTTGTGGTATGGAGGTGGGTCACCCTGCCTTTTTGATGCTTCTTCGTAGCTAGGTGGTGGCCCTGAGAACTGAGAGTTTTTGTGCGTCATAGCTGTGATGAACGTATTCAAATGTTCTCTTTGATTCTTGATTACTGAGATGTAGACTGGTCTAGTTGGGATATGAACTGCTCCGATTTCCGGTTGGTTTAAGGTTGATCTGGTGTCCACGCCAAGCGGGGCTGAGTTGAATGGAGCCGTGGATCTATTTGGAAGGAACAGGGGACAACAATGGGAGTATCATTACGTCAATATGTTCATAACAATGAATGTCATGGTTGTCTGTGGACGTATATTTCTGGCATTCATATCTACATATATTGTCTGTACATCATAATTAGAGGCAAATTTTCAATTCAGCCATATCAATCAGACCATATCCATAGAATCAAATTTAAAAGAAACAAGGAATCCCTTAATGTGAAACAAGAAAGATCGAGAATGCACAACTGATGGTGACTAAAGGGGAAAAAGTAAAACGGCACTAAGAATAGTATTTGGCCTGCAGGTCTCACATGAACGGAAATTCTCACACAAAACCACTAATGGCAACCGTACGATCTGGGCTTTAGCAAACAATTCAAGAGCTAGTAATATCCTTCTCAGAGAGACTTCTCAACTCTTATGTCTCTCCTGTTCTCAGGGTCTGTTGTCTTCACACAATGTCAGCCGATCCGCCCCGCAGACGCCGATCATCTTTCTCAGAACACTTCCAGCGTGTCTTCCATGGCGATCGAGCGGATCGAACCGACCGATCAAATCAGGTAGGTCCTTTTCTCCCATTACGATGACTCCTGTTAATCGCCGTAGAAGCGCCAGAGTTTAGGGCAAGACACTCCGACCCTGTCGCGTTCGGCTCGACCGAGCGACGACTATAATGCCCCCAAGTCGGAGACTGCCGCTCCATCGGCTGATGAGACGGGGATAAGCTCTTTCAACTTCTCGTCAAATTCTCACATTCCTTCTCTCAGCACTGCGGGCTCCAGTGCCTCTGTCCACGCGATTCTCAAGGATGGTGATACAACGCCGCCGGAACCAACAGAGCCAAAGCGCGCCGTGGAACGAGGTAGGGTCTTCTCCGCGCCAACGTGGGGAAAAGAAACATCCCGGAAAGAGAGGCGCGCGACAAAGCGATTAGAGGCAGAGAGAAAGGAGCTGGAGAAGCGCATGCTTCAACTGGATCAATCCCAGGCCCAGCAGGACAGTGGCGCTGATCGCAACACCCGCCGCTTGGTCAAGAAACAAACTGGAAGTGCAGATCGGTCATCCAGTGCCGGCAGTCTGCGCCTAAGATCATCATCTATCACGTCATTTTTCACAGGCCGACGCTCTAGATCGCGGGCCGGTTCGACAACTGGAAGTGACAATGAATCTACCCGTGACTCGACTGACACAAATGCAGCGGAGCCCATTCCACCATCTATACCGTTGGCTCTACAGGAGCGCTTTGGAGCTGATGTATCTCGGGAGCTGGCGAATCGACATGGAACTACCTTGATCCCTGCGAGTCAGCTCGCAACACAGCTTCCCTCACAGCCACCACAATTGCAGCGACTGCACCATACTCCACTCAAATCGGACGATCTTCGAGAGAATTGGAAAATGGCGGAAGAGTGGAAAAAGACACAAGGGAGCGGGCCTCATGCGGATGTTGTCCAAGCAGAACACATGACAGGGGAACAGTCTCAGAAACCTCGACTATCAATTTACGGAACGAACCTGGATCAAGAGTTCACTGTAACTCCAAATTACTCGAGGAAGACCCCCAAGGGCTCTCCGAGCCCCGGCAATGCGACTCGCCAGGTCCTGTCTTTGAGAAACACACCAGAGCGCAGTCCGCAAGTCCAGGATCCCTCCAATATCCAGATTACAAACATGCGCCAGCTACGTGACTTTTCCAACACGAAGTCAGAGACACCCACTTTAGACACGGATATTCAACCCATGCATGCCGAAGTCTCAAATTATCCCAACCAGGTGGAATCTTCACATACTCATCCGAGAGCATACATATCCTCACCACTGGCCATGAACCCAAACACCCCAGACAGCCCGACTCAGTCGCCAAATAATCCATCGCTGGGTATGGATGAGCTGGATTTACCACAGCCTTTGCGAATCTCAAAGTCTCCTCAATTTGAAGAACCTCGTAGGCACGATCGACAATCATCATTCTCCCCATCTGAGAGGGCCCAAAGTCGGCCAAAGGCGTATAGTTCTGGAAAGGTGCGCCAGCCAGAAGAGTTCATGCACTCTCGTGCAATAGCTCCCCCCAAAAACCCCAATCGACGAAGTCTTGAAGACCAAATTCTCAAGCCAACGAGTAAAGAGAGCCCAGGAGGGCACACTACGTTGAATGATGCATCAAATAGCTCCAAGGATCCTCGGGCTCGATATCACCTCGCTTCGCACCTTGCCGAAGAAGAACAACCCCCAGTAAGCCTGAATGATACAGAAAACAAGCGGTTATCCCAATCATCTGTAGCATCGAGCTATAATACCGCCGATGAGGAAGTACTCGACGTACCCCCAAGATGGTCCAACCGAGCATCCATCCCAGCCTCCGAGCCCAACGAAAAGAGATCCCCCATTCCTACGATAGAAATCACGACACCGAGAGATCCACCCAAAGGTCTCACAAATCCCCGAACCAGACCACCGCTGACTGCTGCGGCCCTAAGCATGTTACGCAAAACCCCCATGCAAAAGATAAAACCACCGCGATCCGACGATGTTCTCACCAAGCTATTCGTCATCTGCTGTCAATGCAAACATTGGCACGACATGCCATCAGACATATATGCCAAGCTGGGCTCTCCGGGGCGTCCATCAGAATCCCGACTATCAAGAACATTCTCACGACGTAATTCAGCGAGAAATTCGATTTTCTCTTCAGAGCCAGATGATCCACGACGTATGCCAGTGTCTGGGCGGGTGCCTCCTAATGGTCAGGCTCAGGTTCCATCTGGGGATGGTGTACCGCAACCTCAGCCGCCTGTTCATCGTTATCAATGCTGTTGGTGTTCTCATGGTATGAGTAAGACTTGTTGTCAAGGGTGGACAGCGCTCGTTCAGATGCGCGAGCGCTGTCATTGAATCAAGATGCTTCATACATGGATTTATGGATTACGGATGATGGATCACGATTTAATGTCGTTATTTGTTTTGTATCTATGGTTTTCTTTGACATACCCAGTTATTTTGAATTTCTTTTGTAACGGATTCTGAACTTCTTCGGTTTTTGCCGAATTAAATATAGAGCTATGTGATAGAGTGTTATTTACTGGATTCAATAGTCCAATAATAGTCGACCCTATATGGGAGTGTTACTTAGACCATCAACATTGATCTACGAACTCCACTTGCGTCACGTGCACGGGATGATTTGAGGAAAAACGACCAGTTCGACCTCAGCCCACTCACTTTCTTGCGGATCGTCCACAACTCACAATGGCAGGTTACACTTGTGCCCAATGCCTTCAGGTCCTCCGACAGGGAGTCCGGGCTCCTGCTCCCTCAGCTCGCCTGCAGAGCCTCGCTCATTCGCGTCGGAGATATGCGTCTCCGATGATTCGCAGCTTTGGCTCGGGACGTCACAATCGCCCGGACAATTCACCAGAACTGAGTAAAGCCCCTGGCAAGTCCACTTCTACGATCAAGCCTTCATCTCCATCGATTGCACACCGAGCAGCCTCCACCGCATCCGGATCCTCCATCGACACATCGGCTTTTTTGAAACCGGATAACCTCTTCCATTCATTCTCCAACTCACCCTCGCCCGAAATCCGAAAGCGCGCTGAGTTCATCAAGGCGAACGCCCATTGTCCTCACCCAAGTCACCAACAGACCCGTGCCCCCGTTTCGCCGCATGACCCGGAAGCCCGAAAGACAACCGACGAGGCCAACCTCCCCCCGGCCCACTCGCATTTCGAATGCCCTGACTGTGGCGTCCCTGTCTACTGTTCCGAGGGTCACTGGATGGATGATTTCGAGGCCCACTTGGAGGTCTGTGATACGATCCGTCAGATCAACGAGGACGACCATGATCTGCACTCCGGCCGCTACTTCCCTGAATTCAACTACCCCGGTGTCCAAGATGAGAACTTCGTGATCAACATGACAAACTGGGATACTTACATGTATACGCGCGAGTTCGAGGCGATCAATTCCGATCGGTCTATGCGCCAGGTCACCCGCATGCTCACCTACCCGCAAACAATTGCTAGTGTTCTGCATGAGCTTAGCCCGTACAATGTCCGCAGCAAGAACCAGCTGACACCCGAGGGATTGAAGAGTTTGAGCGGTATGTTGGAGCTGAACCCAAGCTTGATGTCATACTAACGAAGCTTGTCATTTTTAGCTCTCCGATACTCCCTGCACCCTCCTCGCACCGGTGAAGATATCGACGTGAAAGGTCTGCGCCTGAAGGCCCCACCAGTCCGGTTGTTCATTCTCGGTGCCCGTGCAGAGTCCTCTCTGCCTCGCGAAGTGTGGCTGCAGCTTCAGTACATGTTCCCCCGGTCCCTGTTGCACCTGATTTTCATTGGACCCGAGAGCATGACCAATCGCGATGCCGAATTCCCATTGCCGGAGCGCACACCTGAGAATCCGTTCGGAGGGATTGTCGAGGACCGCCTGGGTGGCCAGATGAAGATTACTACGTACGTGGAATATTTCCACACCATGTACAAGGCAAACTACTTCCAGCCCTTCGACCCTTACCTGGATTGCTTCATGCTCTTCCACCCCGGCCTGGGTCACCCCGCTAGCTCACATGAGTGGCAGGAGACTCTCCCCCAATTGCTCGAGACCAAGGTTCCAATTCTGTGCACCGGTTACACGCAGTGGGATATGGAGCGCGACATTAACTGGGTGCATGAGAAGTGCGCCGGTGAGTTCGACATGCTCCTCGAGCCTGGCGAGAACATCTTCCGCAGTCTGCGTTGGGATTTGAACGACCAAGACCCGCATGATGTTTCGTGTGGTAATTGGGGTTTGTGGGGATTCCGTGGCAAGAGGTATGTTATCACTTTCACTGGAGTTATTTGACAGCTTGCTAACTTATTCTAGATACGAGGCCACCTTCAAGGGCGAATAAGTGGTGCTGCCACTTTCTGTATGATATTACTTGATTTCTTCTGTAGTCTCCAATTGAGCTGGGACTCGTGTAGTAGATAGACCCTAGTTAAGAAATGTGTATTTTTGCGAATCACTTTTCAATATCGGACCGTTGAGTTTCGGATCTCGAATCTTATACCAATTGTAGAAGGTGATCTTTGTTTCAAGTTCTACTGCATTACCCAGATATACGCACTACAGAATCGCAGTACAAGTATACACCTAGTTCCTACAATCTACTCGAAAACAAATGACATCCAAGCCAGCAAAGATGAGCCCATCGAAGCCGTAAAAAGGGTTGATTAATTCCCGGATCAATCCAAATCATAAAATAAATTAAAGAAAAACATGGATGACATCAAGAGGTAGGAAGAAATATAAAAAAAGGGTATAGACATGAAGAATTCGGAGAACACATCACAGCAGCCGTGGTCATCGACGGATGGAGAAAAAAAGGTACAAAAGAATATATATGAATCAAGGTGGGCAGCCAAGAAAGAAAAAAGAAGAAAATGCCCAAAATTCCCGACATAAAAGTAAAGAAATAGAAGAAGAAAAAGGGAAAGAGAAAGAAAAGAAAAAGAGAGTGACCATCCTAGATGGTATGTTATCCAGCGCGTAGCTGTAGCCGATAAAGCTGCATTAGCCCTGCATATGACATATGCAGGTATAGCAGCTTACTGTAAATAGATCGATCCTCAAGATCTAACGCGTTATGAAACGCGAATTACCACCAACCGAGGTCCAACCCTAGACCATCAAAACACCAGCGAGAGCCAGCGCACCAACAGCAACAGCACCGGGAAGCTTGCGCGACGCAGCACCAGTAAAAGTGGTAGAGGAAGAAGCAGCAGCAGAGGCAGCGGCAGTCTGAGTAGCGCCCGAACCCTGAGTAGACTCCTGGCTAGACGCAGAAGTAGCCTTGATCAGGGGGGTAGAGCTGGGCTTGACAGTGAAGCTGGCGCTAGCGCTAGCGCTGGGGCTGGGGGTGTAGGGAGTGCTGGTGCTAGAGTGGATGGGAGTCGAAGTCGAGGTGGAAGAGGGGGTGGGGGTTGGAGTTGGGGTCGAGCTTGTAGGGGTGTAGCCCGATGGAACCAGGGTAATTGTCTGGGTGCAGGTGGTAGCTTGCGCGGAGACGGCCTCTGCGGCGAGTGCGACAGGAGCGAGGAGGAAGACGAGAGACTTGAAGAAGTGCATGGTTGCGGTTTGTTTATATAGTTGGAATTTTGGAATGAGGGTTTGAGGTTGAGATTGATCTGATTTTGAGCCTGAAAAAGAGTGAATGGAGCTGAGAAGAAACGAATGCGACAGCCCGTGTCTAGGTGAAAAACGAATGGCACTGAAATCAGTGAAGAGAAGAGAAGAGAGTCGACTTTGCAGGGGTGGAAGGCGGGAAATGAAGCTCAATCTTAGGGGATTACACTTGTCTGGGTTGGGTTTAGCGGGAGACGTAACCACCCCGACCAGTGGAATGTTCATCTAAAGACGATAACAGTGGGGAGTAGGGAGAATTAATTTGTTGAGGATATTAGAATTCGTAGTTGCTATGGTAAGCATTCATTGATCAAAAGTAAAAAATGCAGCAATAATCCCACCGGGGTATCTGAGCCAAAACGCATAAAGAATATCGGCCAATATGTACAGGCTTTCGTCAAAACTCATCAAAGGAACGATTAGGGGCTTGGCAGTATGCGCAATGCCAGCAAATCTTGGCCATAATAGCATATGCCAAGCGGAAACAGATAGGAAAAAGTGAAAAAAACCTCGTGCATCAGTCCCTCGTGCGCTGCCCGCCCCATCTCATCTCCGGCTCATTAGATACTCCACACAGTCGCTAGCACCACAGCCACCGTTGCCCAATAACCACTGGCTTGCAACATAGAGGCCATAGTCCCCGAGCCGGCGGAACTGCCATCAGCAGCCGTGGTTCCGTTGGCCAGTGTACCGTTGATATAGATCTTCTCCGTGCCATTGACCTTGGCCACAGTCACCACGCTAGTGTTTTTAGGCTGGGTGCCATTGAACAACGACTCGTAATAGGTACTGTTGTTGTTATCGTCACAGCCACACTCCTGATACTCCTCACACAAGCATGTCACGGGAATCGACGTGTTCTTGTGAGTTTCATCGTTGATGTAGTAGTAGTTGTGGTTGTAATCATAAGCGTAGACGGGATGGTACCAAAGCCCCGGGAAGAAAGCCACAGCGGCTACTGGTAACAGGAACGGTGTGATTCCCAAAGCTGAAACTCGACCGGATCGATAGGGGGTAGTTGCACCTCCCGCGTAATATCTGTTTGCGCCGTGAGTTCTTCCGCCATATGGACGCGTCGCGGACCTGGACCCTGCATGACCAGAGCCAAATCCGTATCCGCCTGTGGAGCCAGTATCATACCTGCCGCCGCCATAGGAGGCTTTTGTGCCAGAACCCTTGCTGGTTGTTCCGCCAGTGTCGCTTGAGGAACTGGTTTTGCCTGTCGATCCACTTGATGAACTGGATGAACCTGAATGAGAACTGCCACTGCTGCCGCTGCTGCTACTGCTGCTGCCGGATCGACCTCCGCTGCTTCCACTGCTGCTTCCACCACCACCGCGACGTTTCTCTAGTTCCACTTCATGGTCCCCAGGAACTTCATAGTGTAAGTGTTGTAAGCCATTTTCAGAGTCCGTTGGTAAGGATGTGACTCCGGTGGAGCACAAAACAAAAAGGGCGGCTGCCCAAGTGAACTTCATAATAAGATGTGGTGATTTGAAATGGGTATATGGGTGAATTATAAACAGATAAACAAGAAACAGTAGGTTTATAAGGAAATTACAAAGTTTCATTGAATGGAAAGATTGGACCGGATACGAGCACCGCCTGCTCAGCCTCAAGGCGCAGTAACAATCAAAGGTATTATGACATATGCATACAGAAACCCTGCATCTGTCATAAATCTACCAATCAGCTTACTTTGCTTTTCTTTCTTTGTTACCATCATGATTCAATCCATCCAATTAGCCTCAATTGTATCCACGTCAACCAGAATAGGTAACGTGATAGATTTTGAACATTTCACAGATAAAATGTAATTTCTCATTTGACAGGACCTGTAATATTTCCAAAAGATCAGTAAATCAATAAATCAATAGTGCCAAATTCTAGCGCAATTATTGGCGGTCGGGATTAGGTACATCTTATCAACCCAACTCAAGGACCTTGAGAGTCAACTTTTCTTCCTCATCAACCTCTTCGCACTTCTTCATGCGTCCCAGGGGTCTCTCTGCCGCTTCTTCTGTCTCCTCAGTTCCTGATCAGGATCAGGTAAATTATATCCCATCCCCCTGAATTCCCGCTCTAACCATTCTCTAGGAACTGGGGAGCATGTACGATTACTTAGCCAAGGTAATCCTCCTGGGACCCAGTGGTGCGGGGAAGTAAGTCTCATGCGATCAAGAAAATCAAAGAAAACGGTGATTTCTGACCGCCGGGTCTAACAGATCCTGTGTGCTACACCGATTCGTCAAGAATGAATGTACGACCACACCTTCCCCTCTACTTCGCACTTAGCTAACCCCTCCAGGGCGAGTTCTATCCTCACAGACCATCGGAGTCGAATTTTCTTCCCGAATCATCAAGCTGGGCACCGGTTCACGACGAAAACGCATCAAGCTACAGCTCTGGGACACCGCCGGCACGGAACGTTTCCGGTCCGTATCTCGATCCTACTATCGCGGCGCTGCCGGTGCCATCCTCATCTACGATGTCGCCTCCTATCCTTCATTCGCTGCCCTCCCGACCTTCCTCATGGACGCTCGAGCGCTAGCCTCCCCGAACTTGACCGTTATACTTGCGGGGAACAAGGCCGATCTTGCCGATCCCGAGGATTCCGCGCGACCGCCACCGACCCCGTCCAGTACCTCTAGCAAACAGTCCTCGTTCCACTTTGACGCCAATAGCTCCATGCGCTCGAACTATATGGGCGCGGGAACTCGCATGACTGCGACATTCGCCGAAGATCGGGAGGTGAGCCGGGAGGATACGGCTCGTTGGGCAGCGCAATCGAATATCCCGGTGGCGGTTGAAGTGTCTGCCTTGACAGGTGAGGGTGTGGAGGAGATATTTCATCGACTCGCGCGCATTATCCTTACGAAGATTGAGCTGGGTGAGATTGATCCAGATGATCCACAGAGTGGCATTCAGTATGGGGATGGGGGGCTGTATGGCCACGGTACCAGTGACGCATCCAGCATTCGAAGCATAACTACAATAGATGAGAATTCCGTGCCACTTCGATCCTCGCGGCGACGGGCCCAAGGCCCTGGATCGACGGGCTGGAAGGGCGGCATGAGAGAATGGGAAGATGTGTTTCGCCTGGGCGCTCCCCGGAGAAACCAAGGATGTTGCTGATGCATTCCTGAATTCATTGGGTGATCTCTTATTTTTTTTATATTCGTTTTGACATGTCTTTCGTTGAATCCCTGCACGATACCCCTCTTTCGACGTTCGTTCATGATTTTACAGATGCTTATTGCCCTTCCATGAGGAGTTCCCCAGGAATCGAGGACTTGTAGCGGTTCAAAGGACCCATCGCAATACTTATTTTGGATTCCATTTCTCATTTTTTCCAGACCGTTACATCGTATAATAGGATCCAGAACACCGATTACGCATCGATCCCAGCAATGAGTGTCTTGATGCCCTTGCCAGCCTTGACTCCCTTGAAGGCTTCCTCGGCCTCCTCGAACTTGACAGTTCCTGTGATCAACTTCTTCACGTTCACCTTGCCCGTCGCAACCAAATTGACTGCCAGCTTGTAGTCACCGCTGCCGTAGCGGAAGCTTCCTCGGAGGGTCAGCTCCTTGGAGCAGGCGGCCATGATGGGGAACTGAATCTCGCTCCGACCCATACCACCCTGCACGTAGGTGCCCCCGTTCCGAAGAACATGGATACCAGTGTGTACCGACGGCTCCGCACCGGAGGCATCAATAGCGACATCAGCACCAGCACCCAAATCATTCTCCTTAATTAATCTCTCGGCATTCTCCTGTGCGCTGACCTTGCCCGGCATGAAAGTGGAAGTGGTCGCGTATTCCTTGGCAAAGTCCAGACGACCCTGTTGGATATCCACCGCAATGACTTTGGAAGCGCCGAAGGCAGTCGCGACAGCGCAGCACAACAGACCAACCGGACCGGCACCAAACACCACCACCGATTGACCGGGGCTAACCTGCGCCTGGCGAACAATGTGAACCCCAACACTCAACGGCTCCATCAGCGCACCCTCCTGCAGAGACATACTCTCAGGAAGCTTGTAGCAGAAATCCTCAGGAAGAACATAGTATTTGGCCAGAGTACCATCGTACGGCGGTGTCGCCGCGAACACCATGTTCTCGCACAGGTTGTACTTCCCACCCTTGCAGGGCTCGCACCGACGACAGCAGATGCCGGGTTCCATAGCGACACGGTCGCCCACCTTCAACGACTGGACAGCGGATCCGACCTGGGTAATTACACCTGCGGACTCGTGGCCCAAAACCATGGGGTCTTTTACCACAAATTGTCCGATCGAGCCATGTTCCCAGTAGTGCACCTGACCACGGTTCGTCAGTTAAGTTACATCATACCCCGCATTCGAGACACCTACATCACTGCCACAGATACCGGTGTATTTGACATTGATCAACACATCGTGAGGGTTCTTAAGCTCGGGGACTGGACGGTCTTCGAATGTGACCTTGTGGATTCCTTGGAGGACAAAGGAGAGGTTCTAAGTCATGTTAATGTTTAGTTCGGGGGAGGGGCGGTGTGTGGGATTGATTCCATTCCCACTTACCTCAGCGGTAGACATGTTGGGCGGAAGGATATGAGTAGGAGTATGATGAAAGAAGAATAACCAGGAAGATTAAATATAAATCTCCTAAAAGTGACCGGCAAAATGGAATGAACCGAGCTGGTCACTCCCCGCAAGGATGTGGATCCAATGTGATTTTATCCGCGGGGGACTTTTACCCGATTTGCCTATGTTACGACGAACGCCACAGCTACTGTCAGGCTATTTCACGTGGGAGTTGGGCACAAATATGCATTTTAAGTGGTTATACAGCTGAATATTCATATCTAATGTATCAATTGATTCGGTTAATCTGTAGAATGATCTGAGCTACGAGTTTAACGTCCATAACCAGCCTAAATATAGAAAGTTCTAATACGCATTAGACCTACAAGGTAAATTGTACGGAAAGAAGGTCATCTTACTAAGATAAAATAGCAAGATATAAGATGAAATAACCTTAGAATACTCTGACAAGGTATAGAGTAAGCATTGAAGGTTATCTGTCTGGGCCCGTGCATGCCAAGCCTGCGGAGATTCGAATCTCGTGCTTCCGCTTCGCAACTTCCAAGCTTGGAGAACTTTTGTTCGCTACCTCTAACCATGTTACCACATTCAATCGCCCTCCGAGGGGCATTACGTAGCCTCCGAGCTCGTCCAACCCTCCCCCACCAAAGATTCTTCGGTGCATCGGCCCGATACCAAGAGAAGCCGCAGGCATCCTTCAAAAGTCAGCTCTACGAGAGCACCCAACAACGTCTGAAACGCGAGCGGGCCGAACAGGAACGTTTCGCGCAATACCAAACCCAGTCTCCCGGTGGCCGATATGCCGCCCTTGTCTTTGGTAGGTCCATCCTTTCCTCCCGAACGGGCCGTCGCTAATTGTCCAGCTTTGGTCTTCTTCTCTACCGGTGCTTATTATCTCGGATCGCTTAAGCCCGCTGCCCTCCCTACCTCTTCTACAAGTCCGTTGGTAGATATCCAACCCGCTCAGCATAATGTTTCTCCGTCGAATCTGCAGGCTGCTTGGTCCGATTTCGTGGAGATTCTAGGCAAGGAAAATGTCTCGACTACTCCGGGCGATCTGGAGTCGCATGCTGGGTCAGATTGGTCTTCATATTCGCGGAAGGAAAACGAGAAGCCTTTTTTGATTCTCTACCCGTCTACTACTGAGGAGGTTTCTCGGATTATGAAGGTTTGCCACCAGCGGGTTATTCCCGTCACCCCGTACTCGGGCGGTACAAGTTTGGAGGGTCATTTCGCACCGACCCGTGGTGGTGTGTGCATTGACTTCCGTCGTATGGATCGCATCCTGAAGTTGAACAGGAGCGATCTCGATGTTGTGGTCCAGCCGGCACTGGGATGGGAGGAGCTGAACGAGGAGCTGACCAAGGATGGTCTCTTCTTCCCTCCTGACCCAGGTCCTGGCGCTATGATCGGTGGCATGGTTGGAACGGGCTGCTCAGGAACAAATGCGTACCGCTACGGAACGATGCGCGAGTGGGTTCTCTCGCTGACTGTGGTTCTGGCTGATGGAACAGTTATTAAGACCCGTCAACGCCCACGCAAGTCTAGTGCTGGCTACGATCTGACCCGGATGTTCATTGGTAGCGAGGGAACTCTTGGTCTTGTGACAGAGGCAACTCTGAAACTGACCGTCCGACCACAGAGCGAGAATGTGGCCGTGGCCAGCTTCGCTAGCATCCAGAATGCCGCGGACTGTGTTACTAAAGTTGTGGAAGCTGGTATTCCTGTCGCAGGAGTGGAGATTCTGGATGATGTGCAGATGAAGTGCATCAATGCCAGCCAGAGTACTAGCCGCCAGTGGAAGGAGTCCCCTACCATCTTTTTCAAATTCACCGGAACTAAATCAGCCGTCAAAGAGCAGATCAGCATGGTTCAGAAGCTCGCCGCTAGCGCCTCAGGAAAAACCTTTGAGTTTGCCAATGGCGAGGAGGAAATGAAAGAACTCTGGAGCGCTCGGAAAACAGCTCTGTGGAGTGTGATGGCCATGCGGAGAGGACCTGAAGATCGTGTGTGGACAACTGACGTGGCTGTTCCTATGAGCAGACTGCCGGATATCATCGACGCGACCAAGGAGGACATGACCAAGAGTGGATTGTTGGCTGGAATTTGTGGTCATGTTGGAGATGGAAACTTCCACGGTAAGAATCTTCACAATATCAAATTATTTTTTTACTAACCCTGATAGCAATTATCCTATTCAATGAGAAAGAAAAGAAGGTGGCCGAGGAAGTCATTCACCGTATGGTCAAACGGGCCGTGGAGATGGAGGGAACCGTAACGGGAGAACACGGTGTCGGTCTGGTGAAGCGGGATTATCTTGCCCATGAGCTGGGTGAGACTACAGTGGATGCAATGCGTCGAGTAAGTTACACCTATTCATATATTTGTCTCATCAAACACTAACGTCTATAGTTGAAATTGGCCTTTGATCCCCTGCGTCTGCTCAACTGCGACAAGGTTGTTCGAACGGAGCAACCTGGTCCTGGCGAGGTTAAGGAGTGGTAGTTTTAATAGATCCACCAATATATCTAATCTGAACCCGAATCCGAACCAGAATGTTCATGGTGGTGATGGTGATGGTGATCGTGTCGGCGTCGGTGAGAATTTTCCTCATCTCTTCCACTTCGGGATCCTGAGCGATCTCTGGGTGATTCCTCTCGAGGACGTCGTTCCACATACTCCACTCTCTCGTCAAATTGGCCGTAACCTTCCTGTGGATAGCTAGGCCTCTCATACTCATCAAACCCACGCGGTGGTGGAGGTGGTCGACCATAACCGCCTGGATATCCCCTGTTTAAACTGATCAACAAAACGCCCCGATATAAAAAAGTAAAATAAGGCTTACTGTTCAAATCCCCCGTATCCACCTTGTTCATGCTGGAAAGCAGGTTGCGGAGGTCCATACTCGTAGCGCGACTCGGTTTGCACATATTCAGTCTGACTTTCATAAACCTCCCGCCTCTCCTGTTGATAATAGCCCCCGCTTCCCTGCTGCTCGTAAGACTGATATTCCTCACGGCGATATTCCTGGATAGGAGGATTCGGCGGGTATTTAAGACGAGAGTAACCATCGGAATACTGATCACGCTGTGGAGGCGCACACCCTCCAGAATATTGATCACGCTGTGGAGGCGCATACTCTCCAGAATACTCCTCATGCTGATGAGATGGAAAATCGCTTCCAACCGACTCGTCGCGACGACTGTGGGTGCGGGAATTGCCATCATAATTTCGCTCGGGACTTTCTCGACCATTGCTATTGTTCAACATCATTGATCCCATTCCTCCAACGAGACCAACTAATCCGCCAAGGGCTCCTCCACTCAATGCTTGGGATGCAAAATCCTCCAATCCGCCATTACTGGAGTCGCCGTTGCTGATTTTGGGCTTGGGCAGAGCGATGGGCTTTCCACAACCATGTCCACAGTCCTGAACGCCTTCTTTGTGGTTCTTGCCCTCGAGAACTCCATCCCGGCTTAGCTGTTCGCGTAGATAATCCTGGGCTTCCTCACTCTTCTCGCCCCACCATTGTTCCACGGTGGAGAACATTATACCGCGAATTTCGTCCGCGCCATTATCTCCGTATTCCCTAAGAGCGGGGTGATGGAAGACTCCCGATATAATTCTGGTGAGGGTTTGGTCGATATCGGCATCTTCGTCGTCCCAGCAGTTCATCAGTTGGGGAACTGTCCACTTGACGACGGCTGAAGCAATGCGTCCGGCTGGTTCGTTGAGAACATTGGAGAAGTGGTCCTTGGACAGCATGGAATGGGTAGGGTTTGATGAGGAGTCATCGTTGAAGACGATATGTTGCTGTACCTGGCTACTCTGGATCAATTCTGAGGAACCAGTCTCGAGCTCGGATCTGACCTGCTTGATGATGGGGAGGACATAGGGAGCGAGAACGGAGAAGACGAAGACTGTGATCTCGTCTTGGATTTGCTCAATTAGCTCTGGCAGGACTGGAATCTGTTCGATAGCTTCGTTGATTCCTTTAAGCAGTTTGTCGTGCCACTCCAGGATGGGGTAGATCTGTTTCTGAACATCGTCGAGATAGCGAGTCCATTCCTCGGGCTCCCGCGGGGAGACATCCGGAGTATTGTTCTTCGCATCATCTGCCTTGGCCTTGAAATCATCCATCTCCCTTGCTTCGGAGTCACTATCGCCGAACAGTCCACTAGGGATCTTACTCAACAGTCCCTGCAAGACGCTCTCCGAGGAGCTATCATTTTGAGATTCATTGATAACACCTTCCAAGGACTGTAATTCCGATTGCGTGGCTTTATCAGAGACTTCTCCGAGTACCGAGTGAAAGAAATCGACTCCGCCAAAGGTTCCAGTCACAATGGGATAGACCAAGCCGCGTGCACCCTGAACCTTCAGCATTGTATCGCGCCCAACATGAGGGAAGACTTCAGTCTCTCCGAGTTCAATGAGACTCAGCTCGGTATAGTTGGAATGAGCCGCATAATCCTCCAAGCAGTGTAAGCCTGTTCCAAGCAATCGAAGGGCCTCGTATAGATCTTCATCGTTACGAGAACGGGCGTAACGACGACCAAGCTGAATCGAACGGCCGAGAGTTTTCCGAATCAAATGAGCCGAGGTATCCATATCCATATCTTCAGATGCAATATAACACTTGAGACCTGTCCGTGGATCAATAGAAAGCTCACGCTCCTCATCCACCGGTCCTCGCAAACGCTCATCGTAGTTACGAGCATCATCCCCCTCCGCATACCCTTTAGGGTTATCAATATGCTCAGTAGGCTGGTAACATCCAAGTCGCTCAGTAGTAACTTCAAACTCGCCCGTACCGTAACTATACACGTAATTTTATCAACACAGAACTATAACCCGAATCAATGAAGAATCACTCACCCAAAACTCATAAATCCCAACACCCAGATCAAGATCCGAATAGCCTCTGCACTGACATACTTAACAGTCCCAACATCAACAGCTTGGCTATAATCCCGCAGCCAGTTCCCAAAGTAAACACGCTTCACATCCAACTTGTTGAATTTCCGCCCTCCTGCTCCCCGAGCAAGGAACAAATTCAAAAGAGCATCTTCGATATCGCCGTGGCGCCAGTTTTGGCCTTCAATTTGAGAAAGGGAGGCGATGTTCCCCGCTCCGAATCCATATGCTTGGCCGGAGATGGCGAGGATGATAAACAGAGAGAAGCATATACTTTGTATAGATGGACTCATATTAAGGTTCGGGGCTCGGGTTCGGGGGAGAGTTCATGAGTAAGGGGAAAGAGGAAGAGAAAAAGAAAACTCCTATTTGAATAGGAAAAGTCTGCCCAACGCCGAGAATGTATCCGGGCTGGCGGGGAACTCCATTGATACGTTTCTTGGCTGCAGCCCACATGTGACACTTAGCGCCTTCCAAGGGCTTGGCGCGGGATGTTGGGATCCGAACCAATGGGACTTGGGGAGGATTCTCTATGAAGAGATTTATATTGACTCGAGTGTCTGATAAGGCAGGATTGTAATTTGTGCTATGCTGAGTTGTGCTTGCTCTCACAACCCAAATGACAAGTCCCATCCATGTAACTCAGATGCAGGCCCTTATAATCACACACAGGATTTGGAACTGTTATTTCTAACCATCGTATCGAATCGGGGCCCTATATCTCATTAGAATCAATCACGAAGCCAACCTAAACTCGTCTGGGGGGACCGGCAATCAATTTGATCAATCATGTGGCACCAACCGAGAAACCGAATATTTTGCTGCCGTGGGTCGAGCATAAAGGTTGTCATTGAAGGCTAAAGTCTGACTGTGTCTATATTCTCGAATCTCTCAAGGCACTTGCGAAGTCAAGTGTTGAAGTCTTCTGATTCCAGAAGACTGGCGTCGTTAGCCATCATAGCTCTGTATGTGGCATGCTGCGTCTTTAATTCTTCTCTCTCTGCTGATCGGCAACTCTTTGAAGAGACAGCCAGTTAATTCATGCTCATATTCTCCAGGAAGCAGTCAAAACCCGCAAACACAGTGGGTATCATCCACAACTCTCGAACTTGAATCCTCATATTATCCTATTTGGCGAGATCTTCATGATAGCGAAGACTGTCGCTTGTAACAATAAAGTGAATGGTCTTGAGACGATGGGAGAAATGTTTCAAGGATAAATCATATAATGCGCGGAATGATAATCTGAGCACTTGCCACTCAGTCAACTGTAAATGGCTGTAGATCATAGATATCACTTTCACGGGTAGGGAAGCAGTCGACCTTTGGACTGGGCTCCTTGTGTAGCTACGAGATATTTTGAGATGGAAGAGTATGAGGTAGAGCTGAGCTCTGTTGGAAAGTCCACTTGTTTCGAGTAAAGCTCAAGGCAAACAACCAGCGTAGATAGATGACTAACGTGATAATTGCCGCATTGGGACTAGCGCGTATTTGAGCTTGTACATATAGTTCGTCTGCTGATTCTTTACTTCCTTTCTTCGCAACTTAATTACTCTTTTCTAATACAAGAATAGCAACTGTATTCTGCTTAAATTAGCAGCTTCTAGAACTATTTCTGGCTTTGCTTTTCAATACTTATTTGTTTCCTATCGCTTGTTCTTCCTGTAATAGCATGTGAATTATTGGCCCTCATTTAATGCTAAATTCGCAAACCACGATAACTACATGTTCTATGTATTCAATTGCACGAGGAAAGAGTATATGTGAGTTGATCGATGTGATGGACAGACAATTTGAGTGGGGGTATGCCCACGAACAAACTAAGTGTACCAAACTAAGCGTACAGATCCTTGTGGTCACGTTTGATCGCATCGGAGCCCTTCTCGGCGCACATGTAGACAGAGTTCTGAATACGGCAATCTGGGATAACAGGAATAACAGAGGCATCAATAACACGAAGGTTCTTTATACCGTGAACCTTGAGATTAGGATCAACGACACCCTGTTTGATATCCTTGGACAGGCGAGCAGTGCCACAAGGATGGAAGGAAGTCTGACAGCGATCCAGGACAGTTCTCTTCATCGCTACCTCATCATCAAGTGGCATGTCCCAAGGGTATTCATCTTCAACAATATCCTTGAAGCCCTTGCCATGCTTCAGGACATCGTAGGCAAATCTGATACCCTCGCGAACGGCAATAATATCCAGGTCGTTGTTGAAGTAGTTCAAATTGATGTTCGCTTGCTCGAGGGGATCGTCACTGTTCAGAGTAACCTCACCACCTTCCGAGACAGGGCGGACGAGATCAACCATGACTGTCATTAAACTGCCCTTGTTTTTTCCCGGGTGCGGGAAGTGCCACTGGAAGGCACTGCCATACATGGGGATGAAATCAAGTTCGAAGTGAGGCTGGCCATACGGACAGAAGGGGTCAGCACCGCCGTTAGCCGCCTTCGCCTTGACGTATTCTGGAGAGTTTTCCAAATACTTGTCGATGCGAGGGAAACCGATCAGCTCGAGGAAAGGAGATGCCATTGGGCCCTTGTGCTTTCCGTTGGAGTAAGCATCCAGGACCTTAGTATGGAGAGGACCCTTTTGTAGAACATGGTTATCCATCGAGAAGCTGTCCTTAAGACGAAGACAGAAGGGTACACCGGGGTGATCCAAAAGGTGCTGACCGACGTGGCGAGAATCGACGATCAAGGGGATGTTGTGCTTGGCCAGCTCAGGCGCCGGTCCAATACCGCTAAGCATCAAGAGCTTAGGGGTTTCAAAGACACCCTGCGAAACGATGACCTCACGGGTAGCGTAGAAGTCGAGCTCTTCTCCAGAGCCAGTGATCACAGTCACACCCTTGGCAGTTAGATCGGCGTCATCGATAATAAGTTTCTTTGAGTGAACTTCGGGGAGTATGGTGATGTTCGGCTTGTCTGCGACCGCGAGGAAGCTGCCCGAGCGGCGACCCTTGTAGATGGTGTTGACACTGTGGACTAGGCCATTCATCTCACCATCAAAGATGTTCTCAGTGACGACCTGGCCGGTAGACTTCCAGGCAGTAATGAGATGCTCACGGAAGCCCTGCATCTCAGGAATGAGCTCCGCATGGGCAATTGGAATTGGGCCACCACCACCGATCTTTTTCAGCTCGGGTGGATATAAGCCCTCGTCGTCGTGATAGGTCACACTCTTGCGAAGGTAGTGAACAAGAGGGTCCCAGGTCCATTCCTTGCCGCCAAATTCCTCCCACATATCAAAGGTGGCCTTAGAGCCAGGCACCCAAGAGAAATAGTTCAAAGAAGAGCTACCACCGAGGGCCTTTCCACGGGTGTTGGGCTTCTCAATACGCTCATAGTCATCACGTTTGACCATGGTCGTCTTGTAAGCCCAGTCATACTTGCTGCTACGCAAGTCCATAGCAAGTCCAGGAGTCCGGATGTCTTCATTGTCTTTGGAGTCACCAATACCAGCTTCGACGATTAGAATTCTGGCATTGGGACTTTCAGCAAGACGACTGGCAACAATGTTACCAGCCGTACCACCGCCAACAATGATGAAATCAAATCGGCCACCGTCTTGGATGGTCATGATGAAGATTCAATGTTTGAATAGAATGGGGATTAAGAGATAAAAGAATGATGATCTGATGAACAGGAATTACCCTAGATTCAACTGGCTTTTATAGATGAAGCTTCGCTCTCTACCTAGGATCGTAAGAAACCGAGTGACCGTAATGGAGACTGATTGCACTCCTGTACCCCTCATATGTGACGTTGTAGACTTTGCGAGGTAAGTCAAGTCCGTCGTGGAGATAAATCCCAATTGGTTAGATAGTGAATCCATTCTGGGATATCATTACTGCATATGCAGTATGATGTGTGGCTTCGTGTCAGATCAGATACATATTGGATTGATATTCCAAACATTTGTCTGCATATGGACACGACACTTAGCCCCACCATACCCACTTGGCCCAGACAACTCCACAACTCCACAACCCGCAAAGCCGAAGTTGGAAGTGGTACTTGTCCAATCAAGTCCCTCATTCCCAAACGGCATTCCAAGGTACTACTACCGGGTTAAGCTTCAAACCGGCCGATCCCTGGAAATAACCCGGAGACTACATGCCTCGAACACTAACTCGAAGAACCAACACTGAATCATCCTCGAATAATTCGAATTTAATTGGCCATTGAGCTCATGATCTTCGGGAGAGCTCGGCATCTTTCAGCCCACGCCGCTCAATTGACATCTGTCCGACCATTAATTATCCGCGGATGGTTTCATATGCGGCCGGGATGCGGCCTGGAATGGACCGCCACAGTACAGTATGCAGGCTCTGGTATGGGCCATCGCGCATACAAGTGAGGGGTTTTACAAAGAGACCAATCGCTTTCTATCAATTCCAGCTTATCCGGTCCGGGCAGGCCACTTGTGTTGGGCGCACCAAAAAATGACGTTATGGATTACGGACAGAAGAACTCAAACGCTTATCGGCTGAAATTGGGTACGGAAGCATCGATAGCTCTCCATGTATTGTGCCTATTTAACTGAGTCCAACTGACCCAAGCTAATTCAGCTCAATTGTGAACTCTCAATTTCACAGTTTTTGAACTCATAATGTCTGCTGATAAATACTACACCCTTGCTGAAGGTTTGTCACTCATATACAGTCCCCTTTTTTAATTAGATATTCATTGAAGAAAAAAAGGATGCCCCTTCGCAAGCAGTAGCACTGCTGTGCTTATGCGTAACGGGCAAGGTGGCGGCCTTGGCTTACTCCAGGACACCCAGCTCATCGAGACTCTCGCGCACTTTTCTCGTGAGAGAATTCCCGAGCGGTAAGTGACACAATGTATGCTTGCAAGGGTATTTTGGCTAACAATACTGTTCCAGTGTTGTTCACGCCAAAGCTGTCGGGTAAGTCAACTCAATGCCTTTTCTAGAGGGCACTCACCTGAGTATCTACAAAGAGCATACGGAGAATTTGAAGCCACCGCCGACTGCTCCGACCTGACCTCCGCCAGCTTTCTCAACAAAGCTGGCAAGAAGACTCCTGTTCTTCTTCGCGTCTCTACAGTTGGACCAGAGTCAGGCTCTGCTGATACCTCCCGTGATGTCCACGGCTGGGGAATGAAACTCTACACAGATGAAGGAAATTTGGACTGGGTCTTTAACAACACCGTGAGCTATTTATATTTTGAGACATACCCGGAGATCCCCGCTTATGCAGTGCAGCCGGTATTCTTTATTCGGGATCCCATCAAGTTCCCCTCTATGAATCGCTCTCACAAGAGACACCCGCGGACCCACCTTCCCGATGCGAACATGGTAAGTCATTCCATGAACTCTATGCAGACGAAAAATCTTGAAGCTAATATGACGTTTAGTTCTGGGAGTAGGCATATCGATTGAGCCCTTTGTGCAGAATCGCTGACATCTCCTAGCTTCCACGTGGGCAACCCTGAAGGAATCCATCAGCTCTTAGTTCTCTTCAGTGATCGTGGAACCCCACAATCGGTCCGCTTTTTGAACTCCTACAGTGGACATACTTACAAGTTCACCAAGGAGGTAAGATATCTCAGCCCAATATTGCATATACTTGGCTTACTTAATAAACCAGGATGGTTCATTCAAATACATCAAGATCCACATGAAGACCCAGCAGGGAGTCAAGAATTTCACTCAGGCAGAGGCAACGAAAATTGCCGGTGAAGACCCCGATTACATGATTCGAGACATGTACGAGGCCATTGAGAGAAAAGACTATCCTGCGTGGGATGTATTTGTTCAAGTCATGGAACCCTCCGAGGCCGAGAACTACCGTTGGAATATCTTTGATATGACCAAAGTCTGGTCACACAAGGACTTTCCGCTGAGAAAGATCGGCAAAATGACTCTAAACCGCAACGTTGGTTATCCAATCCCTTCAAATACTTAAACCTAACCATATATTAGCCCAACAACTATTTCGCCGATATTGAGCAGGCGGCCTTCTCTCCCTCTAACATGGTACCTGGCTTTGCCGCTTCAGCTGATCCCGGTTAGTATCTTGAGCATTATTTGATCACAGCAATCTCATTCGATATTTAGTCCTCCAAGCACGTCTATTCGCCTACCCCGATGCAGCTCGCTACCGCCTCGGCGTCAACTACCAGCAGCTGCCAACCAACGCAGCCAAGGTTCCAGTATACTGTCCCTTCCAGAGAGATGGTAAGATGAGATTCGACGGTAACTACGGCGGTGATCCAAATTACGTCAACTCTACTCTCCAGCCGACCAAATACTATCCCCAAGTCAAGCGAGTCAAGCCCGAGTCGCTCAGCCTGCACACAGAGCACGAGAAGTGGATTGGAGAAGTCACTACCTACACTAGCGATATTTCGGATGAGGATTTCGTCCAGCCTGCTGAATTGTGGGAGGTTATTGGTCGTGAGCCAGGACATCAGGATAGAACTATTGCCAACCTTGCTGGCAGTATCAGTGGAGTCAAGTCAGATAAGTTGCGCGATGCAGTATATGGTTCGTCCAGGCTTTGTTGAAGGTTTTGAGAAGAGTTTAACTGACATATCTACAGCACTATTCAGTCGTGTTAATCAGGATCTTGGGGCGAGGCTTAAGAAGGCGACTGAGGCTGCTATCAAAAAGTAGAACTTTGGAAGCTTTTTTACTATTTAGATTGGTTTCCGAAATGCAATTTCTAGTGATTAGTACCTCATATTTTAGATCCATGGATAAGATATTAGAAAGTATGTCAAAGGTATGGAAGCGATATTCAAAACCAAAAGCTTGGAATTAAGCCCTGGACATGGGAGATTATGATTTCTAATCTGGCCGAAAGTTTGAACGGTTCTTAATTCCAAGCTTTCGGAATCAAAACTATACATGAAACTCACGCTCTAAAATTACCCTTTGCTGAAATATTCACCGAACCTTTACTGACAATTCAGGGTCCACTATGCTGCTGATATCCCATGGCCGAGAAATGTGGCAAAATCCCGAGGCTCTGGATCTAGCTCTTAACGAATATGATATTTGGGAAATGACAGACTACACTTGATAGAAAACCGGTATTCCATAAGTAATGACTATATAGTTCTATAATAGAATGGATACGGAGGCGAGGAAGCGATACGTATATAACGCAATGTATTATATAGAGTGGGAGCCTACTACTTCTCGAGCGGTACGAAGAAATTGCCGAAAATGGTGTACCGATAAGAAAGGTAAGCATACCCAGCAGCCGGGCTTCATAAAAGCGGGAGATTCTGACTCAGTGTGAATTTTATGCCTGGTCACCCAATTCGTTTACTACATTCTCACCTTCCCTCACGCGTTGTTGTCCGTACTATTGGATTTGAAATAATCTTCCATGGTCACGTATTCCAGACCTAGGAGTGTGGGGGCTTCGTGCAGAAAATATTTGAGAATATCAAGATATTTTCCGATATTGGAGGTGAAGCCCTTTAACATGTCTAAAATTACCCATTTGATTCACTAACCATGGGAGAAATCCTAGGATCCACTACGCCAGTAACGCCGCTGATGGACCATGGCCGAGGTATGTGGCGAGATCCCGTATCTCTAGACTTTAATTTGAAAACATGAATCACGAGTTGAGAAATGAAACCAACCATTTGTTAGAGAGTTCATTGGAAATAAAATTACAGAATTCCAACATTTAGAGCCAGACTGGTGGTGCAGATCTTTAGAGAAATCACGTTATACTTGACTTGCAATGTTGTCGGTGGAGCGACCCCATCATGTGATCCCATTCTCACCGGCCCATTCCACATTTGGATCCATCAATTTTCCTCCAGCATCAACTTCTCATGGCCAGAAAAAGACAATGTCTCCGCGGGCCTCCAGCTCCTCCAGTGGAACGCCCCAGTTCTCATTTGTTACGGGGAACACCAAATCAGAAGCTCGGAGCCATGCCATGAGAGAGCACTGGAAGCGGCGACATCAGCGCAATCAGGAGGCGAAGATAAAGCACCAGAAAAGGTCATCTCGGAATTTACCTCTTCGCTCGAAGGGTGTCGCAAACGAAGATTGTTCACCAGCAGATGCAAGTAGCTCCTCGGCCTCGGATTTTCAACAAAATGCGGTCACGGATGTGGCCAAGTATCAAGATGAATATTCTGGCATCCCCGCTCAGATGTTCGGTGGTATGAGTTATGCGCTGTCAAGCTCGAGGCCTGACCCTTTTCAGACGTGCCCTGTTCACTTGACGAGTCAGCATCAGAAGCTTTTACATCACTGTGCGTATGATTGGCATTCCTCGTGGAGATCTATCTAATGAACCGCAGGGATTGGCACACATGCAGCTATGATGTTTGAAAACTTGGAGGTGACTGAGTTTAATCCAATGAAGGACGTATGGTTCCCACTGGATCTTTCGAATGCTTCATCTTTCAATTGCATCATGGCTCATTCAGCTGCGCACCTGTATCATCTATACGCTGGCACGCCCCCGCGACGAGGATCGGAATCTTCCGATGCCTTGAAATATAAGATTGAGGCTGTCCGGATTCTACGGCTTTGGCTTAGTGATCCTGAGAAAGAGCTAAGCGATGATGCTTTTGCTGCTGTTGTTCGCCTGCTCACGTTTGAGGTATTTCAACCAAGCATTTGTATGGAAAACTGGCTGATCACCTTGGCAGCGATATTGGGGTACAGTAGAGCATTGGAAAATTCACCGTGATGGCTTGCAAAGAATGATCGATGCCAAAGGTGGAGTTGGAGCGCTCCACAATAACTGGCGCCTGGAACTTGTGGTTTACCTGTAGGTGTCTAATGATGAAGATGAATAATTTGCGCTAACAACTACCAGTGTCTCTTTAATGTCGCGGCCATCATGGCTGGAGTCTACGAACAATCTCGGTCGACTCTCTCACCCTATGTTCTCATCCCCCGATATGCAAGCCCCATCTTGCGATGTTCAAAAGGTCCGCTGCCTTTGGTTGATCTCATTTATTCAAGACATGAGAACTTTCATGGGATCTTTTTACACTCAAGGACTTTCTTCATTCCCTTTCACTCATGCCGCAGTCGGACTTTTGCGTCACAGCTTTCAGATCTCTATTCACTCTTCTTCCCATGAGGCTCCCATCACGGAGCAGGAAGACGAAATTCTCGGGTGTTTATTCTCCATCAGTATCCTAATACAGGAGTCAATTTCCGTTCTTCCCGATGGAGATGCGACAGCCACCGGGCTAACCACACTTGATGGATTGGAGATATCCTTGAATAATACGCAGCATATGTGGGGGCGTTCAGTCCACAACTTGCACTCCATCTTATATGAAAGCTTGACAATGCTCTTCGCGGAAGGACAATCCAAGGTGGATTATGTTGTGGCTCTGGTGCAAGTTCTCGGCACATTAAGTTTGGAAGCGCGCCAGGGAGTCGAGAAGTGTCTTCTCAATCTGCTGTACTGCCTCGGGGACAACCAAAAATCGCTAATGGTAGATGACGGATGGTCGCCGGATTCACTGTTATCGTCAATACACGGTCATTAAGCCGGTCATGAAGATTTATATCCATTTAATAATTTATTATATGAATACATAAGTGAGTGGATTTGAATAATAGCAGAGCCCCCTGGTACCAATTGACAATTTTCTGGTTGTTCGAGGAGGTATAATAACAAGCACATAAGCAAAACGAAGGTAGTGAATTACATCAATCCTCCATACTCCTGGCCTCCCTTGCTTTCCTCCTCATCCTCTTTGATGTAATCCCTAAAGCCCTCCTCGTCTTTCTTCATGTCGGAACCTAATCCTCCCCCGTGATGAGGCTGGTCCTTATCATTGTCCTTATCATGCTCCTCATCTTCATGCTTGTGGTGGTGATCAAAAATCTTCTCGAAGAAAGACTCCTTGTGCTCGGTAGGTTGCGTAGAATCTACCATCAATGGTCAATATTTTATGGTGGGAGACGGAAGGGACGGACGAACGTTCAGACATATTGATTGATTTGATAAAATTCAGGTATGGTATGTATCTGTTTAGGTTCTGCGTATTGGATGTGGGGGAGTTTAATAAGAGTGCTGGATGATGATGAGGGTGAGTACTGTTTATGCATTATTCTTTCTCGTGACTTTACTCTTGAGGTCACTGTGGATCTGTCTTGCCCGATCCACCGATCTGCGTCTAAATCCGGTAGTAGTAATCGACCAATCAGAATTTGTATGGTAGATCCACTGAGGGTCCGAGCGTTTGACTTGCATGATTGGGCTCACTTTTACACCTCTGCCCTGGGTTTCTACTATGAGCATGGAATATCGCCTGCATGTTTATTCCCACTTCATACAGTATCTCCAAAAGATGGTGTCACCTCCTATACTCTTTCACACTTTCAAAGACTTGGCGCTAAGCTCTACCATACTATATCTAGTAAAGCCACCGAATATTAGTGACCCCGTGTCAGTAATATACAATATTCTATCCTAGAATCTATGCTTTCAAATTTCTTTATTACCGTACGATTCTTAAAGAGCTACTATATAAAAGACATTAGCAATTATTAAACGAACTCCGAAACGAGATTTCTTGCGATAGGAATACAAAAGTTAACAAACAGTCTGGGTTATGATACGTGTATACCAGAGCGATCGTTCTTCTATGATAGAAAGCTAATGACGGCCACCTTGAAGAATACATTCATTCAGATGTAACTATACCATTATCCAAACAAACATGCTATTAGCCCAAGCCCAAGCCCAAGCCCAAGCAACAGAAGAGAGATCACTGAGATTGGGCCAAGAGCCATTGGAATTAGAGTTCTCTCTTCGGGTGCCGTGATTTTGGATAGCCAAAGAGCCAGGGAATCTTTTGACGATCTATTCCCACTTCCATGGCTACTTGGCGCAGAAAACTTGTCGATATATTTTCGCAACTCCTCTGATACTGATGTGGGAAGCGGAGACTCTTGATCAAGCACTTGTGACACTTCAAAGGTCTTATGCTCTTGATTTGGGTGTAGTCGACTGTGGAAGGGATGCTTCTGCACGCAGGTCGAGCATAGATCCATATGGGCGCAAGTTCTACACACAGAGCGAGAGCCGTTGATAACCCGTGTACAAAGATCACACGTAGGCTGATATACAGTGGTACCAGGATAAGTTTCCTGAGAGAAATGCAGCTGAAATAGACATCGGGCATTGTCCTCGTCATTGAGAAACAACAGATAGCGACCCAATTGCTGTAAAAGTGGCCATGGGCGCTTTAGTTGAGACTGGAGAAGCGTGTCTGAGACTTGAAGAATTGATTGCCGAACAGCGAACTCTTGAGTATCATTGGGCGTCACGACAATTGAAGGGTAGTGGTTTTGAATTTGGTGCACTAGGCTCTCATTTCCTATTACCCAGTCCAGGGTATTTCTGCCATAACCATCTAGAAGAGAAGGATTGGCACCAAAGTGGAGGAGCTTCATGGCAAATTCGATATGGCCAAGACAAATAGCCAGGTGAAGGGGGGCTTGTAAAAACTTGTCCCGATTATTAATAGGGATGAAGAGCTCCGGGAATCGGTGAAGGATATCAAGCCTATTTTTCGAGGCCGCAATGTGAAGAGGAGTCCGCTCGAGCTCATCTGCGAGCAACGCATTTGCGCCGGCGCGAAGAAGTATTTGAACTTGCTCAGCATTGCCCTCATAAACAGCCGCTAAGAGAGATGATCCATATAGACCGCCCTGAGCATTAACATTGGCGCCAGCGTCGAGGAGCATCTTCACGACCTCACTTTTCTCCCACATACAGCAGCCTGTAGGGCATTGCCGTATTCACCCCCCTGAGCATTGACATCGGCGCCAGCGTCGAGGAGGATCTTCACGATCTCACTTTTTCTCCTATATACAGCAGCCTGTAGGGCATTACCATATCGGCCACCTTGAGCATTGACATTGGCGCCAGCCCCAAGCAATATTTTAACAACGTTTGGATGCCCCCTCGATGAAGCTGCTAGTAGTGCATCGCCTTTACCCCTTGTTGCTTCAAAGTTTACACCTTCGCACAGAAGCCATTCGACAAATCCCGTATGCCCATAGCTAGCTGCTTCAATCAATGGTGTTTTTCCTTTATCATTGTCGCTTCACAATTCGCTGCTTTCTCACGCAACATTCTCCCAACTGATATATGACCGTATCGCGCTGCTAAATGGAAAGCTGTGTTTCCACCTGCGTCTTTCGATGCCACATCCCCGCTGTTCCAAGACACACACTCTATGATGTCGACGAGATTTGCGGCTGCCGCCATATGAATGATTGTAGTACGTATTGGTGGGCACGCTGGATTGAAAGGGTTGAGAACTCGGTATATCTGGACCCATCGACCTAACACCTGCCGTAGTATATCTAGTTCATTTGGTAGTATAAGCACACGAGAGTGACCAGCCTTTTCCGCGTGAATAAAGAGGTTGGCAGTGGCGTAAGTAAGCAACGGGTTGCTCTGGATAAGGTCCTCTCTAGTCTCCCCTCTCTTCTCCCAGAAATTATTTGAGATATCTCCACGTATACGGAGCAAGGCGAGATAAAAAAGACAAGACCGGTAGAGATTTGCCTGACATTGTAAGAGAATCTGTTCCCTTTCTAAGGCCGGACTTCTGGCGCCGATATTATCACTCAAAACAGCTAGGCCTTTCGCGCGCAAGAAATCATTAACTGACTGGTGTACCACCTGGACAGTTTCCTTCGCTGCTCCGCTTGGGACAACTTCCACTAATCCACCAGAAAGGACCTTGATTCTTCGCTTCATTCGTTCGTCGCTTTCAATAAAGCCATTGATCTTCTCCCATGTCTCTGGTGCACGCGTGATTTGGGCATTTCTAGCTGCTAAGGCATACCGCATTTCGATCACAGTTAGTGGTCGTTCAGCCAGGCAAACCCATTGAAACAACGAGAACGATTGCTCCAAGTTTCGCTCTTCTATCACATTTTTTAGAATGTATATATACACCTCTTCTAGGCCGGCCGGAACCTCGCGTAACCAGCAACAGATATCATCGTACGATTCTCCTTCAAAAATCCTCTGTCGAGCAAGAGGCATTATGAGATGAGCCCATTGGAACACACCATTCGCTTGCTGAATTAGTTGTTCCATCAACATTTCTCTCATATCTTCGCTAGGATTGTTGTCAACCTCTATCTCAGTAAGCACGTCCTTGATGTATAGAGCGATGTCTTTGCAATTATGCTGTTCGACAGGAATCTCCATAGCCTGGGCACTTGCTATGATGGGATAGTGTCGACATGAAATGCAGATTCGAACAGCAGCATTTCTTTTTGCTGCTCGGTCAATAAGTCGATGGAAATACGCCGTGAGTTGTTGAGCAGACCGAACTCCGGTCTCATCTAGAGCGTCGATAAACACTGTTACAGGTTGCCGACTAGCAGATGATAAAATAACACCTGCTAGTAACTCTTCGAGCACCAGTTGTGGCCATTCCCACATGCCTTCACCGTATCCAAATTGCCTACATCGTTGTTCATAGGCTTCGCGTACTTGAGGGCGTACGGTCACATCGCAGTCAAATATCTGGTTCAGTAAAGACCTAAGCATGCCTAGTGGTGTACGTTGCATCATTTCGCCGCGGGCGGTAAAGAAAAAGTCGAGCTGGATGCCCTGTTTGCCGTTCTTAAGTTTGCCGTGGAGGTATGCCATCAATGTCGATTTTCCCGCACCAGGTTTACCTTTGATCCACAGTAGACCACGGGACTCGCTCCTCCAGGACTGATATTTTTCCAAGTCCAAAATCCATTGGCAGGTATTAGGATGACATGGCTCAACATTCTCTCTCCGGTCTAGCATCCGCCGAAACGCCAATGACTTGTGTATCTCTACCACTATAGTAAGTGATAGTCTCTTTGATAGCTACGGGGTGAAGCGAACCGTTGTCGACCCTCTGCTGTGGGGCTTCTATTTGATCTGGGTCAAAAAGAGGCTTTTAGTCAGGTAAACCCGACTGGGATAAGGCTTCATGAACCGTACCGGACAAAATATTGACTGCTCCGTGGTTGATTCCAAATTGAGGCCCCGAGCTGCCGTTACCAAACGAGATTTGAGTCATAGTCAAAAGGCGGTGCTTACTATGATGGTGTCAGTGAAGACCCCGAGACTCAGGAAGCGGGGGAATTCTCAGCCTCAAGATCAGGTGACTTTTCACCCTTCTGCTTCTGAAATGATGCACTTTTCTCTAGGAGCGTCAGCGTGTCAAGGGAGAGGGTATTTTTATTTTACCGCGTTGGTCACTATTATCTGTCTCCAACCAAGATGCCTGTTCCCGATGGAGTAAAAGTGATGGAGTTCCGGGATAGCATTATCTGGCTCTGACAGGTGCGAAACATGGGCTAGTAAAATATGATAATCGAGTACTTTACAAAACAAGGCCAGGTTCTGTGATAAAAAAACACTATTTCAAAAGTAGTTTAACGTGCCTTGGCACTTGGAGGAGAGAGTGCGTATGTGGTGACACCTGTTCCCTGAAGTCTTGTTTACTCTTCCTCTTAGGGGATGCCGAATGGACCTGATTTATTATCTGAATGAGCCGGTTTATAGTCCTAGGTCAACTCCCATCTCGCAGACCGACGGCCTTGAATGACTAGGGATTTTAACCAGATTGCATATCTAGAAGAAACCCCAGGTCATCACTGATATTTAAAGTCAATCAATCATCAGCGCCATAACCTTTCCGCCTCTAGTATTTTTATTTTTCACAGGATGCTCTGACTCCCCTCCTGTAGTGATATAAAGAATGTCGTGGCCATTGAATGCTTGACCAAATGCCGCCGACGTGGCAGTCATCAAATCCCTCGAATCTTTAGAGCCCGCAATAACCGTGTGTGATCCATTCGGAAAGACTTTAGTAACCACATTATCCGTGAGCCCAGCCAAGTATGCCACGCCGTTTGAACCAATAGCAAAGTCATCAGCGAGAACATCATGCGCGACGATCTCATAAAGTCCCAATGCTTCACCAGTATGAGCATCAATAGAAACGCGGCAGAATATTCGCCGAGGGCTATTGTTGTAGTGCATGTAGCCATTTTTTATTCTCAATCCATTGATCCCAAGCATCAAACCCAGATCATCATTCGGTGCCATCGTCCCATCCTGATGTATCATGGTATAGTCGCCTGTTTCTGTATCGAGACGCCAAACAAGACCCAGTTGAGAATCCGAAATGACAACTGATCTTTCATTTAATGTCGCCATGCCATTCAGGGTTCCATTGGGGAGTGTGGCGATTTGAATTGGCTTCGAGCTCTGAGCACTTAGATCGACTTTCCACACAGAATTAGATGCAATCACTGCATATTTATCGAGTGAAAGCTCGGTGATCCCATTAACGGAGCTTGCTCCGTCGAAGTGGTGAATTAATTGGGCTGGATAGGGACCTGGTTGGATCGAAGGTGTGACCTGCCAGAGTTCTGGCGTATTCACGAGTGAGACGAGAATATTTCCGTTAGGCTGTACAGCTATGTTTTCAACCCATGTACCGTTGGGGAACCTGAAGACCTCATGTAGGCTTGGAGAGAGACCGAGGACGCGAATAGCTATAAAGGAAAATATGATGAAAAATACTGTGGAAGGCATGGTCTTGAATGAGAGGCACTGGGGAGAAATTACCATCCCCTTATAGAGAGGACGATGAATGGCTCGCCTTTTTAAATAGACATATTCCAAGTCCATTTATGATGCCCAGGCAGATCATCATGCTTAACTCTTGGCCGGCCTTGGCATATGCTGGATGCTTATTATACGTCATGGTCCGTCCCTTGCTTTGAACTTGAGGAGAGCCAGTAGTTCAAGTCTAGATCATCTGCTTGGTAGACGTATGATAAGCACCTGGCATTTTCTACCTTTAGCGTATGTTGGCTTTGATGATCTTGCGAGCGAATTCTTGGCGAATTCGCACTCTCCCTTTGCCAAGGAACTGGATTGGATATATAATGACATTTTCACTGCCTTGAGTCGATATGTCAACTATTTCTATCTTACCAATATGCTTCTTCCTCGATTGTTGCACACCTTTTTTCTGCTCTCTTTATCTGTCGCTGCGTGGCAACACGAAACAAATCTGAGTACCACCAATTCACCCAGAGCATGTGCAAAAGCGGTAAGCTCCAAGGTAGCCCATGCACTCGTGGATGGATGCTCACTGACATTGAAAAGTGCGCAGAACTATCTTCTGAGTTTGGACCGAACCTACACTACCCAGCCGATAGAGATTTTAGGGTTTGGGACGCTAAGTAGCAGGAGACTCAATCTGCCTGCCGCGTGGAGCCATCAAATGCTCTAGATGTCAGCAAAATCCTAAGAATCTTGGTCGACCACTGGTGTCGATTCGCAGTAAAGAGCGGAGGTCATGCTCGCAATCCAGATGACTCGGTATCGGTTGGTGGTGTGACCATCGACATGCACTTGATGAGATCCCTCCAAGTAGCTCCCGATCAAAAAACGGTGAAACTTGGCAGCGGACACGTGCTTTATACCATGTATCACGGGCTCGAAGAATTTAATCTGACTACTACTGGTGGTCGAGTTGCTGATGTTGGGCTGGGTGGTTATGCATTAGGCGGAGGAGTTTCCAACCTCTCGCCTAAATACGGCCTGGCAGTTGACAATATCTTAGAATATGAGGTATATCAATTCAGCCAAACGAAACGGCGCATTCTGACCAAGCTTTAGATTGTCCTACCAAACGCGGCGATTGTGCATGTCAGTGAACATTGGAATTCGGACTTATACTTTGCACTGCGAGGGGGAATGACTAATTTCGGGATCGTGACATGTTTTACCATGCGTGCAGTTCCTCAAACATACATTCTTGGTGGTGACAAGACATATGCCTCGATCTACAAGAATCAAATTGCCAATGAAGCCTTTGAACTCACCACCACTTGGAAGAATGACACTGATATGGCGTTCTCTTATGGTTATAGCTATGACCAGGCATCGGATCAATTTTCCCTTAGTTTCACACATGCATGTGCGCGACCAATCCTCCACCCAGCTCCATTCACCAGCCTTGAAACGATTCCATTCGAGTCAAGTACGGTACGAATTGATCGAATGAGTGCCCTGAGTCTGGAAGGCGCTTCTCACACCCCATCGGGGAGTCGGTAAGTTTGATCAGCAGCTCAAGTGCATCTTTCCTAACAGTATATTCAGTAATCTATTTGCCACTATAACATATCACCCGTCTGCACAGATGGATGGACGTATCATGGATATTATGGCGGAGGAGAGCCGGCCTATCAAGCAAGTGGCAGGATTCTTTCCCAACGTTATTTTCCAACCTCTCTACGAAGGTGTGATTCGTGCGGGCCATGAAAGGGGTGGGAATGCTCTTGGTATCGATGCCGATGGTCCTCTAACCAGTGAGTCTTCAACAGAGTATTCGTTGTGTGCGATTGACAGATGATAATAACTTGTACAGTCTGCCTTTTGACGGTGAAGTGGATTAACAGCCAGGATGACGACGCGGTAAATGCATTTGTCCAAAGCTGGATTGAGCGTGTAAAAGCTGCTACTGTGCAAGCTGAAAGTCATTACCGCTGGCTCTATATAAACTACGCTTATCATCAGCAAGATCCTTTCTCCGGCTATGGTCAACATAACAAACAAAGACTGGTTGAGGTGCAAAAGGATATTGACCAGCGAGGGGTGTTTACTTCTCGAGGTTTGTGTAGAGGTTACTTCAAATTGCAGTAGGTAGCATAACCATTATGCAGTCTCTTTGAGATGCAAGTTCTAGATAAGTCAACAGCCTTAGAATATCTACCCCTCTATTACTTGGGTACACTGCAGACTTTTTGGACATACGTTCGGAACCTCCACTAGACTTCTGCTTTTTTCCCTTTCTCCTTCCAGTTCATCTTTTTTCTCTTCTCTTTTCCTCTCTTTCTTTTATACCGCTATTTATATGATTGGAGAGCCCTTTGACCATTTGGTTAATGCGGTATGAAAGAAAGTAGAATACTCTGTAGGAAACCGAGTAGGAGAATAAGTAGGAGACTAAGTAGGAGACTGAGGGGGAGACTGAGTAGGGGATATAGTAGGAGGTGTGGTCTAATACCTAAGTAGGCGCCGCGCAAAAAGCGCGGTGGAAAGCCTCTAGTATATATATACATGTGCAGGCCTTGCATATCCTTCTTCAATTCAGTATTCAATGTAATGACATTCAAACCTGACTGGGACAAGAGATAGCCACTTCAAACCTTGCAAAATAAGGTTTTGGTCGATGAAAACCTCGTTATCCCCGCACGCTGTCACAGCACAATTGCGCCGTCTGGCTCTAGAGCTGAGTTGGATATGATGACTAAATACATGTAATTTTTACTACATGTGGTGTTGTCCATCTGACCTTTTCTGCTTAAATGGATATTCCAGAATTCTAATTTAGTCCGCTAGTTCATTCTAACTAACAGGGGGCCTGTACTAAATCTCTCCTTGTCTATTTCTTTTTTGTTTCTTTGCTCTTTATCCAACTATCTTCAAAAATCAATATTGGCTACTGAGGAGCATAGGTGGTGACTTTTGTTTAAACAAAATTTCTTCCGTCAGAATCTTCGTATATCTGGCCCTATTGAGCAAAATATTGATTACAATCAAGGATTAACCACTACTCCCCGTACTAGCTCCACTTCCACCATAGTTTTCAGTGCAAGCTACTACAATACTCCACTATTTAATGAAGAGTGGAGGGAGAATTTGTTTGTGGTGGGGCATATCTCCACCACGCCTCTCACTCCAGAGAGCTTTCCTTTCTTCATTCATATCCTCACATTTTTATGCACTCGCTTCCTCCCTCCACAAAGTATCTCGTACACAACCATTTTAGGCTATATATAGTATTACTGTGGTAGAGATCAGTCTTTCGGCCGTTTGCATGATCCCACCTACGAGCCTGTACAGGCAGAACTTTGGAACACTAGAATTTGATATCGTAAACCATAGTCTCGAGTTTGGTGGCATCAGTACACTCTTGAAATGTTGGTAGCCTAATTACCAGGCTACTTTCTCCTCAGAGCTCTCCAAAATGAAATAGGGCCAAGTGTAAATCTGATTTCGAATATTATTATGTCAATAAGGAGAGGGAGTGACGTCAAGGAAGAAGAAGATGATATCCCGGTCCCCACGCTCTACTTTGTTGTCAATATAGGTCCCAATGTTGCCTATGCTAAGCAATCTTGTTCAGTTACTAAACCATCTTCATAGTTATCCATTTTCTGGTTACTGTGGATCCTGCCGCCCCCACCGATCTGCGTCTGAATCACTGAAACCGGTAATAGTAATCAACCAATCAGAAGACAATTTTGTAGTTCAAGGATCCACAGAGCGCAAGCAGCTCGTACGATGCTTCGAAACACGACCTGCATGATTGGGCACCCCTCACGCACCTCCCTCTACGTACTGCTTAGAGTCCAGACAACTATGATCAGTGCTCGGAACCTCGTCTCCAGATCAATTCTCAATTCTTATTCTCATTCTCCTTTCATCCGACTTGGAACACAACCAAAGCTATCCACCTCATATCTAGATACAGTGGAGCAACCCCGCAACTTATCAAACCTCGTCTCAACTCGTTCTCACCAAAGACCGCCCAATTTATTCAGACCAGCGATGAGTAGCGTTGCCACTGCCACCCAGGCTATCACCAGCCCCCTCACTGGATCAGCAACTTTCCTCGTCCTCTCCATCAACCCCTCCGCCATCTCAACCGTCCGCTCAACCCTCGCCAGCGTCTCCAGCATAGCCAAAAATGTCGCATTTCGAGACCCCCGTGCCAACTTCACCTGTACCATAGGAATCGGGAGCTCCATCTGGGACAGACTCACCAACCTCCCCCGACCCAAAGAACTGCATCCCTTCCGCGAAGTCAAAGGCGCCAAACACACTGCCCCCTCTACCCCAGGCGATCTCCTCTTCCACATCCGCTCCGAACGACGCGACCTCTGCTTCGAATTCGAGCGCCAACTAATGGACCGCCTGGGTAACTCCGTAAATCTCATCGACGAAACAGTAGGATTCTCCTACTTCGACGCCCGCGACCTCCTAGGCTTCGTAGACGGTACCGCTAATCCCGTCGGCCCAGATATCCAACCCTCCGTCCTTGTCGCTAGCGAAGATGACCCAAATGCCGATGGAGGCAGTTATGTCGTTATTCAAAAATACCTTCATGACCTAGCAGGGTGGAAAAGCCTTCCAACGGAAAAACAAGAGCAGATTATCGGACGTACAAAATCTGATAATATTGAGCTTGATGATGCCGAGGATGGGAAACAGGCTTCTCATAAGACGCTGAATACGATTGAGGATGAAAATGGTGATGAGCGTGACATTCTTCGTGATAATATGCCTTTTGGATCGCCTTCTAGTGGAGAGTTTGGGACTTACTTTATTGGATATACCAGGCGATTGTGGGTTATTGAGAGGATGCTTGAGAGGATGTTTGTGGGTCATCCCCCTGGCTTGCATGATCGGTTGTTGGACTTTTCGACGCCGTTGACTGGTACTGTTTTCTTTGCACCGTCGGCTGCGGTGTTAGATGGACTTGACGGTTGAACATTTTATGTTGATTCGTTTCTCTTGGATGGTTAATTACCAGGATAGGTACATTAGAGGACTTAGAGGGGCTCGATTATCTCTATAACAAGGGCAATCTACTGCATGCTAGAAAACATAGTCAAATGAATCAATTTGTTCATAATTTATAATGTCTTGTTCAAGACGCAAGTAAACAAGCTAGTAGCTATCACGATGTTGGAAGGATTTATTTATGAGTTACTTAGATCCGTAAGACAATTGATGGCCTCTTGCGGGTTCCAGAAGAGGGGGAATGAAGCGGGGCAATGCAGTCCAAAGTCCATACTTTATTTCCATGCTAGTCTTTCCTCGCTATTTGGTCACTTTGATCCCATGGTCGTTCTCTACTCAGTATCTGCTCCATTGGTAGAAGGCTCAATGAATTCCTCAGAGTCGCCTGGTAGATATTAAAAACGCACGTGACCTTTCTACAGTTTCGGATCTTGCGGAGGCAAAGATTTCCATCTCTTGGCATATTTTATGAATTTTATGCCTTTTGGTTATCCTGCCCGGTACTGAGATAGTCTCCCTGCACCGCTTATTCTTCCATGCACTCGTTTCCTTTACCCCGAAAAGGTGAGTGGCGATCTTTTTAAAATAGCGTGGATGCTTCTTTTTTTGGGGTGTTCGTGAACTTGTCCATACATGCCGATGCCGAGGTCTGGGCTGCAGTCCCCAGCCCCGTGGCTTGGCACCTCGAGTCTTTATGCGGTGTTTAGAACCTGGAAACTTGGCCAATGGAACTACAGATGTTCAGAAACCAACACGAATCAGTCTGACTTGCATGCAGGAGCAGTACGTACTCCGTAGATTTACACTTTTATCTAGATGGGGCCTGGACCGGATCTTCAAACCTTCTTGAACTTGACTTTGAACAACCACAACCTTGAATTTGCAGGTAGAATTAACATAGATATAGAGATGTAGAAACATTGGAAAATGAAAATATTTGAATCAGCTAACTCTACATCATAAATATCTCTTCGAACGTGGTATCGGAAGTCAGTTCCCTGTTCCATTACTCCGCATGCGGGAATCTTCGGCTTCACCGCTCCCCATTCTCTCCTTTTAATGAACTTACCATCTTCCCCTGTCAATCTAGTCTTTCTATGGATTTCTTCCCACTCCATTCCCAAAAGTCTTCCCTAACTTGAATTCCTGTGATCAGCCTTCGAATACTGGGGTTTGTGTGCTTATCGGACATGCGCCAGCCGAACACACGGCCCTCAGCTCTGTGATCTCAACCTTGCGCCCCCCGCGCTTACGCTCCCCACCCATTTCCTTGATACTCGCGCCCCAATCCTCGTGCGCTGCATCTTGATCCTTCCCTGGGCCCGGTTCACCGACTGGTGACTTTTCAGCGTCGACTTCTCACCCACTTATTCACCCACTACCCCTCTCTCATACGATTTCCCATACCACAACCATGCGCCGTGCGACTGATTTCTGAGTGTCCCATTTGTGAAGAGTTGGGAAAGCGAGTTACCGTCATGGCTCGCAGTGACTTTCAATTTGGCCGTGAGCCGGTGCTTCCGACCTCAAAAGGTCGGCTTTCCAGTGATATTACGAGACGAACACTCTCTAAGAAGGATCGTTCTGTGTCGGGGGCAGGAAAGGAGGCTTCATGGGCTCCTAAGGATCCCGCTCACTTGGACCTAGAGAGCGCGTATGCTCCGGCTCCTTTCCCCGAGTACTCAGATGCACAGTCTCTTGGGTACAAAGACCGCGACTCAACCACTTCCACCATGGTTCCTCAGAACATGACCCCAAGCGAACCATGGAACTTGACTCCAAATCACTCGTCCGATGCGCTAGATCTTCGCTCCAAGATTAAGCCACTAAAGCCCAAGGTTCACATCAAACCGATACTCCGCAAGATGTCGCGTGATGATGCGCCATCCACATCTATTGACCTGTCTCGTTCGTCGACAGAGCAGGAAGGTCTGGGCATCTACTTGACTATGGAGCGGGATCGGCGTCGAAGTGAATCTTTGACGGGACCGACATACCGTCGCAGTTCCGGCCTACACAATCGATCCACAAGCGGAACCTCTCAATTTTCAACTGGGACCGGATCTAGCGGAGGTAGAACAGGGTCGCAATACGTTTATCCTATGCGCCCAACTCCTAAGGTATACACACCGCCACTGGGCCAATCGTATCAAACATCGGGGAACGACAGCGACGAACTAGACGAGGGCGGTTCCGAGTCTGACTCGAGATCTCCTACCGTGTCAGAAACTCCACGTTACGTCCGTGCTTCTTCGGGACCAGTTCCACGCCTGTCTTTGCAAATCGAAGACGACTCATTCACCCGCCTCTCAGAAGTTTCCCAACCTCTTGCAAGCCGACCATCCTTCGGTTATTCACGAGACAATGGGAGCACACTGGACACTGCATCCCCGATCTCTAGAACCTCTCTCGATCATATGTTTCGCTCAAGAACTCGCACCAGCACGGATCCGGTCTCTCGAGCGGCCACCATCCAGGCCGCCCGGCAAGCGTTTGAGGAGAGAGAGGCTGCTAAGACTCGCCGGCTCGAGAAACAGCAGATGACCCGTCGTCGGGTCAAGCACAGCTTATCGGGAGGCCAGGAACCAGCGGTGCAGTCCAATGAGGAGATTTCTGAGAAACCATCCGAATCCAATGGATCTAAGCGTATTGAAGCAGACGAGCAGCCATCAGTCTCATGGAAATCCCAATCCAAAAGTACCTGGGTACTCTTCATGACCTGGCTCCGAACCCGAGTGTTTAAGTTTCGCAGAAAGTTGCGAAAGATGAACTGATTATTCATTATATCCGTACTTTCCTATTGGGTGATCTCTGTCCATAACGCCATCATCAAGCGATTTATCTTTTTCTGTTTTTTATGGGCATCTGTGCAGTTCTAGGAGTTCTATTCCACATGATTTAGGAGTCGAGGGGACAGGCGTTTGATAGGGATCTTTGCTAGCCTTTAAGGCGATTTTCTTGATTATCATTACTTTGAATAGCAAATACGAGAATATACTCACATATCTCATGTTACAACACCTTTATACATTTATTCAACCCTTTTCATAGATCTGCATTTTTATGCGGGACAGCACGTGATCAAACTGCGCAAGTGTCACCTCTGCCTCGCCAGCCTTTTCCCTTCCCAAACACTACGGCGTACAGCAGCGACAACAAGCGTCTGATAAGAGCTCCGTTGCTCCATCGCGTTGTTGTTCCTTTCACTAGGCGCACCTCCACAAGGAGGAGAGCGTCTCCATCATGGTGTACGACTGGGCAGGGAAGCGGGACATCTGCTACCAGATGTACATCCAGGATAAGAAGGGCTTGGAGGAGATCATGGAATACATGAGGACCGCTTATCAGTTTTCCCCGAGGTAATTAATCGCTGCTTCTCAGAGTGCCATCCAGATGTCACAGAGCTAACTACGGTCAATAACAGCAAGCGCGCCTATCAGACCCAATTTAAACGATGGGGATTCCCTTCGAAACAAAACCCGGCCCATAAGAATGTCGAGCTGGTCGCTCGTGTCCAGCAGCTATGGCAGCAGAATACCAACCAACGCGACATGCTTAGAATCTTGAATGATGAGGGCTTCGTGATCAAAGAACGAGAATTAATGCGCGTGCGTGCGAAAAACAGGTGGCTGCTGCGGGTTCCCAACGGGATGAAGTCCCAACCGAGTGCTGCGGCGCAGGAGACGCAACCAGAGGACGAAGGCTTATTGGCTTTACAACAGGAGGTCTATAAACAAGACACAATATTTGATGGCACCGAGGCTCCACCCGCGGAATTGGCTACACATGCAGAGGGGAGTCCTGCGGAGCCCAATGTGTCGTCGGAGATCATGGCAAAACGAAAGGCGAGGCTGGACCTCCTGAAGTCAGAGAGCGCAGAGCGATGGGCATCGCGAAAGCGTCGACGTCGTACTCGTGGCTGGGCTGGACTGCCAGCAGATCCTCCAGGGCCCCCTCGATTCCCCTCGGAGACCACAATCGACGAGAGTAAGCAGTATCTCAACCTGGATAACATCATGTACCGTCGACTTCGTGACAGGTTTCAACAGATCTGCGAGGATGCTGGATTTATCAAGAAAACAGTCGCAGGCCCGGAGAAATGGCAAGCAGCGAAAGACAAATTGATTCAAGAAACTCCACACCTTCAGCAGATTTTCAACGCCGAGCCCAATGAGCGGGATGCAAAAGTGCTTGCCTTGGATGTTGTCTGCACGGATGTCACTAAACGGATGAGAACATTAGAACGAAGAATGACCATTGCCGAGGCTAAAAATGCCCTGGGGGTAAATCCTGAGGAAAGCCGTCAAATTCGGAATGCTTTCTACGAGACTCTCAAAGCGGACCATTTCACCAGCAAGTTGGAAGCTGGCGATGAGCATTGGAACGACCTAAAAGCACAGTGGATCCGTGAAACACCAATCCTCCAGCGAATCCTAGAGCCCGGTCCAGCTGACCCCCACCACGCTAACAAACTGAAAGCCATGGAGGTACTTTGCCGCGACGTGATGAAACGACTGCGCGATGACCAAACCAAGCGTGACCCTGCTCGGAAGAGATCCTCTGCACGTGCCAGTTCAAACCCCACGCGGAATAGCGCTACACCTGTGGGCAATATACTTGGGAATGAAATCAGTAATGGAATCAGCACACTGGCTTCCCAAGCTCTCGCAAGTGCCCCAATCACCGCGAGTGAAATTGGAGATATGCAAATTGACCCTTCACTGCTTCAAGCCGCGAATGATCCGTCGTCTTTCTCATCCAATGCGCAACATGAGGCCGGCGCATTTGAATACATGGATCCAATGCTACACCCTGCATTGCTGAACACTGATGTCAATCTCCAAATCCGTCCGCAGGGTAACCTCCCCGGACATGTCACGAGAACGTGGAGCGAGAAAGTAAATAGTCGAACTCTTGAGGAAATCAGGCAATTAGTAGCCAATCGGTATCCATACTCGATCGTCAGCAAGATCGAGGGAGTTGGTAAAGATGACCATGGGCATGATACTTACTTCGCTATTGACGAAGATCACGAATTGGATGCTTATTTGACACATGTGCATGAGAGAAAACCTTTGCTTGTGTTGACACTGGGCCAGGTCTAAATATATTCCGTTTATTGCTGCTGTTCTTCTTATCTCTAAAGGAAGAGAAAGACAAGATTACGGCACCAGAGCCTAAATAACTTAATGAACAAAACACGAATTTGGAATCGAACACATCACTCTGTTTTCACCGTTTTTACTTTTCGTAATGGATTAGACCTAGGATGGCCTAATCTATCAGGACAAATCGAGTCATACAGAGCATAGTGAGACATTGTGGCCTGTTAAGGACAGGGCCGAATTCATTTATAGGTACATGGATGATGGAAACGCTTATATCTCACATTTACATAACAGTAGCCTCAAGGGATTCATCTAGTTCAAAATTTAACTACTTCCCAGAGTCTGAACAACATTCCTGAACAAAACACCAAGAGAAGGCAGCGAGAACGAAGGTGTATCACCAAACACGCTAGCCAGCCCCTTATTCTGAGCACTACTTCCCTCAATAGCCTGCGCAGGAGCTCTCTCATTACCACGACTAAAGATGCTAGCCAGGCCCGAAGTGAGATGGCTAGTCACCTCCAAAGGCTGCACGGTCTTCTGCGAAGCCTTCTCGAGACAGCCAAGGCGCTGCACACTGGAAGCAGCATCAACGACGATGTAATCACCGGAGTATACATCTGCTAGAAGGGCGAGCGGGCAGCTTGGCAGTGTTTCTTGGAAAACGAGGTCTAGAGATGAGATGTCGTAAATCCGAATGTGGAATCGAGTTTGACGTCTCTTCTTCTGTGATGAGGTCTCGGTGCCAATGCTAGCGATGGCGAATGTCTGGGTTCGAGAGTTTACTGCGACGAGAGGCGGGTTCGCTGCGCTAGCTGAGGCGGTGGATTCGGGTAACTGGACTGGTTTGACGACGTCGTCTACTGTATCCCAGACTGCTACTGAGCCTGCGGACGCAACGACTAGGTATTTTCCAAGGAATTTGGCGGAATGGGGAGTGCCGAGGAAGACACCGGTTCGTCGGTAGTGGACTGTGCAGTTGTGGACATCGATTAGGAGGACGAGGCCGTCGTTTGCGCCAGACTCGGATGGCAAGCAGACTGCGAGGACGGAGCCATCTTCGGAGAAGCTCATGCAGGCCTGTTTCAAGGATGCACTATCGCCAAGACGGCCGGTCAAGTCGACTGAGCTGCGGCATTTCCATGTATCCTGGTGCTGGGTAGCGTCAGTTTTGAGGCCACTTCGGTGACGAGCGGTTGGGCACCAGAAACGAAGGAGTGCATCGGCGCCCAGAGTTGCGAACTCGTGAGAGTTAGGGCGAGCAACCAAGCCAAGCACGGCGGCATGGTTGTTGTCGTTGAAATGGGGCCCATCAACACGAGTCACGAGCTCCCACATACTAGAAGATGCGTTCCATTTCCAGAATTTGAGGAAGATCTCGGGTCTCAATGGAGCGTTGTCTCGGCGAGAGGCAATGTCAGCAAGAGCCTCCACATCTTGGCGGTGGGGAGTCCAAGAATCGACAGTCGCCAACCATTTTCCATCCTGGAGGATATCCATATTCCGGATATCAGGTGTGGTTATTGTGGATCCGTCAGGGCCGACATTCAATGTTGTGGCGTTGGTTCGAGCAAGAGCCTGGCGGGAAATGTGGGAGTTGGATCTGATATCAAAGGTTTGCAGCATGGCAGCATTGGAGCGCTGGGGCCTATGGTTTGATTGGTGCGAAGCAGGAACAGCCACAAGTAGCTGCTCTGGGTGTTGCGGGTGGAGGGCTGTGATAGCGCTCAACGACTTTTTGGAGTCCTTGGTGTTTCCTCCCTCCGAGCTAAGCTGTAGACCAGTCAGGGTGGCAGATGGCTGCAACTCTCTCGCGGACAGGACCATGGCCGAGTTATCAGCCAGTTGTACCACGTAGGAACTGCCTTGTGGTGAAACGACGATGTTGACAATTGGGGAGGACAGATGGGGTAGGTATTGCTTTCGGCCGGTATCCAATTGCCACAGGACTATAACGGACTCATTTCCACCCGAGAGGATGTAGTTACCTAGAAGTATTTATTAGACTCATCTCAAGCATATACTGGGGCGAACTTACCATCTCTCGACCATCTCACAGTATTGACAGCGCCACGGTGCCAGTGTAATCTCTGCGGCGATGTTTTCTTCTCTGTGTTGCGTCCAAAAAGAGTGCTCAATATGTCTTGGTAGACCAGGATGGATCCGCCTGTCTCACCAACCGCCAAGTCGATGACATCTAAGTTCTTAGGCTTGGTGTCTTGTGCGGAGCGCTGGCGCATGTGGAAACAGGTGGCAGTGGATGGAAGGATCGTCTCTCTCCACTTATACTGCACAGACTCGGCATTTTCAAGATCGACGTTTGTTGTGGTACCCATGAAGACACGAGTGCCATCACAAGCAATGATAACTCTTCCCCCACTAACAACTTGGATCTTGTTGATTTGGTCGTCGGTGTTGAGAGCAATAATGCCAGGGGCCTTCTTATCGTTCAAGGCATTGATCGAAATCTGTCGCTTCCCGTCCTTTTGAATCACAATTGTGTATGCGGCCAATTGGCTTTCGTTTTCGACCAATGGCACATCCACTGCAACGGCCCGGGATCCATTTCCCCAGCGAGCAAGTCGCTTTCCAGAATCCCAGTGCCATTTGGTCACAAAGCTGGAAGTGAAAATGTAGAGGATCTCTTGGTCGATGGGACAGATCTTAAATCCGATCACACTCTGTCCAGCCTCCATCTGCAAGGTGCGCACCAGGCGAGAGGTCGAAGTTGCAAAGACCTGGACTGCCGTATCAAGTCCAATAAAGAGATGACTATATGACATCAGATGGATTCATAACATAGAGGACTAGAAACAGAAATAAACAAGGGCGCATAGCACTACTTACGCTTCATCAGAAGTCATCACGGTGTCCACATTGCTGTAGCGACCGCCGACTGGGCGTGAGAATGACCATGGTGCACGGCTCTTGTGTTTTTGGAGTTCGAGTGACGGGGCATCGCCCACCGAAGCCTCGAGGGCGGTACTCGATTCTTTTGTCTTTTTCTGGCTCTGTGCATTGACATCCGAAGTCCGGCGTCGCTTTCGCTCCTCGGTCGGTCGCGATGGTTTATCGGCGGCGTCGCTGGCGCGAGATCGTTTTTGGTGTTGTGCTGGCATGTTTGCAGCAATGGTCGGGCAAAAGCAGACCAGTGGAGTTGGTGAAGGGTTCAATTCTCAATCCAATCAGTCATACCCAAATGTCATCTGTTGACAATTAAGATAGACAGAAGGCTATCTCTTGGTGATGCGCAACTTTTTTTTTCTCGGAAGCAAAAAGATAAGGCGGAGACAATCGGCAGAAAACTGTCCCTCCGCTGACCGCCAACCGCCCATCGCGGAAAAGTTTGAATGAGCTTCATCTTCACTCTTTGAATCTCTAATCCTTTCTAGCCACGATGATTATCCCCGTGCGTTGTTTCTCTTGCGGAAAGGTTCGTGGTACTTAAATGATCACTTATAAATCCTCACTAACCATACCTTCAGGTTGTTGGCGACCTGTGGGAGCGGTATCTGCAGCTGCTGGATGAGGGTGTCCCTGATGGGTAAGATCCTCCGCCCTCGTCATTCCCTGCTGATCGCTAATGAAATATCAGTGACGCTATGGACCAGTTGGGCTGCCGCCGCTACTGCTGCCGTCGAATGATCATGACCCACGTGGATCTTATCGAGAAGCTTCTCCGGTATGTTCTGAAGCTTAAATGATACCAATGACTCTTACTGAGTTCCTGTCTTCTTTAGTTACAACTCCGCCGAGAAGGACCGTACCAAGGCTCAAATGTAGTTCGGTTGAACGGTTTCCCTTGATTCTCATGCGATTTGTTTTCTGTGCAAGCCCACGGCCCAGTGAGCACCACACTCGATACATCAGCTACGCCGGTTTCCAATACCCTCGACCAGCAGCGCTAGCTCCCAGCATCCAGCATCGAAAGAGGTTGAAGGAGGATAGGGTGGTCGAATCAATTCCCCCCGGTCCCCTCACTTCCCGTTATTCTTTTTTTTTTCTTTTTTTCAAGTCTCGTGTTGAGCTATGGCGTGGCTTGAGAGCTATCAATACTACACCGAAAGGTGTTGGAAAAAAGCTGGATTTGGTCATCTCCGATAGAATGTATCTTCTCATTCTTGCCAACATGCATTTCGGGAGGCGTTGTACACATCAGGATTTGGCGTCTATGGAGGAATTTATTAGAAAATTCAAGCGATTCATAAGCACATACCTGAGCACAAAGTTATTAAGGTATATTCATAAGATAAAGATGCATTAGGATACCAGTTAAAAGTAATAGAATTGCATGTGAATAATGCAAGCGCCTTACAGCCTGAAATAGACTAGTTTGGGGGCGTCTGAGTGGGGACGAACAAGCCCATGCATGCCTCATCACGCCCCAGGCGCCTAGTTCAGTGCTTTCTCTACTTTTCTCCTACTTTTCTCTCTTTCTGTTGGGTTTCTTTGATTTTCGGCTGGATATCTATTCATCTCGGAGATCTCAGCGTGATTGGAATAGTAGAATATCCAGTGACCAGGCTGATGGGTTTGTCTTGCGGCCTGAGCTTGATGCGCGGGGATCGCGCTCGACTCCTCTTCTCTCCTTCAACTCCCCTACCCATACAATTTTAATTATTCACCAGCTCGGCCATGATGGCCGTCAGGTCGCCGTTGCCGATCCTATCGTATCACGATGCTTCCAGCCCGTATGCTGGGTCGGATTCGCTGTAAGCCCTGTCTAGCTTATAGATGCGCCCAGGTACTTATGCATTCATACATAGGTCCTTTGAAAGTCCTTCAGCCAGTGTGAGGACATCAATGTCTTTAGTTCAAGATGCGGACTCGACCGATGCAACGGATTCCATACCGGCCCCCACGTCAGATGAAAAGGAGGTAGATAAGGGTACACACGGCGAGGGGTCTATCGCAGCGACACCAGTTCAAGCATCAGGGCCATCTGTACAGCCAGGACTTACGGTGAGTGGAATTGGAAGCTTTTGCCATTCATAAATATGCTGATGCGAACAGATTCAAACTACACACCCGCTTAATATCGGCTATAGTACAAGATCAGACGATGATGAGCCACCACAGTCCGTCATACATGCTCCACCAGGGTTCAGGAAATTTGTAAGTCAAGCTCCAATCATTTTTTTTAATAGAATTGTGTTTGTTGCTAATGTCCAGGGAAAGACTCGGGATAAGACAGAGGAACAAGATACATGCGACGACGAATCGTCTTCGCCTGACTCGCAGCATGCCGAGTTGGCCATCCCCGGAAAGGCCAGAAGGGTACCTTTGCAAGCTCCTTTCATTGGCACTATTGAATACACTGACACGATATGATTCACAGATTGGAAATAGTCCCATATCACCACCACCTTTGACAACCACGGTCGCACCCCCAAAGGACTGGTCGGAAAGAGCAACTCCACGAGCCCAGACAAGACATGAGTTCGAGGAATCAGAGCGACGCACACGTTCTAGCAGTTTAGAAGGTGACGAACCATTTTTTAATTCCTGTGATATGTCAACCTACACATCGGCTCACACTTGGATAGATATCCCTGAAGGTACACATCCAGAGCCGATGAGCGAACTCCTCTCCATCCCAACCGTGCACCGACACTGACAAAATATTAGGAAATTTCTCGAGCAAAGATACAGAGATCAATGCTCTGCGAGCAGCTCTGGCAGAATGTTGGACACTATGTAATACGCTGGCTAGTCTTAGTTATATCAATCGAGAACGGCTCCTGACAAGCCACGAAGAAGGGTTGCAAGAGGATGCCTGGAGATGCTGCTGGCGACTTTGTCAGAAGCTATACGATACGCGAGAGGATGATTTTGGCTTGCAGGTCAATCCGACACTCGATCTCTGTCGAGAGTTTTGCCAGGCCCTATTTGAGGTCCGGGTCTGCGACAGTGACCTGACGGACTCAGTGCTCCGCGTGAGCTTTGAGCTAAATAACCACCTTTATAACACACATGACCGGAATTTACCAGACGCCTTCCGGGAGCGGACGTTGGACTTTTATATTACTTTGTGTCACCGGCTCATGAAGCAGCGCACACGCCTGACCGCCACGGACTCGCTTCTCAGCGCATGCTGGACATTGGCTGAAATGCTTTTCAGCATCCGACAGAGTAAGCGAGAAGGAAAAAAGTTGGATGAGGAACTATTGGGATCGGCCATGCAGGCCTGTTGGGAGCTGTCTGATATCTTCCGCGAAGGCTGGTCCCTACATAGTATGCGGAACTCAGATCGGGGCACTCCACGACCCAGCCAGACGACATTTGCCCAAGCCTTCCAACAGGCGGCTCAGCAGTCCGAACTTGATTTTGTCGATGACTCGGGGCAGCTTGGGAATCCGGAGACCCCAACTACCATCTTTGAGGATACGGCAACAGTGTCTCCCGATGAAGCCTCCATACCCAATATCCTCGTCCTCGGCCACGGCAATGTGCATGGTCATGGTTCCCACGCCAAGTGGCCCTCCGGTGCATCCAGCATCTCGGAGAATTCTCGGTCCTCCGGACACACCGCATCATCTGCCAATACGGTGACCACAGTCTCCGAGGACCCAAACTTCACCCGACTCAAGGTGTTGGTGACCAAGGCGGCCATCAACAGTGGGTACCAACGGGGTAATTCTCAGAGCCTGTCGTCCTTTGTGAAGTCTCTCCCCTCAGATGCATTTGGCTCGATGCCCTGGCAGATATCGCTCTTGAAGTACTATCGAAAGCTAGTCGCGTTTGATCCTGCCTTCCGCAGCGTTGGCTCCCAGGCGCGCGTGAGTGCCATTGAAGTTGCCCGGGCTTGCCAAGCAATGCTTCAGAGCGGACAGTATTCCTGGCTGCGTGATCTCTACCGTCTCGTCTTTGGATTCCACATGGAAGAAGCGATGAGTAGAAAGGGGATTACTATTCAGACTTGAGAATCAACAATTTTGAGCCCAATGTTATTTCGGGTCCCAACATTGAATGAAATGGGGCAATCTCTGCCCTTGTAGGAAGCGCATATTTGGTACGGATACATCGTCTAAACATGCAAGTGGAGACAAGGATCCACTGGGTTCATTTTTCTTTATAACCGATTTCGCGACAGCACGTTCGCACTTGAATTGATCATTTCCCGGAGTAAAGAATAACCCCGACGGCTCTAACATTCACTCAGTTGCCGATCCCTCATTCCATAATAGCCCGAGTATATTTAGCGGTCCACGACATGTAGCATGTACGGCTCTGAGACCGAAGCGAACCTCACTCCGTTCAGTCCAATATCAAACCCGTAGATTGTTTGTCCCTCAATCAACAGTCCTGGAGTGGAGAGAGGAAGTCCAACATGTGGATCTCATGAAAACGAAAATCGGATTGGATCAAGATATCTACTAAGTCCAATACATTCTATAGTGGATTAAATCTATCAGCCTGAAAGAATCAGAATCAAGTTCAAATTTAAATTCAGATTCGACTCCTCCATTCCTTACTGAAAAGAAGAATCATGTATTCAATTGGGCCAGTTCGAAGAACTCGAACTCTCTCCCCCGCATATAAGCCCAGCCGGGGAAGAGTCCGACTCGGTTGAAAGTTGAACGCCGCTGACGCCTGTAGCGGGAAGGCTGAAAGTGGAGATGTAACTTCCATAGGATTTAATTTTGTGGGGATATATACCGTTTTCTCGGTCTCCGTGTGCTATGGAGACAATGGGATGATGGTAAGTCGGAATAAGTCGGCCCCGAGTTAGGTATAGAATGGATCGGGACCCGTTGAAGCGATTCGTGGAATTCTCAAATCTGAGACGTTTCTTGGTCCGGATTTGATTGGGGTCTGCATGGAAGGTTGAAAGAAGAGATTAGACCCGATTTCATTGTGTCCATGTCCATGTCCGAGTCCATGTGCATGTGCATGTGCAGTTCAACCTTCCTTGTAGAGACATGCATAACGAGTACTAAAGCACGGTGTTTCGCTAATCAACACATTTCCAAGTGGATCTGTGTAGCGTCGAACGCAGGTGGAGTCCGCATGATAGTAATATTTTAGTTAATGAACACAAAAACCTTTCGAATGTAACATCACGTTTTATGATTTTTGAACAATAACAGGATGTGAGAATACTCTAACCCCTATCTTCCCTATGCAAACATTGAATGTCAATTTCAATTCCTCCCTAACATCATTCAAACTGCTTAGCATCAGATTGGGTAACTTGATAGCTTAGATAGTCTTAGCTCTAGGAACCAATCAGACCAATCAGGCCAATCACCGCCACTCCACCTTGCATGACGCGGAGCATCTCTGCATTCTGTCGCAGACATATTATCGTGTCGAGTGGATGGATGGCGTTCCAGGTGGATCCTACAGAGAAGACATGGGGAGAAACGGAGTAAGAGGCGTATTATGGTGTCTGAAGAAGAAAAAGAAAAAAAAAGCTAATTGAGGTATAAATAGAGTATGATCATCCCTATCTTACCTACTCCGTTCTATACATAATTCCCTTTTCTTTTGGTTTCCAGCTACCAAAGTCTGGTCACTTTTCGTCATGTCGGTTCCCAAGTACGCCGGCATGTCTGGCAACATGTTGTCGCGAACTATCACAGCTACGGCAACTATGGGTTTTCTACTCTTTGGTTATGATCGTATGTATTTATCTCCACTTAAAATTTTCATCAGAAAGCTGATAAGGAAATACAGAGGGTGTTATGAGTAGTATTATTGATTCGAGTGCATTCTTTGAACTGCTTCCCCAATTAGATGGGAACTCGACCTTACAAGGCACAGTCACGGCCCTGTATGAAATCGGTATGTCTCCTGCAGATGAAACAAAACCAAGCACTCAATACCTAATGACGCTCAGGATGTCTTATCGGCGCGGTATTTATGCTCATCTTTGGTGACTGGCTGGGCCGTCGCAAGGCTATCATGGCTGGTGCCTTCATCATGATTATCGGTGTCATTATCCAAGTCACCTCATACGGCAGACATGACCCTATGGTCCAATTCATCATTGGTCGTATCGTCACCGGTGTCGGAAACGGAATGAACACATCTACCATCCCAACTTATCAAGCAGAGTGTTCTCGTACCTCCAACCGAGGTCTTCTTATCTGCATCGAGGGTGGTACAATTGCCTTCGGTACCCTGATTGCCTACTGGATTGACTTTGGAGCATCCTATGGCCCCACTGATCTGGTGTGGCGCTTCCCTATTGCATTCCAGTGTATCTTTGGTGTCTTTATCATCATTGGAATGACCTTCCTGCCGGAATCGCCTCGATGGCTATTTACTCGTGAACGCCACGAGGAGGGAGAAAAAGTTATTGCGGCTTTAGCAGGTCAGACGATCGATTCGCACGAAGTAACTCTTCAGAAGAACATCATCCTGGATTCCATCCGAGCGTAAGTCCATCCTTGGAGGTTCAAAGCTACTTGATCTAACAATATTCCAGTTCCGGTCAGATCAGCAAGAACACCCCCTTCTCCGCTGTCTTCACTGGTGGAAAAACCCAACACTGTCGCCGTATGCTCCTCGGGGCTTCAGCCCAGCTTATGCAGCAGATTGGGGGCTGTAATGCAGTCATCTACTACCTACCCATTCTCTTCAAGGACTCAGTCGGCCTTACTGGCCGCACGCCCACTATCCTTGGTGGTGTGAACATGGTTGTGTACGCTATTTTCGCAACACTATCCTGGTTCCTGATCGAGCGTGTGGGTCGTCGCAAGCTCTTCCTCTACGGAACAATTGGTCAAATGGTCTCCATGATCATCACATTCGCCTGTCTCATCCCAGGAACCACCCAAGCAGCCAAGGGAGCCGCTGTGGGCTTGTTCACCTACATCGCCAGCTTCGGCGCAACATGGCTTCCCCTACCATGGCTATACCCAGCGGAGATCTCCCCGATCAAGACCCGAGCAAAGGCCAACGCGCTCTCAACATGCTCGAACTGGCTATTCAACTTCTTGATCGTCATGGTAACACCGATCATGATCTCGCACATCCACTGGGGTACATACCTCTTCTTCGCCGTGGTGAACGCCTGCTTTTTACCCATAATCTACTTCTTCTACCCAGAGACAGCGCGTCGTTCTTTAGAAGAAATCGATCTGATCTTCGCGAAGGGTCACGTGGAGAATATGAGCTACGTCCGCGCTGCAAAGGAGCTCCCTTACCTTTCTGATGAGGATGTTGAGCGTGTCGCTATCCAATATGGTTTTGGACCAGCTGAGATTCATGAGACGGAGTATGAAGCTAAGGCTAGCAGTTCTAGTGACAGTGTACCTTCAGCACCACCGAAGATTGAGACTGTTTGATGTCAGTGAAGATGCTTCTTTATATAAGATGACCGGTTCTCGTCGCCATTTCCTGTGGGCCCGTGCGAGCATGATGCACGGGCTAGATAATGATTAACGAGTAGCCTTATTTGACACCCATGAAAGAGATTCTCCGGAGGACTGTTAGTTTCAAGTATTTGTCATCTCAGCATGTTTCTAATGTTAAGAGTATATGTGATCTCGCCATCGAGAATGCAATTGAAATGCCGCTTCCAAACTGCTGTTTCTCCCAGCGATTCGCTTGTGTGGATTTTAATCTTGCATACATTAAGTGACTACCAGGTGATTTGGTGCAATGCACTGAGCCAAACCTAATAGCTCGACTTATTGGCTTAAGAGCCTCGGAATCGAGAGGTCACTTGGAACTTTCAATAGTCTATGCGATAGCGCGGATTTATATCGTTAGCATGCCGAACGTACATGTACACTATACGTCCCCATTTCCCAAGCTATGTATAATTACATGCACGTCCATAGTATCTATTGGAGCATTTTAGTGGAGTACGGCATAATACATATTTGATCATGTTGATTTTTATGATTGGATGAACGAAGTTCACCGTGATATTAGTAAGGTACATTACAACGTTGATAAGCCATTTCTATACAGACCGTCACAGCAATGCTGTCAAAAACCGATTGAACTCCCGTAAATGAGATTCACAGTAAAGGGTAAAGGGAGAAATAAAGAAACCAGAGCGCTATTTCAGCGAACTGTAGCCCGAGGCAACAGCCGAAGAGCTCACTGAGCTTTCTTCGAGGTAGCCTCCCGGCGACGCTTAATAGCATCAGGGCTGTATTCGGTGCCAAGAACCAAGTCCCACCAGCGGAAGCTGCTCGAGTAGTTGCCAATGAACTTCTCGTGGTGCAGGTCGTGGTGATCGGCACCCGCCCAGAAGGGAAGGAAGTGGTGCAGACTCCAGGGGAACTCATAACCGCTGTGGGCATCAATGGCTTGGAACAGGCGCAGCACAATCCAGATGTACATGGTGAGAATGTGTAAGTCTCCGGTGACAGCACACCAAACGATCGGGCAGCCAACGGTTCCGAAGCCAAGAATCATAACCTCAATGGGAGAAGCGTATTCGGCGGCCAATCCAAAGGGAGCCGAGTACTGATGGTGGATTTTGTGGATGGCTTTGTACAGAGGGCCCCAGTGAAGAGCGCGGTGAGAGAAGTAGTGCCAGGTGTCTTCCATCACAAAGAAGATCGCGATTTGGAATGCCATAGTCCAGACAGAGGGGAAGGGAATCGAGGTAGCGAGACCAAAGTACTGGGCCATCGGGTGGAAAAACCTAGGTTGGATTAGTCGACTTGCATCACGAGCGCGGACAATTCCCGTGGAAAACCTACCAGATCTGGGGGAGCTCAACGGTGAAGTGACTCAGGAGCACAAACTTGGCGCAGTCCCATTGTTCCCGTAGTGAGGGGATTTTGTTCTGCCCAGACGAATTAGTTTTGATCCCGTCAAGCATGATAGAGTTGATCTCCACCACTCACGTTCTGAATTTTGTATCGGTTGAAGAGACCCATGCTGTCGATGAAGATCCATGGCAGTGACCGTCCAAAATAGACAATCTCGTGCATGAGGAAGGACATGATACCAGTGGCGAGCACATCATTCTGCATCCAGGCGTACCATGCTGCCCACAGTCGCTCTGGAATGTTTAGGCCGGGATTGTGGTTGCCAATCTCCTCGAATTGACCCCAGTAGGTGACCGGTGTTAGGACGGTGGAATTCCTGCGTATAAATTTTAGTAATGTTCAAGGTCAGAGGAAATGGTGTGTGGAGGAAAGGGCAAGGGGGATAACGAACATTGTGTTTCCCGACGACAAAAAAAAAAGGGAAGGAAAGAGAGAGAGAAAAGGAAGGACCCAAAAGATTGGACCTGTAGATGCGAGGCGAAACAAGTATAAAGCCCGCGACCAGTGATTCTCAAAAGTGTTGTAAAATGACTGATAAGGGGGGGAAGAAAAAAGGTTGAAGGTGGGAGTGAAAGCTGGATATAATTTGTCGGGGGAAGGAAGGACAAGCCATTCCCGAAGTGGCGAGACACACTTTATCGTCAGGGGAAAACCGGCGTTTGGCCAGTCACAGGCCAGGAAAAAGGGGCCGCCCAGGTAAGGCCACTGTTGAGCCGATCACCATCCGAACCCCCATTTGCCCCACCCCGGCATAACAGGCATAATAGAGATTTCCTCCCTTCTGTTTGGTGGAAGGCTTGGAATCCCCGATCAGGCCATCTGGGCCAGATTGTTTCCCGAGTCGTCTGATGGCGATTATTAATACCTTTGCTACGGAGTAGAACCTTTAGACTTGCGAGCTACAGCGTACTCCGCAGAGTACAGTACGAGTACATAGTAGTAATTAACACAATCTGATTTTTTGCTGATGTAATCTGCATTTTTACACGTGACCATAGTCCTTATCGTACTGTGTACTTCCAAGTACGGTGTTTGTATGCGGTTTGCCTAGTTTGTCCAGTTTGTCAATTTTGTCCATTTTGTCCATTTTGTATATGACGACATCCACTCGCTAAGGTCTTCTTCCGTTGCTCATTCTTTGGTCGTACGCGCCATGTCGATTGTCCGGGAGTAAGATCGTACGATCTATTAAATTATGGAACCTAGCTGATCTTGATTTTTCTTTTCCGCTCCGAATAGGACTGCCTGCGCTCTGAACATTCAGCTGGATCGTCTCCAACAGCAAATAATTCTTCCCGAGCGGTTCGACACGGCCGAGGCCCCCAGTCACCATGTCCACCGGCTCCAAAATGTGATCAATACAATCTCCGTGACCTCCAAAACACAATCGCTCCTACCAGCTGCCCATCTAGTGGATTTGCTGTCGGATCCCACCCTATCACACCATCTGCTTCCCGGGGTTACCGACTTCAGCTCCGAGAAACATGTCTCGGACTTTCTATGGCTAGTAGCTGCCAAAGCAGCGGTCCAAGCGTCTGGCTTGGTCATGCATACCCTACTAGATCAGACCATCTTACTCCAGGAGGAAATCTACTACTGGGATGAGGTGCTAGGCTCAGTTTGGTCCAGTGGTCTCTATGCCGCGCAAACCTCGCCCGCTCGACTATGGCATTGGTCTTTAGATATTTATACTGACTACAGATCCCATGGAGTCTTCTCTGCCTCCATCCCGAGATCTTTTGCTGCAAGATGGGGTCAGTTCTACCAAGTTGCTCGGCAGAGCTTGCGTGGAATGGAGCACCCCAGCGCGTTGGATTGGTCTTCGCCTATTCGGTCTTGCCGAGCAGAGATTCGACAGAAGAGAGATCGTTTGACCGCCATTAAGGATGTCCACACAAGTAGTCTGGGACTTCTGATGGAACAATGGCATGCCTTTCAATTCGAGGATCTCGCCATCTCTTCGAACTCCTCACCGACACAGTGGCAGGAGACAGTATCGAAAACAGTACACCTTACAGAGGCAATCCTTCAACATGTATTGAAGCAGTCCAATACAGATAAGTTCGAATCAAACGTCTTTCAAGCCGTTGAAAGGGATATGAGTAGCACGCAGATGCGGCTCTATGCCTCGTCCACCCAGGAGCCTACGGATCTGATCCAGCGCCTAATTCAACTTCTCCGTGAGCAGCTGCCTACGCATACGACCTCCATTTCTACGTCAATTGGGAATCACGGACGTCCCTCAAGGATCATGCGATACTGGTTACCACTGTCGGTGGTTTTGCTTTCGAGTAGCATATCATTGAAGGTATTGGCTCGTCATCAGGAGGAAATCATCCAATGGATCAGAAACATTGGCTCCACCATTATTGACTTTGGTGGTAACTGGGTGGTACGACCAATCCACAAGCTCATCGGTACCATAAGGCACGATGAGAAAAGTGAAATCGCAATCATGAGCAAGAAGAGCCTAATGGCTGATCGTGCGAGCTTGGAGCGGATGGTCATTGATTTTGTCCGCGATCGGCCAGACCCAAGCCTGGGGATGCCGACCGCTGAGAGCACGGCAGCCATTGCAAATGCAGTCAAAGAGGGCGATCTGACGCCAGTCTTGAAAGCCTACGAAAGGGACCTACGAGCACCGTTCAGTGGAACGGTTCGAGGCGACCTGGTTCGTACTCTTCTGATCCAGATCCAAAAGACAAAGGTCGACGTGGAGATCGCAATCAGTGGAATTAATTCATTGCTGAAAAGCCAAGAGCTTGTGTTTGGGTAAGTGTCTGGAGTTCTACCTTGCTTTGATCATTCGAATGGCATTACTGATGCTTTGCAGTTTTATTGGTCTCACCCCGGGGATCCTAGTCTCCTATATCTCTCTGCAGTGGGTGGCCGGGCTATTTAGTAGCCGACGAGGCCTGCAACGAGGCAAGAAGCGCTACCAGCTGAGGCGAGGACTACGGTATGCTTTTCTCAGAAACATAGCAATCTTCGGTATACTAATAGGCTACAGAAATGTGACACGAATCTTGACGTCCGCTTCCGTGACCGACGAAGTGATTTCTTACAAGGACTCGGGACGACTGATCTGTGAGGCTGAGTCATTACTCCAGCACGTTCAAGCAGTGTTTGGAGGTTTGGAATATCGGGAATTTAGAGAGGATATTGAAGATCTGTTGGATATCCAGGGGGGAGTTATCAAGCAGCTGCGGGTAGTTGAGAGGATCCGATGGACATATTTCCAATAATCATGTACTAAAACTAGTATATACAGAGGTGACCAGAGACGAAGGAGAGAGAGCCCTGGAGAAAAACACCTTGACACTTCGGTTTTTTCTCCCAGCCTGAAAAGAAAGTTACATGTATCACCACCTCTTCGTCAACCTCTTTAGAAAACCCATGGACTGTTTAACGAATATGGTATTAAAAAGGGAGGATACCAGGTAGCTAAATAATATATGAGCTAACTAGGTATAGTGGACACACCTGCATTAGTTGTTCTAGGCGCCACGCGAAATGCGCGGCGGAAAGCCTCGAGTTATAGAACGTGTTTCTCGATTGAATCTAGATATTGTGACCAGCGGATTATGTAACCCGGGGGGACATCGACCGTACCGTCATCACTCCACCTGGGTGTTGACCACATTTCATATTTCCCCCTCCTCTAACGGCCGACTTAAGGCTGTTTAATCTGATCTGTGAACTCTGCCTGTGGATTTATCCTGAAACTCTTCACCTTGCTTGCCTCTATTTCGTTGGTAGCCGATCTGCATCCTTCATCCGACACTCCTGATACTGTCCCTGGAAGCCCGGAATCCTGCCTAAGACCCAGACGCCTCACCAATAATCTATTGACACTGCAAACCTCCTGAATTCTCGCATTATCGCGTCCTCTTGGTCCAAACAGTATACCTTTAGATCCGACATTGGTGGAACCCGCTACCAATCCGACCGACTCCTATCTCGGAATATCGATTCTCGCCGGTTCTAACGAACACAAACTACGCCAACATGGCCGGTACAAGGAACTATGATTTCCTGGTACGTTTTGCTTTGAGGAAATAAATCGCACCTGCTAACTGGGATCCATCTGTAGATCAAACTCTTGTTGATCGGAGACTCAGGTGTGGGCAAGTCGTGCTGTCTCTTACGTTTCAGCGAGGACTCCTTTACCCCTTCATTCATCACCACCATCGGTATTGATTTCAAAATCCGTACGATCGAGTTAGACGGCAAGAGGGTGAAACTGCAGATCTGGGATACCGCAGGTCAGGAACGCTTCCGCACCATCACCACAGCCTACTACCGTGGTGCCATGGGTATTCTGCTTGTCTACGATGTGACCGATGAGCGGTCCTTCCAAAGTAAGTGTCTTTTCCCCCTGTTCCAAATCACAAGTCCCTAGGACTGACTCTTTATCTTCCAAACAGACATTCGCACCTGGTTCTCCAATGTCGAGCAACATGCCAGTGAAGGGGTACACAAAATTCTCATTGGTAATAAATGTGATTGGGAGGAGAAGAGAGTTGTCTCCACTGAGCAAGGACAACAGCTCGCCGATGAACTGGGTATTCCTTTCCTGGAGGTCTCCGCAAAGAACAACATCAACATCGAGAAGGCTTTCTATAGCCTCGCGACCGATATCAAGAAGGGCATGGATACCTCGAAGACGGAACAATCCGGATCTCAGGGAGTCAGTATAGACCAGCAGGGTTCTGGACTGAATGGTGGCACTGGAGGAAAGTGTTGCTAAACCCTGTAATATCTTTCTTTCTCCCTCTCTCTTCCCCTATCTCTCTAACTCTTCTAGTTGCCCTTTCTTCCTTGTTTTTCCCCTCCTATTTTCCTATTTTCCTATTTTATTTTCCTTTGGTGTTTCTATCCGCTCGTTTCGGAACTCTGCGCGTGTTATGTGTGTTTTTTGTTCTCTATTCGCAAGTCGTTTCCTGCGCACCTGCCACATATCCTTTTTGCCTGCAATTTCACGTGCTAAGATCTGAATGTCTCCATGGAGAGTTGGCGTTCCCCAGTATCATAAACACTCTGTCCATAGCCTGTGGCATGTTCTGTACTGGAGATAGATGTAACCTTAGTAAATTGACATTGAAACTCCGAATTTGATGACTCTCTGTTATTTTAGTGCTTTTGTCTGCGGCCCACTTTTCGGGGGTTTATCAGCCCGATAAGATTCCCCCCACTAGAATTTCATTTTCTCATTCAGCTTCCAGCTTTTGTACCTGACTGTCAGGCATTGCTGTTACTGGCTCTTGATCGGTGTTCGCGATCTATTGCATCGAATGCGACAATTCTGAACCTACACAATCCCCGAGAAATATCGAGCAACGGCTTGCACGATATCTTGCGACAGCGCGAACCACTGCCCCTCTGATCTACGAATGCGTTGTTTTTGAAATCTCTCTCAATCTACTGGATATAACGTGTGCACTCGATCAAATCAACTGTCCCTACTCTTGAGCTTGACTCAGATAATAAGGCGCGATGGCTGAAGTTCGCAGCTATACGGCACGGCCATTTACGAAACAGCCTAAAAGTGATCACCAAGATGCCTTCCGTGTACATCTATCCTCCTCGTCAATGGCTGCTTTAAGGCTTCGTGCCGGTGATATTTGCACATTATCGTCCGCTATAGGGTCGAAGACTGCGATTGCTTGGACAGCCAGTGAAAACATACAGAGTACAGTGGTGCAGGTATCAAAAACTCTCCAAGAATGTTACGATATCAAAGTCGGGGAAAAGGTTGCCATCACTAGAATCAATGGCTTACTGGAAGAGATTGAAGCTGTCGTTCTGGTTGACTGCACCGATCCCGCTAAGATGGAGAGGTACGGCGGTCCAATCCCGGCAGAGGACCGTTGCCACTGGGAATGGGCATTGGAGTTCAAACTTCTGAAAGGCGAGATCATCACCAAGAACTTGGTCTTCGATCTTGAGCTCAAAAACCAGACTCGAAGCTTCCAAGTGGTGAACATTCATATCGCATCTCCACACTCTAGCCGTACGATCTTTCGCTTCACAAATGCAACCAAGGTCACCATTGGCACTGAAGAAGAATCGCCTCGGGATGAGCCTATTTCTGAACTATTTGTGGAGTCCTCTGGGCTGGGTGGGCTCTCACGACAGATTGACGACATTAATGATAATCTATCGGACTTCAATGTTGATGTGCTCAAACCTACAATGCCCTCCTTCTACGAAGACAGTCACGGAATCCTTCTTTACGGACCCAAAGGAACAGGCAAAACCTCGCTTCTACAGCAGATCGAAAAGGCTGGCTGGCGACAAGTTTTCAAAATTCACTCTGGTACCCTCGGAAGGAGCACAGCTGAAAGCGAGTCAAAACTACGCAAGATATTCCAAGAAGCTGCTCACTCCAAGCCTAGTGTGATCATTATTGATCAGCTGGACTTTGTTGCTCCCAAGCGCACTTCCCTGGACTCTTCGTCGCTTGCCTCGGTCCTCTGCGAGGCTCTAGATTCAATCAGGGGCGCGTCGGTCATGGTGATAGCTGCGACTCGACACCCCAACAACGTCGATGATGCACTCAGAACCCCTCATCGGTTAGGCACAGAGATTGAGATACAGATTCCAACTGCACAGGACCGGGCTGAGATTCTACGCGCGATTCGTGGACCGGCATCTTCAGGACTTACCGATGCATTGATTGACCTGCTTGCCGAAAAGACCCACGGATATGTCGGAGCAGATCTATTTGCTCTACTTCAGCTCATCTGTCGGAAAGCACGCCGTCGGCAGATGCGCGAGCGCAAGTCTACTGCTCTACCCGTGGAGGCGTCCCCGAAATCTGATATCTTGGATATCAGTTCTTTGGATATCAATGGCGATGCAGCCAATGCTGGAAACGGTGGTTTTGTTGTGGACCTGGTCATCCGCGAAACCGATATTTGGTCCTCGCTGCAGGAGATCCGTCCTACTGCTATGCGGGAGGTATTCTTAGAGACGCCTAAGGTGAGATGGTCCGACATCGGCGGGCAGCATGATATCAAGAAGCGGCTGCAACAGGCCGTCGAAAGACCCCTTAAGGTAAGTATTTCTCGTTCAATTCAACGGTCATGAAGCTCACATCAATCACAGCATCCTGAACGTATGAAGCGTCTCAATGTTAAGAGCAAGAAGGGTGTTCTCCTGTACGGTCCACCGGGATGTTCCAAGACCCTCACCGTCAAGGCATTGGCTACGGAGGCAGGCTTGAACTTCCTGGCCGTTAAAGGTGCTGAAATTTTGAGCATGTACGTCGGTGAGTCTGAGCGATCACTGCGAGAGATTTTCCGCAAAGCTCGCGCGGCACGACCAAGTATCATTTTCTTTGATGAAATTGATGCTATCGCTGCACGCCGCAGTAGTACTTCTCAAGGTGGTGTCAACGTCTTGACAACCCTCCTCAATGAAATGGACGGTATCGAGGAGCTTCGAAACGTGTTGGTTGTTGCGGCCACCAACAAACCAGACGTCCTGGATCCAGCACTCATGCGTCCAGGTCGTCTGGACAACATTCTCTACATCGGGCCACCAGACTTCGAAGCTAGAAAGGAAATCTTGCGCATCTGGGCAAGCAAATCCGTTCTTCACCCGGACGTTGATCTCGACGAACTGGCTACTCAGACCGAAGGCTACTCTGGCGCAGAAGTTGTTAGTATTTGTGAGACTGCAGGTGATGCTGCATTGGATGAGGAAGAAGAGACACAGCAAGAGCAAGATGTGCAATTGAAGCACTTTGAGTATGCCTTGAGTCAAGTGCGACGACAGATCACTGACAGCGTCATTCGTGAATACGAGTCATGGGGGGATATCCAAAAATAGAGGCGCCTGTACAAAACTCACAACATTCCAATCGGATTAAAATATACACATCCTTGCGACAAGGGATTTGCTACACTACACTCAACCATGCCAAGGTTCTCCTACAACAATGATAGACGACCTGGAATACCCCCAAGATCACCCTGATATGTCTATAGCATAACGTGCGACGCAAAATTCAGTATAAACAATTTGACAACACCAGGTCTTTATAATTTATGTAATCAGCTCAAGTGCTCAAAGGGTGAAAGGAATGTTATTCCTAACCAACTTAAAACCCCTACGCAACCGAGCACTTCACCGAACCCCAATTAATTTCATAATGCGGGTTATTGAACATCTCCTCTACTTGACAACCAGTAGCCGAGGAAATTTCCACACTATTTCCGTCAGAAGTCCCACAACCATCTTCATAGGCAGTGCAGGAGCCTCCAGTCATATCCCACGACCAGATTCCCAGACTAGGACTAGAGTCGCAGTCAGTGTAAATGGCGCCGTCATTAGTATAATAGCCACAGGTAACACCGTTTGTCATATCCAGGCCGACACTGAGACCGCCATGAAGACTGAGGCACTCGTTGTCCACTAGGCTGTTACCCATAATAAAGTAATAGTCCCCATCGCAACTATATCCCGTGTACGCGGCGAGAGTCCATAGCCCGGTTCCAGTTGGGCCTGCAGTGGTAGTCGTCTTTGTTGAGGATGTATGCTCAGTTGTACTTGTAGATCGCATTGAGCTGGTCTTTGTTGAGGTACTTGTTGATTTGATGGATGTAGTCTTAGTTGAAGCGGTTTCGCAGTTAGAGATACACTTACTCGAACTACAAGAGTCCGAGCTCGTAGCAACACACTGGCCTCCCGTGATGCACTAGAAAGAAGTCAATAGACGGATTCAGTGATGGGAAGATGAAACTCATGGGGTTCTTACGCATTCATTTGTAGGACATGGGTTCAATGAGGAAAGTGCCGAGTATTTGTCCGGCCTGGCTGTACCAGGAACCTGGGGACCACAAATGGCTTGGGCAAAGGCAACCGGCATTGGGGGATCACCTGAGCTCAAACAAATGAAATCTCCTTGGTAGATGCTGTCACATCCTTTCCAGCCCCAGGTGTCGCCGTTGTACGTTTCTATCTCAGCTTTAGTAATTCCAAATGCTGAAGCGATACTCTCGCAAGTGTCAGATGCTTCGACGGTGTAGGTGTAGCAGATGCCATCACTACTGGCTTGTAGACTTGATGCTGATGTGATCAACACCAAAATCCCCCAGATCATGTATAGAATCATTTTTGAATATTATCCAAAGCTTTGTGTTTTTTTTTGCCATATAGAGACTGTCCCACTGGCGGGAATCCCACTCTTTTTTATATCCATCGGGATTGGGAGTGTGTGAATCATCTGAATATCTATCTGATGTCGACCCTGGACGATGGGAAGAAAGAAGTATCTTTGAAGAGTATCAGCCTCATCAACAATACTATCGTTGATATTGTTCTGACCAGGGACTCATCCCGATAGTATTGTTCTTCGTGGCAAATCCATATCTTTGTAAGTTGTTGTTGTCATTAAAAGAAACAAAGTCCAAGAGAATCATGTGATGTCACCGATATATATATAAAGTCATGTGATTTAACATAAGGTCATTACCTAATAAGGTTAGTCTCAATGCGCAACTTGAAGCTTCCCTTTCATACCTTTCTCTTGAATGATCGCTTTGAACTCTCTCAATCACTCAATACCTCGAATCATAACTACAACATGTCTGTGAGATCCCCTGGCCGGTCACCCCTCCCTTCTGACGATCGAGCTCCGTCGCGTCCTTTGCGCTCGAGATCTCGAGACTCGCGACCCCGAAGCGTCACCCGCAGTCCATCTCCCGATGCAGGTCGCCGTGACCGACGCTCACGAAGTGACTCTCGATCCTCTTCCCGCGGCCGCAGCAAAGGTGCCCGCCGCTATCGAAGCCGCAGTTACAGCCGTTCGCCTAGTCGAGACCCAAGTCCTCCCAGGAGCGCAAAGGTAGGTGTGCCGTGAATTGGCTTCCCTCCACCAGAAATCTTCCATGTCACTAAATAATTGAGACAGATTGTGGTAGAAAAATTGACCAAAAATGTGACGGAGGCGCACCTACGAGAGATATTCGGCGACTTTGGTGATATTGAACATCTCGATCTTCCCATGAATCGAGCCTGTAAGTTGCCCGCCAGGTTTTCCGCGGCTTCGCATGGCTGACTGGCCGTTGTTTCTAGTTAATACAAATCGAGGTACCGCCTATATCGTATACTACGACCCTGCAGATGCCGAAGCAGCGATTGCCCATATGCATGAAGCCCAGCTTGACGGTGCGATTCTCAATGTTTCCATTATTCTTCCTCGGCGCAACTTTTCACGGTCCCCACCACCGTCTACTCGAGCGAATGGAGGTCGACCCAAATTTGGCAAAGGTTCATATGCAAACTCTCCCCCAAGGAGACCAGCTCGTGCACGCCCCGCCGAGCGGGGTGATACGTACCGACCACCATCGTTCTCGCGGTCACGATCACCACGACCAAAAGGAAGCACTCGCCCAGAAAGCCCCCGTCAGAACCGTCGGCGAAGTCCTAGTTACAGTAGCTACAGCTACACCAGCCGGAGCCGGAGTCGGAGTCGGAGTCCGAACAGAAGCCGGAGCAGAAGCCGAGCCATGAATCGAGACTAAATAAGACCTGGCTGGCTACTCGAAATGAGGCGTTGAAACAAAACTACTCGTCTTTTTTTCCTATCTGAGTTCGGATCTTGTCTCGGTATCGCGAAGATCTAATTGCATGATGCATGACGCCTTGAAACTTACATCGCTAAGTCCAAAAAGAAACAAAATAACAATAATCTAAATTCAAAAACCGAAATTTATCGTCCGCCCGCCACCTTCCATATCCGTTGACGCCTTGCATGCGTGGGAAAGAAACGTCAACTTGTCATTTCAATGTTCGTATTTCCATGGCAGCAGACCATGAGCCGTGAATAGCATTGGTTGCTCAAAAGAAGGCGCACCATCCAATGTACATGGCCGCCAGATTCTTCTTATCGGTTGCCTGTATGATCAACTCATCCACCTGTCCATCCACGGACAGGGCAATGGGTTGTTTAGACATGAAACCCCGGAGCTTGTTGCGAACGTCCTCCAGGACGCCGGCCGGGGTATCAGGAACATTCGCAGGATTGCGACGCTAAGAAGCATTAGTTTTAAAGCTGCGAAGTGATGGAGAAAATACCTACTCTTTTCCCGATGAAGTCAGTGGTTGGGTCATAAAGGAAAGTCTCTAAGATGGTCATTAATGAATCCTCGTTCTGTCGCAGTAGACTGAGGGTGATTTCGCAGGTGCGCCGGAAGGGACCTATGTGTGTGAGCATCTAGCCTTTGAAACTTGGAAATCATTAATCAGTCCATGGGATAATGTACCGTTGTATCCATAAGCGCCGAAGGCATCGACCATGTTATTCGTCAACCGGAATGGAACCACTTCGGGCTTCTCAAATGTTTGACCCTGGAACTTGAATGAGCATTTTCGCGTAAAAATCGCCTGATATTTAACGACCTACCTTGTCGAATAGACAATTGAAGTCAACATGCAAGATACCTCCTGTACCTTCTTCAAAGGACAGGTTCTCTCCATGTCGATCTCCAAGCCTAGGAGAAAGTAACAAGCCCATCAGTATGACGAAATTAAAAGCGCGTAGGCTTTAAATAAGCAGGTCTACATACCCTAGAACGTATCCAACCATGGACATCACCGCCGAAGATCTTGTGTACCGCAATCTTGCTGTAAACCAGGCCTCCGTCTCCGGAAACATCTCGATAAACCACTCATGAAGAACGGGAGGAAGTCTACATTCGCGTTAGACCCGAAACTGGAGATCAACGAGGAAGTGGGGGTCGGACTTGGCCAGAATCTTAGTAGTAAACAAAGACACTTTCTTAAAATCTTTGTCTGCACAAATCTCGTTGAGATGATTCTTGATATCAGTGTACTGGTTTCTCATTAGTAAAGTCTCAAGAGTTTGCAAGTTTTGATCGGCTTACATTCGGTTGAACTCCTCGTTCGCGAAGTAGCTTGACCACAATATCTCTCAGTGTACGTAGATTGTCCACCCATTCGATTAAACCACATTCTTCATTTAACGGTGTCACTGCGTAGGTTTTGATGTCTTCGATTTCCCGAATTAGTCTCGGGCCAAGAGATGTGGTTAGGTACGAAGAGACTGGGGGCGTTACTCACACATCCTTCGTTTGCTAGCCTCGACATCGCGTTTCAAGAACCGGTTGATCATGTTATTGAATTCCATGAGACGCTGGTCCTTTCGAAGATCGTCTTTGGGCTTGCAAAGTGCATTATAGATTTTCCCGTCAGAGCCTCGAATGCTAATCTTGCGAGGCTTTTGAAGCGAGTTCAAGATAAGAGCCTCATCCAGAACGGCTAGAAAATCAGATCAGTTTGGAATTACAAAGGACAGGGCAAGTTTACATACCTTCAATTGTCGTCGGATCTCGGGGGAAGGCCCTGAACCCTTTCAAGTATTCCGCATCATGGGTTGCGGGGAGACTTGGAATCAACATAGCCTGAAACGGTACGACAAGTCGACAAGGCGCGACCTTGTGGTTAAACCCAAGACTGCGAGCAAGCTGGACCTTACTGGTTCTATCCTCGACAGGCGCGAGGCATAGCTGGAGCAGCTCCTCTGTGAATTTCTGACCTGAAGTTATCATGCGACGAATGTCAGGAGATGAAACATCCACTTTGTGCTTAGTCGTGACGTCCTATAGATGTTAAGTTAGTACTTTGCTACTCTGTAGTCAGGTGCCTTATTTACCGTGATCTTCTGAAGAATGTTGTAACCTTTTGACGCTCGGTCTTTATTCGATGATTTGACAACGGCGAGAACTGTCCATAGACCTTGCTGAGGGAAGTAATGGACAGCCTTGGTCACAATTCTAGTTAACAGGTCGTAGACCGTGCTGTTGGCGTGACAGATGCGAGCCACCACTTGGGGCAGAATTGTAAATAGCTTTCGTCATTAGCTTCATATAGTGACGGCAATAGCTTTTTACTTACCAAAGCAGGCTGCAGACGGGTTGAGATGTATTTCTTCAACTGGGCATGCATCTCATCTAGGCTTTTCTTTCGTTGTGCTTTCGTGTGTCGCTGGAATTCCCTAGTGGTTTGGATTGCCATGTCAGCTTGCTGGATATGTCTTGTACGAATGATCACTAACTCATTATCTCCTCTTTTTGGATCAATGGGCTGGCCAACGATGGAAGCATGTTCCAGCCAAAGAGTGAGAAGCTTTGGTAAGGTCTGGAAAACGTATTTGCTGCCATAGGTTAGAGAGCGAAGGTAGTTGTCAATCACTAGCTTGGTAGCCTCTCCGCTTAAACTGGTAGAGTGGTCAGTTTCCGAACATGCACGATGGCCATTACTCGAAAACTTACTATATCTGAGCCTCTTTTCCCATCGGCTTAGCTTTTTCAGAGTCAAGAATCTTGTTGTAGTGCTTCCCTAGGTAGTAATGAGCTTTCTCCCACCTATGTGCAGTGTTAGAACAGTTCATCCATATGAAAAGCATGAAACAAACCGTGGATACAGCTTAATGGCTTCTCGATATCGTTGGACAATGGCCTGGGAGTGAGTCTGACCAGCTCTATCAGTCCACTTTGCCAACATAAGATGAGCCTGATAAAGTTTAGCGCCTTTACATTTAAATGTGTTCAGAGAGGACACATACCCTGGCAGGAACATCATTTTGCTTTTGGCCACGATTGGAGGCAAAGGAGGCTGATTCGAGGTCAATCACATTGGACGCTACTGGAATGGTCTCGTTCATGGAAATAGCGCCTTCGAGGGTCTGGATCGCCTTTCGATGGTGTCCATCCTGCCAAAGTAGTTTTGCATGTTCAATGGTAGCTGATCGATCTTTGAGCCTAGCTGCATTGAGCATTGAATGATATGCCTGGCTGGTGAATTTGCCCTTGCGCGAGAGATGGGCACTGGTGAGCCAAGCAGCAGAGATATCGGAATCCCCAAAGCCACCCCTGTGAGTCAAAAACAAAGGTCAGTAAACCTGCAAGAGACAACAAGGATATCAGTATCGACCCACGCTAGCTCCATGGCAGCTCTTCTGATGCCCAACAAGTACTGTTTCTCGGCAATGTAACCACCCAAGACATCCAACCGTCGTTTGAGAGCAGAAGGCAAGTCCGGATACAAAGATTCTTTAGTTCTTGCATTTGCTATCGCTTCCACATCTGCCAAGGCATGTAACCGGAGCATATCATCATGGCACGATTGCAACGAAGTGACGGAATTCGCCGTCAAGGACCTTGCAACATTGAGCCTGAGATTGTTGATGGTCGTTGTAAAGACCTTTGATTTCTCCTCAAACGAAGCATCATTACTTTCATGTAGCCCTCGAAGAGCGAAGAGAGCCGATCCAATGCCCACGTTGAAATCACCAGTTCCTTGCTCAGCACATAATTCTAGGTAGCTCTTGAGCTTAGACCATCTGCCTGTGATCCACGATGCTTCCACTGCGAATGGCAGGAACCGCGAAGTCGCAGCATCTTTATCTTTGAGAGCTTCGAAACGAGTGAGAATGGCATCTGGAAGAAGTCAGTCGAGGATGAAGGAAAAAAAAGCCGTATTTTCAAAAAATAACTACCTTGTTGGCCGGATTCCTTCAGGCAAGTCACAAGATTCCACTGGGCCTCAAAATTATCGGGTTCTTTTTCGAGCTGAAGCTCATACCAACTTTGTGCGGTAGCCCACCTCCCCGCTTTTCGGTGCTCCAAAACCTGTTGATCGACATTGAGTGCGGACAAATGGCTGGATATACCTTCTATTCCGTCCGGCTCATCAATTTGGCTGTAAATGTCTTGCAGCCTCTGATAAAGCAGATCCGAGCCCGAGCCTTCCGTGGAGTCCAGTTGCGAATTACATCGCCTAATATACTGCTCCCAATGAAACAGAGCCCGAGAATAAGATTTGCATTCCACCGCGCGTTTGGAAATGATTTCGGGTGGGATTGCAGCTAAAAGGGTCTCGGCAGACTTGATCTGAGATGTGAATTTGTCGAAGAGTAAGTCTCGGTTAGAATCTCGGTTAGAACGGCTCGACTGGTGAGACTGATGACCCAAGCCATTGAGCTGCTTCTTCTTTCCCTGAAGCCATCGTGACAAGTAGTCCAAAACTTCGAAAACGCTCTAAAAAACCATTGTTTTATCTTTAGCAATTTGTATGTGGCACGGGTGCTGGGGGAATCTTACCTGGCTACAGGAAATGATCGTTTCACGAGCATTGTTATTCGTGTCAGGAAGAGGATGCGACAGAACCGTTATTAGTTCCAGCTGAACGTCTTTGTGTTCTTGCACGGTACCTCCGACAATTCGATACAGCATCGCGAACGGCAAGAGAAAAGAGGAGATAGAAATATCTTGACCTTTCACCACACGACTGCAGAATGAAAAAACGAGCTTTGCGTTGTCTTCCCTTTCGACTTGAAGCAGGTCCTGTACCAAGGTCCGAAGCCACTCGCTATGGGTCTTTTCCGGGGAAAACAAAGGATATTCCACAGTTGGATTTGTCACGACGAGGGTAACCGTGTATGATGATGTAAGGAATGGCGTCAATGTGTTTCGGGTGCCTTCAGGAAGTTCCATCCATCGCCGGTATTTCTCATCATCCTGAAGATCACGAGACCGCTGAAGAACAGCAGTATCTAATGTGCAGATTTTGAGAAGGCCCTGCATGGCATATGCCAAGAACCCCTGGGCTCTGGTGTTAGAGGCGGACAAAAATGCATCGACAAGCACATGCTGAAGAAAGAAAAGCGTGAAATCCACGATTTCCTCCATTCGATCAAAATTTGAGAGAACGAGGATATCCTTCTTTTCCTTGATTGTCTCTACTCGATTCGGGTCCAAACAGCCGACAAGTCCTAGACATCGTGCTGCGAGTAATGTGATGCGATCTGAACTGGTATTGAACTTGACACAGCAGTCCAACAATGCTCTCGTGAGCTGTGCGATCACAGGATCCGGCTGTTCGCTGAGAGCAGAGACATGCAAAAACTCCTCGTTTTTGGACAGGAAGGGAAGTAACTCGGTCAAAGCTTGCTCGGCAACCGTCCCATTCTCACTCTGGCAGCGGCGGATCAAGGCAAGCAACCGACTTCGGACATCCATATCTGCTCGCAGTTCGTTAATTTGAGCTTCAAATGCGGCCATCTCGGGTATGCAGGCTAGGGATGGCATCGTATTGAAGGTTTCTCGCACGAGGTTTGGATGATTTTTCAATATATGATCGATTAACTGATAGGCATGTTTCCTGCTTTCATCAGCCAATCTATCCCAATACCTTATTACAATTGCCAATGTCTGGTCGATGAGAGGCTCGATGTCTTCGGCGCTGAGAGAGCTGATCAAGGTCGTCCAAGCCGAGAATGCTTGGCCGCACAATTCCTCGATGTCGAGGGCAGAGCGGAGGCAAGCACAGACCTGAGGCAATGCATTACTGACATGACCCCGAGCAATACTGATCATCTCTTCGATTGCCTTCAGGTTTCGCCTCTTCTCAGCCAGCGTTTGCCGCACTTCGAAGTCATTGATTGCGTTTGAAAATTGGGTGATTATTCCGAGAACATGTTCTTCAATGAAATGGCTTAGCAAGTTCGCCCTTTTAGAGGAACTTCCATGTGTGGACTTCCTTGGGACGAAGCTGGCTAGGCGAGTAAGTGCTTGATGAAACTAGGGAATCCAGTTTAGCTTGACACTCGACGTTTTCAAGGGTTATATGCTCACCCTTTCCTTATTTTGCTCACCGGCATCTCCAAGGCTTTTCAATAAATCACATGCAATCAAGATTGGCTCGATCCGGACTAACTCCGACAAGGACCGTCCTTTGAAAGCAGGATCTATATCTGCCAGTAGAGACATGATCATGGCTTCTGGGTTGCTATGATCTTGGGCGAGCAGAAATGCGAGAATTGCCGCAAGATTGTTTTTCTCAGAACATACATCGAAAGGCGATTCCGCTTCATCGCGACTTGCCCCAATTCTGCAAATGATGTCTCTTTTTCTTGTTAGGACCAAGTAAGGAAGAACATGGACTTCCGTTAACCGCAAAAAGCTGTCAACTTTCATGCCAAGCATTTCGCAGAGCTGTTCAGCCATATATGGGCGAGTTTGGAGGTTTTTGACGACTGCAACTGACAGTGTTCTCCAATACGGCCGAAATAAGCCAGCAGGCGACATGCTATACTCAGTACCGAGCTTGTACAACTGGATTGATCCTTTAGCTTCATTATAAAGAATAAGTGTCTCGGAAACACCTGTTCTTCTTACCTCGTCGTATGCAACTGCACATATGTATGGATTCGGATGACCGAGATACTCCACAAGACGCAAAAGTATGATATTTTTCTCCTCCTCATCGGATACCCTATGAAAGAGATTAGATGAATGAGCAGGAACCACAAATATGACAATTGGGAAGGACTTACTTTGCGAGACAGCTCAATGTCAAGACACATGCCTCATGTAAAGGCATTTCGTTTTTCTCGGACATATTCTTTAGCCATTCAAGTATGATAACAAAGTTGGCTCGACGAATATCTGGCTGCTGATTGGAACGCACAAATCCGACGACTGAATGACTAGATAGTAGTTAGTAAAGCTCAATATGAGTATGAAATATCAAACTAACCCGGTCGCAACGCGAAGTTCTCGATTGGAGCTTCGAAGAGCGTGGAGGCAAAATTGTCCAGATGCGGACGACGATAGATGCATTTGATCTAGAAAAGGCGAGTGCATCAAAATTCTTCTCAGTGCGACCATAGCAGCTATGCGTGGGCCAGACGTGCGCGTGAGCTTGGGTAGAATTGAATTGAAAATTGCCCACAATTCTTCGAATTCGGTCATGTTCTTCTCGATCCCATTCCCAGAATTATGGGTTTCGAGATCACACCTTTTACAGAGGATTGTATCTCGCCCCAAAAAGTTCGAGGCCTTCTGTTCAAGGTTTCCGGTGATGGCACAGGAGAGCTGCCCGATACTGGCCAGTACTTCAGACCTTTCATGCTCAGGAAGTCCATCGTACGATCCTCTGTACTCCAGTCTTAGCTTAATTCATTCCAGGAGACATGTCTTTCAAGTACTTACTCCAACGCAGTGCGTAGACCTGCCAATCCACTGTCATCATCACACTTTAGTAGTGCCGACAGCCTTTTCATAAGAAGAGGCAACAAGCCTTGAATCGTAGGTTGAACAGGCAGACACATGCGTTTTGAGGCTCGTGTACTCAAGCTCTGTTCCATGTCATGGGACATAATGCCAGGTTTTTGAACGTCAGCCTCGACATCATTTGCTGCGAGACTAATCAGAGCCTGAGAACGATCCTCAGATAACGCTGATGTATCAAGCAGCATCCCCTCGAGAGACAGAATTGACGTCTGTCGTAAAGTCAGCTCATTTCTCAACCACAGATCAATGTTAATGAATGGAGGTTGATCAATACCGATAGACCAGACTCCATAGGCAAAAGTTTGCCATCCTTGTCTTTGATTTCCTCGAAAGTGGATAAAAGGGTCTCACTCAATTGCTGGGCGAAGGTTTTCGAAACCACTGCCCCCTGTAGCGCTTCCTCCAGGAAATGGGTCAGATCAGTCTGAATGACTGACAATTGACTCCGAATACTGAGTTGGAGCATGTCACTTAGACATTGAGCCCAGAGCGAGGCCAAGGATATGTCAGAACGCAGAGCCGATCCAAACATGTCAGACACACAAAATCGGTGTGTATATGCCATGAATTGTAAAACGACCTGCTGATCATTTGAAGTAAGTGTCGACCCAGCTCTCTGTATCCATCCGATCACCACTTTACGTAGACGATTGTAGCCATTTGAAACCCACGGAAGATTCTGGCGGAGGATGAAGCTTCGTCGCATTGAAAGACCATCAATTAGGGCTTGAGGGCTAAATGAATCTAACATGAGAGAAACAAGATTGATTGCCTGGGGAAAGGACCCCAGGGATATGGCTTCCCTTAAGAGACCACGAGGAAGAGCTAGGTTATCGAGGTCTACTCCCAGTGACCCATTGATTGCGGGTATGGTTAGGTTTGGGGTAGGGGGACCTCGCAAGTCCCCACTCTTGGATCCTTCCAAGGCGCATAAAATGTCTATTGAACTATTAGTCGAGGTTCATCCATAGGTTTCATAGAAGTATAAACAAACCCGATGTACAAGCACGAAGAAAGGCCGAAACGCCATAGCATAAGGGTGACGAGCGAGCTTGTCTGGATTGGAGACTAGCCATACTGCTTAATATCAAATGCGTTCTTTGCTGAACGATCTCTGAGGACCAGATGCTAGCCAGTTTAATCAATCGTAGGATCAGCCATGCAAATAATGGTGCTTGGGCATCTTCCCCCAAAATCAGTGGGTCCGAAATATCCCATAGCGCCTGTGGGGCTTTCTCAATGCTTGCCTGGATAATATCCAGACAATCCAAGATTTGGCCCTGGAGATCGTTTTCTGGTGTATGACTACTCAGATCCACTTCCAGGCCGGCCTTGAGAACAATGCAGATGAGTTTATTGATGTCCGTGATGCCTTCATCGACGCGCATCTGACTTTGCCTTTCTCCTAAAAGTTCCTGGCGAAGTTGCGAGAATGTCTCCCGAGGGAGCCGCTGATGCCCTTTATGTCCTTGCGGTGCCAGAGGGGCGAAATGTGCCGCGAGAATGGATGAGGCTGGCTCCATGGGCGGCCGTCGATTACCAGCCCTGAAGTCATGGTTCTTTCTCTCAGCTGCCATATTGTGTCAACATGGCTAGCAAACCAGTATTCAAATATCTGGTGCCTGAGGAAGGACCACGCGCATTGCAGAATGATGAAATGCACGCGGAGTTCAAATTGACACTGACACCTCAGGCACCAACTCCCCACCGCTATGAGTTTAAACTACTCGAGTTCGGTGATATACAAGTCGCTACTAAGGTTGAGAACAATTAAGATAGCTTCTATTATAATTTTCAATTCTCTTGATGTTCCCCAATGAAAAAGTAGGATAAAAATTTAAATTCATAAAGGTGCGCAGCGATTGCACATACAACATTGAACATCTGGGTTGTTCCCGTGGAAAATCTTAGACAATTGAATAGTTAACCTCACTCTCTCTTTCTAACCCACCACTTGGAGATGTAACAACCTGACCTCTTGTTCCTCTCAAGACATTTACAAGAGAAGAATAACACAAGAATGGATCTATCTACTGAGCAACCTCCTCACACCTCGCCTGTGGCGGAGGATTCACGACACGCCTATTTCATGAAGCAGGCTTTGTTGATGGTGAGTGGCCAGCTTCTGATCGTCAACCCCGATACTAAATTAAGGAAATATCAGGGCGAAAAGGCACTGCAGTCCGGAGAGACCCCTGTGGGATGTGTTCTGGTTTACAACGATCAGATCGTGGGATATGGAATGAATGACACAAATCGGTCAATGAATGTTAGTACTCCTTCATTGCAGGAAGCCCATGCAACAGGCTGACTATATTTAGGGAACTCGTCATGCCGAATTTCTTGCTATCTCAGAGGTTCTGCAGAAGTATCCCAAATCGATTCTTCAATCTACGGATCTTTACGTGACGGTTGAACCATGCGTTATGTGTGCCTCTGCCCTCAAACAGTATCGCATTCGCAGTGTGTACTATGGCTGTGCCAATGACCGATTTGGAGGCACTGGCGGTGTTCTGTCTATTCATTCAGAGTTAGTGAACCTTTTCCTTAATTCTGATCTTCAATTTTCATGCTGACCTGACAGCCCCTCTATCGACCCCACATATCCAGTGTATGGTGGGTTATTCGGCCAGGAAGCCGTCATGCTACTTCGCCGGTTTTACATTCAAGAAAACGAGAAAGGTGAGATCCGAAATTGGAGATCAGAGCAACACATACTAATATGTTTGCCAGCACCAAACCCTCGACCAAAGAAGAATCGTGAACTGAACACCAAGTTTGAGAATGAGGAAGATCTGGCATCGATCTCATAAGAGGGATCATCTGATTGCTCATGCCCTGCCCCGTTGAGCAGCTCAGTCCGGACACAGACAGTCAATATCCAATGCGCATTTTGCGACATACTTAGGCGAACAGCTTAGGAGAACATAAGTTGTATTGTTAATTGCAAATTGCGCCTTCAAAAAACACACGAAAAATGGATATGTGTACAAAAATTTTGCAAGTCCAGGGATCAACTCGGGAGACGAATATTTAAGAGACCAGGAAGTTAATCTAGGCGGTGCGCTCAGCTTCCAATTCACGCTCCGCTTGTTGATAGTACTTGGCAGTGTCGACACCGTGCTGCAAAGGAAAGAGCAAATAAGTCAATGAATGGTCAATAGAATAGATATATAGTTCGGGAAGGACTAACCTGGTCGTGGTTGACAATGTTGATCCACGGGAGGATGTGGATGAAGAGCTCAGAGTACCGAGAGTTACGGGCGGCAATACCCTGAATATAATCGGAAACCTTGGAGACGCCGTAAAGCGGCTCACCCTTCTTGACCTTGTCAACCATCTCCCGCATGTCCTTCTCCACCTCCCGAGAGTTCTCGGTAAAGCCGTAGAAGCGTCCTGCCAGTCATGTAAGTATCCCGGAAAGAGCACAATGGGTCGGCACACATACTGCACGATCTCTGGTAAAGCACGTGAAGGCCACCGAGGAAGCCGACAGCGGTCGCGAGGCGCATGACGGGGGCAAAGCCACCGCGGCCAACATGCGACGGGCTCACTCGCTCCATGACCCAGAAGGCAATGGGGGAGACGGTGGCCATACCACCAGCCACGGCATAATCGGAAGGCCGAGCATATCCGAACACACGACGCAGATGCCTATAGCTATTGTAAGTGTCGGGCTCAACATGGGGGAAGGGTTCGGGGAAGGCCGTACGGGTCGGAGTCGATGAGCTGCGGAAAGCGATTAGCGATGAACATATGTGCGATGCAGCAAACATACCGGGTAGTCGGTATTGGCCCGCTTAGGGGGCACAATGGCCGTGGTGGAAGAAGCCATGATGTGGAGTTGATATGGTGGGATAAGGGCGTTGTGCAGAGTTGAAGTTCGGAAGTTGGAGGAGGTAGCTACACTAGCCTTTTTGGGACTAGCGCGTGAAAGCGGCCAGCATTAATAACAACCAATGATAAGGCTGCTGACTAGGCGCGTCCCGAACGCGTTAACTGGATAGCTGCTATCGAGGCATGATTGATATGATCAAAGTATCGGCCAAAGAATTTCTTCCTTCAATCCAACTTGAGATCACATCTCCCTCCAACTTACACACTATGGATAACTTATCAGAACGGGGCGGTTCCCCCGATCTTAATGATCTATTTGACTATGACGTCGGCCTGGACGAAATCTTCAATAAAGAAAATAATGACGCGTCAAACAATGATGCCTCAAAGCCAGCAGGAGATCCCTCGTCACTCGGACTCGGACTGGACGAAGAGGTCAAAATCACCAAGAAACGTCAACCAATTGCAAAGCTAGACGAGGCACGGTAAGTGGCCGTATCCTGCCCAGACCATATGTCGATCTGACGATTATTCTCTCCTAGTCTACTCTCCCAATCAGGGATCCCTAAACTCCGACAAACAGCCAGGACTAAACTTCGATTCAAAGGCAAAGGTCATGAGGTCAGTCAAAATCTCTCTGTGGGCAGCATACACGGCTAACATGAGGAGTTGACTAGTTTTCGGATGCTGGCCGCCTATTGAATATCTATCAACTATGGCTCGACGACCTGTTCCCTCGCGCGAAGTTTTCAGATGGTTTGGCTATGATCGAGAAACTAGGGCACAGCAAACGTATCCAGACTATGCGACGAGAATGGATCGAGGAGGAAAAAAGGAAAGTCTTCGAAACATCTGAGTCGCGAAACGTCCCTGATACCAGAGACCTCCCCACACGGCCTTCAGGCCAAAATGGTGGTACAACAGAGACAACAAATACATCGACATCCCAGACAGCAGGTGGATCAGGTTCTATAGACGATTTGTTCATGCCAGACCCCGAGGGAACAGCTCGGCAACCCGTTAGCCACCCAGAGCCCGATGACGATGACCTAGAGGATCTATTAAGAGAACAAGATGAGACCATAGAGGCACCACAGCCGGCGATGCGGATGCAGCAGGGTGGAGATGATGATTTTGATGCCGAATATGAAGCCATGAACGAAATGGGCTTGTAGAGATAGAGATAATAAATACTTTCATGACAGCGATGGATCCTGAGTCATCTTTGCATTAACCGGAAATTTTCTTGTTCAATCTTCGTAATTTTATAATTCTTAGAAATTGGACCCAAGGCTGACTTCATAAATGTGGTATGAATCAAATGGGATTAGATAGAGCTAATGATGTGGATACATCAACCACTGAGATACACTTGAGAATGAAAATAAGTTAATCATTTGGATGTATCAACCACGGAACATTTGAGAATAGTAGTATCGTCAAGATGGCATCAAAAATTGTAAATGGGTCGCGATGATAACGCCGGGACATAAAGACGGGGGAAAAACTCCAAACTAAAGGTCGGCAGCCGAGGTGAACACGGAGAATTGTCCACCAGCACCGGCCCAGTTCAGTTTTTTGCCACGAACAGCAGTGTTGTCAATGATTGTAGCAACCTCGATGTCATCCTGAGTACCCTGCCCGGTCTGGTAGGTGGCAGAGAAACCCCACGACCAAGCACGGCCATCGGTATCAATGGCAAGTGAGTGGTCTGAAGCAGCAGCAACAACCTCAGCCTTAATGCCAGGTACAACAGTCGGTTCAATGAGAATACGAGGGCGTTCACGCTCATCCTTGATAACAGCATCGTCACTGAGAGAGTCTACCTTCAGGCCGCTCTGGAATCCATCCAGACGACCCCAAACCAGGCACTCGCCATCAGCAGTGCGAGCAACGGAGTGGTGCGAGCCACCGCAGATCTGGGTGATTTTTCGGTCCGTGAGCGAGGCCACAGGAAGAGGGTGCACAATGGCGGCTTCATCATCACCAGCGCCGTCACGAATGGCTGTGGCACCGAAGCTGTTCAAACCCCATGAGAAGACTTTGTCATCCGTGGTGACTGCGAAGGAGTGATAGGATCCACTTCCGATGTGCGCAATCTTCTTGGGAAGTCCGAATTCACGTGGCTGCAGGCCGTGCAGCTTGTTACGCTCGACAATTCGGCGACCGAGTTGGTTCTGCTGGCCAGAGCCCCAGGAGTACACACCTCCCTTCTCATTTAATGCAAGGACATGGTTAGCACCACACACGAGGTGCTTAATCTTCTTTAAGTCAGGGAGCAGGACAGGAGTGTTCTGGACGCGGTTGTCTGCATCAAATCCGAGGATTCCATCATTGCTCTAAGGAGGCAGTGGTTAGCAAAGAAAGAGACTTTACAAGGTAAATCTTTGTCTTACTCGGAAGGTTCCCCAGCCGTAAACTTGGCCATCATCGGTCAAAGCAAAACTGGCACTGTCGGCAGCGGCAACTTGAACAAAAACAGTTCCTTCGGCGAAGGCGCTCGCGGGGATAGCGGTAGGAGTGGACTCCTTGGGGTTCAAGCCACTATCTTCATCATCGGAATCCGAGTCGCTGCCATCGTCCACATTCTTGTATCCGCCATCCCAGTTGGTTTCACGTCCCAGAGAGCCCTGGTCATTCACACCCCAGGTGTAGATCTGGTTATCGTGGGTCAAGGCAACGCAGTGCATACCACCGACAGCCACCTGCACGACACCGACTTTGTCGGCGGCCAGGAGCTGGTTCAGACGAGGTCGCTTCACGTCAATGACGTTCTTGGCAGCGCCTAAACCAAGCTCACCGGAGCTTCCCTCACCGCAAACAAAAACATTTAGCTTAGTCTTGGGAGCTTCATTGATGACAACCTTAGGCTTGACGACTTTGGCCGCCTTGACAGTCTTAGGCTTGGATACGCGCGGCTGCGCAATGACACGAGCTTTTTTGGGCTCGCGAGGCTTCTCCTCATCTTCATCAGCCTTGCGCTTCTTTGACGCGGTGGTGGTGGTAGTAGCTGTCGCCTTTGTTTTGCGAGCAGGCTCAGTCTTTTTCACGGAAGTCTTGGAGGTGGTTTCAGAGCTCATTTTCTTTGTGGATCCCCGAGCACGACTGGTAGGCTCGGACGTGGTCTTGCTGGTGGACTTGCTTATAGTCTTGGTCTTGGTCTTGGGCGCGGCGGCTTTGGGCGCGGCGGTCTTTGCGACGGTCTTAGTATCGGCCTTAGCTGCGGCTGCGGTCTTCGCGGCCCTCGCCGCGGGTTTTTTGGGGACAACGGTAGCCTTTTTGGGAGGCATTTTGTTTTGGAATGTGGAATTGATGAAAAGGGGAAAGAAAAAGATTTGAGAGGGGTGGGGAGAGGGAAGAAAATGTGGAGGGAAAAAAAGACGCGCCGGAGGTGTAGGGAAAAAAAGTGAATGAAGGTGCCAAGGCACGGACGTAAATAACACGGCATTCTCAGTGGTTTCCAGCCCCCCAAGTCTACTACTTTCAACTTTTATAATTGTTCCAGACTTATTGGGAATAATTTGATTTCTTTTTTTATTAAATTATATCCTAGTAAATATCAATGTGTCTAAAAAAAGAATAAAGAATATTAATAAGAAAGATCTCGACATAACTCAAGGGGGAGCACCGGCTCTCATGTTCTGAGGGCGGATTTTACCACACATGATAACATTTTGCCCTAATGGTGTCCATTTGACATCGCGTGGATTCAAAGCAGCGTTAGGATTACCTTCAGGATCCAGCTTAGATTCAGGACTAACTCCAACACCTCCATGTCCAAGATAGGTAGGGGCTACTGTCACGATAATTGAATCAATAAAGTTGGTATACTCGGGATTCAATAGCTCGTTCAGAACTGTCCCACCTCCTTCAATCATAACGCTCTTAATCCCTTCAGAGGCGAGGGCCCGAAGAATAGCTTCCCATCTTAAGCGCCAGTCGCGATTATACTCCATGATTCGCAGAAAGTCGCCGCCATAGCCCTTGAGCATCAAGAGTCGTTCAGAGTTGATTGGAGCTCCTGGAGAGACTACCACCCATGGGGCCCTACCTTTGCCTTCGAGGGCAGTGCGTAGCATACGGTCCTCCGGTTGAATCGGCCATCGTCCTCTAGGATCAAGGACTATGGGACGGGGTTGCCACATTCTTCCAAGGCCTCCGAACCCTCCAGCGCCTTCAAGGCGACAGTTCAAACCTGGATTGTCTGCTAGCACAGTACCAACACCGATGAGTATTGCGTCGTGACGCGATCGAAGGTAGTGAGTCATCACCTTAGCCTCGGGTCCGGATAGGACCGTCTGCATGCCGGCTCGAAGAGAGATCTTCGAGTCCATCGAGGACGCATAGGACAAGGTGACATGGGGGAATTCACTCTTTTCAGAGTTGTGGGTGGGTAGATATGGCTCGAGGAAGTCCAGAGAGAATTGGGGAAATGCCAGGGTATCTGGTGGTAATTGAGGCGGTCCCGGTGGAAGCGCAGATTGGGGTTGGGCATAGGGATGTGGTTGCGATTGTGGTTGTGATATTTCATTGACACCATTGGGTGTCACAGACTTGACAATACCCTGTCCTTTCTGGTACTCGTATCCTTCGTGTGGAACAAGCGGGACTTCTGGGTTTTGTATGCGCCATTTGGCCGCGACATTGCGTACGTCAGTCACCGTGAGAGAGCGGCCTCCTGCTTCATGAAGCTTCTCAGGCTCTTCCCGGAACTTAGCATATATCGAAGAGGGCAGATATCCTTTCACCGACTCTCTCCGTACAAATTCCATAACTCCAGAGTTACGTTTCACGCGGTCGCTATGATCGAGATCGTGGGTGTGAGTAGCGTCGCTTCCCGGGGTTCTCGAAATGGTGACAGCCGAATATGCGCCTTCAAACCGAACAACTTTGATTTGAAAGTTGCACGTGCCTCCTTCTCGCGAGGGTTTCTTGCGGGAACGCTTGCCCTCTGGTAATGGTGGCCGGGGCCCCGATGGGCGGTGCGTAGGGCGTCGTAGTCGACACATGTAATAGTCTGAAGTGCAGAGTCCTTCTTTGCTCGCATTGGATCTCTGTTTGACCCAGACGTTATCAATAAATGGCCAATAGGTCTCAAATTCCTCCTGCGTGATCTCAATCGGGTCATTGCACTCGAACAGAAGCCTGCGGATTCTCTGTAGATTCGGCGGGTTATCGAATAGGCTATCGGCAGGTTGTCTACCTTGGGGCCTTAGCTCGGTACCGTTGGTATTATTGGTCGCATTAGGATGTCGGGGTAGATCATTTGCCTCGCCCCGCTGAGCTTGTTTTTCCAACGCGCCGGTCAGGTCCACGGGGGTTGAGGTGTCTTCGGATCGTGGAGGGTCTTCTAGGAGGCTTTTGTCCATTCCATCTTCTCGTGGATTGGGTGCGGGGGCAGGCTTTTCATCTGTATTTTCTGGTTCATTTCGCGTTCGCGTTTCTTCATTATGGAGCGATGCCGAACCGCTCCCAGATGTCACCGCCTGTGAGCCCGACTCTGACGCGTGGGAGGCATGGTCCATCTTAGGTTGGGACCGGTGACGATGGTTCGCAAGTAAGGGGTAAATCAGAGAAATCCCAGGTGACAATGACGATGGAGCATATGGGCGATCGGAGTGGCTCCATCAACAAAGTGGGACTGGGGTTTTGCCGAATGGTGCATATATGATAAGTTGCATAGGAATTCTCCCGGGCTTGGCGTTCTTAGAGGAAAACTTTAGCTAGACCATCGTCAACAAACAACCGAATATACAGTCTTTATAGGACAAAATGATCAATGTTTCCCAGATCACTTTTAACGGTTCCAAGGTGGCCTTCAATGGTTTCCGGGGCTGGCATTATGTGTATTAGATAATTCAACGAGGCAGCTATACAATGTTACATCGAGAATGAATACGCAAAGCTACGCTCGGGCGAACCCGAGGTCAGGCACCTGCACACATATTGTTTCAGAGTTCCGTGCTTAATCAAATGCTACATTATTGACATAGTACTTGAGTAAGTACGCCTACCTAGCTTCAAACAAACTATTCTCAGAAAGCTCCAATGTCGGCTCCCGCCCGAGCCAATGCCTCATACACCTTGGGCGGCAATTTGTACTTAACCATACCGGAGAAGACCATAAGATCCTTAGCCATACCAAGAAGACGTTCCGCAAATCCTTGGTGCATATCGGTCTCATAAGGTCCCGATGTTTGCCGGTGACGCTCATGGCCAATGCATGCAATGCACCACATAATAACATGGCCAATATTGCGGGAGATGATCTCCGGTAGGGATGAGAAGGACTGAGCTGTACTCCGGATGAACTGCATGGAGCCTCGAGCTTGCAACGGAAGAATGTTAAGTTTGTCAATGGCCTGCATGGGTTCGTTAGCATGGGAAAGTAGCCCACAAAATGATAGTTTTCACTTACATCGAGTGCTGGAGCCCACCTGCCAGCTTCTACTTCGATCTTCGCTTCCATCATACAGAGAAGTAGACCACAGGCGTCTCGGTTGACCGGACGAATCTTATCGTAATACATCGGCTTGGAGTTGTACAGGAGGATCATGTTCTTGCCCAGAACAACTGGGTCGTCAACAGTGGTCAGGCTCAGACTGCTTCCAGGGGCAGTAGCACTCAACTGGTCAAGGGACTGACCGTCCTGACCCTGCTCAACTCGTGGACGAAGAGGTTGCAACTTTGGCATCATACCGCCCAACTCAACGGCAATTGATTCCGACAAAGCGCGGTTGATTATATCAATCACACGGTCATAGTTCTCCGCCAAGTGGTACAGGAGAACCGCATCGGTGATCAGACCCTTGTCATCTGCCACGCCTGCCGCCTGCACCGTGATGTTCTTCAAGAAATCCTCCTGATCCGTCAGGTTAATGAGGTCAAGACGCTGCTCAATGATACCCTTGATTCTTGTTCCGTCGGCTCGGATATCACCCAGCAACTTGGCAAAGTCCCGAGTCTCAAGAATAAATTCGCGCAAGGCCTCGTGGCAGACGGCTGCTTGAGATTTGCCAAGAGAGCCGGGGAGGTCTGCATTGAGGCAGATCAACGTAAAGTAGTCAATGGCAGCCTCAACGTACCCAGTACGGAATTCACGGGTGTATTGAGTGATAAGATATCCAAAGTTGATCTGCGGGTACTGTTTGACTGTGAAAGACACTACGAGAAAATAAAAGGTCAGCAAAATCAACGACACTAATGGTTTGACATTGTGAATTGAGGGGGGAATTGCTTACGAATTTCTTCCCCAGATGTGTAGAAATCAGAGACACGGAGCAGGCCGTAGTAGGCAAGTGCAATAGCAAAGTGCACCGCGGTAACGGGAGCATAAGTGCCCAGGTAGGCCACGGCCTGCTCGAACATGCCTCCCAAAATTTGGAGAAGGAAGAACGTTCCATAGCCACCTGGGCCATCCTGACCCTTGGTAAACACTCGTTGACCGATCTCCGTGATGTCGGTCTGAATGTCCTCCAGTCCAAAGACATCGCCTGCCGCTTCATCAGCTCGATCATCTTCCCTGGCGAGGCTGAATTGCAGCCACATCCAGTCCTCGACGGTCTGGTTCACGCCATCCAGGCGACGCCGGGAAAGATCACAACGACCGATGATCTTATAGCATGCCATCCGATAAGGATCGACAGTGTTATCAGGGGCATTTCGCGAACGCTGTTGGTATTCTCCATTTATTTTCTGCTGTAGATCCCGGGGGAGACGCGGATCTTGAGCATAAGTGGTCATATAAGTCACGAACTTATGGTCCAAAGACCGGAAACCAGGGTCCTGGCTGACATACTCAGCCGCCTCTGTGACGAAACCGCATCGTAAAAGATAAAATATCAGAATCCAGCAGTAATCTTGGTCATTCATCTGCAATTCGGTTCCATCCGGTGCGAGATCTTTCCTGGCAGCGCGAATGCGAATGTACGCTCGAATCTTGTTGATCACAGTCGGGATACCACCCAGCTGAGCTTCACGCGGGTTTTTGATTATGAGATTTTCCACCTCATTGTAGAACGTTGTCTCCAGAAATCCCCTAGATCCTTCCAGGATTTGCTTCTTGAGATTTATGGCTTTGCGGGACTTGTTTGATTCCTCCAGGTAGTCTCCAGAGTACTGGCGTTCTTTCACTGCGTCCTGATTCGACGGGCCGGTGATGCTGGGGTTCTCGTGGACAATCCTTATCAAAGCTTGATAGGCATCAAATAGTTGGCGTGGAGCCTAGGGAGTATGTCAGCTCTGCAAAACGTAGAATTCAAAGCGCAAGTACTTACGTCACCACCGGTTTGCATTTCAGCTTCAGAAAATTGGTGAAGCACTGGGTAAGTTCGCCCTTGGAGGCGAACGACATTCAACTGCTGAACTTTCTCGGCATAATTTCCCATCTTTTCTCGCAGGAACCGAAGATCGGGAGATGGCGCAGAAGGTCCTTCACTGCGCTCTGTTGGGTCTTCGAACAGCTGCCGACTTGTCAAGCCGGCACCCGGAGTTCCAATGACAGACTTGTCAAGGCCAGAACGTCCAAATACACTTCGACGGGATGCAGCGGGGCCAGCTTGCTTAGATTGCCTTGCTGACCGACCAAAGGCACCACCCCGCATTGTGGATTTCAGGGTTGCGCCGTGGGAGCTGTCTTTTTGCGCAAGGCCAAAATGATGGAAGATGTTCTGCCGTTGCTCCTCCCAGTCCATGTCGACCTTCTCTTCCAAGAAGGCGTCAAAATCTCTTTGAGCCCGCGATAAACTCTCAGCAATCATGACCTGCCGACCACGCTGTTGAACGTTTCTCAGGTATCTCTGGTTGTCTGGGTCGAAGGTGTCGGGTTCTCTCGTCGCAGCCAGGGTGGCCTGAGGGTCTAGAGAGCGAAGGTCTCGAAGTGTCCGTCCGGGCGTAATACCAGAGGACGCAAGAAGGTAATGGCTATCAAGGATTTGTCAAGTTAGGGTGGGTGAAATATCACGAGTAATGCACGACTCACGCCTTTGTTGTTGTACCATTCTGCTGGGGGTCTTTACCACCCGCTGTACCTAGCTCTCGCGCCTTTCTGCGAATATCATCCAGGCCTAGTTGGAGACTGGGCACGTCCTCAAAGTTTCCATTTTGATTTGTCGAGAGCGGTCGCTTTCTCCCGCGCTCCAAAAGGCTGTTGAAGAACGCTGGCTTGGTCGCCTGGGTCGACATTTGCTCTTGCTCTTGAGGATTCTTGGCCGGCTGCTGAGTCTGTCCTAGGATAGAAGACTGAGCGGGGGCTGGCTGTTGCTGCTGTTGCTGGGCTTGGGGCTGACCAAACAGGGAAGAGGTTTGAGCAGGTTGAGTAGTGGCAGCAGTCGTGTTTCCGAAGAGACCGGTTGTATTGGTTGTTTTATTGGTAGATCCAAAAAGGCTAGAAGTCTGGGGAGCTGTTGTGGCCCCAAGACCACCGCCTCCGAACAAAGAGCCCATGCCGAACAATATGGGTCCTTCGATACCAATTAAGCCGGGATTGAAGACGCTTGAGTTGCAATGCCTGGATCAATCGTAAGAGGTTGTGAAGTGCAGCGAGGAAATCGAAGCTTCAGCTGTGTGGTCAGGTCGCGCCTGAGGCTTAAAGAGGTCTGAAAGTTATTCAAGACTCTACTCCATACAATGGCATAAACAGTCCGAAAATAGCGCTATAGGAACAGTAATTCACAACCAGATCCTAAGGGCTAAGCAACGGGAAGGTATTGGAGATGAGCTTGATGCTGTTATTGCGCCTAAACAAAAGTTATCCCGTTGTCGGACAATCAATTCCCCGACCTCGGATTGACCCATGAACATTGAACCCAATAAACCATCGCCTAACGGAACCTCACGTTGACATTCCAACGATGCCTACATTTCAGTCCAAAACCTTCCGCCGAGCGACAAATGCTTCGTCTACGCTCGGTGAGAGGCTTGGCGCAATGTATCGCGCCCGACTATCTAAGAACCCTTTTCTTCTATTCGGACTTCCTTTCATCAGCGTCATTGTAGCTGCCTCTTTTGCCCTCACTCCTGCTGCCGCCTTGCGCTATGAGCGATATGACCGCAAAGTTCAACAAATGAGCCAGGAAGAAGCCTTCAAACTCGGACTCAAGGGTCCTGATGGCGAAGAAGGTATCAAGCGCAATCCTCGCCGGAGAATTCTCGGAGATGAACGAGAGGAATACTATGTAAGTCGAAGACGCCAGGGAACGATCTTGAACAGAATGCTTATCAAGTGTTTTCAACCCTTCCAGAGACTTATGGCCAAGGACCTCGACGATTGGGAACAAAAACGGGTGAAGAGATTCGAAGGTGAACCAGACGGGAGACTCTGATTCTTACGAACAGCCTGAAGTGCACTGGAAGGGATTACACTTTGTTTCTACCAAAGCTTTATCCCATGGGGCTTTCCCACCGCTGGCGCGGATAGCTGGCGCGGATATACTTTCGGAAACATGAACCATTCCAACCTGATCATCATTTTGCCAACACTGGGCATAGTCTGAGTCCATTCAGATCCTTTGCCCTCACTCCAAAGCGGACCATTCAGAATACAATATGTTCTTTGGCGACCCGACATGACCCGCGCCTGTACTTTCTGCGTCTGTGGTCGGGTTGCTTCATTTGATATGGTTCAGTACCGGGTCCCCCGTCGCGTGTCATCTCTATACGCCACCGTGGCGAGAGTGGGGACCCTTAATCGATTGATTTGGGATCCAGGCACATATTCACCGAGGAAGCCAGACCCTAATCCCAACTCGGACGGGGTCATGCAGGATCGACATCGATATGACGATGAATTTTGGGCCCCTCTCAGTATCTCTCTGGAAAAATAGAAATTGTACAATAATAATGTGTTATATGGAACACGGAGAAAATGTACTCCAACATCGAGTTCCTTGTCGGGGATTATTTTTGTTTAGTGAGAGGAACTTATTGACGTCAGGCTTATGGGGAGACCTGTACGGAGTACTCCGTATACCATAGTCAAATGGTCAGTCATATCTTGTGGGTTAACCACATCCAAGGTCTGATTAAGACTGAGTTTTTTCTCCAATTAGTTGAATATTGTAAACATTATGCATGACATCCATGTCATCTGTATCATAAATTTCATACATAATCCTATGTTGATATACAAGAAACAAACTGAACCGAGGGTTTGACCGGAACCCGTGATCCCCACACATAACGTCATACCTTCAAGGATTCTGGAAGCCCGAAAGACCTCCACCCTCTTCTCTTTTCCTCCTGAATTGAACTTAATTAGTACATGAACCTCTCACAACCCTTGACTAATCATGTCTTTTCGCATTTCTATCTAATATCAGGTTCTTTTCCTCGCTTCCATTGGCCTTACTTATATCCATTCTGGCTGGACCCTCTGCGCCTCAGCCCCTCGAACGCCATCCGACTTGTCTTACGTCAGTTTTTTTTGACGACTTTTACTGTGTCTTCCTTACCACTACTCTTCTCCCCACAAACATATTCGTGATAGAATTGTTTGTGAGATAAGAGCGAGAGAAGAAGAAGAAAGAAAGAAAGGGGGGCAAAAAAACCACAACTTCCCCACCATCGTCATCACCAGTTCCTCTGAGTCAGCGAGATACCCTGCGATTCTCCATCTACCTCGATCATAAAAATTCGAAGTCGAATTCTCAATTGCAAACGAACTTTGGGCTGATGCTGTAACTGCTTTGTTGTTCTGATAAATTTACCGGGTCCCAAGCTCTGGGAGCAAATCCAGCTACCATGACGGGTCCAGGCCAATCACCATCTTCACCGTGGGTGCAGCCAGTGCAGCCAGTACAGCCAATGCAGGGAGGTTCCCGGGATAATCGAAATTCCCAGTCTTTTCATCCCACTTTGTCACCGTCACCAACTGGCGGACGCTCGATTGGTCCTATCTCGGAAATGCACAGTCCAAACTACTTCGGCATCATTGAACACTCCTCGAGCAACCCACCAACATCAAATTCCGGGCCACATGTGCAGAAAAACTGGGCTCCAGGCTCATTTACTCACACCCAGGCGTCTCTTCCCAGTCCGAGCAAACTCCAACTGTATTCCCAAGAGTCGGTATCTGAGGGATTGGTCAACCTGCTAAGGTCGGAATCAGCTACGGATAAAGGCCGGCGGGAATCGGCCCTTCAAGGCTATCCCTCCAGCAGTGATCAATCGTGGGAGAGAGGGGAAAGGTCATTGAGCTGGTCCCAGGGATTCCCAGGCGGAAATACTCCGGAATTTAGAAAACCTTCGCTTGGTAAGTGATCGCAAAGTCTGCAAGTCTTATTCAAGCAGTCGGGAGTAAGAATCAAAAGTCACTAACCCTCTGAACCCAGTCTCGGTGCCTGAGGCTTCTCAATGGATCACAGCTGAACGCTGTGCTGAACTTGTCAAATCCTCCTCACGGAGTCTGCTTCTGTTGGATGTTCGACCTTTCGCTCATTATTCCAAATCCAATATTCGAGGATCTTTGAATCTTTGCATTCCAACCACCTTGCTCAAACGCCGATCATTTGATACCCAAAAACTGGAAGGTACATTTACTAGCGATCATGACAAACGGCGTTTTTCTCATTGGAGAGAATGCACTTCTATTATTGTCTACGATTCTGCTACTTCCGAAGCGAAAGATGTGGCAGCGTTATTGAATGTCATCAAGAAGTTCCAGGCGGAGGGGTGGGATGGAGAAGGGTTAATATTGCAAGATGGCTTCAAGGGCTTTTCCAGCAAATTTCCAGAATTGCTGCAGCGGCCGCAAATGCAGACGGCAGGCCCGTCAGCTAAGAAAAGATCTCCCATGAGTATTGATCTTCCAACTGTGGCCCCTGTCGCCGGAGGATGCGCCCTTCCCGAGTCATCATCGGCGGTCAATCCATTTTTTGGTAATATCCGACAAAATATGGATCTGATGGGTGGAGTCGGGCAAATTCCTTTGAAATTACCTGGTGCTCTGACAGAATCTAGCAGGCAGGGACTTCCTTCCTGGCTCCAAAGCGTGTCAGACCCAAAAGATCAAGGTCGCCTGGCCTCAGAAAACTTTCTGGGCTTGGAGAAAACAGAGTTGCAACGCATGAAGCAGGCGTTGACATATGAAGGTCCTTCAGCTTCAGCTGGGGGGGCCTCTAAGAAGTACCGCGTTGCAGGTATTGAAAAGGGTACCAAGAACCGCTACAATGATATCTACCCCTTTGAACATTCTCGAGTACGCCTTGAGGGACTACCCCTAGGAGACTGTGACTATGTGAATGCAAATCATCTCCAGGCCGAGTTCAGCAATCGCCGATACATCGCCACGCAAGCACCGGTCCCGGATACATATAACGTTGGTACCCCTCTTTCCCTCGTATGTCGCTAGCTTTTCACCGTGCTGACAATATCAACAGGACTTTTGGCGAGTGGTCTGGGAGCAAGACGTCAGGGTCCTCGTCTCACTGACCGCTGAGATGGAGCGCGGGCAGGTGAAATGTCACCCATTCTGGAAGACGGGGAATTACGGACCTTTTAAAGTTAAGGCTTATTCTGAAAAGTCCATCCCTATTGAGTCCCTGGGCCGATCAGCCACCTCCAGCCAGTCTCCCGATGGAACCAATGAAAACCCGGTCATCGTTGTGCGGAATTTTAGCCTTTACCATACGGAATTGCCGTTCCAGCCACTTCGGGACATTACCCAGCTCCAGTACCCCTACTGGCCTGACTTTGGAACCACTTCACAACCTACTCATTTGCTCAACCTGATTGAGCAATGCAACAAAGCTGTCCGCTCCACTAGCCGCACCGGATTTAGCAGCCAAGAAGCCGAGCCAAGTGGCCAGCGGCCCATTCTAGTACACTGCAGTGCAGGCTGTGGTCGCACTGGGACTTTTTGCACGGTTGATAGTGTGCTGGACATGCTGAAACGACAACGGGCACCGGGGGCGCAATCCTCTGAGGCGCCGGGAGCGCCGGGCTGGATGCAGGACTCCCATCTCGACCTGGTCCGAAAGACGGTGGAAGACTTCCGGACTCAGCGGCCGAGCATGGTGCAGAATCTCAGCCAGTATGTGCTCTGTTATGAAAGCGTGCTTGAATGGCTTGTCTCTCGAATGGACGAGTCTTCTTGATGTTTGAACACTTGAACGATTGAAGATACCCATATTCTTTTCGGAATTTGCATTACTGAGGTGTTTAATGATGGACCTGGGAGTTATTGATAGAAGTCTTGGGTACTATCCCTTCTCTCAGTGATGAATACACGAATATCTTCAAATGTTGTCATCTTTCCTCATTCCTCCACATGTGCATGTGTCAGGGTGTTGAATACCCATATTTTTATCATGTTTCCATAAAATTTGCATAGATACACGAAAGCTTCAATATATTACTTTTACCTCTGTTGAGAAAATTGCTCTTTCTATATCCACATGGTCGTGCGTTGTGTTCAAATGTTGTCTTGCTATATATATGAACAAAGCGCATGTGGTTGAACGGGCCGATCCCGACCCCGACACTAAATTGGAAACAACAATCAAGTTGGACCTGACAATACCCGATCTACTTTCGTCATCATTTCACCATATTTTGACTTGATCTATCAAGTTTCCTTTATTGCTTATGCCAAAATGAAGACAATATCCACAATTGCCACTAAACCTGCGATCTTCGGCTAGTGGAACCCAAATCCTAAGGCAACAGGCGCCGGCGCCTAAATCATCTCTTTCCGACTCGCCGATATAAAATCTAACTCACCATAAGCTTATAAACTCAGTCCCGCATTCTCCTTCATTCAATCCTGACTGAATCCCCCTGCAAAATAATATGCTGCTCTCACTTCCCCCTGAGCTAATCCTGCTCATTTTGGAAAGGTGTGATAGCACGTCTTTCTTACAGGCAGCCTTTTCCTGCCGTACTCTGCTAGAGATTGCCACTAGCAGCCGCGATGTGGTTCTCGAGCAGCTCTATCAAACCCCTGGGCACCTTTTCCAAGGGGTCGATTCGGCCAGACAACGTTTCCATGCGCTTTTAGGGATGTCTCACGAGGCGCTGTTTGGAGTTGAATTTCAGTTTGAACGAAAATGCTTCAACTTTGAAGGCAAAGTGATCGACAGCCGTGCTTCTACTTTTGCAGATGTTGGAGATGAATGCTCCCACAAGCAAGTTCTGTTGGTCTTCAAAAATGACTCTACAGTTTATCTCTTGGACCTTCGGGACGGGGTGTTCAGCCTTAAAAGACGCCTCGAGGCTCCTGACAACGCAAAGGAAAATGGAGATGTCCAGATTCTCCATACTTCGTGTCATAATGGAAGAATATATGTGCTACATCGTGTTAAGCCTTTTATTGACCAAGGGCCTGATAGTAACCGCCCTTTCGTGAAACAGGCACTGCAGTCTTACCCCCGCGGAACCTTTTTCTTGGCTTGCTATGATTTGAATTCTGAGCCCAACGCAATTTACCTATATGGATTTCCTTACCATGGGAGCTGTGAACCTCTGAGCTTTGCGGTGCATGATGAGCAATTTGTGATTTCCTGGCAACATGTGCAACATGCTTACGATCATCAAGTGGTTCTTTACACCATGCTGGATTTTGGATGCGAGATGTTGGCATCGGACGATGACTTGCAAGAAGATGAGGATGAAGGAAATGACCAGGTTGTATCACAGACCCATGCAAAAACCATGCCAGTCATCAGTTCGTTTCACTCCTTTACGCCACATAGCTATGAATGTCGTGGACGCTAACGCACAGCAGACTGCAAATACTCGACTTATATTCTCTCAGAAAACCCCAACGAAGGCCAGGAAGATATCGAGCCGACAGTGAAATTGGAGTTCAATGACCAAGGTCAACAATTACTACACTACTACCGAGCTCAAGCCCTATATGGTTCTTTCCAGAGGATTCATATCGTCTCTCCGGGCCGGCGTTATCCGACAGTTTATCCTAACAGTTGCGATGTTGAATATAGTCGGTTACTCGGCCTCAATTTCTCAATTGGAATCCCGTTTTTTTCCCACCACGACGACGTCCAAGGATCTGCTCCGCCTCGATGTGAGTGGCGATATCTCTCGATCGGTATTGCGACCCATCGCAAAGACCACTGGACCGTAGCTTGCATATTGCAATCCCAGGCCTTCCCCTTGGCTCATCGCTGTGATCATGCAGAGAACCTTGGCCGAGGAAGGCGGTTTGATAACTGGAAGATCATGGCCCAGTTAGGTGGTTTCAAAGAGACTATCACTTCACAGGGATCTTTGTTTGCAATTTCGCCCAGGGTAAGCAGGATCGCAATGGCTAGCTGGAAGACTGTGACCGTCTGGGCCATCGATACGAATGCGGTGCTCGCAAACGACGAAACCTTCTATCATGAGTCATTGCAAACGGGAAGAGGATATCCAGAACTCCGGCCCGCTGTGATCCATCTGGATGCCGTGTGTTCTCAGTTAAAGTTTACCGAGAGGGAAAATGAGCTGGTTGCTATTACCGACCGAGGGCTCATACTCCTGCATCTCATGCCCGACGGGTGTGGAATCCATTTTGTTGATTGCGATGGGGCACATATTCTCAAGGAAAAAGTCACCCTCCCCTAGCTAACTTCGTACCTGCGGACCTGAGTTGCTGTTGCGTGCTTTTTGTTTTTATGAGTTTTATATCCAAAGCATAGTTATTTGAAGCGTTGTCAGTTTATTTCCTGTCTGAAGGGCACCTGACCATGAGACCATGACCAAAAAATAGGGAAACGAGAATTCAGAATGACTTGCAAACAACAATATGATATTTCTTTGATCTATAATCATGCTCTATTGTCCTTCTCCGCCACCGCCGCCGGACATAGTCAAAAAGGTGACAATCAAGAGTACCCACCAGTACCTGTGACCATATTAGCCCTGACACTATCGAAATAGGAGCAATCCATGACTTACTTTTGGAAAAAGGTTTTCTCCGGTACATCCTCGGGGTTTGACCCATCGGGGCTCACCACAACCGGACGGTTCAGATGCGGTTGCGTGCCTGGCTCGTTGGAGACAAGCTGCACCTGAGGACCAGAGGTTTTCCCAGACATCGAGGCAAGAGAAACATGGTAGAGCTCGTGAGCAGGTCCAAGGTGAAGACGAATCGTGGGCTGACCATCTCCAGTCAATGCGGACAAGGAGACTAGGCTACCAGACCATTGCTTAGGATTGGAGGGAGTCGCAGTGTATAGACCAATTCGGACGAGGTCGTCGGTGGAGGAACTGGTCGGAGGGTGGTATGACAGTAGCTCAGACTTCAGCGAGGCCGGATCGTAAGCGACGCGTGCCAGGAGGGAAGGTTGCGGAGATCCGACAGGCCAGTAGAAAATATCTGATGATTCGGCGATGACGGAGGCGATCAGGAGCGAGATCGCTCCTAAGAGGGATAGGTACATTTTGTGGTTGGGGTGGAGAGTAGGGGAAAGGGGAAAAAGTGATGTGGTGGAGAGTGAAGCTACTCTGCTATATCAGGGCGGTCGGGCCATGATAAGTACATCCGGAGATCAGGTACATTACCCCACAGCATTGATACTATTATTATGTACAATAATTTACCTTTCATACTTGTACCTTCTACCTTCATCTACCCAAGATTAGTTCCGTTGTAAATCTGGTGAGACTCTCTTTTCTGTTATAGATCTATTGGCAAACTCATCGCGTTCCTTAGACTCCAGTGAAGCTTTCCCCTCCCCCGCACATCACGACTTTGATCTAAAGCACAATTCTACGGCATTATGGCGCTGCCTTATCGCCTTCCCTCTCGGCAGACCTCCCGACAGACCTCTTTGGACCCTCGAGAGAACATAGCAGTGCACCAAGACCATTACATCGGTATCGATGTTGGAACAGGGAGTGCCCGTGCATGTATCATCGATGCCAAGGGCGACATCGTGGGCTTAGCCTCGGAGAATATTGGACTCTGGCAGCCAGAGCACGGCTACTATGTATGGCCCTCGCCACAAATACTCAATATCAACCATCTCTCGGTCATCTACTGACAGGTGCGTGTGGGCAGGAACAATCTACCACCGACATCTGGCGCTGTATCTGCACAGCGGTGCAACGGGCTATTAGCCAGCATAATGTCGGACCGGAGACAGTGCGGGGTATTGGGTTTGATGCCACCTGTTCCCTCTCCGTGTTTAACAGTGAGACTGGGGAACCCATCTCTGTGACAGGGCCGAACTTCGACTCGGATCGTAATGTGGTCCTGTGGCTGGATCACCGTCCTGTGGATGAGGCTGCTAAAATCAATGCTACAAATCATAATTTGCTTCGTTATGTTGGGGGCAAGATGTCAGTTGAGATGGAGATTCCTAAGGTTCTCTGGCTGAAGAACCATATGCCCAAGGAGCTGTTTGGCAAGTGTGAATTCTTCGACCTTGCGGATGCACTTACCCACATAGCGACCGGTAATGAGAAGCGCAGCTTCTGCAGCGTGGTCTGCAAGCAAGGCTATGTACCTGTCGGAGTTGATGGCAGTGTGAAAGGATGGCAGGAAGATTTTCTGAACGAGATTGGTCTGGGGGATCTAACCACAGACAACTTTAAGCGCATGGGCGGGGTTGACGGGGTGGTGAGCCTTCCTGAGTTGTGACATGGACTAGTTGGCTAATATTATTCGATCCAGAATGGTGATTATTTGAGTGCCGGTGAACTCGTCGGCCATCTATGTGAAAAGGCCGCCGCAGAGCTAGGCTTGCCCGCCGGAATTGCCATTGGCAGTGGCGTAATCGACGCATATGCTGGCTGGATTGGTACCGTTGGTGCCAAAGTCAATCTGGATCCTGATCAGCTTAATGATGAGGTAGCCAAGAATGATCCAGCGCAGGCTTTCTCTCGTCTTGCAGCCGTGGCTGGGACCTCAACTTGTCATCTGGCTATGTCTCCAGACCCAGTCTTTGTTGATGGTGTCTGGGGCCCTTACAGGGATACGATTCTTCCAGGATACTGGATGGCCGAGGGTGGTCAATCTGCCACGGGGGAATTGCTGAAGCACGTCATTGAAACACACCCGGCATTCAACCAAGCTACCTCGATCGCCGAGTCTTACCATACCAACATTTATGACTACTTGAACGAACACCTCAAGGAAATGAGGCAGGACCAAAAGGCTCCGTCTATATCGTACCTGGGTCGTCATTTCTTCTTCTATGGCGATCTTTGGGGTAACCGGTCTCCTATCGCCGATCCTAATATGACCGGATCCATTTTTGGATTGACAAGCGACAAGACCGTCGACGGTCTTGCAATTTACTATTATGCCACCTTGGAGTTCATTGCCCTGCAAACCAAGCAGATCGTGGATACAATGAACCAAGCTGGGCACGGAATTACTTCAATCTTTATGTCGGGCTCGCAATGCCAGAATGATATCTTGGTCAGCCTCATTGCGTCGGCTTGTGATATGCCAGTCGTCATTCCGCGATACATTCACGCCGCTGTGTGTCACGGTGCTGCAATGCTGGGTGCAAAGGCTGCTAGTACTGATAAAGAGGGAAAGACGGAAAGTCTGTGGGTTATCATGGACCGTATGAGCAAACCTGGCAGGAAGGTGATGCCCACGGTGGACACTAAAGAGAAGGCTCTTTTGCAGGCCAAGTACCAGGTATTCCTGGAGCAATGCTTTAAGCAGCAGAAGTATCGCCAGATGGTCGATGAAGCCGTGGGTGATTGGGTGTCGGCCTGAATACCCTTGTGTTTAAACTTAGCCTGAACAGGGAAGAGAAGAAAGTGGAAACGTCTAGCAATTCCATTGTAAAATTGAATGCATGCCAGATGAGCAATGCCCGGACTCCCTAACGCGTGGATGGAGGCTCAGTCTAGCAAGCAGTCCGTAATTAATAAAGACAGGGGGGGCAATAGATACACAGCCATTCACATCATGAGGGCGCTATGAAAACAAGGTATGTATGAGACAAAAGACAGGGCCCAGAGTACACAACGAGGGTAATTTCGGGACATTATGATGGGCTAGATACGTGCAGTTCAATATGCCACACCGGAACGAGTACGACCGATGGTATAGAACTTCTCAGAGTGGCTGGAGCCCAGGGCGAGCGTGTCGAATCGGTCAACACCCATGCTCTCCATGTTGCTGTATCCTGACAGATAGAAACCGAGGATGACAACCAAGTAGGTCAAGACGAGCACAGAGCCCTTGAAGTAATTGCTCTTTCCTTCGCCATAGACATACGACAGAAGGAAGACGCACAGGATGACTGTGATCATGTCCCATTGAGGGAAGATTAGGCTATTTTTGATGTAAGTAAGAGATCTTGACTGCATCTTGGGACCGAATGGGCAATGAACATACTTGAAAGAGTGATTCGCGAGCTCTGCTGGGTCGATAGACTGGGTATATAGAGCACTGAACAGGACTAAAGCGGGTATTTGCAGTAGACAGACCTGCAACGCATAGGCGGAACCAATCTCCATGGACAATGCAATATTCCCGTTCATTGCAAATGATATGGCATTCTGTGAGGTTGTCAGTGATATGTTTCAGGCTTCAAAATGGAAAACAGAAATATTAGCGACTCACAAGAAACTCAGTGGTGTTAGGGACCAAAGCAAACAGTGTAATTCCGAGGAACTTTTCATCAATATCCACGCTCTCTAATACCACATCCACAGTATTGACAAGGATTTCAGCAACTACGGCATAGAGGATAGTTGCACCAAGGAGGATGATTGAACTCTTGGCTCGGCTCCAATTTGGAGCATCGTGGCCTCCACCACTGTGATTCGCATCAGCGGTAGTGCCAATATCTTCCTCCACAGGTGGCTTGGTTTGTTCAGCCAAAGCACGTCCAGCCTGACGCCCGGCAGTTTGCTGGCCTGTGACTTTCCGATTTCGAGCCGCATCGCGAGCCGCTACAGCTGCAGCAGTGGCCGCCACTTCGGTCACCTGGCGAAGTCGCTCGTTATCCTCCCCACTCAAATCACAAATGTCTTTAGGGATCTGATCATCGGCGCCCCCAGCTAGCGGGGGTACCAGATGGGGTATGTTGCCTCGATATTCCACCCCCGAGCTGCTGTCGGTGTATTCCCAGCTGTTCGCATTTGCATCTTCCAGGCCAACCTGCCTGAGTGACTGCCCTAAGATTCGTTTGTACAACTGAGATTCGCGAATGGAGTCTTTGCGGCCCGTAAGGGCACCAGAAGCCTCAGGAGATCCCGAAAAGAGCAAATTCCTCGGGTCATAGGATACCGAGTCGTGAATAGGGTGAGAAGTCTTTTTCTCTTTCTCTTTCTCTTTCTCTTCGATCTCTGTGGCCCAAATCAAAGCAGCGTGGGTTCTGAGGGTGAACCAAAGACCAATGATATAGGACAGAAAAAGAAAGACGGCGGCAGCCCATGCATATGGTTGGACTGCTTTCTCGAAGAATACATCCTGTACAGCTGCCACCTGGGAGAAATAACATTGGCGGCAATCATCCGGGATCGCTAGGCCAGCCGGTGCGACACATGGATGGCAATTGAGTTCGTGCTACAGTACAAAAGTTAGCTCATAGCCCAATAGCAGGCAAACGGAAGCGGGGTCACTTACACTGCCATAAACCTGATAAAATAGAGTTGGGCCAAATGCAGCGATCATGGCGAATAGTAGCATGGTGGAGGTCACACCAGCAGATTTCACATTGAACCGCTGAGTCTTGCGCTTGATGGCGCCAAAACACATAGAGAGGCCGGGTAGAAATAGAATGCCCGCAAAGATGCTGCCGATGATACTCCCCTCAACAAGCTGAGCCTTGCCCTCTGTTAAGGCAATACAGTAGAGGTATACCTCTACAATTGTTGAGAAAAATGCGTTGATTGCGGCACCTAGACCCATCGAGGATTGGGCCGAGATCGAAGCTACCGCTTGACCGATGAAATAGGCTAGCGGAATGATTGAAAGCAAAGCGAGAGTAAAGATGACCCCCGGGTGCGTCAACCATGACTGTATGCCCAGGAACTTGCTCAAGAAATAGTAGTCAACGATGACGAAAACAACCACACTGAGTAGATTGATGAAAAAAATGTTTGTGCCGTCGATCGTGTATTTCCAGTATCTGGTGCCTACAGCACGATATGTGCATAATAGAATGGAAGGCGAGGAAGATCCGGAGCTGAGCCTTGCATAGGAGGTGTCGGAATGGAAAGACAAGGCAAGAGGATGCCTACGTAGATGGCTCACCAGGATTAGTGTCACCCGGCCCATTGGAATCCCAAAGACCACTAGCCAGCAGACCAACGACACAAGAAGCATCAATGGTCCCACCAAGAAGTAAAAGAAGACAAAGAACACGACTCGGCCCACATTCCATTCACCACGGCCAAATAGGCGACGCTTCGCGTGAGGGAGTTGTGGATCCTGTTGTTGTCCTCGCTGAGGCCGGCCCAGCAGACTGTCTTGCTCACCAGCTGAATCCACACTGTTTCGTCGGCGTCCCACGAGTGATCTATCCCTACGTGGACCGAAGAACAGCCGGCCATGCTCCAAGTCCCCGTTCTGCCACTGCTCGTATTCGCTGATACTGCGGCCCTCCCCTTCGTCTTCCTCCGCATAAATCTCATCGCTCTCTAGAAGAACAAATGATCCGAAAGGATAGAGTAGATAGCGCGATAGTCCAGAAAATACCCTCCCATAAGCCACTGCGCTGGATGAGTAGGCAAAGAAAAAGCAAGCCACCGACGCTAGCAAGGCAATTAGGGCGAGCCACCATCCGAAGAATAAAGACCACAGGAGGTTGGTCAAGAATAGCATGGGACTGACACGACCCCCCGGTGACGAATGAATATCCCCTTCAGCGGTCTTCTCAACTGACCGACTCTTCTTGTAGACAGCCGGCTTCCAGATTCGAATTCCGAAAGGATGGGTTTCATTGATGGCTTGCTGCCGATCCTTGAGCGTGAAGCTCTCCGCATCACTGCTTGCCCCCTCATCATCATCCTCATGATCGTCGTGTTCATCATGTTCATCGTCATCGTCATGGGAGTCTTCGCCACTGTCTGTATCACTTCCTCCATCTGACTGCCGTAGGGATGGAAGCTCCCTCGAGTCCTCCAAGCTAGGTTCTGGTAAGCCATGGTCGTCCACAGTAAGATGATCCAAGTCAGCTCGTGTCAGCGGACTGGGACGGGCACTGGGACGTCGTCTTAAGGTAGAGGGAGCACGCAAGGGACGGATGCGAGGGGACGGATGCGTAGAAGCCTGCAGAGCGAAATCTTCTTCAATCTCTTTAATATCATCATCAGTCGAGAACTCTTGTCCTTTGTGAGGTATTTGACGTTTAGACGACATGCGACGTGTGACCGGTGGCTTTTTAGGCCTGTCGGGAGCCGGGGAGGACGAGGCAAAAGTGCGGCTCGATAAATCGTCCTGATTTTCTTCGTGGCGCATTTCGGAGGTTTCAGTCGCAAAGGTATCCAGTGTTCCTATTCGTTTAGACCATCAGCACCAGTCATGACCTCTCATATCCCTTTCCGTTCTCTCTGTTACACGAAGGGTGCCTTACCGTAGCTTCTTCGCACAGAAGACGTCGATCTCGGAGCTAAATTCGATGGCCCCGGAGAATAGTCATTCCCTGTCACCCCCGATGGTCGATTTGACTCCGGATTTTCAGAGTCATTTGTGTTGCCCGCCATTTCAGTGTGGATGCCCAATAATGGGGCTCGAAAGATAACGGATTAGAAAATCAAAAAAAGACAATTTGAAGAGAAAAACAAGCGAAAAAAGCAAAGAAGAGGAAATAAATTGCTGAAACACAGGGATCAACTGTGAATAAGAAGCCGACCAAAACCGTTACATGGCGGGGGAAGCAACAAGTTGATTATCGCATCAGCTGAGATGCGAATAAGTAATGGGGAGCTCCAACTACTCTACTGGACCTACATTGATGACCCATGGTTCACCTCCAATCAGGAAGTGGATGACTCATCACGTGGGGAGCTAGCAAAGTTATCAGTTTGTGTTGTTTGTCTCGATTTGTCAGCCTGAATATATTTGTGGCCTGATTTATCAGGTATCAAGATCATGTGCTAGTTCCCGCAGCTTCGAGAGAGCTGGGCCAGCTCCAACTGTGAGGTCTCCCATCCCAATCGTCATCGCTTTTCTTCTCCCCTACCCAACTCCCACTAATTTTACCTTGGTTGCGCCTTCCGCTATATCTCTCTGGGCTAAACTAAGAGACCTTTCCTACGAATCCCATTCCTTAGTAGAAGTCAGCAGCCCGTGACCTCTCCTCGCTCCGATAGCGTCATCTCTTCAACATGGCGCTCGACAATTACTACCGCAATAAGATCGAGGATATGAAGCTCGAGATTATCCAGGGTCAAGCAGTTCTACGGCGGTTAGAAGCACAGCGTAATGACTACAACTCGCGAGTGCGACTTTTGCGAGAGGAGCTCGGTCTCTTGCAACAACCTGGCTCTTACGTCGGTGAGGTTGTGAAGGTGATGAGCACCAAGAAAGTCCTGGTGAAGGTACACCCGGAAGGAAAATACGGTATGTTCCTAGGCTTTTTCATGCGGCTTTCAGCTGCCTGCTCTTGATGATGCCAGATTCTAACGAGGTCCAATCTTCAGTGGTGGACATCGCCGATGGTGTTGATATCACCAAGCTCACCGTGGGCAAGCGTGTGGCGCTTCTCTCGGACTCTTACAAGCTGGAGAAGATGCTGCCATCCTCCGTCGACCCCCTCGTTTCGCTCATGATGGTGGAGAAGGTTCCGGACAGTACATACGACATGATTGGTGGTTTGGATCAGCAGATCAAGGAGATCAAGGAGGTGATCGAGCTTGGTCTGAAGCACCCCGAGCTATTCGAGTCGCTGGGTATTGCACAGCCCAAGGGTGTTCTGCTGTACGGTCCTCCTGGTACCGGAAAGACGCTGTTGGCTCGAGCCGTGGCTCATCACACCGATTGTCGATTCATCCGTGTCAGCGGTTCAGAACTGGTACAGAAATACATTGGTGAGGGAAGTCGAATGGTGCGTGAGCTGTTCATCATGGCCCGTGAGCACGCGCCGAGTATCATCTTCATGGACGAGATCGACAGTATTGGATCTAGCCGTATAGACTCAGCAGGAGGCGGTGACTCTGAGGTGCAACGGACCATGCTCGAGTTGCTGAACCAACTGGACGGTTTCGAGCCGACTAAGAACATCAAGATCATTATGGCGACCAATCGATTGGACATTCTTGATCCTGCCTTATTGCGGCCTGGTCGTATTGACCGGAAGATTGAATTCCCCCCACCATCGTCAGTCTTCCCCCCCCCCCTGCCGATTTGATTATAATCTAACCATAATCTTTCTGTACAGCATCGAGGCTCGTGCCGATATTCTACGAATCCACTCCCGGTCAATGAATTTGACTCGTGGCATCAACCTGACCAAGATTGCCGAGAAGATGAACGGATGTTCAGGAGCAGAACTCAAGGGTGTCTGTACCGAGGCTGGCATGTATGCTCTGCGTGAGCGTCGGGTGCACGTTACACAGGAGGACTTCGATCTGGCCACTGCCAAGATTCTCAACAAACACGACGACAAGGAAGTTGCAGTGTCGAAGTTGTGGAAGTAGAGTGGGGATGATCGACCTGTATCACTAGTTCTAATCTTGTCCTTCGGCTTTATCACCCTAGATTTCGTATCGGTGTGACGATCAATGATGATTTCCTCTCCATCTTGGCACGACCCGCTGGAATCTATGTACGGGGCACAAGGAGTCTGGGTATAGATGCACAAGTGATTATCCCAAAAAACCTTGGCATAGACATCCTCCGTCATATCCTTCACCGATAGTCTAGGCCTTATCATTGTTTCATGTCTTCAGGTATGCCAGGTTTTCCAAGAAAATATTTGCTAGTTGAGTCTTGGAATAGTTACACCTGTCTACGGAATAGTGTTGTCACTTGACATGTACCCGGTATGGTAGAGACTGAGCAAGATGCATTTCAATCCTACTGAATAATTGGACCATCTTCAGGCCTATGTTGCCGATTTTCGGACAGCAAACATGCATGAGCAAAGGCATTGGCTTGGCTGTCACCCCTTGAGGTCTTGGCCCGCTGAAGCTATCACCTTTGATTGACAGTGGGCCTGGGGTGGAGTAGATGAATTTATGGAAAGACTACTGTATTTCCGTGCCCCGTGGGCTTGCACAACATAGTTACTTCATACTCGATGTACTCCGTACTCCGTTGGGAGGAAGTCAGATCGACCGCTTGGCGTGGATCATCCAGCGCCCTGGCTAGTTATTGTCTTGGCAGTCTGGTGTCGAACTACTTATCAGAATGATGTTTCTGCACTATCGGTATGCCAAGGGCCAAGATATTCTTGGAATTCTAGTTGTTAGACATCTCCCTTTTTACATCTCTATCTCGATCTTGGTCTCTTCCTCTGTCACTGTCTCTGGTCTCTCTCCGTTGGTCAATTTGACCCACCTATGACGAGCATTGTACTTTTTTCCCCTCTGTAATCGCGATTGGACCAACACAACTCTCGAATGAACAGAATAAAGTGGATACCTGCACTGACGCGGCCTAAAAAAGAACCGCGTGACCAGCGGATCAGTGGATGCAGGAGTGGAGTTCTGTCCTCCGGTAACTGATACCCCAAGGGTCCACTAAACTAGTTCAATTCCCCCATACTTTGATACTTGATACTTCCCCTTACTGAGAACATGCCACACTCAACTGAATTCTTATTGGTTGAAGTTTCTTTTTTCTTTCCTCCTTCGGAGTGGTTTTTTTTTTCTTTTCTCTTTTTTCTTATGTCTTATCTGTATGTACGGAGTACATATGATGAATTCACTAGATCAACTGTTAGGCAGTTATCTGTATACCTAACATTCTGAAATTATATAAATCCTACAAATGCCACATAAGTCCTTGGACACAATTAATCAATACATATCCAGGCCTCAGGTGTTCTTATACCAGAAAACTGCGTAGTCTCCCGGACTTGCTACATTGGGTGCATCCGCGCTGACCGACTCTTATCATTACTCAATTGAATAATCCAATTTCACTCCACTCGGATCTCCATTTCCGTCTCCACCGGAGCTTCAGTGGCGGGCACTATTCTCTTTCTATTCCCGGTGAAGCATTTGGTACTTCTGCCTCAGATGATCTGATCTATTTCATCCGCATTTATCCCCGACCCTGATTCCCCACCCACGGCTCATAGTGGAACCACCCCCTTCGCCTTTCGAACTATATAAAGAGAACGGATTATGTCCGACTTGTGGTCTGCTCTTGTTTCTGCCATTGACTCAGACTTCGACGCCATGCCTGCTGTCCTCCAATCTACCATTACTCTTTTGGAGACGGAGCTCGTCAAAGCCCGTGCCGCTCTCCAAGAGATTCAACCACATACGCCGATTTTGCGCATCGGTGATGAAGTCGCCGTCGGTGCCATGATCGCCTATCGCCAAAATCTCATCGGCCGTGCACCCGATTTCTATGGCTCTCGTCGTCTGACAGCAAAAGAACTGGGCCTGGAACCCGTCATACGCGAAATTCCTCAAGAGAAGATCACCCGAGATTTGGTCTGCACAAAGCCTACACCTCCTCGGCGAGCACCCATCGAAGAGGCCCTGACCAATAGCTTGATCTTGGATCATGTCGCACCTTACCTCGCGGCTCCATCCTTGCTAGCTCTGGCATCCACATCTCGACTCATGTATAGCATGATTACACAAACTCCCTACATTTTCCGCCATCTTGATCTGACCCGGTGTCGAGGTGCCCGGCTTCCTAAAAACTCGCAACCCCAAGATGACCTACAGACAGAAGATGAAGTATACTCCGCCCCACTACGACGCATCTTCGCCAGCCTAGAGAAGAGATCGGTGCTGCAAGATGTGCGCACCCTTGTCTTGGATGGTCTTCCAGTACCAGCCAACTTGGTCGCTGATATTATTCTAACGGATCGGTTTAACGTCAACATCCTCTCGATCCGCGAGTGTCTTCACCTGAACGAGCGCAAGCTTATGCAGATCATCCAGCATGCAGTTCGACCTACACGCCCAGAGGGTACACCGCGGGTCAAAGGTATTTATCACTTTTCACCCAGAACCAAGGCCCCTCGAGCTGTAGTACGACGCCGGTATCGCGACTGGTGGAGCTCTCGCAGTAGCTTCCGAAGCTCCAGCCAGAGTTCATCAAGCACCTCGTCGGACGACGAGGAGGATATTCCCAAGACACCCACTGAACAAAATGAATGGTACAGCCCATCGGGGAAGTTGTTCAAATACAACCTGGAAGATGGCTGGGCACAAACCTTGCAGAAATGCGAGGGTATCATTGCATTTGATGCGGTGCTTTGTCGTGGACCGCGCCATGATGTCAATATGTACTCCTCCACGAATGAAGATGGTTCGGTTCCAGACGCCCCTCTCCTGGGACCAGCAGTGGCCACTGTCGCACTGGGACCGCGTGGCTGTGATGGATGCCATAGCTCTCCAGAGGGACCAGCAATCTGGGGTCAATCCCCTGATCTACAGTTCCCACTCCTGAACCCAATGCCAATACACGTATCCAGCGTCACTGCTGCGAAGCGCCCTGAGCAAATTCCAGGGGAGCATCCATGCCTGATTACACGATGTACTGATTGCTTGACTGATCGCTGGTGCCATCGGTGCAACAAATGGTTTTGCTCTAACTGTTTGCCAAATCCTCGACATGTCCGAATGAATCTTTCGCCACATCAGACAGCAGTTCGTCCGCCTCAGGGATCACTGACTGGACCTATTCGACCACTAGTGCGAGAGGTATGTAAATGGAAATTTTGATTAAATTGCAATGGTTATTGACAAGGTCTCTAGAAACCTGGACCAGGAGTGAGCAAAGATTGCTGGGAATGTGGCCCGACTGTAAGTGATCACCCCTTGATTCTCTAAATCGACGTTCTAACTCGAATAGTGTGCATCGTGTAAGCTAGATTGCCAACACACCTGTCAGAGCTGTCAGGGTGATTACTGTATCGATCATAATGAAGGGTGTTCTGCTACTATGGTAAGTTTCTACCTGCGACATTGAGATTGCTTAGTTAACGAATTTTAGTGTGATTGGTGCAATACCAGTTCTCGCCACCGTATGCGGGCCTTTCGTTAAATATTGTTTGGATTTCTAAGCGGGAGTTGGAGTTTCTGATGTTTATTAGTTATACCATTATCGGGGCCGCGGAGTCTTCCAGAACTTCTTTAAGCTTTCCCCACCTTTAAATTCTTAATCAATGCCAATGTCCTCTCTTCAAATATCATGGAAGAAAACACTTTAATTTGGTCTGCCCAACTGGCCATAACTCCCCCTCAACGAACACCACGTTTACCAGGAGATAAGATTACTCTCCCCCAATCCGCCCTCGAACAGCTTCTAGCCGCCGCGCCCCTCCAAGCTGTCCCTCTGAACCCTCGTGTGCATACCACTACCTTTGACCCCTTCCCTCGTGTGCATACCACTACCTTTGACCCCTTCAACCCCCACACATTCGCCGCAGAGTCTCGAGCCCGCCAACAAATCGAGAATCGTCAGCACCAGCTTCCCCACCCGCTCACGTTCCGTATTGTCAATCCTCAAAATGGTCGTTTCGTATACGCGGGGATCCGAGAGTTCTCCGCAGCGGAGAACGAAGTTGCACTAAGCGCTTTACTTCGCGAGTCACTTGGGATTGAAGATGCCGAATTCGATGATATGAACAGCGCGACACAGACAGACGCGGGGGATGTACAAGACCAACCCTCAGGCCCAGCGGTAACAGTGCATGCAAAGCAACTTCCCAAAGGCACGTATGTGCGTCTTCGACCACTTGAAGCTGGTTATGACCCCGAGGACTGGAAGGCCTTGCTGGAGCGACACCTGCGGGACAACTTTACAACTCTGACCGTCAACGAGCTACTGAACGTCCCCGGGACGCGCAATGAGGCTTTCCGATTTTTGGTCGATAAGGTGTATCCAGAAGGTGATGGGATTTGTGTCGTAGACACAGACTTGGAGGTTGACATTGTCGCGCTGTCGGAGGAACAAGCCCGAGAAACTGTGCAGAAACGACTGGAACGTGCCGCGCGGGCACCGGGTACAACGAGTGGCAGCTCAGTTGGTGGTGTTCTCGCTCTTGGAGAGGATGTGGCTGCCCAGGTCTTGCCGGGAGAATATGTGGATTACGAGCTTCGAGAATGGAATCGTGAGGACACGCTCGAGGTTGAGCTCGTGACGGAAGATCCTAACCTCTGCCTGTTTGTGAGTCCACTTGGGGCGCGTCAGCAGAGCCGTCCTCGGGCAGATATGCATGTTTGGGGAGATTTCTCGAGTCAGTCTCCTAAGCGAGTGAAGATTCGGTCGACAAATGTGGCTCTTGAGGGGGCAGAGGCTCTTTATATTTCAGCCCACGCCAATTCTCTTGCTTCTGTGGCCGATGATACCGCGCAGAAGTCACCAGCGCAGTACCACCTACGAATAAGTGCAAATAAACAAGACGAAGAGGAGGCAGGGGAGGCAGAAGAGGCCCATGAGTCTGGGGACGTTCAGTGTCAAAATTGTCGACAGTGGGTGCCGCAGCGGACATTGGTCCTACATGAGAACTTCTGTCTCCGCAATAATATCTTCTGCTCCCAATGCCACAATGTGTTCCAAAAACGATCACCGGAGTGGGAGAACCACTGGCACTGCCCTCATGACTCGGCCCATGGCAACGAAGCCTCCAGTCAGGTCAGCCATGATATTGTCTTCCACAGCGCCTACAGCTGCCCTGATTGCGCTGCTCAGTTCGAAGGGCTTCCTGCATTGGCCCAGCATCGCACGACAGAGTGTCCTGGCAAGTTGATTCTCTGCGAATTCTGCCATCTACTTGTACCACAAAAAGGCGAAGCAGACCCCGACCTCCACGACCCCGAAGTCATGCTCTCAGGCCTAACACCCCACGAACTATCCGACGGTAGCCGAACAACAGAATGCCACCTATGCAACAAGATCATTCGACTCCGAGACATGAAAACCCATCTCCGACATCATGATCTAGAGCGTGTCTCACGTCCATCTCCTCGCATCTGTCTAAACCAGAATTGCGGCCGCACACTTAGCACCGCGAGCAACAAGTCCCTCGGTCTATGCAATATCTGTTTCGGACCACTTTATGTCGATACATATGACCCAGATGGTAAGGCGCTTCGACGCCGTATCGAACGACGCTATTTATCCCAAATGATGACAGGGTGTGGCAAACCATGGTGTCAGAATGAGTACTGCAAGACCGGGAAACAGAACAGAAATGCTGTGGATAGTTCGTTGGCGATGAGTGTGGCTGATATCATGAAGGTTACGCGCCCGCTCGTGGATCGTATTAATGTCCAGCCGGATGTACCCAATACTGCACCATTTTACTTCTGTACGGATGAAACGGGACAAATTCGTCGGAACTTGGCGGAGATGATCTTCGCCGAGGGAGGTGCTGCTGATGGTAAAGCATATGCTCTTGCATGGTGTGTTGCTGGTGCTGAAGCTGCTGGTGGTGACTTGGAGAAGACGAGAGAATGGCTAGCCAAGTGGGCACCGACGCAAAGTGAAACGAGCATGAATTAGCTTCCCTGAGTTGGGATTTGGTTAGGCAAGGATATATTTTGCATCTTACTATATAACGCGGTCTTACGGAGAAGGGAATAGAGGGCATTGACGAATCTAATGGTATAATGATAACACATTTTGAATCTCGTGATATTCATAAATTAGATGTAAGGAACAACAGGCGAATATCTAGTCCCCCGTTCTTTTACCGGATAAAATGTAAAATACTCACCATGAGGCTAAATTCAACTTTATTTGTCCCTAGTCTCTGCAAAATCAGACCCATCTAACCTCTAAGCAGCACCCGTTTTCGCAGCCAGAGTACCCGTACCGCGTGAGGAGAAAATACCCATAATACCAAAGACAACGTAAAACAACGCCAATGGATATGCCACCAAGCCACGCATACCACTCATGCGTGCAACAGCACAGAACATTCCAGACGAGCTGTAGGTGCACCAGCCCACCGCAGCGGTGGTCAAGAGGTACCCGAACATGGTATCCATAGGGAGCAGAATACCAATAGCAGCAGTCAGCACAAGTGGAAGGAAACAGTATCCCAAGACACTGGCCGAGCGGGGAAAGGTCAGGGTTGCAGAGAAATGACCAGCGGCGGAGACGCCAGAGATAGAGGGCTTGTGGTGCGGGTTGTAGTTTGTGGGGTCGGCGGCGTTGGGAGTTGGAGCTCCGTCTAGGATGGGTGACATGAGACTCAGGATAAGATGTAAGGAGACAGTTCCAAAGACTGCGACTCCGTAGATGTAGCCGTAGAACACCTTTCCGGAAAGGAGGAGGAAGAGACCGTATAGAAAGACGTAGAGCAGGGCACCGTATAGATCACTGTCGTCCATTAAATGGTTGTCGATGGAAGCGAATGGGTTTAGTACGGTCAGAGTCTATAATCCCAATTATTAGCTCTTCTTGAATCTAGCAGTATATCAGGGAAGCGTGCAAGCCGTGCTGGTGGACCTTTCTTAGATCCAGCGCTTTGCACTCCTGAAAGCAAACGCTATCCCTTGTAAGAACGTACCTTGGTTTTAATGTGACCGAGATTGATTCCCAACTCCTCTTGTAAAGACGGTTCTCCATCATATCCCTCAGATCCAAACGCGGCTAACCAGCCTGTCCGCAAACCACTCTGCTCGCCCATCCTGCCACTCACGCCAGCAGCCGGAGAGCCGAAGCCTCCATATCCACCCCCTGGGTAGGCTTGTGCAGAAGGATTGGGAGCGCCACCAAAGCCAGCGCCGTATGAGGCTTGTGAGGGGGTCGTGTGGCCGGATACCGAGGAATAGGACGAGGGGAAGAACTGGAGGTTCTGTGCGGAGCCTTGAGGGCCGTAGCCCGGCTGCTGTTGTTGGGGGTAATATTGAGCCATTGCCGTGGGGCGGCGAGCAGACTGATCTCTGTTGACAATGAGCAGGAATAAGGTGAAGTGTAAGTCGTGTGTAGAGCTTGTGAAGCTTGATGTGTCCAACTTGCGGTTTGTCCTGATGCCTGCTGACTCAGCCCCGCGTGGATCCCGAAGTATAGAACGCTACAAAATAATAACAAAAGAAGAAATTAAGAGTATAACAGGAATGAAGTGAGGTATAATTCGACTCCGCTAAGCTCTAATAGTAATTGAAAACATGTTTCTACAGGAAGTTGATGCCAATTCCCAACTGCAGGCCCTTACGGCCCTCCTCGCCCTTGCGAAGGACGAGAGGCAGAGAGAAATTAAGCTCGAACCGCGCCACAGGAAGGGCGTACACAATACCAACACCAGCGGAAATGCTGGGCAGACCATTCTGCAGGTCAGAGATAGTTGAGATCATGGCATCCTGCACCTCTCCACTGTTTGAGGGTGCGGTTTTCTGCGATGTGCGCAGCGGCAACAGGCGGCCACCGTTCAAGAAGGCTTGCAATCGCAGCGGCTTCTCGGCTCCAACTCTGGGGAGAGGGAAGAGCAAGTTTGCACTTCCAGCAGCATACACGTCACCACCAAGAGCATCAGGTCCATCACGAGGACCCAGGCCGCAGAGACGGAATCCACGAACGTCCGTGGGTCCACCAAGCTGGAAGCGATCATTGACACGAGAAAGCTGGGGCGAGTTTGAGCCCTGTCCCAAGGGGTAAAGGAGACCTGCGCGGAAGCCAGTGGTAAGGCTAATACCACTGTCTCCCTTAATACCCGGAATAGGGATTGGGACACTTCCCTGAGTCTCAATTTCCGACTTCCAAAATGATACATCTCCCTTCAATGGGCCCCACCCAGCAATTTCATTGAAAATCTTGGCGTAGTAGCCGCGAGAAGGCAACATGGGGTTGTCGCGCTGATCACTAACCCAGCTGTGGAAGATGCTGCTCTTCACGCTATCTCCAGCATCGGCTCGGACAGTCGGGGAAGCATTCTCCGCAAGGCCGGTAACCTGTCTCCACACTCCGTTGTAGCCTAATTCATGACGATCGCCGGATGTGGAGAGCCATCGAAGCTTGCTCCAGCCACCCTTGAGAACCTCCTCATGGCTGGCCCAGGACTTCTGGGTAGAGCTTGCGATACCGCCAACTTCCAAGCGGAAATCGGGGTTACAGAAAAGTGGTGTCTCAAACGCAGCCTGGTAGGCAGAGCGTGTGCGCGTACCCAACGAGGCGTTCAGGTTGAAAGTCTCAGCGCCTCCAAAGACATTACGCCATAGGAGGTTACCGTAAGCAGAGCCCTCCGCATTTCCAAGGTCGGTTCCCGTCTTCAAGAGTACTCGAGATTTCTCCCGGGTAGCGAGGATAATATCGATAGTGCGCAGTCCGGTGGTGGGATCTCTTGTGGACTCGTCCAGGTGAACGGAGATAGGCTGCTGGAATATATCTAATAAGCATATCAGTAAGAATAGGCCATATCATATGCGACTCGAGTGTCACCAACCGAACCGTCCAAGTTTGTCTGCCGCAGCCGAGACTTCCCGCAAAGCCTCGGATAGAGTGTAGGGATGGTCACGATTCGCACCGAGAAGCGGGTTGACGATGTGCTCAAGGAAGCTTCGACGAGTGTGGGGAGCACTTTGAAACTGGACCGAAGAGATTTGACAAGGAAGGGTAGAGTTTTGGTCGAGCTGTATAGCAATCACTGTTAGCCGGAAGATCCTCAAATTCACCAGTAGGTCTGGTGTGTATGACCGAGGAGCCGGAGAAAGCAAGAACATACCAGTTCCCCAAGGCGAGATTGGGCCTTTTGAAGAATTGCCTGCATCCGCTCATTCACGGCCTGCTGCTGTTCTTCCAGGACCTGAGGGTCCTTGCGCTGCTGCAAGCGCTCGAAGATCTACAAACAATGACATTAATTCAGCACGAACGCAGAAGATAAAGAGTCTAGCTGCATAGAGTTCCAACCTACATCATCATCTCCGGCAGATAAAGGGGAGGACATTGTGACGGTTACAATGGGCTAAGATTGGAGAATCGCAACATCTTCTTGATCGCGTGGGAAACGGTTCTCACGTGACGTTCGCCGCAATGCTACGCAGTTAAACTTTGGACTTCATACCTAGCTGTTACTCTATCAATTACTCGTTCACTTAAATACAAATATGACTAGATACCCTCTTTAAATTATTTGATTCGCGCCTATTGATTCAGGCCTTTAAAAATTAAATGTTTTATCTTAAAAGATTATGCAGCAGCTATAGCAGAGGAATATTTATCATCTTGTATAGCTTTTATAGCTAATAAAAGACGACTCTCTTACAATATCAAATTTGCTTTTGTTATCAGAGCTTTGCGGTGGCATTTTTTAAGGTCAAGAAAAATATATATATATATTATTTTTGAGGTGGATTTTTGGTGGATAGAGTATCAGTTTCACCTCCAGTCACGGCAATGCCAGACACCTGATCCCGATAACCCCATTCTCCCCAATCACTACTCTTCTGTGATTTTTTGTTTAACATATTCACGTGCCTCAGGTCACTGTGGCTTAAACGACCATCGGAAATACTGCGCCTCGAGATTTCCTCCTTCGGACTTCGAAATGCCCTTACCGAATCTTCCGACCGAGCTCATAGCTGGGATTTGCAGCTATCTAGAGATGCAGGACTTGAATTCACTTCGACTTACCTGCCATACATTATTTCGAAAATCGGAAAAGTTCTATGGTGATTATTATTACCGTTCAATATGGATGATCGTGACAAGTAATAGTCTCCGCCAGCTACAAGAGATCGCCTATCATGATTATTTCAGGACCTGTGTCAAAGAGCTCGTGATCCTGCCAATCTTATTCGACGATCATATGCTGATGTCGAGAAGTTCGTTTCAAAGCTTGTTCTTTAGAAGCAGTTCATTGTCAAGATATGACTACGGGGAAGATCATCTCCAGACTCAATACGAGGCATACGAAGCTATAGTAGCGGATCATGAAGATGCTCTCAATTCGCTACAAAGAACATTAGAAATTTGTTTGCCTCGATTCATCAATCTAGCTACCTTCAAACTGCGATCTAAATCCACGAGCGCCCTCACCAATCGAGATGTCCTATCTGCCCCTGGCTGTCTTTGCTTAAGGGATTTTAGGGGTCAGATGGCGAGTCAACTTAGCGGATGCGGGCAGTCAGGTTTGAATCACAATATAGGAGCTAGCAAAGTTGTTGCCATTGTTTTATCAGTCCTCTTCAAAGCCATCATCGCGAGCAATCGAAGTGTCAAAGAGCTCTATACATGCGCAAATGAACGCGATGCAGGGTCATTGGGAGGAATGACACTAACGCCAGCTCAATGGAAAGCTTTGATTCCGCTCATAAAGGACGTGAGGTGCCTACATTTTGGTCCTCAGACAGAGGAGGCGGAGATAAATTCAAACGATGAATTTATTGACCTTGTTCTGGCATGTGCGCCAAACCTGAATTTGCTCGGCATCATCGATTCGAGTAACACAAGGGTTCAATATTTTCCCAGCCTTTCAAAGCGTATCTGTTTTAAACGGCTTCGGGAGCTTCAACTTTCAAACATCGAAACATCTCTCGGTGACATCAAAAACTTCCTGCGAACCGCAGCACCCACACTGAAGTCCCTTATTCTAGGATTTGTGACCTTGAACGACAAAATCGCGCCAAGCTCAATGTCCATTATAGAAGAGAAGAAAAGAGAGGCCGAGAGACTCTGGCGAAATGCTTGGAACTTTCTGCGGGATGGAAGTTCTCTAAAAATACTTTGCATGACACGCCTCTCATACCAAGATATTGAAGTTCGGGTTCATGATCGTCTGAAGTCTGTTAGTGGACAAGTAGATTTGAAAGGGCCTGTGTCCCTTGGGCCTGAGTCCCGTTCAGTCGCATATAGCAAGAAATCGGCTCAAATATCGTTTGGAGAATGGATTGATTCACTCAAAATCCGACCATTTTTCAGACCAAGAAATGAACGCGGTGGTTAGTCATGAAAATCACACTCAGTTGACATATGTCCAAATGCTAACTATTCTTCAGGGACTGCGATATGCCTTCACCCTGGACGTTCCCGGCCTAGTGGTCCTCCAACCTCGATATTTTATCGCGCTTCTTTAGGACGACGTCAACAACTAAACGAAAATGAAAGCGGCAATAATGAAGCCTGAAGGTGTGGTTAGCAATGAAAGACTAGCTTAGGTTAGAATAATAGTTTTCATATTAGAAGAGAGGAGCGCTTAGTTGATCTCTAGCGCTCCGACGTAATTCGCGGGCGAGTAGCGCACCCTACCAAGGTGCTGCTGGCGCTTCTACTAGGGGTGGTACAACAGCTTCAAGGACCTCTAGGGGTGTGTTTAGGGCCTACAAGGCCTCTTCCACACTAAGTCTCACTAGATTTTCGACCTATTTACTCTTGCGAGCCCTCTTTTACCTCTTTTTTTTATTGTCAGCGCGTAAAGCGCTATTATACGTGCTAGGAATATCGCAGATTTCATCGCTTAATAAGCTAATTTAATGTAACTATGATCTGTAGGTATAGGTAGACTTTATAAGCGTCTTTGATAAGCGCTTTGATAGAAGAAGCTTATTTGTATCTGTGAGAGGTTCTGGGGCGTTTTAGGCAAAAATATACTATTGGCGCTACCTGGAGGCGTAGGGTCTTTAGATAGATATTCGGGCTTAAAAGTATCTCTTTAGGGCTATGTAGAGCTAGCCTAGTCGCTTAGAAGCCATTTTGGACGATATTAGGCTTGAACGTATTGGCGCGTGCGCTTATATAGGCTATATGAAAGTCGAACTTATTAATACAGTAAATTATAAATCCAAGTACACCTAGGTATTCTATATTGATCCCATCATCATCTCTTTGTGTCTGCTATTTCTGTGTTTCAATGCCAAGACTGGTTCTCACGTGACTCCGGGGCTCTCGCCGCGCGACGGTTTCACCTTTTATCTTTCACTTCTACATCGCTACATCGATTTTTTCTGGTTTGCTTTTCAATCTTGATACCGTCTCTCGCCAAATCGTTTATTTTACGCCTTGATTACATATCCCCCAGCCGAATTATCTCAATCATGGCCACCAAGGCAGCTTTAAAACGAGTGGGTAACCAGACGTTCATGGTGCAAGTAACCGGGGGCTAATAATCTATACAGCTTACTCGAGAATACCAAACTATCCAAAAGAATCCTCCTCCATTCATTATTGCCCACCCATCGGAAAGCAATATCCTTGAGTGAGTGTGATCTGCGTTTTCTGAGGGAAATTCTTGCACTGACCAGACCAGGTGGCACTATATCCTCACGGGTCCTCCTGGAACCCCGTATGAAAATGGACAATATTGGGGCACGCTCATGTTCCCTCCTGAGTATCCGTTTGCGCCCCCAGCCATCCGCATGCATACTCCCAGTGGTCGATTCCAACCGTCTACCCGTCTTTGTCTGAGCATCAGCGACTTCCACCCCAAGTCCTTCAACCCCGCCTGGGAGGTTTCGACCATCCTTATTGGATTATTATCTTTCATGACTAGCGAAGAGATGACTACCGGAAGTGTTAGCGCCTCTGAAGCGGAGCGTCGAGTGTTTGCTGTTCGGTCGCGATGGTGGAATTCAACTGGGGGCGGTTCACATCTCAGCGCCACACCGGGTGTGACTCGAACAGCCAAAGGAATCAATAACGTCAAGGCGGGAGATGGAGGGTTGAAATTCCGGACGGAGTGGCCTGAGTTGGAGCAGGAAAACTGGGCCTGGATGAAGGAGCATCGCATCGATACTAATACCGGTCAGATTCTCCCAGACCCTAACGCTCCTACCAGATGTTCCCCGGAGACAAGCGCATTGCGTCGACGTCCGAACGGAAGTGCTCCGGGGATTGGAGCGGTGATGGAGGGAGGCCATGTGGCTCGGGAAGCCGGTCAGGGGTGGGCACGACGAAACCGTCTTTGGATCGGGTTGGCGGTGCTTTTTGGTTATGCATTGATCTCCAGGCTTATGAGTGACATGCAGGGATAAATCCTTAGACATGCTGTTTGAATTCTTTTGTCTTTAGCGGGTTATCTTGTGCTTGGTAGCATCTTCAGGCGCATACGGGACTTTTTCCTGTTTTTCTGGATGGTTTTCCATATTTTACTCTTCTTTACTCATCTTATGTATAGAAATGGTTACACAGTTCCATAATATGACCGAATAATCACTGGGTAGTAGATTTCTCCGCTTGAGTTTCTTCCCAAAACTAAATTTGGTTGCTGCTTCTCCCCCGCATTGACATATTGACAACGTAACTACTCTTTCTTTTCTTCTAAATCCGTCTTCCCAATATAACCCCACCTCATATTGACTTCATTGGTTTGTGACTTTCCATCTCGTTCTGCGCTGGCCTTCGGGCCCAAGATGGATCATCTGCAGCCTTTCACGTTACCAGGCGCTCGACCTTCCATTTCAGGTTTGTGCTCGACTGTACTCCAGCCCCTCCCCTGGACCCACTGATCTACCCCCTATTCGTGGATCTATAAGCCACGATTTGACCCTGTGGATTTGTTAGGCTTCTGTGGCAAATGAATCTTATACTTCCTATTTGTCTCGAAAAGTACTTGGTCGCACTTACAGAAAGGGCACTGCAAAATACTGTTCATCTACTAATAGCCTTGATTCAGAACCTAGTTCAAGAGCCGCCGCGCCGCTTGACCGACCGTCGTTCACATTCATCGACCATGACGATGATTTGACCTCTAAACGCATCAGAGATGTTAATGCCCGCAAGGCGATCCGCTCCCATGTTATGCGCGATGTACGCCGACGGGAGAGACTAGCAGGAACAAAACGAACATCGAGGCGAGAGAACCGCGAACAGACAACTACAAAATCCCGACGCAAGGTAGTGGAGGACTCCAAGGACCAACAACTAGTTGTGAGGGCTGCATCTCAGACCTCTGCTTCCTCAGTATTGGATACAGACCTAGAGAGCAGTTGTTCTGATGCGAGCCCTCGACGAGCACGTCCGCCACGATGGCTGGCTGGCTATCCTCTACCTTGTCATTTGAGCCTAAACCCGCGGACTTTACCTGCATCATGGTTCTATGATCCTTTCTGTTCATTGCCAGGCACGGGCGAGCTCCCTTCTATGGTTGCACATTTGGTTTATTATTGTACGTCATGCCTACCCGCTGAGATGTTACTGAGTTAACAACCAGAATCTAGGGAAATCGGTCTTTGTTCCCATGACGTTTCCGAGTGGTCTTAAAGACTCGGAAATTCCTGAGCTAGAGTTGATGGTTCGATCTTCTTTCTCCGATCCAGGGAGTTTCTTTGGTCTCATGAGCATGTGCGCTGCGCACCGAGCCGCTTTGACCATGAATCACATCGGTCCCTTTAGCACGACAGGTGACAGTGATCGGATTGTCAACGATGCTGACTACTGTATCATGAAAGCCAAATCTATACAGGAGATGAACGCCAAAGTACGAGACCCCAGATTAGCTCTCAGTAACGAGGCATTCGATACGATTGTCAATCTCCTCACTGGATCAGTAAGACTCCTCTTAACACTTTGCCCGAAGATTTTCTCACCTGCTTGATAGTTAATCGCAGGTTTGTTTGACGAAGCTCGGATTCACCTAACCGGCTTAAGGCGCATGGTGGAGCTTCGGGGTGGAATCACGGATAAGAGCATAAGCTCGTCTTCGATGCTGTCGGCAATTCTTACGTACGTGAACGAGCCGCACTTTTGAGCAATTCTAACAATCTAGTAGGAGCGATGTGAAGGCCGGTACAGGACTATTAGCTCAACCAGTATTCCCACTAACTTGGGATACACAACCCGTGCCCATTGAAATACAGCACCGAATTCGACCACCCCCTTTATCGCCAATACGACGACTTGGTTCTGGGTTCTGGGCGAATACGCTCCTCAGTCCGCCATTACTACGCATCTTGAACGTAGTGCGGGACATGATTTTCTACAGTATTACCGTCCAGGTTGCACCGCAGGCCATTCACTTTAGCGATCATGATTTTTTCCGAGTGCTCAATTGCGAAACCGAGCATCAACTGCTCAGTTACATTTACGCTGAAGACTCCAGGTCCGCGAGAATCCATCCGATTGAGGCAGTCACCCGTGTGACTTCAATCTGCTTTCTCAATCACTTTCTCATCGTCTCTCCTCCTTCTTCCGGCCTCGGTCGAGCTCTCACCAGACATCTCATGGAAGTAGTGAACAGCTTCAGGCTTACCCTTCTCCTCGAGCTACCCAGAGAAAATTTTGGTTTGTTTGCTTGGGCTTTATTTATTGGAGCACAAGGATCACTTGGCCAGCCCGAGCGACCCTGGTTTATAGAGCGGCTGGCCCGTGTTGCAATGTTGTGTGAGTGGCAAACGTGGGAGCAGGTCTCCCAGATCTTAACCGATTATTTCTTCATTGCGGCCGCTCAAGGATCAAGATGGCGGACCATTTGGGACGAAGCGATGGCAGGTTTTGTGATAGCGAATGAGTAAAACATTAGCCCCATTGCTTGAACAAGGATATCCTGGCATCGCACTGTATATTGGATATTGGGAAAAGTTAACATTAATGATAATCGGGTCAAGATTGATGTAAACCAACCAGATCGCGTGGATTTCTATACTTCGGCCCGTTGCGGAGATTTCTTGGATTATGTCATCTTATCGCGGTTTTCCCGATCTTTTATCGCTGAGGCAATTTTTGGATTTTTCCGCTTCTTCAAGACTTTACTCTTCATTCCTCTTATACTCTACTTGTATCAAATATGGGTTGGTTCTGGGCAGATTCACAGCCACAAGTGCCTATGGCACCTCATCCCACCTCCACCAATGCTTCTCCTCCAGTGCGTTCTTCATCCCGTATCAACATGGACTCCCCGACTGACCCTGATCAATCTAGCCTGCGTGCCCGATGCATGAATCGCGTCAGGCGCCATCCTCTCCTGAGGGTAGTTGTCCCATGAAATCCACCGACTCTCCTTTCTATGTCGCCCCGAAATCCCCTGCGCAATCCGCGCCAGAGCCAGCCGCTCCAGCCAAATCCTCCACCCTGTCGAAACTGAACCCGATGAACTACATGTTCGCCTCCATCTCGCAGGAGCGCGCCGCGAATCAGACTGTTGATCTTCCCGTTGACCGTGAAGTCTCTTCCATCCCACGAGGCGACAGTGACCAAAACTGGGAGTACCCATCTCCTCAGCAGATGTACAATGCGATGCTACGCAAAGGTCACACCGATACACCCCAGGATGCTGTGGAATCCATGGTTGCTGTCCACAACTTCCTAAACGAAGGTGCCTGGAATGAGATCGTGGGATGGGAGCGCACTTTCGCCAAGGGTCTCAAGGAAGGCTGGGCCAAATGTCGTCGAGGCGAGGAGAACCTTAGCTGGGAGTTGACTAAGGCTGAGATGACTGGGGATATTGATCAGGCGACTGAGCCTCGTCTGATCCGATTCCAAGGTCGTCCAAAGGAGCTTACTCCCAAGGCCCAGTTCATGCAGGCTCTGGGATGGGTTTACCCTTCCAAGTTTGAGTATGTGACGGTCCTACATATTCGTATATTAACCTTCTCGAGTATTTGCTAACGCTGATCACTATAGAACCAAGCCACCCTTTGACCGACACGACTGGTATGTTCAGCGTCAAACACCTTGGGGCACAAAGGAAGTTCGTTACGTGATTGATTACTATTCCGGTCCTCCTGAGCCGACTGGAGAGCCGGTCTTCTTCCTCGATATCCGACCTGCGTTGGATTCGCCCACAGCTGCAGTTGAGCGACTGATGCGATGGGGAGGAGACACCTGGTGGAGAGCCAGTGGTGCTGCTGCTCGCGAGCAGAACTAGTCATGAGGATCTTCAGACAGTTTGATGCTTTCTCCACTCCACATTGTATAATTATAGACATGGCATGGGCGTTTTTCCTGGTTTTCTTTTATGAGACCCATATTCATGATCTCTGGTGTTTTCTTTCCCTGTGTCATTTTCTACCTGTCTCATCATCCCAGTTTTCTACACACCAGCAGACGATAATTGCAAAATAGTGATGGTTTCTGACTTATCGACGCGGTTGGTTGATTTGTTATAGCTTTATTAAGTTCAAATGTACATTGAGCATATGTTTTCATTATCATGAGGCCGAGGCACTTTATATGGTACATTAAGGAGATGTTCTAGATGTTCGGCGACAATTGGTCATACTTGACGCAACGCTCGACACTCTCGATGCTGGCCTGCAGCAATCCACGAGCCTCTAAACCAACCCAAACACGAAGCATCGAGGTATCGCCTGAACGAACTGTCTGCAAGAAGGTGGCGCCAGAGCCAAGCTGTCGGAGGATAGGAAGGGCACTAGAAATGGTCAGTGTTGCTGTACACGCAAATAGAAACCGAAATTTCAACGTACCTCTTAAATAAGTCTAGATCGGGATTCAAGCTTCTCCCAATGCCTTCGAGCAAGAGGCAAGATATCACCACATTCACAAAGTCGCCTTCGAATCGGACGTGATGACCGCGGACCATCGTTAGTACCTCGCTCAGCACATCTCCAATCTTGATATTCCCAAGGGCAAACGTGCGTGTTTTGATGCTCAGCACAAGGTGTTGCATTTTCAAAGCGAAAATCTCCGGATCAATGACCTGTTCAGGTGTACGACATCGCTCAACCATAAGATGACCTGCTTTATAACCATCAAACTCCGCAATAGCTCGGAAAAGATCCAGGAAATTCCGCCGGTTAGTCTCATTCAACTCGGTGACCAGACCCGTATCAATGAAAATCAGCTGCGGGCGATATCCCTCCTTGTTAAGCTGAGCCAGGGCAGAATCCCATTGTTGTTGATTTCCAATATGGGGACGTAGTCGTGCAAGCACAGACTCGGTCACATCTACTTCCGCTCGTGTTGGAGCATCGGTAGCGCGCGAATGCTTGCGAAGGGATAAGTCAAGCTCGCTAGGCTGGTAAAAGCGAACCATAATGTTTCCCGGGTGTAGATCTGCATGGACAAAGTTGTCGATCAGAAGCATATGCAAAAATGCATCAAGGCCCTCATTGGCAATCTCATGCTGGTAAACACCTCCTCCGATGTCCAGGAACGTGGCTAGCGGGATACCCTGTGCGAATTCCTCGACCAGTACCTCGCGGGTTGTGTAGTCGAGGTATGGATATGGGAACCAAGCGGTGCTCCGGGACTTGAATTTCTCCCGAAACCTAACAAGATTTGTGCCTTCAATGCGCATGTCCAATTGAAGTTTCATCATCTCCCCAAATTGCTGGACCTCATCCGGGAAGGACAGCCAATTCATCGTTGGGATGGCATTTATCAAAGAAGCGAAGAACCACATGATCCGCAGGTCACGATGAATCATCTTCTCGACGCGAGGATGCAATACTTTGATCGCCACATATGATGATGGTACCCGCTGTGGTGAGTCCTTCATAAGCACGTCAACGTTCTTGCGCATCTTCTCTCCTAGGGTGGTTGGCTCCTGGAGCAGTTCCTGGCTCGTGGTGGCTAGGCTTGGTTTAAGCTTCGCTTTGTAAACCTGCGCAATAGCACCAACGCCCAAGGGTTCCTCTTCAAATTCCTCAAAAATCTCTTCAAACGGAAGGCCATTGAATGCCTTTTGGATGGTCCGCTTGGTATCGCGTAGAGAATGGGCCGGAGCATTGGAATGAAGTGAGGACATGACGGTGCACATTTCAGGGGGGAATATATCGGTTCGTGAAGCGGCCCATTGACCAAGCTATCAGAGATTAAACGGTCAGCAAACCATGCTCAGGTGAAATGCAGAATCAACAAACCTTGATAAAAGCCGGTCCGGCGCGTTCCATTGCGTTCACCAAGAACCGATACCACCACAGTGTGCCTGATTTAGCCCCATTCTTGGTTTCAATGGTCCTACCGAGCCAGATTGCAGGCACTGTTACCACGACTGGCATGAAGATGATGAACAGGTGAATGAACCGTAGCCCAGTAGCGATTGGGTCGTAAACATAGTAGTAGAATGTAACCGAGAGAGATTGCCAGAGCCGCGATAAGCCCTGAGCGTCCTCGGAGACACTTTTTCGGATCTCCTCGCGCGAGGCTTCAAGCATCTGCATCTCACCTGTCTTTTCAGGGTGATCTGCCTCGGCCAACATGAGGAATGCGCCGGGTGTCAAAGCGGCCATGACGACTCCGCCGAGCACCGGACCCCGTCGTAGGGTGTGCTTGAAAGGTTGCCATGATGTAAAACGATGTCGCGGGATGCGCGGGATCCCGCGTCTTAGACAAAAACGACCGAGGAGGACCGTCCTCATGGTCTATGGTGGTTTGCATGGGAGAAGGAAGATGAGCTGCGGAGAGCGATAACCCCGATAACCGGCACGTGTTGCGACGTCATCAAAGGATCAGGAATCTGGCATTTCGTGTAATGAACATTACGATGCATGTAAGCATTGGGTATTTCAAGATTATTATAGCTAAATATTTTATCCATCATATAGGTGGGTATTTCCTTCAACTTCCCTTTTATTTTCTTCAGTTCACTACTTATCATTCAAAGTCCTTCTAGGGAGCCCTTCAATTATTGAACTAGTACGGTGGGAAATAAGATATATAGGACCTCAGGCGGTGCATATAGACGAGTATATACATGGAATATATCCACATGGAATGTTATATACTACTCAAGCAAGTGGAGACAGAATACATAGGCAAAGGGTGTGAAATGTTGTCGATATATATATGCGTATGCACCCATGATTATGTGCTTCGAATGTTACTGAATTTTGATTTAGCGCTACCATTGTGCACCGGGGCAGGAGATTATTATTTCAGCGGTCAGACTTCTTGTTAATAGAAATCATTATAAGTTCTATCCGAATCCCGAAATTCAAAGGGCTTAAAAAACAATAAGTGTTGTGTTCTTTTCATAAGGACAAAAAAGAAAAAAAGAAAAAAAAGAAAAAAGAAAGTGGAGCGGCGGGGAATTGAACCCCGGACCTTCCCTAATATCGATCATTGATGCGAAAGGGACGCCATACCCCTAGACCACAGCCCCGTTTGATGACGTTATTTCACCATAATAAATTCTATATTTACATCTTCTTCAATTCCTTAGTAAATTCAACCTTTCATTTATCAACATTCATCCCATGGAGCTATGGCCTAGAGATATGGCAAGACCACAACAGCACCCCGAGGGAGAAAAATTCGACTACTTGGAAATACCCGATAGTAAGTGCGCCAATCAGATTTCCCCACTCAAATCATTACTTTGGCCACATTCCCATCATCTCCATCGACTGAAATTCTGTTCTCGCTACAATATCCTGTAGCCACATCTACCTCGGTTCATTTGAGGCAATAACAAGCCAGAATATAAAAAATGACCCATACGGAGGATCCTAGGGATATGCCAGCTGCTAAAGAGTATATAGAAGTGTGAAAACCGCCATCAAAAGTCCGTGGGGCTGGTAAATGTTTGGATTTACTACGCGGGCCCCGGTCTCAACTTGCAACTAGCTGTCTGATAGCTGTGTAATCTTGACCTTGCTTTGCTAAGTCAGGGAGATACGAGAAATGTAGCGTAAAAATTGATTTAATTTCACTAATCGTCTTGGCATTGACTACCCCATAACTTACCCCGTGTGGAGAAGCTCCGGTTTCTCCACATCGGCTGAAGTGGAGGTGGAGGTGGGCATGGACCTTGACTTTATCCATTGTAAATCGGCTATCATTTCACCGAGAAGCAGGGATTATTAACACCGAGGTCAAGCTTAGAAATGGCCCGTCTGCCGGAAATCTTGACTCCAACAAATTGTGACCTCTATCATCAACTATGACTATACGGGCTTCCATTTTCGCAGTAATTCTCTGGTCACAAATATTTTGCTATCCAACATATGCGGTCGATATCAACTCTAGAATGTAAGACTTTGTGATGCCGCTTCCTAGACTCAACTTTTAACAACTTCAGCAGCTCCAATGATTTTCAAACGTTCTCCCCCAAGGCACTCACCGCTGGCCAAGACCTCCAGTGGCCAAAATTGAGACCATCCAAGTTCTCTTTGACATCAGAGTCTCCTGTCGCCACCTTAGACTATGGATCGGAGGTTGCCGGGTACCCATTTTTCGAAATCGAGTCAGTAGAAGCCACGGCACAGATTGAAGTCAAATACAGCGAACCCTACGCGGGCCTTCAGCATGTTTGGGCAGATGGTCCTTACACATTCTCTACTGGCCTCTCAAATGCTGTTCGAGTCGAAACCTTCAACATCACGAAAGCGGGAAGTGTGACATCGTCGTTGATCCAAGGCGGACAAAGATGGCAATCAATTCGATTGATTGCCGGGAGTAAGATCACGATCTCCCAAGTGGGCTTTGAGTCAACAGTCTCTGTTACAGACCCGGACAAACTCCCTGCCCAGTTCTCATGTAATGATCCAGTTTTCAACGCGATCTGGAAGTTGGGACAGAAAGCAGCAACTATGGCATGTCTTGAGAAAGGCACACAGAAAGCTGTCTGGCAAATTGATCCCGTCAAAGGAGCCTTTGTTCACAGCACGAGGGCTTCGCCAAATTTTGAAACTTATGTACTCGAAAATTACACCTTGGAATTTGAGGCATCTATTGAAAGAGGTGGAGTCTGGTGGTCGGTGGTAAGTTACGGCTGTCATTTCTCACATGTGAATCACTGAGCACAAATAAAAATTCTTAATGCACAGGCTCAACCTCTGGGTTATGGCACTGGTCTTCAACTTTTACTCGTCGGAGAACTTCCCGAGGCCTCAACATTTGCCAACACCAACAGAAGCTTGACTCCTCCGAATAGTATTCTGCTAGCAGATGGGTATGGTTTCGTGAACCAAACGACGTTGGACGCATACTTGCTCGATACTTTTACCATTCCATTTGACGTGCACGAAAAAGATTGGTACACTATCACTACAGTTCTATCTGATGGCAATCAACTCGCTGTGCTGCTCAACGGTATCTCTGTTGTCAATATCTCACTATCGGATTACTATACCGGTGGCTCTGAAATCTCACTTAGCGGGTCCTTTGGATTCGGGGCTTATCAGGATCATGCGGCATGGGTTCGCGATGCCAAGGTTTATGACAGCGCGAATGGATCCCTATTATATGTGGATAGTCTTCGTGAACAGAGTGCTCTGGCACGTTATGGAACGCAAAATAACCTAGGGACCGTGTGCTTAGATGGAGCCAAACGGGACCGTCTGGTCTGGATGGGTGACTTCTACCATACTTCACGCATCATCGGTGCCAGCACTGATCGATTTGATTGGTCACGCGGAACTTTATCTTTCTTGCTAGAGACGCAAACCTCCAATGGCCAGCTGAATATCTCACCGAATATGGGATACAATCCATCGACCAGCATTGATGCTTTCAGTACAGATGACGCATATCCCGGCCTGGAAGACTACCAGATCCTTGGCTTCCTAAGCTTCTACAATCTGATTAAACAAACAAACGACTTGCAATACGCCGCTCAAACATGGCCGCAGTGGCAGAAACAACTGACATGGCTTTTGAGCACGATCAATGCTACAGATGGATTAGTCGACCTTGAAAGCGCATTCCTGGGTCCAGCTACAGGTGGCTCTGCAGCCAGTTGCCTTGCAGTTGAAGCTCTTAAAGGGGCTGCAGAGATTGCCAGTGCACTGGGGAATACGACAGCTGCCAGGACATACCAAGACTCTGCTAAAAAGCTAACCGACTCTGTGAACACCCACCTCTGGAACGATGAGCTTGGAGTTTACTCTCTCAGTCGATCAGACAAGAGTAACTTCAGCGTAGCTGGAATTGGGCTGTGCATCACTTCCGGAGTTGCAAGCTCAACCCGAGCCTCACGGATTGTGTCTTTGAAGACACTTGAAAATTTGAAACTTGGCCCTGGCTACAAAGATGATACCACGGTAAACGGAACAGAGTCCGGTGTGACAATTTCGCCAAATACAAATGGCTTCTTATTACCCGCCCTATTCATTGGGAACGCTACCACAGCCGCCAAAGATCTTCTCCGGTCCATGTGGGGAGCGATGTTATCAGAGAGCGTGGAAGCCGGTATTGGAAACAGCACAACATTCAGTGGTGCAAGCTGGGAGTATCTTGATGTGGACGGCTCTCCCGGCCTGTCTCTGTTCACCAGTCTAAGCCACCCATGGGGAGGAGCAGCAACATACATTCTCACCGAGTTTGCCGCTGGAATGCGTCCAGTCAGTGGACCTCAAGGGTTTGGATATAAGAATTGGATCTTATCCCCAGAAACAGGGCTGCAGATGGGCTTGAAACAGGCGAGTGCTCGAGTTGTCACGGAGGGAGGGGTCTTGTCGGTTGCATGGGAGCTTGAGCAGACATCTTTGAAGGTGACGATCGATGCACCACATGGGACTACTGGAAAGATTCAAGTTGGCAACGCTTATAAAACAGTCACCGGCGGAGGTATTCAGTCAGTACGAATTCGACGATGAATGTAGTATACCTGGATAGTGTCAAATATGAAAAATTTTGTCTAGAGAGTACTTAGGCTCTTTTGACACCACCTAACGCTGACACCACCTAACGCCCCAATCATACAAATTGAGCGTGGACTATAGCTGTGAATGGAATCATTTCAGCATTAGTAAGCATTAGTGCCTGAGGCTACTAGCATAGTTATACTTTGCCTATTAACACCGCCTACCAACATTGGCCCAGTGGATATGCCCCACATTCCTATAGTACATTCCTCACCCTTGGTTCTTTGTCCGTTTTCCGTTTTACTTCAGCCTATTCCGGATATGAGTCCATCCAATGGGTTCGTTTGACGATGATTTTTTTGTCGAAGCTCCTATGCTATATCCTGAAAACAGACCAGACCGTGTCGCAGCAAACAGAACCGGCAATCGCCCTTAAAATGACAATGGCGCCCCCGTTCGCTCGCAACGGAGGTTCCGCCCTGAAAACTTTTGATAACTACTGCTTTGATTCACCATGGGTCGTCCTGAGAACACCCATGAGGATGTTGAATCCAAAAGTGACCAGGAGTCGACGACTTGGCGTGATTGGGCGATAGTGATAAGCTGGTGTGTACTGGGCTACTTGTGCATTATTTTGACTGTGATTGGTTATTTTAGCCCATCATATTTGCCAATTGATCCCTCGGCTCTGTTGTTCAATAAGGAAGTTTCCCCATTCTTTGCCTTTTCGCGAGGATCGGGATATTTCCCCAAGCCACATGGTTTCAAAATTGTTGCCTTAGTGCCTTTCAGGTACCACGAGCGTACCGAGATTCTCGATTGCTATTTAAGGGTAGGGTTTTCTCAGCTCCTTATTTGAATATAACGACAGGCTTACATTTCTGCAGAAAAATCTCGTTCAGAATCACGGCTTCCTTGATCAGGTCGTTTTTGTTCCTCAGACGCACGATGCGATTAGTCTGGAATGGCTGAAATCCACAGTGATTGAAACTCCCGAGTATGCTATGGCCCCGCCTGGTCAGGACATGGACTGGAAGATTACTCGGGACAATGTCATGTACATCCGCATTGATGGGGACGTCGTCTTTCTCGAAGACCACACCATTCCTACAATCGTGAAAACCAAGCTGGACAACCCCGAAGCACTGATGGTTTCCGCTAATGTTGTGAACGAGGCCGCTCTTGCATCGCTACATAGCCATCCTGGTGTAGCTCTTCCGTACCTACCAGAGCTGCACCATATCGAGCAGTCTCATCTTAGTCAAGCCTGGCGCGCCTCAAGCCTACCCGAATGGCAAGGACCGGCAAGTTTCCGGGTTCAGAAGGGATTTAAACCCCCATTTGAAGGCCATCGGTGGTTACTACCAACTGAACCAGGCTCTGATCGAGATCCTATCGCGGCATCGGTATACACAGACATTGGACCGACCATGAAAGACTGGACTGTTGCTGCCCAGCAACATTACTCGTTTCTTCATCATCTTGAACTGAATACTCTGGAGCGGTACAAATTTCCCATGTGGGTCGAGCCCACTGAGCCGATTAGCCAAAATTTTGGATGCTTCTGGGGAAGAGATGCACGAACTCTCCGTGAGCTTTTTGAGTTCGACCCCACAGATAACGAACTTCGTAACCCGTGGATTGGGGCAAACGGTACTCGCCCACATGTCAACATTGACGGGAAAGGCCTGGCATCACATTACTCGGCCAGCTCAGGGGCTGCGGGTCTAGATTCGACCGATCTTCTAGACCGTTACCGAGCATATGCTCAGGAGAAAGTGTGTCGCTACATATCGTGATCTCAAAAGCAGGAATTAGAGCTCTACTTTGAATTCTGTACATACTATATACCCTGCGAAATAAACTTTTTTTTTTTGGCTCATATTCGTGCGAGGACGGCAACTTGTAGCCATGCTACGTAGTAATCAAGCCATACAGACCAAAACAAACGCGATCCAGGTATAATCGGTCGATTTCTCGGCCGAGTAGTAAGGCTGAAGTCATAATAGGCTAGAGTTAAGTGGACCATCGATTTCATGGATCGAGACGATCACATCATTAGAAGGTCGTTGTGCCATTAGCGTACCCCACACATCCTCACTTCCACAAGCTTTCACGGGAATGAATTGAAAACGAAGTACTTCAGTATTTAAATGAATTCCTACACTGTCGATCTTCAAGCCAGTTGAGTCGTGTCACATCCCGTAGCTCCTGACTTGATGCCATATATTCCTTTTATGATGCGATCAATCCTCGTACGGAAAAATCAATATCTTTATAATTCAGATAAATCCTGATGCCCTTAACAGAATAAATCTATTTGGTATTCAATTGACAATGTCCTCTACCACCCAAGATGGCCCTATCGGCACCCATAAAGGAACCGATTCGGTAGATATCGAACAACAAGAGAGACCAATTGCCCTAAACTCCGGCCTCCCAAAGTCCCTCGGCGCAGGAGTAAGTTGAAATGAGATCTTGGAGAGGAGAAGCTAGCTAACAAGTGTAGTCTGCATTGGCCCTGGGAGCATTCGGCACAACACTCACCACACTCTCGTTGAGTCTAATGGAATGGCGCGGAGTAACAACCAACAATGTTTTCGTGGCGAACTTCTTCTTCATAGCTACGTTTGGGTTATTGATAACCGCCCAATGGGAACTATCTATTGGGAACGGCTTTGCGTATACGGTTTTCAGCGCGTTCGGTATGTTTCAGAGCTTTAAGCACGAAGTGACAGAGATCTAATCGATGGTAGGTCTTTTTTACGCTGGGTATGGGGCTCTTTTGACTCCTGCGTTTGGGGTTGCGGAGGCATATGGCGGTTCCAGTACAGCGCAGTATAATAATGCCGTTGGGTTCTTCATGATATTATGGACGGTATTTGTCTTTACTTTCCTTATTGCTTCTCTCGCAAGCAATATTGCGTATGTTTTTGTCTTTCTCTTCGTTGATCTTGGTTTCTTGTTTGTGGCTGTAAGCTACTTTGCTAAAGCTGATGGACATGCCTCGGCTTCTGTGGCGTTACAAAAGACTGGCGGGGTATTCTGTTTTCTTGCGGGGTTGATTGGATGGTATATTGTATTTCATTTGTTGCTGCAGGATTCTATTTTGGATCTACCGCTGGGTGATACTTCACGGTATTTTGGGAAGAAGGGGAAGAAGGAGTAAATCGCGTGATTCGATCGATCGGCGGTGTTGAGAGGTGCAGATACGGTTAGGTGATATTTAAGTTCAAACATGATATGCCGTATCTAATTCGATATCTCATCTGTAATTCGTAATTCGTGAATAATTCAGTCGCTGATCCACTACTCTGTCCATAGTGGGGTATATAACGACATCCCCCCTCGATTTGACGAAACGAACTGCATGTACTCCGTACAGTATCTTTGTCTTTGTCGGCCGAGTCTTGATCGCGTTCTTGGGGATCTGAATGGCGTGTATCGCATCATTCATTATCTACGAACAGCATGCCATAGTATCTGTAGCTAGATATAATGCTGCTTTTTCTCCGTTAAACCCAAATTTGTTTTAATCACAGTGTTATTTCCAAGATGACAGTTACCATTCCAGCCACCGACCCTGCAATCTACGCTTCTTATGAAGCAAAATGGGCTACGCTTCCTGACACTGCTGAAGCCTGGCTCGCTAGAGCAGGCGAGGTAGCTGAAGTTCTAGCTCAGGACGCAGCTCAGAGAGACCAAGAGAATAAGTCACCGCGTGCTGAGATCGCACTCCTGAAGCACTCTGGCTTGCTGAAGCTTCTGGGACCTAAAAAATACGGAGGTGGAGAGCAGCCATGGAGTGTCGGTTACCAGGCCATCAGACAAGTCGCAAAGGCAGATGGGTAAGCTTTTATCAGTTGAACAATCGAACCTATACTGACATGACGGGTCACCATAGTTCCATTGGCATGCTACTCGGTTACCATCTCTTGTGGTCCACCACCGCAAATGTGGTTGGTACCCCGGAACAAATCGAGCGTACTCACCAATTGATCATCTCGAATAACTACTTCGTCGGCGGTGCGGTCAATCCCCGTGATAGTGATCTGAAAATCACATCAGATGGCGACCACATCGTTTTCAATGGAGCCAAGCACTTCAACACTGGCGGTGTCGTGTCCGACTTGACCGTTCTAGAGGGTGTCCTAGAGGGCACTGAGGGACACATCTTTGCACTCGTCGAGACCAGACAGCCTGGAATACAGTTTGCTTATAACTGGCATAACATCGGCTTGCGTCTGACAGAATCCGGCGGAGTCAAAATTGAGAATATCCGTGTACCATGGAGTGACGCGCTGGGCTGGGATGAAACCACTAAGCAGCCTCGTGAGGATACGTTGCTGATTCCGTTCGCCACTTTGCTTCTTCCAACGTACGTAATTTCAATGCCTTGAGGACCCATCACTAATCTGCTGCATAGTATCCAACTGGTTTTCAGCAACTTCTACCTGGGCATTGCGATCGGGGCCTTAGAATTCGCATCCAAGTACACAACCAATGGCACGCGCCCTTGGCCCTTTGGCGGAGACAACAAAGAGTCCGCAACGGATGAGTTCTATATCTTAGAGCGATACGGTAACTTCTTTGCGCACCTCCGTGCTACCGAGGCACTGGCCGATCGTGCAGGCGAACAGATCTCCGCACTATATACCCATCATGGAGCAAATAGGTCTGCTCTGACTGCGGAGGAACGAGGTGAGGTGGCAGAATGGGTTGCCAGTGTTAAGGTAGTCACCACGGACGTTGGACTTCGAGTCACGTCTGGTGTGTTTGAGGTTACTGGGGCCCGGGCGACCGCTTTGAAAGTGGGACTCGATCGATTTTGGAGAGATATTCGAACACATACTCTTCATGACCCGGTGGCGTACAAGAACCGAGAATTGGGTCGGTTTGTGCTGTTGCATGAGTACCCCGCACCGACTTGGTACACTTAGTTGCATCCAGTGGAATCCAAGTGGATGGGATGGATGATTGATAAGAGATTCATGAATGAGATGATTTAATAAACTTTTTCCATAAGATTATAATCATATAGAGTTGTCGATGTAGATGTAGATGGAGATGGGATGTATAGATCAAGGTGTCAGAGATAAGCCCCGCTACAGATAAGATGCCGAGATCTGAAAATTTCGGCTTTAGCCGATGACTTGAATAAGTTTTTTTTCAATTTGTTTCTTGTTTCTTGTTTCTCTTCACATCCCTGTCAAACCCCCAGTGGCTCTCCAGTTGGTCTATTTTTCAATACCGCCAAAATGGTCCAGAAATTTTATGTCACCTACAACCAGGTACGAATCATACATATCTTGTGACTCGAGACTCGGGCTGTCAGACTCATCGAACTGTATAGGTGCACAAGCTCTGCCAACAGTCAGCAGACGAGATCCTCAAGGAGTGCAACCCTAACCTGATGATCGCGATTGGTGGTGGTGGCTATGTTCCCGCTCGTATCCTCCGGTATGTCTATGCGATCATTCCTACACAAAAGCGCATACCTAACCCGCCCCACCAAACAGATCCTTCCTCAAGAAGCCTGGTGACCCCAACATCCCCATCCAGGCTATCGGTCTGTCCCTCTACGAGGACCTTGGCCGTGGTGACCCCGAGGAGGTCCCTGGTACCAAGGTGACCCGCACACAATGGTTGGACCTGAGCTCGTTGGAGATGGCCAACCTGATCGGCAAGAACATTCTGATTGTGGATGAGGTTGACGATACCCGTACCACTTTGGAGTATGCTGTGCGCGAGCTTGAGAAGGATGTTGAGCAAGCTCAGAAGCAGCTTGGTCGTGAGGGCGAGAAGACCAACTTCTCTATCTTCGTTCTGCACGTGAGTGTCCTTGGAATCTAGCGCAAGACCCTGAGTCAATGCTAACCTGCTTCTCTGTAGAACAAGAACAAGGAGAAGAAGGGTGTCCTGCCCGCCGATATGATGGAAGGCGGTCGTTACCACGCTGCTGTCACCACTGGCGATCTCTGGATCTGCTATCCCTGGGAGGCTAAGGACATCGACGAGCACGACGCTCTCGCAAAAGAGAACCCTCTCATCATCTAAGACCCTCGGGCCTTCTTGCATCGTCGAACGGAAAACCCTTCTGCGCGGCGCTTTATATAACTGGTGGCTTTTTGGTCCCTTGGCAATCTATCCCGGATGTTCCAAACGCTCCGGGCACGTTAATTTATGATATCATTGATGAATGTTAGAGAAAAGTTGTCTCCTTCAATACCTACGTTAGCCGAGCCACGTCAGGTCTGCCCTTGGGGGCTGCTGCATGGTAGACATGTATCTCCAAGGGTATCAAACGGATGTTTATTGATTGCGACAAGAAATAGCAATTAAAGGGCTGCGTATTTTATAATGCCTCGCGGCCTTAGAGCCACGCTTCCATCCCAAGGGATCGGACTGATCTGCGCGCGATGCCCAACCCAATTATTCCTGGAGATTGATTTAATCGACATCAACATTGCCCTTGCGCAATTCGATCTTGGCCTGTTCAATCTCCTTCTGTAATTCGGCGTGTGCCTCGGGGACGTCGTTAAAGGTGAAGATCGCTAGACCGAGGCGGGCGAGGAGATAAGTTCCGAAGACAATAACCGCCCAGAAGGGGAGCTAAAAGGGACATGGAGATTAGCGACTTGGTCCGCAATCGGAAAGTAGGATGCGACATACCACGGGGATGACTTCGTTCTGAAGAGTCTCGTTCAGGGGAACAAGACCAAGGTAGAGACTGAGGTAGAGCTATGAAGGTCATGCGTCAGTGTTTAGCTTTGCGCCGGATAACGTCAAGGGTGCGGTTGACGTACGGAGGAAACGAGGAGAAGGACGGAGATAGTTTGCTGTGCGCGCGTCATGGTGGATGTGTTAAAGGTGACAGGTAGGAAAGATGCAAAGAGAGGATGATTAGAACTTGGAGCTCCTCAATTGGCCGAGTTTAAAGGAATGAATGGGAGGGTGGAAGGGGAACAGAGGCCAGCTTGGGGGATTTGACTTCTTGGCCCGAAGGCGGCGACTCCTGAAAACATACAAATTCCATTATAGAACTACAACACTCCAAGGATTGATTTGTCGATTTAAATGTAAGAATTATATACAACTAAGTAGTAACCTGTATATCCTCTCATATAGTCGAATTAAGCAGAGTAAAATCGACCTATTTTGACTTCGAGTTCTTAATAATCCAAAATCCCGGTGATGCCTGAATTTACCTCAGGCAACACTCTCCACATCGTCGATGCGGCCTATTCTTCTGTCAATTTCCATCCAAGGCAGCGATCAGTCTACACCAGACCTGAAAAATCAAAATCATGTCACTCAATGGGCTAAATACAGGCCATGAGTCCACACAGGACAGGTCATTCTCATCAAAATTGGACCAGCCTTCTGTGGATCAAGTTCTATCAGACCTACCTGATATATCCAGCTCGCTTCCTGTTCAGGACACCACAGTGGATTCGCAAGATCAAGAAGCTATGTTTCAGGCCTTGAAAAAGATCATTGAGCAGGCCGAGCCGACGAGTGAGGTTGCTAACAGCTTTGACCTGAAAGAGCTTCATGCTTCCTTGGGTCAGGCAGAGGAGGAGGCACGTCTGGGCCGACGAGATGCCACGACATTAGAAAGTGTGCATACAACTCTGCAGCAACTATGGTCATGCAATTCAAATCTCATGGCTCAAGCGGCCGATGTTCTGGCTAATGGGAGTCGAGACCGTAAGTTTAGAATCGTTTGCTGCGTTTCCTTGACTAACAGCTTTTCAGCATCATGGAGAGCTCCAATCGGCCAGTCTGGAATCCTCAAGTTCTTTCTGGATGTGATTTCTTCCAAGCAGGAGCTTGACCGGGGATTGTTATTGCATTCCTTGCGTTTGATTGGCAACTCCTGTGCCGACACTGATGAGAATAGGGAGATCGTCGTAAAGGAGAATTACACTCTTGCTATAATCCGGCACTTCCTCAATCCGGACTTGATTATGGTGGCTATTCCTGTGATCTATAACATCTGCATGGATTATGGTGAGGCCCCTACCCCGTCTAATATGGCTAATATTTGCTGATAAATCAACAGAGCCTGCGCATACCCAGATGGCGGAAAATCGGTCCGCATATATCATATTGAGATTACTTAGAGATGGCGTTATTGGAGACAATGAGGCTCTACTAGGCTTCTCATATGACCTGGTCGAACTAGCCTCCGAGCAAGGTATGATAGGTGCTTGGATCTAGATTTCGCGGACTGACCCAGACTGTAGCACAAGGCGTTGAAAACTCACCCGATGGAACGATTTTGCTCCTTATGGAGCTTGCTTTGAACGAAGATATAGCCTTTGGGCACTACGCGTCCCTGGTGAACTGTCTATCCGCTTATCTGGAAAAGGAGCGATTCCAGAATGCTTGCATCTCCAACAAAATGGTGGAGATGTTGCTTTCTGTTCTGCACCGATCCATTTCCATCGAAATTGACAACACTTCCAAGGAAGATGTTCAAGCTCTGGCCCAGTCGCGACTGAAGACTAACCAGGCGTTGTCTGATGTCTCGGCCTCCCCGCTGTTTGCAGAACACTACCCCCTCGATTCCACCCTATCGCAGACGCTCAAATCGTGGATTGTGGCCGACGAAGATCAGCTTCAGATCTGTGCTTGTGTGATGCTGGGAAATCTGGCTCGATCTGATGAGGTCTGTCGAGTGATGGTGCGGGACTTGAAGATCCACGAGGAACTCATCGCTGTTCTAAACAGTGATGCCCGGGGATCAGTTTTGCACTCTGCTCTAGGATTCCTCAAGAACCTAGCCATTGCTGGTGATAATCGTGTCAGCCTGGCCGAGGCTGGAATTATTCCCGCTGTATCAAGCTTGTGGGCCTTTGATTCTGTTCCACAGGTGCAGTTCTCAGCCGCAACGATTGCCCGCCAGGTCATCATCTCGTCGATGGAGAATATTGCCAGGTTGCTGTCCCCGCTGTCAGATGACCCTGATTCTCCGGCTCACCGAAGGACATATTTGTCATTGCTTCTCGCTCTCTTTGAGAAGTCTGATTCCGCACCAATCAAGACTGAGATTGGGCGTGCTATCGCTTCAATCTGCCGAACCCTCACCCCTAAGACCCGCGAAGGTGACGAACAAGCGAGCGCCTTGTTGGACACACTGTATGACTTGCATGAGGGTGTTGCCCGCCCAATCGGTGCCATGATTACTCAGACTCAATGGCCCGTTGTTCGAAGCGAAGGATGGTTCGCGTTAGCCTTGATGGCGAACAACAAATCTGGTTGCATGGCAGTGGCAGACTGCCTGCAGAACGAGGAAGTGTTGGAGCTACTGAAGAAGACCCTGAGCAACGAGTCCTCGGGCGAAGATACCGAAGAAAAAGACCCGTCTCAGGTAATTAAAGACCGAGATAATGTGTTTGTTCTTGTTCAAGAGTTGCTGAAGAACGAGGTAAGTTTCCTTCCATGGTCTTTACTGTCTACATACTCACGAAATGTAGTCTGGAGCACTCCCGGTCGGTTACCGCAACACCTTGGAGGATTTGGTCAACGAACATGCTTCGCAGTTGAAAAGCAACGCTACCTAAAGACGAATGAACCTAATGAGAATAGATGCGATACATGATATTGTAGTCAATCTTGTGAATGAACATGTGATCTATCACCTGAAATATCTACTGTCGAATTGTTTTGCACGAACCAAGGTGCACTGAGGCTGGGCTATAGTCCTGTATGATCAAATAACTTAGATTGAGGGGTATCATAGTAAACAGTGAACAACTTTTAGGTATCCGCTCCAAATTTAGACAGCGTTAGTTTCCTCGGATTCCTCTCCAGCAGGATTGACGTGCTGAACTTCAAATCCACCCTCATCCCGATCCTCGCCTTTCTGTGGCCACAGAATCTGGTGCTGAACAATAGCTCGAATCATCATATAACAAACAAAGAAATACATAAATAGCAGCGGAAAAACTGCCACCGTCCCGACAATGTTGATGGCATCACAAGAAAATGCCTTCCCAATGGCAAAAGTGGCAGTGATCAACGCCGTGTTCGGAAACACGAATGAGAACCAGCCCATTGAGAAGACCATGCGACCTGGCCCGATAGCCGACCAATGGGCCGCACTAGCGAGGATAAAGAAGAAGATCGCCAATCTTCTGGAAGTAAGTATAATGACTATTCATGCGCGGGTTTACAACTTACCCCCATAGCCATAGTGCGGCGAAATTGGTCGTCACTTTCAGTATGTCGGCAGCTAGTGGACCATTGCCCATGAAATCGGCCGGAAAGGCGCGTTTTGTGTTGGATGCCATGTTCACAAGGCCAGCAACTGTGAAACCACTCGGTCCGACAGAAACGAACATTCCGGGACGCATGTTCTCCTTTGGAAGTTTTTGGGTCATGAGTCGGTAGATGAAGGCCGAATACACCATCAAGGACATCAGGAATCCGACGCCCTGAATCGTCGTTCCGCCTACGATGATGCGTAGAGCACGGGATGGTTCGAGTTTCCCACTTAGAATGCCGGCGTGTGGACCCATGATGAGCATAGGGTAAGCAGGAAAGATCCAAATCGGGGTCATTTGGGCAATTGTAAATGACTGTGTCGACCATCTGAGATATTGTGAGTGATTGTTCTTGATTCAAATGATGTTGAAAAGGGGTTCTGACATGATGAGATAGATGCCCGCGGAGAACAACACAGCTAGAATACAGTCGATCCAAAAGAGAACCCCCACAGCTTCGATTAGCCAGGGGCCTGCCTTTTGCGGGCCATATTGTGAGACATTGATCAGGATAGTACCAAAAGACACCATCGAAGCGGGAATAAACAAGGATTCCGTTGGATGAAGGAAGGAGGCTTTGAAAGTATAAGGATAATAGTAGAATCTAATGAGCAGAAGCGCCCAGATAAGAAGGTAAAGGACAATATTGAACAAGAAGACGACGACTCCGATTGTCTCCAATCCTCGGAAACGGTATGGGACTGTTAGTTCGATTAGTAAATGCAGACAAACCTGGATGGAGCCGATTTACCTTCGTATAGAACATTCGCCAATCCCCCGGTGGCCATGGTCATAGTGAAATATGCCCAAGTAATATGGCGAATTCGTTTTTTCCAGCTCAGCCGGTGCGACGATGCATCCGTAAATGTGCGATCAAGTTGTTGACCATTAGGCTCCGCCCAAAAATTTGATTCTCTCTTTGATTGGTGATCAGTAGCTCTCGACGAGAGCTTCTGTAACGTTTCCTCCAATGCGGTGGCGTGTACATCGCGGGCAGTGGTTCTAGGGCTGTCTATTACGCCGAGAATTGAGATTCTCTGGTCGGCATCTTCGATAGTTGGCGTTCGATAACCATCTTGACCGGGGCTTCTCATATGGCGGGGTACATCCGTCACTAGTCCAAATCCCGAAGCCATGACTAGTCCCGGCAATTGGGCGAATGCTGATTATGGAGTATATTCCGATTGGATTCACCAGGGACTGGGAGGGGAATTAGGTCAGAGCAGAATATTTGTATATATCCGTTCACTGCGCTAACAAAGTCGAATTGCGCGTCAGGCCAAGGAATTGATCATTCCATGTGAGGTGAGTCGGGCATCAACGGAAGACAAGTACGACTTGCGGGTTTTCTCTCATCGGTATTTTATACATGTATAGAAGAGTAAGATCACACTTATCGCTTAGGAATACGCGATCGAATAAACAACAGGAAAGAGGCTTGTGTCGCGGATGTCGACGAATTGACCCCGACGTCAGGGATCGCCGTCATGATGGGTCCGGGTATACGCTTTCTCACCAAAATCCGCGATTGCGATTCGTTGAGTTTAGTCACTTTCGGAAGTCGGCACAATCCACATCGGAACAATGAACCTATATTGGCTTGCACGTCTGACTTTAATAGTACCACAGGGTTCCGGATCCTGTTTATACCTGCTTTATCTTATAGATTCACAGCCATCTGCATGATAAACATGTGTATACTCCGCAGACGATCTGGAATGCATGCGACAAAAGTGGATCATTCTGTGTCTTGGCAGGAATGGATCTATCATCGGAAATCTGGATCTAATATCAATTCCAAGGTTGTAGGATGACCATGAAGAACCCCATTTGATGCACAATTGAATTGGTTCAATGATATACTATGCACCTATTCTCTAGTCATAGTGTTCATTTAAAGTCCCAAAGTAGTGATAGGGCTTAGGGTTGGGATACATGACAAGCCGAGGCAACACGACCAAGCTAGTCTTACTCTGGTATCGCGTCATTATCGTGAAGAGTTCATAGTTCATGCACCATACTTTAAACTTCATACTTCCTACTTCCTACTGAGATTCCAGGTCTCAGCTTTGAATAACTAGCGATCCCTTCAGATCAACTATGTCAGGGGTTACCGATAACCGCAAATCAGTCCTGATCACAGGGTGAGTGCCAGGCTCGAGTCTAAGATAACAAAGTACTGACACCAAGCAAGTTGTTCTCCCGGTGGAATTGGGCATGCCCTTGCGCGGGAGTTTCATCGAAATGGATTGCGCGTGATAGCTACAGCCCGTAAAGCGGAGACTATCTCCGACCTAGCTGGGCTTGGCATTGAGACTCTGAGTTTGGTGGTCGATGACCTTGAGAGTGTCAAGGCTTGCTATACTGAAGTTGAGACAAGACTCGGTAATAAAGGTTTAGATTACCTGGTGAACAACGCGTGAGTACATATCATCCTGTCACTGTCAACCTTGGACATCCGGAAGCTTTGATCATCGCTGACTCAGTATATAGAGGCCGCAGTATGTCCCATCAACCCTGATACCACCTAGACATCGATATAGGTAGGTGATACCTTGAGACTAACAGCAATAGACTATACTGTCCCTGCCATGGAGGTTGATCTAGCGGAGGCACGCAAGACATTTGATACCAACTTTTTTGCTGTCATTGTCATGTGCCAGACATTTGTGCCACTTTTGATCAAAGCCAAGGGAACGATTGTTCAGGTTGGATCGATCGTTGCTGTTCGTGTTTCAGTCCTTCAGAAAAGACCATGGCTGACAGTGACAGGTGATTCCCTACGTATTTGGATCGGTCTACAATGCATCCAAAGCCGCTCTGCACTCTTTCAGCGACGTTCTTCGAGTCGAACTAGCTCCCTACGGGTGCGTCGGCTGTATCTACTCTACTTTAATACTTGCTGATCACCAACAGAGTCCATGTCACTACTATTGTGACAGGAGGCGTACAATCTCGAATTGCGCGTACCGAACGCCACTTACAGCCGAATTCCATGTACATGGATATCGAGAAGGAGTATGACCAGCGCGTCGTGCATAGCCAACATAATGCAATGCCCCATGATGCGTATGCCAAGAGTGTCGTTGCTCAGGTATTGTATGGATCAGCCCCGTGGCGCTGGCTGTGGCCTTGGGCGCAAGGACGAAAGCTTTGGATCTGGGAGGGTCATCGCAGTTGGGTCGTTTGGCTGCTCTCGGGAGGTTGGGCGTGGAATGGGCTATTTGGATGGGTTCTTGGAAAGATGTTCAACCTAGGAAAGATCCAAGCGAAGAAGAAGAACGAGTAAAAAATGGTTGTCGTTGGTGATGAATGAGTTCCGTGATATTCGCGTCTTCCAGTCCGAGGCATGGCTGAGTCAGCCAGGGACGGGAGCTGGTTGGCTGCAACACCCGGTTTTACCGCGACTGTACTGTCATCCCGAGAAAAAGAAGAAACAGCAATTCTCCCCCGAGTTCCCGATATCCTCTCCCTTAACTCCCCAAGGGCTTAATACCACCCATTCCTCTCCTCTCTTCTCTTTCTCCCTAATTTCACCATGTTCAAGCTTGCCCGTGGTCGTCCCGTTGCTGCCGCCCTCCGGGCTGCGACTGTAAGTTCTTCGCGATGCCGTGCTATCGGCCCGTGGCTCGGTTTCTCTAATCCAAATACTAATAATGATGTTTGGTATCTAGAAGGTCTCCGCCCCTTCAAGAATCGCTCAGCAGCAGCAGCGTAACCTGTCCATCCACGAGTACCTCTCCGCGCGCATCCTGAAGAAGGTATGTCAATCCGCGTCTCCCGATTCCCCTTCGGTCGCAGAGATCCCTGTTTTGAATCCTGCAGTTTGCTGATGAAAGAACACAGTACGGTGTTGGTGTGCCCAAGGGTGAAGTCGCTCACACTGCTGAGGAGGCTGAGGCCGTTGCCCGTTCCATCGGTAGGTTTATCTCTTCCCTTTTCTCCTAGCTGGCCCCTTCACGTACTAAATACAATACCCAGGTAACGATGACATGGTTATCAAGGCCCAGGTTCTTGCCGGCGGCCGTGGTAAGGGTCACTTCACCAACGGTCTCAAGGGTGGTGTTCGGGTTATCTACTCGTAAGTTGGATATCGATTTTTACGCTCCTGGTCCAAGGGGTGATTCCTAACTTGTCCTTCAGTCCTACCGAGGCCAAGATGTTCGCCGAGCAGATGATCGGCCAGAAGCTCATCACCAAGCAGACCGGTGCCGCTGGTCGCGCCTGTAACTCTGTTTACATCTGTGAGCGCAAGTTCGCTCGCCGTGAGTTCTACCTCGCTGTCCTCTTGGACCGTGCTACCCGTGGCCCCGTTATCGTCGCCTCGTCGCAGGGTGGTATGGATATCGAGACTGTCGCCAAGGAGAACCCCGATGCTATCATCACCACCCCCATTGACATCCACGTCGGTGTTACCGATGAGATCGCCCGCACTATCGCCACCGACCTTGGTTTCTCCGAGCAGTGCATCGAGGAGGCCAAGACCACCATCCAGAACCTCTACCGTGTCTTCATGGAGACCGATGCCACTCAACTCGAGATCAACCCCCTCTCCGAGACCTCCGACCACCAGGTTCTGGCTATGGACGCCAAGCTGGGCTTCGACGACAACGCCGAGTTCCGCCAGAAGGAGATCTTCGAGTTGCGCGATGAGAGCCAGGAGGATGCTGATGAGGTCAAGGCTGCTGAGCACGGCTTGAACTTCATTAAGCTGGATGGTGACATTGGCTGCCTGGTCAACGGTGCCGGTCTCGCCATGGCCACCATGGACATCATCAAGCTGAACGGTGGTAGCCCCGCTAACTTCCTTGACGTCGGTGGTGGTGCTACCCCCGCTGCTATCAAGAGCGCTTTCGAGCTGATCACCAGCGACCCCAAGGTCTCTGCTGTCTTCGTCAACATCTTCGGTGGTATCGTCCGCTGTGACGCTATCGCTCAGGGTCTGATCAACGTTGTCAACGAGATGAACCTGCGCACCCCCATCATCGCCCGTCTGCAGGGTACCAACATGGAGCAGGCTCACAAGCTGGTATGGTTAAATTAATCTATTTTAAATAAATCTTTACTGACTGTTTTCTAGATCAACGAGTCTGGTCTTAAGATCTTTTCCATTGAGGACCTCCAGACTGCTGCCGAGAAGTCGGTTCAGTTCTCCAAGGTCGTCAAGATGGCCCGTGAGATCGACGTTGGTGTTGAGTTCACCCTGGGTATCTAAGGGATTTCCTCAAGGTTGAAGTCATAGATGAGGGCATGCATTTGGGAGCCCGTAGGCGCATTGTAACGACACATTAGAGAATACCTGTGGACGCTACGATGCCCGTTCCTGTGTCATTTATTTTTCTTTTGTCACTGTATTCTTGAGTGTTTCTATGTCCTTTTTTATTATGATGTCCTAATTGGAAGAGGATGTGAGATTTCAAAATGAATCCAGTGTCTAGTAGTCTGTAGATGGTTCAGGCTTCTACCTCAGGGCCACGATGCAGGCTGCCATGTTTCATCAAATCCCCAGATCACCAATGACCGAAGATCGGCGAAGATCACAAAGTCGCTATCCCCAAGCACTCGGATACAAGAGCTGATAATTGCATGTCGCTCCGCTAAATGCTGGCACTCGCCCATTGCGTTTGCTGGGGATGCAGATCTCTTGCCTTTGGACTTCATTATCGCCAACCTGTCACTGTATGTGGCACCCAGCCTCTCAACGGGGGCGTAGATCAGGTCCTGGCCCACACAAAAAGCGTTGGATATCGTAGGACGAGGAAGCATCTCATGGCAAATGACCTCATCGCCTTGCAGAGAAAAGTACCGTTTTGACTGGGTGTCGGCTGTGCCCATTTTTAGGAGCAGGGTACTGGTTTGGCCCTCATAGATCTCTTGTGCAGGCTGTGTCTGCCATATTTCACCGCGAATCAGTGGAATTTGATGATTCTGTGAATGGGAGCAATGAAACTCGTTGGCGTTGTTGATTGTATACTTTTCAGTATATACATGACAGGTATCGTCATCATTCACCATCACCAGCCTGTCGCCACGGTAGACTTTATCGCCGACACGGACGACCGTGAACTTGTCTTCGGAAGGGTGAAGCGCTAGCAGGAGGATGCCTGTCTTGATAGGAATCCTTCGAGCAATGGCCGAGTCCCACGCCCAGTGGATGATGTACTCCCGGTAATCGAAGGCCACCTTGCGATCACTCACCACGAAATAAGAAAAATCATTAGACGGCAATCGAAAGGCCTGGTGTTCATGAGTGTGGATATCCCAGATGTGGCAATATCCCCGCCTCGACATCACAGCGATTAATGATCTGGAGATTTTCAGCTCCATGAGCTGGTCTCGATTTTCCGTGGCTAGTCGATCGGTTTTGCCAGTCCGTAGATGAAATATGGCGATAGATCTTAGGTCGGTCTCTCCTTCTAACCAAGCAAGGATGCCATTTGAATACCCCAACATGCCAGGGTGGATGAATGTGTTGTGCTCCGCATCTAACGGAGAAGGCAGCGAGACCTGCTTATATGGTTTGCCTCGTTCCAGCCGCAGTCTTTTCTGAATCGCGGCCTTGCAATCTGATACAACGATGTCGCCTCCCACGGTGGCTCGGATTGCAGCGCTTTGTACCATGAAAGATGAAAGAACCCGGTGCCATTGCCGAGACACCCTTTGCAGGAGGATCAGGTCGGCGAGATTCAGGTACTCTGCGACCAGCGCAACAATCTCTAAGGGTAGGTTTCCTATCAAGTCGTGTTGAAAAGTGATGTGATCGGCACGTAACTTCACCTCTCTCCATTCAGCGCGATGTAACTGGTCCAAGATGCCATGATATCTGCAGGGTTTACTGATCAGCGATGTGCATAAAAGTAGCAGGCATTAGACGTGTATAGACATGTCATACATAGCACGTCGACTCTGAGGAGATAAGTCATTAAACTGACTCAAGATAGAATGAGTATGATCCATAAAAAAAATAAAAATTGATATGGTAAGTGTTAAACAGGATGTTTGGATGTTTGGATGTGAAGTTAGAAGTTGTGGATTGTAAAGTTGGGATAATCTGTATATCTATAAGGTGAAGGTGGAGCTGTGAAGAAAAGGTCCTCATTCCTTCACCAAAACCCCTTTTCTTATTTCTCCACCTTCTTTCTACCCGATCTTCCCACGTCATCAATCCATGAATTTGGAATATTTCTGACTCTCTCCTGTTTGGAATAAAATTTTTAAAAAAGTTCGAGAGAGTCAGAGAAACTTTGCAGATCCCGACCTTTCGCGCCTTTCCGGCCCCTCCCCCCTTCCCCGCAGACCTCAAGCTGAGATTTGTTCCCTTCACCTTTCGACCTCAATTCATGGGCGCGATGACAGACCGGGTTCCAATGCTTGGGTGTTGATCTGCGCCTCATCTGGGCCTCCGCGATACTATCCTACTCTCTTCCCACGTCCTTCCGCCACGAGCGCACTCTAAACGGTCATCGCGTTCTGCATCTTGCCCCATCCGAACTTCGGCTTCCCCAAAATTATTCTTATCAGCTCCCAAGCTTCATACGCCGATCGCCTGTCCCGAACTTCGCCTTACGCTATAGCTGTTTCACTTCTCCGCTTCCCAATATGAGTGGTCTCGCAGATCCTCCCTCCAGGAATACCTTCGGGCCTGCGAATGCTCCCGGCAAGACTCGAAACATCCCGGTCCTATCATCCTCTGTTCACCATTCCCCTGTCGCGATGGAGATCACGCCCCCTTCCTCTACTGCGGTGGGTATACCGATTCACGGTCTAGAAGGCGACCGGGGCGCAATGAATACTAATGGCTCTGAGGGGAATTCGAGCAATCCCCCCAACCCGGCCGTTGGGGCTGCTGCTGCAGCCCAGCAACCTAAAGTCGTACAGACCGCTTTTATTCACAAGCTTTACAAGTGCGCCCGCCAACCTGATTGCTCTACGATCCGTGCTAACCTGTCTCGAAACATAGTATGCTCGAGGATAACAGCATCCAGCACCTTATCTCTTGGTCAAACACCCACGATAGCTTTGTGATGTCCCCAACTTCAGAATTCTCCAAGGTCTTAGCGTAAGTCCCAGTGACTGAACCTCGACGTTGGTTTCTGCTGACGCCCCCAAAGCCAGTACTTTAAGCACACGAACATTTCGTCCTTTGTCCGGCAGCTGAATATGTACGGCTTCCACAAAGGTACGTTACAACCATTCTGAGATCATGGGGTATTTGCTGATCTAGGTGTCAGTGAGCGATGTGTTTCATACTGGGTCTCCGGACTCTGCTCTGTGGGAGTTTAAACATGGAAATGGCAATTTCAAACGGGGCGATCTGGCTGGCCTGCGAGAGATCAAACGTCGCGCATCCCGGCATGCGTTGATTCACCGCGACTCGTTCCCTGGCCATAAGGCTGCTACGTCACAACCAGGCACCCCTGCGGAGCCTGTTCCTGATGCGACAGAAGCTAGATTGATGAATCTGGAGCACTCCCTCTACGATATGCATAATCGTCTATCCCGTGCTGAAGAAGGCAATATCGCGCTCAATGCGAGATGCCAGAGCATGGCTGAGGGTCTAGCCCAATGCTATCATGTAAGTCTTATTTGTGGTCTGCATAGGTTCTATACTAATTATATGCCAGTGGACCCATTCTATCTCCCGCTTCCTCCAAGCTGCTGTGCCTGATAGGGAGAACCCTCTGTACCGTGACAGTATGACGGCATCTGCCCCGCAAAGGGAATATCGCACTGACAGTATTCTAGTCTCGAACATCCAGCGAGAGGTTGAGAAACAGCTTGAAACAGTGCGCGCTGTGGAAACATCACATGAAAATCTCATGCCACCGCGTCAGGCTTTCTTTGCGAATATGCCCCTTGAATCTGGGCCACCCTTATCTCCTCGGCAACTACCACAAGATGATGGCCGACGCCAGTCCATGATCCGGCCACCCGTTCCGCCACATCTTGCGGTGTCGCCGCGTCGCTATGGCTCCATTGGAGGAGCCAACCCCGCACCTAATTATGTCCGGCCACAAGCACCCCAAGCTCCCCAACAGAATCAACCCGGACCCTCGCATTTATCCATATCGACACCCCCTGGGCCTAATCTCGGTCGCCGCCACACTTTTGCGGACATCCGCCAGCATGATTGGCCGCCTTCGGGCACTTCTCCCTTCCCACCTGGCAACCCGCCTAGTGGACCTTGGCCTTCATCTCCCAACCGAGTGCCGGGTTCCAGCGACCAGCAAGTCCGGGATGTCCTTGCTCAGTACGAAATGGGGGCTCCTCGACGTCTTCAAGACCAATCGCGCCATGCCACACCACCCGGCGCTGCCGAACCATCTCCATCCTTGCTCAGTGTTGACAACGGGTGGAACATTGGTGGCTCTAGGTTTCCCCGCCAAGAATCCTCTTTGCCAGCAACCCGTCGCTCTAGCATGGCAAGCAACGTTCATTCACTATTGAACCCTGCAGATACCGCCGAGCGACCTGACGAAGAGCAACAAATGAGCGAGGATCGCAAGCGAAAACGCTTGGAATAGATGCCATTGGCTCAAAAGTTACACTTAAAACCTCATTGGATGAATTGGCTACACCATACTTTGCGCAAGGCCAGTGATCTACCAAACCTACCACATTTCATCATATTCCCAAATCTTCTCGAAAGGCGTTTGGAAACTCCCATCATTTGACATTGTACACTTGAAACCACTAAAGCCCTTTATTCTCTCTCTTTTTGTTTTCTTTCTTATTTCTTGGATATTCCCGGCGGAGTCGCGCTGTCGATACCGAGTGAACAAAGGCTCGGGTTTTATACTTCATTTCCCGCATATCTTATATACCCTTGGGTCGGGCGGAGCAGCAAAAAATCATGGTAACATCTAGAAGAGATTGGAGTGAATTTTGTACTTTAAGCCTGAGCCCCCTAATTTGACTAAACTAAGTGAACTCCTTGCGTGTAGTCTGACTGACCGTGTACACGCTGTGAGAGTCATTGGAACTCCGATTCCAGTGATCCAGCACCGAAATTCGACCTTGCCAGCTTCTGTAATTTCTAACGGAGCTCACAACAGCTCCGGGCAAATCGAGCTGTTTCCAGTAGTGACCGGAGCTAGTGACGCTCAGCCACAAGCTCACCAGCGCAATTCGAAGGGAAATATCCATATGAACAACCACCTCATCTCTTCTTTCTCTTCTTAGCTCTTTCAGCAAGAAGCTCATCCAAATAACTGGTCGCCTTCTTCTTCCCCTTCGCCTGTCGCACAGGAACCTCTTTCGTTGATGAATCCGGCCAATCCTCCTGTGCCGTATCCTGCTCCTGCCCCTTCTCCTCAACATTCACCTTCGCCTTAGCCTTCAGCGGAGCAGCCTTCCTCTGATTCCTAGCAAGAGAAGCCGTCCGCCCTTCTTCCTCGTCATCACTCTCATCCTGTTGATTGGCCTTAGCCGCTTGCGCCATTTTAGCAGCCTGCGCCGCCGCCGCACTTTCTTTCGCCGAAGCCTTCTTCTCCGCTTCGGCCTTCATGAACCGATCATAATTCTTGCCGAGTAATTGTTTTCGTAATTTATCGTTTGAGCTTAGCTCTGTGCGATTCCAGCTTCCGTCCGCTGCTTTTTCGGGGAGGGGGGCGCCGAGTCCGAGTCTGAATTGAATTAGTATAGGTATAAGTATAAAGATGAGGATCCGGATGAGATGTATTGGAGGGATCGCTTACGTCTCTGGTACAGCGGTGAAGATCTCATCTTCCTCTTTTTGTAGTTCCTCTTCGGATTTGGTGTTTGCTAGCTCTGTTTCTGTTTGTGCGGGGAGCCAGGATGCGACGAGACGTTGGCTTCGGGCGAGAGCGACATTGGCACGGTTTAGAATGACGTCGGACTCTGCTTTTGAAAGTGACATGTTGGTGATGTTGGTTATATTTTTTGTTCGCGAGAGGAGAAAGCGATGCTCACAACTTTTTGCGATAAGCGTTATCTAAGGCGGTGAATAGTGTCAAAATGCTTGGTATGAGCTTAGGATACAACCCGCTCCTCTGCACTATGCTGCAGTAATAGCTTCTCTGGAGGTTTGAGATAATACATATGTGAAAAAGGGTTAAAAAGCCACAGAAAAATACACGAAAATTCGAAGATTGATATCTGCCTCTTTGTTTCTTGGATATACTTTAGACTTGTTGAATATACGTTCGAAACCCTAATCTCCGAATTTTCCCTTTTTTCCCTCTTCTCCTTCAGCTTCTCCTTTAATTTTTTTTTCTTGTCTTTCTTTCTATTCCACTATATATGAATAAGGAGGGCCCCATGATTTTTTTAAATAATCCGGGAGGAAAGAAGGTAGGATGCTGAGTGGGAGATACAGTATTCATGAACATTAGTCACATACCATATGTAGATAGGCGCTAGGCGCATTGCGCGGCAGAAAGCCTCCGAAAGCGTACAAGGGTGAATATTAGTTAGGTGGGTATCACATAGGTAGATGACAGAATTGCTAGATATTTAGTACAATACAGAATTAGCGAGGGCGGCGACGTTAGATCAAATGATTCGACGGTTTTGTCAACGGATCGCTATTGCACACCGTAATTGGGCCATCATTGTTCATTGCCATCTTCCTAGAACGGCATAATCTATTGTACATTGAGTTCCTCCTCGTCTGATATAGATGTGGTCTCGTTGGGAATAATTTCGTGCCTATCCCAGGATGTGTTCCAGCTTAGTTTTAGGTTAGGCTCGGCAAAGCGGTAGCTATCTTGCTGCAAGGTTGATATAACAGCATTCTGCAAAGTTCTAAACAAACGGCGACGGTAATAGAAGAGAGAATCCTCCTGACTTCTACTGTTCAGTGCCGCATAACCGGCTTTCATAGTCTGTATCAAAGATTAGAGGAATAAGTAGGGGAAACGTTGGGAAATGTGGCTAGCTTCTGCTTACCTTGTCAATAGCTTTATGCAACTCGATGATGCTTCGTGCAGCCTCATCCGTGGTGTATGTCGGATCTTTCATGTTGATTCCTAGTCGTAACCATGAGTCCATACGTAGTATTTGCTCTTTCCAGACCATTCGCCCCCCTAGGAGACACATTGTCAAGGGGCTGACTAGAGACCCTTCTATCAACATGGGCGGGTTACTGGCACGCTTCTCCTGATATGTGAGTAGATCCCGAGTCAATGGTGCGGGTAGGATGTGAGCGGCGCTCGTCGGCATCAGGTAATCCATCTTTTCGGTCTTGGTGAAATATGCCTGTGCCGTGAGCGGCTTTGGAGCGGCAACGTGGGGGTATTGAGCGTGGAGAATAAGTGCCTTGATAAGAGGAATACAGTCGGAGTTCTTGTTGAGCGGCGCGTGGCCATATGGATGATGATATGGATTGCCGAATCGACGCACCAGGCCTTGGTCTCTGAGTGAACTTATCACCAGCTCAGCAAGAGCGTAAGACTCCTCATACCGGTGGAACTCGATATTATTGGATTCAGCGTATTCCCTGGCCTTGTGACGTTCGATATCCCTCAAAGCCTTGAAGGCATTGATCGTAGCGATATGATCACAGTGACTCTGCCCCGCAAATTCAATACGGCTCTTTCGAATCCTTTCCCCGTCGGCAGACCCCAATGGCCAGCGGAAGAGGCCATCCTTGCTCGAAGTTGCCAATATGATCATTGGGTCCAGGCAGCTGAACATAATACCAAGGACGACCAACTTGCCGGCCGATGGGTGAACTGGAATTTGGCTGAGAAGAGCACCAAGGTCGGTTAGATTCTCCTTCTCATCCATTGCCCCTATCTGTTTTAAGTGTCTGATAGTCTCCAGAACTGCGTTGGTATCAGGAGGCTCAATGGCCTGCTTTAGCACATCAAGAATGGGAAGCTCAGGGACAGTGCTTTTCACGCGCAGGCATAGATCATCCAGGGGAGCTCGTTGAATAGTGGGAGACTTCGTTTTCCGAAGACTGTCATAGCATTGTTGGGTTCCTAGGAAAAAGTACTCTCCATCTTGGACCCTGCCAGCTCGTCCAGCGCGCTGGACGGCACTAGATTGGCTAACCCAACAGGGTCCCAGTCTGCTAGAGCGCGCTATATGGTCATAAATTAGGTTATTGACCCTACCAGAATCAATCACGTACTTAACATCCGGGATGGTGACTGAGGCTTCAGCCACATCGGTGGCAAGGAATACTCTCCGACAACCTTCCGGGTATGGCTTTGACAATTTGGCCATCTCAACAGGCAGTGCTGAATGCAACCTAAGCAACCGGAACCGATCTTCGTCGGAGAAATCAAGATCAAATCCCTCAACACGGGAAAAATCCAAGATTCGCTTGTGAAGCTCATCTATGGTTGCTATACCCGGAAGGAAAACCAGAATGGCGCCGGAAGTCGTTGTGGTCAAAAGGTGGAATACCAAAGCAGCAATCAGGCCATATGGAATCAATTTGTCCTCCTGTTCCAATATCTGGCTGTGTTGAGCAGGGGAGGGAACCAAGTCAGTCGATTCTGCCATGGAGTTTGAAGTCTCAGTAATTTCGTCGTCTAGATGCGCATAATGTTTATCCAGAAATTTTTTGGTCTCGGGCCCATGCAGCAGGTGTGACAAGAGTTCAGGTTCGAATGTAGCTGCTAGATTATCAAGCACCTCGTCAAGATTGTGCTTCTTCACATTATATTGACGGCCCGGGATGGAGAGATCTGGAGCAGCAACAAGTGACCCATCAGGCCCAATGTTGGCGAAGTACGAGGAAAACAGATCAAGATCTATAGTGGCGCTCAAGATCACGATTCGGGGCACGGGAGCACCAGTCACTCGGCACTTAGCGACATAGCGTTTTAACAGAAGCATTGTGAGGTCAATTTGGATGTCACGGACATGTACCTCGTCAAGAATGATGTGAGTCAGCGATGAGAGAGCTTCAGGCCGATTCTGTAGCATGTTCAACAGGATACCCGTGGTACAGTATGTGATGCTGCCCCCGTTTTTGGTTGGCCTCCGAGAGTCATATCGAACGATGCAACCAACAGTATTGCCAACGTGCTCACCTCTTTCATGGGAGACTCGCTCCGCCAGGAACTGTGCCGCGATTCGCCGTGGTTGAACGCAAAGCACGTTGCATTTTCCCCCAACTCCTTGGTCGGTCGCATCATCCAGGATTATTTGGGGAATTTGAGTAGACTTTCCAGATCCCGTCTCAGCAGCAATGATACTAAAAGTATGTTGGTTGATGAGCTCCAAAACCTGGTGTCTAATCTGGATCACTGGTAGTTGGTCTTGCTGGAACCGAATATCAATTGTGCTTGCATCCTCCGATTGGCGTCGTTCATTCAGGCTCTTGCTCAACGCCTGAGATCTGAGATCTTCCTGCTCAGACTTTTCGGACTCGTCTGGCTTTCCTAGTGATTGATAGGACGGTGGAAATTTCTGCTTCTTGAAGTTTCTTTCTGTTTGGAGCAAGTCATCCCTCGAATCTTGCATCGCCATCATCAATTCGTCGGTTACAGGAACCTTAGCAGCCAGATGAACGGGTTGGTTCCAGTAGGGTGTTTTTATCAATTTTGAGACGAGGATTGCGACTGCCTTCCTCTCCAATTGAGACTGAATGATATTAGAAATATATGCGAGGATAGTATATGGGAAATGATAACGAACCCTGAACATTGTACGATCAGCCATTACTAGAGTCTGGGCTTCTGGCACCCTCTTGTTGTTATGCAAAAAGACGTTTGCGATACAATCCTCTGAACCCGACAGTTCGAGGCGGAAAACTCCCATATCCACCATGTCATAGAAACGCTCCAAATTTTTGTCTTTCAAGTCGTCTTTCAAGTCATCAAATATATCTTCCAAAGCTTTCAGGTTCTGAGACTGTAAAGAAGCGACCATCCGGTAGATTGCAACTTGGCGCGCGCTTGCAACTTGCGACGCAGTTTGGCGTTCGATTGGCTATGAAGCAGTCAGAGAAAATTGAGCGCCATCGTATGGCGTATGAGAAACATACCTTTTGCTTACGACGGCTCTCTGGATCTGAGACACATTTCGAAGTAAAGATCTTCTCGCCCGTGATCCGATCAAATAAGGCAACGTCATACCCACCGGGAACCTGCTTAAAGCGGACAGTTGCTGTGTTGCTTTTCATCCAAATGTCTTTCAAACGAGGCAAGTTTCTCAATGCATCATAGCCCGCAGTCTCAAGACCTTCATCCCAGTCACCGGATTTGCGTAGCTTGGAAATCATAGCCAATCGGGATACCCCGACTGCTTGGGTCTGTCCGTTTAGCAATGAGAAAGAGTCTTTAAATCGCAAGGAGAATAAACATACCAGTGTCGGCGCCGAGGCTGAAGCTACAAGCGTTGGTTTAGAATTGTGACTAAGACGCAGCTCGTACATCCAAAGCCCCTCGGCAGGCAATCGAATTTTCTTGATCTCGTGGTTCCAGGCTTCTTCATTTTGGCTGGATTTGGATTTTTCTCTTGTCAACCAAATTCTGTAGGCCAACAACATCGCTTTTGCTTCTGCCTCGTCTTGAAAGCCATAAGACTGAATAACCTCCGAGAACGGAACAGCTGAATTCTCAGAGGCATGCAGTTGTCGCGAGTGCGGGTCATTCTGAGGATCTTGAGTAGACTCTGCGGTTGAGCTACAGGATTTAGACGCGGATGTATGGATCGATGCACCCGCAAATTGAGGGTATTTGAGTCGGTATAAACGCCAAACTCTCATCTGCCATTGCAGCTCGTGGTCGTTCCCAGCACAGACCGCAGACAATATTACCGGAAGGTAGGGTTTCAAGGGTCGAGTCGGGATCGTTTGAAGCTGTCGAAATAGAGGCCGCGGTTTTGAGGTTCGGGCTGTCCGATGGGATATGCACCCGGTGTATTGGCCCGTAGGACGAGCCAGGGTCTGTTGTAAGCCCCGCATGCCATTGCATGTGCTCATTCCTGTAGTCACGTTGGAGAGCGTCCTCGGGTTCAATGCGAAAATGAGATACAGCGCGCGCGCATCGCGGGAGATTGGATGGCACTTGGCACGATATGCCGGGACTCGACAGTGAAAATAAGTGACAATGTATTCGATGTGATCGGGGGCGGTCCTGACCTCGCGAGTCAAGGAAATTAAAGTCCCGGTCAAATCTGCGGCAAACGAACACTTAAAGGCTTGGCATGCGGAGTGAACTACGGAGTAGACTTATAGCCTTATCCGCCCCGCGCGTCCCGCGATTAACGATTAACAGTAGTGATGGCATAGTATATTACTAATGATTTTATAAAACAATATGCGTTGAATAGATTGTTCAATTGATACAGTAAGAGATAGGATATATGACACAGACGGGGTAGGAGATATAGTATTCCGGACTCAGAAGATACTATAAGAGACTGAGTGGGAGACTAAGTAGACAGCTTACTCTGCTACTTATGGCGATGAGTGCCCGATTCCGCTGACTTGAATGAACCTTGGAAACATTTAAATTTCAAACGTCACATCATGAGCAAGAATCTCTATATACAGAGTCTAATATTTACCATCTGTGTCCAGTACCTTTCTAAACACATGCCGAGTCCCTCTATATATTAAACAGGGTATCAAAGCCAGAACAGATCTAAACGGTCGTGTGCTTCTGCTGCTTCAGCCTCTTCTCAGTTTTCATGAACTCTCGGATCCCAACTGGAATATTGGCAAACAGATCCTCATCTTGACTTGGTGCGGGCCAATTGGTGTCACTGCCACCACCATCATCATCCATGCTTTGACTGGCCGAATCAACCTCGGCTCGAGGTTCGGTGCGCATGTCCTTAGTTCCCTTCTCCGAGCTGCCCTTGGCCTTAGCCTTTGCAGCTCTAGCAGCCCATTCTTCCATCTCATCTCGGAAATCATCCCAGACGCAATGTACACAGCCGCTCATGCAACAATTCTCGGGTTCTTCGGGCCGGGGCGGGATGGGCACTCCATTGATGGTGTGCCACTGGTGTTCTGGCGGAAGCTCGCCTGGGTTGTATCTAGATTGACGACCAGGACCAGCCAGGCGTGTGCCGAATACAATGGACATTTTCTCCTGGGGGGTTTTCGCTTCGCTCATGTTTGTCGGCGCCGGTTTGTCCTCGGGTTGAGCGGTGGTAGGTCGCGCAGTCGGTGCCCCGCCGCGATATGGCGAATGTTTCAAGATCAAAGAGTAGTACCCTGATAGAGGATATGCTTGAGAGTCGTCGGTGGCTTCTTTGGAGGAACCATGGGTATGAGTGTCGGTTCGGCTATGGGCCATGCGCCGAGGTGTAAAAATCAGGGCATATTTTCGATTCGGGGTCAAGGAATAGACCGGTCGATATGACGAAGGGTGGTAGCCGACTTTTACTCTTCGGAAGGACTGTCTGCCCGCTGCAAGACACTCCATTGTAGGCCGTGGGAGGAATGAATGAATGATCTTGTTCCTGAGCGGAGATCATTAAGTCATAGGTGCAAACACTGCAAACATAGTTGTTTATGCGCCGCGATTTTGGCGCGAGTTAGGATGAATGTTAACTTCGCAATAATGAATTCGCCGCCAAAACGCCGAAAAAGCAGAGACGTCTCAGGCGGCGACGCTAGCGCGTTGCAGTCTGCTGCTTCTAGTACTACAAAACCTTCACGCCGACCCTCTTTCCAGTCACCAACGCGGTCCAGTCTAGCCAAATCACACCCGGAAGTCCTCGAGCGGGCACTCAGCAGATCTCCAAGTCGACGACCGGAAAGTCAAGGAAGCCGAGGAGAAAATCCAGACTCAAGTTCAATCGGGCTTCGAGGTCGCAAAGCCCTGCGACCGTCACTGAGCGGCACCTCCAGTCCTCTGAAAGCGCCGCAAATGTCTGGGAATGCGCCCATTCTGTCGCCTACCAGACGTCCTAGTGGTGTTCAATCATTCACAAAACCACCCCGCAGGCTATCGAGGAAGATTGTGCCCAGCGACTTTTTCTTTGGGTCGCCTACCAGGAAGCCAACCCAGCTGACAGAGGATGTTTCCAACACTCCGGAAGGTCAATTGGCTTTGGAGCTAGGAAGCGCAACACGTGAAACCGCCATGGACGATCCTGGAGACGCAGATTTGGGTGGTGGATTCATGGACAACGATGATCTAGAACCAGAACTTCCCCCCACCCCCACACAACTGGGGTTAGAAAAGGCACCAGATCGCGGAAGAGGGCTACTAAGCAGTAGCCCCAGTACAAGACACGAAAAAAGAATGAAACGAAAAGCAACCGACTCTGTTCCAGGAAGTCCCTTGAAAGCATTGAGGTTCCCAACTCGAGATCCCGATGATGCACCAGGCTCAGATACTAGCTCGGTTGAGGATGGATTATCCCCGGCTGCTCTAGAGAAGCGTAAACTACGCAAAAGCCTCAAAGCAGAGTTGCAGCGCTTGAAAGACGATGTTGCAGATCTGACGGAATGGACGGGTAAAATGGAGTCTGATGTGAATCTTGCGGATTCTAAGGGTCTCGATCATTTCTTGTAAGATCAGCATCCCACACCGTACCCTATATCTCTAACTGTCGAAAAGAAGCTTGCTCTCCGAGGAATCATCATACATAAACCGCCCTGTTCCACAACGAGCTCCAGTGCCACTCTCATCACTTCTTTCCACTCTGCTCCCATTTTCTAATAACATCCCCTGTCCAGCCCGTCCAGCATCACCTTTACCTACAAACCCATTCGCCTTGAAAGAATTCTCACAGTCACTGTCATACCTCACTGTGTTTGCTCCCCTAGATCTCCATACGAAGACCAGCTATACAACTCTTTCAAAAACAAGTACCATCCTCGAGACACATACATTGACCTTCACTCCTCCACCTCCATTCCCATCTTCTCTATACAATATCTCCGTTATTTACGAGACAGATCCGGAGACACAATCCATCACCTCCGTCTCAGTACCCACGGGCAGCGACAGCAAAAAAAGAAAAGTACCTACCGTCCTCCGTCGATGGATCGACGCTCGTCTTGCCAACTCCCTTCTGAAACTCGACGTGGCAACACTATGTTGGGGTATAAACCGGTACTGGGAAGCTTCGGTGGCTCGCGCCCGTCTATGGACACGCATCGATCACAAGCACGGCAGTGGTGCAGGGAAGGGAAAGCTCCCCGAGTTTCAAACTGGAGTCATTTTGGCTTCAGAGCTTCGACAATTGATCCCACATCTGGAGCGTAGCTCAATGATTATCACATCCCGATCTTCGGGAGCCGAGCCTCGAGTTCTCTTGTCCAATGCTCTGGTTATTGATGATTGGACTGGAGAGCCACAGCTCCGGCCGGAGCTCAGTGTTTCGACCTCTGGCTATGGAGGAGCCAGCAAGAAGATCGATCAAGGAACCAAGAAGCTTTTCCATGCGCTTTTGAAGGAGGATAGTTTCGCTTCTACACAGGGCAGCATGGAAGGTGTGCACTACGATGCGGTTGTCCGAGCTACAGAAGGTGCCCTTGGCGCTTTGTTTGGTCGTGATTGATGTTCTTGATTTTGTTCGAGTAGCGATGGCGCATAGCGTTAATTTGCATGTGGGTGTTATTTTTAATTTAAGATACCATGGTAGTGTTATTGAACACTTCTGAAATGAATCGAGACGGAATGTTGCCTTGAACTTGCTCTCACTTGAAACATATATATAAGTGGAGACTGAATCAGAACGATCTAATGGAAAAACCTTATGCATGATAGAACTCAAGTGCTAATACTTAATGTATACCTAGACAAGATTTCATCCATATACATATACATATCCTTGCAAATATTACCGAGCAATAGAAGAATGGAGCGTAGAGCCTCCCGCACGAGGTCGAGTCTAGATGCACAGAGGGAAGAGGACCTCGTGAATCCAGACGAAATACCCGAGTCGCTGTGGCTGACTTCTTGAAGTGACAGTGGTCCACTGTGGAGCTGTATATAGGTCCTAATAGATCCATGCAGACTGGCTTACGATAGATTGCTTCCATCCATGCCCAGGTGTGCAGGTGAAATGTTATCTACCCATACGCTACAAGCAATATTGAAAAATTGAAAACGTTGAAAGACTCTTTATATCCATATGCTGAGAAACTACAAATTTTCATGGCGTAGACCTCTACCATTCCTCCTATCCCTCAGACCCAGCTGGATGATATCAACGCCAAAAACCGCGATTCTTCGTCCATGCTAGTATCTTCCAGGGTAGGCCAATAGGATCAAGCTCGAAAGCCAGAAAGAAACTTTACCGAGCAGGTTGAGAAAAATTGGGCGGTTTTGCATTTCGAAGGATCTTCCGAGTTCTTTCTTTTTAGAGACAAAAAAAGGGTAGTTTCAAGGGGAGAGGGGGAGTAGGGAAAGAGGGATTTAGATTGAGAGAAATGGAAGAGGCGCCACGCCATGCCACGGTACACTCATCCCCGATTCGAAAACCGACCCGATCATCATCATCAACACGAGCAGAAAATTATCACATTTATTTCTTGGCGTTGGCCTCCTCCTCAGCCTTGTTCTTGGCACGCTTCTCACGGATACCCTTGTAACGGGCCTCGGAGCGAGCGTCACGCAGGCGGCGGTAGACGGACTCCTCGGACTTGGGAAGATCGGCACGCTTGATGTCAGTGATGGCGTTCTCCTCAGCGGGGTTGGTGATGGGGAAGGTGGCGTTGACGCTGGTGGCAATGCCCTCACGCTTGCCCTCGGCAAGAGTGGCCTTGACGGCCTTGACGTCCTCAGCGGAGGAGTCGAGCTTCTTGAACTGACCGCTCTTGCGGGGGAAGAGGATCAGGCGGGCCTTGTAGTCCTGGAGACGGGCAACGTTGGCGACCAGGGACTCCTTGGAGTAGTTGGTGCGGCGGTGGTCAACGGAGATACCGACGGTGGAAGCGAGCTTCTTGGGGATACCGGCCTCCTAAAAAATGAGAAGAAAAAATGATAAGCCGCCACCCTATGATCAAAAATCAGGGTAGTCGAATTTACCTTGAGCTCAGCCAGGGTGAAACCACGGCCAGCACGGACACGGCGGTTGTACTTGACGGTAGGGCAGCGGACAACGGGACGCAGCTTGTCAACCGGGCGGGGAGCGACGGCGGCAGCCTTGGCGAGACGGTTCTCACGACGACGGTGCTTACGGCCGGGCTATAGTCGCAAAGAAATCCATGTTAGTCCGTCAAATTCCTCCGAGTAGTTTTTCCATTATAATCGGTCCCAGTCGGTAGGTATAAATCGGTAGGACGATATTCTTGGTGGGAAGAGATTTTTCGAGATCGTACCTGGTCGAAGTGCACGCGAACACGCTTCTGCCAATCCTTGCGGAAGTCTATTGAAAACTGTTAGTCAATTATTTCCTTTTGATCGCAATTATGACCATTGCAATATCGAGAGCATGACATGCGCATGATCGAAGGCCATTGAGGGACACTCACGGTTCTTCTGGATCTGGTTGTTGTGCTTGATCGCCTATATTCCAAAGACAAATCCATCAGTCATCGAGTTCCACCAGTATCACCGCGCCAGAATTGTCGATCGACGCAGTCCATTCATTTCCAACATATATTCGCAAACGGGAATCGAGGGGAACGCACCATGGTGACGGATGGGGATCGAGCCGGTGATGGTCGTCGGAGGGTTGCTGGTCAAATCTCCCTTCAACGGCAGAAACTCTGAAGTTCCCATTTTTCGTGTGGCCCGCTTTGCCTCTGACCGCCTCGCTTAGCGAGCCCTAACTAGTCCTAACCGGGATATCTGCCGTGGACTGTAGATGACTCAGCAGACTGGGCCGCTTCCGTTCCTGGGGATCTACAGTACCAGAGTGTAAATGTTTAGACTTCAAGGCAACTTGTATAATCTGGGCCTTAGAGGGTGGTGATCGTTATTAACCGCGAATTACTACAAAAGTGGAAGAAATACAGGATTTTTCTTATCCTATTCATTGTTTTTGTTCTTATTGTACAGTCATGGTCATGCATTATGAAGCAAATTCCCGATCGACTGGGGCTTGGTAGATGGACTTGATGATACAAGTATCTATTCATCCACGAGGTACAAATTCTCAGCCATGCAAACAAAATCCCGATTTTGAACGCCATTGCAGCCATTAACCAGGCCTGCAATATCCCGCAAAGATAGACAAAAAAACAAAACCAAAAAAAAACAATGCAAGCAAATTTCATACCGCTAGGACAAGTAACCGTGTTCCGTAACATTCGTTCATCAATCATAGTATTCCCTGGGGGAGGTAATCGTAACAAGGGCTAAAGAAAGGAGCAGCGCTGGGTCATGAATCGTATCCAAGATCAATCGGCATGAATGCCGAGAGTGGGGAGAGTCAGTCTTAGGTGTTAATACCCAGGCCCACTCCGCCACTAGTTCTGGATTTCTTCATGCTCACACTGCTATCTTCGGAGCTGGCCTTGCGCTTTTTGAAGGAATTGCGTTCCACGCCAGCTTTCTTCACCTGACCAAACAACTTGGTTTGGAGCAGAGTGCTGGTCTTGGGCGCAGTGTGTCGCATATCTTGATACCGGGCCTGCAGAGCTTCGTCCTCGGACTCCGCGGCTGATAGCGAGACAGTGCTGTCACTATCATATTGGTTGCCACGCGAAACCTGACCTGGGGTGAAATGCTGCTGCCCCTGGCGAATTGAGCGATTGGGGGTAACGGGAACCGAGGTTTGACTGCCGTAAGAGCCCTGTGGTTCATGGAGACGGTTGGTGAATTTGTCCGCGAAAAGTAGGGCGGCAAGACCATCGGTGTGGTCGCCTCGGCAGATGGTGTGAAGCTCGTTTTGCATGCCAGGTGACATGGACCCATAATTGTAAATCTGCGAGAAGTGACGACGGTTGTCTTCAATGCGCTTCTTCAACATATTGTTCTGCTCGGTCAACTCAGCAGACTGGGCAGTTGCGTCGTCGATGGCTCGCTTAGCTCGTCGCAGCCGGCGATCCAGAACAGCGTTAATTTCCTCGAGTTCGTGAGAGCGCTGCATCGCAGTCAGGTAGTCATTGCTGGAGATGGATTGCTTGGGAGTCAAGGGCTCGGTGGGGCGCGTTCGACGGTACTCGGCGCTCTGGAGAATCTCGACTTCGCGCTTGGCCAGCTGGTGCTCCACCTCTGCGCGCTTAACCGCCTCATTACTGGCGAACGAAACCAAGCTATTTTGCAATTTGAAGTGCAAGGCAGACATACGAGCTTCTTGGGCTACTGTGAGTAGATCCTTGGCGATCGTACGAAGCTGGGTCTCATCTGCCTTGTCGATGTCTTCAATGCTTGGGAGATTCTCGGACGCCCCATAAGCATCACAAAGAGACTTGTCCAGGTCAGCTGAGGTAGTCAAAGATGGACTGATAGAGCGAGAGTGGGATCGAAGAAGAGGCGCTCCAGGGATCTGGGTGGAGGGCGGTGGTGTCATGTCGGACGAAGAGAGAGGCTGTGGTGAGTGGAGCTTCTTGTTGGAGCGATCTTTGACTGCGACACTCAGATCTGGCGATGGAGACAAAGTAGCGCGGCGGAGTGGAGTTGACGGAGCGAGGATCTCAGCCGGTGCTGAGAGAGGGCTTTGAGATGAGCGAGTGGGTTGAAACATGACCGATGATGTCGAATTGATATTGATATAGGATCAGACAATGCGCCAACCGTGGGGAAGCGAGTCCTCGCACTGGAATGTGTTAGGTTATCATGTCATCTGATAAACGTGATAAGCGATCGGGCGCATACCGGAAATTGATAGAGCGGGGGATAGGGTCGGAGATAGAAACAAGCCGTGACTGGTTAGAAATGATCCGAAGAGTGATTCGGATGTGTTCAGTGAAGGAGTTGAGGTGGGTTGTAGGGATATTGGGGAGTGGAATGGTAGGAAGTTGCACTTATGATATCGTGGAGGGGGGCTGGGAGGCTGGGAACGGCACATGTGCAAGTGCGGCTGGGTGATCAGACAACCAATGGTGATCTAGTTTGTTTCGAATAATGGATCCACATTCCTCGATGCGGCTAGAGTGACGATCCCGGACGCTCAGGGCAAGTAAACAGCCGTGAACGACGTCGATGGGGGCAGGTTGGGCTGGCAACCGATAAGCTTGGCTGTTCTACGGAGCATACATGAAACAATTATGTCATGATCAAAATTGATGTTCAACCTGAATATTTATCCAAACTTCTCTTTGCCCTATGTCATACCCTCTCTTCTACGGTATTATGTAGTTGAACATTTGACACGCAATTAATATTCATAAAATTATGAGACCTACTGTTTCCCTCCCGTTCTTACTGATTTCACTCCCCTCCCTGGAACTAATTGACTTGTATTTATTCTGCCGCGACTTCGATACTATATATATATATATATATATTTTCCTCTATATACTTCCTTTAGTGTTAAGAGGAAGATTCAATAGAAGACCTAGGGCCTAGGTATTAGACCTTACCTCCTACTATATCTCCTACTCAGTCTCCTACTCAGTCTCCTACTTAGTATCCTATCCAGTTTTCTACCTTTTTCATACTATGTTATTCTAATAGTCAAAGGTCTCCCTAAATTCATAAATAGCGGAATAGAAAAGAAAAGAGAGAAAAGAGAAGAAGAGAGAATTGAAGTGGAAGGAAAAGGGAACATATATCCAAAAAGTCTGCGATGTACCCAAATGATAGAGAGGTAGACTAGCGCAATGAATACAAGTCACTTAATATTTGGGCGGGGAGTGAAATTCATAAAAAGGGGAGTGATTTTAGTAGGTCCCAAAATTATTATTGATGTTATGACATTGCTAATTCATTGCTAATTCATTACTAATCAAGAACTAGATGCCGCGCTATGTATGAAGCGCTCTATAGTATCCGGGTCTCATCTACGTGATATACAATCCGCGTATCAATTTTCTCCTGCGCCTCCCAACCCCCTATAATTATGGGCACACATGCTTCAAATGTTCACATATCTGTCTTGCCGCCTCCTCCGGCGTGAGAGTAGACACATCGAGTTCTAAATAGTTCGGGTGGCCGATGAAGCGATGGACATCCTCCTCGAGGCGGAACTTCCTGACAAGTTTCACGTCTGTCAACTTTGAATGAAGCTCTCGATCTGACGAAATTATGCGCTGCATATTGGTCTCTTCGTCGCAGAAAAGAATAATTGGAATAAAAGCTGCACGTCGCAATTCTGATGTGGCGAGATATTCCGCGCACACAGCCGTAACCACTCTGGAAATCAGTGAAGATGTAAGTAGTGTCGAATGTCGCAGACTCGCTTGAGAGGGTGGAAAATATAGTTTGTCGAATTGCTTGGCGCAGGGCTTGATAACCTGGCTGGGTGCGGTGGAGAACAGCATCGGCGGGGTTGATGAGGAGGTGGATATGGTCTAGTTTCGCAGAGGGCAATAACCTTAGAAGAAAGCGGGCAATCGTGAGCTTTCCAACACCTGGTAATCCATTCAAGTGGACTATTGGGCGTCGTGGTTCAGGTCCTTTAGGGACCGTCGCAGTAGTCATAGTGAGTATGCAGATATTTGCAGCGAAAATGATTTATGAATTCAAAATGAAAGGTTGAATGAGACAGTTTGGAAAAGAAAGGCTCCAATCCAAGCCCTTTGAGTCACGAATCATATAGATATAGGTTCGCTGCCTAAGGCCGCTATCTTTTATCGCGGGTGAAATGTAAATATAAACAACCTCATCTTTAAAAGAATCCGTGTACGGTTCATCCGGGGTAAAAGAACACGTTGGGAAAGTGGGCCTTCCGAAATTTATCCTATAGCTCTCTCCCGTTTTTCTGAGATCCCTACCTCCCCCTTTGGTGGTTGGCCTAACATAGTCCACACGTTCCTGAGGGGCTTCATCCCAAAAACAACACTTCTGGCGCCATGGAAGGGCAGCCGAAAGCTACCCGCCCTGCTAGTGGCATTCCACGACTGGCTTCTCGGCTACCGCTACCCACTTCGACCGCGTCGAAATCTGTTAGACCCTCTCCTTCCCGAGACCGATTACAGGCCGATCCTGGCCTGGACGACCGACGACTGAGAAGGCCTTCCTACGAGTCACTACTGAAGAAGCCCACTACTACGCGCTATTCACCAGCAAAGCTTCGGACCGAAACACTGCAAAGCCAGGAGGATATATCAAGCGAAGATGGAACATTTACCCCAGAGGATGCGGGGTCGGTGGTTGGAGAGGAAGAAAGTGTGTCTGGGGAAACCCGCGGTCGTACACGTCCATCACTCTCGTCGCTATCCGAACGGACGGTTGAGACTCTATCGCAAATTCCACCATCGCCGGCGTCCGTAAGACGGACAAGTTTCTTCAATGGGGCCAGTCCAATCCGTTCTCCCTCTCGAACACCGTCCAATGTGTCAAACTATTCGCGATCTCCATCGCGATTGTCATCCAATCAGGGTAGCAGCGGCGATTTGGTATCTCAACCATTTTCTAAGCTCCGTCTTCCATCTCAATCCCGTGTCGCAGCGGCTACGTCGATCGGGGTTCCAATGGGAAACACCGATATTCTGGACAGTCCTTCAAAATTGAAGAAGCCAACCAAAAGGCAGAGTATTCCGGCGCTAAGCAGTGCCTACGGAAGTAGCGCAACACCGAAGAAGAGCATTGCCACACCGAAAGTCTCACATGTGCGTCCTTCTCAGAGCACATCTTTAAAGCCCCCTCAATCAGATATGGGCCCACCGGAACGTCCCCTTCAGATCCGAAAGACGAGGAAGTCCCAGACAGAAGCGCCTACTTCGTTGAGATCTCCTTCGACCGGCTCGCGATACGTGTCTGCCGCGTCTACTCTGCAAGACGAACTTACACCGGAGCAGCACGCAGAAAACGAATTAAGAAAAGCATCCAAGTCCTCCAGCGCATTACGAGAAAGCATTGCAAAAGCCAAGGCAGCTCGAAAGGCAGCCGCGGCAACGGAGAAGAAAACAGAGGTTGTCCCGGAGATCAAGCCTGTCGGTACCTTCATTGATGGCGACCTCGAGGATCCCTTTAATCAGCTGCCGAAGGGTTCAAATACCAATGTCCTTCAAAAACGTCTCGAGGGAGCACGTGCGTCAGGGACTTTGAATATTGCAGCAATGTCTTTGAGTGAGATCCCTAAAGAGGTGCTCACCATGTACGAATTTGACCCTAACAGCACATCCAACTGGTTCGAGAACGTAGACCTGGTTAAGTTCATTGCCGCTGACAACGAGCTTTCTCAAGTACCAGATGCTGTTTTCCCGGACGTCAACGTTGAGGACATTGATCCGGATAGCGACGAGAAAGGTCCTCAATTTGGTGGGATTGAGGCACTGGATCTTCATGGCAATGTGCTTCATTCTCTTCCCATGGGGCTTAAGCGATTGCATAATCTTCGCTTACTGAATCTATCGAATAATGGGTTGACTATGGATCATATTGCTATCATCATGGAAATTCCGTCCCTAGTTAATCTGAAACTTGCAAACAACAAGCTGGAGGGTTTGTTCTCTTCGGCTGTCAGCAGTCTTCAGAAACTAGAATCGTTAGACCTTCGGGGCAATGCGTTGACCGAGCTGCCCGAAGAACTTGGAGAACTACAAAATCTCAAGATACTGGACGTCGGCGAGAATCAACTGTCATCTCTACCGTTCGAGGCACTCAGTAGAGTTCCACTGAGCACCCTAAATGCCCCCAAAAACAAACTGCGTGGTACCCTCATTCCAGCATCCGTTGATCGACTCGAGAAATTGCAGTCTTTGAACATCGCAAACAACAGTCTTGAGATTTTTGCTGCAAGCGAGACTCTTTCTCTGCCCAATCTTCACAGTCTATTTATCAGTGTCAATCGTATCAAGCGATTGCCCTGTGTATCTTCTTGGCAGTCACTCTTGGTTCTTCTAGCAGATGGAAACAAACTCACCGAGCTCCCTGCTGGATTCGTGGACCTGAAAAATGTGAAGACCGTGGATTTCACTGGCAACGATATCTCCCGCTTGGACGAGAAAATCGGATTTATGGAAAAGTTATCTTCTTTCCGGATCACTAATAATCCACTCCGCGAGCGCAAGCTCTTAAGCATGGATACAGAGGATATTAAGCTGGACATGCGCAACAGATGCGAGCCTGACCCACTGGACACAGATGATGAGGGCTCCGTGACCACTCAGTTCACGCTTGCGCCAGAGACCCCAGCATTAGAGAACGGATGGAAACTCAAGCCTCGAGGTATCCTTGACCGATCATATTCCGATTTGAAGGACTTGGAAACAGACAATTTAAAATTGATAAATGTGGAAGACGTTCGTTGTTTATATGCGCAACATAACGAACTCCGCATCTTGCCTGCTCCCGCCCTCAGCATTCTTGCTCAAGGACTGATCGAGCTTGATCTTTCACACAATCCCATGGACAGCTCAGAATTCATGTCTTCGTCATTAGAGCTGCCAAAGCTTCAAACTCTCAACGTCAGCGCAACGACTTTGACTACGCTTGAGTCTCTCTTGGCCAATCTTCGAGCGCCATCCCTTACCTTCCTCGATGCCTCCAACAATCGCCTCACCGGGTCCCTTCCGAATGCTCGGCAGACCTATCCGGAGCTTAAAACCTTCCTTGTTTCTGACAACAAATTATCTCAATTGGATTTTGAGTCTGTGCAGGGATTACAGGTCTTGGATGTGAGTAACAATGACATTGACCACCTGCCACCAAAGATTGGCTTGCTAGGTTCTGAGCGCTCCCCAAAGAATTGGGGTACTGGGTCTGCCCTTAGGCGGTTTGAGGTTGCTGGTAATCGTTTCCGTGTCCCGCGATGGCAGACTGTCGCAAAAGGCACTGATGCTGTGCTGGACTTTCTACGACAGCATATTCCTGCTCGTGAGCTGCCTGAATGGGAACACGAGAACGATGTTGTTGAGTATTGAGAGATCTTACTTTGATCGATATTCAATTTCACCTTGGGAAACTGGTCCCCAGAGACCATGGTAGAGATGCCCTGTATATAATCTTTTGCTTCGTTTCATCTCTTGTATACATAATTCAAATTATTGCATTTTCAAATTTATGATTGCTCAGTATACTATGCAAGGATGCATGCACTCAATTCCAAGGCTGGGAAAACTTGGTTCCCGCGTGTTGTGTCCCTTCAGCCGTGCAAAATATAGATCTGGACTTCTGTCCTGAGTCACATTTTGAAACAAATAGAGTGTTCTTGAAGACACAAGATGTAGCAAACATGCAATTGTAAAGTTCATATTGCAATACGACAGTATGAATTCTATAAATGTTTACTGGAACATGATTCAATGAATGATCTATAGTCAAGTCAAATTGTACCGGCGTGACCAGAAAGCGGCTTGAAATGGCAGAATATTGCACCTGTGCAAACACTGCAAACGCGGATTATTACTCGTTCATGAACTGAAGCTTTCCTGATCTAGCTTCCCTTTTCAACACTCCAGCACCTGCGATAATGGGATCCTCAAAGGCTCGTCCTGCTCCAAAGGCTCAGAAGGCTACCCCAGACATACACGCGCAAAATCTTCCCGAAAAGATATTCGTTTTAGACAATGGCGCGTACACAATGAAAGCGGGTTACGCCGCGGAACCCAGTCTCTCGTTCGAAAATGTCCTCTCCGCTTGCACCTCTATACCAAATACCCTCGTCAAGACTCGCGACAACCGAATTGTGATTGGCGCTCAGACTTCAACGCACGTCACCGACTGGAACGAGGCAGCATTCCGTCGGCCGGTCGAGAAGGGATACATTGTGAATTGGGAAGCAGAGAGAGAGATTTGGGAGCAGTCTTTCTTCGAAGAGAAAGCGACTACACGCAATAAGAACCTTAGAATTTCTGCGCCAGAAGACACCACGCTTATCCTGACGGAAGCTCCGAACGCCATGCCCATTTTACAACGCAACGCCGATGAGATGGTGATGGAGGAATGGGGATTCGGAGGATATGCGAGGTGCCTTGGTAGGGATTCAGCTTGAGGTACACATTTTGTTGATGCTGACAAATTACGCAGGACCAACACTTAATGCTTGGAACGAGCTTCACACTTTGTACGGCGACTCCCTTGCCAGCAAATCGGACTCGGCTATCCTACCTATGGACTGTCTGCTTGTTGTGGACTCGGGCTACTCACATACAACTGTAACGCCGGTTTACAAGGGGCGTGCTTTACAACGTGCAATCCGGCGCCTCGACATTGGCGGCAAGCATCTTACAAACTACCTCAAAGAAATTGTGTCAATGCGGCAGTATAACATGGTGGATGAAGCATATATTATGAACGAAGTTAAGGAGGCCGTCTCATTCGTGAGCAACGACTTCAAAGCGGATATGGAACGGACCTGGAAAGCGAATATCAAACGTCAGACCGACCAAAGCGTGGTGGTAGATTATGTTTTGCCAGATCCAAATGCAGGGAAGAAAGGCTTCATGCGGCCCCACGATCCTCTTCTGCATGCGAAAAAGAAGAAAGGTGCACTTTCTGGTCTCAGCGCCGAGGTGTTGTCCGAGGATGTGCTAGTTTTGGGTAACGAGCGCTTTAGCGTTCCAGAGCTTCTGTTCAACCCGGGCGATATTGGGATGACACAGGCTGGAATCCCCGATATGATTATTCAAAGTTTGTCGGTTCTTCCTCCTGCACTGCATGCCGCCTTCCTGGCAAATATATATGTAGTTGGTGGCAATGCTTCCATCCCGGGCTTCATGGAGAGACTGTAGGTTCCCTTTGATTTTGCGGCAGGTGTGATGAAGTGCGCTGACTTTTTTCCCCGCAGAGAAACTGATTTACGTCCAATTGCATCGGCGGATTGTGTTGTGAGGGTACGCCGGGCCCAAGAGTATGTTGCCTTATCTCACGCACAAGACCTAATCAGACGATATGTATCATACTGACTAACCTTGCAATAGTCCTATTTATTCGACCTGGCTAGGAGGATCTCGCCTTGCCAATAATCGAGAAGAACTGAGCAAAGTCGCAATTACCCGACAAGAATATCAAGAATACGGATCTGGATGGGCCGGCCGACGATTTGCAGGAACTATTTAATGATGGCCCTAAAATGAAACAGTGCAATTCGGCCACTACTTGGAGTTGGGAGCCTTTTCTACATGAAGACAATTACGATGCATCAGTGATACCCCCTGTTTTTAGTGATATTGTTTTGGACAAAATATGACTGGTGTATATGGTTACCACGGTTTAAGTCAGATCTTCCCTTGGTTGTAGTTGGCAAGGGAGAACCTTCGAAGCAAATGCCGAATATCTTCATATGACGAGGACTTGACTCGTTCATTTCTAATGAAACGTGGAATGTTGGCATTTGCCTATGATATGATCATAATAGCATTGTAATATCGTAAGCCAGGTCAGTATCAAAGCGTCATGTCTACTCAATCCTTAGCACTTGGCGCAAAGCTATAGAGACTCGACAGGACCTGAGTTGTCCTCTAATTGATAGATCTATGATATCTACCAAAGAGTAGCTTACATCGTTAACAGTTTCGTCAATTTTCTCCAAAAATGTCTCTATTATTTTGCTTTGCTGCTTCGGATACCACAAAATCCAAAGCACCGAAAGAAGGAGCCCCATCTTTAGAGAAAATCAATCTCATTACGCAGTCAGCACAATTGCCAATACCGGGCTATACCTCACAGCAATCCCAACAAGCAGCAATTTTTGGGCTAGGAAAACGGCTGAAAGAGGCTTGGAGAAGCGCACTACCAGCGAAACAGTCAGTGTAAGGATCTCGTCCAGAAACCGGGCCATTCGTATTGACACCCCCAGACAATGCCTAGGATGCTACAAAGAAACCCCGATCTCTAAAATGGTCAATGCATCCTGTGGGCATATATACTGCCCTATCTGTATCATCAGAATGGCGCGTCTTGCCATGAAAAACAAAGCCTTGTTCCCAGTCCGATGCTGTGGACAGGAAATTTCCTCGCAGGAAGTTATATCAGCACTGCACAGTAGCCGCGAAAAGCATAGGTATCAATCTCGGAAAGACGAATGCGCTGTTCTACCAGCAGATCGTTGGTATTGTCCCCAGACACATTGCCGTCAATGGATTCCCTTGACCAGTTTTGTACCGTCCAAGCCGCTCAAATGCCCTCACTGTCGAGCTAAGATTTGCCTCAACTGTCGTGATTTGGCGCATAGCTCTCGTGAATGCGCTGTCGATGATTCACTGGATGAGGTACTTGAACTAGCCAGACGCCAGCACTGGCAGCGATGTTATAATTGCCATACACTGGTTGAGAGGATTGATGGATGTAGACACATGGAATGTGTTTGCGGAGCTGAATTCTGGTATGCATCCCCTTCAGATGTTTTTTTTGTCATTACTCTCCGAATCCAGGAACAATGCTTATATCGTAAATAGTTACCATTGCTCTGAAGAATGGGGAATGTGCCGTGAGAGTTGCAGATGGAATTTTGAAGAAGTGCCCGTTGCTGCTCACCTAGGAGATGGTAACCTCGATATCACCACGTTGGTCGCTGCTATGGAAGTAGCTGAAAGAGAGGAAGAGGCGATCTTGAGACATAACAGATCTTACAGATCTGTATAATCCCCTGATACTGGTTAGATAAGGGCCCCCGGAAGACCTATTGGAACATGTTCCAGGACATGTCCTGAAATATTTAGGAACCGAAAAGATATACCTATGATGCCCATGCTTATGTGGTGAAACCAATAAATTGCTATCAATTGATATAGAGCTGGCCATATTCATCAATTGTCTACGATATTAGCATACACATATGTACTTCATTACAGATAACAGGTCGGCCTCGATATCGTCGATGGAATATTGACATCGTTAGTACTCGTAGAAGCCCTTTCCAGACTTCTTGCCCAACCAACCAGCATCAACCATCCGACGCAGAAGACCTGCCGGTCGGTACTTGCTGTCTCCAGACTCCTGGTGGAGGACGTTCATGATCGCCAAACAAGTATCCAAACCAATGAAATCAGCCAGTGTCAGCGGACCCATTGGGACATTTGTTCCAGTCTTCATAATGTTATCAATATCCTCACGACCACCTACACCGGTCTCCAAGCAGATGACAGCCTCATTGATGTACGGCATGAGGATACGATTGGCGAGGAAACCGGGAGAGTCAGCGGAGACCGAAGCCACCTTGCCCATGCGCTGCACAAAAGCGACGGCGGTGTCCATCGTCTCCTGTGAGGTCTGCAAGCCTCGGATAATCTCAACTCCCTTCTGAATCGGAACCGGGTTCATGAAATGAGTTGCAATCACCCGCGACGAAGCCTGCAGATCTGTCGGATCAGTGGTGGTGGCGGCTGCGATCTTGGTAATAGAGATTGACGAAGTATTGGTAGCCAAAATAGCGTGCTTAGGAGCAATTTGTGCGAGCTTAGCGAAGATGGACTGTTTGAGATCGGGAATTTCGGGAACCGCTTCGATAACAAAGTCTACCGAGGATAGATCGTCCATCTTCAGGGTTGGAATTAGAAGTCCGCGGGCCGCATCGGCGGCTTCTCGGGTAATACGTTGCTTGGAGACATCCTTCTCAAGAAGCTTATCTGGGGCAAGAAATGCATGAGTGATTCATCTCGAAATAATATATGGATGTTGGGCAAGCGTTGATCCAAACACCGACCCAGGCGGGATTGCTTACCCGCAAACTTGAGACCCTTATCCAAGGAAGCTTGAGAGCTGTCAACCAGAGTCACCGGGACCTGAGCCTTTTGTGCCGCGACAAGTGCAATTCCCAAGCCCTATTATTCAATTAGCGAATTTTCATTGCCAGTGTGGTCTTCTTGACTTACCATCTGGCCGGCACCGATCACACCCAACAACTTAACCTCGGCCGCGCTTGCAGCTGCAGTGGAGCTGAAACAGCGGGCAACCCTGGGGCCATTTTGGCAGACTGAGCGAAGAGAAATAGCAAACATTTTAGGCAAGGAGGGAAAATTCGCTGTACACAATAAAAAGAGAAAGAAAAATCGAAGGTTTAAAAGAAATGAGTATACATCTTCACGTGTAAATGTTATCCGACGTCATCGGTTATCTTCGGCCTTTTTCCAAAGGCGGTGAAGTTTCGCCGAGAATCCGCGGCGGAGGAGAAACGCGTAAAGACGCGTTTCCCATTTCGCAGTCACCTTTGAGACTCTAAATCCAACCCACCCATTATGGAGCAGGAGCCAATCGCTCTGGGTCTTGATGTTCAGGTCGTTGACCCAGATGTTCGGGGCTATGTTTATAGCCTGGTAACTGCGGTAAGTTTTCTCCCCCTCTGCATTGTGCATGTACTTACGCGTGATTTCTAGCTCGGAGGTTTCAATGGCGATGATGCGGATCGCTATGTTTTGGGTGACGATGCCCTGGCATGTCTGCGCGATATCAAGCGGTGGCTGAAGCTCTACGACGAAAAGAATAACCGAATGGATGTGGCGCGATGCCTCGGAGAAGCCAATCTAATCAATGGAGACCTGCTTCCAATTCTTTCGCTCTGGTGGTCCAATGGACAAAAGAACAAGCACATGACGCGCATTGCTCTAGCATGCTGTAGGTCACACTTCGATGGTTTTCAAAAGAAACAACGCAGCTCACACACATAAGTGGAACTTCTCGTGCCGTTGACTTGGCCAGTCGAGTTCCATAGCCAGATGACCGTCAACCACCACCGGCACACCCCTTACATCCAGCAAGCACAAGTTCAGTACAAACGAGGTGTTTTAAAACATGGTGGATCGAACATCCTACGCACGATCATACGGATTGCCCTTCCCAGCATGGCCCTGCCTCGGTCCGAGCGGGAGTCCCGAGACGAAGGGATACTCAAATTAATGCTCTATTTCCTGCGAAATATCGCCATCATATCTACAAATGCACGCTTGGCGGCTGATGGTGAAGAAGAGGAGACTTCCAGATCGGCTACTATTGAAGCATTCCAAGAACAGGACGCATTCGCCCTGCTTCTGACTATGTGCTCCAATGTCGGTGATGACTTCAACCTACAGGACGTGGTATTGCTCGAGATACTTTTCCACATTGTGAAAGGCGTTAACGTCGAGAAACTGTTCATGGACGACGAGCAGAAAAAGGCCAAGGGCGCGAATGAACTGGGTGACCTTTTGCGTAAGGAGGATAAAGTGCGAAGAGAATACGCCAAAAATGCGCCAACCCGACATGGACGCTTTGGCACTATGATCTGGGTGAAGCGGGATGATGCCAAGGTATCTACCGTTTCTGGGCAGAATGTTTTGCGAGACGACCAAACCACCCTTCAGAAGATGGACGAAAGCAAGAAATGGAACAAACCTCAACCCCGTCGCAAGCAGGAAGATGTAGTACAAAACAATAACTTCAATATGCCCGCGCACCTCTCCTCATCCGCATCCAAGCACTTGCGAACCTTTGTGGAGGAATTCCTGGACTCTGGATTCAACCCTCTGTTTACCCACGTCCGTAAGGCGATTGAGCGTGAAGCAGAACGGGTTCTGGAAATCAATTCTCGCCAATTCTTCTACACGGTTGGCTGGTTTTTGGAAGCGGAGCGCACCCGACGGAGTCGACAGATGAAGCAACACATTCGGAGCGGAAAGAACGCCAAGGACATGGAGCCAGACAGTTACGGTCTGGTTGCTGGAGTCTTGAATCAAGAGACATTCATTTCCTTAAACCGTGCCATGCAGAATAGCCTGGACAACAAGGAGTGGGAGGATCTGACAGCACAGATGCGCTGTTTCACACAGATTCTCTTAACTGTCCAGGAAATGGCCGCATCACCAATTGAAGAAGACCAGGATATTGCCGAAAACATCCAAAACCGTATCTTCTACGAAGAAACAACTCACGACCGGATCATTGCTATCATGCGTGGATACAAAGACCAAGGATTTGGATACCTGGATGCTTCTACAGAGCTCCTACACGTATTCTTGCGAATGCTTGAACGCTACTCGAAGGAAAATGCCGACATGCAGGTTCGATCCAAGCGAAGAGCCAGACGCATTAAGAAAAAGGCTGCCCAAGCCAACGGAAAAGATGGACCCGACAACGAGGAAGTACAAAACTCCGAAGATGAGGACTTGGAGGAGGCCGCGGCGACCGTCAAGGAGCGTGCTTTCGATTTCAAGCGCTTCGTGTCCAAATTCTGCAACCAGAAGTGCGTTGACACGTTTATCGCCTTTACAGAGTTCTATCGTGAATTGAACTCGGAGCAGTTGAAACGTGCTCATCGGTATTTTTATCGCATTGCATTCAAGCAGGAGATGTCTGTCCTCTTGTTCCGTTTGGATATTATCAAACTTTTCCATCGAATGATCAAGGGACCTGGAGGAATAGACTCTAGTGAGCCTGTCTTTAAGGAATGGGAGGAGCTGGTCCGCCAGCTTATTCGACGACTCATCAAGAAGATTGACCAACGTCCTGCCATGATCACTGAATTGCTGTTCAGCAAAATCAACTCCACAGTGTACTACCTGGAGTACGGACATGAAAAGCAGACCATATCTAATACCAGACGCGCGCCCGCAGATTTAGTATTCACCTCAAAGGAAACAAAAACCACCAAAGACAAGCTGGGAATTGTAGCTGGCGCCCTTGCTCTTGATGGTCGAGCCGATCTCGCAAAATGGGTCGTCGATGTTTTGACCTCGGCAGCCTCCGAAAGAGAGTCCTGGGAGGCACAGGACGAGGCTCGGCGCGCAGAGGACCCTGAGGCAGACAGCGCTCCTAGTCCGATGATCTGTAAGTTGACCATATTCAGAAGGTGAAGTCTCAAAAGACACCTCTAACCTTTTCATAGACGTGGAAGCCCGCGACGAATTTTGCCGGAATGCAATGTTCGCAAATGCGAAGCTCCGACTTCTTATGGGTGTGGTTGGGTTCGAACGAATAGGAGTAGAAGACGTGCCTGGTGCTTCATGGGTGATCCCACCGACTTTGAAATCGAGTGATTTGCGGGATTCTATTACGAATATCAGCCAGACACTTGTCAACCCGATTCCGGAGGGCAGTGCCGAAGACCCTCGTACTCTACTTACACGCAAAAATGTCAGTGCCCGGAATAGCGAGGCTCATGACATTCATGATGTCAAATTTGGATCAGACTCCGAGGGTGAAGATACAGTTCCCGATGGAATCATGTTCCCTCCTAACCCTCGATCGAAGTCTAATGCGCTGGATGAGCTGAGGAAGAAAAGAAAGAAGAAGAGCAAGGCGGATTCCGAGCAAGAGCCTTTGGATGATGAAACCATTGAGGCTCGCCGACAGTCACGTCTCTCCAATGCATTGGCTCGTCAGCAGAAGATCAAGAGTGATCTTTTCATCCATGCTAGCGACGACGAGAGCGACGCGGAAGCAGACGCAGAATTCTTCCGACTGGAAGAAGGGCGGCGATTGGCGCAGGCGGAGAATGTCAAGAAAGCCCTTCTTACTGGCATCGTAGAAAAGTCGGTTGCCAAGGGCAAGAAGAAGGCGAGCGTCCGGAAGCGCCAAAGTGATACAGCCGGTTCTGTCGCAGAGTCCAAGCGACGACGACGTGGATCTGTCTCAGCCGGCAGTGGCGCGGACAGTGATGGAGATGATGATATTCTCATGACAAACATGGGAGCCCAATCGCCTGGCTCACCGCAGGAAGCGTCTACAAGTCGCGATGCCGAAGAGAATGAAGACACTCCTCTCACATCGGCCGAGGATGACATGGATTTCGATGAAGATTTTGCAATCAGTCGGAACCGAAATCTGAAGCCTTCGGTAGCCGAAACTGACGCGGACCCAGATGAAGAGGATGCCCCAATTGTATCATCTCGACGGCGATTAGGTGGTTTTGTGATTGAGAGTGATTCTGAGTAAAGTTGATGACATGTCTGATGACCTGATGAGGCGTTCGGATTTTCTAAAAGAATTGTAAAGGGATACCTAGTTTCAAAATTAATTTGTACAGCTCTTGCCTACACATCGTGCTATGATTTTTGTAAACTTGATTGGAGGTTGTAGTGCTTTGCTTAGTAGTATGTATAGCGTGGGCGGAAATGATTTTAGATTTTGGTAGAGCATGAGCTTTGCAATGCACACAGAAGGATACATACTATGTAAAGAGTGGCTGTGACGTAAATACTGTATTAGTAAACTGAAGTACAAACTACAAGAGAAGAAAACATGTGAACTTCAGAAGAGAAAAGTATTGTCATGAGTACAAGGCAAGGTAGTGAAATGTGACCCATGAAGTGTGTGGTCAGAAGGGTCTCAATATAATGGTTGATAAATATATGAATGGACATAGAATTTCAAAGTTGGAACATGAAGACATGCATGATCGAAATCTGAAGATGAGGTTTTAATTTTTGAATTGGAGAATGAGATGAAATGAAGATTCATATTCGAAGATGGAAATTGAAGTTCGAATAGAAGATTGAGATCGAATGTAGATTGACATGAATATGAAACCTGAAATAGGAATTGAAGATCCGAGTGGATATTGAAGATCAAGATTAGATGATTGGAAGTGAAAGTTGGAAGTCAATTGATGAAAACATGGATAATTGAGAAGGATGGCTTTGTTTGAAAGTAGAAGTTGGAAGTCAATGATGGAGACTTGGCCATAAAAACCAACCTGCAACATTCATGTTATACAGGTTGCTTCCAAGAATCGCCAGAATCGCCATTCAAGTCTACAGCACTGTTCGCCTAGATTTGAATTCTAGCGGTGAATACACTTCTCCCTGTCGACATCTTGCTCCGGAGTTCTGCGATAATTTAGTTTGTCATTTGGAATCTATGGCTCCTAGCCGATTTATTCGCCTGCCTGGAGCATCAAAGACGCGACCCAACTTTCCCCATGGATAGACAATCAACTTCGAATTCTCATCAGCATCCCGATCTCTAGGCGCTGTCCTTGCCTTTTACCGGAATCCTATAAGCTCTCGACCCGAGGGAGCCGTTGGGGCTATCAACCAAGATGGCCGGGGTTTCTTGCAGAACTGGAGTCATCTTTTCCGTAAAGATGGGTCAAGATGGGAATAAGGACACAGACGACGCGATACAGAAAGTCTACAATATGTGCGGGCTTAAAGACGGACGTGGGGACTACGCGGCATACCAGGTCTGGTGGTGTGCTTACCCCCCTAAATTACCATTTAACAGCCTGGAAATCGGGATATTACTCAACTCGAAGTCATACTGACTCGAAATGAGTCATGCATGCATATGAGGTTCAAGGAATTTCCCAAATAGGTTAGAAGGGAATGTCCCTAGTAGGGTTCTGTACTGGCCCGTGCATTGATAATCAATGTATCCCGCAATCCCGTTTCGCCCCTCCATGACTTTTATTTTTACCAGGGAGATCCAATTAGTTTTTTCTGAAGCCAGTATGAATACCACCGGAAAGGTCTTAACAGCATCCTGTCACTGCAACAGTGTGCGGTTTACCATAACCCTACCTGTCCACTCCTTGCCACTGAATGTACATCTATGCCATTGCGGTATCTGCCGCCAAACACACGGTACACCGTGCAGCTTCCATGCCCCATTACCATCTGGCATTGAGCCAAAATTTGTTTCTCCATCCAGTCTGAACAATTTGACTCCGTATGATCACGCCACATCCCTATCAACGAGATACTTTTGCAGCACATGTGGCTGCCACATCGGGGACCGGGTCCATGAAGACGGCAACTGGATTGTTTCCAACGCGATATTTGATGCCAACCAGACAGACCTCGGAATATGGAAATTCAACACTCATCTACACCCTCATTCTGCTCCGGACGGGGGACTATCTGCACTGGTCTCTACCATCGATGGGCACACTCTGGACTTCGTCAGCCCCGAGCATTCCTCGGAGCCCATCGCAGATATACCACCCAAGGACGAGACTGAAGACAACGAGCTACTTGCGCAATGCCACTGCGGTGGCGTGTCATTTCATATACACCGACCACAAGCCGAGTTTCTCGCCACCCCCGCAAACCGACACTGGGTTTCTCCATTGGATGAGAAGAAGTGGTTAGCCTGCATGGATCTTTGTGATGATTGTCGGCTAGTCAACGGTGCGCATGTTGTTGCGTGGATGTTTGTCCCAGTGAACCATCTGTCACCCAATCCACCACCTGATCTATTGATTGGGACATCAAAGGCCTATCGCTCCACCGCGGGCGTGCTTAGAACATTTTGCGGCACTTGCGGAGCAACTGTTTTTTATAACAACGCAGAACGACCAACAATAGTCGACATAGCAATGGGATTATTACGGGCGCCTGAAGGATTTATGGCTGAGAACTGGGTGTTGTGGAGGTCTGGTCGAGCTGCATGGCCGGAAAGTGGAAAGCGCTACCATTCGGGTTTCAGCCATGCGTTGATCGAAGGGATGAGACAGTGGGGAATGAAGCGGGGCCCATTGCATGAGTTTGAGATATAACTTAATATAAATTTCCCAATTCGTGACGTATTGTAATTCTATGTAATTCTTTGCCCTGTCGGATAGCTTCGGCAGTTGCATGACCCACACGCCATCCGTCGGAAATGAGTCAAAGTGGGCGGTAAGCTGAGAAGACTACAGTATAAAATTTCTTGATTCCTAAGTCCCGAAAATTCCAAACAACATAACAAACACATCCGCAGCCATGACTCAATTGCGTTTCGTCACTCTCGACGTTTTCACCTCCAAGCCATACTCCGGCAACCCACTAGCCGTAGTCTTCCTACCAGAAGATGAATCCCAAGCGCTGACCCAGCGCCAAAAGCACCAGATGACACTGGAATTCAATCTCTCAGAAACAATCTTTGTGCACCCAGTACGCGAACAATCCAAGCGCAAAATCGACATCTTCACTATCGAAGGTGAGATCCCCTTCGCAGGCCACCCCACCATCGGAGCCGCAACATGGTTCCTCTGCCATGCCCCAGATGCCGCTGGTAGCGGCGTAAACACTCTGATCACCAAATCTGGCGAGATCACCATCTCCATCCAAGATCCAGCAACTCAGCACGTTGCTGCAAAGATCGCGCATAACACGCGTATTCATGCTGCGCGGTTCCCGGTCAAGGACATGCTACGTCTTCATCCGACTTTGGCGCCGTATTTCGACCAAGATGCGTCATTTCCCTTGTTTTCTATTGTGAATGGCATGTCGCAGACTTTTATTGAGCTTCCGTCTTTGGAGGCTTTGGCGGCGGTTCCGCTTGCTGCGGGTGGCCAGCTCGTTCCCGTTGATGGGGATTATCTGGATGAGGGCTGGCGATCGGGGTTGATCTGTGTTTATTTCTTCGTCCGTGATGTTGAAGATAGTGTTATGAACCAGAAGGTTATTCGGACACGCATGATGTTGGGTGGGCTTGAGGATCCGGCGACTGGTAGTTCGGCTAGTGGGCTGGCTGCATACCTGACGTTGACAGAGGGTCAGGCTGGAAAGGAGCACCGTTACCACTTTGTGCAGGGTGTTGAGATGAATCGACGCAGTGATATTGGAGTGAATGTCACTTTCGGCAGTGATAAGAAGATCGAGCAGGTCGAGCTGACTGGCACTGCGGTGCAGGTGTCAGAGGGCAAGATCCTGGTTCCTGATGTATGAGGAATGAATAGCAGTCATTCGTGTATAGTTGTAACTAAATTGATCTGACACCCTAGCCTGACAATCGCTGAGGGTGACCTAAAATGGACATTATCATCTGGTGTGTATGGATGGCTCTTCTTATCCAGATCTCCTAGACAAACGAGAACTCCTGACAAATGAGTACATAGACCATCTGATTCACAGCTTCCCATCCGTAACCATTTGTCGCAGAACCTTAAGGGTTCCCTCAACCGCCGTCTTCCCCATATTCTTCTCCTTCACCAAAAACTCCGCCATCTCTTCCTTCGACGCCTCCGGATGCTTCCATTCGAATACATAAGTCAAATAAAGCTCCCCATTACCTCCCTCACTTATAACGTTGCTGATATTCCCTCCAGCTTGCTCGAATTCCACTCGGGTGGGCTCAAATGCTGTAACGGTTTCCTGAACCTTCTTTCCCGATTCGCGGAACACCACATCTCGCACAATGACGGTATTTCCCGTGGACGGATCGACAGATTCACTCAGCACCTCAGTCTTCGAGATGGCTCCCGACACGAAGCTTTCAGCGGAGCGGATTTTCAAGATAAGGCCGGCCCATACTTGGGCGTGGGAAAGTGGGGTTTCTCCCGCGGGGTTGATGGGGGCCGTGTAGGCAATGTTATTGGCAATCATTATGGTATTGTGCACAGAAGATGAAGATATGAAGTTGATGACCAAAGTTCTTGTCCCAACTTCATTTTGCTCCAAGGCGGTGAGATTCGGGTTCATCCCTTCCGAATTCCAGGATTCATTATTCAATTGTGAGAATCGCTAGTATACATGACATCAGACCGAACAGTGTATTTGACACCTCGAAACACATCATCACCACTATGCATCAGATTCCGCTGTTGGAAAATCAACAATGATCCCGTCTTAGGAAACACGCGCACGACCTTTTGCGCCCGATAATCATCGGTGAAGGAAGTTGCCCCGCCAAGTAGCTTCTGGCTTAGCAGATCCGCTGGAGAATCAGACTGTTCGCCCGCAACGCACAAATCCACCTCCCCATCCTGCACAAATAGGGCATTCCTCTTCTCAGCACGCTCAATCTCTGGTAACAGCTTGTTCAAATCCTGCTCACCATCCCCATTCAGGTACAGCTGAATAGTAAGAAGCGATTTCTCCTTCCCATCAGGAGTAACATAGCACCCATCCCAATGCGGTCGGAAATAGTCTCCGCCTTCATAGCGCAGGAAGCGAAGCCGCTCATTCAAAGTAGACAAATGAAATGTCTCTCCGCGCCTCGCAGGACCAAGTCCCGTAATAAGGGGTTGATTCTTTATCTTATCGAGGTTGAAATCACGCATAAACGGTCGTAGACGGTCGAGAATTCGCTGCGCGATATCCGGCGAATCGAGAATGATGCGTCCACTCTTGCGGCTGTCCACGGACATGGCTTGTTTGCCTCCGCCTATGTTGATCATCGCATGTTCCCAGACTGGGGCGTTTGTTTGGTCGGCAATTGTAGAGTTCTCTGCAATATTTAGAAGCTCGGTGCATTCGGTCTCGGTCATGAAATTGTCGATAACCGCAGCAAAATGGTCCTTGAATGCTGGTATGGCGGGTGTTGTTCTGCTAGCTTTGGTGAAGTCGATACAGTGGACTGTGGCGCCTTGAGACGGTCCTCGAAGGAAGTCATCTGGGATTCGTGAAGTAGCCATAGCGATATGATTGTGTTCAGAAGAAGTTTTTTTTTCTCCTCCAAAAGGAGCTCGATGGAGATTATTTATCTGATTTACACGCTAGCCTGGGGACTTGTCACTTCGGGATAAGCCTTTAAGTAATGGAGAGTCAATGGGGCTCTGCTGTCTACACAGCCCACTGTGGCGCAGGCTGCAGCCCAAATTGAATTCCTATGCCTGAATGGGTTAATTGGCGGATGAAATTTAATAGACAATAAAACATTTAACCCTGCTCGGGTGGATGTGTTAATTAAAAATATTGTCCCATACCCAATTGGCTACGTAGATCTACAACCCGATGTGGGGTCAAGAGACCCTGAGCGGCCCCGGGATCGAGGCGCACCTAAATCCCAGGCACTCACCTGGGCGTGCATGTTGACTAGTTAGGTAGAGAGACTATTTCTTATAGATAATGTTCTATTTCTGTGCCCTTTCTAATGATCTCCCCGGATTTTCTTTCTAAACAAACTTTGGTCGCAGGACTTGACTTGAATTTATAATGTGAGGCCTAGGCAATTACAATCACATTAAACGCTCCCGCTTTAACTGTTGAAAGCAGACGTAAGAGTTCAAAGTTTAACAGTTGCTAGGCGTCCGAACATGAAACCTGGCGATATTTTGCGCTTTAGGCTTTGCCAGATTTGGGAACAATGTTCTGATATACTTATAATTAACCTAGAATCAAGTATGACATAAAGAAACCAGCCCTGATTAGGGCATGGATCATTTCCCGTTGTGGCCCGGTCCCGCGCCGAGGCAAACCGCTGAGAACCGGGCCGGTCAACCAGGAGACACACAATTTCAAAAATATTGACGCAGTGGGATAAATTGAAATTAATTTGCATTGGAAGATGCATGTAGAAATGAAGGGTATATTGATCTATATTTTATATTTCAGGAAATCTGATCCTCAGGAAGGCTTTCGTCGTTCATCCAGCTGGTCGTGTAGATACAAACGGCCTTCCGTATTGAGGAACCCGCCAATTCCAAAGGCGGGAATAATTCGACACATGCGAAGGAGTGACGCGCTAATCCAATCGCGACTGATACGTGACATTCGGTCTTTGGTCGGTAAAACTTGGGGTCTATTATAAAGATCCAACCCGAACAGATGAATGGGGGTGCTGATGAGTTGGATGGATGCGGGGATGGCAAGTTGTGCAATCAAGATCTTCAGGTACTCCTGAGATGCAATTGAGTCCGGGATATTTGATGAGACCATGGCGGGGAGACTGAATGATCCGAAGATGGTAAGGCCATCTCGAAGAAGGAAGGCAGAGTATGTGGCCAGTGGAATTCTGGTGCGGCCGATGGAGCGAGCGATTTTGGGAGCCGTGGGGTTGGCTGCAGTCGATGGACTCGGGGTGTTTTTAATATTATTGTGGCCAAAAAGCTGGGCGAATTTGACATCCTTCCAGATTCCCACGGAGGAGTTGACGAAGAAGGTCGATGCGAATGTGGTCATGCCCGCAATTGCGTGGTCGATCTTGGGGTAGACTTTGTTCAACAAAGTTTCTGACATGTTGGCAGTTGCGAATGTAGCCGTATAGAGGGACCAGACCAGCAGGCTGGGCCGTGATGTTAAGAAGGTGGCGGGCTGTGTAAGGGAGAACCATAGATGCTTGCGAAATGCGGGGAGAAGAGGTTGATTGTAAAATGATTTCTCAACAACAAGTCTAAGACCATGTTAGTTGTTAGTTCAAATAACGATTCCGGTAGTTTTACCTGTCGAAGATCATGACAGCGGGCGTTATAAGGGCGGCTGAACCTGCAGCAACAAGCGAGTCGGCCACCAGAAGCTCTCCGAGTCGGCTCCGGCTGCGTTGATAGCCCAGTGGCATGGATTTATCCTGAAGACTTTGAGTCATGGCGTCGGAATCCAACAACGCTATCATAACCCAGTCGGGCCAGTAAATTTTCCAAAGTTGGTATAGGGGTGTAGAGACAGAAAATCCACGATCAAACAGGAGTCTAAATTACAATCTGCAACCGAGAACACAATTGATTAGATAAAACAAATGCCAACGCGGGGCGGTACATCATAGCAGACAACTTACTGTGGATTCGGTCTGGATTGGTGACCGAATTCTGCAAACCGGTGAAGCAGCACTGGCGAAGACAAAAGTAGGAAAGGAAAAAGAGAAGGAGAAGATGTAGAAGAAGAAGTCCACAAAGATGCCAATTCGCGAAATATATCAATAATGAACAGAATAATGTAATGCCAACATCTTATCGCCCAACAATTCAAAGCTATTAAAGCACTGATTTACATTTATAGATCGGACTTGAAACCTAACCCCTCGTCGGCGAGATTATCCAATCACAGCTTAACCGGCCCGGGCCCCGGTGATGCATCTCGATCGTTGATTGGTTTAACCGCCGATGATCGCCTTGTAGTTTCCAGGACCAAAACCGTTCTAGAAGAACGGTGAATTACATTATAAGAATTTAAACCGGACTTGGAACGCGCATGGGCTTGCCTCAAGGGGATGCTCAACTTTGACAACTGATTATCCCCGCATTCATCCGATGTCGCCTACTCTATGGAAGGAGGTCGGGTATACGTAGTTCTCACCGACTCTGGCGCGAACCTTGGAAGTGGGGTTCTCCTGTCTCTTGCAAAGTCGGGCATTAACAGGAGATAAGGTTCACATCAGATAGGTATGTCACTAATATATGCAGGTGCCCAGGTGGAATGTGCGTCGTTTATATCACGGGTTAATGCGGAAACTGTGGCTTGCTAAATACTTGTTCTGGACAGGTTATAACTGATTCTAGCGTGCACAACTTTGAATTAGAGGAGGAATAGACTACGGCTCTAGCCCCTGAGCTTATTCGCTAATAGTTCCTTCTACAACAGACCCGGGGACCGGGGTACCCCCACCATCAGAAAAAGGATTGACGATGAATGAGTTGTTTCCCAACAAAGCTCATAAAAATCAATTTCCATATGAGATAAGAGTGCCAATGATTTACGTCTTCTGTTGCTCTCCCATTGAGAATATATATAATGTTTCAGAAATTTCTTTGTTTTTGATAGGTGATGGCCACCCTGTTACAACTATAATTCTCATTGTCGAGGAACTAGTTGGCCGCCTCGGGAAAGGTTTTCCCAGTGCCGAGCACATCATAGTCCATATGGGTCTGGCCCGTCTGGGCGAAGACTTATATCAGAGCTTGTCTGTCACTAGTGTCTATGCCTCTCTCACTAATTTGAAATTCACTTCTGGTCCAATATTCAAAATTTCCATCCTACAGCGCATTATAATAGTCGCCATAGCATTATGTTGTACAACAACTTGAAATAAAAGGATACAGTGGAATTAATAAAGTATCTCAAAGCAGAAAGTATTTCAAAGCAGAAGTCTGAACAGCCAAGTTTAAGTGATTGAAATCACATGTTGGAAGTGAAGATGAAATCAATTTTATAGTGCCAAGCCTTACATGGACATTGAATGAGCCACACCAAGGATTTATGCAGGTATTCATTTAACTTATCACCATGTTGAATATTCACCAGTCGACTTATCAAACTTCGAGGAATATATTATTATCTGGCTTATCGTCATTGGTTGTCAACCGTTATCACTGATAAGAATCTCACGTGGCGGCTGAGTCTCCGCTCTCACCCGCATCCCCGCATTCTCTCTTTAATGCACAACAGCCTCAAACGGAGCCCTGAAACGAGAAAGTGTATCCCGCGAGATTCTTGATTCCATGCCTGAAAGCGAATCAGGAGGGTCTTTACGCGTCTCGCAGCGTCGACCTCTAGCTTGCCGAGGTATTTGATCATCCCTTTCTTTTCCGAGGATTTTCTCGTTGACACCACCCAGAATGCACCAAGCGAAAGAGGAAATGCGATAAACAAATTCCCTGCTCAAGATGCAGAAGATTGAATCTGCATTGCTCAGTGGAGATTGTTCAGCTGCGAAGGAACACCGTGCAGCATGCTTCCGAAATTCATTTTCTCGCCGCGATCTTGGCAGATATGGATTCCCTAACCGCGGACAAACAACTGCATATCAGTCGGAAATTGAGAGAACGAATATCGCAGCTTCAGACTGGCCAAAACCACGACTCCGATGGAGTTAGCGCTGGATCAGGAGCGGAGGACCTAGAGTCATTTAACAGCCATAAAGAATCAACGTTGCCGCATCAATTTGCCGAGGTGGCCCTGGAAAGTCCAGACCCACCACTTCTGACCGCTATAGAACATCTCGCCTGGGGTCGAAATGCCGCTGGATGCTTCCCGCACAGGAGATGTGGATGCCAATATCGAAGGGACAGGCCGGACCTCTTATCCATGAACAGTGGCAATTTTCAATTTTACGGCTCGTCCTTGGAGCCTCTGATTCAACTTCCAAGGACGGTAGACGCGCAAAGTCTGATAAACTTCCATATAAGTCACCTCACATGGCATCACAACAGTTTCCATGGTCCTACTTTTCTCGAGCAGTGCGAGTTGTTCTGGAAGACTGGTAGATGTGATCATCCTCTTTGGATAGCATTGTATTTTTCTGTGCTGAGCTGTACAATAAATTCAGTTCAGAACAGTCAAAAATTAACAGTGCTGATCAACGTTGATCTGAATACTATGCCATCTGCTCATCAACTCTTCTCTGCGATGGTACAGACGCTTTATGGCGCTCACTTTCTGAACAACTTATCAATATACTCTGTCCAAGCTGTTGTGATATCAACAGAAGTTGCCCACAATCTAGGTCTCAGTCAGCTGAATGCAACCCTTTTTAACGCCGCCGTGCGCATTGCCGAGTGTCTTGGAATCCACAAAATCAAAAGCCACCCTCCAACACCCCAGACAGAAGATGGATGGGACGAGCGTGTGGAGCGAGAGGTTGGAAGACGGGTTTGGTGCCAAATGCTTATTCAAGACCATTTCGCCATTCCATTCACAGACACATATAGCATTTCTCCGATGCACTTCTCAACAGGTCGACCTCTTAATGCAGACGACTATGATCTAGTGGATGCACCACCCGAAAAGCCAACAATTAGCAGTTATGTCCGTGTTCTAGTTGATCTGGCTGCATTAATGCCGGGGCTAGTTGATGGACTTGGACCTATGAATCGCCGCAAGTCATATCGAGAGCAATACGAGCACATTCTTCGAGTGGACCAGAAAATGCGTACAATTGTGAAGAACATACCGTCCTTTATGCTGCGTCCGGACCCTATTAAAGAAGCCCAGATTCCCTGGCTTACCATTGCGCGGCGTAGTTTGGCCATCACCGCGGCTGAGAAAATTATCATGATCCACCGACTGTTTCTATTTCGTTCATTTCATGACCCGACCTATGTGCATTCTCGCCGGACTTGTGTTGCGGCCGCAATGACTATTTTACGTGAACATGAGACAATTGTGGAAGACGACGACCTGTCCATCTGGACGCACACGGCATTCGCTATAACAGCCGCAGTGATATTGTGTTTTGAGGTAAATACAGTGATGGAAACATCGGATAGAAGAAGCGTGCCAATGTACAGGACAGCTGTCCTTGCAGCTCGCGATCGACTTGCGTCGAGAAATGGAGATGTACTCGCGCAGCGAGGCGTCGCCCTGATCAATGCAATCTTCATTGCTGAACAATCCGGCTCCAATCCGGAAATGAAACGGCTGACATCCATTGATTTCAACCGCGTCTTTACCAACTTTTCCACACTGAGCAAAGCAACCGCGATCCCCTCCCCCGATGAAATGACACCGGGGAAGTTCTCGACCGGGACTCCCGAAACTATAGATGCGCCCGACGTTAGCGAATTGCAACTGCCGTGGAACCAGGAGGAAATCGACTTTGATCTTTGGTTTAATGGAATTTTCAATAACTTCCCAGGCAATCAGTTATAAAAGTTTTGTTTGCTTTTTTTTGGGAGGATTGCAAGGATGATATCAGTTTGTGTTGCAGTAAAGATGAATATTTCCAACTTTGAATATAGTACTGACTTTCTAAGCCCTGACATATCCCGTATCATTGACCCCCTCATAACTCCTGAATGGCTTAGGAGGAGTCACACTTGTCATTGTGCATTGCCATAGCATCCGCTTCTTATCTTCGTCTTTTTTGTGCTGGGATAGCTGTCCAGTAATGCTATGCATAACACCGCGGTTGTGGAAGATGACCAAATCACCTTCCTGCCAGCGGTGGGCGTAGATGTTCTCGGCGGCATAGATTTTCTTCTGCATATTGTATACCACGTTGCGTACTTTCTCAACATCATCGATGACAATTACCTCTCCAGTGGTCGGATTTCGGGTAGTCAGTTTGTAGACACAGCACCCGTGGACTTGAAGAAAGGGTCTATCAGGGTTGAGTGGGTTACGCCAGACCATCTAATCCAAGATCAGTAAAAGGTCTGATTCCATCAAAGGTTAAACTCACGGGATGTTCCGCAACCTTATCCCAACTCCATTCAGACAATTTCTCAACGGAAACCTCGTTCCCCATTGTTGGAATGGTAAGCCCATCATCAGAAGCTTTGCACTGCCTAATGTACTCGTACGCCTGTGGTGCATATGTAACAGTGGTGTTCAAAGCGAACTCCTGCTCTTCAGGAGTGAGAAGAGAAAAGGCCCGAGCACCGGAGAAAACTGCGTTAAATGGATTAGCACTAAGACCCCCACACAGAGCAGAATATAGTGAGCTCACAGGCTGTAGCTCCAGCACCAATAGTTTTCTCCTTGCCGTCAGGAAATTTAATCCTCTGATCAGGTAGATTTGGAATGCGAATCGAGTGCAGGATAGTCACTTCACCGGGCAAGCGCTCATAGAACGGAGTATCCATGTGCCACCTGTATGGGCGGGTGAACCCCTGATCAATCTCATCTTGTGAAAGAGGTTTCTCATGAAACAGTGTGTGATCCTGATGAGCTTAGCATACGTTGTTTCACCAGACATGGGTAACAAACCAGATGGATAACCTCCAGCTCCTTGAGACCTTCATAATCCTGGAAGGTGCCAGACCCAATGATTCCAACTTGAGGAGCTCTGGGAATTCTGCCGGCCTTGTAGGCTGAGAGAATGTTTTTCGGATCACTCACAGCTTTCTCTCCAGCCGAGTGGACGTCCGATGCATTTGGATCGAAGACCTTGGCGAGCTGTGGAAGAATTGTTGGGTCAATGCCCTTCTGGCCCCGAATGACAATAACTTGGTTCTCGAAAAGTGCTTTCCGCAAAGTTTCCTTGTCATTTTCTGTCAATCTGTCCAGGTCGAGCTTGGACATTCCGGGGGGAAGTTCGACTTCAGCACCGATGGCTGAGCTTTGTCGGATGGTCTCCGGGAGGAGCTGGAAGGTAAGACTGGTTGGCTCAGGCATTTTGGTAGAGAATCTGGTTTTGGAATTGAATATTGATTTGGGGGTGTTGTTGTTATGAATTATATACATGTTCTTGGTCGATTGCGGGTGAGTTTATGCGGGTGAGTGGAAAGCTCGCCCGCTGGATGTGTGGGAACTCACCCGCACAATGTCCCTAGTTCAAGTAGGGATTTTGAATCGATTGATGTTATCACTTCAGTAATTGCGTAAATTGTCAAGTCATACAGATATTGAGTCCGTTGATGCGTGGAATGGAGGATGAGATGTAAAATCTCGCCCGCGTCTGTCTGTGAGGGAAGCCACTATATAATCCCTAAATACTGCCGATGTTTACTCTAATGTTCCTCTCAAATCAATCTGGAATGCAACCAAGGCAATATTAAAAAACCTCGGAAAGCAAAATGAGCAACATGACTGTTTGCTGCAAGCCCCTCAGCCGGCCCGATGGTTCTAAAATCGACTTCGGGGCTGAGCTGACCGGGATGAACATTGAGGCTATGAATGGTGGGTCAACTTCATTTACTGGAGACTCTCTAGAATGATTGACTAATTTGACAAAATCGAAGATGATGACTTCGCGTTACTCCGTCAAGCCTTGTATGAGAATCAGGTAGTTGTCATCAAGAATCAGGGCAACTTGACACCTAAGGGACAATACGAACTCACCCGACGATTCGATCCCGCCGCTGGAGTCTACAGCCATGGAAAGTCCATTGACAAACGAAGCGTTCTCCATGCCGATCTCACCACCATTCCCCATCAGCCGCAGGTGCAAGTCATCGGTCACGGTTTTGTCAAGGAGTACGAAGGATTATCCAACATCCAGCTACGACACCCTCATCACAAGGCCTTTCACAAGACTCCAATCTCAGCTGAAGACGACGAGGATTTCACACATTTCTATCGCTGGCACATTGACTCAGCAATGTACAATCTGGATCCACCTCTTGTCACATCGTTGCTCGCTGTCCAAGTACCCAAGGGCCGCCGACAGACCTGCCGTTATGACGATGGTACAGACACTACCCTCGACGTTCCTCTTGGCACAACAGCTTTCTTCAGCGGATACCGTCTCTACGATCTGCTATCCGAAGAAGAGAAGAATTTCGTGCGTACGAGCAAGGTTGAATATGCGCCCCACCCCTACATCTGGATGAGCAAGGCCAAATCACGCTCGAATGGACTCGGCATCGTATCTGAAGGATTGGAGCTTGCAGAGGAGGATTTACCCCCGTTCGAGTCAGACAAGATCAAAACATACCCCATGGCTTGGAGGAATCCGGTGACGGGCAAGTTGGCGATGATGGTGTACCCAACGTGTGTTAGGAAAATACACCTTGAGAACGGCGAAGTTTTGGACAACCTTCCTGAGATTCGAGAAAGGTTGTATCGTTTGCAGAGACGGGCGATTGATCCTGATTACATCTATCCTCATGATTGGGAAGAGGGGGATCTTGTGCTCTTTAACAATCATGGAGTGATGCATTCCATTGTGGGCTCGTTCAAGGATAATGAGGTTCGGATTTTCAGACAATGCAATATGGCTGCAAGTCGGCCTCCGATGGGACCGTTGACGATCTAGTTAAAAAATGAATACAATGCATGCTCTTAGAAATCCTATACAATATTCTCTTTGTTATTATGTAAAACCGGGACCTGTGAATTACTGTATGCAGTTAGTTTTGCCTTTTTGGGTTTAGCGCCCCAATACCTCGTTCTGTAAGCTCCGCCTTCAGTTGCGCCGGCATAAAAGCTCGCCCTGCCCTTTGGACCTGTTTTGCTTTCTGACATTTCCTTTCACCTCCTCCATCTTGCACTTATCGCCACCCCCTTTTTGATCATCTCGGCCCCGTTCCCTGTTACGAATCGGCTTTCAGTCCCATGCACTGCCCCCTTGAGGTTACGATCCGACGCCCCATGCTACGCCAGCAGCCACGCAGGAGCAAGACCTCTTGAGATATACTCCCCTCCGCAGCAGCAGCATGGTATGATGTGCAAGCAAGTTTGCCACGCCTCACTCAAGCCATTGAAGCGTAGCTTGCTACGTAACTGTCTAGAATTTACTCCTGTGAGTGCATCTCGCCTGCCTCTGTTACCAGCGTGCCTTCCTGACGAATGCAGAGTGCTGGCCTCCCCTCAATGTCGTGTGGACAGGTACTCCGCCGCTTCTTAGGTTACATTGCACAGCCCCGATATGATCCGCCAATCGCATGGTACTTGTCGACAATTTCGGTCTCCGGTCCTTATTTCACTCCGTCGGTGGACGGATGAAAACACAGTTCGGTGATATCATCCAATAGCGAAAATGCCGCAATTGTGGGCGGGCTTGAGTGGCCTTCCGGATACTGGTCAGCGTGTCCGCGCACTTGCTCATTGTGACCACGGGCATCCTCTCATCCCTTTGCGATGATGCTCTAGAGAGCAAATGATCCACCGGTCGATTGCATCACTGGTCGCCTCGTGGTGATGGATACCTATCTCGTTCAGCTCATGTTATGCTCACTCGTCAGCCAGACGAGTCGGGTCACATCAGACACCAGCCGGAAATTCCATGGCCAAGCCACTCACGTGTCCAAGGGGGGAGAGCCCTCTCTGCTTGGAGTGTGCTATAAAGGGAGTGGATTCTCCCGCCATTCTACTCTTTTCAAGCTCTACAGCCTCCTCCGGCAACCGAGGCACCAGTGTCACCGATCCGCCTGCATCGCCGGTGCCCGGTGCCAGAGTTGACTCTCGTTGTCAATTGCGAAGTGCGTTATCAGATGGACTGCACAGTTAAGATTTTGAATCTGATTGGAATAAAGTCAGTATAGTCTTTCTATCCCGAGACCTATGACTGTGAAGGATCAAAAATAAATCAAAATAATCGACTTACGCGCTCGAACAGGGTTGCCTTTATGACGCCTCCTTACCGACGCACGTGAACATTCTTCGCGTGACTTCGCGCGAATCGTGTAGCTCCAGCCAAATTTGGGGGCCAGATTCAGCACATTACAGTTATTAAAACCGGGATCTATACATCGACATTGCCAGTGTCTTTTGACACGACCAATTGGAAAGGAAAGCATCTTGGAGGGAAACACGCCTATGAAATGGCGAGGGTGTGCCTTGAGGCCCTTCGATACGGCTCTACTGACTTTGAAGCAGAATTTGCCAACCAATGACTGACGAGACAGGTGCAATACCCAAGGGAAAGTATACCGGAAGAGGCAATTCCCCACGGGACACTAGGTGACGTTGATATGCCTCCGGAGTTCGTCTCAAGTTCGTGGCCGTTATGAAAAACATTTGGAAGGAACCAATAAAGCGAGCTTTCCCTGTGTCGATTGAAGGAAAAATGTATTCGAATGACATTTAGTCCCGAAGAACATTCCAATATCGTAAGTATCCATTGAAAGACAATTGAGCTGAGCTAATAAATCCAGGACACAGGGAACTTTTGTTTGCGCACGAAGAATTCCCCCTCTATCTGAGAAAGGTTTTCATCTTTGGATAAAAGTGCTGTTGGGCATATTGCTGTCAGTCGCTCCGTGCGCTCCTCTCACTGCAGCTCATGCATTTTCAGTTCTACATATGCGAATATCCCTCTCATTTTGTCAGCATTGATAATGATTTCTTGAAAGAAGTTCCTTGGCAAGTCTCAACTGCAGATATGTTTTCTTTTCTTCGATAGAGCCGCTATCGAATGAAGCAGATCTGGCAGAGATGATGTTTTTGATTGCCCAGTCGTTGATTATACCGAGCTTTCACACATTCATATATGAAACACGCTTTGGCTCGAGGCTATCTGGTTTTTGGTCCTGAAAGACGACAGCGGTAGTCGCTGCCTCGACTATGACAAACTGATGTGGATTACGTGCAGTGCCGAGCGAAAGCCATTCACTGGAAGATAGAGATGCCTTGGGATTGCTCTAGCCCTATGCCTTCGGGAACAATGTGTGGCTGCCTCGAGTATTGGGGAAAGGCTGGATGAGAATTACAGATGAATGCTAGTCTACTCATCTGGTCTTTCCGATGTGCTGGGGAAAGATTTTGATGAAAGCGACGACGTCAGCCAAGGGCTGAAAACAAACATATCGTCACCAAAACTACAAAGCTTATCTAGGGTACTGCATGCCACAGAATATCAATACCAATCTGTGGAATAACATGGATAAACAGCAGCCAATACAATTGACAATCGATGTGCGCTAATGCTTGGATGAGTCAGTGTATCGATATTTCGTGGTCTTGACATCTGAAATACAAGTGCGGAGGGGAGTACATTTACAATCAACCTGGATGTCCAGAAGATTGGCTAGCCTCAAAGTCAGCAAGGGCGCAGATTGAGAGACAGTACAAGAGGAATCTGGTTGACAGCAGACGGGTAGTCATTGATGCAGTACCTTTTAACTAGCTGCATCGGCTAATGATGAACACGGTGGTAAAAGCTCCGTTCCGGCCTGAGGACACTATACGTAGTTGCAGCTGTATTAGACACAAGGCCCAGGAAGTACTCATTAAGCAAAATGTAGCGGCAGCCGCTAGTCTAAAAATCAAGTGGCTGATAACGGAAATGGCTACCAGGCCGAGAAAGGCTGAATGAACCAAAAACATCAATTACTATTTCCTCACCTACCAGTGTGACAACTTCGAATCTTCTTGGACTGACCAAAGTGACTATCAGAAGGATTTATCTTGCAACGGGCAGAAGACCACATCGAAGCCTTTGATAAGATATCACGAAAAGGTGTTGTAATATGAGGCAGGCCGCAGGTGCAGATAAGAACAAACCATCGGAACTAAATCCGCAAAGCCTATGCAAAGAACCAAGGTGATTTCCAATCAACTTAGTCTTCTTGTTTTATTTAAAGCCTCATGTTCCTCTGAGTAGAAGATAAGGAATCCATACCTCTGATCTACAACAAAAGTTCAATGAACCTTTGGAATGTGAGACAATGATCCGATGACATTCATAGCGAGTTTGATAGTACATAGACATTCTTGAAATCGGTACAGTAATTTGGCGAGGAATGCAGTTCAGTCAAGTATACTGTACCGCTCCCCATCATTCATATGTTACAAAACTCCCGAGGCCTCTCAACATTGGTCCTTCCCACCAGCGCCGATTTTTTGAATGGGCGGCCACTGAGACGACTTTGCCGCTTTTTATGCCGCTTTTTATGCCGCTCTTGAAACCGCTCTTGAAACCGCTCTTGGGACCGCTCTTGGGACCGCTCCCCTGTTTGTAAGAACCGGGGACCGCCTACAAGACCGCCTCGATGGCCGCTTCGGGGACCGCTTTGATCTTGCCGCCTGGAAGACCGCCCTCGAAGCCGCCATACAGACCGCTTTCATAGTCACTTCTGTATGTTACATTACGACTGCGTTACATTACTCTGTGTAAAGTACAGGAAACTCTCTTACAGACCTCAAAGCTTCGATTTTAGCTACTTTTTATGGGCATCAAGCACCTAGAAATTCCACAAAGTTAGATTGCTGGTTGTCATCTACATCTGCAAACGCTACCTGTATCTTTCACATTAAGTCGTACCCGTAGATAATAGCTATTTACAACCAAACCAAATCAAGTCTCATACAGCATTATTGGATTTCATGTGACCTCCTGGAACATACATGTTTCGGCCCTTTCCAGTCCTTTCACCTTAATTCTGACTTCACTGAGAAAATGTCTCTTCGCTTCCCTGTCGTTCCCGGAGGGGATCCCCAGAAACGGCAAAGCAGCGTTGAGAGCTTGCGGCACAGAACGCTTCTATAATACTTGTGTATTTCCTAACAATGGACTTTTGTAAGCTAGCTTTGCCCAAGGCATTTGAGTAACCCTCAACAGCGTATGGTTGAGACTTTGAGAAATATAGTGCACGCTCCTGTACGCTTTTTTGGATCGGCAAAAGAAAGGCAATCCATCCAGTCTTTTCAAAGTGACCAGCTCTCTAAAGTAGGAGTCATGATTTATGCTTGATTTTTTTTTGTTTCATGCAAATGGTGAGCTGGATACTTACAGCTGAATCAGAAGTCATATTCAAAAAAAATTCATGTTCAATGGCTGAGAATATGTCTTTGAATTGTGACGCCCTGTATCAACTCAAAACCTCCTTTATCGTGATAGGCTTGCTCATCAACGATCGACCAACAAGATTACTCGATTCAACAGTCAATATTTTGGTCTCTCAATCAATGCTGATCTCAAATAAACAGTCGTCAGCGGTTTCAAGTCGTAGTGAATGAAAACAAGAGCCTTGAGCAACAAATTTTGAATCGCATCAACTTTCATTCACGATTTCTCATACATAAATGGTGTGATGTCTTGCGGCATATCTACTGTTTTCAATTAATCGCTACCGCTAAGCTCTTATACATTTTCATGAGATATTATCCATCACGTGGCATTCGAAGATCCTTCGACCATAACAAACGACGTCTCGACTATCTACCCTTACAATGCGCATAGAATACTGTCTTCTGCTAGAGACGCTCGTCTCACGGGTAGTCAGCGGACATCTGATCATGATGTCGCCTGAGCCGTACAGTTACAGCAGTAAAATCCTCAACAACTCGCCTCTTGCTTCAAACGGCAGTGATTTTCCCTGCAAATTACGAGATGATGCATTTGTGGCCCCTGCGAAAGAGACTGTTTACGAGGTCGGTGTTTCAAACATAATGAGGTTCATGGGAAGTGCAACTCATGGGGGCGGATCATGCCAGTTGAGCCTCACTGAAGACCTCGCGCCATCCAAAGAAAGCATATGGAAGGTCATCAAGTCTTATGAAGGCGGCTGTCCTGCAAATGTAGAAGGACTTCTAAGCGGAGACGCCAGTTCCGACAATGACATTCGACTCGATTTCGCGATTCCTGAAAACATTGTCTCCGGAAAATATACCTTGGCCTGGACATGGTTCAATCGTATTGGAGATCGTGAGATGTACATGAACTGTGCACCAATCACCGTCGACAACCCTTCATTGACTTCATACAACCAGAGCATACAGAACCAAGCGCAGGATTTTCCACCTATGTTCATCGCAAACATAAATGGCTGTATGACTCCTGAAAATTTGGATATCCGATTCCCTCAGCCCGGGAGGATTGTTGAACGCAATGGTCTGGCGCGTAATATTCTTCCCGACGGTCAATCAGTATGCACCGGAAGTCCTGAATTTGGTGATTCGGCAGCTATGAACCCGATCGTTCCTGATCTTCAAAATGGCAATCTTGGGAAGGCTTTTACATACTTCCCGCTCACTTCTTCCGTTAAAATTCAGCCGTCACCTTGCTCCTGTCGTGCTTCCCACCGCAATGCAAGCCATCAATGATACCTATCTTTGGCAATTGCGGCACAGTCAGACCGTATAAGGTGGTGTCACATGGAGGTCATCGACTGAGCAGAGCATCGCTGGATCTTCGTGTTGGAATGTTCGTGAATGTTCGGTGAATCACCGTCTTTTTGCGATTCTTTAAAGTGTCAAATTTTGTGTCCGATATTCTGCTGCATTACAACTGCCTTTTGGCAATGGTAATTTGGTGACAAGAATTCATTTAAAAAGATGCAACAGATTTAGTAGAATAAAACAGCCACAAAAGAGTCCATGCACTCTGCGAAACCTAAGATGAAGATAGAAGAGCTGAAGTGCTTACATCAAAAGGTCAAGATTGGATTGATATTGAAAGCCATTTGCAAACTAAAACAGACAGGATTCGTCAGAATGACTAGTCTATCTTCGAAACTTCACAATAGGGCCAAATGCTCGTCAAATGTTCTTGCAAATAAAAAGTAATGTGTAGCGTTCAGACTTGTATGAACACGATGACGCGTTGATTAGATGTGCTCTATGATTGAGCTTGTCTTACGACTAGAAAAATTAATACCCCAGACTTCGTTTCCACTAACAGTGACTTCTCAAGTGTCGTGGCGTACCAATTACAGTTTCAGACTTTTGTGTAGACTAGGGACTGAGAGTTGGACTTTTACGTCAATTGTCGGAAGTTTGATCCTCTCGTGCTACTTAGAAACCGAAACAGAACTGGAAACTTTTCAGTAATTGTATTATGATTGCAATGCACGCAGCTTGTCGCTAGAGAAATCGAAAGGCAGATGGACCAACTACGATAGGCATTGCCGTCCTTACTTAGCAACCATACATGCTCCTCATCTTTTGCATGCAACAATCTGCCTTTCATCGACATGTTGACTGGGTTGAATTGGAAATGATATTCTCATTCGCGATGAGAATGGGGTTCGATTCGATGATGCACGATTTTATTCGTCAAATTGACAAGCAACTTCAACTCTTCTGGGTGTAGCTTTTGCTGAAAGAGGGTTGTCTGGGACATCAGCCTTGATACGCTGAAGAAAGGGGGGGGGGGGACTCACCTGCAAGATCTTTTCCAAAGAGCATGTTTCAAGCTGTTCAGGTAGATTTTCAATCTCGACAGGCCACTCATGCGTCGGATGGCATTTTCCCATCAGCTTGATTACAATATCCGCTAAAGCGGACTGCTTCATTGTCGCAGCATTCATTTCTGGAGCATCTATCTCGCAGCTGTCTTCGACACCAACTGGTAAAATAAACGATTAGTTTAAAGACTGAACCCTGGGGTCAATCTGGTATGCGTACCTATCTTGACCATGCCCGACTGAGTGAAATAAATGGTATTCATTGTCAAAGTGGCGAGCACCCTCCCGCGTTCAGCCAAATATTGGATTCCTTCGAGTATCTATTCATAATCAGCGATCGCTATGGCTGTGATACAACATGTTATCTCCACTTACTGGCTTGACAATTGCAACGATCTCACTCGCTGTGATCACGAGCATCGATGCCAGAATATAAGCGACGGACAGTTCCACATGCTCCCAGACCAAAAACACCGAATCACCATGATAATAGCATCCAAGTAAGGACCGAAAAACGGGGTGAGAGATGCGTTTCAGCGTCCGTTGTAATCCAAGGTCGGAGAATGCTTGCAGCTCCACTTTCCGAACTTGGACAAGTCTGCCTTTGTTTTCCTTGTATCGAGCCAGCACATATGGATGATCCAATTTGATAGTTGCAATGGGCTCAAACATTCTCCATGGATCTTCATGCAAGGCTCCCGAACTCGAGCGACAATTATCGGTATCAAGCGTTACAGTCTTCTCCTTGGTTCTCAAAGGTTTCGGGAAAGCTTGATTCACCGTACATGTCTCAGAGACAGTTGTACAAGACTTTGAATCAGCTTGAAGGGGCGGTGCTTCACTAACCCATATGGTAGGGGGTCTGCGGTTCTGCTTACTGGCGCTCATATTTCCAGGCGTGCACTTCCAATGAATTAAACTTGGAACATCAGGTCATCTGGGTGAAGAAAAGCTTCTATCGATGAGGGAAGTGAACTTCTTATACACAAGTGCAGAGACGAAGACTTGACATCCGTCTTCGTTTATCAACTCCATCTCTGCCGTAAATTTTTTTGCGTAGATTTTTTGAGGCAGCATGCGCGGTTCAACCTCAACGTCAATTTGACCTCAACACAAAGTTAATTTCAGCAAAGAGCTTCAACGTCAACACCTAGACCTGGGTCGCTAGTCATATCACACTTTTTCTCACCAAAAGTCAGCTTTGCGTAAATAGGTGAGAATGTTTGTACTACGTTGACAGCGTTGCAAAATGGCGAATCTGTTTTTTGGCACACAGCGTCAGATAAAAGCGGCAACACCCAGAAGTTTTACCTCTGAATTTGCATGTTTCTCTTTGGCATCTTTGTTGCTTATTTTTGGGTCATTGGCAGCACAATTTCGGCATGAATTTATTCATTTCTCCCCGCAGCACTCTTTTTACGATTTTGATATGTACCACGGCTTGCTTGGGAGCACATCTACAAGCAGACAATCCTGTGGTTGATTTAGGGTACGCACAATATCAAGGATATTACAACAGCACATCGAGACTGAATGTTTTTTTGGGGTAGGTGGCTGATTACGCTTATCTCAAGAATCCCACAGAACACTGACCCATCCCTGCTTGTTGCCAGAATTCGATATGCGACCCCTCCGGTAGGACGAATGCGATGGCAAGCTCCGCAGCCTCCTGTTATCAACCGGACCACTATCATTCGTGCAACTCATCAGCCGCCACTCTGTCCTCAATCAGGCGCCGCTCAGCTTCCTAAAGTCTATGGATTTAATTCCGACTTAGGTGACGAGGATTGCTTATACCTGAACGTCTTCGCGTCACCAAGTGCGCGGGATCTCCCCGTTCTTGTCTGGATTCGTAAGTTAATTCCCCTCCCCATATTCATCGTGATTATAACATCCAACCCAACCGGACTAAAATGTGAAACAGATGGTGGGGGCTATGGTCTATCTGGGGCGGTTCACGACCCAAGTGGATGGATCAACACTAATGACGATGGATTTATTTCAGTCATGATTCAATATCGGTTGGGCGCATTTGGTTTCCTTTCTTCTGCAGATGTGGCAGAATACGGTCAAACAAACGTTGGCCTACTGGACATGCGTCTCGCTCTTGAATGGGTGCAGGCACACATCTCTCAATTTGGTGGAGATCCACTTCGGGTCACGATAGGCGGCGAGTCAGCTGGGGCAGGCGCAGCAATTCTCCAAGCAATGGCTTATGGTGGCCGAGAAGACCATTTATTCAACAATGTCAGTGGTATCTTGAGCTACATCTCACAACAACCAACTAATTCTGACTTAATAAGATCATCGCATCAAGCCCCTACATTGTGACTCAGTATCGGTATGACGACGAAGTGCCGACAAAATATTATCGAGCATTTGCAAGACGAGCAGGCTGCCTTGCTGGCGACAAAAGAGCTGACGCGCAGACATTTGCGTGCTTGAGGAACGCCGACACCAACACCTTACAAAATGCCAGCGGGGTTGTCTCGGCCTCGGGGGCCTGGGGAACCTTTGCTTTCTTGCCTGTTATTGATGGACATTTCATTCGAGACCTTCCATCAAAGCAGCTTCTCGAAAAGCAAGTCAGCGGCAAACGCGTTCTGTCCGGTGTAAGTCACTACTCATGTCGTGTAGGGAGAGCCTCAAGCAATTTATAAGTTGCTGACTTCTCGCAGAATAATGCCAATGACGGTATTCCCCTGAGTCTTCCGTATGTGGAGACCACTGCGGATTTCAAGGCCTATGTGAAAGACACGTTTCCGCGTTTCATTGCCTCAGACGTAACTCGTTTATTGAAGATTTATGGGTTCGCATCGTCCTCTTCCGATCCGTTTGGTCCTCTCTACGACACTCTTGGCGACCGTGGGCTCACCGCGGTGAATCAGTCCGAGTTTGCGACCGGCTACCAGCAGACGGTGTTCAACATTTTTGCTGAAACATCCTTTGTCTGTCCTTCTTACTGGTTGGTGGATGCTTTTTCCGGGAATAACGCAAAAGAGAGTTGGAAGTACCAGTACTCGGTCACTCCGGCATATCACGGTGCAGACTTAACAGCTTATTTCTCTGTAGATACAGCAACACCAACAAAAGGCATAAGGCATGCTTTCCAGAAAATGTTGGGAAGCTTCATTATCAAAGACTCTCCAGTGATCTCTATTCAGGACGCCAAGGGCAATGCAAGTGACGCCATCGTGCCTGAAAATACCGATGGACGTATCCTTTGGCCGATGTGGAACTCTTCTTCCCCAATGATGATGGACTTGAATACAACCGGAGGGAGCTTATTGTACAGAAATGTCACTGGACATCTCGCTTATTGGCTTCGTGAAGATCCGGGGGTCGTCAATCACCTCCGCCTAGCGAATGCAAATTTCTGGGAAGGGGGACGGGGTGAACGATGTCGGTTTTGGAGGGAAGTCGGTCCGCGCGTACCTCAGTAAGTAGACCCAAGGAGATGGGCTATAATGAGTAATGTGTGAGGTTCTACAGGATTGAGATAGAAATTCGAACAGTCATGTATTGAGACATATGAGGCATATTTACCTGTTATCAATTAATAACCCGTTACATGAACATTCCGTCAAGCCGGCTGTTTGTGAAATGGCTATGTAAACGAGACAACATATTCTGTGTCTTCTTCAATCCCAGTCAATTATAGCTTTGTGACTCAGCACGCGAAAATGGGATTCTACTAGTACAGTACCTCAGCGAAAGTCAAATGAAAGAATCGCCCGCAGAAGATAGTACCTGGCCTCTGGGACTAGAGCCCTTGATCCTCGATGAAGCCATAAATTGTCCCAGGAACAAATGACCAGATTCTAGGATAAGACTTTGCTTTTTAACATCGACCTATTTCACGGTTTTAGCTACCAAGTCTTCTCATCATGATAAATTTTTTTAAGGAGCATCAGCGAAGAAATGCGCATGTCAAACTCTGGAAACAAATACTGTGAAGCAACATTCACGATCTGCATTTGTCTGTGCGGCATTTGAACTCAGAAATGCTATGAACAAAAGACGAATCTATGGACTCTAATTACTCGACTAGAGGTTGATCATTTTGCTAGCACATAAAATGAAACTCCCAAGGCCTTCGTTTCACGTTTCTCAACATAATTACACATCACCCCTCATATCTCGTCCAATACATCTATCTTCACCACCACCATGTCACTCGCTTTATCCTACCCTAACCCTCCACTGGAGCAACAATTCTCAGCCCGATGCGCTCCAAAAGTACCTCTGCACGTGCACCACGGAAATTAGCACGATACATGGAAGACACACGCCCTTGATGCTTGCCGTGCAAGCGGGGGATCACGCGGCAGTGGATCTTCTGTTGGAGTATGATAATCTTCGTGCTTCTCAATGCAATGCTTACGGTCAGACTGCGCTGTCGATGGCTATCACGCAAGGCAGTGTTTCAATCGTACGACAGCTGCTCCGTCAGAAAGATATTGAGTTCTAAAGTCAAGATCAAAAAGTCCAGCAGCCACTCCTGGTGGCTTTAGAATATCAACAGTATGAGATTTTGAAAATCCTCTTGCGTGATCGTCGGGCCAAAATCAACCAGAAGGATCACCGCGGCCAAACCATCCTGCACCTGGCTGTGATCTACGGCGACCTTCGCGCCGTTGAAAGCCTTGCAAGAGAGGAGCTGATTGATGTCGATTGTCTTGATCATCGGGGAGAGACACCCCTGATGTTGGCTGCGAAGCTCCATGCCTGCGATCAGCCCAACAACGTCAAGATTCACAAGTGTCTGCTCACGCGGTCCAAAGTCAGGGTCGATCGAGATCAAGGGGTCAATCCAATCTTTCGCATGCCGTGAAGCCTTTCAATACCGAGCTGATCGAGTTCCTCAGCTTCGTTTGAACAAATAATGTAAGGTATCGATGGAATCACTCCGTTGGGTCGAGTGAGAAGGCAATTTTCGACCGTCAAAACTTGGTTCCTTAAACCCGCGTACCACGATGCAAGTCACATCCCTGCTCCAAACATGTGCGAAGGGCAATTATGCGATAGAGATTTAGGTTAGGCAGGCCATGACACATTAGCAATTGAGAATGTTCTTGAGATGTAACTTTATTCCCAACTATCGGGTGTCTTATCTATGCGCTTCCAGAGAACATGTTATGGGCAGCATTTGTACACTAGCTCGCTATGAATATCAATTTTAGAAAAAGACAAGTTTCTAGAGCTAGTTTGTAAGTCCGGTCAAGGATGAAGTTCCATGGCTCCTGGTCCAGGATGTTACATCGACAGTGGGTCTTGCGCCACATGGCAATTCTAGAAAGTGATCGACGCCTTCCTTGAGAACGGACTGGCGCCTGATTGGTCAGGTGTGTTGGGGTGAGTCATGGTGGACTGCGGACACCTCACCAATCAAGGTTGTTAGAAAGAGCGCAGCGGGTCCGTGGCCGGTAAGTTCGAGCGGTAGGAGCAAGGCCCGCAGATCAGCCAAAGTCTTGCCCGGGTACTTACCAGGGTAAATGGAAAGTTACTCCTGAAGTCTCAAGTTTGCCCTGCCACGCGCGTCGATAACAGAGATGAACAAGACGATACTTTGTAGTATTCGTAGCAATTGATTGACCTTATCCGAAGTTTACCTTCTCATCAGGAGTTTACCAATGGCCAAAGCATTGTCAGGAAGAAAGTGCATATGAGAGGTGGAAAGTGGGACGGCGAGATCGAAATGATCGGCCGGCACCTTAAACCTTAAATAGCACAATAGCACGTGGGTTGGTCTAAGGTCCAGTCCTTCGTGCATCTTGCTGAATACCACTGTTTGGTTTCTCAGAGTCTGGCGAAAACAAGGACAACGTGCGCTGCAGCTGCTCATGATCGATGCGCGACACTAATGGCAATAGTACCCATGACTGCACTTGCATGGCCATTGCGTTTAGCCCTCTTTGAATATTGTATTGTAATACATCTATCGCAACTTGCAATGTAACGCAATTTCATTGCCACAGCGATCGTATCTATGGAATCCATTGCATCAATTCTGGTACCCAGTCGCCAATGTAACCCACCGCAGAAAATGAACAGTCTAGATGATCGGTTTGATGGAACCAAGGGGCGGTCCCCCCTGACAACGCGAGGCCATCCACGGATCCATGGGAGGTGTGTCTCCTGGCCAAAGATTTCGAAGTAACTTTCCAATGCCCTCGCAAATTAGTGGCCGTTCCTATGGATTTGCGCAGGGGGTATCTGTGAAGAGACGTAGCCGATTTGGCATAAAAGGCGCGAGATTTCCGGCCCAAAACAAATCAGGACTTTCCTCCTCACACTCCCGTGTGTCATGGTTCCATCTCTTGTCTGCAGGCTTGAGAGTCTCCATGGCCACGGCTCCGCAGTACAAGCTCTGCGTTATCAAACATGCTTCGCAGGATAGGTCTGCGTCATCAATATGCCTCGCAGGAGGGCGCTGCGAGAACAAGACTACCCCGCAGGATAGGTCTGCGTTATCAATATGCCTCGCAGGAGGGCGCTGCGAGAACAAGTCCACCCCGCAGGATAGGTCTGCGTTATCAATATGCCTCGCAGGGGGGTGCTGCGAGATCAAGACTACCCCGCAGGATAGGTCTGCGTTATCAATATGCCTCGCAGGATAGGCTCTGCGTGATCAACTGTTCCTCGCAGGGGGGCGCTGCGTTACCAAGTGAACTCCGCAGGGGGACGCTGTGATGACAATCGAGACCCGCAGGAGACCGCTGCGTTAACAAGTTCTCCGCAGGGGACAGCTGCGAGACCAAGGGACTCCGCAGTACGATGCTCTGCGAAATCAAGTGCTCCGCAGGGGACAGCTGCGACACCAAGGGACTCCGCAGTACGATGCTCTGCGAAACCAAGTGCTCCGCAGGGGACAGCTGCGAGACCAAGGGACTCCGCAGTACGATGCTCTGCGAAATCAAGTGCTCCGCAGGGGACAGCTGCGACACCAAGGAACTCTAGCAAAGTGCAGGCACCTCTACGTGGTGCTAGGGACCAGTATTCAACTCTCGCTCTGCAGTTGAAGAAGCCAAGACCTGCGCCAACATCGATAGTTCACTTGTGTAGGCTCAGGCCATGGGCGAAGAGACTGGCAGTAGGGCCAGGAGAGCGCATTCAGAGCCTATTTTCACTTCTAGATAACGTTGTATAGAGAACGAACAAACCCAGAATTTTGCTCTTACCGAATTCGCCGTGCATTGTAGTATCAAGTCCAGAATCCGATCTCACAAGATGTATACACACGTAGAGCATGTATACACACACATCCAGGCTGGTCGCTCGGTCAAAGATCATCACATTTGGGCAAGAACGCATTATTCACGTGTGTCTCAGAAGTCTGGAAACCCAAGATGACTGTTGAGGTTGGCTTTGGTGGTGACGGGTAGATGCGGTGATCAATAGTCCATGGTGGCAACCAGCCTGCTTCGGTGATAGTTGACTGAGCGTCGTGAACCGTTGCATGAGCGTGCGTAAATAGTTGAGTCTGCTCTGATAAATAGTTGAGCCGGGCCTGGTAAATAGTTGAACTGTTCTCATCAACAGCTGAATGAGCGTGTGTAGACAGTTGAGTCTGCTCTGGTAAACAGTTGAGCCGGCTGTCTAAACGGTTAAACGGCTTCCTCAACAGTTGACCGGCTTTCCAAACAGTTCACCGGCTTTTTAACAGTTGGCTATGCTAACAGTTGAATGAGCGTTGGTAAACAATCGAGCACGACTTCATGAACGGTGACCAGCTTGAAACGGTGACCAGCTTGAAACGGTGACCAGCTTGAAACGGTGACCAGCCTGGAAACGGTGACCAGCCTGTAAAATCGTGGCCAGCACTGAAGACAATTTGTCGATGATGACGGTGCCGATGCGTCGATGGGCAAAAAAGCTGAGTCTGGACGTGTTGTTGTCAAACGGGGTGAGGCGCTCAGGCGGTGTGTCTTCCCTCGCGCACGCTCCGTCCGACTTGGAGGAAGATCCCGCCCACAGCACTGTATTTCTCTCATAGGCCAACAGTGGTTGCCAAGTCCTCCCGGACAAGTAACAGAGTTTTGACATACGGTCGATAATTATATTCCATACGGAAAGCTACATCACGTCAAAAATCCCAGTAATCTACACCAAGAATCCACTCGGCTCAAACTTCCCGATATATATACCACATGTGTACAGTATATGACACCTCCAATGAACGAACAACATTTTTTTTTAGCACTACGTATACTACTGTATGACATCTAAATCGCATGCGTGACTGGGATTTCTAGCGGTCTCACAAAAATATGACCAATAAGTCTACACCAGTCTCCTCTGAGTACGACTGCGACACATCATGAGACAATTGGGATCAAGTTGATTCAAAGTCGACCACGTATGATACAAACATGAAACTAATGCTCAGCAGCCCGACCGTTGAGTCCCACATCACTGCGCGTGAGCCCTAGATCCGATGAAA